ATTCTCTTCCATGCCAGTCGTCTACGGACCGAGCCCTGCGGCTAGACCAGACAAATCACCAAGACGAGCCTGCGGGGGGATCTTTCCCGGCAACGAATTCGGCGAGTGTGTCTGAGTTGTCAGAAACACAATGCGCCCGCGCGATATTTTCAGCTTCGGCAACAGCTCCCGACATAGAAGCAAATGGCTCAGATGGCATACCTGCATGGTTTCCTCGATGCCGTCCACCGTGAAACGCCGTTTCTTGTCCGGCGGATGCCAGAGTGCGGCATTGCAGATCAGGGCATCCATGTGATCAACGCGCGCCACACTCTATTGCTCTCTCACAAACTTTAGTACAGAGGCGAAATCAGCCAGATCACAATGCAGCACTGTATAGGCGTCCTTTGGAAGGTTCACGCTGTTTGCTGCGCGTTCCGCCCGGTCGACGTCACGACATGCCATGACGATGTTCCAGTTGCCCTTGTTGATCAGAGCGCGAGCTGCATACAGACCGACTCCAGAGCACGCGCCAGTGACCACGGCGATCTGCGACTGTTTCGGGCCCATACGAAGATGCAGCGCGTGGTGCCGGCGCGCTACAGGCGATCGCTGCACCACCAAAGGAAGCGGATGCTGGCAGTAATGACGATGTCCAGCTGTGAAGCACCTGTCACGTGCGGTACACAGCGGAAACGGTGCTCGAGTTGCAGCGGGTGCGCCAACTATGTGTTTTTCCTGGCACAGCGAAAAACAAACCAATACGTCTTGCAGTTTTTTGGGATAGATTTTCTCTGGTGGTAAAGCTGCCAACTTCATCACCGACTAAAGTCGTTCGCGTACGCATGCATATCCAGTGAGAAATCCTTTTTTCGTTGCTGCACGAGTGATCGCCCGTCAATTGCACAGAGTCCGACTTGTAACTCCCGTAGACTGTCTAGCGTTAAGCGCATCGAGCACAAGCGCTCAATGTCTTATACAGAGACTAGGCAAAACTCGCAGTTTGCCGAGCAATAATCTCGTCAGTACTGGCCGGTAAGTGTTCCGCAATGCTGAGTTCAAAGATTACAATGATTGTTGAGGCACGTCGCAGCAGCTCACCGACGAATAACGTAGAGGAGGTACAAGGGACTTACTTCCGGTGGTACGTTATTTTGGAAGCGTCTGCACGTCAGTTGGACACGTCACGTCTAGGGCGGGTCTCTCGCCACTACTGTGCACGGCCGGCGACAAAATTTTTCTTTTCAAGGTCATTTGTTGTTGGTTGTGTCGCTTACGAGCTCGCTGTACTGGTTGGACTCTTGAACTAATCTTATAAAGTAGATCGGAAAACAATATGTGCTTTTGTCGGATGCCTCGATCGTCCCAGGCGAGATGCAATGCTCAAACGTCGTGGCAGATATAGATGCTATATGTATGCTATGCTTCTGCCGAGATCGCCGGATCCGAAGGACGTACAGGACACCATAGCTTGTACAACGATGATAGCATGGAAATGACTTGAACTGGCATCAGACCCAGCCCATGACGCCGGATAGATGCAACTTTCAGGTCAGGTCCTTATTCCAGTGTCCGTGCGGCATGAATAACAAGCATAGGGATTAAAATTATATCCGTGGCCGGGAACACTACCGTACCTAGTTCGGTTACGATCCATACAACAGCCGAAAATCCTATTGAGGAGAGTGATGCATACCTAATCCGCATGAGCGTAGGATACTACGATGACTACGCTTTTGATAGAAGCATCGCGGAGTTTCGAGCCAGGTCTCAACATCCCGTCGTATGTCAGGGCGGTACTGCAATGGGGAGTAGCGTCGGCACCAGCGACAGAGTCTATAGCATGATATCGTTCTACGTGAGTTTCCGATCTACGATACTTTACTTCCGCTGCAGCGCGATGCGAACACGCATGAGCCACGGCGGCGTCGGACACGTGTCCTTCATCGATCGGTGAGGCGTCTCGCGCGGTGGACGCATTGTGCGCAGTGAGCGCATCTGGGAGATCGGGAAGTCACGTGACATGATGCGCATGCCGCCGTTGAAGGAAAACGCGATTGGGCTCAGTCGCGTGTTGTTCTACCGGAGAAAGTTGGATCTCCATCGAGGTCGTAAACAAGTGTAGTTATCAGTTCATTAGGTTCTGGAAATTCGAGCAAGTCTAGTCAAGTGTTTATCGCAGTACATGACAGAAGGGTTCAAAGAGCGTCCTTTTTCGAAAAAAAAAACTAAAAAAGGAAAGCTATGAAAAAACAAGTCGACGATCCTGGAGGCCCAGGGTCGCAGGCTGCCAGAAAAAATAATAAACAACAGTGACAAGTCCGGAAGAAAATGAAGAGAAGAAGAAGGACCGAAGGGGGGCCCTTCGTTGAAAGCTGCAAGAAAGACAACTTTACCACGAGAAGGTGGTGAAAGCCTTCCTTCTTGGACATATCAGACATCCCTGTAGGGAAAAGTTGCGAGACGCTATCGAAAAACGTGTCGACTCGAACTCCATGACTACCGTAAAGGCGTCGTCAGGACTTATGCATTTGGTGAGGGAGATGTGTCGCGACGTGATGCGCATGGAAACGGTCGAGATTCCGGACGAGTTTCATTGATACGATCTTTATTCGTCACCTGATTTTTGGTACAGAGGAAGCGCGGAAGGAAAACGAGCTGGTGCATGCTCTCCACGAAAAACATCCCTTTTACGGGCTCGAGAGTACTCCATACAAGTGAGACTGCAGTAATTACATCTACGGAACGATGAAGTACCTCACGAACCTGACGAACCATTGACAATGAACCTCGAACTTTTCATAATACGCGCCGTGTTTGGACGTTACCCGAGCGTCTCTCGCAAAGGGGATATGGGCGATGATCAATTGCATCACGAAAGATCGAAAGTATGAAGATATGGTCGACTTTGTTGACAAGAAGGCGTCGAAAGAGAGCACGAATGAAGCTACTGTAATCCGTGCGGTTGTACATGAGCACTGTTTAGTCTTGGGGCTGGCGAATCCAGCGGAAATGGCATCATATATAGAAAAAAGATGAAAAAAGATGTTATCACCTCATCTTGCTCTATTTCGTATTCCTGAATCGAGTACGCGAACGCAAGGCAGAGATGAAGCCTAGTGAGGAGAACATGAAGCGTGGGGGAGACGGAAGGCGTCCCTAATGCGTAAGCGCTTCAATGGCGCTCCGTTGTGCAACATCAAGTCATATTTTGTGAGCATCGACTTTAGAAACCTTCACGGCATCATGAAGGAGATCAGTCCCGAGCTCGATGTTAGCAGGGAGGACTTCAGCGGCGAAAACTGGCAGACGTACTGGAAGAGTATCTTCGATTTCAAACGTCTGAAAGTCAGCAAACAAAAGGTATTCGTGGGGAGATCGAACAGATGGAATAACCTTGTGTATGCACTATCGGCGGTTGAAGAGAGATCATCAAGTTCCTCCCTCGGCTGCGCCCGTGACGAAGGATGAAGATGAGATGGAGGCGGATCCTGCAACGCAGAAAGTGCAGGATAACGAGTTCATCGTTGACGGGGCGAAGGATGAAAATGAGAAGGGGGCGGATCCTGCTAAGCAGGAGGTGGAGGATAACGACCTTGTTGTTGACACGATGAAGCATGAAGATAACAAAGAGACGGGTCCTGCGACGCAGGAGGTGGAGGATAACGACTTTATTGTTGACATAACGAAGGATGAGGATGAGAAGAAGGCGGGTCCTGTGATGCAGGAGGTGCAGGATGACGCCTTTATGGTTGGCGCGGTGAAGCATGATGAAAACAACAAGGCGGATCCAGCGACCCAGAAAGTGCATGATAATGACTTTATCGTTGGCGCGGACCCCGGAAACACAAATATCATCACCATCGCAGCACCGAAGCGTGCGGGCGATGGTGCTGATGGTAACTTACGTCAGAAAGACATGCACCTTTTGAGGTTCTCGAGAGCGAGACACTATCGAGAATCGGGTATAATGAATGCGAGGAAGAAAACTGAAACATGGAAAGCAGGAATAAAGGATCACCCGGAAGCTTTGAGCGAGGCGACGAGCCGAGGAGCGGACTTTGAAGCTTTTCGGAAATTCGTGGAAGTTCGTGTTGCTCATTGGGATGCGCTGTGGGAGGCGTATACCAAGCCACAATGGGCTCGGTTGCGAATCAATCTATACGGTGGGAAGCAGCGGGCGTTCGCCAACTTTTTCAATCAGTTGAGCGCCTGAAGGAGGATGATAGTCGAAGGCTGGTAGTGGCATACGGAGCAGGGCGCTGGGTGCCCAAGAAAGGAACTACTCCAGCTTGAACGACGATGGTGTAAAAGGAGTGCGCAGTACGTTTCGTAACGATACCTGTAGATGAGTTTCGAACGTCCTATATACACCATGAACTGGGGTGTACACTTCAGAGCGTGGAGATGGAAAAGTGCCAGCGGAGCCTTGAGGATGTAAAAAAGTATGGACCGCTGACGGAGGAGCAAATGGAAAGGAGGGTGGAAGTGCGAGGGCTACTCGCATTGATTAGTATGATCAATGGCAAGAAACGTATGGAGTTCGTGAACCGAGACTTTAATGCCGCTATCAATATCAGGAGATGTGCGGTGCTGGAGAAAAGACCTCCAGAGTCGACAAGAGGGAACTTTGTTGGACAACCTCTCGAAGTGGAACTATATGAGAAAAAATTGGAAGCAGTCATGGGTGGCCGGTCGAGAAAGACGGGGAGGCGTCCGCACTCCAGTTGGAGACGTTTTGTCTAAGGCGCGTTCGCCGCCACTAATGTACACCGCTGGCGACGGCGGCGTTAGATGCGTGCCACGTGGCACTCGATACGCGCTCTGCAGGGGGTCTTCGGGATTCGAGATGCGAGCTCCATGACACGTTGCAGCGGATCATGCGTGACGTGCGCTCGCATCTTTCTGATGCCCGCGACGCCGTATGTGTGTTTTCCCGCCTTTATAACACAAAGCACTGCTTATACTCGCGTTACTAAAAGTGAGTTTCCTTCTAGGCACCAGCGAAGACGTGGGAATCAATGAGTCTATCAGCGAAAACTTTGTGCTTGTTCATCTTAGCTCTTGTCGTCTCGGCTGTTGGAGGCGCCCCGGCGGCCCTTGGTGCTTCCTGCAGCTACACTTGTCAAACGGGTAACAGCTCTCTGACCCAGAAGACTGTTAGCAACTGCGACAGAGACTGTGCGCTGGACGTGCTCTGCCCCAGCAGCACTGTATTCTTCTCAGAGTGTATTGACTCGGTGACCTCTCTGAAGTATTACCAAGTCAAGTATCCGCTGGTTAGCTCCCGGTCGGATGACACAAGCGCGTGCCCCTCATCTATTGAGGCCCGCGTCGATACCAGCGGAATAATGCACGTTCCGTCTCTCTGCACGACGGGCTGCTTCCCTTGTGGCATCCCATATACGATTTCGTCCTCAACTTACGACTCGTCCGGAAACAATTTCTTCACTGCGGAAGCTCATTCGTCGGTTTTCGGCGTGGTTCCCAAGTGTTGCTCTCTGTCTGGACAGATATCCTTGAGCACAGGCCGTGTGACATACGACTTTGAGGCAGTTCATGACGTGGCAGTCTTGTTGTATATCTCCTCTGTGAGCGCGGTCTGCGCGTACGGAACAAGCTCCTACCATGCAATACCGGCATAGACAGGTGGATATAGGGATGGAAAACCTTCATCAGCGGCAGCAAAAGATATGGCCTGTCAACATCGTTCGGTTCAACTGCTAGGCAGCGTGGCAGTGGAAAGACTCCGAAAGCGTTCTGGAAGCATAGCCAGCGTTATATTCAAGGAAAGTTCGAGGTAAATAAGATGGCCACCATTTCTAGAAACCTATGGATCAATGCAGAACATTTCCAGAGCTTTCCGTCCGAGCAAAGCCTGGCACTCCAGACTTTCGCTGTTGTGAAAAAGGCTGAGCGTCTTGCTAGTCTACGCATTCAACATTCGCGATCCACGAGTAGCGCCTGGTACCGAACATCTTATGCGGTGCTCTGGACGAGGTTCTCCGATAGCGAACCTATTATGCTGAATAGGGAATCGCACGAAGCGATTGATCAAGCAACAATTTATCTCCATAGCAGAAAAAGTCCTAGCGTTTCTGATACTGCGACCAGTCTGCGACATAACGTGTGAGCGAACATCGCGGCAGCACTTTTTTAAACCATTTTAAAGCTGAAACATACCTGACATGGACATGGCCGCCGGATTCAAAGATCTCAGAGCCAGAACATAGCATTCGAGTCATAGAGGCCTCGCTGTGGTCGCCTGTCTGTTCACAAGAGCATGCGATGATCACCGCCACAGGCCCCTGAGCACTCTGCTGTCGCTTCCTCGGCATGGAGCGTCTGTGGCGAGTCGTCAGTTTCAAAGCACGGAATTCACTGAAACATGGCTTGAGAAAAATTCGTAGTGGTCGCAGTGAACGACCAGATTCTAAAGAACCCCATCGCAAGGTACACGTAGAGCTCAAAAGAACGACGTCGCGGCGCCCTTCACAGGGAACTTTCAAGGTTTTCGTGCAACCAGTGCATTTCACGCAGTGATACTTCAAAGAGCTCGCGCTAGACGCGGCGTTTGGTACATCGATTGCTATTCCATCCAACCATGCTGCACCTTGGGAAACACATCCCGGCCGATGGTCCCGATATGCTTTTCTGGCAATGTGCTCAAGCCTTTCCGCTGGAGGGCTTTGCGTCAGACGCGCACTGAGGCCGAGCTCCGCGATGTGAGGCTGCCACCGCCACTGGCGGTGTCGCTGGTGCTCGAAGCGTAATTAACAGAAGAAAAAAACGAGGATCCCAGGCGCAGTCCAAGGATGACCCCGCCGTGTGGATTATCGAGTCCAGAGCTCCATCGCTAGTGGGTAACGCTAAGCCCCCGACGCGTTCTTTCCTGCTGCCCAGGTTGACGACAACCCATCCGGACAGATCCACAATAGGCGACCACGAGTTCCCCTGCTGCAGCGCTGTTCCTTCTTTGGTAAAGCAACGCGCTGCCCAGAAGGAACCAGTTTTATAGCTGCCCGTCTCAGTCTGGACCCGTCTTCGCGGCTCTGCTTCAGAAGAAGTCACTTGGACTTTGGTAACACACCTTAGGTGCCTCGGTGCCGAGTCCCAGTTCCGAGCACTCCAGGGTCCAGCCCCGCTTCCGTTTACGCTTGAGACACCACCGACACTAGGCAGAAACGCTGCAAACGACGTCGCTCTGCGCTGTAGGCTGTGATAACAATCGTCGACACCGCCCAGATGCAAATACAGCACGACAACTAGTAACAGCCACCGCCGCGCGGTATCGCGCAGCGCTCGTTAAAACGCTCTGATTCCAGTTTCTTTGGGTACTTTAACGATGGCGTACGGCAAGACTTGGATCTTTGTCTACAACCTGGTGCAGTTTGGTGGCTGGTCCTGGATATTCCTCGAACTTTGTTTGTGTTCTTTCCAGTTTTTGGAAGAAAAGTGCTTCGCTGGGGGCTTGGCGGGCAGTACAGAGGCCCTTTTCCAACCCGCAAAACTGCGCTGTGCCGCGTACGTACTCGTCGGTTGGTGGGCACCGCCGCCCCTGCGTGCTTTCCTAGGATTCGCTAACTCGAACTGGCAGCGATTCGAGTTCCAGGTTTTGAGGTCCACGCTCAAACCCCTGCTAGTGTTTCAGACGCTAACGCTGCTCGAGCTCGTGCACACAGTGCTCGGCTGGGTTCGAGCTTCGCTTGCCACGACTGCGTTGCAGATCTGCTCTCGACTCTTTGTCCTGTGGTTTATCGTCGCAAGCTTTGCCTCGAAGTATGAAGAATGCATCAATACCGGGTATTTAGCGCTGCTCTCAGCTTGGTCTGCTACGGAGGTTGTGCGCTATGCATATTTCACTGTGCTATCTTACGGAAACATGGCCAGCCGTGGACTGCTCTCTGTTCACGAAGTCGTGCCTCGTTGGCTTACATGGCTTCGGTATTCGCTGTTCTTGGTTTTGTATCCAATAGGGGTTAGCGCCGAAATTTGGCTAGTGCTTGGTGCACTACCTTGGATTCGCGAAACGAACTTTTTGCGTGTTAGGATGCCCAATACCTTTAACTTCGCCTTCGACTTTTCGATCTTTTGTGCGATAGCGTTACTGGGATACATCCCCGGATTGCCGTTTTTGTATGGGCATATGCTAAAGCAAAGAAAACGGCATTTGGCTGCAGCAAGGCGACACGCAACCATAACAGACTCGCCGGCACAGACGACAGAAAGGCCGGCTCATAGAGCCAAACTAGACTGATGGAAGGATCATCATGGAAAAATTGTGTCTCGATTGTGACATGTGCTTGACCTGCGCTGCATACTAGACGCTGCAAGCGTGCACGGACGCGACATGGTCCGCGCACCAATCCCGACCAGCATCTGGACGAGCACTGTCTCTGGTAGCGCTATCCGGTCTGCCACGAGAGGCGCTCAAAGTGCATTGCAGTTCGTGTCTACTGCTTTTCCGTCTCGTGCGCGCGATCGGCGATCAATGGTACCGCAGAGAGGAGGTAGTAGGGTGTGAGGTGTGCCGACGATGCATTATGCCTCATTGAACGCTGCATATTGACCGCCGTGCAGCGCAGATTCGTAGGGAGGATCAGATCCGCCACCAAGTGTCCGAGCAAGACTGTGACATTGCTGAGGATGCCCTGCACCATCCGCGATAGCGGCTGCACACGATGAGATGCTTGCTGCTGACACTGGCGATATGCAGATCAAAAGCTTCAATGCTTCTGTGCTCGCTTATGCAGTCAAACTAGAGTCAAGAAGCTCAGACACTGGTGGTTTCTCCAATGCGCGAGTGCTCGTACGTCATAGGCCTCGAAAACTCATGCCACTGAGAACGCGGCGAACAACACCCGGACCAGGACACTATTTGAGCTGACGATGTGATGAGATGCAGTCGCACCCTACGGTTGCAGTATTTAGGAGTAAACATATTCAGACGCAGTTTTGCTGACGTATTCCGTTGCACCTATTCTGTTGTCGGCTACTCGTAGGTGCCTCCAATGCCACCATGAACCCAACCTCAGATACCGTCGGTCGACGTCACATCTGAGACAGCGCAGGCAAGTAGAAGCCCTCTGAGGCGCTCGAACTGGATAGCTTGCCGACGAGCTTCGCTGTCAAACGAAGCAGTGCCCAGTCTCTGGCGATCAGATTCGCACTTTATGCAACTGCGTGCCTCTCTTACTTTGTAGGCCGCGGAGCGCTTTGGTGTCGAACGATACATACGTGCGCTGAAGCTCTAGGATCTCACCAAACGAATCGTTTGCCTGAATGCTTTCCGGTCACCAGCAGTCAACAGCACGGACAGTAGAATACCTCTCCGTTGCCGCAGTTTGCACGCAGAAACGTCCCCGCTGCTTTTGAAATGCAGTACGCTTCCCGCAGCACCCGAGAAGCCAGCTTGAGCCAACGTATGTAATACCAACGACCTGGAAAACTAGTTCCACAATTTACCAATGCATTTTGCACGTCTGCTTCATCGTACAGACAGGTTACGCGGAGTGGTTTCCGTACCAGGTTCAGAAGAGCGAGCTCGTGCTGTAGTGCGGCGCCCTGTACAGAGCCGCATCGATATGCGACAATCCAGACGTGAACGCGCGCGTGCACTGCGACTACTTGGCGGCCGTCTTGCGCATGACAGCGCACCGCGAGCGACGCTATCTACGCGCTTCTCGACGCGTTTCTCCTAGTGTGTGCTTCATGCTGGGGCAAGCGCATCTGGCGAGTTCTGTTCAATCAAACCGGGATTCTTACCTTGTATAAATTTTGAGGTAAGAGCCGTCACAATACTTCACGGAGCTGTTTGGATACAACGCGGGAGCTTTTTACTGTTCTGAAGCAGGTAGAGCGCTCGCTACGGCAAGACGCGCACAATGTTCAGGTCTCTCTCTGCAACGGTTGGAAGAGCCAGTCTTCTGTTTAGGCGAACATATGCCGCCCAGGCAGCTGCGGTGCCGTCGCAGGTTCGGCTGCACCTGCTGCGTTTAGGCCTGCAGGGTCACGAAAACTGGGAACAGATTCGACAGCGCTATCGTGAACTTGCTCGATCGAACCACCCGGATGTGCCAGGTGGCAGCACCGAGAACTTTCAAGCTATTCAGGATAGCTACAATTATTTATCGGTGTACTACGGTCACGCAAAGCCAAGTACTCGTCACGGCTACCGTGCGGCGGCACGGTCGCAGGGCGGCGCACCCTACTACCGCAGCACGTATGCGGAGCATGTGCAGCGCACGAACGGGTCGCCTGGCCTTTTCCTAGTGTTTCCAGCGCTGCTGCTGGTTGGCTTGGGCTCATGGGTTATTATTCAGAGCGCGACTGGGCGTTCGCAGCGGGGAGAACTTCGGGCCGGTGGCACGTCGCAATATGTGCCTGAGAATCGGCAGCTTATTCTGCCACAGAAACCAGACCAGACACTTTTCCGAATACATCGTGATGAAAAATAGAAATGATCTCGAGTGCACTGCACGAGCAACGAGCATGTGACTCAGTGCGACCTGGTTTAGTGTTGATACGACGGCAACTCAGCTCGTTGAGTTCGTATTTGGGAGCTCGCCCGAAGCCCGCGTTTGCTCATCGGTTTCATGGAGGTACACATCGACGGCGTGCACCGAACAGCCTGCCAATTAGACTGGCTTGTCTCTTGACTTTGCGAAACGGAACCGTCTTACGTCTGTAGAAGAACTGGCGCCGGAGCTGTATACCACACGCGTCAAGAATCGCGTAAGGAATTCGCGCTCGATGCAGGAGCAGTGTGTTGGAGGCCTGGTAAACAGTTTTCCCAAGGCACAGCAATGTGTCAGTCTCCGGAAGCGGACTAGATCGTTCTGGCTGATGTATTCACAAGCCTGAATATGGGTATGAATTCTGTGGCAAAAAGGACGGTAGAGATCAATCGCTGTCGCGGAGTCTCGACACAGAGGGCCCTCGAAAGTGTGCGTGCACGAGCGCACCCATGTACTTACGAAGGAACGTACGCGCGCACAGAAAAGCTCGAACGAATACACGTACGCGCAAACGTACGAATACACAAGCACACGAACGAATCTGCACATGTGTGTACATCCAAAGAGATACGCGAACGAATGCGTTACTGCGGTATGACGTACGCACCAGCGATATCCGGTTGCTTGAGGCGGTTCCGAAACGAGCATCTCACAGGCTACATGAAGGCTCCGTGGCGAGCCTGTATGTGCGAGAGCCCTCCCAAAAGTCTCCATGTTTAGAGGCCTGGTGCCGAAAGCAACGGCCGAACCGCCTAGATCTCAGATGTTTCATGGGAAGAGGAGACGTTCGAGCAGCAGATTACCTCGCGGGATCGCTTTGCTGCTACGACCTCGATCACAGATCAGGGCATATCCTGCGCCTCTTCGATAGCACGGCGACTAGCCTGACTCACGTCTAATGCGATCACTGAATTCGAGTCAGTGTTCGAAGGATTGCATCCTAGTACCCAGTGTGGTTGTATGCGGTTAGGTTTGTGTACTGGGTGCACGTCTCGCCGATTGCGAGGAGTCTGCGGTGCAGCCATAATTGCCACATACATTGCGCTTTCAGGATTGCGAGCAGCGTGAACGCAACGGCATGATGCTCAGCGTGCTTGATCGAGCAAGCACCAGCTGTATCCGATGACATTCGGTCTCGTTCGTTGGATCACTAGGCTTGGCACGTGCAACGATCAATCTCGGACCGCATTCCGAAGCCTGCACGATCGCTGAGCATTGACAATCATGTTTGAAAAACATGGAACACTTCCTTTAGCTCGTGCGTGTACTCTGAAGGTTTGGTCTCTTCGACCTTTCCTCGAAATCAGCCTTTGCGCGCTATTTCTGTGAGTGCTTGCCTATTCTGTGCCGTATCTCACTCTTTGAATACGGCGGTCTCTCCTGCATCTTCAGCTCCATTATCAGTGGTCGACGAATGTTGATGGCAGTGTTCAAGTCCCTATGTCGCTGCTTGCGGCTGCTGTCAGCAAATATCATGCAAATGCGCAAGTCATGATCTATGCTTCGCTTGCGATTTCCATCTTTCTTGTTTAGAGCCTCGGTGCGCCTGTAGGAACTGTGACGCTCGGCCGTGGACAGGTATTCCCAGATACGTGCACCGCGCCTGCTCCTCTGAGCTCCCCGTTGTCGCGCCTGAAGGATTGCTTCACCGCATGGTACATGCCCTTAACGGGCACAGAAGGATGCACTGAATCCACCGGTCTATTTACGCGCCGTACGTCGTTGCCCAGCATCACGAGCTTCGTCTGGGCGATCAGCTAGGCAAGCACGCCGTCCGTTACACGTGAACGAGCACGCTGTTCCATTCGATAGAGGATTTGTGGAATGCGATGTTGTCCAGGATGAAAAAAGTACCCAAAGCGCTATGCAATCTGGAGAACAAGTCGAAAGATTTTATCCGTCTGGGATTCCTCCATGTGAAGCGGTGACGCGCGCTGCACTGGAAGCGATTGCTGAGATATCTAAAGTCCGAGTCCAGACCCTTTTCCATGTGAATATTAAAGACGAAAGCCTCGAGTAACATATCCCCTGAGAAGACTCGTTTAGCTATTACATATCGTTTCTCCAATGGCGTCAGAGGGATCTCAATTTGTGTCTCTAACTGAATCTATTCATTGATGACAAGAGTTGAATAATTTTTCTGCCTTCGCTTGCGATCAAGTCTTCAAAGGACGTCGCCGAGTAGCTTTTCGTATCAATGCAGTGGCGCGAATCGTTGCGCCCACGAGTTGCATTGAGACAGAGCTCTCAAAATCTTGAAGTACGCTTGAGTTCAGCATGCTAAATATAAAGAAAAGGATGAGGTGAATGCTTGAACGGTTTCATTGGATGATGATATCAGTTGTTTTACGAACCCTTCCTCGAGGACGTCGCAAATCATCTTGACCTCGGTGATTTGTCTAACGCCAGCGACTAGGATTCGAAGGAGCAACTCCCAAAAGACGACTGGGAATCCTCAGTCTGCGAATAGAGACTTTAAGCTCTATATCCTGCACGCAGAATGTAGACGATTCACATCTAAGCGACAATTTCGGAAAAATGAAAAGTCGGGAAGAGAGCGAGTTGTTCATTTTTCCACTTTAACCTCACATGATCTCCCCCGAGAATCATTGGCCAGTATCGTTGAGCACACTTACGGTAACAGGACCGCAATGGGTGGATCTCTCACCCGCGAAAATAAAACGATAGCCGATTGAAGCAGGGGGTGCGTATCCGGCGCCACAAGCTTCAAGTGCTCGGAGTGTCAACATCGCGGCAATGTTCTTCTTCCCCAGTTCGGAGTCAGAACCTGTTGCTCGTGTGAAGCAGTTACACTTCAAGCCGATGTTGCCATACGTGCAGCAGATCTAGTAAAGATCCGTTGAGTACGTCTCTCCGGCGATGCCTTCGCGCTTGCGAAGGCCATCATCCCAGACATCGACGACGACACCTTCCGATGTGTCCTCAGGGCCAATGGTACCATTCGCGTCGTCGGCATCGCGGTTGACAATCTCGCCATCAAGTACCGCGAGCGCATCCGCTGAAAAGAAGCGCGGCAACAGAAACGATCGAACAACCATGAGAAGGCCAATCACCGCAGGAAAGAACAAAGTTGTCTGCGGAATCATCTTCAGTGTCCAGAGCGTAGCAAGACAGACGAACTGAATGGCTGTAAAGGCGTTCACAATCGCAGGGCGAATCTTCCGCATCGGCGAATCATCGGGGTACAGTGCCGGGTCCACGAACAGCAACCGAATTCGTCGGAGGAATTCGTTGCCGCTCATCATCCTTCTGCCCATGTAGAGAAAGAGGCCGCTGATCACGGCAATCGGAATGCGCCGCAACAGCGGGAGCAGCAACAGCGACATGCCCAGCGCAAAGTGTATCATGAAGCCAGTGAGACGGTTCTCGACAACGGAGACAATGCGCTCGCGCGGTGAACGCTCGCCCGGTCGCAAATACGTTTCGGTTACCGCCAAGCTGCGAACGTGGTTCAAGCTCTGCACCGTGGCGGCACACATCCATGGAAGGCCCAGAAGCGAAGCGATCAACGTAATGAGAGACAGAATCAAGAGATCTAGATGGTACGCTTCACCTTTCCGGAGCCTATGTGCGGGCGAGTTCACCACACGAACAGTTATGTTTTGGTCCAGGAAGAAAAGAACCGTCAGCAGAATAGCCGGAATGATCGCAAAAAGTCGAACTTGAACAGGAGCTGCAAAGATCGGAATGAGCCACGAGCGATTGCCTGCCAGCTGGAACTTGACCGGCACCTGCAAACGTCCAAGTGTATAGCCACCCCATTCAGGTAATTGTGAAACCAGCGTCATGGAAAATATCGCGATGGCGGCGCCAAAGTCAGATAGAAATTCTCGAACAGTGCGCCTCAGGTATCGAGACTGGCGAAACTCGCTCAGCGTTCGGCCAACAATGAAAGTACCCAGCGACAAGCTGAGACTCATGAACGCCTCAGTCTTGTCCATACCGCATTTTCGAAAGTTCGAGCCAATCGATCGAAACGCCTCGTATAGAAACGTTGCGGCAATCAGAGCGTTAAAGCAGTCATCCGTGAAACGTGTGCAGTAACGTATCAAAGAGCTCGCGTTGAAAATCGCAAGTAGAAACAGAAAGAACGCCGTCCAGATTCCCACCCATGCATATGTTGGCAGGAACGGGAGACCTGCAGACGCACACACCTTGTACAATGATGCAGTAAAGGCAAGGGTCAAGCCGGTTGGACCAACAATCGTAAGAGGCTGCCCCGCCAGCGTATGGTATATCATGCCACAGATCGACCCAGACACGAGGAACTCAACGACGCCAATAGCGCCGTTCGTAATCTGCGCCGTAATGCCCCCGAAAGCAACAATCGGGGCAAGGCACGCAAAGTAAAGGAAGAGAATCGCTGCCAATGACTTGAGACACAGTCCATCGCTCCAGTCGCCCCAAAAGTGTGGCGCTCTTTTAGCGATATCATGCGCGAGGCCGGTGAGTGGAGGCCAGGGCGGAGCGGACAACCCGTCGGAGCCCGCGCTCGCTGCCAACGCACCAACAGCTGTAGAGACTTGCAGCCGACGCGTTTGAGACGGCCTGTTCCCATCGAGCTGCATCTTACAGAGACTGTAGTGACCGCCGACAGGAAGCTTCCGCAGCCGTCGCGGCTTGCGTTGCCTTAGAGCTACCTCATGCCTCTTGGGGCAGACGGTCGTAGTTGGGCGAGAGGAAACCTGCCAGAAGGACAGCGGCGCGTGGGCGCCTGTCACTGCTGCCCGCTGTTGGCGAGAGCGGCGGCACGTCGGGCCAGTGATGAATGACCAAGCGAGGAAACGCACCCCGCGAGTTTCTTGTTGTACTTTTGCCTCAAGCAGCGTAGCGCGAGAGCTGGACGAGCCCATGAGCGAGTCCCGGACACTATGCTGCACCATTTTAGCCAAGTTAGTTGAACCACTTTCCTTTGAATGGGTGCCGAACGGCGTACAGTTGCGTGGCTGGTGGTAACGTCGCAGCGGCAACGTACGGGCGACTCAAAAAGGTTGTGCAACGTCACAAAAGGCTCGTAACGCACGGCGGCACCGGCCCGAGTCAGTGAATCCTATGCCTTCGATCAGAAACTAGGACAATGCACGTGCTCTCACAGCAGCTCGACCAGAAATACCCACAAGTTCTGTCCCAGCAAGAGCAGTCTCTGCCGACGGCTATAGACGCAGCCGCTGAGCGACTCGCACCGCAGCTGGGGCCGGATTACGCTGCGGCCGTTCGAGGGCCTCGGCTACGGAACGAGGTCCGTCGGCGAAAACTTTCATCGGTTTGCGAGTATCGTAGAACGCTTCGTATATCAGCGAGAGCGCATGATGTGGTAGTGTAAAGCCTGCTGCATACAGTATCTGAGCATTCGTGTTGATGATATGTCCAGTGCACAGTGTCCGCGAGGGTGTGGTCCAACGTTATGCTCGCTGCACAGGAATGCATACGAGACATACGCAGCAGCAGATTCCAGCCATGAATCGCCATTACTATTGACCGTTGGCCAGGAAAATCGTTCCATTTGTAAACGCGGAGGTCGGGATTTGATGAACTGCTGAACGGTGTTGTACCAATGGCTTGTTCCAGGCGAGTATCCAATACCCACTCTCCGGGGCGAAGACTTCCCCATCGAAAGCCCTCTGTAATTCAGCGCAATATGCGCATCAAATACTGAACGATTCCCTGAAATATTCGCATAAAGACAGAACGGCCGAACGCCCCAGGTGCACGAAGTATTTCCCAGTATTGCTGAGACGGTCAAGTTTCGGTGCAAAAAGTGCTTGCGTGCATATTGTCGCTGCTGGAATGACACTGTGTCACGCCCTGTTGTGTTCGATTGCCTCGCCTTCTAGAGTTCAGTCACCGCACGGTGCACCATCTCGTGCATTCTGTTCTTCTCCATTCTCTTCTTCTCTACAGGTTTTACCGTGTGCTCGTGGACGTGCTGCGTGTATGTCGTCCTAGACGCATCGACGGGAATCCTGCACGCTCGATTCTTCCAGGAACTGAACGCGCTCTTTTAAGGAGCACGAGTGCAGCCTTTGCGTGCCACAGCAAAACCAGCGCAGTAGGCTAACAGCGAACGACACGACAAATTAGCTATTTCCCTTTCAGAGTTGTTGAAGAACTTGGCGAATGTACGCCTCCTGTCCAGACACAGCCAGAATCGATGACGATCCTAGTCCGATCTCGCGCATACCAGTTGAAAATCGTCCACAAGTCATATTTGGGCGCGCATATGCTATCCAAAAGCGCGGAATCCCTTCCAGCGGTCTCACTCTTCCGGGGCGCTGAGACGGGGCTGCAACGGGTACGTGGTTCGTCTCATAAAGCACTCTCCACTGACCCGCATATGGTTTATGAGGTTGGGTTGGGGCGCTTCGGCACCGAAGCTGAAGACTCTTTTCATATCCGTCTCTTCAAGGTATCCAGCGAAGCGCGTCTGCATATCTCTGATCCTATGTGCAGGTCGTTTTGTACCTTCTGTCCTGAGCATCAGTTCTCGTTCGAGGTTTAGGCCGGAAAATTCCAAGGGAAATTCCAGTCGCTGGCAGGGTGCATCAGGAGCTCCGACAATCGCTTTTTTGACGCGACACCGTTGGGCGAGAGAAGCTACGCGATACCAATTAGAGTCCTGAATCTCATTTTCTGGAAAATTCTCCCCGTAGATAAATTATAAAGTGCCTGGCAATCGTTTCAGACCAAGGTTTCCGCTCCGACATTTTTCCTTCCTCTCACTACTTCTCGTATTTTCGGAGAGATGTTTCCCTACTTTTTCCCGATATTTCTCCTCGCTCTCTTTTCCCGTGTCCTTTTACTTGGCGGGTTGCGAGGACGTGTTTGCCGTAGAAATCATGCGTTTCCTCCGTGGCATTCAGGCATACTGTTTCGACGGTGGCATGAAGCTCGGCTTTACGCTTGAGTATTTCTCTCCTATGCCGCAAATGCCGTATCGTCAACTTTGCTGCCTCGAGCCCGCCCGTGGACCCAATCGCGCCATTTCGCTGGCCCCCACGAACGAAAAGGCGAGCACCAGAGCGGCTCAGTACTGGTGATTGTTGAGAACGAGTTGTAGCAGAATCATTCATGGAAGATCTTCGGTGCCCTGAACACGAACGATGCGTCCATGGATCCGTTTGCGCATAAATGCCGCTTGACATTAGAGAAGACGCGTTCGACTGAATTGATCCCTGAGGAAAACCTGACCCGAAGAGCAGCTGAATGCAAATATCAGCAGCGTATACCTCGACCGATTTTGAGTGTTGAAATGCAACGTTGGCTAGGAGCAGGATATGAACATGTGGGAAGCAGAAGCGAAGATGAGCTTTCAAGAACGACGGGATTTTGAGCGATTCCGGCCGATTAGCTATTTACGGGCGCCCGCAGCACGGAATCGCCGCTACGGCTGACACTGTCGCCATGCTTTCTCGTCTCTTCTTTACGAACAGCGGTTTACTGGTATTTGAGTTCCCATGTACAGGTCTAGCAACGCTTCCAAATGAAGTTTCATCGAGTCCAGTGGACACCTGTCCGTACTGCACTGAGCGTTCGCATTCCATTACGGAATCGGCCAGGAGCTGCTCAACGCGCGGCGGTCTCTCATCCGAGCGCACTTCTATGTTTACCATCCATGTCTCAGCGTCAGCATATCTGTCAATGGTACGGAAATTGCACATCTTGTAGCTTCTCTGCGAGTGCTTCTTAAAGAACGAATGGCCAGGAGCGGATCGAAAAGCAGAGAGTCATTTAGACATTGTTTGATAAAGTCTGTTTCGAATGCACAAAATTCAAGATGAGGGCGAGGAGAAGAGTTAATCATCCACCCGCTCACCGTAGAAAGACTGTCTCAGACGAGTAAACCCGTTTTTCGCAGCCTAGCAGTGACAGCGTCAACTCTTTTCGAAAACCTTTTGGAATGCGGAGTACACATCCCCTTTGTTGACTACCCTTGACAAAAACAGCAAAACCAAAAATGGCGTGCAGGTCCAGGTCTTTCACAAAGCACCGCGTTGGGAGCGAACATCTGAGAGGTCCTGGTGCCGTACGCACCAGAGCCCACGCGGCAATCTTTTCTCGATACTTACCACCAAGCCAGTGGCATCTTCCCCCACTTGAGATAACGGCAGCAGCTGGAGCAGCGCAGCGCAAAGAAACGGCGCCCGCGGCTGCCGCCAGCGACAACCTTGACGCACTCACTTCGCGTACTCCAGGGTCCACTGTTGCGCAATCTCCTTCGCTCGTGCAATGTCTTTCTTCCAGAGCTCTGCGGCTTCATTGTTAAGGGCATCCTCGGGGTTCGGCTCCGACATAAGCGCCTGTATCGACAAGAGCACGGTGCGAATCTGGAGCGCTGGACTCCAACGATCCTTCAGAATATCCAAACAGACCCTACCTAGCCGGTCGATATTTGGATGATAGATTTTCGTTAAAAACCGGGCACGCGGTGCTTGCATCGGGTACTCTGCGGGCAAGAAAAGCTCAAGTCGAAAGACACCGCCCTCGTAGGGCGAGCCCTCGGGGCCTGCCAGGATGACGTTGAAGTACCGCGCGTTCTCGTCGTGAACTGTAACGGAAATTCCCGGTACAGGATCCTTCGCAAGGCGTTCTGTCTCTTTAAGAATGCGCTTCGATAAATGTCCACTCATTCGTACGGCGAACGATACCACGAAGACCCTGGGCTATTGAAAAGCTAGAACTAGCGCCTCTCGACCGGAGGTGCGAGCGCAAATCGGTACGAGTTTCGAGCGTATGGCGCATCCAGGATGACTACGCGGGTGAAGCCGTTGTTAACGCTACACGCGAGGCAGTGATACGACATTCATGTGTGTACGTGTGTTGTGTGACTGTGTCTGTGTAGGGTATACGCTGCAATCGTGTGGGCTGCGGGTATTCTCCGATATACGCTAGCCCGCTCCACTTGCACCGACAGAAATGCGCTTTAGCTTAGCATCTATTGTGCAGATTCTTGTCGATATGCAGCACCGACGATGCGGGTTCGGCGAGATGTCCAATGGAAAAAGCTCCGGATCACGGCCCCTATTCGGATGATTCTCAGCGGTATGTAGCACGTGTGAGATGTCCCATGGGAAATGATACAGTGTGGCAGTTGAGTTTTGCGGGCGCGGTGACACTTCACCAGAAAAAGAGCGGGGTCATCGAGGACCCCACGAGATCGAAGCAAAATTTGCCCTGGCTCTCTCGACAAATAGGCGTACAAACTGTTTCTTAAGTAGCTTGATTAGCGAAAGTGGTACCTGCACTGGATTCATTGGAAAAGATCTCCGCAGACAATTCGAAAAGCTGTCTTGCTCGATGCTCCGATCAGCGTTGGTACATATCGCCGGCGATTTCAACCTTGTCCATCTGGAATAGAATCACTCCAGATCGCAGGTGCCTCGTCATGTAGACGGGCTGGTAGGGCAATCATGGTCTTCACCGCGTGGCCGGTGTCTCGATGATAGGTCGTCGCCAACGATGAGAACGCCCAGGCCATTGGCATTTCGGCACTGCAGGCTTGTGTGGTTCGCCAGTGCCCGCTTGGGAGGCTGCGATGGGTTCAGGCGGGCCCTATCCATGAGATGCACTCCAACGACGTGCATCGCGACGCCGAACGCCAGCTGCGTATCACCAAAGCTGTCAGACAAAGATGTAATACTAAAATGCTCGCTCTGTTCCTTGTTTTCGACTTTTTGAAATTTGCTTACATGTACGGCCTCGATATTCGAAAGCATCAATAAGGACCTAAAGACCGTTACGTAGTTTGAGGATTCTCGCACGTAGTTTCGGAGTTGGCCCATCTAAGCTTCGCCGACGGAATTCGTTACGTCACTGGAATCATGCTGAATCGCGGCGCCTCGACCAAGGGTTCATAAACGAAACGAGATTCTCGTCCTGTTCATACGTATATGCCTCCATTCATTTTTGTTCTATGCTTGGAGCTTGCTCAAATCAAGCAATCTTCAAGTTCACGATCTGTCCATTGCGAGGCAGCCCGTGGGCCCAGCAACACGCGCCGCTAATTGACGAGGAAAAAAATCGGTGTCGTCCATTGACGGCTTCTTCTTCAGTGATTCATGCCGAAAGATCACTAAACAATTCAAGTCAAACAATCAACTTCTTTTGAACCAAAAATTTTCCTCCATTTGTGTACACTGAAGAAGCGGCGTTCCATGGCTGCATGTAATGCCGCTGTGTGATATGCTTCCAGGTGCTCCCGTTTCTCACGTTTACATGGAAAAGAGCCCTGGACTCGGCCTTCAATCATCGCAGCAATCACTTCGAGTAGAAAAAGAGTCATCGCTTTGCACAGAGGGCACGTGTACGCATCAAAATTTCTCGACATTATCTCCGAACTGGATTCCCCATCCAATACTTGTTCCTTTATGACCAACATTGTCTTTCACCAATCCTCCATCGAGTCCAACAGCGTGCGGTCGACTACACACCGGACAGAGTACCAGCCGAAGAGAGAGCCCATAACAAGTCCGCGATCGACGGATACGGCTATGCACAGAAACCGAGGTGGACATCGACGGGAGCCTTCTGTACCCGTCGAGGGCATGTTTCGAGCTATGAATCCAGCGTCCACGTGCCACAGGCCCGAGCCCGGTCGACGGAGTTAGCTGGACATACGCGAGCATCTGACCACAGTCAGGTGTCACCGCTGCGACGCGCGCATTGAGACAGTACACCAGAAAGCCGAGCATGGCAAGCAATGCGTGGATTTCAACCTCTGCCGGTGCAGGACATGCGTGAGCAACATCCAGAAGCACCAAAATCGGGACTTGAACGCTGCCATCAACCTCATTCGACTGCTAGCCATGGAGCTAGAGAGATATATAAGAGACCTGCGAACGGGAAGCCGGAGATAAGACAGAGAAAAAGGAAGCAGTCGCCGAAAAGAAAAGCCCCGGAAGGCGGCTGTTGATGACACTGGGAAGAGACCCAAAGTTTAGAGCGCATGCCAGCGTCAAGAAAGAGGTACCCGTTCCGTTTCATTCTGAAATGGGTACATGTCCTGCGAACGAAGAGGAAATTCCACTGGAGCACCATGTTCCGGCTTCCAGCGATCGCTGATTGATCCATTTGCTAGCCGATTTACGCGTTTGATTCGAGTATGCAAGCACCCGATGGCTTCAGTGCCGAACGCACTGCTTTTTTGATTGTTCAAGAAGGGCTCTGCCTCCAAACAGTAGCGAATGCGACGTTCGTTCTTCCACAGACGCCCTGCATGCAGTCACCGCAAGTCCACATAAACGATACGCGGTTTCCCAGGATGCTGCATTTTGTCAGAGCGTTCGAATCAATGCAAAAGATGATCCACGGCGCCCAGACGTTCAGACCAGTGCATCCGCATCAGGAGGAGGCGCTCCCGGCCAAAATGCACATAGTCAAATGTTTCGCTCGGTGGATCAGCTGCCATGATGAAAGCCCAAACACTCCAGATCCAGTGACTCAGTAGGCTGAAAGCATTCGCCTCAGCGACAAGACGATCCCGTTCCAAGGTCGATACCGAAGCGCTACGGCATCTCGAGCTGGTTGCGGTGTCTATTGCGTCGTCACTCTGTGAAAATGCTGACAACGATGCCAGATATGCTTCCGCGAAACGATGCTGCTCGGCTTCAGTCGGATATCGTGCAAACGAATCAAGCGGCTTCAAGCCACAGTTCTCCGTGAGACCCATCCATTCGTTGAAGTGGTTCCCAAGGTCATACGCCCGCGGTGCGTAACCTGCATACTCGAAATCCACAAAACGAATCATCTGTTCCGTCGGATCGTAGAGTATGTTCGCACCAAGCAGGTCATTGTGGCAGAACACAATGTCATCTGCAGGCAGACGGTGCCGTAACTCTTTGAACTCGTTCTGTAAACGCGTTGGCTTGCCGTTGCAAAGCTCCTCAACCGGCAGGCAGTGCCGTTCCACAGCTTTCCTCAGCAGTCTCTCGCAGAACTCCCACTGGAGTGCTATTGCTTGGGCTCGTGGCAGTGTCTGTTCCGAGGGCCTAAAACAATGTAGCCGCGCGAGAGCGCTGGCGACTTGTGAATAGACTTGCTTGTCGTGCAGCGTGCGATAGTCGAGCGGCTTCCCAGTGAGAACGCCCTCTACCCTTCCGCGAGGAAAGATGCCCAGCAACGGCGGTCCAAGACCAGCGGCCGCTAGCTCTGCATACAAGCTGTTCTCCCGGCGACGGTTAAAAAAGTCACCGGAGCCAAAGATTCGAACGAGAACCGCGGTGCCGGTAACTGTACTTGTACACCGGTACATTCGGTTCGTAACCCCACCCTGAACTCGCTCCACCGTGCAACACGAGGGCGCCCAGGCGTTATCTGAGAAGAGCTGCCCAAGGACTAGCAGCACCTCACGTTCCTCTGCCTCGGTAGCTCGAGCGGCCTGCGTCGCCAGTTCCACGTCTCGTCGCTTGACTTCACCCCCCGCATCTTCAAGGGTTTGCAGCACCATTCTACGCACGGTGGCTAAGCATTCGCTTCAGAACAGCGATGCTCTGCCTGTTCTTATGCTCCGAGGCAGTTCAACGTCTACTCGGCTATTGTGCTGGTCAACTCGAGCCGAGCCCTTACCGTTCAGGAAGATCCTGTGAACTGAGAAAACGATCTGAGACGTTGGGAAATTCTGCGCGCGGCGCCGACGCTGCGTTTCAGGCGAAGTCGCAGCAGCAGCAGCAGCCGTAGTAGTCGTAGTTTGCGGATCTCGATTGAACCATCGAAGCTCGCATGGTCGTCAACAATGTCTACATCTGAGCAGCTGCAGTATTCGATAAATATCGAGTCTCAATGACGAATACATCTTACGATACCGCAGTTCCTTTTCGTGACCGCAAAATCGAGGTTTTCTCTGCGCTGTATCGGCGGAGGCTGGTATTGCATCAGCTCAGAGGCTTCGCGCTCGGTGGCAACGGTTACGACAGAGGGCAAGGAGAGGATCCGAACAGCCCATGCACGCTCCGGGAATGGTAGTCTTGCTTCATTGCAGCATAAAGCACCATCGTCTCACTGGTTGTTTCGGACTGGGCAGCGTTGACGACACCTGCAGAAATGGACGGACGATCCAGACCGCCAGCGAAAAGAGCTTCGATCTGCGCACAGAGCCTCGTACTGCAGGGCATGATCGACCGAAAAGCAACCCACCTGCTCCGAGAATGGACCCGGGTTCGATTCATGTCCATCGCTAGAAAGCTGTTACGGATCGCGGTCCGCTCGTCATGCAATCGTTTCCGAGCTGATCGGCAGCTGAGCTGCGGGCGTACGCAAGGCCAGACTCCATCGCAACCTGTCGATACCGCCACGGACCGACGAGGCGCTTGCGGCACCGTTGCAGGCGCTTTTACCAGCCTCGGCAGCCGCAGCATCGTTTGAACGGAGCACGATCTCCGAAGACAAACCTGGTTTGTGGTTCATTGAACGAAGACGTCTCGGAAGGCGGCGTGGCGGCCTCGCTGGATACCCATCATATCTCACGCACTCGTCGATGCCCGCGCCAGCGCATCGGTCCACCAGAATCATCAGCATTTGCAGCGCGTTGCATCTGACACGTATATAGGTATCAAACTGTCCATATCTATACAATACAGTAGCACTTGCATGGCGCCCCGGCACCGCACCACCCGCATCGCTGGACGTGCCGCAAACGCCGCGTCGCGATCGCTCCCGCGATGCGCGATCGGGGCTGATGCGTGCACCACTGCTCCGCGCATCCATGCGGTTGCCGCGTACGCATTGCTTCTCGCACAACGACGAGAGACTTTGCTCCCGAGGGAGCTGCGCACGTAGGCAATGACGTTCGTGACGCTACCACTCTGTGCAAGCAGAAGCGTTGTACCTAGCTTGAAGTGTGCTGCCTGTCGGCGCGGAAGTCGTTTAGGGCTTGGCGGCCGATTAAGGTCGAAGCTGCGTTCCTCCCCTGGCTCGTCGTCTCTGAGGTGCCTGCAACCTAACGGGACACCTAGTGCAGGGCACCAGGGAAATAAAGCAGGAAATGTGAACACTTTTGGTAAAACTGTTCTTGTTCTTGGGGGGGATGGATTTTGTGGCTGGCCGACCGCTCTCCATCTGTCAGATCTGGGGTACAGTGTCGTAATTGTCGACAACTTGTCGCGGCGCAAGATCGATATCGAGCTGGAGTGCGAGTCCTTGACGCCTATTGCGGCACCGAGCGAGCGCATCGCTGTTTGGAATGCCTTGTCCGATCGCGAGATTCGCTTTGAGTTTATGGACGTTGCTCATGAGTACTGGCATTTGTTGGAGCTCATCAAAAGGGAGCAACCCTGCGCTATCGTGCACTTTGCGGAACAGCGGGCTGCACCGTACAGCATGAAAGGGAGCCGCCAGAAACGCTATACAGTTGATAACAATGTGAACGGCACCATGAGCGTGCTGACAGCGGTCGTGGAGTCCAACCTGGATATCCATGTTGTTCACCTGGGCACCATGGGCGTCTACGGCTACGGCTCCAGTGGCGGCAAGATTCCCGAAGGCTACCTCGATGTCGTGCTGCCCTCCGGAGAGCGCCGCTCGATCCTGCATCCAGCCTACCCGGGGAGTGTCTATCACGCCTCCAAGTGTCTCGATGCGCTGCTGTTTCAGTTCTTTGCAAGGAATGATGGGCTTCGCATAACGGATCTGCATCAAGGCGTCGTTTGGGGCACGTTCACCCAGAATACCATGCGCCATGAGCTCTTAATGAATCGTTACGACTACGACTCCGATTACGGCACCGTGTTGAACCGCTTTTTAATGCAAGCTGCATGTGGGCTGCCTCTTACGGTTTACGGAAGTGGTGGGCAGACTCGAGCCTTTATTCATATTAGCGATACGTGCAAGTGTATCGCACTTGCGCTAGCAAATCCGCCTAATCGCGGCGATCGTGTCAAGATCTACAACCAAGTCGCAGAGACACATCGCGTGCGCGACCTCGCGGCTCTTGTCGCCCGGAAAACGGGCGCCAGTGTGCACCAAATTCCCAATCCTCGGAACGAGGCCTCCGAGAACGAACTCGATGTGAGCAACCAGAATTTTCGTTCGCTTGGCTGGGACCCTGTCACACTGGAGGAGAGTCTGCTCGAGGAGGTGGTTGGTGTCGCGGAAAGATATCGGCATCGCATTCGCCGTGACAAGGTCATGCCCAGCAGCTTCTGGAACCGGGAGCGAGAAGAGGCGTGTCGCGCGAATGCGACAAACTCGAGCGACGCACTAGCCGAGATATCGGCTGCGGCGAGTTCCGAGTGGCGTGATGAGGTGTTAAAGCAGCTGGCCAATGGTGACGACAAGAAACTCGAGCGTATGCGCTCGGCGCTGCGAGATGAACCCTAGAGCAGTTTACGCAGGTGGCTTGTTACCAAGGTCGCTCCGATCATGCGCTTGCGTGTCGCCAAGCGACGCTAGCAGAAAAGTGCGAATATAGAAACCACATGACGTGCGGCCTTCCATTCGGATGAAAACGCTGTCCGAGAGACCGCATCCCAGATATAAGTTGTACCGCAAGGGCTACAAAAAGTAAGTCTAAAGCAACGCCTGAATCCTGAGACAATAGCATTCGACTCGATCGTTCGCGAAATGGGTATCGCGGACCCATCTGAGCGCATCTACCCAGGACGTGCGGATCCGCACCTGAGGCCGTCGATGGATAGGATCCACCGTTTAAAGCGCGCTGTTCGCCACGGAAAACCCTACAGCCACCAAGCCAGTTGCCGTGAAGCTCCTCAATGCATCGGCCAATGCTTCTTCCGACACGGCATTTCCATTGCATGCATATTCAAATCGTACCTGGTACGCGTCTATGTGATCAGCGTATACGTAGCAGCCAGCTGAGACGCAGTCGACACCCGCTCCGTTTCCTAAGCTTTCCGAGTAAATATTAAAACTCGTACTGGAAAGAGCCACTGCGCAGACGCAGCCGTCAAGGCGAAGCTCGCTGATGGAAGCGTCTGTGGAGACATGCGGCATGCCAAGTGCACACGAGTCCCGTTAACCTTTATCAGAAGTGCGTGGGCTTCGTTCCTCAGCGAAGCTGGTTCAGATACAGGTATTTGAAATAAGATCAGCGCTGAACACTCTGCAGATTGCCAAACCCTAAAAACGCTGTGACACCAAGTACGAAAGAGGCCGCGAACGTGCCCCACTCGAAAGCACGTCGGGCAAGGCGAAGCTGCGTCTTCCTCGGTTAGAGCAAACGGCGCTTCGGCTCGACACTCGTTCGGCCATAGCGCTGTCCACCACGAGCAGCAGAGGCAGCTGCGGTGCAAGGACCGTCGTAGCTGCCACGGAAGTGCTGCAACAGCGCTCACCGAAGCAGCGCACGACTCCGAGTCCGTCGCGGGGTGGTTCATGAAAACCTGCCCTCGGACTAGGTCTGTCTAGCTACGTACCAACGCCTGTCATGATAGTACGACACCAACTCACATCATCGAAACGACAACTCGGGGCAGTATACGCAACACTTGTGGCGCAGTAGAGGCTCGTGTAAAACGGTTTTTAATGCACCTGCTGTTGCCAGCTGTGTCGCCAGCAACTAAGCTTGCGCTCTGCCGGCTCGCGGGGGTATTTTTGATTACCGGAACATTGACAAGGACACGGAATCCCGCTTTACGTGAGGAAGAGCGGCAATCAAGGATCATGCTGCGTATCTTTCTATCAACGGAATGTTTGCAATGACGCGGAATACCTGGTCGCGCGATGGACACCGGTCTCCGGGAAAACCATCCAAAACGCCACACCATACCGGCAAGTTCCAGTGGGCAATACCCTCGCTTCCCGTTAGTCATTCTGGTCACTTGCGACCGATCCACCGCAGGCGCTTTCTCGTCGACGCAATGAACAATGCTGCTGCTGCCTTGCACGCGAAGCCGGGCGACTCGAATTGCACACTATCGCTGCAGGCAACGCATCCGTTGGAGCTCCGCATGCAGATACCAGTATGAAGAGGCGCGAAAAGTCATTCCAGGAACCGGCCTTGAATACCCGAACATCCACCATACCAGAATGAAGAGGCACGAAAAGTCAGAATGGTAGTGTGCCCTATGTACCCGAACATCCACCACACCAGATTGAAGAGGCACGAAAAGTCAGAATGGTTATGTGCACTACGCACCCGAACATCCACCATACCAGTATGAAGAGGCACGAAAAGTCATTCCAGGAACCGGCCTTGAATACCCGAACATCCACCATACCAGAATGAAGAGGCACGAAAAGTCAGAATGGTTATGTGCACTACGCACCCGAACATCCACCATACCAGTATGAAGAGGCACGAAAAGTCATTCCAGGAACCGGCCTTGAATACCCGAACATCCACCGATACCAGAGTGAAGAGGCACGAAAAGTCAGAATGGTTATGTGCACTACGCACCCGAACATCCACCATACCAGTATGAAGAGGCACGAAAAGTCATTCCAGGAACCGGCCTTGAATACCCGAACATCCACCGATACCAGAGTGAAGAGGCACGAAAAGTCAGAATGGTTATGTGCACTACGCACCCGAACATCCACCATACCAGTATGAAGAGGCACGAAAAGTCATTCCAGGAACCGGCCTTGAATACCCGAACATCCACCGATACCGAAATGCAGCGCGACGCGTCCAGGAAAAAATCGCGGCGATATCGAGGCATCCGTTGCGTACAAGCAGGTGGAGGTCGCTCTCCAGGAACGATGTTCGTAGCTTTACCAAGTGTGCTGTTCACCAGCAAACCCTCAAGGATACGTACTGTTAAGATTGAAAAGCGTAGAACGTTATTTGCCTGCGACAGGGCGAAAGCAGGCACCGATGGGAACGCTAGCAACGCTGCGGCGTCAGCACCGAAACCCTCTGCTGCGAGCAGCGGGCGATCTGCTGGTACTGCAGCTCGAGACCAGGTAACGATCAGTGCCCAGACGAGTTCGTCAAACTCGCGGACGATAGATCGAAGCACCGATTCATCGCAAACAGTACAGGTTGCGTCCATGTTTGACTCGATGACGAAGCGCCGTGAGGCTGCTCGCCGCGAGGCGCTGAGCATCGTCGTGCTGGGCGCGTCCGGGGATCTGGCCCGCAAGAAGACGCTCCCGGCGCTTTTCTCACTCTACTACCACGATCTGCTGCCGAGCGACTTTTATGTGGTCGGCTACGCACGATCAAACATGACGAGCGAGGCGTTCCGGAACACGATCAAGTCAAGTTTGACCTGCCGCGTTATCGAAGGCCCCGAGTGCGCACGCAAAATGGAGCATTTCCTCTCGCGTTGTTTCTACGTTTCCGGAACTTATCATGAAACTACTGCATTCCGAACGCTGGACGAGTTTCTCGTGAACGAGTTTGAGAAAGAGCGCTGGAATCGCGGGGTTCCGACCAATCGCCTCTACTACTTGGCGATTCCTTCCAACGTCTTCGCTGAGGCCTGTCGCGGCATCGCCCATGCCCACACCAAGCCTCCGGAGTCGACCAAGGGCTGGATGCGGGTCGTCTTGGAGAAACCGTTCGGGAGAGATCTGGATACCTTCCAGACCCTGCACCAGGAACTGCAATTGTACATTAGCGAGGAACAAACCTTCCGCATTGACCATTACTTGGGCAAGGAGCTCGTTCAGAACGTGCTGGCGCTGCGCTTTGCGAATTATTTTTTGGAGCCTCTCTGGAACAACCAACACATCCAATCTATCCAGGTGACGTTCAAGGAGAACTTTGGTGTCGAGGGACGCGCTGGCTACTTTGACCAGTACGGAATCATCCGCGACATCATGCAGAATCACCTGCTGCAAATGGTGGCGCTCTTTACGATGGAACAGCCGGCTTCTTTGAACGCCGAAGATATTCGTGACGAGAAAGTGAAAGTCTTGCGCAGTTTGGAAACGCTACGTGCTACAGATTTCGTCATCGGGCAGTATATGGGGTATCGGGAGGAAGACGGCGTTCGTCCGGGCTCCAAGACGCCTACGTTTGCAGCGTGTCGGATGAACATTCGAAACCGACGCTGGGACGGTGTACCGATCCTGGTCAAAGCGGGGAAGCATTTGGATGAACGCCTCGCGGAAGTGCGTGTCACGTTCCGCAGTGTGCCTGGTAGTATTTTCTCGCTTGCGAATACCCTGCCGAACAATGAGCTTGTTGTTCGCGTTCAGCCCGACGAAGCCATTTATCTTCGCATCGTCAGCAAATCCCCGGGGTTGACCTCTCGCCTAGAAGAGGCGCGTCTGACGCTATTCTACCGGACGGCCTGGGAAGAAGCGCACGACATTCCCGATGCCTACGAGCGCCTCATCTTGGACGTCATCTATGGTGACAAATCGCTCTTCATACGAAGCGATGAATTAAAAGTCGCCTGGGAGAAGTTTACGCCGGCGCTTCACGAACTCGAGCAGAGCGACCGCTATCGACCGGTACCGTACGTAGCGGGCAGTCGCGGCCCTGCCGAAGCCGACTACCTTGCCGCGCGCTACGGATGCGTTTGGGCCAGCGACCTTGACATTGGCGGCAAGCGACTGCAAAGCAAGGTGCCGTAAAAACCAGACAGTCCGACTTCCGCCTAGTCTGGATCGGAGGAGTTTCCAGATGCCCTGGCGATTCCCGAATCCCGGTCGGCGCCTACGAAGCCTACCATCAAGCCGGGCATGCACCGCGAGTAGTCGACGCGCACAACGCGCTCTACGAAAATCCAAAAGCTCGCGGCACCAGCACTTTACAGCCACAAAACTTGTCTCATGAAAGCGGCGAATAAAACCTCTGTCATCGTCATCTGTGAATGTACGGGTGAGGCATCGCGGATCGCGCAGCACAGAACACCTCCACGAGATACACCAGTGAATCGTCGCGATAGCACGTCCGGCTGTGATCTTTTCGGATACACACACAAGACATGCACTGATGGATTCGCTCAGCGGATACCGCTCGACATGCAATGCCCAGTGCCTGCATCCATTCGTGAACGACGCTCACACCTGCACTACGCAACAAGCATCAGCGAGACTTGCGATTCGCCACGCAAAGGATGTACCCGCATTGCCGAAATCGTAGCCGCTATCAAAGTGCAGCGTTCAACGCATGAAAAACGACTCCGCAATTCCAGTCTATCCTTTTGCTGCATCAACAGTCTCGTTTCGGAAGCGATCAAGCAGGTTTGAAGAATGCCCGAGCGAGCTGGCGGCGCAGCCAGCGCAGCCACGAGAGCGATCGCGGCAAGCCGAGGCCTCCAAGTGCTCGGAAACGAAAATTGTTCATCGCTCGATTGTACTGCACATTGCGGATCCAGGCGGTTGCAGCACACCAACTCCAGCGCTCCGCCTCGCGACGAGCAGCGTCGCCCATCCGTTTGCGCATGACGGCATCGCCGAGTAGGGCACATACATAGGTTGCAGCCTCGCTGGTGTTGCCCTTGGTGTACAGAAATCCTGTCTCGCCGTGAACAATCAGATCGGGGATACCGCCAGCTGCTGTGGCAACTACAGGCACACCCGATGCCATGGCCTCCAGTACCACAAACCCAAGGGTTTCGCTCTCTGAGGGCATCACAAATACGTCGGCACAGGCGAATGCTCGCGATAAATCATCGCCGTGTAGTTGTCCGGTCATGACCACGGGCAGACCTGCGAAATGTCGCCGTACCGTCTCGGCGTACGGTCCGTCACCGACGAAAGCGAGTCGCGTTCCGGGTGGACAACAGGTGAGGATCCGCTTCAAACTCAGCAGATTCTTCTCGGCACCGAGTCGCCCGATGTAAACCAGCAGCGGCGCGGTAGGATGGCCATCTGTGAGCCGCGCCCGCATCGCACCACCATCATCGTTGCGGAAACGCGGATGGAAGCGCTCCGTGTTGATGCCTTTTCGCCAGAGGTCCACGCGCTCGATGCCGTGTTGTCGAAGTTCTGCGCATATCTGTGGAGACGTCGCCAGCGTCAGGTCTGCGCGATTCAAACAGAAACGCATGAGTGTCCACGCCAGTCCTATGAGAATCCCTAACCCATAAGTTTTCGCATACATTGGTAGATGTGTGTGATACGATGCAACAAGTGGCTTGCGCAGAACACGCGCCATGAGAAGGATGGCAAATACCAGGAATCCGGGTGTTGCCAAGTGGATGAGGTCAGGATCGAACTCGCGAACGCGCTGCAGCAAACTGCGCCTTCCGAAAACCATGCCACTACCAAAGCCGATTGAGAGCGTAATGCGTGGATAGAGTGCAAACTTGAAACCCCGGATGGTTATAACCGGATAACCGAACACTTCTTGCGGTGCGTCCGGCGAGTTATCGGGGGTTATGATCAATACCTCGTCGCCGGCCTCTTTCAAATACCGTAATAGCTCATTAAAACGATTCGAATACCCGGACACGTGCGTGAACGGCGTCGGTTCAACCACGAGACACACTCGACGCCGAGGCGCGCGCCGCAGGTCAACGAGGTTCGGGTCATCGCCCGACGTCGGCTGCGGGTACACGGGACCAGTGGCGACACTCGCCAGTGCGAACGCGCAGCTCGTCCGCGGTACACCCGGTGCCCGCAGCCGGACTGGCGCATAGCGTCGCCTCAAGAGAGCAACCTCTAAGGGACACAGCTGCGAGCCGTTTGATGGCGCGCTCTGCCGCCTCAACGTCCGCGCGCACGCGAAAGCGCCAGTGTCCCCGTTGTTAACGCCCAGGAATGCCGCTGTTCGACCAGTGAACATTCACCGCCACCAACACCAACACCAGCTGAAGCAACGATACCAACAACAGTTCTATAGTCTGCACGAGAGCGACTCTACCTGTCTGTAGCCTCCTTGTGTTGAAGGGTACGCGTTAGCGCCCGTTGGGCCGCCACCGCATCGGCAACGCGCCCCAAGCGTGAGGGCTTGTCCAGCGAATTACATGCCCACAACACCGCGGCTGCAGGCGATGCGCATCGAATCTTGCTGCCGATGCGCTGTCATATTTTGTTCGATAACGAAATTCGTTTATATCGACGCTGGATCCTAGATTGCGGGATGGGTATTCGTAATCGCAAAAGCATCCATTATGATGCAGTTACCCCCAAGTTCCATTATTCGTACTTCATTTCGGATATGCTGGTCGGTTTGCACGTTCAGTCGTGCACCTAACCTGCCCTGATCGTCCGCGATAGCGCCTATACCGCTGGAGCAGATCTTTCATAGAGGCAGAGCGGCGTTGCGATTCCACTGAGGGTAATGGCTCGAGGCGCGGCTCACCGTACACGGAATCGGAGTAGCGAATCATTCTGGGCGCCTGCGAGCCGCGCAGAGAGACGTACTTTCTGCGACAGCGCGAAGCGATATACTAAGAGTCCACCGCTACCGAGGCGACACCAAGACGCAGCCTAACTGCCCCTAATCCCAGAACAAACTGCGTTACGGACGAGTTGCTCAGATTTGGCCACAACATAGGGAAACGGAGCGATAGCCTGGCATGCTCGTCCGACTCGTGGGGCCTTCCGTCTAAAAGGTAAACTTTCGACAATACCGAAATCTTTTCCCCTTTTTGACGTTTATCGTAGATGGTAAAAGGAATTTTTTATCGTTGCAAGTGAGTGGTTAGTCTCTGTCCTTTGTTCTACATAGTGCGGTCGATACGCGTACCTCCATATCTAGCAGGCATGAGATACGACGTGCATCTTGTCGCTACAGGGAATAGCGACCCTCACCGTTATCGTATTGATGGAATATACAAGTTGCATTTGCGTAACAGCCGTACCAAAATGCAAGGTTTCCATTCAGTTGTGTTTCAACCCTCAAGTCAGTGTACTCATGTGATTTTTTTCCGGTTTATATCAGAAGCGTTCAAAGTGCGTTCTTTTTCAGAAAGAAATAAGAAAGGAAAGTTGTCGAAATGGAAGTGGAGGATCCCGAAGGCCCTGGGTCACCACCTGGCAGAAAAAACGAAAAAAAGTGCCGCGCGAAGAGGAACAGGAGAATACCAAGGAGCGAACATGGACGCCCCACGTCACAAGCTGTCTGAATCGAGAACTCGAACGCAAGGCGGAGATGGAGCTGGGTGTCGAAAAAATGAAGAGTCCGTGGAACGGAAGACTGCGCTTCTCGGGAAGCGATTCGACGCCGTTCCGTGATATGCAACATCAAGTGGCACTCTGCGACCATCGACTCCAGTGTCCGTCATGGCATTATGAGGGAGACCAGCTCCGAGTTCGATGTAAGCAACAAGGAATTCACAGGTGAAAACCGGGAGACGTACTGGAAGTATATCGTAGACTTGAAACGTCTCGAAACGGGCAAGAAAAGGCATCCACGGAGACGATCGAAACCGATGGTGTAGCCATGTGTGTACGCTATCGGCGGTCGAAGGCAGATCGTCCTGGTCCGCCTTCGATATCGCCCTCGGGGAAGCATGAAGAAAAGGAAATGGCAGATCCTAGGATGCAGGAGGTGCAGGAGAGCGACTTTGTTGTTGGCGCGGACCCTGGGGCTACGAACATCGTAACCATCGCAGTACCCAAGCGTGCGGAAAATGGCATTCGCGGCAACTTGCATCAGAAAGATATGCGTATTTTGAGGTTCTCGAGAGCGAGATACTATCGAGAATCGGGAATCATGAATACGAGGAAGAAAATCGAGACATGGAATGCAGGAATGAATGAGCACCAGGAAGCTATGAGCCAGGTGACGAGCCGAGGAGCGGACTGTCGAGCTTTTCGGGAGTTCATGGAAGTTCGTGTTGCCCATTGGGATGCGCTGTGGGAGGAGTATACCAAGCCCCGGTGGGCTCGTTTGCGTATGAATCTATACGGTGGGAAGCAGCGGGCCTTTACGAATTCTTTCAATCAGTTGAGTGCCCTGAAGGAGGATGAGAGTCAGGGGCTCGTAGTAGCGTACGGGGCAGGGCGATGGAAGACCCAAAAAGGGACTACGCCAGCTCCAACGACGAGAACGTGTAAGGAGTGCGCACGGCGTTTTGTTACAATACCGATAGATGAGTTCCGAACGTCCTATACACACCATGAGCTGGGGTGTACGCTTCAGAGAGTGGAGATGGAAAAGCGCCAAAGGAGTCCTGAGGAAATCGCAAAGTACGGACCGCTGACGGAGGAGCAAATGGAAAGGAGAGCGAAAGTTCGAGGATTGCTTGCATTAGTAAGTACAACCAACGATGGCAAGAAACGTATGGAGTTTGTGAACCGAGAATTCAATGCCGCTATGAATATCAGGAGATGTGCGCTGTTGGAGAATAGACCTCCGGAGTCGACAAGAGGGAACTTGTTGGACAACCTCTCAAAGTGGAACTATATGAGAAAAAATTGGAAGAAGTAGTTGGTGGCCCGTCGAGAAAGACGGGGAGGCGTCCGCACACCAGTTGGCGACGCTATATCTAACACGCGTTCGCCGCCACTACTGTACACCGCTGGCGACTGCTTGCGACCTTTGAAAAGCTTTCGGTCGACACGAAACACCCCTAAAAGGCGATACCGTACATCCCTAAGCAACTCGATAAAAGATTTGCAACCTCCCAGCGCACGCATGCTTCGGTACAGCTTCATTAACGCCGTCTGGCCGTCCAAGTCATGCGGCAGGGTCCACGTTGAGCGCCATCGAAAGCAGAAGACACAGTCTGTACAAACTGCACAGCGCTGGAAACTGCGGGCGAACTTGAACCGGCGAGGTCCAGACTCAGCGACCTGGGATCGGCAGGGCGGTGGCCAGGCGGAGCGCCTGCTTATGGAGCAGGTACTGCAACTGAGGCGAGAGTTAGATGCCTTGCGAGCGGAGAATGAGAGTTTGCGTAAATATCGTGTCAACGAGCACCTGCTCGTGGATGCCGACGACTCTGTCACAACCGAGGACGGACGGACGCGTTGCGGCAAGCACGGGGAGCGCTCGCGCTATTTACCGGTCTATTCAGTCGCCCCTGAAGAGGTTCTAAGCCGCGTCATCCCCGTCATTGGACCTAACCCAACGATCGAGCAACTCGACGCAGCAATCACGCTGTCGTTCCAAGTACGCGATGAGCTGGTGAACCGACGTGGGCTCGAGCGTTACGAGGATGTCATGGCTGGTCGATTCCTCGTGTTCCAGACCAGTGAACTACCTGTCAAGGGGGTCCAGAGAGTCGCCCTTCCTGGTACGGTAGGATCGATGCGCTGGGCGTCGGCACCAGTTGGTATCCTGATGCCTGCCTCCGAGCTGGGACTGGAGTCCTTCTACCCGAACGCTCCGACGGATGTCAACTGTCTTGTCATTATCGAGGCTGATTTCGATTCAGAGATCCCCGCGGATACCCTGGCATCACCTGACATCATTCGCGACATCCGAGACGGTACCAAAGACGTGCTCGACCGTATCGAAAACGTTTGGTTCGACGAGCAAGGCCGCGCGTCTCGCGATGCCGGCTTTCCGAGCTCGCTCACTGAAGAGACAGAAACCGACGAGGACGAGCAACCAGACGAAAACGGTGACGGACCGGAATTCAGTCCGGGGAAATTTTACCTCTGGCTGGAGGAGAGGCCTCCGCAGGGCGTCGAGTCCGGCGAGGAGCCAGCCCACAGGTGGCACGTTCGCTGGTATGAGCGTCGTCCAGACCCCGCGGTTGACGGTGTGGAATGCGTTGGCCGCGTGATTACCGTGATAGCACCGAGCGCTTCAAGGCGTCGCACCAAGACGTTTGCCGAAGAGGACGATGTGTTCTAAGATGACGCCGTCAACGCAACAGGGATGCATCGTACTTGAGGGTCCCCGTATACAGCACTGAGCGAGGGCGAGCTACAGATCCGAACAATGCATTCACGCGAAGTCCAGTTTGGACCGCACAGCATGCAATATATCATCGTTCATGTACGCGTTATGCCGCTGCATCCGATTCTTTTGGTGACGGGCAGATCGAGCGCGTGAACGTCTGCATCTGCCCGATAAAATGGACGCTGTTGCGCGCAAAACGCATGCTGTTTCGGGATCATATGTCAAGGAGGCATAAGACCGGCTGAACGCGAGGGCACCTCTGACAGCGAGCGCAAAGCGCAGAGCACCGCCCGGTACTCGACATCAGTGGAGAGCAGGGCTTGTTTTGGGCGGCAACGAGTCCTCGTTGCCGATAGGCTGCTGCATTTCAGCAGCGCACTGTCATGCAAAGATAACGAGATAGAGAGTGCGTGCATCACGACACGAGCACGTGTTGAAGTTTGCCTCTAGAGCGATCGAGGAAATAGCAGGAGTGTCGTACATCGCTCGAGTAATGGCGAAAAATGAATGGTTTGTACTCGGAGCAGTGAGGTTTGAAACAGTCGCGTCAGCGAACGCTTTTTGTTTTGTTTTCTTTTTGTTTTTCTCACGAGTATAAAACAAATAAAAAATATGTTTTAGATTGGAGCAAGGCTGCGAAAAGGCGTGAGTCTAGTCTCAGTAGAGTACGGAATAGCGTTATCCTCGCCCAAGTAACGTATTCTTGGGTCAGCAGGTGGATGAATCACCCTTCTCGCGACACTTGTCCTGAACGTCATGTACCCAAAAGCAGAACTTGTGCAACACTGTCCACGCGACTGTGCGTGTTCGTAAATCCATTCCAGTCCATACGCTGTTCAGGAAATACGATCAAAAAAGCAGCAGAATGCAAAACTTTCGTACCACGGGTACGAACGTTGATGAAGCGACACAGATGGACACAGGGAAAAGAGCACCCCGCTACGGTAGCCCGTCGAAAGCGGAACAACACACGATCCATGTCGTCCTCGAACGCGAACACAGCGTCCAGGAGCGATGCGTATTTGTCTCTTTGGAAGCGACTTGAATGAAATGGAGGACCTGTATGTAGGTATGCGAAACTTGACAACTCACTGATCGTATCCAAGGGAATCGTGAGCAATTCGACGACATTCACTGTAGCTGCGATGCAAACACGTGGTAGTCTACAAATCGCCACACGAGCAACTTCGATCAACGCCTCATTCTTTTTCAAGGCAAGCTTCATGGCTTCTCTTCGCCGGATTCTCAAGCCCTGCTCTTAGACAACGCCGCTTTGCATCGCTCACAAGCTGACAAAAAATACGCTCTTCTTCATGCCAGCCTGTGTTTCGTGAATAAATTCAGACGAAGACTTTTTTTCAGTGTTGTGCAACGCCATCTCTACGCAAACGGAGCAGCAGATGATTGATTCACATCCGCGACACCGTTCTTTGAAGAATCCTTCGACCATACATGGTTGTCTGCAATATATACCAGTTCCGTTTTGTTCTGCTGGTCATCTTGACGCGCACCGGAGCGAGAGAAAAGTCCGACTTCGGTCAATGGGCGTGCTGGAGAAAGAGACGATGACGAAAAGGTGCCTGAGCAATGGTATATGTACATTTAGAAAAGGTGCGATTCGGTGCCACCGTCCACCCGGTCCGTCTGAGACCGCCAAAAGTAATAATATGGAGTAGAGTGTCCCCAGCGATGCCATCCCGCCAAGCGGGGGCGTTGGCGAAAATGGATCCCGTCTGTGCGAGTACCCATCAAGTATTCGATCTACATTGCCATGCGCATTGACGAGGCTCGTTCAAGGTTTCTCGTTCACAGGAAGGAAATGAATACAAGTTGATAAGGACTTGTGCGCGATGCTCATCGATGCGTTCAGGACCACGTGCTCAACTCATGGGCATGGACGAACGCTGAAACTGGTAGAGAAGAAGCGAACAAAAGAGACCCGAATGCACGACGCGGGGGTTTGTACGGTACGATGACGGAACGTCAGATGGCAAGGCAATCCATCGCAAGCGGCTCGCGATACGGTCTGATCCCAACAGCCGCCCTGCGTCCGCGTACTTTCTATACTGAAACTTGAACGCTTCGATTCATACTCGGGAAAGTGTCGTGAATCTGGAGCAGTCAGCGAGTTTTGCGTCATGCGACCTTTGGGGTGAATCACGTCGTGGTCATTGTCGAGAACGTACTGAAATACTGAACACTTGCATAGAAAGAAATGTCCGTCTCCAGGAGCGCGCAAGCCGCGGGTCGTCCCCGACATCAACGCACTGGAATGGTGCGGTCCGCGATCCAGCACTCTTGATGCACCGTGTATACAAACCAGAAACAATTTTCTTGATGTTTATCAACACACGCAACACACGCACCAGCAACCTTGCGGCTCTGTGCACCAGACAATAGACTTGCAGCTTAACAGACCTGCTTCCATGAGTTTATCGAATACGTGCGTCGCCAGCAACCCTGCGGCTGCGTGCACCAGACAAGAAACTCCCGACCAAACAGCCCGTCTTCCATAAGCATATAGAATACACGCTTCACGAGCCTCGAAAAGCGTACCGTTGCGACTCCTTCGCGTGGAAACGCTCGAGCACACACCCGCCGCCTCTGTGGCTTCAGGATACGCGCCGCGCGCTGCCGTTGCCCAGCGCAGCAGCTGCTGCAACGGAAACGTCAGCGTCTCTCCTCGCCGTTGCCCAGCGCTGCAGCTGCAACGGGTACCGGTTCCACGAGTTTCGTGAATTGACGCTCCAGCCGTCGGGGTGTAAGGGACACCTATCGACGGCACGCATCGTAAGGCGTTGTGTGCTTCTCCTCAGGTGCTCCGAGAACGCACTCACAAAAGGCGAGCGTCACACTGAGCTGCACACGCGCTACGGTGCCGTACACGGCCACTGAGCAGCTCTCGCCCAACAAGACTTGCTGAGGCCCTGAACGACGCATCGTTGTGTACGCGAACAGCTGTTACCGGCGAGTACAGTCTCTGCGGGGAGGCGCTTCCGAAGAGCCCAAGTTGATGCGCACACGCTCCGTCAAGCAACATGTCGACGACCTCGTCTTCGTCAACGGGAGCTGTTTCGGCATCACGTGCTGTAGCGTCGCCGCTCATGAACGGCAAGTCTGGACTTGCTGATGCAGCTCCGGTGCTAACAGCGTCTCGCTCTACACCACCACCACCACCACCAGCAGCAGCAGCACCAGGCACGAGCACGCGAGCACGAGCAGCGTCGCAGGGTGCGCACGCATCAGAGCGCTGGGGTGCTGCGAATATGACCAGCTTGCCCGCTCTGGCGTCAGGCTCGTCACAACTTCTCGCTGGCTCGACACACGCGCTCGTAGCGCTTCACGATGCCTCCATTGAACGCGCGCTTCGGCGCCTGGAACGCGCGACGGGCTCAGAGAGGCGCTACGAGGCAGCACAACGGCTCCGCATGCTCTATGAACGCAAGTTTCAGACCATGAAACAGCCTGAGGCCATAAGTGTGCTCAGTGACGCCTTGGCATATCGTTTGCAGGCTATGATCAGCTCGGGGAGTCAGCGGGATCGACTAGCAGGCCTGACTGGCCTCAGCGCGCTCATCGAGACGCGCGGCGAGGCGTACCGCACCAAAGTCCAACGAACCTACAACGGCTTGCGTCCTATCCTGAGACGTCCTCCAGACTGGGAGGCTGCTCGCGCTGCCGCTGATATGCTGGGCCGGCTCAGTCGACTCGGCGGGGTTCTCGTGAATCGTTTTGTCGAAGCGGAGGCCGTTCGTGCACTCGAGTACCTGAATACCAATAGCGTGCTTCTGAAGGGAATGGCAATCATGGTGCTCAATGCTTTATGTGAGCACGTTCCCGCATCCATGTATACCTCGAGAGTTCAGCTGGCGCAGGTGGTGTGGCGAGGCCTCACCGACAGTCGACCGATTCTTCGCCTGGAGAGTGCCAGCTTGCTGCGCTCCTTCCTCGCCCTACTGGAACAGCGCGCATCCGATGATAGCGCCCGCACCTGTCAGATGATCATTCAGCGTTGCCTTGAGATGTTGATCTCCGATGAACGAGAAACAACCCCACCAGAAACGCACGGCAGTTTGTTGGCGCTCCACGAACTCGTGCGGAACCGCTTCTCGGCAACGTTCCTAGACGAGCATATCAGTCGAATACGGAAGCGTCTCGAGAGCTTACGTCTGACTCGCGATAACCTCATCCGAGCGGCGATTCTCCAGCTGCTTCCAGACTTGGTGCGCCTGGATCGAACACTCATCGAACTCGGCATGAGCATGGCGCTCGAGAACGAGGACCTGGTTGCCCTGGGGAAACTGGCGGTAGCAGTGGGTCCTACCGCTGCGCTCCCTTGGATGGAGCACATCTTTGTGGTACTGCGTAATAGCGAGGTCGCAGCGGCAGCGAAACACGAATGCATCGCGCTGTTGGCCCCGATCATCGTGGAAAGCGAACAGAGCGAGCGTCTCGCTGAGCTCCTGGAAGACTCCATCCTAACGCAGGGTCTGAGTCCCTCGCTAGTCGAAGCCCTGGAACGCGTTTGTGAGCATGTTCCGAGTCTGCGAGACCTGGTTCACGGGCATGTGCTGCGCCTGTGTGCGGAAACGACGGATATCGCGTGCGCGCTGCAGGCATTGCAACGTTTCACCTTCGGGCGTCGACCCTGTTTGGACGACTACGTCCGCCAGCATGTCCTGCCCTACATCTACGGCAAACGCAGCCTCAGATCAGCAGCCTTCGCTGCCTCGCTGCACGTCTTGACTGCAGCCGTCCAGTCAGCGACTCCAGGGCGGCCGCTTCAACCGAAAATCTTCGAGACGCTACAACAACTGATTGTGGTGGTTGTTGCTGACCCCGACAGCCGCATACGCGCAGAGGTACTGCTGCACTTGGCCAAGCCGGCGTACTTTCCAGTCTTTGAACGCTACCTTGCGCAACCGGAACTCTTGCGAGCGCTCTGCTTGGCACTTCACGATGAGGATGCCACAGTACGCGAGCGAGCACTGAGCCTCGTCGGCCGACTCTCCACGGTGAATCCAGCGCATACGTTGCCCTCTCTCCGTCGCCTCTTCATGAATCTACGCATCATTCTCGAATGTGAAAGCGAACCGCTGCAGGGATCCCAGGAGGATGCACTCCGCCTTTTGCTCCGCCTCGTCCAGGATGCACCGCAGCTGATCGAACCCTACACACCCACAACAGCCAAACTACTGGTGCAACGGCTCCAGCAAAACTCGACTAGTGCAGTTGCCGTCGACACTTCAGTGATACACACACTCCACAGCATCGCATGCTTGGCAGAGCGTGGCGTTGCAGCAGAACTCCAAACGCTCCTGCATGATGCCATGCCGCACCTGCTGCGCATCCTGCAACACACCTCGGTAGAGGCGGACCTTCGGGAGGCAGTTTGTCGGGCGCTTTCGAGTCTAGCGCGAGCTGCAGGTGCAACCACGGAGCTCTACACCCAATACCCCAGTTTGCTGTCGACGCTGCTGCGCATGCTGCGAACCGAAACCAACTTGTTCGTGCGTCTGGAGATAGAGCGAACGCTGGGGACGCTCGGAGCGGTGGACCCCGACCGTACCGCACCGCTACTGCTCGACCGGACGCGGTATCCGTATACACGACTCGAGTCGCTCACGGAGGTGTATCACCAGCAGACCGCTCCAATGCATTACGCGCCACGCCCAACCGCTACCGGAACTGGAGCTACGAATGCGTTTACAACGGATACGCGCTGCGGACTCGTGGCCGAGGAGCCGGCCTTGCCAGGCACTGCTGCTGCTGCTGCTGCTGCAACGACGACGACGACAACGACGACACTTACTGGACAAGCACTGCGTGCCCAGTTGCGCTTTGAAGCGCCGAACGAGCTCGAGACGCTGGTAGGTCGACTCCCGCACCCGTTCACGGCAAACGAAGAGTACTTTCCCTCGGCAGCACTGGATGCCTTGCATCGCATCCTCGCGAATGCCAAACTGACGACACTTCACTACGACACTGTCGGTGCGATTGTGAACATCATGAGCAGTCTCGGGATGAAGTGTGCACCTTTTCTATCCGTGGTGGTGCCGCGCCTGCTCTGGATGCTACGGCCGCGAACCGAGGATACGCATGACTTGGCGTTCCGCGAGTACGTCATCCGAGGCCTGGCTAGTGTCGTGCTCTCTGCCCGCCAATACATACGCCCGTACGCAGCTTCGCTGGTGGCGCTCATTCTCGAGTACTGGCCGCTGCAAGTCCTGCATCGCTCGATGTTCGCCCTAATGGAATGCCTCCGCGTAGCGCTCCATGATGAATTCCGACCCTTTGTGCCGGTTTTGCTGCCGCTCATCCTGCCCTGGATGTCGTTGCGGGTGCTCAAGGTGCTCTTGGTGTTCGGCACCCACACCAGTGAGTACGTGGTGCTTGTTTTACCGCCCGTGATGCGTTTCCTGGAGGATGCCACCCGTCCGCTTGCGGCTCGCATTGAGGTTCTCAAGCGCTTGCCGCGACTCTTCGCCATGCTCGATCTATCGGATATGGCGAGCCAGCTGATGCACCCGCTGTGTCGGATGCTGCGCACCAGTGAATTCCAGTGGCACGCTCGGCAACTGCTCGAGTCGCTGCTCCCTCGTCTGGGATTAGACGCGGCCTACTACACGTTGCTGGTCCGTGAAATGCTCCTTGGAGATGCAGCATCGGCATCAGCAGCAGCAACCGGCAATGACGACGAAGACGATGACGGCAACGACGACGAAGACGATGACCAGCACCCAACGGATGAAGCCAGTGCTCGTGGTGCAGCGGCATCGACCGAGTCTGCCTCGACACAGGCCGGTGCTGCCCTGCAGTCGAGCAGTGCGAGTGCACTTCACCGCCTCGCACGCTATCGCCATGAACGCACGGCGCTGAGTCGCTCCGAGTCGCTTGACTCGTTGAATGGTGTACCGCGTACCACGTCACTGGGTTCACTCGCTGACCTAGCCTCTGGGGATGCGTTGCTGGCTCACAGTCCCGACTCGTTGCTCGACAGCACACACGTATCGCTGGTTGCGTCAGCGTCGATGTTGGATTTGCAGCAGCAGCTACAGCAACAGCAACAGCAACAGGCGCTCCTGGGAAGCGGTGCCAGCAACACCACCACCACCAACACCAACAACAACAACAACAGCGGCCACAATAGCGCCCGTCGTCACCACGTCAATGAGAAGATGCTCCAAAAGGCGTGGCAAGTCGGTCGACGCACCACCCGCGACGACTGGAACGACTGGATGATGGCGCTTGCGTCGGCGCTTTTCCGGGAGAGCGGCTCACCGTCGCTGCGCTCATGTGCGCGACTCGCTGAGGTGCACCCGCCACTCGCTCGTGAACTCTTCAACGCTGCCTTTCTGAGCTGCTGGACGGAACTCTCGGATCCGTGTCGTGCGTCACTGGTGCGCAACCTGGTACTTGCGCTCTCCAGCGAGTCCATACCACTGGACGTGCTGCAGGTGCTCCTGAGCCTCGTCGAGTTCATGGAACATGACGAGAAGCCCTTACCCATTGACCTTCGACAACTAGCTGCCATGGCGTTCCGCTGCGGTGCCTACGCCAAAGCGCTCCGCTACAAAGAGGCCGAGTATATGCAGAACCCGGCATCAGCCATGGAAGGTGACGATAGTCTCATTGCGATCTACGAAGCGCTGGGTCAACGGGAAGCAGCAATGGGCGCCCTGCTCGATGCCGAACGTCACCAGGTCACGATACGCCACGAGGCGTGTTACGAGCGGCTCCAGCAATGGGACCTCGCGCTCAGCGCCTACGAACGTCAGGGACCAGCGCACTCGTTTGCAAACCGGCGCGGTCGGATGCGCTGTATGGCACAACTCGGCGAACTGCACCGCATGGAGGCGCTCTGTAACGACCTCTGGTCCGAGGCAGCCGAGCAGCCGTCGCTTCGCCAGGAACTCGCTGAGGAAGCGGCTCAAGTGGCGTATCAGCTCCAGCTCTGGGACAAGTTTACGGAACGCGTTGCGTATACGAGTCGCGACAGCATCCGCGGGAATGTGTTTCGGGCGATGCTGGCTATTCATCAGGGCGACGATGAGGCTGCTCGCGGCTATATTCGAGCGGGGCGTCGACTGCTGGATACCGGGGTCACAGCACGCGTCGGTGAAGGCTATCCCCGCGCCTATGGCGATATCCTCCTGACCCAGCAACTGGTGGAACTCGAGGAATGCCTCATGGTAAGGCAGCGTATTCTACCGCAGCGCCACGTGGTGGAACAGCTCTGGAATACGCGCTTGTACGGATGCCGTTTCGATTATACCACGTGGCAACAGACGCTGCTCGTTCGACGGCTCCTCTTGGAACCTCGACACGACAAGGACGTGTGGTTGCGCTTTGTGAGCCTCTGTAGGCGGGCGAATCGACTCCCGATGGCCAACGAGGCACTCGCCATGCTCCAGGATGAGCAGCATCCCGATCCCGAGGTAACGTATGCTTCGCTCAAGTTGTGCTGGTCGCAGGGTCGGCATCACGAGGCCTACGAATGCCTCCGGCGTTGTGCGGAGCAGCCGGTACCCTCCGCTCGGCTCGCTGCACGTCGTTTTCTCAAGCTATGCGTCTGGGGTCGGGCGTTACGCGCAGAAGGCACCAGCACGTTCGTCTCTTCGCCTTCGTCATCGCTACGGTGGCATACGTTGATGGAGCACGCGCGACGAGCGGTGGTATCGGATCCGTCGTGGTCATCCGGCTGGCATACCTGGGCAGCGTTGAACGCTGATGCCGCCGCAGCACACAGTACCGGGCATCGCTTCGGGGGTGCCTGGCCTGCTCGACCGACAGCGGTAGCGGCGGCTGAGTCTAACGTGCTGGTTCGAGCGTATGTGCTCAACGCGGTGAACGGCTTCTTCCGAGCGATCGCACTAGGTGAAAGCTACGCGGAACAAGCGCAAGATGTGCTCAAGCTGTTAACGCTCTGGTTCCGCTACGGTGCGGTCCCTGAGATCGAACAAGCGCTCCTGAACGGTTTTGCGGAGACCAATGTCGACATCTGGGTCGACGTGATTCCCCAGATTGTCGCTCGTCTGCACTCGCCGGTACCACCGGTGCAGGCCGGTGTTCGAGCGCTCCTAATTCGCATCGGGCGAGCACATCCACAAGCGCTGGTGTTTCCGCTCGCAGTGGCCGCCAAGTCCAGTAATGCGCGTCGACGTGAGGCCGCTATCGACGTGCTCCAGGCGCTGCGTCTCGAGTCACCGGCGCTGGTTGCCCAGGCTGAACTCGTATCCCGCGAACTGGTGCGTATCGCGGTGCTCTGGCCCGAAATGTGGCATGAGGCACTCGAGGAGGCCTCGCGCGTCTACTTTGGCGAACACAACGTGCCGGGCATGTTGGCGATTCTGTCGCCGCTGCACGACCTGGTCGAGGCAGGCCCTAGCACCGCACGTGAGGCTAGCTTCATTCGCGAGTTTGGCCGTGAACTCGCCGAGGCTCGCGAATGGTGTCGGCGCTATCTGGCGAGTGGACGCGACTCCGACCTGAATCAGGCCTGGGAGCTCTACTACTCCATCTTTCGCCGGATCAACAAGTCGCTCTCCAGCATGACACAGCTGCAACTCGCGGAGGTGTCGCCAGCGCTGCTGGAGGCTCGGAACTTGGCGCTGGCGGTGCCCGGCACCCGCGAACAGGTCACCATCGTCTCGTTTGCACCGGTGTTGAACGTGATCAGTTCGAAACAACGGCCGCGAACGCTGACCATCTACGGTTCCGATGGCCACGAGTACCCGTTCCTGCTCAAAGGACACGAGGACCTGCGTCAGGATGAACGCGTGCAACAGTTTTTTGGCCTCGTGAATACGCTCCTGCCGCCCGAGATGTCCATCGTGACGTACGCGGTGCTGCCGTTGAGTCAGCAGGTCGGCCTCATTGGTTGGGTCAAGAACTGCGATACGCTGCACGCGTTGATCCGCGAGTATCGCGAACAACGCAAGATCATCCTGAACGTGGAACATCGGATCATGTTGTCTGCAGCACCGGACTACGATAACCTGACGCTGCTCCAGAAAGTAGAAATATTCGAGTATGTGCTCGCGAATACCTCGGGCAATGACTTGGCCAATATCATGTGGCTGCGTAGTCGCAGCGCGGAGATGTGGCTGGAGCGACGCACCAACTACGCACGTTCGCTGGCGGTCATGTCCATGGTAGGGTATATTATCGGCCTCGGGGATCGACACCCGTCGAATATGCTCATCACACGCGACACCGGCAAAGTCATTCATATCGATCACGGTGATTGTTTCGAGACCGCGATGCATCGCGAGAAGTATCCCGAGAAAGTGCCGTTCCGGTTGACGCGGATGTTGGTACGGGCACTGGGTGTCTCGGGTGTCGAGGGCATCTTTCGGGTGACATGTGAGTCGACCATGGAGATTCTGCGTGCGAACAAACCCGTGCTCATGGCTATGTTGGAAATCTTTGTGCACGATCCGTTGCTGGTACGAACGCTGCAGCCGGCGGCGGCACCGGGGGCAACAACCACGGGCCTCGAGGCGACTGGGTTGGCGGCTGTTGCAGCCGGCTCGCCGCTGCATACACCGGCAGTGTGGCCTCGGCAGGCTACTGGAGCAACAGCAGCAGCAACAGCAGCAACAGCAACAGCAGCAACAGCAACAGCAGCAGCAGCAACAGGGCAATGGGGCACGGTATCGACGTTTCCTGTGCAAGAGGCACGCCTTGGCGAGCGTGCTGGCGAAGAGCAGCCGCAGCCAGCGTCGACGCTGGTGCAAGTACCTCGAGCGCCAACCAGGATGCGACGTGTCGACATGTCGGGTGCAGAGGCGACGGCTGCGGCTGCAGCTGCGGGCGAGGCGTCCTTGTCGTTGCGGCTGCTGCAGGGCACCATGTCGTTACGTGCAGCGCTTCGTCTGGAGCAGTCCAATGCCGGCACAGTCGAGGAGGTCGCTGAAGAGGGTATCGCGGAGACGCCGTCGCCGCTGACAACGCGTCGACCAGGTGCGGGTAGTCTAACGCCGCGCACGCTGGGCAACGGTACCTTGACGACAGGTGCCGGTGCTGGTGCCGGTGCTCCCACGATACTTCCCGAGGATCTACTCGGCGATGAAAACCGCGGTGAACGCGCTGTTGCGATCGTGCAACGCATGTCACAGAAACTGAGTGGGCGCGACTTTGATCCACGACGTGTGCTCACTGTCGCTGAGCAGGTCGAACGCCTGATTCAGCAGGCAACGAACTCAGAGAACCTGGCACCTGCTTATGTGGGCTGGTGCAACTGTTGGTAGCCAGAGCGGGCCTCTGGTCGAGTCCATGGAACCAGAGTGCACAGCAGGCAGGCAGGCAGGCAGGCAGGCAACCGACTCGAGGATCATGATAGGCAGCGCGCTGGTCGAGTCTAGTCATGCTCCAGGGCACAACGCCGGGCTATGCGTCGTTCAACAGAGACGCACTGGTCTGTTTTTTGATTCGATGGGTAGAGGCGGCAGCATCGGGATTCCAACGGGGAATCTTCGCGAACCACATATCGTATCGCACGTTTCACTGGGATTGATTTACGACGCTTTCTTGATACGCAACCTCTAAATACCGATGCATCATTCATTCGTTCATTCATTGGTTGATTCTAGCGTTGCGCTGTGGATCTGTTGCGGTGGTGCTGGCACGATCACCAACAGGCAACTGCGTACCAGCGGGCGTACCGTGCGCACCAGCTGCTACATACAACCCGAGTCGGTGTCGCAGCATCCGTTGCTTGGAGTGAGCGCCTACAACCGGATTCTCAACGTTCATGGCGGTAAGCAACAAAGTGCACCAGCTCGAGTCTGAACGATATGTTTACGGATCGGGACGTGTGCGAGACAAAAGCGTAAATGTCAGCGCAGCTGCTACCAAGCACGCGAGTTGCTTCGAAGAAAGATGCACCGCTCTGCGAACATATCAGGCACCGAGGACGAATGCTCTCCACGAATGGGCGATGGATCGTGTACTTGGTCTGGAGTGTTGGCGAATCGTCGTGGAGTGCGCCTCTGCCGGACGCCAGCGTCTGTAGTGACGATACAGAGGCACGGACGTCGTACGGACACCAGGTCTCGCGAATCCAGCGCATGTGCATCACTCTGGATCGTAGGTACCGCAGCAGGTGACCCGGGAAAGGCGCGCGAGTGAGTTTCCCATCCATCACGTGGAGACGCGGAAAACGGCAATCGAAACGTATGGGAGCGGTCAAGTGAAGCGTCCCGGTACCTGGTTTGCGCGCTTCTCTAGGAGAGCACAGGTGCGCGGTGCTCGCGCACCACCACGCGCGACGGTCGCTGCTGCTGGTGCTAAACTCGGGCATCGGCCAGCGGTATTTTCGTCATTCGCGTCCGAGACGGAGTTAGCGAGTCAGCGGCAGCTGGGCGGCTCGATATGGGAGAAAGCGCGTACCCGGTGGTTTCCCTGGTCAGCTGTCCATCCGACCGTTATGTGCCGCCTTCGAACCGAGCGCCAATACGGGATCAATGAATAGGCTGTGTATCGCATTGCGAGGCTGCAGGCGAACCGAAAAGCGCGCACAAGTCTGCGGCTCCAACAGACGTATTCACCAACATGTATCGATATGTGCTGAAAACCCGCAATCGGGAAGTATCCCGGAATACGCACCATGCCTCAGCAGACATGGCCTGGACTCGTGCGTCTGGAGCACGATTCCCTAGTTGTCGATGACATTGCATTCGGGGCGCTGTGCGAATGCTGCTTTTGAGCACGGGCTGCTGCAAGTATCCGCAGCTTTCGCTCATCCTCAATCGCAAATTGTACGATCAGGCGTCGCCCCTGGTGCGGAGCAGGCAACACGTTGGGATTATTGTTGACGAGTCGCAAAGCTCGAAGCGCTGCATCGTGCGTTGCAAACTCTACAAATGCATACGCACATACCCGTTGCTTGCGACTTCGTTCCCGAGCAATGCGCACCTGTTTGATGACGGCTGGTTTGGCGTCGGTTTCAGTCGATGCTCCAGCTTGGGCAAAAATCGCCTTGATCTGAGCGATACGCAGGCTGCGCGGAATATTATGAACGCTGAGTAGTGTCCGGGATACAAAGGTATGGGGATTGCGGCGTAGTTTTCGCTGTTTCGCCTGCTCTAGGCGCTCTCGTAACGCCAACTCGGACTCGCTGAGACCCGCTGCTGCCGGTTGGTGGCGTTCGATGACACCCTCTAGGGCGAGATAAAGATTACGACGATCCGAGTGATGCGCTCGTGTCAGCATGGACTGTTGTCTCTGGGTGACGACCTGGGCGACGTCCGTGCGCGATAAAGCCCAACTGAACTGTAAACGCTGGCCATGGAGTTGGAAAGCAGATTCATGGAGAGAGGCGGGTGCGTCAGAGGAGGCCTCGTTCAAGACGCGTTCAGCGGATGCGCGTTCCGCGAAACAGACAAAAGCTCGACCGCGTGGGAGTCCCGTAATCGAATCGCGGACCAGAGCACAGTACCGAATAGGTCCGTAGGGCTCCAGAAGCGCCTTGACTTGAGCGGCTGTTGCATCCAACGGTACATGACGCACAAAGAGTGTGCACGCGAGCATGGCTCTTGCTCGATCTTCAGAGGTGCCAGCGCCGACTCGAGACGCTTCACCGTCGCGTCCAGAGGACGTATGAAGTGGCTTTGCCTGATCCGCCTCGGGTTGCATCGAGTCGCTGGAACTCGCCTCCAAACGCTCTATTCTTGTTGTTGTTGTTGTTGTTGTTGCTGCCGGTCGTTGACGTTTTCGCGATCGATCGCTGGGGGCATGGGCACCGTCTGCAACCGGCGTCTGCGCGGCTGTCTCTGCAGGCAACGCACTCGCAGGGGTGTCGGCTTCGTGGGAGGCGTGCACCACCTTTGTTGTGCATGCCTCTGACGAAGATGCGCGACCGTCTCCTTCAGTGTTAGCGTTTGAGTCCCGGCTTGCATCGGATGCGTTGTCTGCGGTCGACGCTTGCCGCTCGCGGTAGTCATCGCGCGAAAGCGCCCGATCCAACGCAAGCACGCGCCCACAGAACGACTGTCCATTGAGGCGCTGGACTGCAGCGTTTGCGTCCGCCCGGGTAAAGTACTCGGCAAAAGCGTAGCCAGCCCAGCAGGTATCCGAGGACGCCCCTCCGGTGGACGCTGCTTTGCGAGGCACGTTTACTGCAACCAGAGGTCCAACCTGGCGTAAACGCTCCAGCAACGCATCCAATGAAAATCTAAAGGGAAGATTGCGAAGAATGACCCGGCACTGCTTTCTCGTGCTGATACCAACAATCTGGGCACTGAGTCCTTCGCGCTGATCCGTACTAGGTTCGTGTTCCAGCACCAGGTCGTGCAACATGCCACAGACGTTCCGTGCATCCACCCAGGTTGGTAAAATGAGCTCCCGCTCTCGCTCTTGGGTATAGGTCGGTGCGAGCGCACCCGTTGCCGTACTCAAGCCGTTTGTCGATGCCCCGGTCCATACCTGGGTGCCGAATCGCTCTAGGACGCTGCGAAAGCGCGTCTCTTGGGCAACGCTCCAGGCGGCCGCATCCCGTCGTCGAACACGTACCGTGCGTAGGGGCAGTGCTCCTTCAACGGGTCGTCTGACTGGTTCAGACCGCTCAGTGGTACGCTGTAGCGGGTTTTTCCCGCGTTGCGCTGGAACCAGTGCAGCTTGCAAAGTGGCACGCACTAGCTCAGAGACGCTGTCGCTGAGGTTGCTCGCAGGCTCCGAAGCTGCTGCTACTGCTACTGCTGCTAACTGTCTCTGGTGCACAAGTTTCAAGGCCTGTTCGGCGTCTCTAGTGAGAATGTACTCAATATAGGCCTCACCTGTTTTCGGTTGCACCAGACAGCGACGTATCGGTCCGATGCGTCCGAAGAGCTCCGTTACCGCAGCTCGACGACAGCTCGATCGAGGCACTCCGCTGAGCTTTAGCGCTAAGCGGGGCTCAGCTGCACCAGCTTTCATCACGTCCGTCAATGAACAAGCACGTGTTCGTTAGAGCAACGAAGCAGTATGGACACGTGCGTGGTGTGTGCCCCGTGATCGCTACGCTTTTTCGACGCAAAGCCGCAACGACCTGCTCCAGGCGAGCGGCGAACGCCCCAGACGTACAGTGCTGGTGCGAGACGCCCGGAGCGTTCCATGCGGTGGGAAACGTCCCCGCCGCCTCCTCCTCCTCCTCGTGCACACAACCGACACCGCCAAAGCACAAAGCGTGAAACGTGATCACTGGTACGGAATAGCGTCAACACTGGGTGCTTGTTCATGGATGGGCTATGGACGGTGGTCCCGGGCAGTGCCGTGCGGTGGGAAACGTCCCCGCCGCCTCCTCCTCCTCCTCGTGCACACAACCGACACCGCCAAAGCACAAAGCGTGAAACGTGATCACTGGTACGGAATAGCGTCAACACTGGGTGCTTGTTCATGGATGGGTTATGGACGGTGGTCCCGGGCAGTGCCGTGCGGTGGGAAACGTCCCCGCCGCCTCCTCCTCATCCTCCTCCTCCTCCTCGTGCACACAACCGACACCGCCAAAGCACAAAGCGTGAAACGTGATCACTGGTACGGAATAGCGTCAACACTGGGTGCTTGTTCATGGATGGGCTATGGACGGTGGTCCCGGGCAGTGCCGTGCGGTGGGAAACGTCCCCGCCGCCTCCTCCTCATCCTCCTCCTCCTCCTCCTCGTGCACACAACCGACACCGCCAAAGCACAAAGCGTGAAACGTGATCACTGCTACGGAACAGCGTCAACACTGGGTGCTTGTTCATGGATGGGTTATGGACGGTGGTCCCGGGCAGTGCCGTGCGGTGGGAAACGTCCCCGCCGCCTCCTCCTCATCCTCCTCCTCCTCCTCGTGCACACAACCGACACCGCCAAAGCACAAAGCGTGAAACGTGATCACTGGTACGGAACAGCGTCAACACTGGGTGCTTGTTCATGGATGGGTTATGGACGGTGGTCCCGGGCAGTGCCGTGCGGTGGGAAACGTCCCCGCCGCCTCCTCCTCATCCTTCTCCTCCGCCTCGTGCACGCAACCGACACCGCCAAAGCACAAAGCGTGAAACATGATCACTGGTACGGAACAGCGTCAACACTGGGTGCTTGTTCATGGATGGGTTATGGACGGTGGTCCCGGGCAGTGCCGTGCGGTGGGAAACGTCCCCGCCGCCTCCTCCTCATCCTCCTCCTCCGCCTCGTGCACACAACCGACACCGCCAAAGCACAAAGCGTGAAACGTGATCACTGGTACGGAATAGCGTCAACACTGGGTGCTTGTTCATGGATGGGTTATGGACGGTGGTCCGGGTGCAAACCTGCTTGGCGGGTACCAACTTGGTCGTGGTTTACGCGTGTGACAAGCGTACCCGAAGCGCGTATCGTCATGAATGGATTTCGTGCTTGGTAGGCTGCGGACTGGATGCAAAGCTGCTCGATGCAGTGTAGCAGCGGAGTCGATGTTGGATAGCAGCAGTGTTTGGTTGACGTGCATCACTGGGGTTGCGTGAGTGAGGCATCAGGAATCACGTTATAGAAAAAGATGTATGTCAACGATGAGCACTCAGGGCATGATCGCGGGGGAGTCGAGGTCGCATCATCCGGCATCCGCAACGATCGAAAATGATGTTGCTTCCCTGCTGTTGGCGGCTATGTGTTCGGTACCAGGTATTGTGTTCGGGTGCAATACGCAACGTCCATCGCTCAACAAACATGAAGGATAAGTAGCATGGCGGAGGAGTTTCAGAGGAGCGCGGATCCCTGGACCGGTTGCGCTGCTCGCGCTCGGTAAATGTTTCCGATCCTGTTCTCGGCGAATAGGATCGATATTCAGAGAGCAGTAGTACAGGATTCGGGACACTAGGTCGACTTTTTGAAACGGCTGGTTCGGCGAGTTGCCGCTGCAATTCATCAAGTCACTGAAATCAAGATGAATTGTGATGTCGGCGAACACCGGTGCCGCAAAGTAATCCATTTCGCGATCCAATGCATACGTACATGCCTCCACTAGTCCCATTTGCTTACACGCAGCACGCTGGAATCATGCGCTCTTCAACTTGTCGATCTTTCTGTTCTAAAAAAACTCCCGGGTGTAGTGATTCGCGTGGCTGGGTCCCCGGGCTCAGAAACTCAACGTCGTGCCTTGACGACTTTATATACAACTCCGGCCGAAATATCACTGAAACGCTCAAGGCAAATACGGATCGAGTTCATTCGAAAGAGGAATTCCTCTATCTTTGAGTCCATCGCCAAAACCGCATTCGATAGCAGGATGAAACCTCGTACGAGATACGCTCCAAACACGCCCGTCTCTTTTTTTCGGAATGAAGAAAAAGGGCCCTGGACTCGAACTCGACTCGTCGCAGCGATCACTTGTAACGGAGATTGCGTCACAGTATTGCACGACGGGATCGTAGACGGGGTGGAATTTCTCGACTTGCTCTCTAGCCGAGATTTTCCTTCGGGTTCAAGTTCCATTATGGACGACAATGCGTTCCATGAATCCGGTATTAACTGGAACAAAGTGAGTTTTCGTTGGTGCAGAAGAAAGCGATTGCGGTGAGGGCATTGCTCAGAAAAAGCGTGAGATCGTCGAGTACGGCACTGGGCGGATACCCGGCACAGAGGGTTACCGAGGCGAGCCTTCTCTACCCGTCCAGGGCAGGTACTGGGCTATGAAACAGGCGCATGTCGCACTGCAGGGCGGCCCACGGAGCATGCATAATGGTGAATGCACGGGAGTACCTGACGAGTATCCTTTGGAAGCGCTGGGCGGGCCAAACCGGTGCTATATACAAAGAAAATGAAAAACGCTCGAAGCGAAGATCATAACCTGCGACTGGGCCTGCATTGCGTCGGTAAAGAAAATGGAAAACGCTCGAAGCGAAGATCATAACCTGCGACTGGGCCTGCATTGCGTCGATAACAGCGTAGAGCACCGAAATCGGGATTTGAACGCTGTCCCCAACATCCTTCGAATACTGACAACAGAGCTGCAAGAACAGAAGACATCGCCGAATGTACATCCAGAGATAAGAAAGAGTGCGGATAAACAAAACAGTCACCGACAAATCCAGTCATGGCCGGTGTTGATAACATCAGAAACAACCCACAGCTCTCATGTGAGCGCCCCAGTACGAGCACCCGTTCCAGTTTGATTTGATATGCATATAGACGAACGTGGGAAAACGAACCCCAAACTCTGGATGATTTCAAGACATACCCCAGAATATGAGTCCGAGACCAGGATGCATCCGGCAGGGCAGCGGCTGGTTTCGCGTCGCTGGTCGGGTACAGGACGAACACCACGAGGCCCCAATTAGTTTGCAATCCGAGCGAATCCACTCCGTCGGCACCGCTATCCGAATATCCCCGTCTTTCATCAACAACAGAGCAAGTGGCATGTTGGTGCTCAAACTCTAGGCTAGCGCTACATTACCGGTGAGATGGTGTTGGAGCATCTCGACCAGGCGCGAGATGACCAGTTTTGGTGCCTGCGAGCGCACCACTAGCGCTACCCGCGGCGGTGTGGACTCGACAACCATTTCGCCCAACATTGGTGCACTGAGACCCATCTGAGCTGCCCAGAACACCTGCCAGACAGACGCATCAGTCGGCTGGAGCCAGCGCTCCGCCATGATCGACAAGGTCTGTGTCAGCGCCCGGAGACGCGTCCGAACGTCTGATACCGTCTGCGAGGCGGCTCGCTCCCAGTTGAAACGCTCTTCAGCAGCGGATCCCAAACGATTCCACTGGTCTAGAAAAGCTGCTCGATCAAGGGAGCGAGGTGTCGCGTGGATCGCCTCCATGACCGGTATCGTATCGGAAAAGTAGAGCACCCCCAGTGGTGTGCACTTGATGGCAATTTGCACCAGATTCGCTCGTTGATCAGCGAATGCTTCCTTCTGGATGGTGAGCGGGAGCACCACCACCGCACTGTCGCCTCGTTGAAGGATTGGTGGCTCCGTTGTGAAGCGCGGCGGTGCCACGACCCCAAAGATGTTCTTGTTCAGTTGAATCGCAAAATCACCGACGCCCTGAGCTGCGGCAATATTCTCCAACAGCAAACGCAGCTGCATGCCATGCGTCTCATCAAATGACGATGACGATGTCCGAGATCGCACCAGTCCACCGGTAATACGTAGCCCGTGTCCGGCCTCTGTCGATAAGAGCAAGCGAGGCGGAATATGATCAGGAGCCGCAGGCAAAGGAACCTCATTCCCGCTTGGCACCGAACGGGACGCTGAGGTCGAGCGCTCTGTCGCTGTCGCTGTCGCTGTCGCTGTCGCGGGGAGCGGCACTCTAGCGGTTGCTTGGACACCACCAGCTCTTTCTGGGTGCATATCTGAGCCCGCATGCGCCAGCGCCTGCGTTTCGAAACGTGTGGAACGGACCCATGCCAGCCTATGTGACGACAGACCAAGCACCGAAGCGATGGATCCGAGTTCGTCTTGGAACTCTTGAAGCAGCGCCGGGTCCTCGTTGAAAACAGCATGCAGTGGTATTGCTGGTGGCTTTTCTTCGTGGGCGAGACGTTCCACTTCGCTAAGCGTGATGCTGGACGTCGTTGCCGACGGAGCCTCTTGGTCGAGCAGCCAACGATAAAAGAGCGCCCGAGCGCGCACCTCGGGGCGTCCGCTCTGCGCGATAGCCACCTGGCACGTGTGCTCCAGGGCCGCTGCAGCAGCACGAAGCTCACTGACCGCCTCAGGCGTCGACTTGCTAGCCGCGCGCTGCCGAGCACGCCCATACAAACGCGCCAGACTCGATAGTATTTGACTCTGGACGGAATGCGTCTCCGACAGAAACCCAGCCTCCTGCTCCGCTGCCCAAATGGACCCACGAAGCACATCACAAAAAATGAGTGGTGCGTATGCGCCTACCAGCCAGAGCAGGGCAACACGTGCTCGCTCATCTTCGAAGCGAACGAGTGCCACTTGGCCATGCTCGTCGTCTGGAGCGGTTGCGAGCTGCACAAATTTCTCTGCTGCTGCCTGGAAGCGATTACCGTACTGACGGAGAAGCACGGTGACCGCCACCAGCACGCGCTCTGTCATCTGCGGTGCACCGCGTCGCGCAAGGCTCAGCAAAGCCTCTACCGCGGCAGGCGCAGCGGCCTCGCACCGCAGGCCCGCAAAGCCGATAGCGTCAACGGCGCGTGTCGCCAGGTTTTGCTCGACGTCGTTCGCATAGCGCTGCAGCTCCGCGAGTATCGCATTCGCATTTGCCGCATTCAACACGTACATGAGAAGGCCGATTTTTTCCTGTTTCACATAACTAGGCTCATTAAAATCACAGAAAAAGCTCTGATAGTGCTTTTCTAGATAGGCTGAATTGGTATGCATGAAAATATGCAGGATCCGGAGTGCAACGTATGCAACCTCTGGCGGCTGCGCACTCGATACCAAAGACACCAGTGCCGGAAGCATCTTGCGCGTTTTGAAATCACCGCTGCTTGATTCGCTCAATGCTGTGGGGAAGCGCTCCAGTAAACGCCACAGGATCCGAATCGTCATGAGGACGACGGCGCAGTTTGCGTGTTGAAGTCGCGAGGTCAGACGCTCGACGATGATTTTCGCCTCAGCAGCGTGCTGGGGATCGTACAGCGATAACGCCTCAAGCAGGGTCAGCTGACCCCATTCACCACAGTCCGGAAGCGCAACCAGGAGTCTTCGAATATGGGTCGCTTCGAGCGACAAGTGGCTGCGCGCAGCGTCATCGCGTTGCGCTGCTCTTCGGCGGATATCCAACCAGGCAGCGATCGCGTTACTGAGGACCACGGCATTGCCGTCTTGAAGAAGGTTGCGAAGCGCATCTAAAAAGCCGCCCTCTATTGCAACGGTAGGATTCACATCATAGAGTTTGGCGACAGCGAGTGCTGCAGTCTTTCGAACGTAGGGGTCTGGATCGGTGAGCGCTTGTCGCAGCGGCGGCACCAGGTACTCTGCAATGCGCTCCAGTCGAATGCAACTCATCGTTCGGATAGCGATTGCTCGGATCAGGGGATTGGGATCCTGCGCATCCTTCACGAAACTGTTGACGGCGAGGATCGCGAGATCCGGCTGATTCTTGGCGTAGTACATGATGTAGAGGTAAACGAGCTTTTTCATCTGGAGGTTACTTGTCTGGCCGCAGTTTACCACATCGGTGAACAGCGGCGCCATATCCTTGCCAACGGTCATCGATGCGATAGTCTGTCGCAGAGCGTGCTTCCGAACCGTGGAGGACGAAGCGTGCAGGTCTTCGCGAATTTCCGAAACCTCGCCCCGCTTTCCACCAGTGAAGAAGTGTAGCGCACGCTTCTTCAAGGACGATAAGCTTGCCATGGTAGCCTTTAACTCCGATGGTGCTGCGAAGATGAACTCGCTGGGTGACTTGGATCGTTCCCCAGGCCGGTTATACTGCGTTTTAACGTGCAGTCGATAGCACGGCTGCTCGGGAGCGAGGAGTCCGCGCTCTCAGTTGCCTGACGTCAGCGTAGGAGTGCTTAACGCTGAGCTTCAAGACCGTTGTCTGCAGAACCTCGTTTGGTTTCTGGCTTTCTCAGTCTGTGGAGAGAACTTGCACAGAATCGTCGGCCCCAACGCAGTGAACGTTACCTATTGAGTGCGTCGAGGCACATGGGCAACTCGCGAGTCGAAACGGTGCGCCGCCTCAATGGCGAACGCCAGCCACGCGCAGGTACCAGTCCGGTGCTACTGGGTGCTGTGTGCACCCTCTCGACAGGCCTCGTGTTTACCGCGAGTGCAGCCGTTGGCATCGCTGGGAATAACGTCAACGACGGCTTCGAAGCTTCTCTCATGCACGATAGAGTTTCCTAGTGTTTTTTAGTCAACGGAGCAGCGCCAGACAAGTTTCGTAGCAACGGTGCGTAACTGCCTGCTCGCTGAGTCGCATCGGCAGAGGCTGTGTTGCTGGGTTTTGGGTGTTGGAAAAGTTTGTTCGGATGGCAACTGGATCATCACCTAAATTCTGCGTTCGGTAGCCTCTCTGGTCCGTATGGGAAATGGCAGGCGGTTATCGTGGAGAGATCTCGGGGGGTGTGAAGGCATCCAAACGTGATATTTTTCTGCTTTCACAGCAATGAGGGAACGAGCGGCATCGTGAAAACACTGCAACTGGGGTGTAGATTGCCCCGAGCACCGTCACTGCCGCTACAGGTCATTTCCATGCCCGAACAAGATAAGAGCTGCACTAGCACGAGGTGACGAGCTCAGCGAGCGTCTTCGCATGAGCATCGGAAACTCCGGAAACCAACGACGACGTTGAGCATGCCCTCATAGGTCCAGCGGCATGCATCGCCGCATCAACGCATAACTGCGGAAAACAGGAAGAGAGCGAAAATCCGCAGCCTGCGTGATTTGCGCATGCTCCACGTAAGGAAACAACAAACGCGGCGACGTTTACGTCGTCCTTCGATCACGATATCGGTTCGTGAAGGAACGATGGTTCGAGCACGTTGCGACTCTTCGGGAATACGCTGACGAAACGAATACCAGCGGCATTGCGTCGAATGATCCACTCCGAAAAGACGACCGTGATTCCTCCAACTTCATACCCCATCCGCAAGCACGTATAGTTGCACTTGGTATGAGGATTCTGCAGATCTATTCAAAGTTTGGAACCAGCCGCAAAGCAAGAACGAAGCGAGCACTACCATAGCCCATAGAGACGGGACACCGCCAGAGATCATAGCACACCGGGCGACACAATGCATCCATCGATGAATGCCGGGAAGTATCGTCCAATAATATTCATTATTGACGCAATTTTCGAAGCAACCCGACACAATGCATCCATCGATGAATGCCGGGAAGTATCGTCCAATAATATTCATTATTGACCCAATTTTCGAAGCAACCCGACACGATGCATCCATCGATGAATGCAAGGAAGTATCGTCCAATGATATTCATTATTGACCCAATTTTCGAAGCAACCCGACACGATGCATCCATCGATGAATGCCGGGAAGTATCGTCCAATAATATTCATTATTGACCCAATTTTCGAAGCAATCCCCTGCGGGACACGTTTCCATCCAGCGCCGCCTCTGAGCGCGTCGCGGCGCTTTCTCAAGCGCTATCCCGGTCGCGTTCGCGTTGCTGGAATATGCGGAGCAACGCTCATACCGACTAGACGCTGGACTGCATACCGCTCGAGCTGGTACCGCTACTATGTTTACGGAGGCAGCGATACCGTTCCCTTGGCGACAACGAGGGACCAGGCTTATGGCCTGTTCCGGGCGCGAGTTCCTGTGTGGGTTGCGACGCTGGAACTCGAGCTGTAACACGTTGCGAGAACCGCAACAGGCTACGGTGCGGCAGCTGCTCACCATGCGTGGTCGAAAGAAGAGCAGCAAAGAGGCAGAGCTGCAGCGTGACGATGACGTGACAAAAGCGGCCTCGGGAAAGGAGGCCACAGCGGCGGCGGCAGCGGCGGCAGAGGGCTCTGAGCAAGCTGCGGCCTCGGATGCTGCCGGTGTGTTGCGGGACATGCCTGCAGTGCTGCGAGAGCGGCCACACTGGTACCTCGTGCAGACGGTACCTGGGCTCGAGGATAACGTACGAATCACGCTTGAGGCGAAGGTGCGCAATACGCCGTCGATGACGGATAAAATCACGCAAGTGATCGTGCCCAAGCTGAAGGCGATGCAGCTTTCTGCGGGCGGTGAGCGTGTCGAGTTCGAAGAAAAAGTTTTTCCTTGCTATGTCATGGTAGAGATGGTGCTAAACGAGGAGACCTGGGAGTTTGTTCGCTCAACTGCCTATGTTGTTCAGTTCGTAGGCCGGGACCGTGCTCGTCGATCGCGGGCGGGTGGGGTCGTCGGCGGACGCGGTCTCGTCCAACCGCAACCGCTTTCAGAGAGCGAAGTGCGTCGAATATTCGATCAGATCTCCGTAGGATCATCCATTGTCTCGCAGGAGCTGAAAATCCAGGCCGGTGACTTTGTAAGGGTGCGGCAGGGGAACCTCGCTGGTCACGAAGGAGTCGTAGCCTCGGTTAGCCCAGGTCGAGGCAAGCTTACTGTGAACCTCCGCTGGCTCAATAGAGACGTGCCTACAGAATTTGGATTAGAAGAGGTCGAGAAGCTCGATCGAAAATTCGTCGATCTGCCGGCGCCTCCACCAGACGAGGAGTCAGAGGCTGAGCCTAGTGAAGAGAGCGCAGCCACGAAAATACCACGCACCGTACGGCGGGTTCTCCCTGAGGATCGAGTGGAGGCCCTCGAGGCACTCGCGCGACTTGACTACGATTGGAGAATGCTTGTTGCGATGGAACGTCTGGATCGGGTCCCGATGCAGGCCCTGCGTCAGTACTGTCGAGCGTATGGGCTGGGAGCATCTGGTCGGAAAGTCGCCCTCATTGAACGTGTTCGACAACACGTCATTGAAGCGATTCGCAAGGAGGAGGAGCAGGAGGAGCAGGAGCAGGTTGCTGAGAATCCCCCAACGCCCAAAGAGCACTCGGAAACCGTACGCGAATAAACATACGGGCGCGACCAAGTACTGCGCCCTGGACGCACTGTGGCTGGTCGCGAATGGAAGCCAGCGTGCATCTTTCCGTGAACACGGCATCCCGTGGCAGCAACTGCAGCAGCAGCAGCAGTAGCTGCAACGGCAGCAGGTACGGAAGCGATTGGGGTTGCGCTCAGCGTCGGGGCGCCAGCCTTGAGCGCCCTTTTGGATGCACACAGCGATCAGCATGGGCTCCGGGAGCACCAGCTGCTCAAGAGCTCTGGATTATGATCTCTCAGTCGAGGCGCTATCCGCTAGGAACCGCATTTGCGTCGTGTGGCGAGGGCGGGAAGAGTGCTTGGCACCCGAGACGCTCGGCTGGACTCGGGACGTATGCGGCTGTTGCGATGATCCTCACCACCGTATTCATGAGCGAACGGAACCTTCGAGATGTTCAAGTCGTATGTCGCTGCCGCTATGAGCGCAGTAAACACGCTGATCCTAGGATTTGCGGTTAAACGAGCCAGCTGGACCTTGCATGGATGTGTTGCGAGACTGCTTCCGCAGACAGTCTGCCTAGCTCCACAAGCATAGCGCTGCAGTGCGTCCCCGATGGTGCAGCGAACGCCCGAGGACGCTCCACTCTGACGCGATACCGGCATTGTGGGTAGAGCGGACCTTGCCACATCGCCTTTTTCCGCGCTGTGGAAGACGCGCTCGATCGCGGCGCTGCTCACGTTCACACGTGCGATGCAACCAGTACTGGATACGATCAGCAGTATCAGGCCGCAAACCCGGGAACGTATGGCGTCGGTACGAAGCGTACAAAGCGGCTGGCTCGCAAGTGCAACGCGTTCATCGCATTCTGGGGCAAGAAACGCGCTCGCTTCAGGAGGATCCGTCATTCGGGTAGCAGCGGAGACGAATGGCGCCTGCGAGAGGTACGGCGTCGCGCGGGCGTCTGTGGATACGTCAACGGCACGATGCTGAACCCGAAGACTGGTTTTGAGCGTGTTGAACGCAGGAACGCCAAGGCCAACAGCAACGCTCGTCGTTTCCGTGGTTGCGTAGAGCTCGCGCGCCTTCACGTGGAACCTGACGCGATCCACGGAGGCGACACCACACAGAAATACTCCACTGCGGACAGAACGGCAGCATCGGGTATATGGTGGCAACTCGGGTGCAAACACAAACGCTGTTTACACGGCGAGATGCCGGTATGTACGCATACCAGGATAAGAAGAGACGCGTCTGTCGCGATGACTCGAGCGTGCACCCTAAAATGTTGAGCCTCTTTCCGGTGTCATGAGCATCGGCCGGTGCGGGCTTCTCTACGACTGCTTGGTTTTCCGCTCTCACGGATCCCTGGATCGAAAAACGCCGGTCTCTCTTTTGTTGTCAGACTCGATGTCGACTGCCCAATGATGCTGATGGCAGTGTTCAGGAAGTCGCCACAACGTCGCACACAGCTGCTGGCACGGCATGACATGGACTGACAGAAGTTTCCATCTACGCTTTGCTCGCTGAGTTCATCTTCTTTGGGTGCGGCCTCGGAGCGCATGTCGCATTCGTGACGCATTGCTGTGTGGTGAGGTGCTCCCGTCTATCCACGGGATATCGTTAGCACGCGCGCCCTCTGAGCACTGCCTTGGGGCCCGTAAACGCTCGCTTCATCGTTCGGTACCCGCAATCGACGGGCGGCCAGACGCCTCCGGTCGATGCTCACTTCCGTTTCCGCGTCACGGGGCGGGATTCTATGATCTCGGGCCTTTTCTAGGGAACCTCGCGGACTAGTACGCTGTCTGCTGCACGCGCAAGTGCAAGCAGTCCAATTCGGTAGAGGATCTGTGGCGCACAATGTTTTCCATGATGAAAAAGATATCAAACGGAAACCAAGGCGAGAGAAGCATCCAAGAGTGATTCCGATACGTCTACAGTGCCTTTGTGCAAAGCGACGACGCAATCTGCACTCGAAATGATCGCTGCAATGACTCAAGTCCGAGTTCAAGGCCGTTTTCCATGCAAGCACAAGGGATGTATGCTGCTGGGCGCAAATCCCGTGCCAGATACCGTGATGCTGCTTTCAAATGCCGTTTCGCCAATGGCCAGAAAGACAGCAGGATTTTGCCTGTCGAACGATATCGATTCTTTGACGTGGCAAGTTCAGTGAACGTGTAGCATCAGTGTGTAGGGCGACTCGTCAATCACGAGGCGCGAACTGCTGCTTCCACCAGTTGCCTTGAAACCAAAAGATCGAAAACCAGAATCACATGTGATTTGATCATGGTCCATGTAAGGCAACGAGATGCTTCCTGGACGGAATGTCTGCACTGCACCAGGGTACCGCGGGGCTACGAACGCTCGTTCGTGCGGGCGCGTCTCGTCGTCTGATGTCGATCGCAATGAAGCTGTGATTTTCAGCTGCGGTTCGTCGAGTGATCCAACACGGAAAGACTGATCGAAAAATACCTTTAGAACGACGGACGCAATCGTAAGCCCCCGTTTTTCGCCGCACTTTGCCTGCCAAAGCTGTATATCTGAACGTGCTCGACAAGGAGCACGCGGCAAGCACCGGACAAACGGCGCGCTAGTCGATGATCGTCGCGCACACTGCGGACCTTCGAGGCGGAATCCGTTGATAACGTGTACATAAATGTTCATTTGCGGAACAATCGCCCTTAATGGTTGAGTACAAGCCTATATCTTTCTGGACAAATCAGAGACACCATCGACAGCGACCTGCGATGGCATCCCTGTGGACGCGCGCGGCGGCGCCTCTGTCGCGCACCCAGCACACCCGCGTCCGACGGACAGCTCGCGGATGCGCTTCTGGTGCCGAACACCAGAGGCCGGTGTTCATGGCAACCACCGCAGAGGCAGCGGCGGCCTTGGCTTCAGATATAACACCCGAGGACTTTGCAGGCTATGAGTGTTTGCTGTGCCAACGCCGGGGTGCTCTCGTGGTCTGCAGCAACGCAGAGCGGTACACTTGTCGTGCTTGCGTCTGCAGGGCCTGCTTCCGACGCTGGGGCTGGTCGTGGGAGCGCTACACAAGCGCCTCGGTTGACGTACCCTTTCTCTGTCCGAGATGTTTGGTGAGCGAGCCCATTCTAAGCTTCGAGACTGGAATGCTAGAGGAGGAGGAGGAGGAGGCGTCGCCACGCGCGTCAGAAGTTAGCGACACACCAACGTTGAGGGAGAAACTAAGCATGGTACAAGCGTTCTACGCGTGCAGCCGCAGCCCTCTTTTCCGCAGCGAGGACACGTACCGGAACGGTCGACGCCGTCCTGGGACCAAGTTCGGCACCACAGCATCCGAAACGCTCTCTGGCGTGAAGCGCTCGCCGAATCGAGTCTGCGTCTGGCGGCGGCTCGACGCTGCACCCGTCGCACGCTACACATCGGATGGGCGCGAGTTCTTCTGTAGACTCGGGGATGGGACGCATAGTCATCATCCGCTTTTATGGTGCAGTGCATGTCCGGCAGCGTATCATGCGCCGAGTTGTCTCAGCGCCGCCGCTGCTGCTGCTGCTGCTGCTACATCAGTTACAACGACAAGTCTGACATCGGATGAGCAGGAGCAGCAGAACGTTGCGACGACACCACGCACTGGTGTCGACGCAGACCGGCAAACATTCTGGCTCTGTCCGTTTTGCCGTCGCCAGCGTCTACCATGGTGGCAGAACAGCTCAGAATCAGCACCCGGTACCGTGCTGCAGAAACGACATCGACACCAGCGGGTGCAGCAGCGACTGCGACAACCAGCGGCGCTGCTGGAGGCACTCGCGCGCTATTGTCGCAGAACCTGGCCGCCGCGTGTCTTCAGCGGACCCCGGTTCGTAGTGCTCTCTCTCTTTGACGGTTTGGCATCTGCGCGTCACGCGCTGGCCTTGCTGCAGATACCACCGACGCTCATCCGGTACTACGCTTCCGAGATCGATCGAGACGCACTGGCTGTGGCACAGTCGCAGTACCCGGACGTGCTTCAGCTGGGGCCAGTCGAGCACCTGGCCGCCTTTGACGACATTCCCGAGCAGATCGATCTGCTGATCGGCGGCTCACCGTGTACTTCCTTGAGCGGCCTCGGGAAGCGCAAAGGACTGTATCACGGCACATCGGCACTGTTTTTCGAGTTCCTGCGCATCAAACGCGTCATGAAACCGCGTTTTTACCTGTTCGAAAATGTAGCGTCCATGCGTTGTGCCGACAAGCGTCGCATTCACCAGCTGCTGAACGCGAGCAGACTCAACGAAGCAAGCACAAGTGCCGACCAACGAAAAAACAGTGTCCTGGTCGAGTTGGATGCAGCCCGTGTGACCGCGAGCCTGCGTCGACGCCTCTATGTGGCGAACTTCCCGTTGCCCGCGACGGATGCCGCGCTCCCCGATTGGAACCTGCGTCTCCAAGACGTTCTAGATCGCGACGGTAGTATTGCCGAGTCGGCCAAGGCGTTCTGTATCACGACGAATAACATGCAGGGTCGTCCAGGAGATTCCCGTTTCAATGTGATTGCAATGCCGGAGCAGGGCGTGCGACGCGGAGTGCGCATCCACGAAGCCGAAAAATGTCTCGGCTTTCCGGCAGGCTACACAGCGGTGTTGGCAAAGCGATCCGAGGGAGCAATGCCCCGACGCTGGCGACTCTTGGGGAATGCGTTTGCACCACCGTTGATTGCGCTGCTTTTGAGGCCGCTGCTAGAGCACAGCGTGATCGGCGCGTATCTGGAGCGAGCTGCGGTGCTCCCGCACCTCGAAGCGGCCTGTCGGGAGCAACTCCGGGGTGATCGCCCGGAGGCGAACACGCTTGTGCTCGTGAAGGTTATGCTCCAGAGGCCATCGCATGCCCAGCTCACTGGAGACGATGAGGGCACGGTGTCTTGCGAGTCGCGTATGCGCTCCGTGGCGGGCGCTCAGCGCACCAACAGCGATACCTGTCTTGTTCGGGGGAGCACGAGATAGCGCATTCGCTGCGCTGCGCTGCGCTGCGCTGCGGTATCGAAGGACGCATTCAGTAGCATGCCATTCGACAGCGGAGTCGTTTCGCCGCTCGTCGCATCTGTGTAGAGGACGCTCTTGCGCCTCAGAGTGCACTTGGCCAGAGCGCTGGATCCAGCCAGCCTCAAATCGACGACGAAAGAGGCGAACGCACCTGTAGGCTGCTACGACTGCTGTGGGTTGCGCTGACCGCTGTTGCTGCTTCCGATTGCGTGCAGAAACAAAAAACGCGCAGTGCAGAACGGCTTGGTGTCACGGGACGCACAGGACGTAGGCTCTGGACGCAAATCATCTGCGACTGGTGTCCGGACGCCTCGTGGAGCAACTCCGCTCCACGTCCTGTGCCTGGGTAGATTGCAGCATGCGATTCCAGCGGGAGCGCTGCTCGCTAGTCAGTGCACCGGGAAAAACATCGCACGAGCACCCAGGTACGGGTCCAGGCCTGGAGCAAGCGACTCGAACATGCCGTCTGCGCTCTGCTATAGAGGCGTGCAGCGTGCTTCGGGGCGATTGCATCTGGGTCTCGAATACGACCTCGTGCGTTTCGTATCTGTTCGCTGGCGCGTTCACTCGTGCGTATCGCGTCATCGTTGGCGTTCGTGTATACACATCCGGTGGACGCGTCGATCAAGCGCTGCGAAACGCTTCCCGACGCCTTGACGAGCATACCGCTCCGAGCTGAACACAGTCTCTCGGACGATGCTAGGCGAGCCAGTAATTCGCGGTGTCAACCAGATAATATCCGAGCTGGGTGCAAGCGTCATGACGCTGCGACACCAGCAGAACGTGAATGCAGGTCTCGGGAAGTGTCGTACCAGGAAGCTGCACCTCGGATGCACGGCAGCATCCGATCTCTGCGGTTCCATATCACTTCAGCGCCTCCACGCGAGCGCTCTTCCCTGTCTGTAGACGATATGCATGAGGCTCACGCGACGCGACACCACGCCATGGTTGATCCCGCGCAGTGCCGTGCGACAAGCAGCAGCAGCAGCAGCAGCAGCAGCATGAACAAGCGCAGCAGTGTCGCGTTCGGAGGTAGCTGATGCGACGCCCCCGCTTGCCCGCCTCCCCTCGGCACCGCACTATCATCCAAGAAACCGTCCCGCAAGAGATGCGGCAACAACTCGGGTGCTGCACCGAGCGCTGGACGTTGCACTCTGTGTACAGCATGCGTTCACAATGTGTATAAAACACATCAAGCTCGGCTTTGGAGCTGCTGGTGAGCGCCATACCCGCGCTCCGTACGAGCCGGTGCTCGTGAAGACGCCCCGCCCCAGTTAACCTTTCTCGAGTAAACTCAATGTCAAGAGCACGATAAAAAGCAAGACCGCTGTGCGGTAAGTTGCCCCCAGACCAGGCCACTGTGCGAGCACGATCTGCACCAACAAGGACAACCAGAAGAGCGGCTCCGTCCAAACAGGCCAGGGTTTGGGCACCGGCTGTCGCTTCAGGAAACCGTTCTCGCCTATGACGAGCCGGGGAGAGATTCGTAAGCGTCGTAGTCGGCCCGAGGCCTCGTTGCCGTGTTGACGGGAACGTGCTACGGTCCGACTAGCGGAGGTGCGGCTCTGAAAGGCCGCCAAAACATACGCAGAGATGATACTCGAGGTCGCGTCAATCTCAATCCACTGAAAACAACGCGGATATGGCACGTCGTTCCAGCCATGGGCGAAGCTATAAACCGTCGTAACGAGCACAAGAACGTTACTCACGACTGCGGTCCATTCGATGAGTCCGTGGTCGGCCCAGGTGAGCTGCTCAGGTGGCCAGTTGCCTCCGAGGAGGCAGCTCAGCACGAAAAAGTGCCAAGTGATGTGCAAGATCCACAGCCCAATGGGCATGGACGGTTGATGCTCCACAAGAGCAGATTCCACGACCAAGGATGCTGCGGACTGCTGCAATGCTCTCGCTCGTACCATGGCGAGATGTTGGTGCAGAATATGCCTACCGAGGCGCGGCAATAAGATAGCGTAGAGCGCCAGAAAGCCGGTATCCAGCGAGAAGAACATCTGGCTGAAGCGCTGAAGCAAACGACGACGCGAGCTACGACGCCAACGAGTTCCCAGTGAGGCACTCCGTAGACGTTGCAGAATCGCTACCCATCGTATCCCAGAGGCATCATGCTGGAGCCGAAACTGACTCAGAATTCGGATGAAACATTTTGCGGGATACCAGAGCGACGCCAGTGCCGAGGTATAGCGGCAGTGCAGTGCGCGTCGAAGCCATGAGCGCGGAGCTGCAGTTCGGGGCCTCCAGAGCCGCCCTGCTGAGCACGCAAGACGAAGACAACTGAGAAGCTTCCAAGTCGATCGTCGAGGCGCTCGCACAGCGGCTGACATGATCAACGCTCGCTCCGTAACATTGCACGCTGGTGCTGGTGATATCGCTCCCGCTGGGACGAACTCGGAGGATCCAGACAGAATCTCGTGGACTGGACACGGTGCTCCATGTGCCCGAGTCTGCGCTCGTGTGCGGCTCACGCTGTGTAGGCCAGGAGACGAAGATGCATCCGCCGCTGATAATGACGACGATGACGATGACGATAAGGATATTGATGTTGATGGCGGAGCATTTGTGGCGGGAATACGCCTCCAGTGAGCATCCGCTGCGATAGGCTCCTGTGAGGCGTTGCAACTGCCGCTGCAAGCAGAGGTTCCCGGAGTCGTCACGGAGCGATGCGGGGAGCTCGAGGCAGCTGGCCTCGTGCGGTACGCTCCTGCCTCACTCGTGCTGCCTTTTGCCTCCTCCGCTTCGACAGCATCCATAGTAGGCACCGAGGCGGTAGCCGTGCCTGCAGCAGTTTCGTTCGCTGATGCAGTCTCGCTCTGGATAGCATCGGATGCAGATACCGTAGCAGGTATCGTATACCGAGTATCGCTTCTAGCATTGTGGTTCGTTGTTGCACTCTCGTGCTTAGCACTGGGTAGCTGGGTAGTCGCATTGGTGCACTGAGTGGAGACTGTCTCCCCTGATTGTCCGTTTTCGCTACGAACGAGACGTTGCGAGACTGTCGGCTGCACCGCACTGGTAGCGCCTTGAAGCATCAACGGGACCTGCGGCGAGTTCTCTGGGGCTACGCTGTGCGCTGAGCTGCGCTCGACACCAGGTGACGATAAGACAGCAGCAGCAGCAGCAGCAGCGCTACGATGGACTGCTGGCTGCCTTAACCCCGCGGGCGACGCATTTGCAGGTGCAACACTCGGTTTTGGCAGACATGTCTGGTCCCAGAAAGGTCTCGTTGAGACAGGGCAGCGTGATACTCGCTCCGCGTCACTGATACGATCGCTTGACGCTGAGACCGGCGTCAGTATCGTCTGTCTAGAGACTTGTGTCGTAGCAATAGGTTTGACGAGTGACTCCCGCGAGCTTCTCTGAGTAAACGTACCCAAGGAGACGTTCTGGAGGGACGACCATGGACCCGGTGTGCAGGCGCTGAAGCGTTCTCTTTCATCCACCGGTATGCAAGGCGTGTCTGTGACAATGCTAAGCGGAAGTTGGAGGCTTGGTGTATTTTGCTCTGCGGCGGCATGGGAGCTGCGTATTCTTGGCGACAAAGCAGCAAGACTCGCGCTGTTTGATGCTTGCGAGTGATCCTTGCCCAAAGCAGGGATCCTGTCCACACCCTGACCGTGCATCATTGGCGGCAGCAGTGTTGCCACATCCGCAAGATGCAATCGGTCCCGGGACTCGCTTTCACCAGTGCGAAAGAGCGCCCCTCGTACGTCGCTGTCGTCAGTTGAAGGCAACTCTGGGACTTTCCGTCGTCGCCATCCCCAGTCCTCTACCTGCATCGTCGCTGCATCGTTGCCGTGGCTCCAGTGACACTTGAAGGGCGCCGAGGCCGCCAAGGGAGTGCTCATCAGAGATGCCCCAAGGCAGTCAACCGGAGCAGACGTGCTCGGCGACGGAGATGGATTGTCCAGAGTCTGCATTTGCTCCTCCTGTTGCTGCCGTTGATGTTGTTGTTGTTGCTTCCAAATCGGGGAGAGACGCTGTTGAAGCGTCGGCAACAGGCTCGAAAATTCCAATTCCGAGCGATTCTCCGGATAATTTGTGAGCCACCACACGAGATATTTGTAAGCATCCTCCTCATCTGCCGGATGGAAAAATCGACAACGACTTTCACCACGGTAGCAGTTCGGCCAGAAGCGACACAGACCGCGAGCTTTCTTCTTTGCCAATCCAGCCTGTGCTTTCTCGGATATCGATGTCGAGCTCGCTGCGGACGTCGTAGGCACGAAAGGGGTTCCGGTTTCCGACGGCAGCGAACTGTTCGTGTGCCGCAAAGCTTGGTCTGCAGGTCGCGGCTCACGGCTCAAGCCTGCTCTGCGAGTTCCACTCGGTCGGCTGGAGAAGGGTCCAGCACGATGCCTAGACGACGACTCAGGTCCGTGATTTCCTTCACCAGGTTCAGTGCGTTCCTGACGCAAGTGACGCTGTGTGCTTGAAGGCAAGCTGGGTATGTCCCGCCCGAACGCATATCGCGGAGATGGCGACACTGCTCGATCGTAATGCCAACCCCGATCAAGCAGGCTCTCACTTACGCGCTCCATATCCTCGGTATGAGACGTCAAGTTGGGACTGTGCTGCCTGTTGGTAACGCTGGCTGGCGGCAGGACCACGTCCTCCGGTTCCAGCAAGTCTCGAATCATCGCGACCATCAGGGAACTGCAACCGAGACTGATTTCGATATCCTCAGGTTCCTGGTCATGATCAGGATTATCTCTCAGTGATGCTTGTGCCGCAGATGCAACTGCCGGTGCTTGGAAGGTTGTCTTCGCGGACCCGGATTGCAAGCATGTCTCATGCCTGACGCTCGGCGGTAAGTTCGGGAAACGAGCGGGGAGGTCGCTTACACTGGCCCCTCGATGCTCGGATGTGTGCAACGATACATACTCAGTGGCTTCAAAGGTCCCAAGTCCAGTCTTCGTCGCCGGACGGCCAACCCAGGCGGGGGAAGGCTGTTGCCGCGTCCCTTGGAGGCTCACTGGCGAAACCGGTGCACTTGCAGGAATGCGCTGATCGAACTGAGGTTCAGAACTCCAGTGAGGAGTTTCCCACGAAAATCTGCCAGACGCAGCTTCGGCCAGCAATGGGGGGCTGCTCGCGTCCCCGGGCGACAAGCCGCCACTGATGTGCCGCGCCTGTTCAACGTCCGCCCGCTCCGCACGCTGCGAACTCTGCTTGGTGCGTGAACCCTTAGAGCCCAAAGAAGGGAGGGCGAAACTTCCCGTCCGTGTACCCTCTCCGGGTGATGTCGCCATATCAGTCTTCAGGCGGGATGAAGCTTTGCTGCGCAAACCAGAGAAGCCATGTCCCTGTGCAGCATCGAGCGCCAACACCATCGAAATGCGTCGAGCGCACGCCGCCGGCGATGCGGATGCTGGCCCTGGCGGGAACTGGAGAACGTGAATCTTATGAAACTATATTATATAAAAATATAAAGAATTGGATTCATAGGGATTATCATGATATAAATGAGAAATAAATGACATACACGTTTGAATATAAAATGGTATAAGTATGCACTATACGGACTGTGATCGATGGAGTCCTGGGCGCACGCCTCAGTCGCTTCCTGGTGAATCGCGGGCCCGTCGGGTTCCGTACGCGTTGCCGCCTCGGTCGGTATGCCTGGCGTATTCCGTGCTGCTCTCCCAAGAGCAAGGTGCGTCTACCGACAAGCAAGCAGATCGAGTTCAACGCTGCACAACAGCCGCGGAGAGTAAGCGCCAGAACATGCACGAGGTCACCAACCGGTTGACCACGTCCCTATGAGGTCGCGTACGAGCGCATTTTCGGTTTGCCAGCACGTTTACACGGACCGGTAAACATTGATGGTGCGCTTTATATCGTCGATCCGGAATGCATCCATCATTCCACGCCCTATTTTCCATCTCTATCACGCATACTTCCCCTCAAAGATATCGGTGATGTCTCGGGTTCCACCACGAGCCGAGCTCGCCGTCAGCCTTGAACATGTCGCCTCTAACGCCGGTGCCGACGATACCCGGAGAAAGAACAGCCCTGCCATATCGCGCAGCGCATCCGCTCAGCGACGCACGTTCGATGTACTGGCCACAACGGGCGATGCCCCGCGACGCTAGGGCGTGAAACGCGGTACGACTGCTCAGGCAAGTTCTCCGTGGGAGCGTAGGCGTCCTGGAATTTGAAAATGAGGTGTGGAATGACGGACGCATTCCCGATCAAAGATACGTAGCGCACGTTCAGGAATCACCAGTCATTGGAAACGCTTTGTCAAAACAGGAGTTTGCGGTCGCTGTCGCTCTGGAAGCGCTCCTGTACGGTGAGCTTTCGATAACGCCGCCAGCGCAACAAAGTGCACGATCGATGCCTGCGCCTCGGGTGCCGTTCTTTCAGGAACACCAGAATCTGAGTCCGAACGACCCGTATCCCAAGAAAAAAAAACCTGCCTGGTTAGGCCAAGAGTTTTCTGGAGGCTTTACGCGAGCCTCTACGGGCTGCAGGTTTCTTTTTTCCCGTCGTTCGCGGCTGAACGATGAGCGCATCCGCCGCTGTATCCGTTTCCGATTCGGTGCCGGTGTCTGGTGCAGCTGCTCCACGGGTGTCATCAATGACGACAGCACCATCCGCATCGAGTAGACCTGCGTTGCCGTCGCCGACGCTTTCGTTTTCGTTGTCCTGGGGGCGCTCGGGAACACCGCGGCGCCCAAGCGGCACCAGATGAACGGGGTGCTCGTGCTGCTGGTACGCTCTCGTCAGCGCAGCCTTGATACTAGCGGGCACCTCAACACTTGGTCTAAGCCATAATTCATCCAGAAGCGAACGCCAGTGTTCCAGGGTCAACGAGTACACATCCATCGTATCCATGACGCCTGGAAGCGCATCGTTACCCTGCAGTACAAGAGGCACGACGAGCCGGTACGGTAACATCGGCCGATAGTCGAGCACCAGGGCACGCCTGTCGACAGCGCCGCCAAGAGCGCCCCCTGGACCACGTGCAGCCTGAAATCGTAACACCCAGTCGCTCAGCATACGCTGCATTTTCCCTGTTGTGCTGTTCTTGCCCAGCCAGGATGGGAAATTAGGTCGTCCGCTCATCTGGGATCCGGCCATGGCGTGACCCGGCAGGATGCACGATAAAAAGGCCAGCACGTTGCTGAGGTCCCAGCGATTCTGTCGACGAATCTGATCGTTGGTGAGGTCTCCCCAGGAAATCGCGTCCGCGGCATCAGCCATGCAGCGCAGAGCGTACGGTGCATGTGTGGGATTCCGCTTTCCATTGGTGAAGAGCAGATAATTCTCCTGAACCATAAGCGGAAGGAGATCCGCGTCCATGAAAAAAGTTTCAAACAGGTCGCTCAAACCCGGTAGTTGTGCCGATGACTCGAGTGCTCCATGGTCGACGCGCGGGTCCACGTGCGGCGTCTGTCCTGGGAGGTGCCATCCCGGGCTGTGGAAGAACAGACCGAACAACTGGAAAACAGACTGATCCTCAAAAGTCTTGCCCAGGAATTCGTTCAACTGCTTCACATCCATGTAACTGAGGCGTTCTGAACTGCTTCCGCTGTAGAGCTGCATCATGGTAATCATTTGACGAATGTCCCCGTGGCACGCTTCAGCAAGCTTCTCCAAGGCGGCATCGTCAACGCGCAGACCCTCTTTCTGGGCGATCTCCTGCAGACGTTTCCTAATCTGGCTCCACATCGGGCGGCGGAAGCGCAGGTAAAGCGTTGAATATTTGAGCGTTCGTAAATTCGGACTCGAATCGTCGTTGCAGATGCAGATAATGGGTACTCGCGACTTTCTAATGAGTCGCGAGAGTTCCGCGAGACCCCCGCGATCACCCGATGACATGCCGTCGATTTCATCCATGATGAGTACCTGGCCCTGCGGAGCGGGTAATTTGTTTCTCCAAAGACCCTTGCTGGTGCCGGCTAACTCCAAGTGTGGGCGCCCCTGACCAAAGGCATGCATCGTTCGCGAGCGCAGCAACTCGGCTACGGTTTCATGGAGCGAAGAACGGTTCCGTGTATCACTCGCATTGAACTCGATAGGTTCGTAGCCACATTGCCGAGCAACAGCATGAGCTGCACTCGTCTTTCCGATTCCAGGCGGACCTGCAAGCAGCGCTGCCCGCGGAAGTTTGTTGTTCCCGTTCGTAATGCGGCCTCTTGAACCATTCGCTGAACTCGATCGGTTGCTGGTATGATCAGCTGCGCCATAGACCTGGCTCCAGGTACGTAACCAATCCTCGAGTTGCTTGAGTACACCCGGATTCGCTAGGAGCTCTGTCGCCTGCCGCGGATGATACTTCACTGTCCACAGCTCTGCTTGGGCATTCATTCGCGCGGGCACATTCTCCTTGGTCTCCTGTCTCGGCACAGCGGCATCAGAGCGGGGACGCGGTGGCGACGGCCGTCGACCTTTTGGTGGCGGAGCCAGTGCCTGCTCCAACTGAGGGTTCACAGGCGGCTTGGTGTCTCTCGAGCGCTCTCGAATCAGCGCAAAAACACCATCCTCATCAAGAACCGTGATGCTGGGCCTGCTTGCAGCGAGCTGCATCTTCTTGGGTCCTGGATCCGCCCCGGCAACAAGATAGTTCAGGTTGCGCGTGACGCTCTTGCAAACATGACCACCGTTGGCACGAATGAGATCCTCCATCTCCTCGCGCGTCAAAGAGTCCATTACGCCTGTGATGCAAAAGTTCAAGCCCGAAAGACAGTCGGGGCTTCCACGAGGTGGCGGGGCCTTCTTCCCACGTAACGGAGGCGACATGACCTGTTGAACGTGCTCCCAGACGCGCTGTCGTATGCTCTCTCGACTGGGTGTTGGTGTCTCAGCTTCCGCGACGTTCTCACCTGGTGAAGAGCCCCGAGGTGCTCCCGCTCGGGCTTGCGTCACTCTGGGTGGCGTGACAAGGTGCTCGTCCACGTTGACTAACGATCGCTGAGGGCTTTGCTCGAGCCCAGTGGAGCGCGCTTCAGCTTCTTCAACTGCGCTCTGCCTTGCCCGTTTGCGTGGCGTCGTTTCTCGTGCTTGCGCTGTAGCCGCTGAGGCCGACTCCGGTTCCCAGTCTGCACCAAGGGCATCCTCCTCGTCATCGTCGATGATGACGCGCCTCCTGGAAACGCTTGACTTGCGGCTCGGGCCCGGCATACTTGACTATTGCAAGTCTATAGCAAATACGTTGTTCGGTGGTATGGCAAGGTGTTGACGGCAGTAGCGCCTGCGAAGCGCAGACATGTGCGCGCGCAGCCGTCGAGGTCGTTTACCGGTGATGCTTTTCGCAGAAGCGCGATGCTCAGAGTACACACGCCTTGTGCGGAAACGACGATCGAATAAATGAGCAGAAAGAACTTGCAGGGCGAGTCAGTCGCACTCGTGCGAGATGCAGGATGCTCGCTTTGCGCATAAAACGTCATCGGTACACGCGCATGGTACATGTTTTCGGGTGGTATATGGATCGCACCATGGCAACCCACAGGTGCATTCTGTACGCGAGGTAGCGACAGCGACTTGTGTATCAGGCGGCTCGTGTCCAGGGCAGGGGGTCCAGGCTAGGCACGCCCCGTGCTCGGGTTCGTACAACGACTCGCAGACCGTGTGCTTGGATTTCGATTTCCCTCACCCAATATGATAGCGTGGGAGCGAGCGAGAGAGACAGAGAATCTCCAGGGCGTCCAAGCAACGTGAAACGTGCGGTTGCGCTTCGTACTGCTGGCATTCGCGCAGCCGAGTGCCGCTGACGAGGTCCGTGAATCCTGTCACAAAAAAAAAGCTTTGTCTTCTCTCCAGAGCTCTGGACGCCGAGTGAACGCTCCGCAACTACCTCGATCCAGGAAGCACAGGTCCAGAGATGCCCAGAGCGCTTCCACTTTTAGTCCCAAACGAGCGTATCTGTCCGGCACCTGCTCTGAAAATGAAAATGCCCCATGCAACCCAGTCGGTCCGCCTTGAACCGAAAAGGTGCACACATCCCACGCAAGAGCGTACCGTACCGCCTTGATGCTCAAGGTATATGGTTCGACACCGGCTCCCGTCCCCTGGAACATGCCACATCCAGAGCGCAGGATGAGGTGTTTCCCGGGCACAGGAAGCGTGCAAAGCGCCGACGCTCGAACGCCGCCTTCTCATCAGCGATGTCTTGCCTATACTAAAAACATCGCAGTACAGTGATCATCATTAAGGTCATCATCACCATCATCATCAGCGATGCCTCTGTTATGATATACATCATACTACATTGATAATCATCATCTTCATCATCATCGTCAGCGATGCCTCTCATATTCCATACATCATTATACATTGATAAGCATCATTATGGTCATCATCATCATCTTCTTCTTCTTCATCAGCGATGCCTCTCATATTCCATACATCATCATACATTGATAAGCATCATTATGGTCATCATCATCATCTTCATCTTCTTCTTCTTCTTCGTCCGCGACGCCTCTCATATTCCATACATCATTATACATTGATAAGCATCATAATCGTCGTCGTTAACATCATCATCATCATCTTCTTCTTCATCAGCGATGCCTCTCATACTCCATACATCATCATACATTGATAAGCATCATTATGGTCATCATCATCTTCTTCTTCTTCTTCGTCCGCGATCCTCTCATATTCCATACATCATCATACATTGATAATCATCATAATCGTCGTCGTTAACATCATCATCATCATCTTCTTCTTCATCAGCGATGCCTCTCATATTCCATACATCATCATACATTGATAAGCATCATTATGGTCATCATCATCATCATCTTCTTCTTCTTCTTCTTCGTCCGCGACGCCTCTCATATTCCATACATCATTATACATTGATAAGCATCATTATCGTCGTCGTTAACATCATCATCTTCTTCTTCTTCAGCGATAACCGTTGCTACAGCGCCAAAGCAGCGTGTGCGGCAGGCGCGCCGCGCACCCCCAACGTGAAGATCGACTGCCTCCGACGTCGCCGACTCACGGTTTTCAGTACCAAGCAGAGGTCGTGAGCGTCTCCTGAGGCGTGTGCAATTCTTGAGTGCTTGTTTCCATTCGTCCCTCGAAAATCTATCGATTTGAGTAGGTTCCGGATCCAGACTATATGGTTGAGGCATTCGTTTGGTCGGTTGCAGCGGCAAAAGTCCCACGTACGGGCCGTCACACTCTTGGGGCGCAGCGGCAAGCCTACAAGCCAGGGAGTGCAGAGCTGTCGGCGTGGCGGTGTCCGCAGAGACGCCTGAGTGCTAGCAAGAGACCAGCACTTGTCGCATCAATAGCTACCGAGGCTGGCGTGAATCTAACGGGAGTTTTCATTCTCGCGGGGACGGTGGTGATCCACGAGCTTGGGCACTTTCTCGCTGCTCGCCTGCAAGGTATTAAAGTGAAAGGGTTCTCTATAGGCTTCGGGCCTCGCCTTTTCAGCTTTCGACCGAAAAACTCGGAAACAGAGTTCGCGATTCGGCTCCTTCCACTTGGGGGCTTTGTCGCCTTCCCCGAAGACTATCGATACGATGAGGAGTCGAAAACCATCGTCAAGAATGACGATCCTGATTTGTTGCAGAATCGGCCGTTGATGCAGCGTGCACTGGTGATCGCTGCGGGCGTCCTTGCGAATATCGCGCTCGCTTGGACGCTGCTTTTCACTTCAGTTGAGACGGTTGGCGCTCCGCGGATGCAGTTTGAAACGGGAGTTTCAGTGCCGGCGCTTACGGACATGAGCGCTCCTGCAGCGAAGGCCGGACTCAAGCCAGGTGACGTCATTGTCGCAGTGAACGGCCAAGCGCTGGCACCCGGTGCGGAATCCGCGTTGGAGGCTGCGAACATGTTACGGCGCCTCGCCGCAGATCCCCAGCACAAACCGATCGAGCTGCAGCTTTCAGACGGAAGAGTAGTACGAGTGGATCCCGAAGGGGGCCGCATCGGCGTGCAGCTGGTCCCCAATGCGAAAGTATCGCGTGAGCGAGTCCCTCTACGGAATGCTGTACCAGAGACCAACAAGGAGTTTGTGAATACCTTACGCAATACGATCAACGGTTTCATCACGCTGTTTTCGAATCTCAAAGAAAACAGCAAGGAGCTCAGCGGCCCGCTCGGCGTGGCATCCATAGGTGCCGAAATCGCTCGCCATGATGCCTCTGTCCTCCTGCAGTTTGCTGCAGTCATTTCGCTGAATTTAGGGATCATCAATGCGTTACCGTTGCCGGCTCTGGATGGCGGTCAGATGGCCTTTTTGATTGTCGAAGCGATTCGTGGGAAACCGTTGCCACGGAACCTCGAGAATGCGATCAATGGGACTGCGCTAACCCTGTTGCTGGTGATGAGTGGGTTCCTGCTCATAGGCGACCTTGAACGGATTCAGGTGCTGTCGTGGCTGATGAATGGCCCTTCGCCGTGAGCACCCCTGACGGCGGTAGCTGGTATAGGCGATGGCGAGCGTGCTCTCAGACGCCATCGATAACCTTGGGTGTTTTTTGCGAGCCGCATGCTGCCGAGGACAGGACAGGGGCACGAGTTTTTCGAGGTCGCCTGCACATAACAGACGCGTTTCTCAAGGGCACAGCACCTGATCGCCGGTTTGGCAATCGCAATCGAGCAGGTCCCTGGGGAGGAAAACCCGTAGCGTTTGTTCGGCATGGACATCGCTCTGGTGGACCATAATTTTGAGGTCGAATACATCTTGATAGATACTGTGTCAATGGAGCGAGGCGTACACTTCCTCTGTATGCCGCGGTACCAACTGCACATGGCGCCTGTAGCCTGCCCGCTGTGCGAGCGGTTTGCAGCGCAGCTAGCAGTGGAACGCTCCGATGGTACGATGTGCAACGGTAGCTCGTCAAAGGAATACATGGGTGCATCTATTGAGCGCTCGTTTACTAGAGGTGTGAACAAGAGGCATCGCATCGGTGCGATACCATTCGCAACTGCAACTCGGGAAAGGAGTACATGGTTGCGTCTACTGAACGCTCGGTTATCCAAAGTATGAAAGAGAGGCATCGTGCTGGCAGACACTGGCGCTGGACCCATTGGACTCGCCTTAAATGGCTGCTGTTTTCATTCAAGGTTGTGATTGGTGCATCGTTAACAGGGCGCTGCATATGGACGCTGCACGGTACGCTTGGGTGAGTGTTCGTTCAAGTGCGTCCGCTGTGGCGCCACACCGCCGTGCGCAGTATCAGTTGTTGCTCCCGTTGTTGTAAACAACCTGGAGGCCTGCCCAAGGCGACGAAGAACTCCAGCTCGAGCCAACACGCGCTTTAGTCTGTCCAAGGCACGATTTCTATGCAGGGCACCCACGGCAGCGACACATCCGACACGGGTGCTGGCGTCTGAGGCAGACTTGGCACCCCGCAGGTTCGCTGCAGCGATCGAGCTACGATCGTATACGTGAAGCCGTTTTTGGAATCCGTCCGATATTGAGGTGTCTGGTGCGAAATGGTCGTCCGATTCCTGAATATCGACAGCCACCGCATGTCCAGAAAAGTCGTATTGGACCTATCGATTGTACTTTAAACGAAAAAGATGACCATTCAGCGGCAGAGGTGGCGTTCTTATTCAACAACGAGCTCCAGAATCGGAGTGCGCGCGTATCCCGAGGCCATAACGCCCAGCAGTGCCCTGGGTTCTCTAGCGAGTAGCGAACTCACCGGTTATTGATCATCGGCCTAAGCAAGTCCACCATTGTAGTCCCCAGGCACAGCTGATCGACCCGCAGACACAGACTCGTACCTGCTATTCACTCGCGTCCTAACTAGCGCACCCGCAGGTTCTCAGATATTCATTTTTGAAAGCATTCAAGCGTGATCTCGATGCACCTTCCCCCGTCGCTACGTCACCATTAAATTGCATAGACGTAGACGAGCCCCGCATCACCTCCAAAGGCAATCAACCGTTCAGTTTGAATGATATCGAGACTGTTCGCGAAATCGGCTCCGGGTCCTCCACGAACCACTGGACCCAAGTCTGCCGCTGTACTGCCAAAGTACACCCGCCCGTCTGTCCCACAAGAGGCGATCTTGCGTTGCCCACCCGCACACTGGACGCTGCGAGCATCAAGGACCGGGCCCTCGTGCAGGCGGTCCGCTCGCAGCAGGCTCGCCGGCTGACGTCGATCCCACTCCAGAACGTCGCCGCAGTCGGTGCCGGCAACCAGGTACCGCTCATCGACATCCATACACAGCGGAATCGAGCCTTGTGGTCGCGGGAATGCGCTAATGGATGACGCCAGTAGAGCGCTGGGGAGTTCAGAGGCAGCGCTACAGGCATCAGCGCGAACACGAAGGTCCCAGCATCGCACGGCACCGTCAAGGGTTGCAGTCATGACCTCAAAACTGTGCTCGAGCGCCGCAAAAGCGCTAAAACCTGTTCCAACCATCCCATGAAGCTCAAAACATGCGCTTTCGAGGTCTATACGGTATAAGTGTCCCGCATCCGTGGCTACTGCTTTGGAGTTCAGCCCGATAATCGAGCTGTGCGCTGTTTGCATGATGACCTCGAGCTCGTAAGTCTGGTAGCTAGGAGCTCTCGCAGGCTCACGGTTGTCTGCACTTGTATTCGGTAGTCGCAGGATCGTACCGCGTGCCGTTCCAACAAGGGACAACTCCGCACACAGCGCCGTGATGGGGTCTGTGTGCAGGCCGCGGCACCAGTGGTCCCACTGCAGCACCCGTGCCGAACTTGAGGAGCGTTGCAGCTTGCGTTCGTCCTCTTCAGTCACTGCAGGTCTTGGCTCGTGTTCCGATACGCCGGGCTCTCTCGAGCGCAGAGCGCCTATCACCCACGAACGGCCGCCCACGATCGTCGCTATCCCGCTTTCTCCCAGACGAAGCCAACGCACCGGTCCGGTGAGTACGACTGCCGCTGGCGCCGGTACACTTTCGAGAAACCCCATATCATGATTGACGTCCGCATCCTGCTCGAGAAAGGCGGAAACGGGCGTCCTGACTTGCTGCATGAACGCGATGCCTCGGCACCAGGTGTGTCGCCTGTACGGAAGCAGCGCGACCACGGCGCTGGTGTGTGTGTGTGTGAACGCGTGCTGGCCCCCAGGCCGTACAGCAACTCGCCACGGCACGCCAGTTCTGCCCAGAAACAGCCCGAGCACAAGAGTCTACGCTTTCTATCGCCGGGGTCTTCCTGCAAACGCTCCGCACGGAACGCTGAACCAATGTAGGTCGTGCATCCGCAGCCGAGAAATGTGCGGGGAAATGGGTGTGCGTCAGCAGCTGCGACCGTGCCCCGGACCTCCAGCATCGCTCTATTCATTTCTACTCTGAAAGAGAAGAACTGTAAAGGATATCGTTTATCGAGATCGGGACTCGTTTCGTATAGAACCTGCGACGCGAACTGCGTACTCGGTATGCCACCCGCTTCATGGAGCACACCTGGGCCTTCTGCGTAGCACCACACGTACAAGAGCACAGAGCAAGGCGCCACTTGTGATGAATGCTGGGATGCAATCAGTCCGAACGCTCAAATGATGACGGCAGCTGCTCGCGTCGAATTCCAGGAATCAGACGTGAAGGAGAAGATGATGACCGTCCATTTCGCTGCAGAGGAAGCGTCCGCGCTCGACACCGTGCAGGGATGCGTTCTGGGGCGCATTCGAGAGCGCAGCAGCTACCGATGTGCAGCTATCACTCGCGATAGAAACGTTTCATATCCTGGGAGGGTATGTATATACCCACTCGGAGACGACTCCCAGCCTTTCTTGACTGGCCACCATCAACCGGTTTCGGTTCATCAAGGCACACTTCGAGGGTTAGGGACTGCCTCACAAAGTTGGATCGTGGCAGCTCCGCGGATGTCGACTTCAACACCATACACGTTCTGATATTCATGGCGGCATAAAGTCTCGGTTCACGGACTCCATGCGTTTGTTGCCTCTACTCAAACTCACCATTGCTAGGATTCCTCAAATACGTGTCCTTTGAGCCACTAGAATCCCGTCATCGTCCTGTCGGGCAAACAACACTCCTCTTCTATCTCCGCTCTTCGACCTCTTCTTCATACCTAGATCGTCGTCGCGCCCTATAGTCGGCGAGTAGAGGATTTTATCGTTTTGTTTTATACCATCCGACGATAACGTGTCTCCGGGATCCTCGACCTGCATATCCATGACTTTCCCCTGTGTTTTTATGTCCTCAAATCAACGCTCTTCGAAAACGCCTGCTATGAACCGAGGAAAAGCATTTCGGTGACACGCACCTTGGAATTGGAACGCAATTGAGATGAAATGCCATGATATACAGGTTTATACAGGATTGATGAACCCAGTTGCTTCTGCTGGGAAACGCAGGTGCTCGACGAGACGTCATCGCCACCTGAAGACAACGTCATTTTTCAAAAACTAGGCTCCAGTTTGGGCAGACGCATTATTTCAACAGGACTTGTGTGCGCTTGGGAGTAGACGGAACGCTTTCGAGCACTTGGGACGGGAGCGCTTTACGGGTGCGTCCGAGGTCATACTTCCAGTCGTGCGCGTCGCTACGAAGCAGGCGAGCGCTTGGCGGCAGGAGTCTTCGTGGAGGTGGTGCTTCGTCTCGAATAATCTCGAGACTACAAAGACGTTAATACGCTGGTTTGAACCTGGACAGCTCCAACTCATGGCCCGCCGAGGGCGCGGTGCTGCAGCCAAGTCAGCTGGCCGTGCCGGTTCGCAGCCGCGAGACGACACTCCCGTAATAGGTACTTTGCGGCCGTTGGTGCCATTTTACGTGCCAGACGGCGCGGAGGGTGCTGGCAAAGTGAACACTGAGCTACGCTCTTATGAAAGAGGGAAAGCTAGCCACGATAGTTGGTCACGAAACGAGAGGCCGGCTGTTTCTGCGGAAGCGAGCTCTGGCGGTGCGGCTCCTGATAACCGTATCCCTGTTCGAGTGAGACGCTGGGACGCACTCCAGGGCACCTTCGGACCTGAAGACGTTCATTACGTCCAGGTTGCCACTTCGTCACTAGACGGCGAGCAGCAGTCAAAAGCGCCCGTAACGCTTCCATATTCCAGCGCTCAAACACTCGTCACCGGACAACAAGACACCGCGAGGAATCTCCTGACTCCGGATAGCATTCTACAGCAGAGAACTGAGCCCAAACCACACTACGCCAATCCCGCATGCACTATATCAAAAGAACTTGCAACATCTCTGGTGCAGTACCCAAATCACGGCGCCCGTGAACGTCCGGAATCGTATACACCTGGACAAGCGGCGAACGCATTAGGAGCGCCTACCTCGCACCACCCGATGCAGAATGCTTCACGTCGTCATTCCACGAGCGCATCGGAGCGCATCCGCTACGAAACAGCAGCCCCACTGAAACATCACACGCACCGTAATGGATCCACATCGACAACGTCTCATGTGCGATTGGATCAGGGAAAGCGCTGCAGCACCGTGAATGACGGAATGCGGTACGCAGGAGCGAGCTATTCTGCAACGGTACCGACACCGCAAGCCGTTCCGATTCCAAAGTTCGCGAGGCGATATCTAGAAATGCAAACAGCAACACCAGGTCCCAGCACAGGAGCATCCTCATCCGCATCAACGACGGCATCGGGACACACCACAATGTTGCCCACAAACATTCCCATGGACTTGAATGGGACCTATTCTCATTCTCGAAGCGCCTTGACGGCCGCAGAACGTTGCACACTCATGGATGGAACGCAAGTCGAGCGATGTTTGCTCGCGCGGAGCGACTACGGAGAACAAGCCGGATCGCCAGCTGTGCTTTGCCCAACAGCGAGCACAGCGTGGGCGCCACCGATGCATTCGGGAACGGGCCACCAGTCAGTGGACCGACCGATGCCGCCATGGAGTGTGTCGGGGTATCAACTCTATCAAAACCTGGGATGCGAACAAGCGCCCAGCACACATGCATTGCGCCCTTGGCCTGCCAGCGAGCACCCGCTGGGACCCGCAAGTCTGGCGCCTATCACGACGGTGCCTGTATCGAGTCAGACGGCGTCATCTGTAGGGACAACGTCGACTGGTCACGATGCGGAGGATCCTATAACCGCACAACTTCGCCAGGTGCTGAGGCTCGCCTCGCCAGCGGCGGTGCCGCAGCAGCAGCAGCAGTCGAAGATGCAGCGCTCACCGCGCTCGCGTTGAGTGCTCGGCACGGACCTGAGAGCCGCAACGTTCCCCGTGCATAAAAGCAAAACACGCGCCGGCGTGTGGAATGATGCCGATGATCGTGACTTGTTTTTGCCAAGACACGGAAATGATGATACGCTTGGTTGATCACGCGCTGTCAGCTTACGTGAGCAGCATCTACTCGGGCGTCAGATGAAAATGGAACACTGAAGCTGTGGCTCCATTCGGGTCTTTCAATTTTCCCGAGCTTTTTTACGTGTACAGCCTCGACATGCGAAAAGCAGGTGCAAGTGCTGCCGGATTCACGCGTAATTTTTGGATCCGCGGTCGGCTTTTCGCAGAGGAGCCTTTCACGCTGTGCCGCTGGACGCTTTTACGTCATCTTCATCAGGATGATTCGCGACACCCCCGAGCTCGGATTCGTCAAATAACCGATATCGTAATCGAAGTTATAGAAACGAGCTGCCACTGTTCTTGAATCCTTTTCTTACGTGTACCAGAATCGAATCACGCATTCTACGAGTGTTGGATCCTTGTGTTCCCGGGCAACTCGAGGCGTATCCATTGGCACCGCACACTTGACGACGCAAAAAATTGTCGACGTCGAGCTTTGACGACTTGTTTACAAGCGCATGCCGAAAACCTCGTGGAGCTGCCGACGTCGCATAATCGTCTCCGGTCTAAAGATGAAGCTTCATTTCCTGCAGGTCATCGACGAAGCCGGTCGCGAATGCACCATCACCATGCCTTCGACGGGATATGCGCGCAGGAGTTCCCGTCTCTCCTAGCTCTATAAGAAATGGTCTTGGATATGGACATGAGTCATTACAGCGATCTGTCTCTATGGAGCGCGCATCTCCGCTTTGCACGAAGCGAGCATATTCGGTTCGATACTTTTCGACGTACTCTGGAGCCTCGATTCCCTCTCCGATACCTGTTTCATCACAGGCAACAACAAGGTCCTAAAATCCTCTATTCGTTAGAATAGCATGCACTTGCAAGTGCAGCGGACAACGTACTCGCCGAGCGTATCGCCCAGATACAGCTCCTGGTCTTCGAGTGCAGCACTGGGCCAGGAACCGAAGCACAGGATCGTTGGAAGCTTTTTCGTTTCCTGCCAGTCAACGGCATGTGTCGAGCGATGCAGCGAGCGTTCACGCGTCACAGGGCGGCGCTCAGCGGACGAAGTCTTGTGATGGACGTATGGGAGCACCTGATGACACTCAAGTGTAAACGTCGCGGATCGAGAGCTACCGATGTATACAAGAAAGATGCAAATCGTTACCGAATCGTAGATCACAGCTTCCATCTGTGCACCAAATGCGTCGGTAAGAGCTGCAAAACGACGTAACCGAGACTCGGGGGCAGCCATAAACATCCTTCGACTGCTGGCAACGGACCTGAAGAGACAAGAAAGGCCGGCGTATGTAAAATCCGGAGACAAACAAGAACGAGGATCGGGAAGCAGCATGAGAGAGAGCCCGCAAAGGCTTGTGCCAATAACAGTGGGAACAGTTCCAGAATTCATTCGTATACGCCCGAGTTCCCTCCATGAGCCTCCTTTATTTCATTCTGATACGAGTGCAATGACGCTACCCCGGACGGTATTGGGACAGTTGGGACGTAGGGCAGGGCGCTTCGTTGCCACCCGCCGAACGCTGCCTCAGTGAAGAACGCGAGTGTGTCCGTTGTTGCATGTCTGGGGCCTGGGGCACGCTTGCGATGCGCACAAACTGCAATGCTCTAGCCGCCGGGCACTTGGGTCCACCACCGGCACGACCCCGGTCATCCTGGAGGTGCACCAACTAGGCAGCCCAGTGGCGTGCAGGAACAGAACGCGCTTCGCAAAGATCGACGCGGGACCACGTGTGCGAAGCTTACAGAGATGCCGCTAGGTTTCATCTAAAAGATCACGTAAAGCTTAAAGAAACGATTCCCAGAAACGACCACCAAAAAGACGATTCTTACGGGCCAGACGCTCAGACAAGTTCTCAAAGGCGCTGGCATCGTTCTGCAGACCTGCACTTGAGATATGCAGGTTGCGCAGCGCTTCCCCGCGCTGAGCCAAACGCTCCCGGGCTCGCTCTACGCGTTGCTGCACGAGCGCGGCTGAATATCTTGGTGCCATACGCGACGTAGCAGCAGGATGCTGCTGCTGCTGCTGCTGCTGACGCTGACGCTCATGCTCAGGCGTTGGCAGCACCGAGCCAGCATCGATGAGTTGTGCACGTTCGTTCGCATAGCGACTCGTGTATCCCGTAGCTGCAGCACTTGCTGTATCAGCCGCATCTGCCCACTCCCAGTGGCGGACAGGCGAAACGGAATGTGTTCGCTTGCGATAAGCGGACTGTTCTATAGCGTCATCGAACGAAGCGGATCGATACTCCTGGGCTGAGCTCGGATCGACGACGTCGTCTGCTGCCGTCTGCGGCCGAGGCATCGTCTGTGAAGACGTATGTGTCGTGTACGCTGGATTATCTTCGCGTTCGAATTCCGCTGTCCAGGATTCGGTGGGTACTTCATCTGCGTGGATGTGTGCGGGTGCTGTTGCATCCCGACGACCTGTGTCCTCGGAATGTAGCCGCAGCGGCTCCGTCTGCCCAGCAGAAACGGCCGCGTCATGCTTGAAATGCTGACGAGTCTGAAAGGAGATCGCGTTTGGCTCAGCAGTAGCCTGCCAGAGATCCTCTTCCTCTACTTGGAGCATCGCGTCGGCAATATCATCGAGACACTTGTTCAGCTTTTCTCTTCGGGTCTCGAGCATGCGCAGCCGGGCTAGCGACTCGCCTGTATGGCCGTCGTTCTGGGATCGATGCGAATGTTCATGCCACAGACGAATCTGGCGCTCAACCTCGTTCAGTTGTTCGCTCTGTTCAACACTGAGCTCTCTTAGCTCGGCAAGGCTTAGCCCAGCAAGCGTAGCTTCAATCGGGTCGGCATCTGCGCTCATGTCTCCACTGCGCAACGGTTCCGCAGTTGTCAATTTGGGAGAATTCCGTCTATGGTCTTGTAGCGGGGTTCCCGTGCCGAGCAGGTCGAGGTCATGGCCAGCCATCAGCTCCGAAAGGTGGTGAATCAGAGCCGTGAGCTCCTCACTACGTGTCTCCAACTGAGCGAGCTGAGCTCGCAGCTCATTCACGCGCGAGGGTCTGGCTCGCGGCCAAGCTCGTGCCTCGCAAGCCGCTCGTATACGTTGTTTCGTCTGAAGCACCTCGTTCAGTTCCTTGACGAGCTCAGCGTGCCGATCCACAAGCAACTTTCGCGCGTCATCGTCGAGAGAACTGATACGCTCGTGTTCGCTCATATGGGAAACGGACGGCAAGATTTCGCGCACGTCGTCGCCGGTGTCTCGAAAGCGGTGCCCCTGCGCACTTCACAGGGATTCTCGCACCCTGTATCGACTTGAGTAAATAACACAAACGTTCATGAACACCTGATCACGCTATGGTATGCAGATGCTCGTCCCAGGCCGCCCGCTTACGGAACAGAGGCGTCGTCTGCCCGCGCAGCACAGAAGCGCAACGGACGACCCGAAGCCTGTGTCTTGCCCCAACGCCGGCCAAGAACTGCGTATGCACGCCTAAACGTCCGCTGTGAACACTGTGCAAACGCACACACACACACACACAATCGCTCGCTCGGTAGAGCAGAGACGTATCCCAGAGCGGCTCCGAACAAAACAGGCAGGTAGTTCGCAGTCTCCTGCGTACCGAGTCGCGCGAGGGCAGCAGTGCCTTGCACGTGCGCGCTGTACTGAACATGCTGTCTCAAAAAGAGCGCTTCGCTTTCGTGCGCTTTGGCAACGAGTGGATGCCAACCTTTGGTAAGACCTTTCGTTGGTGCATAGCTGAGGAATGATGCGTGCTTGTGCTGTTATCAGCACTAAAGATTTGTCCTGTTTATGGACACGTCTGTTGACGTCGTGACGCGGACGGTCGTCTGTGAAGCGCGACGAATGCAGTAACGTGCACCGGAAATGAACCAGAGGTGATGCACCACTGGTAAATGAGTCAACACTGGTTCAGTAGGCTTGCTGAAAGAGGAATGAAGAGGACAACGTGCAGAGCGTGCTGCTGAAGCGTCGCATGGCTTACCGTGCAGAGTATCAGCACGCGCACTGCGGTACCAGTGGCACGCATGATTCGCGAAGCGTTCTGGAGTGCAGGAAACTTCGCTGTGGACTAAAGAACAACCAGGTCATGAATGCTGACGTACGCGTGCACCCTCAGACGTATTCTCAAGCAATCACTGCGGAGGAGGCGCGATAAAACAAAAGAAGCAAGTCTCGGTTATCGTCCTCCAGCTGCACTCGACAGAAACGCATCTGAAAGGTGCGCTTCGGCGTCGTCGGGTGTACGCTCCGGTGCGTCTAGCGCCCGTCCAGGCGGCCAGTGTAGAGTCGATGCCTGCGAGCACACGGCAATACGGTTGCATGCGTCAGCGTTATATCATGAAATGTAGACACTGGCGTGTCTCTGGGTGACAACTGCAGCGGTGGTGCATTGAGCGTCGCGGCTGACACCCACAGGGTAACTGGATAGGCGAGTCTCCTTCTAGTAGCGTACGTGCGCATCTTGGTAGTGCTTGAAATCGTGCACGGACGTGCACTGGTGCTTCGACGAGAAAGCACCTCGCCAGAGATGGCGAATCAGAAAATGCTACCGCTGCCACCGCCGGAGACCAATTGTGCTTTTCTGCTTCGCCTGTTCAAGGGCACGTGCCTTGTCTGCAAGCTGTATGGTCAGGTATATCGAATCATGGATCACCACCACCACCACCACCACCACCACCACCACCATCATCATCATCATCATCGTTCACCAATGGCCCAGGAAAATCATGCCCGGCATACGCATAGGCGGGATGGTAGCATTGCTGAATCGCCGACTCGTGCCATACCGGTGCCTTGCTCCAGGCGAGCGTTCAACGCACGCTCTCTTGCTCAATCATACTTTTTCGTCGCAAGTCTTCGGCATTTAAACACAGTGCCCACACGGAGCACGAATCGATTCGCTTTAAACTTCGCTCGATACACATAGCCGATAGACGCCCCCCAGGCACGAGACTTTTCCGGGTGTTGATCGAGACGTTCATGGCTCGGAGCGGAGCCTGCGCCCGCACACATGACTTGCGATGGAATCACACCAAAGTGAGCCTGCCAGCTTCAATTGCCTCGCAATTTGACGTCCGAGGTCCGCTCGCAGTATCCCATGTCGGACATTCCAAAGTGAGCCTGCCAGCTTCATTTGCCTCGCAATATGACGTCCGAGGTCCGCTCGCAGTATCCCATGACGGACATTCCAAAGTGAGCCTGCCAGCTTCATTTGCCTCGCAATATGACGTCCGAGGTCCGCTCGCAGTATCCCATGTCGGACATTCCAAAGTGAGCCTGCCAGCTTCTATTGCCTCGCAATACGACGTCCGAGGTCCGCTCGCAGTATCCCATGACGGACATTCCAAAGTGAGCCTGCCAGCTTCATTTGCCTCGCAATATGACGTCCGAGGTCCGCTCGCAGTATCCCATGACGGACATTCCAAAGTGAGCCTGCCAGCTTCATTTGCCTCGCAATATGACGTCCGAGGTCCGCTCGCAGTATCCCATGTCGGACATTCCAAAGTGAGCCTGCCAGCTTCTATTGCCTCGCAATACGACGTCCGAGGTCCGCTCGCAGTATCCCATGACGGACATTCCAAAGTGAGCCTGCCAGCTTCATTTGCCTCGCAATATGACGTCCGAGGTCCGCTCGCAGTATCCCATGACGGACATTCCAAAGTGAGCCTGCCAGCTTCATTTGCCTCGCAATATGACGTCCGAGGTCCGCTCGCAGTATCCCATGACGGACATTCCAAAGTGAGCCTGCCAGCTTCTATTGCCTCGCAATATGACGTCCGAGGTCCGCTCGCAGTATCCCATGTCGGACATTCCAAAGTGAGCCCGCCAGCTTCAATTGCTACGCAATACGACGTCCGAGGTCCGCTCGCAGTATCCCATGTCGGACATTCCAAAGTGAGCCCGCCAGCTTCTATTGCCTCGCAATACGACGTCCGAGGTCCGCTCGCAATATCCCATGTCGGACATTCGGCCCTGTTTCCCAAGTGGCGCTCAACGTAGACGCAGCACGAGCATCCGCACTCGAGCTCCGTCTGCGTCGCCATCTAGTCCTCCACAGGAAACGTGCAACATCGATTCCTGCACTCGCTGTACGCACAGGAGTCCAGCGTTTGCGTGCCACAGCACATCCAGCGCCACAGGCTTCCAGCAATCGACGCGACCTGTTGGGTACTCCCTTTTCCAACTGGTCCAGGAGCTTTGCGAGTGCGCGCCCCTCGCCTCCGTCCAACCGAGTCCGTTGGTGGCCCCCCAGCGCCGTCTCACGGAATCCTGCCAAAGGCTGTGCGCATGCGCAGGTCAGACGCTCGTGCGCGCTCTGAGTTAAAAGTGGAAACCCATCCCACGCTGCTCGACACACTGCTCAGCGCGTTCACTTTCAGGTCCTGACGCAGTCATTCCGCCTCGTACTTCGCCGTATGCCATCCAAGGTGATGCGCGGCTCCCGATCATACCAAGTGCTGGACGCGCTGGGCAGCTCCGTCTGCTTGCCATTCAGGTCTTGGGCGGCGCCGTCCGCCTCATTTGCATACACGGGGACGACAAGGGCGCTCTTCAACCTCGGATCCACGCTCCCAACAGCGACTTTCTCCTCGTCTGCCTTGAACAGTTGAAAATGAGCCTCGTTGGTGACCCAGGTCACGCTTTCACGACGCCCATGCGTACTGGAGATCCGTCGGTATCCAAAGCCTCGCTACGCGCTGCACGCCATGCCTTCCATGGAGACTAGAAACATCTGAAGAAGCGCCGCCGACGCTTTTCGTGGACCTGTTCGAGTCCGTCATACTTGCGCGGAGACACCGGATCCTTCTTCGAATACTCCGGTACCTGGCGGAGCAGCACGGACAGCGACGCTTCACTCCGTATCCGTCTCTTCTTCGGGATCCAGATGCACTGGGTGGACGACGAGCGCCAAGCTCTCCCATACTCTGCTTGTATGCACGCTATCCTCTGTGATGCTTTTCGTGACCTCATGGGTCACGAGCACGCCCACGGAGTGCAGCGTGCGTTTCCGTTCGCTCCCGCGCACGACCAGGGCGCAGCAGCACAGCAGCTCTCGACCCCTGCATAGAAGAGAGTAAAGTCGTGGATTCGTCACAGAACGTTGTCTCGGAGGCGAACGACGCATCGACGGATCCGTGAGTGTCCACATGACCTTGGCGAGCAGACAAGTCGCCCTCGACTGGATGGAGTCGACGAGACCCAGCCCACACTAGGAGCCGTCCACGGCCGTGCGCAGCAGCGTGCGCCTTGGTCGCTTTTCAGTGGTGATTCGCGACGTCGTAGATTAACAGGACGGTAGAGTACCTGAAGAAGAAGAAGAAGGAGACACAGCAGAAGCCAAGGAGAGTTTCGTCGACTCGTGAGGCAACAAACGAGCAGGGCTTTCTCGCGAGCTGCAGACCATCACACCAAAACCCTCTCTGCTGCTAACGCCAACACCGTTCTCACTACGGCTGGTCTCCTGTTTATGACCAGAAGCTTGCCGCAATTTGAGCTCCCATATACACGCCAAGCATCGCTTCCAAATAAAGCCCCATCGACTTCGATGGACACCAGTCCGCCCTGTGATGAGCATTCGCATTGCCGTTCGGAATCGAACGCGTGGTACTCCACTCGCGACAGTCTCCCAGACAGGCGTGCTTGCTTTTCGTCATCCATCCGCGTCTTTTCGTCCCAGTTCGTATCGACAGCACAGAAACATCACGCCGTTTGGATTTCTCTCGGTAGGACGTCTCAGGGCACGCAAGCTTAGAAAGCGACTGACGAGGCGACACTCGGGTAGAAAGTGCCGGAAAATTTCCGTTTTCGCTCGACAACGTTCATGATATCGGTGAGGATTCGGTTGGTTCACCCATGTGCTGACCGTGGAATGACTGACTTGTACATGTATGAGCTTTTCTTGCGAGCTCGTCCTGGCAGCATCAAGTCTCTCTGCGCCCGTTCTCCAATATCCAGCATACACTCCGTCGGATGAAGACCTGCGACATCGATAAACGAAAACACCAGCGTGCTTGCTGGTACAAGGCACCCATGAATTCATGAATCTAAGTCTCTGAGTATAACAATGCACAGGCGTACATATAAACATGAACGTGCCAAAGATCCGCGATGAGCGTCTAATCGGGAGGTTGCGTACGAGACGCACACCGCCCCGCCGACGGCTGCTGCACCAGCAAGCTGGGTAGAAGGTCTTGACATGATTCAGGCGTGTTGCTGGTGCATCTGGCATTCGCCTCGAGGCCAAGTCTCCGTCGTAAACGCGCGTAGATTTACAACCAACCCTGTCAACTCAAACGTGCGTGACCTGTATCGGAATCGTGTCCAACCTGGTATCATGCGTTTCTGCCCGCTCGCTCAACGAGTCTCAGCAGCGCTTGAGAAGCCAGGTTGCATCGCGCAGCCATATGACCTGCAATCAAGTAACACGCTACGTTTCCCGAATGGTCATCATCAGGGCAATGGATGCAGTGCCTGTCTCGTATCTAGTTGGGCACGAGCAGCTTTCGTTCAACAAGCGAGCGGGGCCGCCGCTTATGCTCCAAACGCATCTCGTTTTCTGGTGCAAGTCCGATGCAAGCTCTGAGAATGTTTTCGATGCAGAGGCGCTGACGTGCTAGCGCATTCACCACAGGAGTGCCCTCTGGCACAACGGGTGCCTTGAGGAAATAGCTCAGTAGCGACAACACGGGATGGAAACGCTCAAATTTTTCCTCATCGGCTCTCTTCATCTCAATACGCTCTGCAAGCTCTGCGAGAATGGTCAGGTCGAGGATAAGTGGCGCCGCTAGAAGCGAGTCCTCACAGGTCTGGTGAACGACAATGGTGTTCCGTCCGCCCATGAAGATTTCGCTTTCGTACTCGTCGAGCGCACGTTTGCTATCGCCAACCGCCGGCACATACTTGATGACAACTAAATGGTCCGGACTCTCACCGGGCCTGTAGAGAACCCCGTTACTGGCAACCATGTCATCCACAACGCTTGACTTGGATATTTCCTTGCTACGAAACTGGCTCGGTGCCGATAAATTCTTTCCATCATTATTACCGAGATGATTATAGGAGGCTATCGAGAGGGGTTTGATACCGGCACCGATCAGAAAATCAGCGAGAACTGATTTCAGCTTTGTTTGACCCGATTTGAAATCATCGCCACCAATAAAGACGTCACGTTGCACAGCGAGGTCGATAACCCCGGGCACAAACGTGTTCTGCGGAGAACCGTTAATAAACGAGCAGCCTTCCAGAATTGATGCTGTGGCAAATAGCGCGCTCGGCGATATCTCCGAGTGACTCGCAGCAATTGCGTGCAGAAGATTCTCCGCGGTATCGTTCACCCCCTCCATGACAGTAGCGTAGCGTTCCGTGTTGGCCGTCCACAGCACGATGACCTTTTCCACGTTCCTCTCGGCTTTGAAAGCGCGAATATCTGCGCGGATTTTCTCCAAATGTTCCCACTTGTTGGTGCCCGGGATCAGATTGTCGGCACGTGACGCCTGGTTCGCCGCAATGAAATCCCCATACAGCACCGATGGTAAAGGTTTCAAAGGGGCCATGTACGGCTCGAGCTGCAGCTGCAGATCGTAGTCAAGTACTTGCGCGCGACGCATCGCTTCTGCGAGGTTCGCACTGGAGATATCCCAGCCACCAATCTCCAGGTCGTTGGGATTCACCATCGGCAATAGGGCGCGCAAAGGCACAAATACGTCCTCCTCAAATCGCCCGTCGCTTTCGTAAAGACTACCCAGCCGAACGGTGGCGGACTGTGTTAGAGAGCCGAAATAGTTCGGAGTCTGAATGCCGTGCTTCGTACGCCAGGTGATGCCCTCGCGGTTCGCAATGACTGCACCAGTGACGGTACTGCCGTTGTTGCCACCCCAGCCCACCAGCATAAGACCCACCCTCGGTACACGACGCTGCGTGCGGAAAGTATACTTGACCGATAAAGGCCGCACAATCGCACGACCACTGTTTCGCTCCAAACGCACGGCATTCGTTTCGTAGTCGACGTCCGCTTCTATGTAGTCGGGCGTGTACCGCACGTTCGGCGCTTGAACGTAAACCTCTTCTGCGAGCATTTTCTGCAAGTTCCTAACCACCAGTTAGAGTCAAGCGATGAAATGAAGCGACGTTTTCCCACACAAACCGCGCACCTCTGCAAACGTGTCCGCACAGTGCACTGTGCACGTCGAGCGTACAATCCCGCTTTTACGACACAAAGCGTCGATGTAAGGTATTGCCCTGCAGAGGGCGCCCCGCGTTCGTGATTGGATGGCGCGCAGCACGACACGCGACGGTGCATGTGTTCGAATTCGCTATCGCGAAGCCCGCCGGTGCACAACGTGGCGGTAGACAGCGCATCGACGGCATCGCCGCGTTCCATGCGCGCATTCAATTGCGCACGCGGGTTGCTGGCGATGCGCGCTATGGATGGCGATTGACGGCAGGTCGCACAGCTGCACGTGTCGCCGCCTGGCGCGGCGGCGCTGCAGGGATCGTGCAGCGCACCGGCGGCTGCTCCAATCGGGGGCGGAACGTTGGTCGTCGCCTGTATGTCCGTTTTGTTGCCTTTCATCCACATTGCGTTCCAGTGTCCAGGTGCATGTCACCAAGTGCTCTTCCACAGCTCAGAGCAGGTGCGTTTTAAGTGCGTTGATTGGAGGTAATAAAAGATGCAAGGAAAAGTTATGGATGTGCAAGTCAGGGACACTTGAGGGCCGCCATTGTCGGGTGCTGGTAGAAACGATAAAATCCTCTTCTCGCCGAACATCGAGCGAAAAGGATCAAGTCATGGAGAAGTAGAAGAGCGCAGATTGACGAGAAAAGGTGTTTCGCCGACGGGACGCTGAGGAGACTCTAGTGGCACAGAGGGCACGAGTCTGAGGAATTCTAGCAATAGTGGGTTAAAGTAGAGGCACGAAATGCATGGAGTTCGTGAACCGGGACCTGGCGCCGCCATTATTGTCAGAAGATGTGTGGTGCTGAAGACGAGGCCCGCGGAGCTGACGCGATCCAACTTTGTGCGGTGTCCTGCAGGCCTCGGAGTTTGCAGGAAGAAAATGAAAACGATAGCATAGCGGTGGTCAAAATGGCAGGGAGACTTCTCTGAGTAGGTATATACATACTCTCCATGGCCGAAGAACGTTTCTCCTTTGTTTGGTCTCATACAGGTCTCGTGGAGCAGCGTGCTGGAGGCCGATCGCTTGTATCCGCAGGCACGCCAAATAGGGGCATCTTCCGCGCCTGCTATGGATCAGAATGATGTTGCCGATAGATGCTATGCCAGACACTGAGGCGAGTGAGCATCTAGTTCCCAGAGGTTTTCATAAAGAATGCGTGATGCGCCTGAAAAACGACGAGCACGCACTTCGAGCGGCGATTCTATCGTTTGCGAATGCTCCCGAACCGTTCCACTGAATTCTTCCGATCGCGACAAGGTGTGCAATGGACTCGTCAAGCATCCCTCGCATCTAATGGTATTTCTCGATAACAGGGTAGACACGAAAATTCCTTCGTGGATGGCATCGATCGCTGATGCACCTGGTCGAATCGATGCCTTCCCCCCGGACACGGATGCACCATTGCTGAACCTGTCTTTTTTCATCACAGTTCGATGTACGATGTCGAGATGTGCGCAGCGCTACCTTGCCCACTAATATGCTAAAATCTATATTGCGCATCCCACATCGCTGATCGATCCAGTGATGTATAGAAAGCTCGCTAAATGAAAGGTGCTCGAGACGTTGTCGCGCATGCACTGTATGCCGCACCGTGCACCATTCTATAGCGGCATCAGTGCTTCATTACCTTCCGGGTGAAGGATCCAGCGAATCGGATGCACTTACGAGCGCAGCGTGTCTTTCGCACCTGCGCACTGGTGAGTGCCAAGCAAACGCCCGCGCCGCGAACCGACACCGCATCCCATGCACGACCGCGAAGAGGAGCGACACTGCTCTCAGCATTCATCCTAACAGCCGAGTTCCTCTAACGTGTCTTGCAGCGAAGGCAAGTCAGCATCCGCAGGCTGACTGATCACAAGTAGACATCGAGACCTGAACCTGTGTCGGGTGAAGCACGCCTCGAGCCTACGCCCTCTGTGGTACGACAACACCGGTGCTATATGCGCAATCGCGGACGCAAGATAGAACGTATGAATCGACCAGTGTATCCGAGAGGAAGTATGGGTAATGGAACTTGGAAGTAGGTCATGGAGCAATATATGCTTCACCGCGCAACGCGATAATCGGCGTACAGTGGGCGAACGCTGGCCTGTGTAAGCGTTTCGCAAATGAACAGAAATCAGTGCTTCGTGATCGGCAGCGGCGGCGCTGGCAACGCCATACAGCGTAACCTCGAACGGCAGCGGTGCGCACTGCAGCGCGGCACGCTCCTACCGGATATCTTTGGCTCGCGGCGTCTTCTATCCAACAGGGATCGAAGAAGCTGGTTGGCTCTCCCTGCTTGCTATTAGGGTTCCGGAAATGGAAGAAAGACGCAGTGACGTCTTTGATCCCCTGCCGGATCGTAGTCACGCGGCGATCTCGTGGCGAACAGCGGAACCGCAGACGCCGTCGCCACCGCTGCCAACGGACTTTCCGCGGCCGGTGTCTGCACCGCCCGACTTGGAAGTCCCCGAGCCTTTGCTGCTCGCGTCGTCGGGGATCCAACCGAACTGGTTCTCAATCGTGGATATTCGTGCTGATATGGACTATGAATCGTTCTATGATGCTTTTAAGGCGCAAACGAAACTGCCTCCGCCGTTGGACTCGAGCGTCTTGCGCGGCGACTTTCGAACGGTGCAGCGAGTCCGAAGTCAAAACGAGCGGAGAGAGCACGTATCCATGGACGCTGCGCTGGAACAGGCGGGTCACGCGTTGGCTGGTCTAGGGGGTACTGGGGGAGCCTCGCTAACGCCGCACTCGTTGGCAGCGTCAAACCGCGGTTATGGCGAGGCGATGCGGTTCACAGATCCGCACGGGGGGCTCTTAACCATGGAACAAGTTGCGGTCTCGAGCCACGCGGCTCTGGGCAAAGGGCCTGCGTCGCCGGATCAGATGTTATTCCCCGGAAGCCGAGCCTCACAGATGATGGCAGGGAGCGGCGCGCCTGCAGAGGTATTGCGGCCGGTTGCGAACGCTGGCGCGCTCTTGCGACGCGACGACAGTGACGCCTCCGTGGAGAACTTAATTTTCCGTGAAACGCTCAAATACGCCCGACAACTGGACAGGGAGAGTTCGGAAAGCGATCTGAGCACGACCGCGGAGCGGCGGATAACCGGCTCTGCGACCCAGACAACGAACGCTGCTATATATCATGAGGCGGATCGGCGACTCTGGCAAGCACCGCTCGTCGCTACCACGGTGCTTTACTCGTCCACGAAGCCGCATCCTGACACTAACGACAATGCGCTCGCACAGAAGGCTGTAGGCTTGGCGGGCACTCAGGATACGGACGGCACAAAAAATCACGCCGCAGCAACAGCAGCTGCTGCGAGCGCTCCCTCTCATATTTCCGACAACAGCGCAGGTGCAGGTCGTATCCCAAGTGGTGGTACCGGCTGTGAAGCCGGCGAACGATACGAGGAGCGCAGCTCGCCCCGATCGCGGAACGAACTCGCTGCTGGCATCCAGCGGGGCGTACCGTCGCGTTCGCAGACTCCATCGATGGCTGCTATTGCAGCCGTGAGTCCGCCCGTTGCCACGATCACCCCGGGGAGTTGTGCAGCAACCTCCGTCGTGCCGCGCATCCCAGTGACGACCTCCACGATGGGCGCTCAAGTGGCTCAGACATCCACCCTGATGCCAGCCTGGACAGAAGCTGTTGCGCCAGTCCAGAGTATGGAGAATAGTGGCGCCTTTGACATTCGGGATATTCGCGCTCCGCTACCGCACCCGGGTGCCGAGCATCTGCCGAAAAAACCATGGAGCACACGCGGGCGTCCCCGTCGAGCTCCGCGAAACACAGCCCGTAGCAGCATTTATCTGGGGCAACATCAAGCGATGCCGTCTCAAGAGCTGCCTGTTGGACTCGATGCTGCGGCTTCTGGTCACCAACCGCATCATCCTGAGCTTGTCTCGTTCAAGAGTGCTGCTCTTGCGGCATCCATTCCGACAAACACAGCGCCTGACGGGGCCTTGAGTGACGCGTCTGCCCCGCTCTCTTGCTTTGCTGGGCGTATGGCGCTGATGGCTCGGGATCAACAGGGAGGCCGCTACCTCCAGGCGCGTCTCGATGTCAAGAATGCTGCAGACACGGCGCTTATTTTCGAGGAGTGTCGACCGCATTTCGTGGAGCTTGCGATGGATCCTTTTGGGAACTATCTATGTCAGAAACTCTTCGAGCACTGCAACCGCGAGCAACGGCTAGAGCTCATTCGACAGAGTGCATCGCAGCTGGCTCAGGTTTGTATGGACCCGCATGGAACTCGCGTTGTGCAGAAAATGATCGAGCTTACCGTTGAACCTGAGCACGCCGCACTCATCGCCCAGGCCATCTCGCCGCACTGCCTATCGCTGATGTGTGACGTGAATGGAAATCACGTCATTCAGCGATGCTTACAGAGAATGGATGTCCCGTTGAGACGCTTTATCTACGACACCGCCCTCACGCGTTATCTGGAAATCGCGAGGCATCGACACGGCTGCTGTGTACTGCAGCGTTGCCTCGATCACGCGACGGCGGAACAGCGCAGCAACCTCTGCGCCCTGATTCTGAACAGTGCCTATGAACTGATGCAAGACCCGTTCGGCAACTACGTCGTACAGTACGTGTTAGAGCTCAAGGAGCCGTCGTATACGAGGGCAATCATTCAACGCATTCGTGGCCACCTTTGGCAGCTTTCCATGCAAAAGTTTAGCTCGAACGTGGTAGAGAAAGTCTTCACGATGGCGAACGAGCGAGACCTGCGATCACTGCTTCACGAGCTTTTAGAAGGCCCACAGTCGGTCGAGAGCATGCCGCTACAGGTCGGCTCCGAGCAGCACCAACGAAATATACGACCCCTGCTTTTCGATCCGTATGCAAACTACGTCGTTCAGCGGGCGCTTTCGCTGGCGCCCTCACCCGTGTTTGAAGCGTTGCGGGAAGCGATTCAACCGCACCTGGCGGAGCTGCGCGGCACACCCTTCGGGAAACGTATTCAAGCTCGCCTCTCACGGACGCCTTTGCGGACCGGTTCAGCGGTGACGTCCGCGAACGGCTCCAAACGACTCTAGCAAGCACATAAAAGCAGCTTGCAGCGCTGTCGTGCGGACGCTGGACATGGCGCAGCAGCGTCACTTGGGAGTTCTGGACGTGCTTCGGAGACAGTTGACCGCGGCAGTGCCGGTTTCCAAGAACAGAGGGCGAAACCCCGGGACTTGGGTCGTTTCCGACGCCTTGCTGTTGTTCTTGTTCTTGTTGTTGTTGTTGCTGCTGCTAGATCCATGTCGGAATAGAATAGAACCGGTCCGCTTTGTTCACACGGGCATACACGCTGGAATTTGAGCATGTTCTCATGTTCATGAATATGAGGTTTTACGAGCCTCTTATGCGACTGCGTCGCTCTCGCCTCTCGTGTCCTTGTCTTTGAATACGCGTATCTGTCCTTGACCTCCAGCTCTGTTGCCGGCAGTCGAAAGATCATGACAGCAGCGGTAAAGACTGGGTGACGTCGTTTCCAGCCGTCGTCGACGCATGTCATGCAAAGGCGCAAGTTGCGATCTACGCTTCGCTCGCTACCGTTAAATTCTTCGCTTTCAGCCTCTGTATGCCCGTCGTAGCAGTGAAACTCTGCTATGGGTCAGGTGTTCTCATATGAATGCCACGCGTCGTCGGTCTCCTTCAAGGGTCGCCCCCTTGCACGTGAACGCCTGCTTCAGCGCTCGGCACATGCGCGTGACGCGTGCGCGTGTATGTCCTCGATGCCTCTCTCCGTTTTCGAGCTCGTTGCAGCACCCTGTGATCACTGGCTTCCTCTAGTCGAATTAAGCAGCGAGTGTTCTGTTTGCTGGGTGGGGAAGCGTATGCCGCTCAATTCTACCAGGGATTTGTGAACAGCGTCGCGTTCCGCAAAGAAACAAATACCAGAAGAAAAATTCTTGCTCGAGAACATGTCGAAAAATCTTGATCTGTTTGCGATTGCTGCGTGCAAAAACGGCGACGCTCTCTCTTTTGAAACCGATTGCTCGGATGACTTGAGTCCGAGTCCAAGGGCCTTTACCATGCAAGCAGAAGGGACCGGAGCCGCTGGGAGCAAAGCCGTGACCGGCATCATGCTAATATGGAATGCGGTTTCTTTGGTGGCGGGAGGGAGTGGCGGCTTTGCTTTTCGAACGGAATCGATTCTTTGACGTGACAAGTTCCGTAAACTTTCGACATGAGCTTGAGAAAAAGTCGTCTAGAGACGACGTCGAGTATCTTCTTCGCTTTCTTTCCCGCGGCGCAACTTGCTGGGCCAATGAATTGCCTCGACGTCGAGAAATCGAAAACTTGAAAACGCATGCTTTGAGCATACTAAACGGAATGAAAAGGGAATAGGATAGGCTTGTAAGGATGACCGGATGATGATATTGGTTACTTTACGAACCATGGTTCCATTGCGTCGCGAATCACCTCGATAACGATGACATGATGAATTCTGGATGCCAAGATTCCGAAGCTTTACTCGGAAGCACAACCAAGAATCCAGAAACGATATATGAATCCAAACGGCGTTATTTCTCCAGATTGAACCACATGGCTGCACAAAACTGCGAAAAAAATAGATATACGGGAACAATGCGTGTACTTTCGTGTTCCATTCATTTCTGATACGGGTGTAGAGGTATGCAGCCTCGGAGACGCTCGACACGTATGCATATCGTCAAGCGTCGTGCGTGGGCACTTACATTGAAAAGAATCTCCGTTGCTTCTGCATGTCAATGTACGGTCAGGTATGTCGAATCATGGATCACCACCACCACCACCACCACCACCACCACCATCATCATCATCATCATCATCATCATCATCATCGTTCACCAATGGCCCAGGAAAATCATGCCCGGCATACGCATAGGCGGGATGGTAGCATTGCTGAATCGCCGACTCGTGCCATACCGGTGCCTTGCTCCAGGCGAGCGTTCAACGCACGCTCTCTTGCTCAATCATACTTTTTCGTCGCAAGTCTTCGGCATTTAAACACAGTGCCCACACGGAGCACGAATCGATTCGCTTTAAACTTCGCTCGATACATATAGCCGATAGACGCCCCCCAGGCACGAGACTTTTCCGGGTGTTGATCGAGACGTTCATGGCTCGGAGCGGAGCCTGCGCCCGCACACATGAATTGCGATGGAATCACACCAAAGTGAGCCTGCCAGCTTCATTTGCCTCGCAATATGACGTCCGAGGTCCGCTCGCAGTATCCCATGACGGACATTCCAAAGTGAGCCTGCCAGCTTCATTTGCCTCGCAATATGACGTCCGAGGTCCGCTCGCAGTATCCCATGACGGACATTCCAAAGTGAGCCTGCCAGCTTCATTTGCCTCGCAATATGACGTCCGAGGTCCGCTCGCAGTATCCCATGACGGACATTCCAAAGTGAGCCTGCCAGCTTCATTTGCCTCGCAATATGACGTCCGAGGTCCGCTCGCAGTATCCCATGACGGACATTCCAAAGTGAGCCTGCCAGCTTCATTTGCCTCGCAATATGACGTCCGAGGTCCGCTCGCAGTATCCCATGTCGGACATTCCAAAGTGAGCCTGCCAGCTTCAATTGCTACGCAATACGACGTCCGAGGTCCGCTCGCAGTATCCCATGTCGGACATTCCAAAGTAAGCCTGCCAGCTTCTATTGCCTCGCAATTTGACGTCCGAGGTCCGCTCGCAGTATCCCATGTCGGACATTCGGCCCTGTTTCCCAAGTGGCGCTCAACGTAGACGCAGCACGAGCATCCGCACTCGAGCTCCGTCTGCGTCGCCATCTAGTCCTCCACAGGAAACGTGCAACATCGATTCCTGCACTCGCTGTACGCACAGGAGTCCAGCGTTTGCGTGCCACAGCACATCCAGCGCCACAGGCTTCCAGCAATCGACGCGACCTGTTGGGTACTCCCTTTTCCAACTGGTCCAGGAGCTTTGCGAGTGCGCGCCCCTCGCCTCCGTCCAACCGAGTCCGTTGGTGGCCCCCCAGCGCCGTCTCACGGAATCCTGCCAAAGGCTGTGCGCATGCGCAGGTCAGACGCTCGTGCGCGCTCTGAGTTAAAGGTGGAAACCCATCCCACGCTGCTCGACACACTGCTCAGCACGTTCACTTTCAGGTCCTGACGAAGTCATTACGACTCGTACTTCGCCGTATGCCATCCAGGGTGATGCGCGGCTCCCGATCATACCAAGTGCTGGACGCGCTGGGCAGCTCCGTCTGCTTGCCATTCAGGTCTTGGGCGGCGCCGTCCGCCTCATTTGCATACACGGGGACGACAAGGGCGCTCTTCAACCTCGGATCCACGCTCCCAACAGCGACTTTCTCCTCGTCTGCCTTGAACAGTTGAAAATGAGCCTCGTTGGTGACCCAGGTCACGCTTTCACGACGCCCATGCGTACTGGAGATCCGTCGGTATCCAAAGCCTCGCTACGCGCTGCACGCCATGCCTTCCATGGAGACTAGAAACATCTGAAGAAGCGCCGCCGACGCTTTTCGTGGACCTGTTCGAGTCCGTCATACTTGCGCGGAGACACCGGATCCTTCTTCGAATACTCCGGTACCTGGCGGAGCAGCACGGACAGCGACGCTTCACTCCGTATCCGTCTCTTCTTCGGGATCCAGATGCACTGGGTGGACGACGAGCGCCAAGCTCTCCCATACTGTACTTGTATGCACGCTATCCTCTGTGATGCTTTTCGTGACCTCATGGGTCACGAGCACGCCCACAGAGTGCAGCGTGCGTTTCCGTTCGCTCCCGCGCACGACCAGGGCGCAGCAGCACAGCAGCTCTCGACCCCTGTGCATAGAAGAGAGTAAAGTCGTGGATTCGTCACACAACGTTGTCTCGGAGGCGAACGACGCATCGACGGATCCGTGAGCGTCCACATGACCTTGGCGAGCAGACAAGTCGCCCTCGACTGGATGGAGTCGACGAGACCCAGCCCACACTAGGAGCCGTCCACGGCCGTGCGCAGCAGCGTGCGCCTTGGTCGCTTTTCAGTGGTGATTCGCGACGTCGTAGATTAACAGGACGGTAGAGTACCTGAAGAAGAAGAAGAAGAAGGAGACACAGCAGAAGCCAAGGAGAGTTTCATCGACTCGTGAGGCAACAAACGAGCCGGGCTTTCTCGCGAGCTGCAGACCATCGCACCAAAACCCTCTCTGCTGCTAACGCCAACACCGTTCTCACTACGGATGGTCTCCTGTTTATGACCAGAAGCTTGCCGCAATTTGAGCTCCCATATATACGCCAAGCATCGCTTCCAAAGAAAGCCCCATCGACTTCGATGAACACCAGTCCGCCCTGTGATGAGCATTCGCATTGCCGTTCGGAATCGAACGCGTGGTACTCCACTCGCGACAGTCTCCCAGACAGGCGTGCTTGCTTTTCGTCATCCATCCGCGTCTTTTCGTCCCAGTTCGTATCGACAGCACAGAAACATCACGCCGTTTGGATTTCTCTCGGTAGGACGTCTCAGGGCACGCAAGCTTAGAAAGCGACTGACGAGGCGACACTCGGGTAGAAAGTGCCGGAAAATTTCCGTTTTCGCTCGACAACGTTCATGATATCGGTGAGGATTCGGTTGGTTCACCCATGTGCTGACCGTGGAATGACTGACTTGTACATGTATGAGCTTTTCTTGCGAGCTCGTCCTGGCAGCATCAAGTCTCTCTGCGCCCGTTCTCCAATATCCAGCGTACACTCCGTCGGATGAAGACCTGCGACATCGATAAACGAAAACACCAGCGTGCTTGCTGGTACAAGGCACCCATGAATTCATGAATCTAAGTCTCCGTAACGACACCAGCTGTGCACAGACATGCAACGACGGGTGCGCAGGGGGAAACCCCGCCTCGCGTAGTGGGCACTGGAAGCTCGCAAGCAGCGCGAGCCCCACGTTGCTGTGCTTGTATCGCTTGCGTTGCTCGCAGGTTGTCGTTTATCTTACCAAAGTACGCTGTTTGCACAGCGTGACGCTGATCGCTTATGAGGCAGCGAGTGCAACATACCACGCACAGGAGAGCAGCGCGTAATGACTCGAAACGACATGATCTCGCGCGTGCGTTGCAAGGGCGTTAAAAACCCGTCGGTCAGCGCTTTCGAAACAAGGTCTTGGTACTGGCATGCCAGGGTCACTGGTCCTGTGCGCAGCAACCAAGGCATAGCAGTTGCAACTCTACGGGAATGCATCTTTCGTCTTGAATACCCGAGGATGCTCGCAGCTGGAGAACGTCAGGCATCAGCGCATCGTGTTTCGAGCATGTTTTCCTGGTGCAGAATAGATGCATCGGACGAAAGGCTTTGTGGAAGCTTATCGTTCTTCGCGTGTCCAGGAAGGACACCTCAACTTCTTGGCAAATACTTTGACGCGTCACACACCTTAAGGCGCCTAGCAATACGCCACGCTCCATCGCCTGTGCAATGGCATTCGTGCAGTGACAACGCGCTGAACTGAGAGCGGCGCACCTCCAGGGGCCTGACCTCTCGACGGTTGCGTCCGAAAAGCGTCCGCTATCAACGTGTGCTGCGATGTCAATGCAGATATCGAGAAGGCTCTGGGCATATCCAAAAAGGAGACGCGCATTTGCTGGTGCTTTTCATTGTACCTAGTCGATGGAGTCAGAGTGCCCAGTCGCGCTCTACGAGAGGAACAGGGATTCGACGGGCTCCCAGTAGCCAGCTTCGCGTTCCCAGGCGAGCAGACGGTCCACCTCCTCGGCCGATAAGGTTACGCTCTGGTGCGCGCTTTGACGGACACCGGCCACTGTACGTTCGAGCAACTGACGGTAGGTGGCACGGTCAGCGAAAAAGTTCACCGGCGGTGGTGCCTGCTGAAATTCCCGGTAGAAATCACGCAACGTGATGAGCGCCATTTCCAGCCACATCTCATCCCGCTCAACGACGAACAACCGCGCGCCCGCATCAGGTGTCCATGAAATGAAATGGGCTCGCCAGGTATCTGTGCAAAGCATTTGGAGCTGGACCTGGGCAAAATGGTTCGCATAGATCAGCCGCTGCGGTGAAACCAAGCGGTAGCGATAGAGCGGACGATCTGTGGCTTCATCCGTTAGTCGCGGGCCGTCAGTCATGTCTCCTGTTGGGACAAACGGGCAGGGACATTTCACTTCGACGAGTTCGATATCGTGCGACAAGTCGCTCGAAGCAGCCAATGTGTTCGGTTGCGTATCCTGGGTCCGGGCCTCAGAATGAAGAGGACTGCGCCACCTAAGCAGCGCGTCTGGGCTCGCCGCGATCGTTGGTAACGCTGAAAATTCGTCCAAGTCATAGATGCCTGCACAGGAGGCCGGCTGCAGCATATGCAGCCCCGCTTCGACAAGCACCAGTTTCGCGAAAGAAGTATTCGTCGCTGTGGACGCCCCGGGAACAAGGCCACGGTCTGGAGCACCGTCCCCGGGAACAATCGAGTAATAGCAGGATGCTGCATCCGCAGTACGCGCGGATTCGAGGTAGCGCAGCACCGTCAACAGTCCATTCTGTTCGTGCATTTTCCCCCACTCCATCGAGATCATCGATGCTGGAGAAAAGGTCTCAGCATCGAGTCCCGGCTCGCGCCACTGGCGCCAGGCCTCCAGTGCAGCTTCACCTCCGCGTCGGAACTGCCATGCCGGCACACACTCCCGCAACCATTCGAGGGTTGCGGGTTCACCGAAACCAAGCGCTTTCCATGCGGACGAAGCATTCACTCGCATGTGCCGTCGTGCCTCTAGCCACAGCGCCGAGTCCTGTCGGATACGAGTTAGATCCTCTGGACGTTCGATCACGAGCGCCTCAACCGGGGGCAGCGCCTCGTAGCAGGGATGTCGCCGGAGTTGCTCTCTTGTGATTGCGCAATATGCTAGGTTCGGTTTCGTGCCAGTCGGATCAGGATGGGTCGTTACTGTGAGCTGGCGCTTCGATGGATGCCCTGGAGCTGGTGCGGACGGCTCGCGGGGCCTCTCATCGTTGACAGATGCCCGTGAGTGTTGTTCGCAATGATCCGCAAACCTATCGAGCCGCTCGAGCAGAAGCTGCTTCTGGTTCATGCTGAACTCGAGGTAACGACCTATTGCTGTCCGGTACCGCCAGACAACGGTGAGAATTTGTTCGGAAAGCACACCTCCGCCGAGTACGGCACTTAGCAAGGCGTCCACCTGGGTTTGGAAGGCCTGGCCGGCGCGCTCGTTCCCCGCATCCACAGCTAATCGCTCACATTCGCGACGAACAAGGGTTCGCAGTTTCCGGAAACTCTCCATCACAGGATGCACAGACTGCGGCACGGAAGATTTGATGTATCCGCCGGATTGTTGGTGGACACACCTGACTGCTCGCCGCTGCAGATAATAGTGGTTCCTACGCGGCTGCGGGAGCGCGGTAACGCAGCGCGATATCTTGTGCCGTGCAGCAAGACGTCGAGTGCTCGAGCGTTGATGGCACAGGTGCGGCCCAGCCGCGAAACCGCTTGCAGTCTCTAACATCAAGTCACGACCTCGCGGCGTTTCTCTGATAGAAAACACCTGCGGGTTCAACACAGTCAGAACACGTCCACGGCGCCGCCGGTGTCAATCGCGAGAGCGTAGTTGATTCAAGACGCTTTTCAGGAGAAAAAAAGCTCACCAAAGTGCTCACGGAGCGTCTGCCGTCACACGCTCGGGTACTCACCAACGAGCGCACGTGTTCTGGTTTGGGAGGTTTCAGGTGCCCGAGGCAGCAAACACAGGCTCCCTTTGTCCCGTCTCGATGCGCCAGCAACAGTGACGTAGACCAGCGGTCGTCCCTGTTGGACCGATCTTCGTTTCAAACGATTCGTTTGGAGCACCGTCTCCTCCAAAAGCGCTTCGTATGCGCTTGCCAGCTGCAACGGTAGCGGCAGCGTCGGCCTCGTGTACGCAGGGCACGGGACGGCCTTGGTCAAGCAGCTGGGCATGAAATTTGTCTAAACTGGATATACCTGGACTTGGCGGACGCGAGTAGAGGGTTGCGCTTTGGAGGTGGTGCTCAGTGCGATTCCGTTGGAAGCACGTACCAGTCTCGACGAGCTGGCGTATGGGAGCGTCTCTAGACTGGTATAAGAATGAAATAAAGGAGGCTCATGCAGGGAACTCGGGCGTATACGAATGAATTCTGGAACTGTTCCCACTGTTATTGGCACAAGCCTTTGCGGGCTCTCTCTCATGCTGCTTCCCGATCCTCGTTCTTGTTTGTCTCCGGATTTTACATACGCCGGCCTTTCTTGTCTCTTCAGGTCCGTTGCCAGCAGTCGAAGGATGTTTATGGCTGCCCCCGAGTCTCGGTTACGTCGTTTTGCAGCTCTTACCGACGCATTTGGTGCACAGATGGAAGCTGTGATCTACGATTCGGTAACGATTTGCATCTTTCTTGTATACATCGGTAGCTCTCGATCCGCGACGTTTACACTTGAGTGTCATCAGGTGCTCCCATACGTCCATCACAAGACTTCGTCCGCTGAGCGCCGCCCTGTGACGCGTGAACGCTCGCTGCATCGCTCGATACATGCCGTTGACTGGCAAGAAACGAAAAAGCTTCCAACGATCCTGTGCTTCGGTTCCTGGCCCAGTGCTGCACTCGAAGACCAGGAGCTGTATCTGGGCGATACGCGCGGCGAGTACGCTGTCCGCTGCACTTGCAAGTGCATGCTATTCTAACGAATAGAGGATTTTAGGACCTTGTTGTTGCCTGTGATGAAACAGGTATCGGAGAGGGAATCGAGGCTCCGGAGTACGTCGAAAAGTATCGAACCGAATATGCTCGCTTCGTGCAAAGCGGAGATGCGCGCTCCATAGAGACAGATCGCTGTAATGACTCATGTCCATATCCAAGACCATTTCTTATAGAGCTAGGAGAGACGGGAACTCCTGCGCGCATATCCCGTCGAAGGCATGGTGATGGTGCATTCGCGACCGGCTTCGTCGATGACCTGCAGGAAATGAAGCTTCATCTTTAGACCGGAGACGATTATGCGACGTCGGCAGCTCCACGAGGTTTTCGGCATGCGCTTGTAAACAAGTCGTCAAAGCTCGACGTCGACAATTTTTTGCGTCGTCAAGTGTGCGGTGCCAATGGATACGCCTCGAGTTGCCCGTGAACACAAGGATCCAACACTCGTAGAATGCGTGATTCGATTCTGGTACACGTAAGAAAAGGATTCAAGAACAGTGGCAGCTCGTTTCTATAACTTCGATGACGATATCGGTTATTTGACGAATCCGAGCTCGGGGATGTCGCGAATCATCCTGATGAAGATGACGTAAAAGCGTCCAGCGGCACAGCGTGAAAGGCTCCTCTGCGAAAAGCCGACCGCGGATCCAAAAATTACGCGTGAATCCGGCAGCACTTGCACCTGCTTTTCGCATGTCGAGGCTGTACACGTAAAAAAGCTCGGGAAAATTGAAAGACCCGAATGGAGCCACAGCTTCAGTGTTCCATTTTCATCTGGTACGTTTCTGGGGCAGCGGAGACCCTGTTCCTCATTGGTGACAGAGCTTGCCCATTTTATGAGTGCTGACTCAATGCACTGTTGCAGTACCATAAAACATAACCAACGCAACAGCTTTTCCACATGATTTTACTTGTTTTTGCATCAAGCCTCGACAAAGGCACGGCCGTAGACGGCAAATGTGTCTTCATCCGTTACGTGCATCAGTACGGCCTGCCATGAACCATAATCCGGATCGAGTTCAGCGACTCGACGCGAAAGCTACAAGATGGTGGACAGGTCTTGCACACCGCCGCAACGTGCAACTAGCGGAGGCGATAGTAGCGAAGACGCTCACCAGCGCTTCACCGGACAGCGGTCCAGTGCGACGTTGATGATAGTCTGAGATTCACCGCCATGTTAAGGGGCACACGTACACCCGCGCAGTTTCGTTTGGCGTTCTGCTCCAAACAGCGTCACGAAGCCCGGGAGGACGCAACGCGAGACCCAGCTACGACTGCGCTTGCCGGCGCTAGTGCCGGCGTTGCGGTGCACGAATCATGCATTGCTCATCAACAAACTGGTCGCTGTCACGCTCCATGACGCTTTGAGGGCACCATGAAATCTTCAACAAAAGTTTTGAACAGGAGTCTGCGCTGCCGCACGTGCACCGAGCGCACGTTCGCAGTCACAGAACGTGCAACGGAACCGTTGACGGTGCTATGGCTCGCTTCGGTCATGCTTTCTATGCCGCCGAGACTCCCACGTCGATACCGATGCCGGACAACGACTGTGACCAGGGAGGATACTTTGCGAGACGCGAACTATCTTTACTGAGGACTGCATACAGCCTGAGTCATCACGACTCATCGCCGGTAACGTCTACAGGCACGACTGGAACTGCAGCGCCCAGCCTAGAACCGCGCATCTCTGTCCGTCATGCTGTCGAGGGATGTCCCGAATCCATCCTCTGGCATTCATCAAATTCCAGGTGCAGTCCATTGCCTAGTGGACCTGATGCATGAGCGGCTCATCGTCTAATGACGTTGGAGATGAACAGCTCGCATCGGCAATCGGTGCTTACCGGACGACTGGGCCAAGGGCACGCAGCTCTAGTCGCTGCCGCTCTGCCCAGAAGCATCCGCTATACAAATGCGGTTCTTGCTCCGCTTCGCGCGGTAGCAACGCGAGAAACACCGCTGTATCTGCGCCCTCTTCGACAGTCTTCACACCCCGATGAGATGTCATGTCGGTTTTCACGTAGCCAGGACACATGGCGTTCACGAGCACATGCGGATGTATCGAGCGTAGCCGCTGCGCTAGGATTACGGCGTACATGGTTTCCAGCATTTTGCTCACCGCATACGTTTGACGCGGCCATCCGTGCTGCGCATAGGAGCCATCCCCCACAGAGCGCACAAAATCCTCGGCGAGAGCATCCAATTCCTCGACGGTGCGCGCTCCCAGAAGACGCTCTCGGAGCTCAGCATTCGTTATCTTGTCAAAATTGCCAGCCCTGGATGAAACGAACACAATGCGACCCCCATCAGGCTGAATGTAGGGCAAGAGAGCCTCAGTCACGAGCTTCGTTCCGTAGTAGTTGCACCCAACGGTTTCGCGGGCAACTTTCTCGTCAAATGCGTCTCCTTTGTAGGCCATACCAGCATTATTGACCAAAATATCGACGGGGCGCTTCAGGGACTTGACATAGTCGCGGAACTTGGTTACCGTGTCCGGCTGCAGCAAGTCTAGCGCATGCCAAAGCGCCGGGTGCTCGGTGCTACCCACCTCTTTACTAATTGAATCGGCAGCCTCTTTAGCTGCCTCAGGTGTGCGTGCCGTAACCAAGACCTGCAGGCCTTCCTCCTGAGCAAGGCGCTTGGCGATGGCCCGGCCAATACCTCGTGAGCTTCCAGTGATAATCGCTAAGCGAGTCATGATTGCGTTTTCCCACAGTCTGTGCGGATTTCTTGAAAATCTGCTCTTAATTCTATACAATCCTGCGCCTACCTTGAAGAGAATTCTAATACGAGACCCTCTTTAGGTGCTAGCGCACGTCTACCACTACTATACGCGGAGCAAATCCAAACCAACACAGAAGAAGTTTGTCACAACAAACGGAAATGGCGCAATGCACGACGCAGACGCGTATGACTGGCAGGCGCTGCATCGCGAAAACGTCGCGATGCGTCGCGGCGCAGGCGGAGGCATCATCTGTGCTGGAGCATAATGCGTGGTAAGTTTTATACAGGATTTGACAGGTACAATGAAGCGGACGTGCGTGATGCGTGACAAGTTTTATACAGGATTCGACAGGTACAATGAAGCGGACGTGCGTGATGCGTGACAAGTTTTATACAGGATTTGACAGGTACAATGAAGCGGACGTGCGTGGTAAGTTTTATACAGGATTTGACAGGTACAATGAACCGGACGTGCGTGATGCTCATGACGCAGAGCGCGTCTTATCGACAACAAGCATGAAATACTGGATTCAATGCTACGAACGCTTTTTTCCAGTCTGACTGACGGATTCTTTACGGTCTCGAATCGGTACAGGGAAGCGGGTACCCGTCCCGGACGTCCGTCCGCTGGCAGTGCCTGACCTGTCAACGTCACGTTTTCATCGACACTTACCCGGTCTATTGCCACCATAGCCGTATCCACGGATAGAAGCTGGATACTACCGGTGAGGCTACCTGCCCGTTGCCCGCCGGCTAGCCGCTAGGTACGAGTTCGTGCAGCAGCTACGGCCCTACGTGCGACGGCATTCACTGGCAAACGCAGACAAAGGACTGGTGCTGATGCACCGCTATTCACGAACAAACGCAGCTGCAGAGCCGCTGAACAAGCCCTGCCCAAGCTGGTTGCTCGTCGACACCCGTGGCCGCGGCGTTCTGCGGCTCACACACCCGTGCAACCCCAGCGATGACACCATGTAGGTTTATGGCCTTTCAGGAAACCTTGTTTGACGGGCACTGGCCTTATCAAGCCCCGTCCACAAACCACAAAACCCAATGCTTCGTAGATGCACGATGAATAACCACACTTCACGGAAGTAAGCGAATGAACCCCCCAGGGACATACCTTGCGCACATTAGGGCGTCGGCGTGATAACCTCTCGTCGACTGTCAAGTCGTCAGTTCATTCGCAAATACTTCCAGGTTCCAACCAGTCCTATAGTATCCCAAAATCTAACCAGACGCTTCCAGAGACGTCATCGCCGCACGTGACCTGGGAAGAGGAAGCCCGAAGAGCCCCTCACAGACGCCCCTACATGGCAATATTGAGGAAGCAATAACCTCAGCAGCGATCGCTCCTCCCGTTCGGAGGTACCCAGAAGCGGCCGTCGACGGCGACGGCATCGTCGACACGCCCTGCTGGAAACGCGAACGCAGGCATCGACGTACGCCACGAGCGATACGCAGTGAGCGCGTGTTCGCCTAGAGAAGACACTCCGCCTATCTGTTCGCGGAGTCCTCAGGTGACGGGAAATATCGTTTCTACTAGCAGTTCGCACCATCACAGCGTCCAGATTCTCTCGGATCATCGCGCAGAGAACGTCGTGATCGGACAGGAACTCCAGGTGACTGCGCAGAGAACGGGTTTGTGAACGCGCCTACGAACACCTCCTACACGCTCAGTGAAAGGAGTGAGCGCACAGGTTCACTTGTGTTCGATAGCAGATCTAGACTGTACAGGTTTTAGGCTGAAGAACACGTCGCAGATGCGCTCAAGCGTTGTGACGCTTAGCGGATGGGCGCTCAGGAACCTCAGGTTCGCATACCCGCGTAACAATGACGGAGTTCGCGTGCTGAAACGCTTTCTTGGCCGGGACCTCGCATCGAGACAGCTGATCCCGCATACGCGCTTTTTGGCGACAAGCGCAGATGGCTCTGCGTCTCTACCTGGGACGCAGAGCGCAGAAACACTCGCAGTTTCTGCTGAGAGTGAGGCGCTTCGGTCGGCCTTGGGGTTGCTGCGCAATCATCGGATCGCGGAAGCGCATCGCGTCGTACGGGAGCAACTCCTGGCCAATGGTCCTCTTCCCACAGAGGTCCGGCGAAAGATTATGTCAGCTGGATCGCGTAGTGGCGCAACTGCTCTGGTCGAAGAAGTGCTGGAGCGCACGGTATCGGAAACCGCGGAACCTTCTTCTTCTGTCTTCGATCACAATGCCGTTCTGCGAGCGTGTGAAGTCGCCATGGATCTTCATCGAGCGGAAAGAATTTTCAGTAATATGCCTGAACGAAATCATTACTCGTACGCGATCATGGCGGTAATCTACAGCAACGCTGGCCGCATGCGACATGCACTGGACATGGCTTCCAGGGCACTCGGTGGACTTGACCTGCACAAAGCACTGGAGAAGTTGCCGTCTCAGACCAAATCCACCGCTGCCCCAGCAGATGCAGAGACCATCCCGGCTGCCGCCAGCGCCTCCGAGGAGCAGTCGGCCATGGAGGCCGAGGAGGAACCTGCGACGGCTGCCGAAGATCACCTGGAAGAAACGCCCTCAACGGCGACGGGTGCGCTCACCCCAGCCCAAAAGTCTTTCCTCATGAGTCGCCTGATTGATTCCTCGTTGCGCTACCGCTACAACCACGTCGCACTCAACTTATTGCGTGTCATGCGAGAGGAGCTTAGAATGCGGCCGCGCTTGACAACGATTTCCAACTTGCTTGTCAGGTTATGCAATGCCAACAATGCGCAGGCCAGCTATGAACTGCTGAACGGTATTCGTCGGCCGGGCATATGGGCAACACTACGCGGTGCGCGCCCGATAGAACTCGGTGTGTTGCTTCCGGCTCTGGGTTGCGCACTTCGAAACGACCACTATGCTCTTGGTGATCTGGCGTGGAACGAGATCCAGAGTCGCTACTTGCCTGCCGAAAGGCAGATTGTTCTTGGATCCGTCTCGGCAGCCGGCGAGAAGAGCGCTAGCCAATCCCTCTTCGAAGTTCCTGACATATTCTTTTATACTCGCGCGAATCTGTTAGCGCGGCAAGACAGCAAGGAGTTCCAAAGCACGAAACCAGAGGAAGCAACAAGCAGTGCTCCCGCTGCGCAGCCGGCGCCAGGAACCGCAGACTCGAGTACCAGCACAGAGCCTCGAACCGAGGTTATCTTGAGTGAGCGGATGCGTTCGTGTTTCGAGCTATTGCGGCTGTTGCATCACCGCAAGTATCAGCGTGTGCTGGGTCTGGACATCACCGTCGATGCAAGAGACACGGCGCCTCGGATAGAGCTACTTCGCGGAGTCGTGAATTCGCTCGCTTGCCACGTTGACCGGGTCGATGCTGCCCATTTCTTCCTGGAACATGAACTTGTTCGGGAAGCCGTGCCGAATACCGCCGCACCGCAGGCGCTGCTACCAGGAAAAATGGATCTTTTAGCTCCCTTGAATTGTGTCATTGCAGCGTCGTCGCAAATGGGAGACCTTGACCGCGCATTTCAAACCTACGAAACCCTACAGGATCATGGTAAGAAACACCAGCTTGTTCCGAATATCGAGACTTTTAATGCGCTTTTGCTTGGATGCGGCAAGCAAGGTCACTGGGAGGCGGCCAAGCTTGTCCTGGAAAAGATCCAGGAAGAGCAGTTGAAGGCGACTGGCGAGACGCACGAGAAGATCCTCTACGTGATGCTTCGAGCGCGCCGTTTCCAGGAGGCCATCGAGTACCTGCGCCAGAACTCGAACCAGCCGAAGCATGCGGAGGACCAAGCGCGTGCAGGTCGCGCCCCCGTTCCTTTTACTGCTTATCGAATGGTAGCGCGCATAGCGCTTCTTAGACCAGATGCTCCAGCGGTTGTGCGTGAATTGCAGCATCTTGCAGCACAGGCCGGCTACCATAATCTAGATTTGACTCGGATACACTCGGCTCGTGCCCGCGAAGAACGTGGTGCTAGCAATGCAAGCGCCTCGGGAGTGAACCCATCATCGTGAGCGCTTTGCCGGCCGGATGCGGGATCCTTCGGAGCATCACTGCCCATGAGGAAAGATATTGCCCGCTACAACGGCAGTGTCGGTGGTGCCTCGCGCACTGCCGCTGTGCTTGTATCCAAGGCGGTATCGCAGCCGCGAGTTGGCAGTGCGCCTCAAGAAGACCGTATGCATCCGCGGTTCGAGTATTCCAGATGTGCTCTAAAGGGATACACACCGGCTGTGGGCTTCTCTGGCCCTGCCAGATCATGCGGTTTGCACTTGTTTGATGAGAGACGAAACAGGTACCCGTTTCGTGTTTCATTCAGTGTCGCCGACGGCAGAGACGCTCGTGATCGGGGCACCGCCGACTCAGTCCTACGATCCCGATGCAGCAGGTGCTGTTTCGATGCTCGCGCTAGTACGCTGGCGACTGCGTCGTTCAGCGTCGAGTTGCCGTTGTGCACGCCATGATGGACTCGTAGGCGCTGTGCTGCCAGGGCGCCTGGATGCAACGCATTCAGTAAAGCGACACGGGCGCTGGCCCAGTGTGCAACGCCTGTCGGATCCGGGCCCATCGTCAGTGCGGATGCCTTCTGCTTTGAATTGGGCACGGCGCTCTGGCGCTTTCCCTACGAGGCAAGGATCGATACGACCAGCGAGGACAAGCGCAGCGATCTGTGGTGGCATTGCGCCAGAGACCTGGAGTCAGCACACATCGCGTTTCAAAATGTGTATTTTGCTGTAAGCGTTGCTGCTCGGGGTACGCACGTCATGAATGCTCGACGGCGGCGATGCATCCTTGAGGTGTGGCACAGACACCAAGTCCAGCTGCTCGCGACGGCTGCTTTCGGGTTGTCGTGTATCTCCGCGTGCTGGCGGGATGCCGGTCACCTCCGACGTTATCGCTGGAAATTCGCCATTCTTGGGACAGGCCTGCGTCCTGTACGATGCACCTGGTCGTATGCAATCATTTGGTGCGGATGCAGTCCCACGAGGTGACATGAGCGCCCGCCAGTGCTTCGCCGCGGGAGTGTAACCTGTGAAGCCCCAGTCACTGGAGCGTTCATTTCCGAGAGGTACCGCCCCGGGAATCCAGCTCAAGACGAGCTCTCGCCGCAGTCTATGTCGTCGTCGTCGTCGTCGTCATCTGAAGAACTGGAGTCACTGCTGCTCTCGATACTGTGTGGTTTGTGATAAATACAACATTTTTTCGACTTGCGCTTACAAGCGTGCTCGTTATCAACGGTATCGTCACTCCAACGGACGTGTCGTTCGGTGGACGACCGTACCTGCGGTCTCGCCCGTAGCCGCAACCGCAAAACAGGTGTCTCGACAAGCTCGGTGCGACTGGTAGCTGCTGCTGCGGTTAGGTGATTGTTTCCCGAAGTCATGCGCTGTTCGTGTTTTTACCACACCAAACGAGCGCACAGTCCCGTTCGTCAAGCGCCCGCCGGGGCTCCGCCAGTAGCCACTCTGTTTGGTGGTCGCGGTAACGAAGCGTCCGTGCTGTGTCCTTGACAAGACCTCCGTTCGGTATCGCCAATAACAGAACGTTCTAAACCCTGGTGCTGGTATGTATGTGTGTTGGTGTGTGTGTGTGTGTGTTTGGAGCGTCTGCGCAACGCCAGAGCAGAACGCGCTGGAAGCGCTGCCTGCGCGAAACGCGATGCCCACAATACCACACGTATCCGACGCAAGCGGAAACCCAAACTACTCGAGCTATGCCTGCATTTCGATTTCCTTTCGAATGTTTTTTAGAAGAACTGTCTGGACGTTTCATGTGAAGCGATGAAGGCTTACGGATTCAGAAGTAGTTTTAGAACTGTCGATCTTCTTTTCAGAGTGACCCTTTCGAATCTTTGCTGTTGGAACCCTTGGTGTCACCGGAATCAAGATGATTCGCGAAGCACTCGACCACAGAGTTGGGAAATAATCGGGATCATCATCTAGTTCATAGGTAAAGGCCTCTGGTCTTCTCCTTTCCTTACGTATAGCATGCCGAACCCGCGCATGGTACTCGTGTTCGATCTCTCCGTTTCAAGGCAGGTCGTAGGTGCAGCGATTCGAGCCGCTGGATTGACGAGGAAAATACTGGACGTCGTCGAATGAAGACTTGTACACAAGCTCATGGCGCAAGTTCACTGAACTTGTCATGAAAATGATGGATTTCATGTGAGAGACAAATTCTGCTTTCTTTGCGGTCCTCGATATGTCGGCATTCGACAACAGAAAGAGAGCTCGCACAGGATGTATGCGGCCAGAGGCACCTGTCTCTTCTGTTTGCATGGAAAGGGGTTCTTGGGTTCGGACTTTGATGATCGCAGCTTTCGCTTCGATTTGCGTATGCATCAGCGCTTTGCATGGAGCGAGCGTAACCGGACCGACACTTCTCGACGTGGTCCCTGGTCTGCACTTTCCATCCGGTAATTGGCTCATCATTTGACAACATCGCGCTCCATAATAATCCTCTGTCGAATGAGACAACTTGCACTTTCATGTGTGGCGGACGCAGCACTCGTCAGCGGGATCGTTCATTGTAAGCTCGTGATCGTGGCGTACCGCACAGGGCGCGGAAACGAAGATGCGTATCAAGCGGAGCCTTCTGAACCCGTCAAGCGCATCCATTGAGCAATAAAGCACCGCAGGAGGATGTCCGGAGAAGGATTCGTGGCGGACATGCCGCCATACTTGACCACGGCCAAGTGTCATCGCTGCAAAGTGTACACCTATTCTGTATAAAAAAATGAAAATGTCACGTTAAGAGTGTATTACAACTTCCACCTGTGTATGAAATACGTCCACAATAGCCGTCCGTTGCGAAATCGAGACGAGAACGCTGCGATCAACATCCTCCCACGACTGACATCGCAGCCCGAAGGTCAGAAGGGACCGGTGGATGTTTCGAGCCAGAGATGCGAGATAGGAGAAGGAAACAGTCGCAGAATCCTTCTCCGACTGTCCCCTATTGATGGTAGCTGGGAGAGACCCAAACCTCAGCATGTTCGCCCGAGGTCGCTGACAAGAGGATCTCTCCATGCGATTCCAACAACGGTGTAGGCCTGCAACGAAGCGCGCGTCTCGCTGCCGACGTGAAGATACGGACCTTCATCGAGAACAAGCTGCAGCGTCCATCGCACCGCATTACACAGCGGACGAGCAACGACATCAGTTCAGAGCTGATGGGGCCCTGAATTCCAGATGGGCGCATCTACGACCATGAGCTGGATACGTCCACGGAGGTCGTCCCTGAAAACACGCCTAGCATCTGGAACTTCTCTTTGTCGATCTTTCGGATCAAACAAGAAGAGCGCATGGTTTGCTCTCACCTCCATTGTTTTGATATCCCCCAGCAGCATTTCTCATGCCGATTGCATCCTACGGTGCTGCAGCTCCCCCGACTCCGAGCCGATGACCTGGAGTACGTTTCACACCGGCAACCTCCGAGCTTCTGTTGGGATCACGTGACAAAGGCTATGCGGGGAATCCTCTCGCCTTCGTACTCCTATTTCATCTCACTTGAACGAATACCAATGATCCAGAGGGTTGCAGGTACCCGTATACAGGGTTCTGGCCAGCGCCAACGCAGCGGCATTGGATGCAGCGAGGCGGCACCGGTCGGTACACCTCCGGGAGCGTTCATACTCGTCGAGCTGGCTGGCTGGCTGGCTGGCTCGCTGCCTCATTGTTTTGTTCGTTGTTTGAACTCTTGGTTTCGTATTTGATAAGCTGGACGTGATCTTCAGGACTGGACGAGGCGTTACCGCACTAGCCGCAAGCACGGAGCGGACTGCTGCTCGCGTCTCTCGCAGCGAGGTTGCACGTTCGGGCGCTTGAGCCGGCCTTTACGCTATGCAAGCGCTGCAGCAGCTTACATGGGGTTTCGAGCATCGACAGGCAGATGTCGTAGAACATGCGCTCGAACAACTCTTCAATGACGCTCAATCGAGCCAACAAGCAGCCCTGATTCTGGATCAAAATCGTAGCAACAACTGGGCGACGCTGGTATGGCACTGGAGTCGTGCTGCAACGACCTGGCACACTGTGGCGCGTTCGGACGCTTCAGTTGCACAGATTTTTCAAGAGCTGAAGAACGCTTTATCAAGTCTCTATGACGAAATGCGCAACGAGAACAGCGGCAACTGGTTTGTCCCTATTGCAGCGCTGCTCTGCCGATACCTCGTCCAGTGCGCTGCTCGCGTCCAGGTGGAGCGCTCGGACCCGCTGCGCACGGATCGCGACCGTAGAGCGCGTCTCGCTGAGGCAGAAACAATCATTAAAAGAGGGTTGGCACTCATGATCAATGACAGAAGTGCAGAGATATCGGAGTCGAAGAAGCTTGGCGCCCTCGGCATGATCGTGTACCTGCTCCGTATCTACTTTGCGTTGAACAATTTGCGCATGTGCGCTAGCCTTGTCCGGACGGTGGAGTCACCGGGATTCCCGCCATTAGATGACGCGTTTCCTCTCGACCAACGGGTGACTTATCACTACTTTGTGGGACGCATCGCGCTGTACGAGGATCGGTACGTGGAAGCGGAAACGCATCTCGCATTCGCGGCTCACCACTGCCCCGTGCGATACGAACGCAACCGTAAGCGGATATGGACGTATCTCGTACCGGTGCGACTGCTGCAGGGTCGTTTGCCCAGCGTCCGGCTCCTTCGTAAGTACGGACTACGTGTGTATGAACGGCTGCGTGAAGCTGTTATCTATGGGGATATTCGACAATTCGATGATGTACTGCGTAGACATGGTGAATTCTTCATTCAAAGCGGCCTGCTTTTCACGGTTGAAAAACTTCGTCTGATTGTGTATCGGAATCGGTTTCGCGTTGCGGTTCGTTTACTGAATTCGACTCGCATACCGTTGGCGGCCCTGCAGTGCGCCTTAACGGATCCGAAACCCGCACTTGATGAGCTGGAGTGCCTGGTCGCGAATCTGATCTATCGCGGCTTTATTCGCGGGTACGTCTCTCACCAGAAGAAATACCTTGTGACGAGTGCAAAAGACGCTTTTCCGGATATAGCACGAGTTTCACCTGGTGTGCTGCGCTGATACGCGAGCCACCTTCCGAAGCTGCATCTTCGTCTCCCATGCCGATGACATGGAGATGGATCGGTGAATCGGCAGCGCATCCGGGGGCCTTCAACCGCTCGCAGTGCGCTATCAAACAGAAACTGCGGATCACGCACGACGTGTTCGATTCATGTTTTCGTCGTGTATGCGATGTGGCGACGCTGCTATCGTGTCGTGACGCGTCTAACAGGAACGCGTGTCCAGTCGATGAAAGTTTCCGCATTGGGCAGAGCGCGCTGGCGGGCGATCTCCGTTGCATGACCCTCGTTTGCACCGACTTGGTATACGGATCTGGATGCAACTGTTCGGCCATGCTTGATGCGGTGATTTCGATTCCCCATGCCCAGACTCGCGTTAATGAAGCGGGAAAGTGAGAACGCCTCTTTCCGGCAAATCGGCGGATGATTCCGGGAGAATGGAGTGAGACAGTTTTCCCTGGAGTGACCGTTGCGGGCAGTCGTTTGCAGGCCAACGTACGTGCTGTGCGAGTCCTCGTGGGCGTCGTTTTTTATCCTGATGAATCGAGGTGACGATATACTTCAGGTACTGGGGACAGCGAATGTCAAGAGCACCTCGGCAGCAGCTGCTCTTGGACCATACTCGGTAGTTTCCAAAAACGGAACAATGATATCGTTCTCCAGTAGGCCTGGAAACCCGTTCGCGGTGTATGCGTACAGTGTACCAGCTCTGGTGGACTCCTGAATGGTACCATACGTGTGCCTCGTCCCAGGTGGGAACAAACGCCCGCCTGTACTAGGCACAGATTTTTGCATCAAAAGTCTTCCTCGATTCAGCACAACGCACATTCGGGGTAGCAAACGATTCTCTCAAAGGTTCGCTCGATACAAAGCTTCTGGACGCTCCAATAGCGCGATTCATTTCCGCATGTTGATCGCGGCGCCCAAGTCTCGGTGCAGAAAGCGCCTGCGCGCATTGCGACTGGTATTAGAATCACGTCATCGCAAACCTGTTACAAGCGATTGCCTCGCGAGCTGACGTTCGGTCAGCATACCGTATACCAACTCGGTCAACCGGCTCTGTTTCATTGTCTGCGTCTGGGCCTGCTTCAGCGAGAACCTGTGCTCGTGTTGCGTGTATGCCGTCCTCAGCGCATCGATGGGCATAGTACAGAATCGATTTCTCCATTCGTAATCGGCTCTCGTTGAAGATGCAAGCGTGCAGGCCCTGCGCGCTACAGCAAGTCTAGCGCGATGCACGGCCATAAAACTAGGCGGCTGGTCGGTCATAGCCCTTTCCAACACGTGGGAAAATGCTGGCGAATGAACGTATCATACCCCTGTACAACCGCAGCAGCTGGCGACCCCAGCGCGAACGCATGTACTCCTGCCAAAGATCGTCTGTGTGGGTCGTTCCGACGCTCGTGTACGATCTGAACGAACGGAATGTGGGATCCCTTCCTGTCCAATACGACGCTCAGTGCGTCAAGAATGGGGCCCCGGCGCTGTCACTCGGCGCGGTGGTGTGCCCGCTGACCACCATGACCATCATTATCACCACGCCCGATTCCCGATGATGCCGAACCCTGGAAAAATTAAGCAACTTCATCTGCTTTTCGTAGAGGTATTTGGTGTCATCCTTTTGATAATGAGTCATTGCGATCACCATGATGTTTTCCAAAGCCCGGGTCGAAACTCATTCCCAAGTCTGGGACCTCATCCACCTCGCTGCGTGGAAAATGAGTATCGCTGCTGGACGCTGGCACGGAATTCACATGCTGCATGCAGATGATCACGCGGGAGGTCCCCGTGGTCGCTGTGAACTTCTATCCATATCCACGCTGTAAACGAGACGCCTCGGACGAGCTCCCGCGATGCACTTTGCAACCTTGTTCCAATAGTTCATACTCGCTTGCAGGGACGAGATGCTTCTTTGTCTTCTTTTTTCTTCACGAGTTGGAATGGGTTTGGTCGCTGTACTCTATTCTCGTTTCCTCCTTGGGATTCAGACGGACTTGCTCCACGCTGAAACTGACACTAGCCTCTTCTATGTAAATATCCACTATTCCTCAAGAATCTTTTTGTCATGTTTTAAGCAGCGAGCGCGCTCACGGGCTGAAGCGCGCTTTCCGTCTCGTCCCAGCGTACAGGAAGAGGAGCAACAGAGCCGTTCAGGGCTGCTCAAGGCTGGGAGCCACTTGTCGATGAAGCTCAGTGGCACAGATGCGAGAGACTTGCCTATCGATCCGTGAGCATAGCCATAGCGGTTCACAACAATGAAGACGACTCCAACTGCATGGTGCCGGTGAGTATAGGCTTGTACGAAGACGAGCTCGACACGAATCACAACTGCCTTCTCATCGACTGCTATTAACCGCTGGAAAATGGGGTTTTCTAACAGAAGAGCAGAAGCGTATGGGATCGCAACACCTCGAGGAGTTCTTCAACGAAGGTTGCGATGTAGAGCGCTCCTGTCAGTTTGGCGACTTGTGGCCGACCATGCGACTGAATCGCACCCGGGGCTGACGATGACGTCACTGCCACTTGTCTCTATTTTACGACCTGCGATTTGTCGCTCTTTGAGAATCCAAATGCTGGTCTACCATTGCTCCCGAATACAGTCTCAGCAGGCGAGACGAGCACCCGTTTCTCATGCGAGAGAGTTTTGCGGTTCCGTACGACATCGATCGTGCGCTGTTCAACGCAAGACCATCGCTCAGAGAACCGCGCATTTCCCCCCAGTCCATCGGTGTCTCTTCATCACCGCTCGTATGACCAGGACGGAAATTTCACATCCTCTGGATTGTTTCGTAGTATTTTATCTGAGAACATCTGGAACGGAATGGACTGTCGATGAGGAGGTCGTTTAATTAGAGTTTGATACGTTCGGTTTTGGGCACTCATTGTTCAGGATACCGACCAATAGAGTGGTGATTCATTCACCTGCTGACCCTGGAATATCTGGCTCAGACCATTGCAACCCATTTTCCGAAAACGGCCTGTGACGGCATAATTCCTTTCCGCGACCTTTCTCCCATCTACAGAAAACATGTCGTCACTTGAATACCTGCGAGAAAAAATCAAACCAAAACAACAAGGCGTCCTAGTACAGGTATTCTGGAACTCACCGTCCTGAGTATATCGGCATTGCACAAGATCGGGGCGCTGTCGTTGGAAAAATGTCAATGTCCGTCTTGGCACTGGAATCAGCTCGACAGAAATCGAGCTTGGCTCGCCTGCTGCGTCGGAGCCAGCAGCGAATAAATATGAAAATGCCCGAAAAGGCATCCCAGGTTGCGGGTCGTTTGTTGCCACTTTCGCTTCGAGCTGATCTCTATCGGATTCGCGTGACGCTGCCAGAGACACGCAAGGTCGCAGCGAGTCTTGCGCGCGTAATCGCTCCAGCGCTCTCCTTACTCGCTCGCGAGGACCTGGTTTCAACTTCAGTGTTCGGCTGCTCGGGACGTAGATTCTCTGTACAGATGTCGAACGAGAGCAGGTTGCTGACGTCCTCCTTGATGAATATTTCAGTTTCGCTTGGTTCGACGCCGCCGAAACTCTGCGCAACCTCGCGTAGTCGCTCAGCTTTATCTTTCAGAGCGGGCAAACGATGGAGCAGTTCAGACATAAGTTTCCGTACCGTCTCAACGCGTTGGAGGACTTGCTCCTCAAGCGCTCGTTTTCTCCCGTCCGACAGTTCAGTATCAGACTCATTGTCTGATACCAGGTCCTCGAACTGCGCGTTGGAGAATACTGCCTCGGCCTGTAACGCAGTCACCTGCTGGGCGAGTCGCTCGGCCTGTGCTCTGACCAACTGTTCGGCTGTGGCACAGCGTTCCGCTCGTAACCGCCGCAAGTATTTCTCCTTCTCAATAATAAGGGCCTCGAGCGTTTTCACTTTTCCACGAATCTCATTGTCTTCTTCTTCTTCCGGAAAGGACGCCTGAACTTGAGCGAAAACTACACAGTTCTTACGCAAGAGCTCTTCAAGGGCCGCAGCTGTCGCACGCAACTGTTCTCGTACCGCCTCGCGACGGCTTTCTGGAAGTAAGTAGCTTTCTCGAACGCTGGGTTGCAGTGCTTCATCAACAGCGTCATTAAAGCACTTTACTGCCTCGGTGATGACCGACTCGCTGGGCAGCACGACGTGAGGCTCTCGCAGGTAGGGCGCGGTCTCCATAAGCACCGGGTTCGTAGTCAGCGCCGGGAATTCAAATACGGCGTAGAGACCGCGCGCATCGCCTGCGCGTGCCGCACATCGCGATGCAGCGATGCAGCGATGCGAGGCGTCTGCACGAGCGCCACGTACAGACGCGCCTAGCACCGCAAGCCTGGTGGACCTCTGTTCCCGCCACAACGACTTTTCTGGAGCCTGTTGAACGTCGTGAGCTTGGGAGAGGAGCGGAATTCTCTTCCCCGGGCTAGTGATCAGTATCGACGCTCCGGAGACTCTACTTGGATGGATCGGTCTCATACCAAAAGAATGCGCTGACGTTGCTTCGCGTGCAGTGCGCTGCAGTGGCGTGCCGCTGGACTGCTTCGATTGGCAGGCGCGTTCCGTGGATGCGCGTCCTGAAGAGGTCGCACGATCTGTCTTCTGGTTCTCGTGGAAATGCACATTTGGAACTGGTGGGACGCTCACTGTACTGTGGAGGAACTGAATCCACGTCTGTCGTGTTCAGCGGTGGTGCATCATCCAGAAGAGTCCGGTAAGGCTCACAGACTTTGCACCGAGAAAAATGGCGATGCGGGCTGCCAACGTGCCCTTGACGTTGTTTTCGGATGGATTTGTTTATCTGGAATCACCGGAGTTCGCGAACGCCGCTGGCTGCGTTGATGTTTCATTCGCATACGGGTCCCGCAGACGTTGCTACGTTGTGCCAACTCCTGCGCTGTGCGCTCCTCACGAAATCGATATCCGATCGATCTAGTGACCCTGCGGGCACACCTGTATGAGGGAACCGATGCTTGATCGCCTCTTGAAGCATCACCCGCTTTAGATGTACAAAGGTAAACGTAACATGGGCCTCAAGTGTGCCACATGCGATGACCAGGTCTCCGTTGGGACATGATACATTGGCATTGTGACGCGCTTCTTGTCTTCTTACGATCTGCGGTTGTCTTCGAAATAAGAAGCAATGATCGTTGCTTTACATCTCCAGGTGGGTGCATAAAAGCTCGGGAGCATGACGTCTCATCGAATCACAAAAGATCAGAGCCACCATCGTGGTTTCATCTCTCAAGAACTGAAGTCCGTGCATCCCGTTCTCGGTCCAAATACCATAAACACTCCGTTACTGAAACGAGATCCTGATCTATCGCTAAAGAGAAGCTGAAGCGCCGTTTCAGATTCGGATGTTGGCGCGCTCGACTGCGTCTTCGCTCGCCCATACACTGCCCGGTAGAATGGGAGCTCGCAATGCAGCATGATATCGCATGAGGCGATTCGAGCTTTTTTGGAAAAAAGCAGCGTATCTCTTACGGGATCAAGACATGCGGCAGCGCATTCCTTCCGAGCTGACGGCGCTCGATCGCGTCAACCACGACTCTATTGACTTGTAGTAGCACCAACGCTCGGGCGGCTGATCGGGTTTAGCTGCTCCAAGGACGCCCGGGCGGTCGCTCGTGGCGTTCCAATAGTTCCCGTAGACAGAATTATCAAGCAGCGCTATCGTTTTAGAAGACGTTCTCCCAGCGTTCGATCGTGAGTACATGTTCATGCGAAAAGCCGCCCAGCCGTCGGCCCGCTGCATCCCAAGAGCTCAATGCATGCGTGCGCCTGCGTTTCCGGGTAGGGTTCTTCCCTATATTTGTAGGTCTGTTCTGATTGATACATTAATGTGCAGATAACGGATTGCCCCAGTGACCCGTTCGCACTCGCGTCGTGTTCGCAACAAGGCTTGCGCGTAAAGCAGGTACTCGCTCCTCCTCAGTAAGCCGGATCGAGTCGGGCTCACCGAGTAGTAGACGCCAAAACGCCGTACTGCGACCGCTTTAGAGTTGGCTCTGGTATAGACTCCGCATTACCCGCAGAGATCCCGCTAGCACCTCTATCGGTAGGCACAGGCGCTTCAATTATGAACCGAAAACGCTACCGCTTTGAAGCCGGCAAGACAACAGACCCGGACGAGACACCGACAGCGACTGGCGCAGAGCGGAGCGCGAAGACAGTCCTGCGCTCCCTCGTGAAGCAACTGCTGCCGCCTCAAGGCAAACCCCAAAGGAAGCATCGCCAGCGCGACGCCTCGAAAGCATCCGGTCTGGAGGGCAAGTACTCGCCTTCTCGCCGAAAGCGCGATGGAGACGGGGACGCTGCCTCACGGGTAGAGCGCGCCTATGCGGCGATGCAGCGGCGCCTCCAGGCAGCACAAAAGTCATCAAAGCGAAAGGCAGGGCGCTTGCCAGTGCGAGATCCCATTTCCGGAACTTGGCTTGTTCCCGGAACGGATAGTGTCTCAGAACGAGGTGCTACCTCGAATGGTCACCCGCAGACAGTGCGTCTCGTGCGACCCGGTGCCCGCCTCCGCTCACCGATCCAAGAGGTCGCAGAAAGCCCGCAACACACCGCCCCCATGCATAATGTCATCCGCCGTGCTTCCGACTCGCCGCAGCGGGACACGCTACAAGCTGACCGAGACCACAAGGACGACATGCATACAACGGAAGCTGACGCGAGCGATGAGGCGATTGCTGTATGTCCGGAGACACGACGTGCTTTCGGACGAGATGCGGCATCCGCATTCGAAACGCTGGCACCCAAACAGCATAGCTTTATAGTTTTGATTGCAGGAACGTGCGCGGCAATCGCCGAAAATCCCGAACAAGAGACGGGAAAGCTTCAGTCCCTGCCCTCATTGCTGCGTGAACTGGACCGTTTCCAACGTGCTGTGCGCACCAGTCCCAGTGGGACGGCCTGGAGCGCGCACGCGACCCTCCTATGCATACGATCCCTCACAGAACTCTTTTTGGATATTTGTCCCGGGTATCAGATTCGAATCCCGAGCGAACCTAAGGACGGTGTTCGGCTAAGTAAGACTGTAAGGAAGCTTCGCAAATATGAATCAGTGCTGCTGCAAGCCTATGCGAGTTTTATCCGATGGCTCAGGAAACATCTTGAGGGCGCAGGCAGATGCCCCGATACCGCCCACAGCGCAGTCGATGGAATGCTGCGGCAGACGTGCCTGCAATCTTGTCAGGAATTACTGCTTCAGCTCTGCCATTTTAACCATGCAGAGGACTTGGTCGAGATGCTCGTGTCGCAGTTCGGCACCGACGCGGCAACTGATGAAGTACTCGTGGCGACTGCCAGCGAACTTATGGAGCTCTTTGAAAGCTCTACGGGCTCGAGTTTGCGGACGGCGGTTCGACTGGTTCGAGCCCTTTGCCGGCGCCTTCGAGACGAAGGGATCCGTGCACCAGCGGCAATTGTGGAACCGCTGCTAAAGGTTCCCCTGGAAGCGCTTCATGCGGCCCCGAAAAAGAAGCGCCATCAGCAGCATGCGGACGGCGGAAACACTGCACATCCGCTGAGCCGTCGGAAGAAAGCGCGCATGCAACACGGAGCGCTACGTCAGTGGATGGAGGAGAAGCAACGCTTGGACCGCCAAGTCGATGAACAGCTTTCCCGGGATATCCACGACCTAGAAGCGGAATCCACACCGGAGGAGATGAACTGGGCGAGACGCCAAGTCATGGCAGCGCTGTCGCAGGCGTATGCGCAGTGTTTACTGCAGCTGGAGCAGGCGTTGCAGTCACAGACGAATACAGGTGATACGGCAATCCCGCCGGGGAAAAATGAGAGGTCGCGGTCACCTGGGGACAAGGTGACGCCACAGACAAAACTTCGGGACAGGCGCGCGCGCTTGAAGCGGCTCAACAACTTGCTGCCACGAATCGCTGAAGGTCTTGGGCAGATTGCGCTCTACTTGAACGCCAAGCTCTTGAACGACCTGCTTTTGACCATGTATCGCATCATAGACGCCGCATTCGCCGCGGACACGGAGGCGCAATCATTGCTGGGCCTCCTGCGCTGCGTGCGTGCCGCGTACCAGATCATCATTGCACAGCAGATCGCAACACAGAACGCCGATCCAACGTACCTGGACGGCATCCTCTTTCGATGCATGAATCCGACAGGCGTCGTAGTCAAGCTCCCGCCAGATTGCCGTGCCTCCTGGCACCGTGAACTCACTGCAGCGGTGGATTTCGGATTGCTGGGCTCGCGGCGAACGCTCCCGATTCGCCGCGGAGCAGCGTTCTGGATGCGACTCTTAGAGTGCGCGCTTCATGCGACGGACACATCATGGGCATGCTTGTACGTACGCAAGGCGGAATCCCTGGTGGAACGGTATCCGGTGCTGCGAACCTGGCTTGCATCAGCGATGACCGTGGAAGAAACCGACACCAACACCGACACTGATCGAACGATCCTTGCAGCTCCAATAGGCCTGCTGCCCAGCACGCCCCGAGCGCTATCCGATCATCACTGGGACGCGCTCGCCGCCGATCCCGATATCGTAGGCGCTATGCTGCTCGCCGATCAAGCGGTGGTGGCGATCGATGCACACGGCACGCGCGTGCGTGTTCGGGATTTGTGTGCGGCGCCAGCGCTGGGGCCGCACACGCAGCGCGGTGCAGCGTCGATTGCCCAGGCGCTGCTGCAACGCCTGCGTGCACCGCTTCCCGCGATCTAGGAGCGCTCCTGGGGTACTACATCTTGGAACGCGCTGGCGTTCCGATGGGTGCCTTGTCTCGAACGGACGTCTGTCGTCGAGGTGCCGCTCATCCCGTCTGTGTGCGTTTGGCGAGTGCGCGCAACAGGCGTACCAGATAGGATCGGTACACCGGTGCGTGATCGTTTGGGTATATGGTGTTCTTTGGTGCGATTTTCGTGTCTGGGGTTGGTGGAATCCAGCGGCGGCGGGCGGGGGCCTCGGGCGGCTCCCTGTCGTGGCCGCTCTCCTAGATTTCGACAACTATTGCCTGGTCGGGCGATCCCGGACTGGATGGATCGACCGTATACCATGGAAATGGCGGTGTTTGCGCATTCGGGACCGTATTTGGAACCAGAGTATCGACCGAGTCACTGCAAATGGTGCGGCAAGTGCGAGTTTCGCATGTTTCCGCATGGAACGCAAGCCGTGCGAGTTGCTTACCCGCATTGCCGCACGGAACGGGCAGGCCGTGGATCCCCTGGGCAGCCTACCAGTGGCACTGCCGCTGCAGCCGAACAGATGCGATGCACGCAACGCAGGTACGGGTGCCAATGGATGCGGGCAACGCATCCCAGCATGGAACCCTGCTGCTGAGCAGCGCGGACGAATTTTCCGCATGACAGCGACGTTTGCATCGTCCGGCGTTCGCAGTCTCGAAAATGGTCCCGCCAGCCGCTGTGAACAAGCGCTTGTGTCGCTGACTAGGCCGCGCACTGATCGCGACTTGCCGCGATCGAACAGCAGCAACACGCAACGTCTTTTGACGTCTGGCGGCACGCAGTGGAAACGCCAGCGCATTGCCCCCGCTGGTGATAGAGGCGCTACGAGAGTAGCACTTCAACGACCGACCATACCTGGAAGAAATCGGGTGCGTCAGCGGCGATGCATCCGTGTCGTAGTTTCCGTTGCAGCAGACAACATATCTGCGCGCATTTTCGCTAAAAACGGCAGAAAGCGCTTCACGTATTGCGATTCCCACTGCCACGTGGGATCCGTCGCGCAAATGCGCATGACATTCTCTCGATAGCGTTCTTGGTGACGCTTTACCTGTATGATGGACGACACCAAACTGGACAAGTCGGTGAATGCGGTACCCATCATCGCACTTGAAGGTGCTCCAGAGGCATCCAACTCGCCATCGAGCCGCTGAAGCGGCAGATCCTTTTCCAAGCACGGATACGCATAGGCGATGACCGGCAGACCGCAGCCCCACATATCGAACACCTTCATCGGCAGATCCATTCCAGACGAGGATTGATGCATTGAAATACCGGCATCAGCACAAGAAAGCAGCTGTGCGTAGTCGTCTCTGCTCGGTAGCCAGAGTGCGTGCAGGCTCCAGCGCGTCAGGCCAAGCTGGGGCCAAAATCGCTCCACGTAAAACGAGCGCAACGGACCGCGTCCCGTAATGAAAAGACGCCCAGACCAGCCGTACTTTTTCTCTAAAAGCACCACTGCTTGAAAGAGAAGCTCCATGGGTTCATCTGGTGACCAGCTCGTCGCGCTGCAGAGCCAAACCTGGGCTATCGCGCTTTCGATCGCTTCATCCGTCCAATGGAAAACGCGACGACACAGGTCCCGGCGCCGGTGGTATCGCTGTTCGGTATCGAGCGCGCTCGACAAGAAGCGCTGCGTCCAGTCGCGTAACGGGCGGTCGGGAAGCACCAGCAACTTGCTCCGCTCAAGCGCCATCTCTGCGAGTATGTGCTCCCCGAGCGTACCAGTGACGGCGAGGTGTGCGTCCGCTACGCGCGCGCCAAGCAGGTACTCCAGACGCGCTGCAAGGGCGACAGCGGAGCCTGGTGCCCGGTTGATGGCCATAATCGAGTGCGTCGTGTTGTGCCAGTCGAGTACGGCGATTGCACCCGGTCGCGCGCGGTGCCATCGCAGCCACGGTACCAACATCAAGGTCGGAAACGCGGGAGGGTTCTGCGCCACCAGGAGGTCCCACGGCGGTATATCATCGAACGCGCGACGCACGAGCCACAGTCGCGTCACGAGTGCACAGAACGCCCGCCAGGGGTAACTCAGACGGCGCCGCCAGCGTCGCGTTTGTTCGCCCGCGTGGACGGAAGTTGGCGTCGCGCGAGATAAAGACACAACACGAACTTGCGCGTTGTTCAGGTCGTCCACGTTGCCGTAGCCCAGCAGGGTCACCCGAAAGCCCTCCGCCGCTAAAGCTGAGGCGTGTGCAAGCATGCGCGGCGACTGCTCGAGCCGCCCCAGCACAAGCACCACCGCGTGCGGTGCCACCAGCTCCGAGTCGTCATGCTTTGCCTCTGGCAACCGCGCTGTCGACAGCGCCATACCCGCGGTACCGATGCGCAAAAATGCACCGTTCCTGGCGGGACTCGAACCCGCAGTCTTTCGATCGACTCTGTGGTATAGAAGTCGAATACGTTGTGGACCGAGATACGGGGGCGCGAATCGCCTCCGGGCGTCCCCTGTGGCTCGGTTATCCACGGCGCGCGCGCAGCAACGCCCAGCCTTCGATGCTGCAAACTGCTCAGCGATACATCGGACGTCACGCTTTACGCCACAGGAACGGGGTGTCACCAACTAACATTTGATCAAAATTACTATATAAAGAGAAGCCATTCCGGGGATCGCTCAGATTGATTGGCGATGGTGCGTGCTCGGCCTCGCGGAGCGATCGGCGGCGGTGCCTGGCATGTGCGATCCGCAGCCGCGATTCGCGATCGCAGCGCGCCTCTTGAGCTGCTTGCTTGCTTGCTTGCTTTCGCGTCGCTGCCAGGTAACGCAACTGCTAACATGTTCGCTTTTCTACCGAGTATCACTTCTCATCGTCTGTACGTTTCTGGAAAAGATGGGCTTCGTACGAGTACGCTCAAGACTGAGTCGGCTCGGTTGCAGACTCGGGTTGGGTGCCGCTCGCGCCCGGCGACGTTGCGCATGGTCGCTGCCGAGAAGAAGGTACCGGTGAATCTCTATAAACCGAACGATCCTCTTATCGGGACCTGCATTTATAACAAGAAGATTGTTGGGGACGACGCACCGGGCGATACATGTCACGTCATCATTCACCACGACGGCAAGCTGCCGTACCTCGAGGGGCAGTCTGTGGGCATCATCCCCGAGGGCACCGACGAGAAGGGTCGCCCGCATAAACTTCGTCTCTATTCGATAGCCTCCACTGCCGCTGGTGACTTTGGAGACTACAAGACGCTGTCACTCGTGGTGAAGCGCTTAGTCTATACGAATGAGAAAGGAGAGGAGGTTCGTGGCGTTTGCAGCAACTACCTGAACGATATCAAGCCGGGCACTCCAGTGAAGATGACCGGCCCCGTGGGTAAGGAGATGCTTATGCCGGACGACCCGAATGCGACGATCATTATGCTGGCCACGGGAACGGGCATTGCGCCTTTCCGTGCCTTTATGCGAAAGGCCTTCGTCGAGAAACACGCAGACTATCAGTTCAAGGGGAAAATGATCCTTTACCTGGGTGTGCCAACGTCGTCATCGCTGCTCTACCGAGATGAGCTCGAAGAGATGAAAGCGAATGCGCCGGACCAGGTCGAACTCCACTACGCCATCAGCAGGGAAATGAAAAACAAACAAGGCGGAAAGTATTACCTGCAAGACGCAATGGCCGAGCGTGGTGAGGAAATCTGGCAACTGCTGCAGAAGGATAACACCTACGTCTACATGTGTGGCTTGAAAGGAATGGACTCGGGCATCGATGCTTTCATGAAAGATCTCGCGGCAAAGGATGGCGTAGACTGGGCGACTTTTAAGAAGCAGCTGAAGCAACAGCATCGCTACAATGTGGAGGTATACTGAAAGGACGCACTGGTGATGCTCTCTGCCGAGGCAGCGAGCGCCTCGAGCAACCATCGCCCCGGTACGATTGTCGTAGACGGGATACTGGAGACGAATTCGAGTCGTTGCGGTGTCGTGCTGGGCGAAACGCTCCGCGTTGTGACCGTTTGCGACACTCAAGAGCGCTTCCACAGCTTTTGAGAGCGTGCGAAGCGATTCACCGTAAAGCGAGGTTTATCGGATACTTGCAAGCGTCTTCCAGGCAGCTGGGTGCAGTGATTTGAGCTCGCACGTAACTCGGCGACTCGATCACGGTACCTGGTCGGTGTACGGCTCGCGAATGATGTCGCTGACAGAAATGACACCTCTGCGGTTCCGAGGAAGGATACGTGAACGGCGATATGCGTGCCGCATCGTGCACGGGCGACCGACTGCAGCACTGGAGAAGCGCTTCGAGGCGCTGCAACCGTCACGTGCTTCCATTCGCTTGACGGGCAAGAGGGTGCAGCATGCAAGTCGCCAGCGCGGAGAGGCATCGCTCGTGGACGTGGAATGCAGCGCACCAGTTGCCGTGATGTCTTGGTAGCACCGGGATTCAAGCGTATCTGCACCGGAGACGAGCTGATGAAGCGCAACGCACCATTCGTTTGTTTCGTTGTTTTCCATTGGAAACACTGCAGAGTTACAGGGGCCACTACTCGATGTATTTTTCGATGAAGCGATGACACCGTTTCTCGGTCTGAATCATATCCCAGGCCGAGTCCCGTCGAGAAAGTACGTTTTGGGTGGTTTCGCTCTGGCGCCAGCAGGAGCTAAACTACCGCCAAAAACGCGCAGGCACAAGAGCCCAGTGGTAGCATGTTTCCCCGTACAAACGGATACTGAGGAAAACTCGATAGAACGCTGGATGTATACCAAAGAGCTGGCACCCGAGAAGCCGCCTCCACGCACGACCAACTGCAAACGTCCGCAATCGACAGCGTAGACTGCTAGGCTTTCAGCATGCTCGCCATGACATCCATGTCAGAGTGAAATGGCACGGGTCACCTACGTTGGCCATACAATCTGGAATTCAGGTCTCTGGGGTACATCATCAGCTTCAGCCTTTTGCAATCTGTTTTTCTACCAGCGTCCTTTTTTCTATCTTATCTCCGACAAGAAATACTCACAACTCTCGTTTCTCTTTAGCTTCGTTACAGCAGTCGGAACATGGATATTGCAGTACCAGAGTCCTAATTTCACTGCACTCGGCTACCGTTCACGCATGCCGTGCAAAGACGGCAGTTGCGATGTACGCTTCGCTTGTCACTTTCATCTCCTCCGTCCAAAATTTCGTCGAGATTTGGCAGCGGTAGCGGTTGGCTAGGATCAGGTCGCCCCATTCGTCCGCTAGAGCTCCTCCGCCAAACGCCGACCTGTGGCGCTTGACTGCTTGCCTCATCACTCGATACGTGAACGTGACGAATGCTGAACCCTCAACTCGATGCTTTGCTCCGTTTCCTCCACCGATGCTGTACGCTACGACCGCGGGTCTCTTCTGGGCGATTCCACAGACATGTCTGCTGTTCACTGTCCAGGCAAACACATGACGCTCCATTCGAGAAAGTATGTATGGAACGCACAGGGTATCCATGATGAACCAAATCCCCGAAGAAGACTCTAAGTTAGAGACCAAGTCGAGAGATTTCGATCCGTCTACGCTCCGTTCATGGGAAACAGGGACGCACTCTTCACCGCAAGCGATCGCCGCGGTGACTCAAGTCCGAGTCCAAGACCCGTTTCCATGCAAGCGCACAAAACAGGAGCCTCGGGGGCCATATCCCTGGAGAGGTATCATGCAGCTGCTGCCGGTGCTGGTGCTGGTGCAGAGTACCGTTTCACATGTGGCCACATAGAGAGGAGGACATTTCCTTCGATCAGAATCTACGCTCTGACCGGACAAATTCAGTGACCTTTTCACATGAGATTGTCAGCGAGTCGTCCGAAAACGAGGTCGAGTTTCTGTCCGCGTTATGCCAGCAGCGCGAACGACAGCACCCACGAGATGCCTTGAAAAAGCAGAATCGAATACTTGTAGACTGCTTGATTTGGGCATGCTACACGTAAGCAAAGGTAAAACGCGGTGCATTGTATATCGGAGCTGGATAATGAAATCGGCTATTTTATGAACCCTACTTCGAGGGCGTCGTATACCGTCCTGATTCCCGCGATGCAACGATTTTCAGTGGCCAGGCGTCGAAGGAACTACACAGAAAACGCGACCGAGAATCTTAAACATACGAACGCATCGGCAAGCCCTAATGACTGCACTTGACATAGCAAGCCTGTACATGTAAAATATTCGGAAAAAAACATTACACAGGAACAGGGCACTGTGATCAGTGCTTCGTTTTAATCTGAAACTGATGTAGGGCACAAATCATGCACTTCGTCATGCCGCTGCCGACCAGCACGCTGGCCCAAGGGCGTCATCGATCCAATCGTCGTCGTTTGATATATGCATGGACATTCTAGGTTGGCGTTCCGGCAACAAAGTGTGTTATGAATGGCGCAAGTGGCCCTTCATTTCGCGCGCTACGCCTGCATCCTAGTCAGAGAAACTAGTCCACTGGATCGGCAACACCTCCCTCGGTGATAGCAAAGCTCGCTTCGGCCTCAGGGAGCGATGGAGAATCGTAGATCTTGCAGATACGGTTCTCACCGCGACCCTTGCGAAAATACAGACGAGTTTGGCACGCATGAGCAATGATATTGCCACCAATCGGAACGCGCGGATCAGCAAACATCATGGCGTCGGGTTTCGCGACCACCTGGTTTGTTATGACGACCGCTACGCCGAATTCATCAGCGAGGCGCTGGAGGGCGCGCAGGAATCGAGCCATGTGTTGCTGACGGGCGGCAAGCTCGCCACGCCCAGAGTAGTCCGTGCGGTAGAGCGCAGTGGCCGAGTCAACAACGACGAGGGCGTAACGGCTTTCGCTCATCAGGCCCGCTGCCTGCATGAGTAATTCCATCTGGTGGTCGGTATTATACGCTCTGGCAAATGCAACGTTATCCAGAACATCTTGCGGATCCAGCTGGAAACGCTCCGCAATCTGTACGATGCGCTCGGGGCGGAAGGTGCCCTCGGTATCGATGTAGAGGGCCTTGCCTTCGGCGCCACCCTCGGCGACAGGCATCTGGCAGGTGACGCACAAGGTGTGACACAGCTGTGACTTGCCGGTGCGAAACTCCCCGAACAGCTCCGTAATACTCCCTGTTTCAATACCGCCTTGGAGCAACGCGTCGAGCTCCTTACTGCCGGTCGTCAGAAAAACCAGATCTTTTCGTATTCGATGCACTTCCGTGGCGGTGGTGAAACCAGCCATCACCAACTGGGCTGCGGCAGATTTCAGCTTCTCCGCTTTCGCTTCGCTAACGCCTTTGATAGAGGTGAGTTGCTTCATGGTCAGGTAGACGACAGCCTCGACACTGTGCACACCGCCCTCCTCTCGTAGCTTTTTCAAGTCAGAGGCGGTGATACCCTGCACGCCTTCCAGCGCCGCGAGGGGTGTCGGACCCGCAGCAACCGTTTGTTCATTCTTCTCCACTAGATCTTCCTCCAAGGCCTCAACTGTTGCAGTAGCTTCCACACGACGAGGCATGGGTTCTCCGAGTAACGTTCCCGCTGACACGCACACGCAGACGCACACGCACACGCACACGCGCGGTAGACGCTCCAGTGCCGCGAGGTCGTACGGCGCGTGCGCGCGCTGCTTCCCAGCCCGATGCCAGTTCGAATTCCCGCGGCACCGCGCGATCTCTGACGCTGCGACGGCGCCTGTGGCGGCGGCGCTCGTACGTACACGAGCGGAATCCGAGGATCGCACGCGATCCATAGGGTGCCATCGCTCGTGGAGCGCCCCCGGAATGATGCGGGATGACGCGTTCGCTCCTAGATCATGATAGCTGGCGTGTGATCCGGTATCTCCAGGTCGTCCAGATGATCTGCGGGTAAAAACCCGTCCCTGCGGCACGTTACCTGCAGCTGCGCGTCGACGACGCCAGCACCTCAACGCGAAACACAGACGCGCACGGGCACGCTGCGCCCTGCGGTGCCGTGCCCCCCAACATTCCATCTGCGAGTTTCGGAGGATGCGCAGCGAATACGGATGGTATTCATGTTCAGGTTGGGTCTGTGCGGTCCCGGATATTATTTCGACACTTCCCTATCAACGGTATGGATACAGAAGCGGCATTCGGGTGCGTTTTGACGGACTCATCGAGGTCATGAAAGCGCCGCTGTCTTCAGCCTGGTTCCAAAGATTCCGAGTCGCGATCCATGGCGCGTCGAAACGACACGTGATCTCGATGCCTAGGCGAGCCGCATAGGTGGTGTCGTAATCGAGACCCGCCGTGTGTATCAAGCTTGGTTTCGGTTCAGGACGCCCTCAAGCGGAGGTCGCAAAACGCAACGTGCGTGTTGCAGATGGAAACCCGACTCGAGAAGCACTCGCGGCACTTGCGCTGCCAAACTCGGAGTCGCCGGCCGAATCGCGTCATCGGACAGGAACCGTTGACTTGATTCTTGCGAAACATATCGTGGCAAAGGCCGACGTTCAGTTTTCAGATTCCAGAAGCACAGTTCGATGCGGCTGCTTTTGTGCCACCGCGTCTTGAAGGTAATCTCTAGCACGGCCCCAGGTGGTGGTGTCGGCGGCCGAAGGCGTACGCGTCGCTACGTGATGCTGCCCTCGTTGCAGTTGATGACGTTACATCGTGTCGCACTCATATAACAAAGTCCCCGACAAGTGTGACAGGCGTTTACGTACACAAACAATAACCGGCGCGATCCTACCATGAGCCTAGTCACATCTGGAAGTATCGGGACGGCAGAACGTGCGTGGCGCTTCAGCGGTGCACTCGCAGTCGCTGATGCGATGATGGATCGCAGGTAGCACGGATCGTGTGCTGAACCGAAACAGATGCAGCGCTGTTGGAGATGTGTCAAGTGCCGGGTACACTGCACGAAGCGAACGCTGTGCAATCCTAATCGGCCTGCTCCGTTCCAAGATAGGAAATGCCGCGAAAAGATCAGCCAAAGCAGGTTGCTCCTGTTTCAGTCAGCGCGGAGCCGAATGGTGCAATGACTGCTGGATCTTGACTGGCATGCGAAATGCATCAGCCGCAGCGGTAGACACAGAAGCGAAAGTTGAGTAAGTCAGGCCAGGTCGCCTACGGTAGTCCGCCTTCCCAGATGCCCTTGTTCCGGGGACAGATTTGTTTCGTCGCTGCGTATCGCATCATGAACCCGAACGCGTCTACCTGAGCGAGCGTAGGTTACGTGCAAGCGTTGCGCCATAACCGAGCGTCAATGATCCAGTTTCGTACGACGAACCCGCGGTATTCACGTATCCAACAAGGATCGCAGCAGCTTGATCGAGCTCCCGAAATAGCGTCATGCGGTGGTGCCTGCGTGACAGGATAACCTGCACGAAGGTCAAGAGAGGCAGCGTCCAAAACATGAACAGCGAAAGCGGGAACCACCGCGCTCATAAACGATGCTTCGCAAAAATAATTCTTGGTCGCTGGACGCTTTTTTGCATCCTGGAAAACATCGTTTGCTTCATCGATGGTACACCATGAGTGAACACCGGTGCGAGCATGCTCGAACAGCGATGCGCAGTGCGTGCCTACGTGTCCGCAGAGCGGAACTGTTTGCAGTTTACAGACTTCACTGGAGCGCACTGCACAAGTTATCCGCTCAGCGCTGGCACAAACTGAACTTGGTATAAACGGACGGGAGTCTGACTGGCTCGGGGGCTCCTCAGTGACCGCCAGCGTGCAGGTTGTCTCTGTGAAGCTCACCAGCACTGGTGCAATCGAGTTTGACGAACGAGCACTCGCCTGCCGTGAACGCTCTGCGCACCTAGCACCAATATGGAACGGGAACCAGGTGCACCTTATGCTGTCGGCAGTGAACCTGTAGGCAGTTTTCCGCGGCGGCAAGTGCTCTTCCAGGACCTGACCTCAACTCTCTGCACTTTTGCGTTGTCGTTGGCAGCACTGGCTGTCAGTATAGGCCTCGGGTTCGCGCGACCAACTGTGAGGCCTTTTTTCGTCAACGACGCGAATCATTGGTACCCGTTCAGAAACGAGACGCTGCCATACTTTGTACTGCTTTTGGTTGGACTCGTTGTCCTGACGCCCGTCATCGCACTGTACGAGTTTTTTGTGTACCTGGAGCGAGAGTCGTTCTTCGCGGCTCTGAATCACGTGCTTGGTTTCATCTCTGCGTTCGCATGGAGCTCCATGACGACTCAGTGCATCAAACTGTACGCGGGGAGCTTGCGGCCGGACTTTGGCTCCCGATGTTTCGGTAACGGCAAGTTCCCGCCGGCTGCCTACAGCCCCGGCGTCGTGCTCAGTAACATGGAGTGCACTGTCGCCGATGCGCGCTTCTTGAACAGCGGTCGCATGTCGTTTGTCAGTGGTCATACGTCCACCGCGATGGTATTCGCGACCTACTTTGCCCTCTTCCTCAGTCGTCGTGCCCGAATGCTTCCAGAGACGCGCTTCAGGTGGCTGAAGACCAACCTCATGTATCTGGGTGCACTCATCACGCTGCTCATGGCGATATTCGTCGGGGTTTCGCGCATTGTGGATAATCGGCACTTTCCGGCTGACGTGGTTGGCGGTGCCTTGGTCGGCATAGGCTTTGCTTTGGGCATTTTCATGCTCATTGAAAGCAATGTGCGCATTTTACATGATAAGAAGTATCATCCGTTATCGTTTAATGGATTTGAGCGTCCGCCAGTTGTCTAAACGACGAGCAGTGCTTGCGTTGACGGATGTCGTTGAGCCGGACATGCGTTTGTGCGGCTTTCGATCATAGCGGCGGCCGCCCGTCGTTGTCATCGTCGTCGTCGTCGTTGCTGCTGGGAGAAATTCCTTGCGGAGAAGCAGCAGCTTCTCAGTTGTCTTGCGACGGGGTGCTTAACGCTCGCTCTCGAGGTCCGGCGAGAATCTGGTTATTCTGGTTCCGTCGAGAGGAGCATGTTTGGGTGGTAGTCGGTTCCAGTCGCTGCCTCCAAACAGCTTCCCCACTGTTTCATATGGATTCTTAGGGATCAACAACTGCTGGATCCATCGCTTTCTGGATAGCATAGACGCATTCACAAAACATTCATGGATGGCGCTGTTCGAGAAACTCTGGCTAATGGTTGACCCGTACAGCACTTGACAGGCACCGGCAGCAACCTACACGTGCAGCAGCTGCACCCGAAACTTCCGTTCTATGCGTCATGCAGGTGCCTCTTCGATTGTCCAAGGCGATGCTGAGTTCCTCGTCGCAGGCGCCCGCTGAAAGCGACGGCTGAACCGAAGCATGCCGTACAGAATGAGTCCAGTCGCCACCGTTATCGCTGCAGAGATCGCCGACCAGAGCCCACTGAGCACCGCCATCGCCATACAGCAGAAGAGGCCGCAACCAGTGACATAGAAGAGACCCCAGAAGCCGCCTCCTATCCGAAAGGGCCGGTCTCGGTCGGGCCACTTTCTTCGCAGCACCGCCAGCGCAATGAATTCCAAAGCAACCTTAAGGCAGTACAGGGTAGAGTCGATTTGGATGAGCACATTGAACGGTAGTGCGGTGAAACAGCCCGTTCCGAGTCCAATGATGAGCACACAGACCCATGGTGTGCGAAAGCGTGGATGCAGCACACCAAGCCCCCCCGGCAGCATCTCCATGCGCGTCATTCCATATAGCGCCCTCGAGGATGTCGCTACGAGGCTGCTGAGCATGCCTGCCGCGCTGCACATGCCACCGATACTCACGAGGATGCCAAGCCAGTGACCACCAGCGAGACGGTTCGCTGCAGTCGGCCAGAAAGCGTCCCGCCACTCACTCCACACGTGATTCGTGGATACCGCTGCAGCGATCGGCAGCGTGAAGATCATCATGGTCAGCAACAGCACAATGACCATCGCTCGCGGAAAGGTTCGGTGGACGTCAACGATCTCACCAGCAATGGTGGAACAAGAATCAAAGCCACACCAGTTCCACAAGAGCGCTGCGAGGAAGAGTCGCCAGTTGACCTCCGTTAGCGGTCGTGTGCTCAACCATGCCTCCGGACGGGTTTGACGGAAACCAAAGACGCAGATCAGGAGAAAGGGAGAGATGACCACCACGGTAAAGAGCACTGCGACCCAGCCGACGATGCTCACTCCGAGAATATTGACTATTGTACACAGTGCTAAAACGAGTAAACCGCAAAACCAACTACCATAGACGCCGAGCACGGGTGCTACGCGCACGATGTAATCGCTGAAAAGTCGCGGGAAGAGGGCGTTATCCACCAAGGAGTCGACGAAACTCCACCATCCTTGCTGGAAGCCTGTGAACGGGCCCATTGCGGCCTCGACCCAGAGCACGTAGCCACCGTCTTCGGGAATCAGTGTAGCTAGCTCGGACGCCATCAGGGCCTGGGGTAAAGCCCAGAGCCAGGGCACCACGAGCATTGCAAGCAGTGCCCATCGGGGACCGGCGGCACCTACGATAGGCTCCAGGCCGTAACCGCCACCCGAGGTCAGTAGGAAGAGCATTCCAACCACCTGGAGGAGACTCAGCGCGCGGGGCGGATTCGTTTTCGCTGCGGACATACTGGACGCTACTCGGGCGTCGAGTTGGTCGACGGGTTCCAGGTGAACATTGCCCGGTGACTTGCCCTCGCCAACAGCGTCGTCAGCTGAGGGCGTGCGACCCATCGTCGCCAGTACGGTGACAAGGTCCTTGTTCTGTACGACTCGAGACTCTATCCGCGTGGTGGTAGCGGGCACCTCGGTCGTCCAGCGAACGAACGACGCATACACGGAGCAGCGACGGGCTCGCGGGTGCTCGCACGAGCCAGACGACGCGACGTTCACCAGAAGCTAGCTTTCAAGACCAGCGTCGGTGCCCGGAGCGACTTGCTTCAGCCTACGTTCGTCGCTGGAGTCGCAATGAGTTCGTGGTGGCGGGCTAGCAGGTGCGTACTGAACGCCCTGGCACACACCAGGACAGCGGCTCAGCTACTACGTGGTTACGTTGCAGCGCAGCGGCCGCAACGGAAACCCGGATGTGCCTGAATGCCTGCGGCATTGCAAAACATTCGTTTTCGATACGAACTCGAGTAAGGAGTGTTTCGAAGACGTTACTTTTTTCGTCTGCAAGTTTTCAGAAGACGTTCAAGCTTGTCGAAAGCGGTCAATCATTGATTCATGCATTCGAGTCTCCGAGCGCATTCGCTTCGTTCGGTACAGCGTTGCTGGACCTTGGCATAGCAACGCGCTACTCAGCACGATCGAGGAACGTCGCTTAGCGAGTTCGAGCCTCGTCGATGTGTTTGTGTGCGTATATGTATATTCAGAGAGAGGCTGGACGAAGAAGAACTCGAGTACCGTAGCGTTCTTCAACTTTGAGCGAGCACTGCCGCCATTCGCCTGGCCATATCCCTAAACTGGACAGTAGACGAGGTACCGTCTCAAACAATGCATACCACAGGCATCTATGCTTTTGCTAAGAATCAAGTTTTTCCAGGCATGACGCTGGAGATCGCCGTTGGACCAGAGCTGGTGCTGGTGAGTGTTTACCTCGCTGTCCGCAGCAAGCTCGGAAACTGCCTCGAGTCTGGCTCCGCACCGATATGTTCTCAGAGATTTTAGGCAAGAATGGAAGGGGTCCTCTTGCCTAACTCGGGCGTAGACACGAAATCTTGGGTTAAGTACCAGTGTCTTTAACACTGGCTCTTTGCAAGCGTTCTCTGCAGCCGCCTACTTTTCCACCCGGCTGTATCCGGCTTTAGATACGCCGGTCTCTGTTTTCCCTCCAGTTTCGTTGTCCGTAGTCGAAGGATGTTGGTGGTAGTGTTCAAGTTCCGACTGTGCTGTTTGTAGCTCCTGTCGACGACTTTCATCAATAGGTGGTCGTCGTAGTACCGCTCAGCGCATCGCTTGCCATTTGCACCTTCGCTGTATACGGCCTCGGTGTACCATCCGCAGCGATGACACTAGCCTGGCGTCAGACGTTCGTCAAGGTGTGTCCACGAAGCAGCCTCGAAAAGCTGCCCGGTCACGTCTGAAGGCGTGCTGCATCGCTCGATACATGTGTTTGACGGGTCCAGAGGGCTCGCGTTGATACCCATGTTCGTTATGGCGCCCGGTGACGTACGCGATGACCAGAGACCTCCTCTGGGTGTTCCTCTCTCGACGAGTACGCTGCCTGATGCACGCGCTAGCGCACGCTGCCCCATTCAAAAGACGATTGGGGGAACGCGCTCATGTACATGACGGACAAAGTACGGAAGTGCTGTCTGAAGCGGGCGAGAATGCTCGATTCTTTACGCTCCCTCTATACACAACAGTGGCGTACGCTTCACCGGAGGCGATCGTCGAGGTGACTCGAATCCGAGTCCAAGCTCCCTTGTCATGCAAACAGAACAGACTGGATCCTCTGGGAGCGTTTCCCACGTGAGGTATCGAGCATCGTTGGAATCCCGGTTCGTCGATGACCATACAGGTAGACGTATTTGTCTTTCGAAAGGAATCGATTACGATTTAATGTGAGGATTCCAGTAACTTTTCGTCATGAGCTTCTGAAACAGTCGACCAAGGATGGCATTGAGTAATTCTTATCGTCGATCTGGTGGCGCCAATGGCTGCACCCACAAGTTGCCTTGAAACAGAAAAATCGAACACTTGAAATCTGCGTGGCGTAAGCATGCGACGCATGAGGAAAAGAGAAGAACGCAGGTTTGCGCGTTTGCAGTAGATCTTGGTAGGGATTGTTTCACGAACGGGTATTTGAGGGCGCTGCGAATCTTCTTGACTCTGGTGACGTAAAGAACTCCAGTCGTGTAGCGTCGAAAGAGCCATTCCGAAAAGACGATCGAGAATCGTAAATACACGCACGAAACTCAAGCCCTCACAGCTGCATTCCGAATATCGGTATGGAGCATACGAGAGAGACTTTGGAAATTATCCCAAGGCAGGAACAGCGGAACCCGTACCGTTCTGCATTTTAATCGGAGACGCTTCTCGCGTATGAGAGATGCATGGCCAAGTTCCAGCACCGGCCGCCGTCACGAGTAGCGTAGACGTTTATGAACACACTGTGCAGATTTTAGACCAGGACAAGCGTACGTTGCCCCGCGACGTTGCCTGTACAGCCTATTCTGCACGCAGTACGCGCATGCTCGCGTGCATGCGTACGCATTGCCACGCGCACACACACGTACACACACACACACACACACACTGGTAAAGACCTCATCATCTGCATGCGTCTGAAGGTACACAGAACGTCGACGAGCTCCCGCTGCCGTCCGCAGTACCAACGATCCCCGCAACCGTGGATTGTCTTGGGTATTTTGTCGCTGGAAGCGCGAGTCACGCTTGTTGCGTCCCGATTCCCGACCCGATGTCGGGAATGTGAAAGCACTCGAATGCGATCCAGAGGAGCCGACGGTGAACCTGTCGTGTGCAGAATCGTTCAACTTGGGAAATGAACCCGCCTCGGATGATTGCGAAACTCTGCAGTCCATGCGATAGCCACAAGTTGGAATGGCACCATAACTGGCAACGGAGATGCATACCGGTGCGCAGCAGACCTGATCGCCATGCGTCCATGACGGTTACGGCTTCTCGGGTACAGCAGCGGGCAAGTTGTTCTCCTCCGATTCGGACACGCGGAAATAAAACAGGAGGTAGGCTTGCGCCTGGAGGACCTCATCTAATGTACAGCTACGGATATGTCGATCACTGCAGTAGAACCACTGCTGGTTGCTTGTGGCAACTCTCCTGGCTCGCACATAGGCTACGTAGTGACCAAAGTGCAGTGTACCGTTGTGCTCAACAACACCACATAGTTCGTATCGAACACGCGCAAGATCCGCCGCAACCATCGGAGCCAGCGCCTCTGTTTCAGAGAGCTCACCCAAAGATAGCGTCTCCGGGAAACTGATATGATCGTCTATTTTGGTAACGTATCCGACGTCCAGCTGCGTAAAGCGTTTCATGTGCAGTACAAGACAGCGCGGGGCGTTCTCCAGACGCATCCACTTGCGAGCTTTCAGCGGAGCCGCTTCCCAGTCAGAGACCGTCTCGCTGGCGTGGCCCGCTGCCGCCGAGTCTCCAGAATGGAAACCGTTGGATGTGCTCACAGCGCCTGCACCCGTCTGCGAACCGGGAGGTATGCTCTCGCATCGCACCCCGTTCGCCGTGTTGATGTCGGGTAACGCTGACGAAGTACACGACGTGGACTGTTCCTTGTTGGACGCTAATTTCTCCGAACTGTTTTTTTCTGCATCATGTCCTGTGGTGGCACACTCTTTGGATGTCTGCGTGCTCTGCACCAGTTCAATGACTTCTGTGCGTGCCCATTCTGCAATACATTCGCCAAGTCGGGTGCATACCTCAGACATTTGCGATGAGCCATGCACGCTGTTCTTCGAATGCATCGGTTCGCAGGTGAGGGCTAGGAGTCCTCCGTGTACACCTATGCCCGTGGATGATGCTCGTGTCGCGGAGCAAGCTCTCGACGCCGAATCTCTGCACGCAGGCTCGTCATCCAGCTCAACGTCGTCAAACAGAGAAGAGACGCAAGCGAGGCGACAATCTGATTCGTCGTAGTCTTCATCCTCGGAATAGCTTCTGTTGTTAGCCTGCATCAGGCTTCGACTTTGATTCCACTCCGTTTCAGATAGATCCGTGCCGTCTAGGTTTTGTCTACGCGCGTCTGCACCCGCTTTGGGCGCATCCTTGCCGTCAACGGAACAACCACTTGCGCACATGTCTCTGGTTCCCGCTCGCTGCTCTTCGTTTCGACCGCCTCGTACACGAGCATCTCCACTTTGTCTAAGGCGAAGTATTGGCAACGACAACGCAAGGCACTCCTCGTGTCGCACTTGTGGTTTCCCGCCTGAGCTCGGCATCTCCAGTCGGTCTTCTACGCGGCATTCGAAGATATCTCGCACGAAACTGCGTGCCTGCTCGACCGTTTTCGCCGAGTCCGGTGTCTTCGACATACTCTTCCCTGCCCGCAGTCGTTCTTGCTCCTCATCGTCTATGGTCCAGAGAAGTGCCAACAGCAGCTCATGGGCGTCCTGCTGTGCCCAGCCTTTGAAACGTGGACATTTCTCGCCGATCTCCTCGAAAAGTCGGCGGGTGGCACGCTCCAGGGCAGCACTGTCGTTCGTATGGTTTGGAGCGCTGCTACCAGCAGCTATGTCACTTTCCGTTCCAGTTGAAGAGTCGGCAAATATACGCTTCTGCGCGCGTTGTCGCTCATGCCGCCAAAGGGTCATGAGAAACAACCGCAGTGCAAGCGTCACCGCTCCCTCGAATCGAACGATTGCGTTACTCTTAGTGCTCTGGAAGTATGACTGCAAGGAAGGTAATCGCGCAAGACACTGGAGAACAGAGTTGAAAAAGCATGTGTTGCCAAGGTTCTCAAGTCCCGCTGGTATGCATAGCTCCTGTTCGGAGTCCGACGGGGGCTCTGCCGCCGGTGAAGGAGGCGTTTCACAAACCGTGCCCCTACCGTGCCGGTTTTCAGCGCGTGCTTTCTTCCGCGCGTGCCCCTTTTTTCCACCACGCCGAGGCCTGCCCCGCGACATGGATCCTCGCAACGAGCGCACCAGGTGCGCCCCTTGGGACTAGAGACGTCCGGACACAACACGTTTCCAGACCCGCAAGCGAGGCCTGTCGAGGTGCTTCAACCAGCTCCGTCCGGTATGCCTTGTGATGGGTGAAAAACCAACGTACAAGCAGACCGTAAGCTTAAGCTCAAACGAGTCCACCGGAGCGCGGCTCTCGACTCTCGGCTCTCTATACGCTAGTTTCAGAATGCTTAGAAACGCGACGTTTTCCGGCCGTCGATGCAGGGCGCCCGGCCGCACAACGCTGTGGCGATCATATTCTGCGATACGTGTGCGTGCATACGTGCGTGCATACGTGCGTGCGTGCGTCGCCGCAGAGGCAAGCGACGGCGTCGGGGCGAGCGCATCGCGCATCGCTCAGCTTCGGCGGCTTCTGTCTCTATTTTCATATAATGAACAAACAAATACAGTTTTGAACAGGTGACGCTTCCCATGGGTATGCTGTGGCGGCGGAGGCGCTGCCCTGCTGCTCCAGTGTCGCCTCGCAGACGCCTTGCGCAACGATGATGGACCACGAAGATGGCTGAATAATGCGCTGCGAACCCTTTACAGGTGAATTCGATAGATGGTATCGCAACGCGGTGCTTGTTCGAGCAGCTGAGCGATGAGTACTTCACTGGTCTCTATGCCGGCTACGTGATGAGCATTGAAGCTACCCTCAAGTATCCGATACGTCAACACATGTGGTCGGAGGTGCAGTCAGCGCTCTGCGTAAACCATTCGAAACCATTCGAGATTCAAGTATCGGGCTGGTGCATGGCTTTGACAGGGCACCTCTGGCGCCATGGGATCGAGGTGCTCGCCTGCGCGCGGGACGACTCGAGAAGCCACTATTTCCGCAAGCGAGGTCACTCCGGAAAAGAAATCGCGCAGCCAGAACGACCGAGTGGAAGCTCACGGATCACGAGGAGCACCCAAGTGGTCTTTGATCTATCGATCGAAGGACTTGAGTATCCTAAACCCTGCCTCGCTATGGATTGATGTTCGCGTTCGGGAGGTCCGGCTCTTCGAAGCTAGGCTGTGATGCCATAGAATCTCTTGCCTTTTCATGTATATGAGATCACATGAAGCAGGTTCAATAACGCAATGCATCGCTGTACGCGTATAAAGTACCCTGCTGTTTTCACGTGACCATATATGGCGACAGCTTTTGGAAATGTGGATGAAGTGCGACGAAAACGCACGTCTTCTGGGAAGCTGCCGCGTTGCCTGCTCGTTTCTCGCAGACGGACTTGAGGGCGGACTCGCTCAGGCGGTATCGCGTTGCTCCAGCAACGCTGATGCCTGACGCTGTATTCGAGGTGCTTGTGCTGTTTGCTTTTACACTGTCGTGGACTGTCGTACGATATCGCAAGAGACTTCAACGTGCACTCGAGTCGGAGATACGTGTACGCGTAGATCGTACCGAACGAGACACTGCAAGCGAAACAGCTCTTGTGTGATCGCAATCAGTCAGCTGGGTTGTCCCTTTATTGATCAGCTCGTCTCGTGAAGTGCGCCATATTTCAGTGAGCTGCAGTAGACTTAGAGTGTGATCAGGCGCTCAGACTTTGAACGCAAAGCTGGCGCGGTGCGGTCTTTACGTCACCGGCGTACAAGTCGCCGAGAAGCGGCCAGTGCAACACGCAGCCAGTGCCGCCGCACCGAACATCATTATGAACGGCACCGACGACAATCAAAAAGAGACGGAGGTCTGCGCTTAGCGACACTGTTTCTGGACGGGGCAGCTTGACGCCCAGCTACCCTGGAAACCGAAAAAACACTCTTGTCGAACGGAATAGGCTGCTTCGTTTCGGGCTCACCCATGGAACGGTTTGCGAACGCCAGCGCGGCTAGTTTTCCTGTTCTGCAATCGCTGCCTACCAGAAACCCTAGTATGTTGATTTGTGCAATCAATCACCGGATCACATGCTTTTGAAACTTTACCAGTGAAACAATGATTCCAGTAACACGTTCTCTTCGCAATTTATCCGCAGTATGGAGAGAGAACCCGGTACGAATCCACCTGAGGTCTGGAGGCACCGCAGCTGCAACATTCGCGTCTGCGTTGCTGCAACACCATCACCGATCCGTGTACGAAAGAGGCGGGCGCTACCCAAAGCATCACGTGCAACCACGATACAATTCAATAGAGTAGGCAGCGCTTTTCTTGAAAATCTGCCTATCATGCGTGCCCTGAGGTTATTCATCATTTCGAAAGCGCAGCATCGCAGACAGCATGCAGACAACGAATGCAAGCACAGTTTGGCTGCCTAGCACGCTTTCGTTCCATCCAGCGTAACTTGGGTTTAAGGTCGAATCACCCATCCAATGTCGTTACGAGCACCACACGGAATACCAGTTCGCAAGAAGAACAAGCCTTAATCGTTGTCACCAGTCGCGAGACGCGAAGGTCCACGACTCGAACCCGTTGTGCGCATACCGCATTTGGCAAAGGACGCCTCTGGGTGGGAAGTCTGCCCCTCTCATCATGCAGGCTGCTTCGGATGATCCGCTGTGTCCACGGTATCTAAAGCAGGGTCCATGACCTTTCACTGCTCCAGAATCATCCATGTAATTTCGTGCGCTGGCCATCCCGACGCTCCACTGAACGCTTCTGCACCGCAACGCCTCGACACTTTGTCATGCCGTCGACGACCAGTACCGCAACGAGCGCACAACTACAGGAGCCACGAACACAGGGCCGCTCGGGCGCAGGTGCACCTGCACTGAGCGCACTCGAGAGCCGTTTCCCGCTTCCACTGTAGCCAGGTAGCACCACTGGTATAGGTACATGATCGATCGCGTATCCGTCTCGATCTAGGTACACAGGCGATGAGCGCAGTTCAGGGAAAAAGTCCATAGTCGAGTCGCTTCTCAGTCGCGCTTATCTTCCTCCGTCTGAGCACGTCCACGAGGCGTGTCCAAACGAGCGTACTCATATTGTTGACGCCACATACGATCCCGGTCTCGAGCGTGTACAGCACGTGCAATAGCTGCATGCGTCGCCAAACGTCTATGCGGGGCGTAACGGTTCAAATAGTGAAAGGCCAGATGCGCCCCAATGGAGATCAAGCCGATCAAGAGCGCTGGACCGAGTTTGCTCATACGTGAATTGGGCAAGATGGTATCACCACGAAGGCCGGATAAATACACCAACTCGTCGTGGAGTTCATCGGTATATATGAGCAGGAAGTGGTTGCGATCCAGAATGTAGATGAGCCCAGAGCTCGCCGGTTGTGAGCCTCGTGTGTCCTGAGCGGTCTCGGCGCTTCTGGAAAGCGTCTCGTTGCCGACTGAAGCGTACTTCGGGCCCCAGATACCACTCTGCGGCAGTCGTTCCAGATCAAAGCGGAACCACTCCACAAAGTCGGACTCTCTGGTGGGCATCGCGCCCCCGTCTGCCTCATCCGTATCCTTCAGGTCGTAGAACGTAAAGCGACCACGCCACGGGGCGTCCGTTTCCAGACGTATGAGACGAAACGGTGCGCTGGGAACGCGTTTTCCCCGTTCATCCTTAAACTCCATAGAGCCGCTCTCGATCCCGTCGGGAATGAGCCACTTTTCCAGCGCACCACGTGGCGGTGGCGGCTTATACGAGGCAACTTCGCGGACAGAGAGACGCGCTCGCCTCGCCGGCCAACGGCGGCTAGGGGGCAGTTTTCTGCCGCTCTGTCGCGAGAGAACACCGATGTCCACCGTCCATACGCCTGAGAGTGCTTCGCCGATGTCTTGGGGGTCAGGCTTCACGAAAATGTGGCCGAAGAAGTACGCGCTTCCGCCGACAGGCACGCGACTAGGCGCAGGTTGGGTTTCAGGCTCTGCTCGTTGTTCGTTTACAGCAGGCGCCTGCTGCAATCCAGCGTCATTGGAGGGAGCGTCGGCTCTCACCGAACTGAACCACATCGAAACTGTCCACAACGAGAGCCACAAACAGAGTAGTGCGGCCAACGTTCGTAGCCGCAGCGTCGAAACCCGCCCAGACGCCAGTTGTCGAGGCATCTTGCGGGCGTTTTCCAGTGAGACTTTCGAGTTTAAAGAATAACCATCGTTGAGAAGCATAACACACAGCTGAAGATACCAAACAAGTATTCAAGAGCGAACGCTCCTAAGCGAAATGTCGGGTAAACGCAACGGACGATAGCGACGCTGGACATGCGCCGTTTCAAACGCTTCGACGCTGGTACTGGGGATGCGGCGTGATGGTAGGCGGCATCAGAGCACATGCTTCTTAACTTGGTGTCATTTAGGAGATGGGACGGCAACGTATCTTTAGGAAAACTGGTGTCTATAGCGTGCCAGGCGGCAACTTGTGAGATCCCGACTGCACCTGATCCAATAACGGCTAGCAAGACGTCAAAAGTCGCAAGTCGAGCTGCACCGCGGTCAGTTGTGACGCGGGGCAGCTGCTGAGGTCCAACTCGTTGCGCACCATTTGTCACGATACCTTCAGCAGCTCAACGTGCTCGTGTCGAGGGTGAATAGGTCGATAACGAGAGCCATCGAAAGAGCTGCGAGACGCACGCGTCAGCACAGAAGCGCACAGAACCCAGATCTTTGATAGAACTTTGACGCGCTGGGCACGCGGGATGCGCTAGGTTCACGCTGCGTCTGCAACCGCATCTCCATATGGGGCTTGTTCGTTCATGAATCAGGCACGTGAGACAAGCGGGCAGGCGCTTTCGTTTTTCGGATTCAGAGTGGACTCGCTTTGCGCTGCATATGTATCTGCATTTGCATGTCCCATGCCAATAACGTTATAGTTGCTGCTGACAACTGTGGCTTGGACTCGACCCCGGATAAAGAACGGCTTGCGAACTTGGATGAGTGCCTTGCGCTCGCTGAGGTTTGCACCGGGAGCCGTACAGCGTTCTTGCTGCACCTGCGGCTGCGGACTTGGGATCAGTTATAGCGCCCGGATCGTCGTTGCCGCTTCGTCGTTCCCGTTGCCAACAAGGAGAGACGGAGGTATTCATCCCAAAGTGATGCCGATGTTGCCGTGCATGTTCATCCGAGGATGCTAATGAAGGAAATCGCCTTTCTTCAGTTGCACTGTTTGGTCGCACGGCGTTGGTCCTCTGATCACGCTGGACGTCGGTGGCTGTGGCGTCAGCGACGCTCTGCTTCCCTCGAGGTGGTTGACACAAGGAGGCGACAGCGGCGTCGAGACAATGCGGTGTCGCGTTTGGGCCTTGAGATGTAGCGAATGGCTGTTCCCGGATGTCGCTGGGCGATAGCGGTGCTCGCTTTTGCTGGCTCCGCAAGGCATCCAGCTGCACTGCCATCCGCGAGAGATGTTCGCGGAGGACCTCGTTTTCCTGATGGGCGGCATCTAACTCCGCAAGAATGCGGGTAGCACCTGCTGGACTGCCCAAGGCCTCTGAAAGATCCGAAATCTGTGATTCCGATGCAGGCTCGGTTGGGGTATCCCTTGGTTTTGCTGGACGCCTCCTGCGGATGCCCCGCAGACGGCTGCCAGCGGCGAAGCGGTGATGTGGCGGCATGCGCGGCCTCCGACGCTGCTCCACTGGGGCAGAACCCGGAAGGCCCCCGCTGATGGACTCCACTGCACGATGCAAGAGACCCCAAATGGGGCTCGAGGCATCTCTACCGATGAACGCTTGTGATGATATACTGAACGGCGATCTCGATAACTGTTCTGAGCGGTCGTGTGGTACGAATCCAACACGACGCAGTCGTGACGCTATAATGCCATCATCTTTCGCGCGTCGGCGCCACACGGGCGCAGCAGCCGGACTTGTGAGTGGTATAAAAGAGGGTCCCAGCTGCTTAACAGGCGAGTGCGATGGGGAAGCGCTTCTCCTGGGCGTTTCATCAATCTGCATTCCGATTGTTGATGTACCAGGGATGCTACCGTCCGCTGGGATTGGTTCGTGCTCCAGATTCGGGTGCATCTGGGGGTTTCTGCTGAGCTTCTCGTGGGAGGCGTCAGTGCATCGCGTGTGCGGATGCAATAGAGGTCGTGTAGGCGCGGTAGACGTTTCGTCTGTGAACGCGCTGGGGTCCTCAAGCAGCCCACCGGCAAGCAAATTCACTGTGGCATCATCGTTCGAGCGGTATTTCGACCGTTGGCCGGATGGACTCGGGCGTGAACTGAGCACCCCATGCTGGGTGAGGTCCTGTTCGAAGGCCCGTCTTTGAGACGTCGTTTGTCGATTGGGTTGCGGTGACGCTGCAGCGTTACAGGGTGAAGTTCGGTGCTTTGCTCGCTCCGTCTGCGACAAGCCTTGGCTGCCACCAGTTAGGATTCGAGGCGCCTGACAAGGCACTGTGGTGGCCGCGAAACCTTCTCGGGAGGCGCTTTCAGCTTGGTCACATCCGCGTTCATCGCCACAGCGCTTTGGCACCCCGCCCAAGTGTTGCGACGCCAAGACTGTGGCCCGCCGATCTCGGTACGTTGGTGCTTGCAGCGGTGTCATGGCCGAAAGAGCCGGCGACGCCTGGCTCCGCACACTGCCATTGTTCTGAGATATTCCTACGTCTGCTGTGGGCAGACGCTCTGCATCCCGTCGCGGTGTTCTGTCTGAAACGAACACATCGTCTTCTTTGGGAATTCGCTCTGCTTGTTCAACCGCCCGTTGCCAAGATGCTGCCCTTGGAGCGCTAAGGCGCTCAGCAAGCCCTGCACCAGCACTGCGTTGCGTAGCTTGGTTTCCAAGATGCTGTATAGATGGGGCTTGCTTCTTTGGGCTCAAGGCGGTGCTTCCTTTGGGAACCCCGCCATCCTTCAACTTTTTGAAGCTCCAGAAATAGTTGAAATCACTTAGTCCGGAACGATGGGGGGCTCGTGCATTTCGAGAGGGCGTACCCGGAGAGATGTTCGTGCAGGGCGACTGCACCTGAATCGCAGCAGGTGCCGCTGTTCCTGGGGAGCTCGTGTGCCGCAGCATCTGCACAGACTCCTCATCGGTCGTAGAATATGTTCTGATTCGTCTCTCGGTGACTAGCTTTTGCAGGACACGGTGTCGGGGGGACTGTCTTCCACTGAAAGCGTCTTCAGAGGAAGCAGCTTCGGGTAAAGGCGCGATAGGTATGGCGTCGTCACGGAGTTCGCCCTGTAGCACGGCACGAGGAACAAATTTTCTTTTCTTACGGGTCATTTGATCACCTCGAGGTGTTGCAGAACCGATAACGCCACTATGGGTTTTGGATAGGGATGGCGTCAGCGGCTTGGCGTCAAAGCTCTCTGTGTGACGTCCATAGCGCTCCGCGTCGCTTTCCTGGGTGGGCAGCAGCCCCGTCTGCATTGCTGGTTCGCGAGCCTTTGCATACAGTTCGTGCTCGGCGTCAACTGCACTATCAGTTGAACCGTTAAACTGGGTGTCAACACGCCCTTTTTGAATCGCACTGTTTCTGCGCATGTATTCGCCAGGAGCCAGTTGGGGTTCGGTGTTAGATCGCACGCTCCGGAGTCGCGCAGGTTGTGAGCAGTTCCACGCTTCGTTCTGAACAGACTGCGTAGCTTCTCGAGGACGTACGCCCGGGTCCGCTTCTTTCAAGTTAAAAGGATTCGCATCTTCGCTACTGTTCTCCCACGGGGCGACACCCGCCTCCCGCCGTGGCAGACCCGGCGACCAGAGGCTCGCGAGCCAGACAACACCGCACCAACCTAACCATGTTCCCAACATAGAGAACGTGCCTCGAACCAGATTCTCCTTGAGTTGTCCTTCGCAGCAGGTCACTTGCGCTGCTTATCCCGACACGAAGTGCAGTATCGCGTAGCAACGGCTGGGAAGCACTCGCTATCGTGCTGGGGTTTCGCGCGTGGCGGGAACGCAGCATCGCAGCATTGCGGGAAATCTGACAGCTTAGTTTCGATTTCTAGAGAGCCATGTTAGAAAAAATGGGTCAGGTTTGCGCAGCGAACAGGAGCGTCCGCCTTACAGCTCGAGCGTCTCCTGAAGATCCTCAATGCCAGCCTTTTGCAGGCTTTTTCTGTCAACAGCTTCCTTTTTGTCTCTCTTATCTGGAGTCTGAAATACGCCGGTCTCTGTTTTCCCTTCTGCGGCGTTGCCAGCCTTTAAAGGACACGGATGGCAGCGGTACACCACCGATTTCGCTGCTTCCGGTCGTTGTCGACGAATTTCAAGTATAAGCGGTAGTTATGGTCTACATTTCGCATGTCATATTCATCTTCATTGTGTACAACCTTGTTGTGGCCTTGCCAGCCGTGACGCATGACAGTGTTCAGATCTTGCCATATGTCTACAATTAGTCCTCCTTCGCCTCCCTGAGGCGCCATGTGCCGCATGAAGGAAGGCTTTATCGCCCCGCACATGTCCTTGACGGGCACAGGAGGCTCGCGTTGGTGTCATGTTTCCTTGCAATCGCCGGTGAGGTACCCTGGGAGCACAAGTTTCTTCTGAGCAATCCACTCGGTAAGTACGCTGTCCGTTGCAAAAACAAGCGCATGTTGCTCCATTTAGTAGAGGATTTGTAGAACGCGATGCCGTAGATGATGAGTCATGATCTGTACGGGATACCAAGTCTGGAGATCAAGTGAAAAAATATGGATCCATCTACGCTGCCTTCGTGCGAATTCGTAACGTGCACTCCATTCGAAGCGAATACCGTGACGCCGCATGTCCGAGCCCATTGCTCTGTTCCATCGAAACAGAAGAGACGGGAATATCTGGGAGCATATCCCGTGAAAGATATCACGTTGGCATTGAACAAAGTCTCGTCGGTGGTCGGAAAGAGAGGAGGAATTTTCTTTCGAGCGTGATCGATCATTTGATCTCAGAAGCTAAGTAGACTTTCGGCATGAGACTGTCAACAAGTAGCGAACGGTAGACGCCGGATTGGCGTCCTCGTCAATCCAGCGGTGCATATTGCTGCTCCTAAGATTTTCGTTGAAACAGCAAGATCGAGAACTTTAGGCTTACGTGATCCAAACAAGATACACGTCAACAAAGAAGAATCATGGAAGCTACTAGATATGACTTGAATGACGATATCGGTCATTTTACGAACCGTTGTTCGAGGGCATTGCGAATCATTTCGACGCCCGCGACGTGACTAATCCTAGCGGCAAAGAGTCGAACGACACGATCTGGAAAGAGGACAGAAAATCCTCAAACTACGTAGCAACCCGTCGTCCGTTATTGCTATACTTCGAATGTAGAGGCTGTGCATCTAAAAAAATTTGGAACAAATCGCAGGGCAGTTCCAGTTTGAACGCTAAAGTGTTCCATTCTAATCTGACAAGGACGTAGAGCGCAGTCGGAGCATGGGACACTCGCGAATCGATCCAGTGCCGGCACCCGGTGCTGTGACAAAACGCGGCCATCAATGGTTGCGGCGCCCTTCATATATCCACGGCAGGTGGAAAATGCATCGCAGAGCTAGGCGCAGATCGGCGCATATTTCGGAATGTACTCGACGACCTGCGAGTAAATCGCCTCGCGAAAGCTCCGGCAATGACAAGTCGCGATGGATTCGCCAATAGACAGACGTCTCTGAATGAAGCCGCATGCGCGCTCAGCGCGGCAGGGTCCTGCGAATCAAGCGCAGATGCTTGCGGAGAGCTCGCTGCACACCTATAATCGCGGATTGCCGGCTCCAGTACGTGCTCTTTCTGTATTCGAGGGCGGACGCCATCACCGCACCTCACCAGCGCCTGGAACCGACCCGATACACTGGCACCGGTCCCGTGTCCGGCATCGGCTACCTCGAGCCGCTATCCGCGACGCAGTCTTTCGAAACTGATCAGGCTGCGAACGAGATGAGCGCGTCTTTGTAGCCTGAACCCGCTGCGTACGTGTTCCATGGATTCCGCACTGCTGGAGGATTGCATCCGAGCTGTTGGCAAAGTCGATAGCGAGTCGGGACTGTCCAAAAGAAACAAAAGAGGTCAGAGCTGGTATTGAAAAGCTGGCAGAGCAGACAGCCGGCCCCGTGCGACCGACGCCTTGGCCTCTACCTACTAGAAGATTGTCCTGATATTGCCTCCCGGGGCGACGTTGTGCACGGATACGTCTATTCTGCACGATCCCGAGAGCGCTTTGGTGCACTGCCCGATTCCCGCTCGTACATGCAACAGGGCAGGTCCAAAGCTTGACATTTTTGGATCAGAACAACAGACGCATCGGTGGCGCTCTGTGCATGCGCCACGTGACACCGAAACCTGGACGTCCAGATGCACTGCTGCACGAAATCGACGTGCGATCGAACGACCTGGGTATCGTTCGAACAATCGAAGCTGGTAACGTAGTTGCACTCAACGGTATGCTGGACGTGGTGCAGTAGAGAACATGTTGACGAGAGTTTTATGTAACGAGCGGAATTGCCTTTAAAAGAAAAGGTTTCGTTTGCCGCTGACAGCGGAGTTTCTTCGCATCCTTTTCTACGCTACCCCAGCAAACGACAACTGCACTTCCACGTCGCGCCGTGAGGACGACTCCGCCGAACCGAGTACGTGCACGGGCGCGCACACTGAATCAGTCGCGATGGGCACTGATACCAATAGCGAGGATTCGGCGAAGCGGTTCCGGAGAGTACGGAGAGGTTCGGCTACTTTTGTCGAGCTGAACCTCGAGGATCTTCTAGAAGATCCCGGAGAACTTGTCTGCGATGAAGCCGGTTGTCCAGAAGAAGTCCTGTCAGAGCTTCAGACAGGATCTGAGGAGAATCTGGCTGATGACGTTGGCGAAACGCAAGAAAGCCCACAAGTTGGAGCTGAAGAGGAAAAGCGAAAGAGCACTGGTAGCCAGGGGTCTCGCACTTCGACGGATTCGGCTGCACTCCGCACAAGCAAGTCTGGCGAGATATCCTCAATGTCCACACAGGATGACTTGAGTACCAAACAGAGTGCCACATCGGCCCGCGGCTTGCGCGGATTGCCTCCTGCTAGTGGCAGATCAACTCCTTCACCACGGAATCAGAATGGAGTTCGCATCAGTCAGAGTCACGACGATCTCGCAACGAATAGCAGTCGTGGCGGATCGGGATGGCTTCTCAATGTCAACCGTGCGTCGCGCAACTCTGCGGACAGAGAACGCAGCTCGCATCCGATTACGGAGGCAGTTCGAAGCAAGTCAGGAGATAACCGTTTCGCGGATATTTTCCAACTGCCGCATACCCAGCGACTGGTTGATCACTTTAGCTGCGGTCTTCAGAAAGCAATCATTCTGCAGGGAACGCTTTATCTTTTCAAGGACTATGTATGTTTTCGAAGTATTGTCTTAGCGGGAACAAAAATTGTAATGCCTATTCGCGACATTGTTCGAATTCAGCGCGAACGCAATCTTCTTATAGACAATGCGATTCGTTTCACGTTGCAAGACGGGAGCAGTTATTTGTTCGTCTCTTTCTTGTTTCCGGCTCGCGTGTATCGCGAATTCAAAGAGAGCGGTTTGTTTGCTCCGGAGGTCTTTGAAGATCGTCCCGAGGCAGAGCGCAAGCCCATGACACGCTCTCCACGGGACCAACGCAGCAAGGATTCTGCGACCTCTGGATCCGCCTCTCCAGGAGATCAGCAGTCGGAATCCAAGTCTGGAAACAGCATCACAGATGAGGAGGATGAAGGCAGCGAAGACGACGAGGAATACGCGCATTCCGTGGAACAGAGCATGGTGATTCGTCTGTTCGCGATCGGTAACTTGCCATACTACCCACACGGAAAGAAGCACCTGCTCCAGAGTGACCAGTCAGAAATGACCAAGGTTTGTTCCGTAACCTTGCCTTGCAACAATGCGCGTCTTTTCAGAGCCTTTTTCTTGGATTTGAAAGAAGAAGAGGCGCTGCATCAAAGTATCGGCTTGAACCAGATTAATGGCACCAATAGTGAATCAAAAGCAAACGGCACCAACAGCAAGTCTGAAATCCCAACCAAAGCCAAGGCCTCGGATTCTGGCCCCGGTAATGCTGCTTCCAGTGAAAGCCGTAGCTCAGAGTCAGACGCACTGGTCTTTAGTGCGAGGAATAATTTTTTGGCGTTTCAGGCGAAACTTGGGCATCAAGACATGCAGCTCGGCGAATGGCATTTGGATCCTGATCTAGGTTTCGTGCGCGAATTCCGATACCGGAAGCCGCTGGAGCCTGCGCCAATGAGCCCGAAAGAAACCTGGATGACGGAGCATATGCTATTCTATGTTTCCAAGCAGGAACGTGAGAAACTGCAAACCATTTATCTGGAAATCAAGGGCACTAGCCACGACGTGCCATTCGGTGACTCTTTTGTAGCCGAGCAGCTCTATGTGTTCCGGCCGGCATCCGAGAATGGACGATTTGAGTGTGAGTTAGAGATTTACGGTGGAGTTCATTTTTCGCGTTGGAATATGGTTGCCGGTACCATACGGAAACGCACCATTGCTGGTGTCGAACATACTGCCAACGTGTTCGTTCAAATGGCTCGCGAACTCTGCACAACTTCATTATGTCGCCGCGTGCGAGACCTAGATGCAGCGCGCTACCGGAAGGAAATTGGTGCGTCCGCCAAGGTGCTGGAAAAAGCAGATACGGCTCGCGAAGAAACCACGGAAGATACCTCGCCAACGGCTTCGGCGGAAATCAAGCCCGAATCTATTTCATTGGAATCGCTGCCGCTGCCGACGCGCTACATGCTTCTGCCGTTTTACCGCATCGCACTGGTGGCGACGTCGGCAACTTGCTGGGATGCAACGCTTCTGTCTGCATTTTTGATTCTCTGCATAACGCTGCTAACCTTGGTTGTTTTCCGTCTGTACTTGAATAACCAACAGATGACTGTAGAGCTTCGCCATGCCGAAGAACAGGTCCAGTTTTTACGGAGTCTTCTTAAGAATCATCTTGGCCCATAGTCTGACGTCGGCAGAATCCGGAACGTCTCCAGAACGCGCCACTGGTACCCGTGGCGACAACAGCGGCAGAGCAGGTGCGCTCTTGTGCAGACTGTTCAGTACCGCGGTCGCGATGCTACCGCTGGCGCTAGCCACAGGGTACCCATGTTCATTGAATGGAATGAGGGCTTGCGGGCAGTCCTGGCGCCAACTGCCTGCAATCCGCAATGTCGGCTTCGTGCGCACGTATGTCACTTCATGTGCACGGCACGCATGCGGCCTATCGGCAGACGCGCGTTCTCTGTAGCGGCTCGCTGCCTCCGAAATCTAAAGCCCATGTTTTAGTTTACCTCAAATGATACATAGCTGTCGAGAATGCTGCGTACCGGAAACATCCAAGTACCTGGAGCGAAAGTCACGGAGCACGTCTTGCATCCCAGTGGCAACCTGGAAGCGTCAACTCCCAGGGGAAAAACCACCACACGGGGCACACACCATCACCGCCTTTCGAAAGTCGAACGGCAGCAGTGTACAGTAGTGGCGGCAACCGCGCCCTAGACGAAACGTCTCCAACCGACGTGCAGACGCCTCCCGGTTTTTCTCGACCGAGCACCCACTACTGCTTCCAACTTCTTTTCATATAGTTCCACTTTGAAAGGTTATCCAATAAAGTTCTCTCTTGTCGACTCTGGAGGTCTCTTCTCCAGCACCGCACATTTCCTTATATTGATAGCGGCATTAAAGTCTCGGTTCACGAATTCCATCCGTTTCTTGCTATCACTTGTTGTACTAACCAATGCAAGTAGCCCTCGCACTTTTGCCCTCCTCTCCATTTGCTCCTCCGTCAGCGGTCCGTACTTTGCTATTTCCTCAGGATTCCGCTGGCACTTTTCCATCCCGACCCTTCGAAGTGTACACCCCAGCTCGTGGTGTGTATAGGACGTTCGGAACTCATCCACAGGTATCGTAAAGAGACGCCTTGCGCACTCTTTGTACGCTCTCGTCGTTGGAGCTGGCGTAGTTCCTTTTAGGGTCTTCCATCGCCCTGCACCGTACGCTACTACGAGCCTCTGATTTTCATTCTCCTTGAGCGCGCTCAACTGATTGAAAAAGTTGGCGAACGCCCGCTGCCTCCCACCGTATAGATGCATACACAGACGAGCCCACCGGGGCTTGGTATACTCCTCCCACAGCGCATCCCAATGGGCAACACGAACTCCCATGGATTTCCGGAAAGCTTCAAAGTCGGCTCCTCGGCTCGTCACCTCGCTCAACGCTTCCAGGTGATCCTTCATTCCTGAATTCCAAGTCTCGATTTCCTTCCTCGCATTCATGATTGCCGATTCTCGATAGTATCTCGCTCTCGAGAATCTCAACAGACGCATATCTTTCTGACGTAAGTTGCCGTCAGTACCATCTTCCGCACGCTTCGGTGCTGCGACGGCTATAATATTCGTATTTCCAGGGTCCGCGCCAACGATAAAGTCGTTATCCTGCACTTTCTGCTTCTCAGAGCCCGCCTTGTTGTTTTCTTCATGCTTCGTCGCGTCTACGACAAGGTCGTTATCCTGCACTTTCTGTGTGGCAGGATCCGCATCCTTCTCATCTCCATGCTTCGTCACGTCAACGATAAAGTCGTTATCCTCCACCTCCTGCGTCGCAGGACCCGCCCCTTTGTTTTCTTCATGCTTCGCCGCGTCAACGATAAGGTCGTTGTCCTGCACCTCCTGCATCACAGGATCCGCCTCCTTGTTTTCTTCATGCTTCGTCACGAGCGCAGCCAAGGGCGGAACTGGACGATCTTTCTTCAACCGCCAATAGCGTATACACAAGGCTACTCCATCGGTTTCGATCAACCCAATGAATACCTTCTTCTTGCTCACTTTGAGACGTTTGAAATCGAAGATGCTCATCCAGTACGTCTCCCGGTTTTCGCCGGTGAAGTCCTCCCTGCTAAAATCGAACTCGGGACTGATCTCCCTCATGACGCCATGAAGGATTCTGGAGTCGATAGTCACAAAATGTGACTTGATGTTGCCCAACGGAACCACGTTGAAGCGCTTCCCCATTAGGAAAGCCTTCCGTCTCTCCCACTCTTCATTTGTCTCTTCACTCAGCATCACCTCTGCCTTGCGTTCGATGTCACGATCCAGAAACACGAAATACCGCAGGACGAGGCGATAGTATCTTTCCTTCTCTTTTTTCAACGCTAATATCTTGTCTGTTGGATTCACCAGCCCCAGTCCCGCACGATCCTCTTGTATAACCGCACGGATCGTAGAGGCTTCATTGGTGCTCACCTTTGACGTCGTCTTGTCGACAAATTCGACCTCATCTTCACGCTTGCGATCTTTCATGATGCCATTGATAATCGCCCATTTCCCATTGCGAGAGATGCCCGAGTAGAGTGCAATCACAGCGCGTCTCATGAAACGTTCGAGGTTCACTGTCAAATGGTTCTTCAGATTCGTGATGTACTTCATGGGCCTATATGTGTAAATATCCCGGTCACCCTTGTATCGAGTACCATTGAGGCTGTAAAAGGGATGTTTTTCGTGGAAGACATCCACCCGCTCATTTTCCTCCCGCGCTTCCTCTGTACCAAGCGTCAGCTGACGAATAAAAATCTTGTCGAAAAACACGTGTGGAATCTCGACCGTTTCGATGGGCGTCACGTCGCGATACATCTCCCTCTCCAAATGCATCAGTCCTGACGACGCCTTGAAAATACTCTTGGAGTACGAGTCCACACGTTTTTTGATAGCGTCTCGCAACTTTTCCTTGTAGGGATCCTTGATATGTCCAAGAAGAAAGGTTTTCACAACCATCTCGTCGTACAGTTGTCTTTCTTGCCGCCTTCGACGTAGGGTATCCCCCTTTCGGTTCTTCTTCTCTTCCTTTTCTTCTGGACTAGACACTGTTTTTTGTTTTTTCTGGCAGCCAGCGACACTGGGCCTCCAGGATCGTCGATTTGCTTTTTCATAACTTTCCTTTTTTTAGTTTTTTTGGAAAAGAACGCTCCCTCAACGCCTCTGATATAAACAGCGAAAGAAAACTTGAAAAAACTAAACTGAGGGTTGAAATATAACTGAACTGAAAAGTATACTCTGCTGTGACTTTAACGCAAATACAACGTGCACTTGAGAGCAACACGCTCAAGATCGCGATCCCGTTTCCCTTCAACAACGACATGCGCGTCGTATTTCATGCCTCCCAGATATGGAGGTGCGCGTATCGACCGCGATGCCCCCTGGCACTCGGACGTGAACTCCAAATACCCTCAATAGAAGCATTAGCAGCAGGCTGCCGGGCACGCATATGGGCCAAAGGGCCCGCCATGCGCACCTGGTTCAGTCGGATTTTCATGCAGACCCCAACGCACCGCAAGAACTCTTGGACGAAATCGACGCAGATTTGGCTGAAGCGCCTCTTAGGCGAAAACATTCTCCCCAATCGTTCCCCAGAAATATAGAAGGCTCCCGCCGCCTGAAGCGAACGGTCCAAACAACAGTACGGGAATGTAGACATGCAGTCAGTCGCGCGAGTAACGCCGGCTTGACTCTATACCGGAACTACAGCCTAGCCTGTTCATGCACGTACTGGTGGGAGGCGCTGGAGTTCACGGGACTTGCTCGAGGTACACAGTGGCTCGCCAAAATCCGCGTTGGTGGCTTCTGGCTACCAGCACCGGCTCTAAGCCGTATAGGAACACTGGAATCGCACTGGGAATCACACTGTCCCTGCTATCGAGACGAAATCCCCGAGACCCTGACATATGTAGGCGTACAGTGCCCGCGCTGGAAGCAGGAGCGCAGCGAGCTCCTTGAAGGACAGCAGCAGCTGGGCATCACCGTGATAGTCGAAGGCCGGACACTCACTCTGAGTGTAGCACTGGCAACTGATGGTCCGCTAACCGAGCATCAGCGCTCATCAATGGCGAACAAACGCATATGCTACCTTCTAGGTGGAAGATCCAGCGGATCGGATGCGCACACGGGCTCAGTGCGCTCTCTGCGCCTACCTTCTGTGGTAGGTTTCAAGCACAAACCCGCATTGCCAACCGACAACAACGCATTCCATGCATGATCACGAAGGAGAGAGGCGGCTCCCAGGATATATCCTAACAGCCAAGTTTCTCCAGCGTGTCGTGCAGCGAAGGCAAGCCTGCATCCGCAGACTGTCCAAGCACAAACTGACGACGAGGCCCGATTCTACTTCAGGTGAAGTACGCCTCGAGCCGATGCCCTCTGGGGTATAGAAAAGCAGTTCTAGCTCTATGAACTATCTGATCCAGCGGTACAGGTCCAAAGGTGGATACGGAAAGGCAGGTACTAGGCACACTCGATAGGACGTATGAAACGACCAGAACATCCGAGATGAAGTATATGTACTGTAACTTGGAGGTAGGGTGTTTGATAGATACCTCACCGCGCTCTGAAAAAATATAAAGTAAGAAAAGAAAAATGCGCATAATCGGAGAACGCTGGCCCAAGTAAACGTCTTGTCAATGAAAAAAACCCGCGCCGCCTGGCCGAGATTCATTGATTTTAGTCAGGGCGCTACTCGTATCGATAGGTTCGCTGTAGACGCTCGTGGAGCACCTGCGCTGCGGTGCGCGCGTTCAGTTCATCAACTATGGTTTCATCTAGCGGATGCACGAAGAGCGCTACGGAGAAGCGTTCTGCCGAATAACGAGCACCGCCTGGGCGGCCTGACAGTTTGGTTGCGTCGTTGCGTGCCGTCTGCTCCGGGCGAGCCACAACGCGGTGCTTTGTTGATGAGATCCTGCCTCTGGTCCAGATGGAGAGTACGTCACCTGCATTAAACACGAGTCCCGGGGCACGCGTTGGATCGTGCTCAATGTCCACCCAGTGATCTCCGATCTTGAGCTGGAGACCACCAACTTCATCCTGGTAAAGCAGGGTGAACGTGCCATAGTCACTATGTGCTCCGGCGAGTACGATTTCGGAGGTTCTCTCGTTTGAGGTACCGCATGTTGCATGTGGCACCTGTGTTAGCGGAACTGGTGGGTAATGCAGCAGCCTCAGCGTCGTGGCGAGCACGGAGGGTGCTTTGTTTTCTTCGGGAGGGCCGCGCTCTCCCCGAGCGATGCCTGGTGGTAGCATAGCGCAGTCCAAGGCCAGATTCCGGGAGTCGCTATCCGAAATCTCTCGTATTTCGCAACCCCGATCAATGGTAGTATGTCCAGCTAGAGCAGGTTGTTTCATGCAGACTCGCAGGTCCGGCGAGACGGTGCCTTTGCTCGTTTGCGTCCGCGTCTCACGATCGCCTCCTGGCGCTGCCGGAATTTGTTCTTGACACGTCGAAAGCCGCATCATTTCCCCACGCTCCAGCGAACAGCGGGCACCAGCGTCAGGTGAGTGCTCATGCACCTTCATCAAGGGTGCTGCACTCCGAGCGCCTGTGTCCTCGGAACGCGTGCATCGCGACAAGTCGGGACAGGCGCAACGGTGCTCGGGTGTATGTCCAGCAGCAAGGTCTACGAATGCATGCGCCCTGCAAAACACCGTAGCAATGGGACCGCAGCCATGTCGCTCAAGCGCTGTGCCCAATCGTTGCACGAGAAGTGGTACTAACCTACGCAGAACAACACGATCGAAAGCGCGTTTCGCTGAAAGCAGACTGTGCGACAGCGATGCCTCCAACGGCTCGACTCGTGCCCCGTAGACGAAGTTCAGCGCTTCCTTTGGATCCGAGAGACCCGACTCGGGTGCCAGTGCTTCCACACCAACAGCTACGTATCCCGCGTTAGGAGCCAACCAGTTGCCGCGAGCGAGTTTGCTCCTGTCCGCTGCTGTTAGTTGACGAAAAAATTCTCGTGCCGCGTCAAGCACACTTTGAAACGCTTCGGTATATACGGTCTCATCAGCGACAATATATGCAAAGCCCACTCCCTGTAACGCCTCGTACAAAGATGCACCACTCACGTCTCGCTCTACGTTGACTAGCGGAAGCCGGAGCTGCATCAACAGCCGACCCGTAAACTCGTACCTGTCGTTGTCTTGCTGGGTATTGCGTAGAGCAGCGCGTGCCTCTCAGTCGCAACCTCTACACCTCTATACCTGTGGCCAGATCGGCGACACCAAAAACTCTCTCTGAAGCAGCTTTCAGGTGCTGCTTAAGCCTCCGTCCAGCGAATCGCGGCTGTGGAGCCTTTCGAGCACCAATTCTCATTGACGGAATCTCTGAATGAGATATATCGCTACAGTGCCAACGTTTGCGCACTCGCGTAGCGCTGTGTGCAGCTTGGCTTGCAGGTGAGGGTGCAGGTTTGTGTGCGTTTCCTTCGCTACGTCAAGGTAGTTGGTGTGTTGTATTTTGGAGAATACAAAAGCCATTGTGCTCTGCAGCTGGTGAGGATCGAAGCACTTCACCAGCTGGCACTCGTACAACGACTTTTTCCCACAGCATTTGTCGTGTTCCAAGAAAAGCTCTCGTGTACTTATAGACTACAGCAGCTGCGACTTTGGCGTGCTACAAGTTCGCAGTGCTGTGAGCACTCTTCGTGCTAACCCCGACTGGTGCGATTTCCGTAGAAAGCAGCGCTCGCACTCGCGTCTTGCGTGGCCGGGAAACGCATTCGTATGTCTTTGGACTGGCCGCCTGATATCCAGTTGTACCGCCACTTAGCCGCTCAGTCTGGTGTTCTTCTAGGGGACTACATCTTGCTGCGGTTGCAAATTCAGGAAAGCAGCGGCTTTCTGGGTCGTGATCCGCACGCCGAACAAACTGTTGAAGAGGCGGTGCATCTGTGGGAGCGCTTGGAGAAATCCGTCGTGCTCTTGGGCCAGATAGTCGACAACGTTCATGGGGAAAGCACTCTGAAAGAGTCCCTGGTATTGGATCTTCGCAGCAAACACAGTATTCTTGTCAACCTGAACCGTCTCTGGGACGATCCGCACCCTCAAGAGTGTGCACGGGTTCTACTGGAAGCGTGGAGCGGCTCCCTGTGGCTCGATCCCGTCGCGAGCATTCTCTCTTCGTATCGTAGTTTGGTTGAGTCTGCCGACCGCGTATCTACGCCGCAGCGTTCAAAACGCCTAACCGCACCAACAACACCTTCTGCGAGAGCATCGGCATCCGACCTGAATGATTCGTCGAAACAGGCACCGCTGTGGAGTTACCTCCTGGACGACCATGGAACACGTCGTCGATCTGGCTCTCGAGCGCACCGGCCTTAAAACATCGTCGGCGTGAGAGAAGCAAAAGGTTGAGCGGCTCAAAAGCATCGAATCTGGTGGACACTTGCGCATTCACTTCCCACAGTATGCGTTTGCATGCCGCAGGCGCCGCTGCAACAGTCAGAACTCGCATTTTTGCAGCCGCGTAATCGCTTCCATTTGGCGAATCCAACTTGATTGTACCGGAAACCGGCACAGACCTGATTAGACCAGTGAACCTTGAAGATATCGTTCGTCGGAAGCCAGCATTTGCATCGCGATTCGTGTGGGAATGTGTTTGCTCATTCGCTGGCTCGATCATTCCAGTTAGAACAACGGCAACGACAACAACAGAAGTAGCCCCTGGCTTCTCATGGTATTGGTGATGGCAACGCAGACACCGGATGCCGAGCTGCTTTCGCGCACAGTGTTCGTCGAAACGTGTTCCCTCGGCAACGGGACGACAAACGTCGTATCCCCAGGATGGTTGGAGCGTGATGTCAGACTTACACGTTTCGTGCACAACTATGGTTTCCACAAAACAGCCCCCAGAACGAAGCAGAAGCCCTCGTCGATTCCGACTGCTCGCGCCTCTCCAATCGTCTGGTCGATGTGAACCCCACGTGTCACATCAAGATCCATGATATCGCAGGAGGCTCGTCTGCACTGTACGAGACGGCCTCCTCTGTGAGCTACCGCTGATCTCTGGGAACGAGTAGAACGCGTTCGAACAACATCGCGATAACGAGTAGCGGAGCTCGTTCCAAGCTGCTCGTATATAACGAAGAAATGCAAAGCAGTTTACGCGGACGAGAGAGTCCCGCGGAGTATCGGTCTGGATGCACTGTGTGTAAACGAGGACACATATCCAAGAGTCGTGCAGCGATGCTCATTTCCAACCGTTCAACGTAGGTCATGAGAGAGGCTTCGTGAGGCGCGTGAATCTCGCTTTGCAAGGCGTCATCGCTGTCGAAGCACTTCCACATCAGGAAGATGGAGCCAAATACCTAAACGGAAACCAGATGAAGCTGTTCGACTCTCACAGGCTCTGCTTCATCGAGAGTCGAACGTGATGATCGCCAGGATCGTTACGAAAATGGAATAAAAGCGTTAGTGCCCGTCTTATCGTTCCAAGCGTCCTGTCGAGCAGCAAGGAAACGCGCTGCGCGCAACATTCAAAGCAAACATGAGCGTCCTAATGACTCAGACCGACGATTCCTGGGAAGCGTACATGAGGCTGCGCTGCTGTCGCCAACATATTCGGTCTCACGGAGGCAAGAGGCATGCATTCGCTAACATGCTCAATGATGCGGTTCACGACTTGTTCGGCAACCTATAACAGGGCGAAGTTCTCGCGACCGATGGGATGGCAAGCTGTGCGTCGCGCCAGTGGGGCATGGCGTCCAAGCAACTGGGACCCATAGAATGTGCTTCGAATCTTGCACAGTATCAATGGAAAAACAGAAGCGCTTCATGAATCAGTCAGCAAAGGAGTACCGCATTCGGATCTCCTCGCATCAGAATCGACTCCTTTCACCCCGCACACCAGTGAAACCCTGCGGTGCAGTGCTCGGGACTTAGCCGAGCCAGAAACCCCAACTCTTTGCTGTAAGACCTCACTGGCAATGTGCATATGCTGCATCTTGCGGGTCTCTGCATGATGCCGTCCCCGATACATGGAACAGATTGGTTAGCTTCTCTTCAGGTGGAGCGTTCGCCATAACCCATCAAAATGTACTTGAGGTTCGTGTAAGCATCGATACCATATTTGCTGCCTTCACGCCCGTATCCACTCTGTTTGACACCACCAAAAGGCATAGCCGCATTGCTGATCACGCCTTCGTTGACACCAACCATACCGCTCTCTAACTGCTTCGCACAACGAAAGGCACGACCTAAATCCCGGGTGTAGACGTAACTCGCAAGGCCGAACTCTGTAGCATTGGCGGCGCGAATGACCTCCTCCTCATCATCAAATACGAGCAGCGGAAGCACCGGACCGAATGTCTCCTCTCGACAGAGGAGCGCATCGGGAGGCACATCCCGCACCACGGTTGGTTCATAAAACAGTGGACCCAGTTCGGAGAGCACGCGGTTACCGACGAGGACCTTGGCGCCTTTCTGAACGGCGTCCTGGACGTGTCGCTGGACTTTGTCAATAGCTGCCTGATTGATGAGTGGACCCACTTCGACTCCGGAATCGACTCCGGGCCCGACCTTGGCTCTCGACACACGTTTCGCCAGACGCTCCGCGAATGCGTCATAGATCGCTCGCTGGACGTAGATTCGGTTCGGACAGACACAGGTCTGGCCGCTGTTTCGCATTTTCGCTGCCCAGAGCCCGGCTACTGCTGCGTCTAGATCAGTATCATCGAAAACAATGAAAGGCGCCAGACCTCCAAGTTCCATTTCTGTGCGCTTCACGGTGCTTGCACATTGACCCATCAGCAACCGGCCAACACGCGTGCTACCGGTAAACGAAAGCATACGCACATCCGGGTGTTGTGCTAGACCTTCGCCGAAAAGGCTCGGACGGCTTCCAGATATAACATTGAAGACACCAGCCGGTATACCTGCTTCCCGAGCGAGCTCTGCCAAAGCAATGGCGGACACCGGGGTCAGTTCACTGGGCCGAGCAACCACCGTGTTCCCGGTTGCGAGCGCTGGAGCAACCTTGCGCGTTAACATCGCTGACGGGAAGTTCCACGGTGTGATTGCAGCACAAACACCCAAGGGTTCACGAACGACCAGAGCTTGTCGTGGTCCACTGGTCGCTGGGATGACGTCTCCGTAGACGCGAGGCGCCTCACTCGCAAACCACTCTACGAAAGAGGCTGCGTAGCGCACTTCGCCGATAGCCTCTGAAAGTGGTTTACCGTTCTCGCGCGTGATGACGCGTCCGAGTGCCTCGCGTTTCTCGATGATGAGATCGTACCACCTGCGAAGAAGTCCAGCACGGGTTTGCGGCGATGTTTCCCGCCACGAAGCAAACGCACTTTTTGCGGCTTGCACCGCAGCCCCTATGGTTTGTTCGTCACCGTCGGCTACGAAAGCGACGGTCTGCCCATTTGCCGGATCCGTAACTTTGTAGTAAGAGTCCGAAGAAACCTGCTGTCCATTGATATAGTGTCCAAGGTACAGGTCTTCACCTGAAGGCTGTTCAACGCCAACCGCGAGCGCACTGCTCAGCTTCCCGCTCTGCAACGCGTGACTCACCGTGCTGCTCATGAGAAACCCGTTTCCCCTGTGCTCCCACACGTTTCCCCAGCGCTGCAATCGTTTCGTTTTCTGGTGTATGGTGCGTTGCAGCAACCCGCACCAGTGCATAGCGTCCGGAAGCGCTGGCGTTGAGGCACCGGCTACGACGAAAGCGCTGGTCGTCTAAGCACAGCTCCTGTGCGAGATGCGCTTCTGTCTCGAGATATTTCCGAACTTTTTTCGATGCACAGTTTCGTCATGAGATTTGCAGCGATTACGGATTACACTTTCTAGATACATATAGGATGCTCGGTCGTCTCTTCAGGATGGCGGTATCGACTCTTTGACGCTGGGATTCGGACGGTCCCTCGAAAAAAGAGATGATTTCAGGGGTCCTGGAACATGAGTTCGTAAAGCCTTCGATAGCATTATCCTGTGCTTGCGCACATGACTCCATTCTTTTCATATCGTTTCGTGTAGCATGCGAAAATCGCTTATGCTTCAACTGTTAGATCTTTCCGTTTCAGGGAAGCTCGAGGGCGAAGCGATTGACGCTGCCATGGTGCCGAGGAAAAAGTCTGAACGATACCTCTCGACGTATTTTTCAGACGCTCGTGTCAAAAGTTATCTGAACTGGTTGCGTTCAATGATCGATACCGCTAGATAGACAAGTTCAGATCTATTTGTGGTCGTGGCAGAAAGAGTACACTACCGCAGCATGATATTTCGCATAGGGTATGGTTGCGGAGTCTCTCATTTCATCTGTTGCATAGAAAAAGGTGTTAAAGGCGGTCTTGATTCATCGCAGCCATCGATCGCAGTGGAGAAAGTGTCACTGCTTTACGTGATGGTAGCGCAAACGGATCCAACTTGGCCGACTTGCTCCTCTACCTCGATTTTCCTTTCGGTACACGTGTTTATCATGGCATACATCGCGTTCCATAAATCGTCTATCGAATGGAACAGCAAGCCCTTGCGCGTACAGCAGACAGCGTATTCGATGCGAAGATTGCCTAGAGGAAACGCATGATCGTAAGGTACGGTGCAGGGCGCGGAAACAGATGAGAGTTCCCAAGGAAGACTTCTGTACCCGTCATGCGCGTAGATCATGCGATGAAGCTAACGTTCTCGCTCATCAGGGCGGTTCTCGGAAAAGGACGTGTGGTGGACGTACGGAAACCTGACCACAATCAAGTGCCATCGCTACAAAGTACAACCGAGCGCCGTATATACAGAACGTGAAAATGGAACGCGAAGCCGAAATCGCAAAATCATTCTGTGCTGGAAATGCCTCGGCGAGAGCTGGAACCTACAAAATCGGGACTTTATGATTGCCTGCTGCATTCTTCGACCACTAAGAACACGGATTTAGACAAGTGAGAAAATGACGTGTTTAAATCCGGAGATCAAACAGAAAAAAAAGCAGGCTTCGAAAAAGTCCGCAAAAACTGTTTATGAGAACAGAAAAACGGATCCAACTCTAGCGTACACGCACGAGTGAAAGAAATGGACAGATTTCATTTCTTTCTGACAGGAACACAGCTGAGCTTCCGCTGACGCGAAGCTTAATCATTTTCATGGGATTTGTCGGCTTTGCTGCAACCAAGGCATCCGCAGACAACAACAAGTGGTACGGATATAACTGGGTGCTTCGAGAACGGCAGCATCTCATAGAATATTTCGTACAACGCATTTGATGAGCGTTGCCCGGCAGCTAGGCGTGCTCTACGCCAAGGCGACGATGCACTGCCGCAACAGCATCGTCCAGGAAATGTTACCGCTTTTGCGAAGCACAGCACCGACGTTGGATGCAGTTGCATGCTCATCCGATAGCATCATCGCTTCGCAATGTAGTTTAGATCTCAATGCTTCGTGTGACGTGCATAGATTGAGTTTCAAAGAGAGAATCGAGTGTGATTTGGTTTCGAGGCAATTATTAGAGAACGGGGTGTTCACGAGTTTCATAGCCGTACGCACGTAGTGCTGCGCCGCCCCCTTCATGAACCATGCATGTCAAGCTTCTACTACAAAAGTGCGCCTTTTTGAGAAGTACAGACGTACCGCCGGTAAACCGCAGGAAGCATCGTGCTTCTCGCAGCGCGCCGCACGCAGCGCGCCAGTTTTTGCAGTACAAACAAAAGGTTTCAGTTCTGCACTCTTGCGCGCTGAATCGATCAGCACATCATTTCCAGCGTGCCCTGATGAATGCTCGACAACTGCAGGTCTGGAATCGTGTTTCCAGGGCAGGTCGGCTCGAGCCTCCTCAAGCTTCAAAGTGCTGCTCCTTCGACGTCGCGGAGCAGGTTTGCGTTGTTAACCGCGTAGCATGGCGGATGCATCATGGCGATGTCTCCGTGGAACGAACTCAAGTCCAGGGCTGCTGCAGATGCATTGTTCACGTAGTGGGGCAGGCTCGTCTACGACATGGCCGGCGCTGGAGAACCCAACTCGCCTACTTAAACGGTTTTCCCTCGTAGAAGCTACACGAGTCTAGATTTGCTTCGGATGCATCCTTCACGTAATGGGGCAGGTTTGTCTACGAGATTGCCGTCGCTGGGGAACCGAGGATGCTTCCTGAACATGGGAACTCTTACTTGTGTGGTTGTGAAAGCGTCGATTCGCCATACAGGGAGGTTCATCCCGGGACACGTTGTCAGGGAAGTCCTTCAGTGGCTCTGGGGGGATTTTCGCGGTCCAAACGCTATAGATATAGCCGTAAAAGTTGCCCAAGTGATATGTTCGGCGACTAGGTGCACATGACACACAACGGAAAGGGCCAAACCCTAGCAGCTGGCTCTCCGGCTTCAGGAGTCTAATATCCCAAAAGATGGCTCGCCCACGTACTGAGGTGGTCACAGCCCGTCGACCATCGGTGGCTAGGCCCCAGATAGAGTCCCGATGCAAGCGAAACTCATACGCGGGTTTGTTGCCCACTCGGGCATCCCAGAGCCGAAGGACATGGTCTTCGCCTCCCGATAGGAACTCATTTCCGCTCTGGTTTGCGAGCACCTTGACGCAGCGCACTTCACCCTCAACGTCCTTGGAGAAGACGCTCACCGGTTCAGTAGAACCGTGACCCAGATCCCAGAGCTCCACGGAACCCCGCTGTGTCGCTGCGATACCAAAGTGCAAACCCGAGCTAGTATATTGCATGAACTCTACATCGTAAACTTCGTTATGCAGGAGATCGCCATCTGGAGGGACCCTTTTCACGGTGTGTGTGCAACAACACGCCGCACATGACCAAACACGAAGTGTGCCGTCGCTGGATGCACTCAGGAGGCGCTCCTCTGCACGATCCGCTGACAGCGCATAGACCGCACCTCGATGACCACGAAGTGTTTCCATGCGGACGCACGTCGTTGGGTCAAACAGCTGAATGGTGCGATCAATGCTACAAGAGGCAGCTAAACCTGGTCGCACTTCAACAACATCGTTTACGGCAGCTTTGTGACCCGAGAAAGACTGCTTTACTTCACCGGAAGTGAGATGTAGTACCTCAACATCCGCAAGAGAGCTGGCAAGAAGCGCCAAGCTTTCGTCCGCCTCGAGAATAGCAATGCTGTACGTCGTGGTTTCCCTGTCAAGGCGCACCACCGATGAGGGGAACTCCACGGAATTGTCCCCCAGAACTGCCGGAATCGGAGTCTCTAACCGCGAGAGCGGTACGTGCTTCCCACTGATGCAGCATTGCATTCTCTTAGTAGTTTGGGCTGCCGCCCGATATCGAACTAGAGCAGAAAGTAGAAAAGCTGCAAGCTTTCGAAACTGTTCGTCCGACTAGGGACCACAGATGTGCTATCAAGGCAGGCGGCCGCGGAATCTACGCTAGCCAGCGCAGCGGAGCGTTGGCGCACGAGTTCCAACTGCTGGGCAGCAAGTCGAAGGTTATGGCGTTGACGGCAACGCAATAGTGACCCAACCGCTTTGTGAATGGAGTGCATCGAAAAGCGTTCATGTCAGTATTCGCGCTGAGCGTGAATTGATTTCGGCTCGGTGCTGTGCTCTGGATCGAGAGCTGGTCGGTTGCTACGCGGCGAGGCAGCGCCTTGACGGATCTGGAGCGGGAGGTCCTGGTTTGAGTACCAAAGCAAGTTGGCGAAAGAAATAGGTAAAGTGGCCAAGGTTGTCGGACAGGATTGTGTGACGCGAAGAACAAGGTTGACTGAGCGGGTAGAGGTTGCGCTGCGATGAAGACGTTAACTTCGAATACAGAGAGTTCCTTGAACCTGTATGGTGCAAAGGCAGGCAGCTATTAGAGCGATCTTGCACGCGCTTGCGACCAGCTCGAGCGTGCGGTGCGCGTCTATCCGCGAATCGCTGGCTCAATCAGTCTCAATCTTTTGATGTGATGATCCGTGGATACAAATTGAATAGGTGACAGACCGTTATATCGTTTGCTGCGTGCAGTAGCTCCCGGGCATTGTACACGCAAGCCTGCACTAGGTGCTACAGTGATAAACAGATTCATCTTAGACGAGCATCATCCTCCAGATCAATGCACATGCAGGCCTATCATAAAAGAAAAAAGGTGAACGCGCAGGGATTCCCCAGAAACTCCACCTACTGACAAGAAAATTCTGGACTGAAAAGGGTTCGCATCACCACCGCCGTTCGAAAGTCGAACGACAGCAGTGTGCAGTCGTGGCGACCGGCGCCCTAGACGAAACGTCTCCAACTGACGTGCAGACGCCTCCCCGTCTTTTTGGACCGGCCACCTTCTACTGCTTCCAACTTCTTCTCATATAGTTCGACTTTGAGAGGTTGTCCAACAAAGTTCTCTCTTGTCAGCTCTGGAGGTCTTCTCTCCAGCACCGCACATCTCCTGATACTGATTTTTTTCCATTGACAAAATGTTTACTTAGGCCAGCGTCCTCCGATTCTGCGCATTTTTCTTTTCTTACTTTTTTTTCAGTGCGCGGTAAGGTATCCATCAAACGCCCTACCTCCAAGTCATATTCCCTATACTTCGTCTCGGATATTCTGGACGTTTCATACGTCCTACCGTGTGTGCCTAGTGCCTGCCGAGAGCGATAGCAATGGCGCCTGTAGCCCCGGTGCGGTCGCTGCACGGAGACAGAACGGCGTTGCCGTACCACACAGAGGGCGTCTGCCCGAGGAAATTGCGGTGAGGACGAGATTCCAACTCGCGCGCTCAAAGAGCATATCCTTGGCAGGCACACCCGTTAACCATGGCGGTACTTCTGGTGCAGAGGTATCTCCGGCACCTCACCGGTAATCCCCTAGGAAATCCGATAGTTTGGCGATTCTCCTTCCTAAATTTTCGGTAATTTGTATTGTGTGCCAAGTGCACGAGCCTATCTCAAACCAAATGGATTCGGCTCTGGCTCGAATCCATGACGGTCGAGGGTTCCATCAGTTAGCAGTTCGGATGTTCTTCTTATTTGTTAGCATTCGTGATGCTAAAGTGGAAAGGCGTCGTGTTCTACGATGATGTGGAAAATGCTTTGCTTGTTCCGATGCCTATTTGCGCGGATCGTATCCAGCGGAATTTGGCAGGGATGCATAGAGTCTATATCGAGTGAACAAGTCTGCCGCTCGCCCGGTGAACGCCCGCCATCGAGTGATTGCCTTTGTGCGGAAACCATGGGCCGGCATTTTTCAGCCCATGGGATACGGGCACTCCGCAGAGTTTCAAGTCAGCTGCTGGCTACGCGCGCACGCAGTTCACCCTGGACACAGTCGAGACGACGACGCCCCATGCGGTGACGGACGGGGCGCTCGACAAGGTTTAAAAACGGTGCAGACCGCATGAGGTTTCATACGGACAAACTTTGGAGAATACAGCACGAAAAAGTCCCCAGAGCAGTGTCGTTCAAACAAGCCGAGCCTTTCCTGGGTGTACTCGTTCAGAAACGGTGCGTCCCAGCGCGTGCTCACTCCCTACCCGCTTCCTCGCACGATCAGCCAGCTGTTGCTCCAGAGGCGGCACTGCGCAGATTTTTCCATCATTTTCAGAACTTTGATTGCCACTGTTTCACAAATGCGCAGAAACCAGCACTCGTAAAGCGCCACTTCGTTGCCATCGCTTCTGCACTTGAGCCCCTACTGCGCTGCAGAGTGGATGCCGGACGGCGCGGTGAGACGCGGAGCGCGCGTAAAGTACATAGTTCGATGATCAACTACGTTCTTTCATCAAGGCCAACAGTCAACTTCGCTGGTTTCCGGTCTAACTGTTTCTGAGTGCTGTTCAGAGCGATCATCCCTTGGGTAGCAGGAACTCGAGCAGTTCCCGAAATACAAGCCCTGGACGATGCCAGGTGTCGGGTTTGTTCAAATGGCCCCTGGGCGGGCGGCCGCTGCACCAACCCCGCAGCGACACAGTGTGTGCCCGCGTGCACCCTCGAAACGGGAACACGCGAAACTGTGTAGCTATGCTCTGTGGAACTCTCGTAAGTCAGAGGCAGCGAAAGGTGGGCGACCACGCTCTCGTGCGGCGCAGACGCTGGAGGCGCTCCAACTAGCCCGCCGCCAGTGGGAACATCAGACCTGGTCCGTTTCCTCACAATCGAATCGCGGACGACAGCGCCGACGAGAATCTTTGGTACTCGTTTTGTTGGCCCCTGGTGTGAACTTCCGGTTGGATGACAACACTGCCCTGATTGACGGCATCACTCGGGCTAGTCGGTACGGTTCACAGCTGGGCGTCGTGGTGCCGACGGCGGCCGTCGAGCGCTACCCGGCGATGGTTCAGGACCTTTACGATCAAGTGCAAAAACGTGGCAGCCAGCTAGGAGTGATCGATAAAGAGCGACTCGCAAAACTTCGCGCAGGGCTAGGCGAAGGCTTTCCGATCGTCATTCAGGCATGCGTTGGCGCCGAACCCTTTCTTCAGGGACTGGCGCCCTGCCCGGTTTTTTGGAGCACGCCCACAAAAGCGGGTCAAGAGCCAGTGGATGCGCCCCGATGGATGCCTCCCGCACTTGTATCTCTTGAACCTTTAAAACTGCCGCTGACCCTAGCTAATGGAACCGAGCCGACGGAACCTGACTTTCGAGAACGCTCCGTATTGCGAGCATTGCGGGAAGCGGCACCCTCGCAGACCCTGCCTGCACTCGAGCAGTGTTTCAAATTGCCGTTAGAGCTCGCAGTACTTTCGAGGGTGCGGCTACGATTCGAGTGGGAGAAGATGCATCGCCCGCGAGAGCCTGGGCATCTGCAGGCCTGGCTCTGGGGTGGCGCGATCTGTGCGCGTCTACTCGCCAGGAGTCCCCCAGCGTGCCACGCGATCACCGTATACGATATCCATGGCAATCATATGCGCGAGTTGCGCTGGGATAGCCAACATAACCGCTTCAGTTTCCGTGGACACAATGGAGATCATGACTACGAAGCGGCTTTTTGGAGTTTTGCGCGCCGCAAGTGGCTCTGGTTGAAGCAGTCTTTCATACCCGAGGATGTCACTGCTGACTACTACGAATTCGCCAAATGGCGAGTTTTTCAACGACTCATGTCGAGTACGGTTGGTGTCTTTGGGACGCAGGCCCTGCTGCTGGCCCTGGGTATCAAAAGCGGCAACAAAATCAGTCAGGCTGCAACGATCAGTTGGGTCCTCAAAGACGGTCTCAGCCGAGTGGGTAAAATGCTCTGGGCGAGCCAGCTCGGGCGGGACATGGATGCAGATCCCAAACGCTTTCGATTCGGTAGTGCGTTGCTCTACTCACTGGGAAACGGTCTAGAAATTGCGACAAGAATCGTTCCGCAGTCTTTTCTCCTCGTGGCCACCTTGGCGAATACCGCAAAACTGTGTTCGATGTTAACGGCTTCTGCTACGCGGAACGCCATGTATCGTTCGTTTGCGGACCGCAATGAGAACATCGCTGACATCACGGCCAAGGGAGAGGCACAAATAACAATCGCGGATCTCGGCGGGATGGCGCTTGGGATTCAGTTATCCAAGATCATTGGAACCTCGCGCCCCAAAGTTGTAGCAACGTACCTGATTCTGAGCACCATTGATCTGTATGCAATCTGGAAGGAACTTCGAGTGATCGAGTTCCGTACGCTGAACTTGCAACGGTCGTCACTGGTCATCGAGCATTACCTCAAAACGGGATGCGTCCCGACTCCGAAGCAGGTGAGCGCTGCGGAGCGGGTGGTGCTGCCCGAACCCATTCCCCGCCACGCTTTCGTTGCATTCTCGAAGCTAGTTCGCGACGAGCAGGAGGCCGAGCAGATGATCAAACGCTATGGTTCAGCCAGGTTCCTGATGCGCTACGGCGAGGTCCACTGGCCGTGGACGTGCCTCCATTCGAGTCGTGGTGGCATCGTTCTTCATCGAGATGCAGACCAACAAGATATCTTCCGGGCGATTCTTTGTTGGAATCTGCGCCGCTTAGGCATCGTCCAAGAAGAAGATGAGGTACTTGCTAGAGCGGATGTGGTGATGGAGCCACTACTGAAAGCTGCTCGCGAAGCAGGCTGGCGAACCTTTGTGTACCCAAAGTTCAAGCATCGCGCGTTGTGGTAGTGTCAGCGCACGAGGAGCATTCACTTGGCAGCCACATGCTATGCTCTGTCTGGGATCACCGCCGATTCTTCAGAGTGTCTCATGTTCTGTAAATCTCGCTTTTCTAGGGTAAAGGTCGCCAGGGACGCCCACGAGGAGGCACAGGTTGCATCTGAGCTGACAGACGACCCGGATAGCGGCACGCTCGCTCGAGAGGGTGATACCGCTGACAGGCGTCATGGTCGCAGAGTTGTCAGGTTTAAGCGCTGTTTCAATCTCGTGCAACTATAAAAGCGAACCGGAACGAGGGCTGGTGCATATCTGCAGCTCGGAACTGAAATATTTCATGTACAGAAATTTCGAGCTAAGCACACACACACAAAACGCACTGCATACTGCTCTGCCGAACAGTCATCTTGTTTTTCATCGAGCGGGGTCAACTAATGCACAAGCCATGGCGCCGTTCTGAGGCAGCGTCGTCGCTGCAGCGCCTGAATCGCTCTGGAGAACACCGGCAGACCAGACATCATTGGAGAGCACTGGTGCATAGATCACACACGCATTCCTGCAAGACTCCAGCCAGATGAATGTTCCCGTGAGTACCTCGCACAATCATGTGACACTTTATGCGACTTTCGTTGCATCAGCCTGGTCCAACTAGCAGCATCGCGACCTGGCTTACAACACGCCCGCTATCATAAGTGTGGACGCTAACACCTGTGTCCAGCAGCCCAGTACAGATCAAACAAAGCCGAAACCGTATTGTCTCAAATCAGTTTTTGGCGCCAAATTGCCTGCGGAGCGCATGCGTGCCAGGCCGTTGTCAGCTCACGGTATTTCAGCTTAATTACGTTGCACCCGCGCTGCGGTGCATCGCAGAAGATCGAAAACCTTACGAAACGTATCGTATCCATCGTAGACGAATTGCCTGTAGGATTCATATTCTTTACTGAACAGTGCATGGAGGACTGCATTCCTCCTCCAGGTCATTCGTAGCTCAGTACTCAGATGCTTGAGGAACACTGAAAGAAAGAACTATATGCACTTTGCGCCGAAAGCTGGTATTTTTGAAGATTACTCGTTGTAAATTGTAGAAAACGGCCCGCTGATCTTCTTGGGAAAAGCGAAATCGACGATATTAGCCGGCACAGATGACTCTGTATCTGACTGGCTTGTTCGTGTGGTCCAGAAATCACGGATATACAGTCGCCAAAAAAGATTCCTAGTTCAAGCACCGCCGTATTGCGCCGAAATCGAAACTACAACAAAGTTTCTTGAAAGTCACTATCGGTTTGAAGCAGAGGGACGTCGGTTTGTGCTGTCAGTCGATGTGACTTGCTCCGGATGAAACGGTCGAAGCGTGTTTGGGTATTCGTATAGAGGGAGCCCGTTGTACGTACAATCGATCTCGTAGAGAACGATGACTTCATATGTTACAGATGCAGTGGATTCATTTGGCGGCGTCAGTTTCGCTCGTAGAGGAGGCCCATGAAACAGCACCAACCTCTTTGTCGAATTATTAAAGACTTTCCCATGATTTCCGGCGATGTCCTTCAACTGGACAGCTTCCCAATTCACCATTCCACTTGCGCTCGAGCTTCTCCCGATTTTGTTGGAGTAGAGCCACTTCTCATTCCGCCGTACACTCCGTGGGTGAACCGCATCTAAGAGAGAGTTTTCTATTGTGGAGCGCAATGGTCGCTGCACTCGGAGAATCCCTGTGCCATTCAGCAGTCAGCGACACCGAGACACTTGCCGTCTTTTTCCTGCAAGTCCTTCTTGCTCCGGGAAGGTTCTTACGTGGGGGCATAAGCATGTGCATTGATTTTCAAAATTAAAGACCCTAAGGCATGCGCCGAGTGTACAGTTCAGAACATCGTTATGGAGAGCAGGCAGCGGAGTGCTGAGGACATAGAAAAGCACGGAGAGCTGCCGGAGCACCAAACGGCACAGAGGGCGCGAGTTCTTGGACTCCTCGCACTGACCAGTTCAACCAATCGCAAGAAACACATTGAGTTCATGAACTGAGACTTTACCGCCGCCATCAATATCAGGAGATGTGCGGCACTGAAGAAGAGACCCGCGGAGCTGATGCGAGCCAGCCTTGTCGGACAACCTCTCAGTGTCGAGGTGTATAGGAAAAAGCTGAGGCTGATAACAGACAGCCGGTCGAAAAAAAGCTGGGAGGCGTCTGCAAGTCGGTGTATGTATGTGCTCTATGATCGCGAAACGTTTTATGCCCACCGAGAGGAGTAACGCAGCGTGACTGCATGCGTGCAATGCGTAAAGCAACCGCTTCGCCGCAATCCTTCCATGCCCCACTTTCAAAACAGATTCTTGTTGTTCTTATTCGAGGAAGCACTTTGGATCAAACATGCATGGGTGAAAGAGAGTCATATGCTTCGTCTGTACGACGTTGCTTTCACGGGGAGCCTGCAACTCGGCGACAAGTCTTGAAGCCTGGTTCGAATACGGGTCGCTTCTTTTGGGCCTGTGCTCGCACACTCCGCTCCGGACAGCGTTGCGCGTACTTCGTCTGGGACAGCCACTCGGGTGTGTACGAAACAGTTCAGGCTGCGGATGGTGCACGTACGAGCCTTGGAGACCAGGTCCAAGCGGACCCGACAAGTAAGAAACTGGAGAGCACACGAGGGCGTGTGCCAGGAGCGGCGTCATCACGCACCTGCGGAAGCGGGCCGTTCTGGGAGGCCCTGCGAAACACCAAGCGCAGTGGAACGTCCCAAGATCAGTTGCCGCAGTTTTCATTGAGCAGTGATCCGCAAGCAGGCAGCGCAGCAATACGCGCTGGCAGTGGGCTGGAGAAGAGGCCGAGCAAGGAACGCGCCGGCACGCAGTGGCTAGTCGAGATCGGGGACGGAGAACATTTTCACCTCTGGCCTCAGAAGAATAGCGAGGCAAACGCATATATGCTTTTTCAGCTTGCGCAGCGAGTTCCGGGTGCAGTGCTGGAACCCTCGAAGGAACGCCTTCGGATACCATTGTCTTCCTGGACTGCAACCTCTGCAGCTGTCGCAGCGCTTGAGGGAAGCATCCGTGGCCATCCACCGCAGCGGTTGATGCAAAACCTGGTGAATCTTCGCCGTCGGTTGGAGGACCGAAATGGGGAAAAACAATGCTTCGCGGAGGTCTTGGCCCATGCTCGCGCGTCCTTGGCGTCGATTCAGCTCTGGGAGCAGTTGCTACCTTTTCAACGGACTGGCGTTGAGCGCGCGATTGTCCAAGGCGGGCGCGTCCTTCTAGCCGATGAAATGGGCCTCGGAAAAACCATCCAAGCAATTGCCATCGCGTGGGTTTTGCGAAAGGACTGGCCGGTGCTCATTGTTTGTCCAAGTTCACTGCGAGGCGCCTGGTGTCGCGAGTGGAGAGACCGGTTAGCGGGCGCCTCGCTGACACCCTCCGATATTCATGTTCTGGAGACGGCCACCGACGCGGGAAAACCTCTTCGTGCGGTCAACATCGTGTCGTACGATTTGGTGGGCCGACTTGCCGACGCGCAGCTCCAGCGCGTCGGTGTCCTGATCCTCGACGAGAGCCATTATATCAAATCAGTGGATGCCAAACGGACACAATTCCTCTTGCCTTGGCTGAAACGGATACCGCGTGTGCTGCTGCTCACCGGCACCCCGGCGCTATCGCGACCGGCAGAGCTGTTCACGCAGCTACATGGTCTGGCGCCGTCCATATTTAGTGACTGGAAAGAGTTCGCGTATCGGTATTGCGGTGCCCGAAGTACTCCGTGGAAAGCCTTGGACACGTCTGGCGCTACCAACCTGTCCGAACTTCATCGCATCTTGACGCAAACCGTTATGATTCGCCGTCTCAAGGCGGAGATCCTGGATCAGCTGCCTCGGAAGGAACGCGGGGTCGCGTACGTGGAGCCTGCAGCGTCCACTCCAGAGCAGTTGCATGCCGTGCTAGACGAACTCGCGGCGACTGAGCAGAAAGCTAGCACCGGCGATCAACAAGCAGCGAGCAAGGTGAAGGCGCTCATGAGCAAGGCATTCCACCTGACCGCTGTAGCCAAAGTGCCAGCCGTGCTGGCCCAGTGTGCAGACATTTGGCGAACTGGACACAAATTTTTGCTTTTTGCCTATCACGAACTCATGCTCGACGCTGTGGAAGGATGGCTACGCGAACAACAAGGTACCTGGATACGGATCGATGGCAAGACACAAGTTACAGAGCGCCAGGCGCTAGTGGATCGGTTCCAAGATGATCCTCAATGCCGTGTAGCGCTCTTGGCGTTGACAGCAGCCGGAGCTGGTCTCACGCTCACTGCAGCCCACGTGGTACTCTTTGCCGAGCTCTACTGGAATCCAGGCACGCTGCGGCAAGCAGAGGATCGCGTTCACCGTATCGGCCAAAAGGAGTCGGTCTCTATCCGTTACCTGATCCTGCCTCGAAGCCTTGATGATCGCATGTGGCGATCCGTCCAGAACAAGCTCGATATCTTGCATTCATCCCTGGACGGTAAAATCGATCGCGAACGAGTCAATGTGGTGGCTGGATCAGCCTGGAATGCCCCAGAGCCAGGCCCATTGGATCGTTTCTTCAAGCGTCGTAGCCAAGGAGTGGTGTCGTCCCCGGAACCAGGTGCAGATGAGCCCACAAGCGTACGGAGCTCTTCCGTACCAGATGCATTCGAACAAGATCACGTCCCAGTGATCGAGTCGTTCGAACCAGAGGAACCACCGGAAATTCCGTCGTCTTTCTTGAATAGTGAGCTGGGCTCGGGATCAAACCGAACGCAATTTCAGCGAGAGGCACGGAAAAGGACCTTTCAGGAAATTGAGCCGAATAACGCTCTACCTAGTTCTTAAAGCGCAGTCAACTAGAGAGTAAAGTCGTCGGTTGCTGACACTCGTGTGGCACTCTGCAGAAAGATCCGCGAAGCACCTATCGCCTCGATGACTCAAGTTGAGCTCGTATGGTGCCGCATGCGCTGCAGGAAGCTGACGCTGCATCAGCGTGGCCGGTGCTCTCCGCATCAACTCTCCGAAGCGAGCCGGATGCGTTGCGAACGAGGGTGCAAAGCAGCGCAGGGCACCACATGTGAGCGGGTGTTGCGATGCAAAGCTCGTAAAAGCCAAGACACCAGCGTCGAACCTAAAATGCCTCGGGCAGAACCTGCAGCCAAGTTCAGTCGTTGCGGGTCCAGAAACGCACATGGAAGCTGTGGCGTCAACACGTGGCCAACAAAGGGAAAAGTGGCATTTTCATTAGAGATGCGGTCAGCAACGACTGACAATGTCGGCTCGCTTGGGGCTTCGATTCCCTCCTCCAGTTGGATATTCTGCAAGAACTGGTGCGCCTCTGAACGCAGTCTCGCATACCTTTCTGGGCCTGCACGTCAGCGCTCAAGACCACCGCGAAAGTGTCCCAGGTTTCATATACTGCGTCCAGGGAGGCTCGGAGGTCGTCGTTGCCGCTGTCGGCCAGCATTCGTGCGCCTCTAGCCTGGCGCGCTGCTCCTCAAAGCGCGCGTCGCAGCGGAGTCCAGCAGGGCTCGATGGAGAACGCGCTGACATTCCGCTTCGACTTGGGTATCGTTCAAAAACTGGAGAGCTCGAAGCCTCCACGCATGCTTCTCATCCTCAACTGATTCAGCGATGAAACTCCATGGAAAACTGCTCAGCACTTTCCGACGCTGGTACCAGCCGGACGGTCGTGCAAACAGCTGCTTCCGGCGAGCACGAGCATCCATAGCCGCTGCAAAAGACTCGTTGAATGCCTTTTCACTTTTTGCGACACGTATGGACGATCGTATTCGCAACGGATTTTCTGCCCGTTTCCACCAAAGAACGCAAGGCGTTACCGGGCGTTGTCGTCAATAGATAGAAAAGTGTTCTGCAGCAGCTGATGCCCAATAAAGAGCAGGCATCGCGTAGGCAGCAAAGTCGAGAAATGCCCTGCTTCTGCTAGGTTCTCGTAGGGTACCCTTAGAACTGGGTAGCTCGTTTCCGCGTTTTTTCGATGCTTGTCTACGTCGAGCGGGGCGTCCACGATGCGGCGCTCGACGCGTTTGTGTTCAATTCAACTAGAGTCCTGAATGACTTGCTCTGTTCCTGCCTTTGTATATTTACAAGGACTTTTTTTAGAGGAAGATTGTCGACATTCGACGTTCAGCACTGCGGCCTTGCGCATTTATTCGTCGTTTCCGGATTCCTGGTCGTCTCTGTGGGGTACTTGTTCGACGCTTTGTGGCTGGATTTGATGACATCATTGAAATCGAGATGTTTCGCGAATCTCTCTAAAAAGTTTCGTAATAGCCAACATTATGCTCGAGTTTATGCGTGCAAGCCTCGACTCCTTTCCTGTGGTATGTTGCATGTTCAAATCTCGCAAACTTTACGTTTTCGATCTTTCTGTTTCAAGGCAACTCATGGTTCGGCAATTACCGGGCTGCATCGGCGCGGAAACCTTCTCGACGTCATCCTTTGACGACTTTTGCACAAGCTCACGCCGAAATCTCGACGAGACTGTCACGTGAACGAATGGATTCCATCCGAAGGACGAATGCGTCCCTCTGTGTGGCCATCAAACAGGAGGCGTTCCACAGCAGCATGATACCTCTCAGTGAAAACGTGCTCCAAGATGATCCAGTCTCTTTTGTTTGCACTGAAAGAGGTTTCGGACTCGGACCTAATGTGTAGCAGCGAACGCTTCCGGTACAACATGCGTTACCGCTTTTCGAGCACGCAGCGTCTATGGTCTGGAATTTCTCTACTTGGTCTGCAACTTGAATTGGCCTCCCGGTACGCGTTTCCTCATGGAAGACACAACAGTCCACAAATCCGTTGTCCAGTGCAAGAGCGTGCGCTTGGGCATGCAGCATTCAGAGTACTCGCCGAGCGGATCGCCATGGAGAAGCCCTTGATCCTTGTGCATTGTGCTGGGAGCGGAAACAGCGACGAGCATGGAAAGTCGCATGCTGTGCCAGACAAGGGCATGTACGGAGCACTGAACCAAGCGTTCACTTGCCACATAGCGGTGCCCGATGGATGAAGATGTTCAGCAGACATACGGGAACGCCGGAACACGTGACAAGCGCTCCGCACCGAAGCCGTGCACATAACTATGAAATCTTAATCGAAGCTCAGCTCACAACTTCCAGCTGTGCGTGGAATGCGTCAACAATTACCGAAAGCTGCGAAATCGGGATGTGAACACCACCGTCATCATCTTTCGATTACTGGTACCGGAGCTGGGCGAACATGACAGAACACCGTATTTAGAGCCGGAGATAAACGGGTGAACAAGGAAGTAGTCACAGAAAAAAGACCCGCAAAGACTGCTTCATATGGCTACGAGAAGCCAATACCTTTACGACATACGCCCCATTTAGCTAGCCGGAATCGTTCCATTCTATGCTGACATGCTTGAATTCCTTGAGGTTCTACGAGGAACCGCAGGCGCCCGGGCGATCATGGCGAGGAAACGTCCGCGGATACGCGAGTGCATCAAGTCGCTCTCGAGGCGACCTCAACTGCACTGCACACACACTTCAACGTTCTTCCGCCCGCTTGAGACCAGATTTTGCGTTGGGTGTGAAGGCTCGATCCACTCGTATACTTCGTGGATACGAATCCAACCATAAACGACGCACGAGCACAGAACAGCTTGGCGTTAAACTCGCGGGCCGCGGCTCGAAGCAGCGCAGCTTTGCACCCGCTCCCCAACGCGCTCAGAGGTGGTACTGGTGGTGCTGGTTGCCAACGTCGTCGTCGTCGTTGTCGTTTGCGGAAGTGTGGAGGCACCTAAATCCCTGGAGCAAACTGATCCAACACGAGGACTTGTCATAATCAAACAAAAAATCGGTTTGTGACGGCTTGCAAGCAGGGAGGCTTCCTAGTTTGCGCCCCGTCTTCAGCACTCCCAGTGAGGTCTCGGAAGAAGCGCACGCACCAGGGCAAGGCTCGCGGGCAGCACAAAGCGCTCATGCTTCGGGTGGTGGACGTCCTTACACCGGAACGAGTCCGGGCTAATCGGCAGCTATATACGGCCTATCTGCGCTGGGTCGCACGTTATCCGGTAGCAAAGCTGCGGTGCCAGCTGCGTCTCAATATCCAGGAGGCGTTTCGTTTACGACAGGCATATTTTCGAGCGCTCCTACGTGATGCGCTTCGTAGCCGTCATGCGAACGAGACGCGCATCCGCCAAGTACTCCATAATTTAGACGAACAGCTCCATGGAGAAGCGCGGCAGGCGCTAGATGCCTTGGAACGCTTTCGTCTCGAGCTGAAGCAGCTACCTGCATGGTCTGCAGACAAACAAGTTGCCGACGACGACCGCGTGCGGTAAACCGCGGCAAGACATTGCCAGTTTCGGCGCTAGTCCGGATGTTGCTCCATCTAGGGGTCCTTGGGAGTTCCCGTCAACGTCATACGCGGTCGATCCATTAGAAGACTCTTGGTGGCCTCGTAGCCGCCGAAAAAAAGCGCTCCGCCCAGCGAAATCCAGAGAATGCGTGGCGTCGTCCCGCTGAACAGTGTTCCGATGCCCTCTTCACGTGCTATCTGTTGCATGGTTCCCCAGATTCCTTGCTGTGTGGCTGCACTAGCTGATCTCGTCATTAACCGAGTCTTGACAACGTCCAGTGGTGTGGTGCAAGCCGCAGCGATACCGCCTGCTGCGCTACCACACAAAGCGGACTCCCAGGTTTCTAGCGCACGACCTTTGCGTCGGGACCATATCTTTTTAAACGCTTCGTAGAGGGGAAATTCAAGGATATCGAAAGGCACCTCACGAGCGATCAGTGAGCCCCATCCGCGATACAGGCCGCGAATACCCTCCTTCGAAACGATGGCGCTTACAGCGTCCACAGAACTTCGATAATAGCCCGCTTGAAGATTCTGCTTCACCACCTCGAAGGGCACCCGCATGAAGGAGCCCGCCAGGTCACCACCAACGGCAGCCACCATATGGACCAGCGGCGGTGCACTCTGCGGAAAATTTATCGTGAGGGTTTTCTTCAGCCAATCGTAAGTACCGAAAAATGCCGCAGCTGCGGGTGCCGATGCAACAATAGCCGGAAGTATACCGTTGTATATGCCCCGAAAGGTCTGAGCACCAAGGCGCGAGCCCGGAACCTGAAGTCTTGTTTTCAGTGTGTCAAGCGGGAACAAGACCAGGTCAGCGATGGTGCCAGCAGCGGCCCCCGAGATCAGACCAACTCTAAAAGACTCACTCGGCGGTAAACTCCGCTCTGTTGTACGATGCTTTTTTGGATCATTAGTGCGTGTCTCGTTCATGACAACAGTGATGCTGTAACGACGCCGACAACAACTCGCTAAGCAACGTCGACGCATTGGAGAAGCAGGTGTGGGCGCAGACCTAGCGGTACCAGTGAACGCTTCTCGGTTTGTCCGTATACCTTCAGTTAGTTAGATTGCAGTTGTTGCACGCGACAGCGCAGAACAGGTCGCAGTCAACGACTCCGGGTCGCCGGGCGAGACTCGACACCAGCTGCTAAGCGATACGCCCACCTGTACACGCCTTCCAAAAGTGAGCCCACAAGCGCTGCCGAATAGAACGCGCCGTTCAACCTCAAACTGCAAGATCGCGTCGCAACCCTAAACACTAGGCCTGTTAGAGGTCAAATGCAAGTTGCAACGTCACCGAGGTCAACGCTGTCGAAGAGGCTCCGAGCTCCGAGTCATTGGCCAAGCACGTCGTCGCCGTCGACGGCCGCTTCTGGGTATCTCCGAATGGGAGAAGCGATCGCTGCTGAGGTTATTGCTTCCCCATTATTGCCATCTAGGGGCGTCTGTGAGGGGCTCTTCGGGCTTCCTCTTCCCAGGTCACGTGCGGCGATGACGTCTCTGGAAGCGTCTGGTTAGATTTTGGGATACTATAGGACTCGTTGGAACCTGGAAGTATTTGCGAATGAACTGACGACTTGACAGTCGACGAGAGGTTATCACGCCGACGCCCTAATGTGCGCAAGGTATGTCCCTGGGGGGTTCATTCGCTTACTTCCGTGAAGTGTGGATATTCATCGTGCATCTACGAAGCATTGGGTTTTGTGGTTTGTGGACGGGGCTTGATAAGGCCAGTGCCCGTCAAACAAGGTTTCCTGAAAGGCCATAAACCTACATGGTGTCATCGCTGGGGTTGCACGGGTGTGTGAGCCGCAGAACGCCGCGGCCACGGGTGTCGACGAGCAACCAGCTTGGGCAGGGCTTGTTCAGCGGCTCTGCAGCTGCGTTTGTTCGGGAATAGCGGTGCATCAGCACCAGTCCTTTGTCTGCGTTTGCCAGTGAATGCCGTTGCACGTAGGGCCGTAGCTGCTGCACGAACTCGTGCCTAGCGGCTAGCCGGCGGGCAACGGGCAGGTAGCCTCACCGGTAGTATCCAGCTTCTATCCGTGGATACGGCTATGGTGGCAATAGACCGGGTAAGTGTCGATGAAAACGTGACGTTGACAGGTCAGGCACTGCCAGCGGACGGACGTCCGGGACGGGTACCCGCTTCCCTGTACCGATTCGAGACCGTAAAGAATCCGTCAGTCAGACTGGAAAAAAGCGTTCGTAGCATTGAATCCAGTATTTCATGCTTGTTGTCGATAAGATGCGCTCTGCGTCATGAGCATCACGCACGTCCGTTTCATCGTATCTGAAGGACGGAGGCGACACCTGGGCCTAGTAGAGAACGCTGCTAGAGGAGCAGGCTGGCTGTATAACTGGTTTAATTTACCCGTTTACAGCGCATAGCGTAGAAGTAGCCCCATGCTAAAGGACGCCTCGACATGACTACTGAAAGGATACCACTTCAAGCCAAGCGTATTGGATTGTTCAGTTGTAGAGGTCTTGGTGAATCCAGACAGATTGATCAAGAGTCTCGTGTGCGACTGAACAGTGTAACATTTATAGAGAGATCCTTTCACAACCCGCGGCTGCGGTATGGCAGGCATGCAAATAAGCTGGAACCCAAACGAAGGCACAGCAGTGCGCTGATTGGCTCTCATTCGTCCCAATGAGTGATCTGTGACTTTTCACCACGCAGCCTTGATCCGGTACCGGTAATAAAGCGCGGAGTTCCAGGCGTTTCTGGTCGAGTGTTGCGCTGCGGTACAGGAGGGCGATCTGCGCTCCAGTTACCGCTCGCTTTACAGAGCAGGATCGCTGAATCCAATCAGATTCTCCTGGAGGCTCCATTGCTGCCGCCAAAGATGCAATAGACCCATTTACTATGCAAGCGCTGCTGCCTTGCATCAACCAGGTGCGACCGATCGATTCTCGAATGAACGATTGTACAACTACATGAATGCATCTATGAAGGACTGCACAAACTGAGTCCACGCGCGCAGCCAACGCAAGTGTTTTACAGCTGGACGGCGCTTGGTCGTTCTTAAAAGTCGTTCAGGGTGACGTTCCTCGTCGTGCAGCGCTTTAACCGCGGTTCCAAAGCGGGTACCTACCCATCGAGCCGCAGCTCGGATTTTAGGCGGTTATCGAGCGCACGGTGCCTTGGTACGGGTGTGACAGCGCACTATCAACGAGTGCGCTCACGGACGCCAAAGCAAGTTCTCTCAAACTGAAGCTGTGGGTGCAGGTTCCCAGACAGAGAGCCAGTCGAGGCTGCGTTCAATTGTGCTGTGTTGCACTCGCCGTCGACGCTCTACGGCTAGAGACGTAGCGTTCGTGTTCATGCACGATCCTGTGTGCTTCATACAGCATCCCGCGGCACGAACGGTGCGGCATGCTCTGTACCAGCGACCCGCTTCTGGTGCGCTGCCGAGGGCGACCCGCTGCTACCGGTGCCGCTCAGTCGTGCGTTACGGCTGGCTGAGGGCCTCCAGTGAGCACTCGTCGGAGCGACACGTCCTCGTTACTGGTGTGGCGGGTTTTCTGGGTTTCCACGCGGCCCTAAAACTTGCCACCCGAGGCGATCGGATCACTGGTATCGACAACTTCAATGCGTACTATGACCCGAGCCTCAAACGAGACCGAGTGCGCTACCTGATGCGGCACGCTCCTGCTATACGCATCATCGAGTTAGACTTGGCGGATCAAAAAGCTGTCGATGAACTGTTCGCATCGCATCGCTTTACCCATGTGCTCCACTTGGCTGCGCAGGCCGGCGTACGACACTCTATCTCGCACCCGCATTGTTATATCCAGAGCAACTGCGTTGGCTTTCTTCACATCCTAGAGGGCGTCCGAAATCACCGCCCGCAGCCACCGGTTCTAGTGTATGCATCCTCGTCGTCGGTGTACGGCCTGGAGACGCAGCTGCCGTTTCGCGAGTCAATGACCGCCGATGCACCAGCGTCTCTCTACGCAGCCACAAAACGCGCCAACGAACTCATGGCTTTCACGTATCATCATCTGTACGGTATCAAGACGACGGGTCTCCGATACTTTACAGTCTATGGCCCGTGGGGTCGACCCGATATGGCCTACTACGCGTTCGCGAATGCGATGCATTCTGGCAAGCCGATTACCCTCTACCGATCGGGGTCAGCGGAGCCCTCTCGGGATTTCACGTACGTTGATGACGCGATCGATGCAACTGTAGCTGCACTTGATCGCGCATATCCGTGGGAAGTTTTCAACGTGGGGAATCATCGCATGGAGCCGCTCAGTGCCCTGGTTACCAGTCTGGAAGAAGCGTTCGGCATTGAGGCGCTAAAGCAACATACCGGGCTGCAGTCAGGAGATGTACCTGCGACCTATGCTGATATTGGCAAGGCGAAAGAGTTGCTCGACTATGATCCGAAAACGAGTCTTCGCGAGGGGATCAAGAAGTTTGCCGCCTGGTATCAGTGGTACCATGTGGAGAACCGGCATGCCGTGGAGGCAGGTCTGGGAATCTGAGATGAGTCTCGAGTGCGCTGTCGACAGGGGTTGTGCGATGATGGAACACGGACCTGCTGGCTCTGCTCCTGCATTGCGGTTTTAGTTCCGAATTTTTATTAGACGAAAAGCGTCGATATTCGAGGGGCAGCAACAGGAACGCACAGATTCACACATCGTTTTAGGATTCTCGGTCGTCTTTCGGGAATGGGTTACGGTTACGTGAATCGAGATGATTCGGTGCGCTCTAAAACAATTGTCCGTAAAATATCCGATATCATCATCCAGTTTGTATGTGAGAACTTATACGCTTCTGCTTTCCTTAGGCATTGCATGTTCTGTTCATTCATTCTTCAAGTTTTGGATCAGTCTGCTTCAAGGTAACTGGTGCGCGGACTCTTGTATGCCATTGGATGGACGAGGAAACGAACTCAACATGGCACCGGAACGACTTGTTCGCGAGCTCTGGCCGAAAGTTCACTGAACTCGTCACCCCTCAACTAATCGATTCCTTACGAAAGACGAATCCAGTTCTCTGTGTGGCACGCGACCATGCGGCATTCCGCAGGAGCATGATAGCGAGCATGCGCTATGGTACCAGAGGCATCCGTGCCTTCTGTTTTTGCATGGAAAAGGTTCCTGGACCCGGACTCGAGTCATCACAGCGATTGCTTCGACTAGAGCATGCGTTATTGCCGTATACGATTGAGCTTCATCAAATCAAAAATGTGCAACTTGCTTTTCTGCCTGAATTTTCGTCGGGTGCTCGTTTTACCTAGGACAAGATTGAATTCGGCAAGTCCCGTACCGAATGGAACAGCGTGCGCTTGCAAGTGTAGCTGCCAGACCACTCAACGACTGGGTAGCCCAGAGGATGCCTGTGATTCCAGGGGACGGCATCGGGCGCGGATTCAGAGGAGGGCATCGAGTGGGGCGCTCGGTACCCATCGGCGGCATGTATCGAGCGATAAAGCGCGCCTTTAAGCATCATCGAGTTGCCCTCAGAGGCGAAGCAGGTGCAATGGACATACCTGGGAACACCTGAACACATAAGGGTGTCACCGCTGTACGGGTCGCACCAACGCTGCATAGAAGCTCGATGAAAGTGACGAGCGATGCGTCGATCGCATGTTGCATTGGGGCATGGAACATGTCGACAACAGCCAGCAACAGCGGCCCAGGGACTTTACCACTACCATCAACATCCTTCGATGACTGACCACGGTGCTGGAGAGGCAACATAGACTAGCAGATGTAAACCCTCAGCTAAGAGCGTGGAAAATGGAACAGCAAAACAACAAGCGTGCAAAGGCTGGTGTTGGCGTCAATGCGAAGAGACCCAGACTTCAGTGTATACGCCCGAGTTCGAGGGCCTGTCCCATATCGTTGTGTCACGGGTGTAACTGTGTTCTCGTTTATCGCGAGCCTATCCATGGAAACTGCTTTGCCTTCCAAGTCTAGCTGCAAAAGTCGTTGCTGGATGGAAGAGCCCAGACCGCGGCGCCCTCAAGACAAAGCCCCAGTCGTTATCGTGTCCATGGATGGAACGACAGCGAAAGCGTGCGACAACATGAGCAGCGGCTGCGCTGAGTGTTTCGGTATCAGCATTTGCAGCGCCGCGTTGACGACATTAGCGCATCAGTGGTTTCAGTCAATGGAGAGTGTGCATGCCCGGCAGTGTTTGCTCCCCGTAGCCACTGCTTTCTAACTGGGCACTGATCATTACTAATGATGTATTGGCTTAGTCGCTCACCAACCTGGATGCGATGCGATGCGATGCGCAGCATGTCGTGACGGGATTCGTACCTGAAATGCCGCGAGGTCCCGAGCTCGCTTCGCACTTTGAGCAGGTGAACGCAAGTGTACGCCGAGTGTGTCACGTCCAAAACTGATAAGCGAGTGACCGTCGCGACTCGGGCGTACCACAAGCAACCGCCGATGAATGAGCGCTCGTCAGCAGCAGGAACCGAGTCAGAGGTCTCGTAACCGTCTGCATACGGGATGTCATCTCTAAATCGGGTTATATCCGAATGCGTCGCCCACACATACTTGATCTCCAGTCCGAGGTGCCCCGAGACTCTGTCAGGATCCCGCTGGAAGCCGCTCTGTAGACGTCCGTGCTGCCGATCGAAAAGGAATCAAGATACCGAACGGAATGTGCTGGATAACGGGGAGCTTCGACCATACCTCCGCTTTGTACATTCGCAACAGACCAGCGTTGATCCGTGACCAGTTTTCTAGACCGCTGATGTCGTACAAGGTTGGCGAATGTTCCGCAAATGGACCTCTCTTCGTTTCCAGGATGAAGCGGATCGTGTCAAAGTACAAATACTTCGGTGCGAGTTCGAGCACCAGCTCTCGGTCGCGAGCTGCCACTGGTGGTACCTCCGTATCTTTTCCGATCAGCTGCGAAGAACCAAACAAGAACGGAAGGAAAACGTAGTCGTCAAGTCCCCATACGCCGTGCGATCCTGCGGGCTCCAGGGTAAAGCGCTGCTGAAGGTACCGCGTCGTGGCTAGATACGCAGGGAATACACTGAGCACCAGTTCGGGAAAGTCCTCAGCTCGGAAGAGATGCAGACGGTGCAGACAGAACATAAACAGCAGAAAAGAGGCCTCGTGTCCTGTGCCATAATCTATTCGCATCGGGTCCCCGAACGCGCCCAAAAAGTATGCTTGCAGGTCGGGGCCGTATCGTTTGGTTTGATCGCTTTTGACAAGCAGCTCTTCAGTAAAACGCGGCGTACGCTCCTGCAGCTGTGAAAACCACGTCCGAAAAGCTCGGTTTCCGAAGCGTCCAGTTTCCGCCGGAAGCAGTTCAACCTCCGCTGCTAACTCTTTCAAAGCAGCGAGCTCCGCGGTAACCAGGCTAGTGGCCGGAACTCGGGGCCCGGCTAGGGCGTCCCCCGAGAGACCACGAACGCTGCAGTTCAGTCGTTCTACAAAGTCCCAGATGTCTTGGAATGCAGATGACTCCAAAAACTCGGCCAGATCTTTGTGGTCGTAGATCTGGCGTACTGGCTCAGACTCGTCCATGTTTCCGGGAAGAAGACCTCTCGGCAAAGGTAGAAATGCACGCGCCACGCTCAAATGTGCGGTGTTGACGGCGCGCACCTGCTTCGCATCGCAGAGACATCAAAGAGTACAGTTCACGACACGCCCCATGATCGAGACGTCCAGGAAATCATTTGCAGTGGAGGATCCATGAGTCGAAGCAGACGATTCCAGAACGCTGAACGCTGCCTCGTGACGATCATATTTCTCGACTTATCTCGCGACTTCTGTGACATCGCATCGCCTCGAGAATGCTGCTTTTGCGTACAGCAAAAGCGTGGTCGATCTCGCTGCTTCTCAGGCTCCCAGTTGATCCATAATTTTTTTATACAGGCGTTGACGAGCGTAGATTTGTAAAATGCTCCGGTTTTACCGCGCACTCGGTGGCGTGTACCCTGATCAAGTCCATAAGCCACGCAGATGTTCTGCTCTGCACAGCGCTGTGAACGCAACTCGCCGGCCGCTCGCGCCACATCGGTAGAGTCAGCATCCGTTTTCTGAGCAATTTTCTGGAGGTATGCAACAACGTTCACATTCTAGTGTATTCCAAGCTGGGTAGCAAGGCGCCACCGCAATTTCTCTTCCTTTGTGAGCGGAGATATCACGATGCGAACCAGAATTGCTCATGTGTCGTTCCAGATGACATGCTTATTGGACAAGGCGCTGGCATGATTTTGGGATAAATGCTATGCATGAACGCCGCACCAAACTCGGGTCGCATGTCGCCAAGTGATGAGGCAGCAGATATCCACTCACGCACAGACAAAGCAGAAAGAATCTGTACTGTGGTAACATATGCAATTCTTGAACGATTCATATGGGCAACAATGCACATGATCTTCGCCCGCGCGACGTCGCTTCGAGGAGGCGAACATGCTGCCCGTGCCATCTGCTGCTGACGAACGCCAGCCATGCAGCAGCTCGCCATTGCTCGCCCTATGCGAACTCTTACCCCTCGGATACACGTAAAAGCTCTGCACCAAATACTTCGCGGACGTGTAGAAGCAACGCAGGTGCGGTACCTCGAGAGACAGACAGACAGAAAGACAGAGAAAGAGACCCCGTCAGCATGCACGTATCCCAGGAGCCCGCTGCCGACGTGTCCATCGATCCTGCGTGTCCATGGACGCACACAACACGCACACATTCGAGCATCAAGAAGAGCGCGCTCCGTGCAATCGCACAGGGTTGCGTCTAGTTCTGTACTACAAGTTCTAGTTTCTAGAAGATGCGTGCATGCATGCAGCAATCGAATGCGTGCGTCACACGCGTCAGACGGATCCAGAGGGAAGCGCTGGTTAGCGCCTTCCCTGCTATCCGCCTGCGTCTACGACTTTGGACCCGTAACTTGCGTTTCTAGGTGGACGCGTGCGGTCGGAACGTTGGTCAAATTTGGTTTTGGGGTTGTTTGGCTCCGGGAACGCTGGTGTTCATGGAGGACGAACATCCTGCGCCTAACTCGGATCGCACCTATGCCAGCGACTTGGAGCAGGGGAACGTTTTCGGGAGCAGCCCCTCCGAGCGACACAGTTTCAGCCGCCTTGATGGCAACCGAGCGGGTTCCATTGGGGATGAGATGGATAGTGATGTAGCTGTTGATGAAGAGGACCGGAATGCGGGTATGGAGGTACTCGGGTTGTTCTCAGTCAGGGCGCGCTCTCGGGCTCGAGTGCGCAGCGATAACCGCGACGGCAGTGACAGTGGTAGTGCTCTTGACGAGGGCGTCGACGACAACAGCGACGATCATGGCGATGATATTGCTGGATTCGGTGAGAGCGACGATCTATCGGGAGACGTGGACAGCAGTGATTGCGGTTTTGAAGACGACCAAAACACCGATGTCGACGCCGCTGGAGAGAGCGACCTGGAAGAGTTTCCGGACCCAGCTGAAGGAGAGCTGGACTCGTTTCGCCACGACGTGGATGCCACCGATGATGACTTGGGAGAAGAAAACGCCTCTGATGCGGACGCTTCAACCTTTGGCGATGGCATGGATCACGACGACGACGACGAAGACGAAGACAACGACGACGATGATGATGACGAGGGCGAGGACGACGACGACGACAACGATAACGTTGACGAAGAGGAAGACGACGGCGACGACATGCCAAGTGATGATGAGGATGCTGAGTATTCTCAATTTTTCGGCGTTGAACAGGAGATGCTTTCCCTCATGGAGCAGCGCGGATCTGCCTGGATGGAGGGTATGCCGGCAGCGCACCTCCAAGCATTGCGCAGAGCCGACATCCAGGCTCAACGTCTTATGCAGCGCTTTCGGAATGCCGATGATGACATGGAAGTGTTCGTGGTCTGGCGTAATGGACAGGAAGCTGGCGAAATACTCGCAGATCGCGATGAGGATGCTTCTCTACCTGGTCTAGGTATACATTTTCTTAACATGACCAACGAACAGCCAGACTGGGCTGAAGGTTTCGGTCTGGGAATCGCCGCAGCGAATGCGATGTTGCTTAGCGACCCGAGCAGCGAAGCGTTGCGGCCATACGCGCCTGCGCGGCTAGAGCTACCGCAACCGCCGCGCGTTGAGAGCGATTCGCGATCACCGTCCGAACGTAACTTGTCGGTCGCAGGCAACGTGCTGGACGGCTTGGGCAGTCGCCGACACAGCCCGGGCGCGACTCTGGGCAACATCTTGTTGTACGGTTCGGGTGCACACTGCCAAAGTTGCCCGAGATCAGCGCGCGAGGCGCTCTCAGCGCTTTGCCGTTCTGACGGCTTGCGCGCCCTGCTGGCGTCGAGCTCGGCGGTTGCACCGACCGCACTCATGATGCGACGCAATATCAGTTGTGGGGACTGCGGTCTCCGCAATGCGGCGGACGCTCGAATCCATGATTTCGCGGATCTCGTACTGCGAAGTCCAGCGTTCACAGAGAACCTTGGCCACGGCATCGCAGCTGCATATTTGGTCAGCAAAATGAATCCGCCTCCAAAGGAATCCGAGCAGCTGTGGGATCTTGCATCCCTTGGAACCGTGCTCGCTGGAGCGCATTTTCATCCACTCTTTTGGGACGGCGCTCGCGGCAAGAGTTCCGAGTCGCCACTGCCGGGCTTGTATCGCGCACCACCTGCGCTGTCGATTCGGTTCTCTGAGGATTTGTTGGAAGCGCTGCTGGGGCTGCCTATTGGTCCACTGCTGGGCATCGATCGTTTCGGAACGCTGGCGGTCACCGGGACGCGCCAAAGGCGGCGAGATGTGCTGCGTCTGTATCGCGCGTTTGGCAGCTGCTCGCTGCGGCGTGGCGCACCGTACGATGCGCTCAGTGGCCTCGATACCCATGCACGTCATCTGGATACCCAGCAGAAGCGCTTCGCAGCGCTCCACGAGGAAATGCGAACACTCTGGCGCGATGAGCGCGTCCGTAGGGAGCGAGCCCAACTTGACGACGAGTACCGCCGTCTCGTTGACGAAGAGCAAGCGCAGGCCTCGGAATCCTGTGCGAATGGCAGGCAGGGCGAGCCCGACGTGCCCATGGAACGCTCAGAGCAGCAGGAGCAGGAGCAGGTGCTGCCAGCACCTGGCACGGAGATGGAGGCCGCTAGCTCATTGACTGGTTCGCTTCTGGAGCATGCGTCTGCTGCGAGTCCGTCACACCCAGCCAGCAGCGGTATGCTTACGGGAGCTGCGGAGACATCAGACTCGGCCGTTGTGCTGTCTATGCAAATCGACGATTTGCCGGGCGCTACTCAAGTGCTGGGTCCCGACGCACCTGAACCTGCAGCGAGCGGTGCAGTCGAGCTCAGTTCGGACGCCGAAGTGCGAGCGCCGCCTGTATCGGACTCTACGACCGATCAAGAGGCAGGGACGCGTTCCATCACCGAGTCCGATATGGAGCACGTGGCGCGCACTGTCGGCATTGACCCCACGGTGCTCGTCGAGTTACCTCCAGATCTCCGACGAGAAGTCATTCAGCAAAACCTCGCCCAGATTCGGAGCAACCCAGCATTTCTGAGCTACCTGCCGGTGAATGTGCGACAGGAAGTTGAGGAGGCAGCTGCCCAGCTTGATCGCCTTCGTGGCTCCGCAGCCGAGATGGATAACGCTTCCTTTTTGGCAACGTTGCCCACTGCGCTGCGCGAAGAGATCTATCTAACCTCAGACGAATCGTTTTTGCAGTCATTGCCGCCGCACTTGGCGGCCGAAGCTCGCGCAGTCCGCGATCGTCGGCGATCATTATCATCAGCATCAGCAGCAGCAGCAGCTGCTGCTGCTTCGGCGTCGTTTCTTGGACCCAATGATCTCACTTCTGGTGCGAGCGAAATTTCAGCGCTCATGTCAACGCCGCAAGTCAGCGCGCGAAAAAGCTGTGGCCTTGTCCTGGTCACGCAGTTGGATGTGCTGGAGAAGGCGCTGCGCTCGCCCGGAGTCTGCTGCCCGCTGCTCGCGAATACCGTGCGTCTGCTTTGTTACGAGCCAACGACACGGATGCGCATCATTCGACTAGCCTGGCGGCTCGTGGAATGCCAGCGCCCAGACGATGCGAGCACCGCTGGAAGAAGTGCAGAGCTCGTGGGCAGCTTGCTGCGCTTTAGTCCAACGATAGCGCTAGATCTGGTCGCCGCCGATGGCGATCAGCCGTTGATGCACCTGCTCCAGAGCATTCCCAAGGCTGTTCGATTCGGCGGACGCCATTGCCACCGTCTGCTGGAGGTGCTGCTTGCGACGACCAGCCTCTTCGTACAACTGTTACGAGGCCAGGTTCCACAGCGTGGTCTGCAATTGGAACCCGCCCAGCCGGATGCCTCGATGACGTTGCCAGTCGTTCCGCCGGTGGTCGCTCCGGGGGTGCTCAACGACCTGGCGATTGCCTTGCAGGTTCCGGATCTATCTGCTCGCTCCTGGGACCGTTTGCTCTCCATCTACGAGTACCTCTATGGCGAAGAGCAGAATCGTGATACTGTCATCCAGTGTCTCGTTCAGATTGCGGGAGCGCTAATCGAACCGGTGTGTGCTGCCATTCGCGAAGAGCCCGGCTTACGGCCGTGTGAGAGCTTCTTCGTCCAGACAGTGAAGAGTGTTGCGCAGCTGGTGCGTCCGCATCTCGAGTGCCTGCAGGTGCTGGAGCCGGTATGGACGTGCCTCGAGGAGCAGTTGGCCGCGGGCGCAGGTGCGGGTCCACCGGTGCGCCTCTCGCGTCTCATTGAGTGCTACCTTCAGGCGCACAGTATCCGCTTGCCGGACCTGTTAGCGGATCTCAACCAACCGCCAGTGCTGGAGAGCAACCCCTCGCTGCTGGCGCGTTCGGAGTCTGCGTCAACGTTGCGCTCGTCGACAACGACAACAACAACAACAACGACAAATGGCGTTACGCTGCCCGAGTCGGTCATGGCGATCGACCGTGAACTCGCAAGCTTCCTGGAGCGGCACACGCTGCAGATCAATCAATTACTGCAATTGAATCCGGCCCTGTTTCGTCAGGGATTTCAATCGACGCTCTTGCATGCCCGCTTTCTGGAATTCGAAAACAAGAAAGTGTTCTTCCGGCACGTTATCCAGGAACAGCGACGCGCGAGTCGACAATCGCCCGTGCGTCTGCTCGTGCGCCGCGACTGCGTTTTCGAGGACAGCTATCATCAGTTACGGCCGCGCAGCGCTGCGGAGCTTCGTGGAACCCTCACCGTCCAGTTCGTTGGCGAGGAAGGCATCGACGCCGGTGGACTTTTGCGCGAATGGTACGTGATCCTGGCTCGCAAGATCTTCGACGAGAATTACGCGCTCTTTCGCCGTTGCGTCGGCAAAAGCGCTGCATACCATATCAACGAATGTTCGTATATTAACGAGGATCATCTGGGCTTTTTCAAGTTCATCGGACGCTTCATCGGCAAAGCGCTCTGGGACGGTCAACTCCTGGATGCCTATTTCGCTCGCTCCGTTTACAAGCACATGATCGGCATAAGGCCTTCGTACCACGATATTGAAGCGATCGACCCGGAATACTACGCCAGTCTGGTGTGGATGCTCGAGCATAACATCGCTCACGTGCTGGACTTGACCATGGCGGCGGAGCTGGACCAGTTCGGAGAGCTCAAAGTCGTGGATCTGGTACCCGGCGGCCGCCATATTCCCGTAACCGAGGAGAACAAATGGGAATACGTACGACTCATTACCGAACTCAAAATGACCAAAGCCGTGGAGCCCCAGTTGCAGGCGTTTCTCGAAGGGTTTCACGAAATGGTACCGCGCTCACTCATTGCCATGTTCAGCGATTACGAACTGGAGTTGCTTATCTCCGGTCTGCCCGAGATCGATACCGCTGATCTCAAGATGCATACCACGTACAGCGGCTACCGACCGTCGAGCCCACAGATCCAGTGGTTCTGGCAAGCGGTTGCCGAGATGGATCGTGACGATCGCGCACGTCTCGTGATGTTCGTCACCGGCAGCAGCAAGGTACCGCTGGGCGGCTTTGCGAACCTCCCCGGTATGAATGGCGGTGTTCAGCGCTTCCAGATCCATCGCGTTGCTGGTGATACCGATCGTCTGCCGAGTGCACATACCTGCTTTAATCAACTTGATCTCCCTGAGTATAGCAGTTATGAAAAGCTTCGCGAACGCTTATTGACAGCAGTTCGTGAAGGCAACGAGGGTTTCGGGTTTGGTTGAGGCGTATCGAAAGCGTATGTGTTCGGTCTTTGGAAGCACGTCTCGCTTGAAAGCCGTTGCGAACGGTTATGCCTAGCAGTTCGTAAAGGCAACGAGGCTTTCGGGTTTCGTCCGTAGCGCACCAAAAGCGTACTCTGGAGCACGTCGTACCCGGTCATCTTTTCGTCGGTTCAAACGGAACCGTGTCCCGTAAAGAACGCGAGCACTTGTAGTCGTGAACAAAAAGACGCTGTACGCAAACACAAACACACACACCTGCACCTGCACCCCGCTTGACCTGGTCTGCCGGCACTCACACTATCACCAGAAGAGTCACGTTTCAGAAAGTGTCCACTGGGTTCATGGAGTGGTTGCGTAGCGCACCTGCACCAGAGCGCAACGAACGACGACAGGCGTTCTGGGAAGCTCTCCGCGAACGCCGGACCTACAGCGATGCCTCTCTACAATGCTGACACGTCCACGCGGCATCAGAGTAGCTGAAGCGTATGCTTCAAGTCTGAGTAGACGCGTCGAATGAAGCTGAACGGTACTAGAGAGGCGTTATCGTACGCGCAACGCGAACATGGTATCCATGGACTAGGGTCTGCATAGACAAGTACAGACGAGGAAGAAGATCGTGATTTACGGTAGGGGAGGTCGGAAACCGATAATTGTCGTACGGAATCGCAGAACGCAGGTCATGAGAAACGATCCTGCACCTGGATGTGGAGAAACGAAGCGGACTAGCCAGTGAAACGCTATGGAAAGGCGCGTATTCCCCGCTAGCCGCCACAGCACACACATAAGACACGGACACGGACGCAGCGCTGAACCTGCACCCGAGTCCACGAACACCATATGTTCATGGGATCTGGGCTGTGCACCATGAACGTATTCGGGTCACTGTTTCGACTCTATCCGTATCTCGATGGTGTCCACTTGATGAACGGAGTGTGTTTACGGGTGCCTGCGTTGCCTGGTCATGTACAGACACCTGGGCTGGTACCTGTTCAAGCGTTTCTGGCGTGTGGTCTAGCGCGATACACGCAGGCACTGCACTCGGGCGCAAGCGAATCCAGGATAAACGAAATTGTTACGGGAAGAGGTACGGCTGGTTCTGGTTTCGTGGTCGAAAAGCGCAGCACCGTATTACCAGTCTGGGACAAGGCATCAGGCGGGTCCATGTCCGTCCAAGTACTTGCCGCTGAACTGCAGCCGTGCTCATGGAGCGCTCACGAACGGGATGCAGGCACCGTTCGACGCACCGGTACTGGCGTGCATTCTCCTCGGCGATGAGCCGTGACATCGGGATCCGCAGCAGCAGCAGCAGCAGCAGCAGCAGCAGCACGACTCGCACGAATGCCTTGTGCTGTCCACTCGGTGCAGCACGATCAGTCACAGTCATGTGCCGCGATTCCGCGAATGAATAGAACGGATCAAGCCGCGTTCCGTAACGCTCGCGGCTACACGATGGCACCCTGCACCCATTCGTGACGTCTCGCGTGCTGTGAATGCTGGAGCGTATCTGAACCCGCTAAAATGACGGCGAACGCGATATCGTTTCCTCTGCGTCATCGGTATCCGCAGAGCGCTTGCGTTCAAGCGCTGCGCCAGACCAGGACAGCTCCTGGTTTGGCTCCAACATCGACTCCGGGTCCAGCACCGGCTCCGGGAGCCGAGCGCGCCCCAGTGCACCCAGCAGGGGTGCATAGTCGAATAGGTCGCTCTTCACGCTCGGCAGACTGCGCAGAAGCTCACGCAAGCGATGCGCCTCGAGTGCCGCTCCGTTCTTGAGCAATGGATAGCGACCGGTGCGATCGGGGCCGTACTGCAAGAGGCCCGGCCCGTAGAACACCGCCAGCTGATACAAACACTCGAGCAGCGTGTTCGCTTGTGTTGGTTCCTGGAAACTGCTTCCGTACAGTTCAAGCAGCAGGTTGGATCCCCCGGTCGTAGCCATCTGTCGATGAGCGTCGTGCACGACCAGTCGCGTCGTCAATGACGCAAGACGGGCGATGGACTGGGGGCGCTCATGCGTCGCCGTCGACGTCAAAACGGCTTCGCTGCGCACACTGACGCCCTCGAAAGCCTGCAGGTCGCGCCAGCGCTGAAGCGCTTCCGTCCAGAGCTCCAGCGCCAGTGCTTGCGGCTCACCAGCATGGGCGCTCAATTGCACCACAAGCGCCCGAGCGCTTAGATAGCGCCAGTCCACCGCACTTAGAGGATCGGCGGCACCCGCCGCAACGGACGCTTGCATGTTTGGTGCCTGGGCGGCCAAGCAGCGCACCAACCAGTCCCGATAACTGGCCGCAGAGGGGCGACGAAGCACGCGCGTGAGCGCCGTCGCAAAGGGTGCGCCAAACGTGCTCATGCAGCTAGCTAGCGCCCAAACCAGACCCGGCTCCTCGTGACTCATTAACAGCGTCAGCAGATTGCCATCAACTCGGACGGTCTCGATCGACGGACAATCGCTATTCAGCTGGTAGCGCGGTTCAGCGCGGCGGTCACGCGTCGCATCCACAGGCCGGAGGCAGCGCATGAGCGAAACGCTTAACGCCATTGGATGCAGGGCCTGGAGCCGCTCCAGCACTGGATTCAGCGATGCCGCAGTCACAGTGTGCTGATGCTGACCGCTTTGACTGAGGGACTCACGGAACGCCTCGCGCAGCACGCGATCAAACGCTGAAATCACCAGTCCAATATCGTGCTCGTAAAAGGCGATGCGAACGTATTCGGCAAGCAGGAGCCAGGCGTGCAGCATCCGCGCCACCAGAGGCGCTACCTGCTGCTGCTGTTGTTCTTGTTGTTGTTGTTGTTGCTGCTGCTGTTGCTGCTGCGCTCGCAGCGCGTCTATATGGCGCTGCATGCGCAAAAACGCCTGCAAAACGGCAGCCGGCGTCGGCGCTGCAACCCGCACCTGCGCATGCGCTGCAGCAACAACCGCCTCCAGGGCACTCAACTCTAAATCCAATAGCGCCAACCGCTGAGAAGGTTCAGCGGAAGCAGCACCCGCAACCTGATGCGCTTCTATCCAATCCCATAGCGGCCGAATGACGCCCAGCATTTGTTCGAGCACCGTCGGCAAACGTACCCGCTTCCATCGATACTGCCATAGCGTCCCCAGCGCCTGTCGAGCCAGGAACCGCGGTAAATGAGCGGTCAGTACACCACGCGGTATATACGGTACCGTCGTTACATAGGACGGTCGTTCAGCAATGCGCCCGGTTGGCTGCGTGGCCCCCGCAGCCGGCTCATGCACCGAGTGCGCCGTGATCACACGCAGCAGCAGCGCGTAGAGCATCAGGTACGCGGGCATGCGTGCATCCTGCGGAGGACACGTGTCCAGCGAAGCTTCCAGAATCTCGGCAAGGACACGCAGCATCGACACGCTCGTATCATGGAAGCCGAGGCGTGCGATCCAGTGTACTGCCACAGCCGGTGCCCGCACGACCAGGCTAGCCAAGGGATGCTCATCGAGAGGGCGTGTTCGTGACGTGCCCGTTGCGTCCATTTGACGGGATGAAAGCAGCGACTTGTCTTCGAGCCATGTCGTCGGTGGTAACAGACTCCAACACTCAGCAACGAGCGCAGTGTCGAGCGTTTCAGGCGGCGCGCTGAATAGGCGATGCAGCGCTTGTTCCCGTACCCATTTCCGGAGTTGTTGCTGAAAACTGATCCAGTCCAGCTGCGGCATCCGTTGTCGTCGATGACCAACTTGCAAGAGGCGCAACAGTCGACGACTCCAGGGCAGGAGCACATCAATGCGCGCCGGGCGTAGCGGGAAACTGCTGCCTTTGCCGTATGTGTCCACGAAGCGTTCCAAAGCTTCATCCGAATCGAGTAGCAAGTCGGGATGACGGTGCATGGGTGCCCGCTCCGAAGATCTCCACCTCAGACCGGCTTCGAGGCCAGCCACGGGCGGTGCTGCGCCGCCGCCACTAGCTAGTAGTGATGATGGTGCTGGTGCTGGTGGCGATGCATCCACGGCAAGCAGCAGTCGTACCAGGTTCAGTAGACGGAATACGAACAGACGAGGCCATTGCGACCAGTCGTGCTCAAGAAGTCGACGCACAAGCACGCTTACCAGTGCCAAATAGGATGTCCGCGTTGCCTGCTCCGCATTCCACGCGTCGTTCGGCGACGCTGCCGCTGCCATCGTTGTTGTTGTTGTTGGTGGTGGTGTTGTAGCTGCAACTGCAGATGAACCGCCGCTCATGCCAAAAGCCGCTGCAGTCATCCGCGTCGCAGCGTCGCTGTCACGTCGCGAGCGCGTTTCGACGCCGACCGCATCCCCAGCAGGTGCCAGACGCGCTGCGGTCGCTTCGCGGCGCTCCGAGCTTGGTGTCGCGTCGCCTAGCGCTAGGTCTTCGGCGAGCAGCGCAACGACCAACAGGTCAAGCAGTGCATCCAGAGCTCGGCAGGTGTCCAGCGAGACCGGCGGTACCAGCTGACGCACCAGACGAAACAACTCCACTGGCCAGCCGCGAGCGTACAACACCGTCAATAGGCGACGCGCTGTGCGTCGCGGCAACGACGACTCTTGGAGCAGCGCTCGCAGAGACGAAACCAAGCCCACCAGATAGATACACTGTGCTGGCTCCAGATGAGCGGTTGTCGGTCGTTGCACCAGCTCCCATACGTCCCCCGTGAACAGCGTCTCGCAGGCAGCCCAGTGACCAACAAGCACGTCAGCTAGGGTGATGTCCAGTTCACTCTCCTGGAGCACACACTGGTAGAATGGACGAACATTCACCCCGAATATAGCCAAAGCGCGTGCAACGCCAAACACCTCGGTAACATTCTGCTCGGCACGTTCACTGCTCCACTGCATCGTATCGGTTGCCGGGGATGAAGCAGCCTGCGCCGTACCACCGGAACGCCAGGGCGGTGACTGCAGCGGCCTCGAAGGCACCGCTCTGGTAGCGTTCGACAGTCGACTGGTACGATCCGCCGCGGTGGACGCTTGCTCAATCATTACCACCTCGATTTCCAGGGATCTCTTCGCTGGAAGCGCGACTGGATACACTGTAACTGCTTCGAAGGCACACTGGGCAAGCGCGAAACGAGCCAGTCGCTCTAAGCACCCGACTGCCTGCAGAAGCGTTCCGTCGCCTACTGCAGTGTCCGTAGCGGCAGACGCAGCTGCAGCTCTGCCGCCACTCATACCACGGAGACGAAACTTGTGCTTCAGCTGTTGACCCCAGAGCGCGAGCAGCATCAGAAGCGTTCCGAGTTCACTGGCCAGAGAGAGCGTCTGCGGCCAGTCAGATTCGAGTATTGCTTCGAAAAGCGGCGGTGCTCGCTGGGCATTGCGACTTGCGTGCGTCGATAACGATGACGATGACGCTCGTTGTGAGCCAATGGATGACGCTCGGATTCGTGTGCAATGCACCGGGGAGACCTGGTTCAGCACCAGCGGTAGCGCTTGGGCAAGACGCTGGCCAAGCATGGCGCGTACACGAGCGGCCTCGATCACCATGCCAGCTCGCAACGCCTGACGACGTACCGATTCCGTCACTTGGATTAGTTGACGAACGCTCGGAACCGCTCGATCTTCATTCGAGCTGAGCAGGTACAACCCCAGCGGAACAAACAGCGAACGCAAAGCCTCCAGCCACAGCGCGGCCTGCAACTCCTCAAGTCGCTCCCGTGTGAGTGCAGCAACGCGTCGCTCAGCGGACTGGCGCGATGTAGCAAGCAACGCCTTGCGTAGCAACTCGCAGAACATCATCGCGCTATCCAAGGCAAGCAGCTCTTCCGTCCGCTGCACCACGAGTACCTCGAGTGATGCACCCGCAGAGGCCGCAGCGCTCTCGTCCACATTGTCGTTCGTGGTGCTAGCGCTGAGTGCTTGATGCTGGTCGCGCTCGCGGAGCCAGCTTTGTAGTTCACTGAGCACCACTTGTTCAAAAATCGTCTGCACTGTTGGGCCGCGTTTCCACAGGCCCCTAATGAAACTCAAGTCGTAGCCCGAGTGGAATCGAGCACGAGATAGCGCAGGTCGATAGAGCATCACTCGCACGAGACAAGACAGCATACGTCCGAGAATTGAGCTGGGCGTTGGCCCCGGTCGCAACTGCCCCAACGGGGCTGTTGGTACCTCAGCCAGCTCCGTGCACGTCGATTCCACGGGTTGAAGCAAAGCCTCCAGCTGTTCCCGTCGGATGCAGAGAGCATCTAGCGCATGCCAGGCGGCTATGTATGCTTCTGCTGTCGCCGGGAGGTCCATCGATGTCGACTGCTCCGCCGCCAGCACAGCCAGTAATCCGTCGATGGTGTGTTCCTCCCAGAAAACTGCTGCATTGGCGGGATCATCGTTCATTGCCAAGGCCAAGGTCTGCGTTGCGACGCTCCAGACAGCACCACCAAACAGTCTCGGATGGCGCAGGACTTGCTCCAGCAAGTGTCGAATCACAGGTTGATGTAGGGTCAAGGGCTCCGCCGGCGTTCCGGCAGCAGCGGTAGCATTCCCACCAGAGGTTGCCGGGCCCGAGTGCGCACCTGTCGCTTGCGCGCGTTCTGAAGGTAACCACGCCGTTGGACCAGTTGTGCTCGCAGCTGGCATCGTACCGGAGAGTGTCGGTGATGCATTCCGTATCAAAGAGGCAGCAGCGGGAGTCCCGTTACCGTTCGATTGACTCTCGTAGCGTAACAGCAAAAAGTGCCAAGCGATGCGCATCCAGGTGCTCTCCAGCAGCGTCAACGTTCCAAACGTTTCCGAAAGTGCCTCGGCTGCGTCATGGTGTGCCCAGGGGTACGCCCGGATGCGTTCTAGGTAGCGTTCGTGTTCCCGATGAGCAGCGGACCTCTCAGAAACGTGCCCGATGAGGTATTGCAGCTGTGCGAGTAGCATCTGCTGGACGTATGCCATTTCGTGGCGAAGCAATCCGAAAAAAGAGTCATCAGAGCGCGTTTGACGAAACACCATCGTCCAGAACTGCAATGCCCATAGCGACAGCAGTGAAGCTGGGGCAACCGCCCCCAGTACACCGGTCAGTTTTTGAAACAAACCCACCAGTTGCAGTTGTAAACGCCCATCGAGATGCTGGAGACGTCGCTCCCGCCGCAGTAGTCGACTCATGGTGCTCAGATAGAGCTCCAGCCGCTCGGCGTGACTAGAGGATGCATCATTGGGCGTTTCCTGTTGCGTCTGGAGTGCAGTACACACCGCCTGGAACAGCCAACTGGCTCCGCGGCCATGTAGCATCGATGTGAGCAGCGGTTTCTCCCACTTCCACGTCGCTGCAGCAACAGCTAGCAGACGCAGCGACGCACGCTCGACAAGAGCCCTGACACTGGGGTGGAGCTCGACGCTCACTGCGTTTCGCGCTCCGTTAGCCAGCGCCGGGCGTTGACTGGTTTGAAAGAAGGCACCCCGCAGAGTATCGATCACGTCCTCCCAAAAGTGTGGTTCGCTCATCAACAACTGCTCCAGAGATACTCGCGCCGTGCCCGAGCTCGACAGCAGCACCGCCATGGCCTCGAAACGGACCGCCAGACGCAAGAGGCCCCACTCGAGCCGGAAACGACACCAGTGACGCAAGTTCGTTCGTTGCGAGCGTCGCTGACCCCGTGCAGCATTCACAGTGCTCGCTTTTGGGCACGCTTGGACTCGTTGCTCCGGCGCTGTACGCTCATGATGGATGCTTGCTCGCCAGTGAGGTGCAAAAGCGTCCTGCAGTGACGCCCACTGGAGCACATCCAAGCAAGGACTTGATCCCTCCGTATCAGGGCGTGTTCGTAGCGCATGAAAAGCGCTTCTGTAAGCACCGGCTTCGGATGCTGAGTCCAGTGGACTGGTGCGGCACCAGGCGCATGACCTTGAGGCCGCACTAATGTTCTCCTCGAGCGCAGCGGGAACCACACGATCCCCGGCATTCTCCGCAACGCTCTCTATTTCCATGGACGAATCCGGTGAGCTACGACTTTCCCAGCGCGTAAACTCAAGTCCACTACCCGAGAGAGACTGCTCGTCGGTGCTGGTATCGGTGCACGAGGCCACTGCAACCGTCTCGGTGACTGGCTCGGCGGCAGCCTGCGTACGAGCACGCAGAGCCCGGAACAAGTCATCATAAACAGGATCGTGTCTGCAGAGTTCCAGGAGAGAATCCACGAGACGAGGTCCCAACCAGGCTGCGTCGGCACTCAAGGGTGCGTAAGCAGCCTCGCTCAGGAACGGCACCCGTGCTACCTGCCACCAAACTTCAAGAGCCTGGATCACAAGAACGAGACAGTCGGTTTCCAATATCTCTTGCATAAGATCAAAAGGAAGCACCGACTGGCGGCATTCGGGTGCGAGTTGCGCAGCCAGCCAACCGAGCTTCGTGAGGTCTACCGCCAGTTCGCGGAATACACCGTTTCGTGCACCAGTCTGTCCAGCTTCGGCGACATCAGCGTCTCTAGTCGATAACGCCCTCATTGCGCGCAAGTTCCGTTCAATCGAAGCCCAAACTTGCTCAATCCAACCCTTCCACGGAGACGCTAGGCGAAGTAGCGGGTACGTGAGCCACGGACTCGGAGCCGCTGCTGTCACCTTCCAGGTTGTTCCCGTAGGGGCAGTGCCGGCCTGTGTACCCGTCCAAACACGCTCGAGCCAAGAGTCGAGCTGATCAGGATCAAACCCGAACCAATCATTCGTCTCGTACTCCATAATGCAGACGAAACGGTAGTTGCTCTATCAGCAACGCTGAACAGTGCGCGAAAAGCAACTGTGTTTGCGCGCAGGTCCGCTCGCGAAGCCAGACGCCGCAGGCTATACCTTTCCGCAGAACGCGACTTTCGATAACACCTTCCTAGTGCTGTTTGGTACAGCAAAACTGTCCAAGGAATCCAAGAAGCTTCACAGTCCAGTGCCTGCAGTTGACGCAAACATAACCCCGCACCGTATCGGTCGTGAACACAATGCCTTACGTCCGCAGCTCAAGCGAGCACGCTTTGGGTTCTAGGTATAGGAAGCGCTTCGCCCTGCATTGTATTACGCTATGAAGTGTTGGATTGTAGTACACTAGGATTTGTTATATAGTTTTACGCTATGAAGTGTTGGATTGTAGTACACTAGGATTTGTTACATTATTTTACGCTATGAAGTGTTGGATTGTAGTACACTAGGATTTGTTACATTATTTTACGCTATGAAGTGTTGGATTGTAGTACATTAGGATTGGTTACATTATTTTTAAGCTATGAAGTGTTGGATTGTAGTACATTAGGATTTGTTACATTATTTTTAAGCTATGAAGTGTTGGATTGTAGTACACTAGGATTTGTTACATTATTTTACGCTATGAAGTGTTGGATTGTAGTACATTAGGATTTGTTACATAGTTTTACATAATAAAGTGTTGAATTTTAGTACACTAGGATTGGTTATATCGTTTTACATTATAAAGTTTTGGATTGTAGTACATTGCACTGCATTGCTTTCATTTGTCACATCGCTTTACACGATGATGTTATGGACTGTAGTTCATTGCACTGCATTGCTTTGATGTGCGCGATGTACCGTCGAGCGTAGCACTGGCGTCGACGGCGCCTGCTACGAGTACGGCTCGAGGGCTGGTTTCGTTGCGCATTCGCCACGTGCTCGGGAAACGGTGCCGGGTCCACAGGTTAGGTCTGAGACGACTGGAAACCTGTCTAGGTTAGAGGGGCGTTCATCAAGTACTACTACGTAGGCAACAGGAAGCCGTCGTTCCAGGCGTGAACGGTGTCGCGGGAATAGTCAGCGTGGTGCAGCGCGGGCAAGTTGCTGTACGCGAGTACGCGCGGCGTTTTTATCCCGGTTTGCAACGCGGCTGCTGCCAGCGTCTGTACCTACACTTTGCCAAAAAAAGCAATTTCCAGATTTTCGGTCACCTGGAAGGGTTTTATCTGAGCACTACGGACCACACGCCGTTCGGCTATGCTGGCTGCCACCGCATGGAACAGCACACTGCACGGAGAGGCTCCAGCGAGCACTTGAGCCGTTCTCGGGGCGTGCGAGCAACAGCACGCAACGCTACGTCCATAAATGGAAACGAGGGTTTTTATGCAGCTACTTGGAACGTCGTCGTGGTGTGCAAGCGGGTGCCAGTGCCGTGTGCATCAGCTTTGAGCAACTTATGTTGGATTTCACAGCCGCGGCTTTGGATTCAAAGCCACAGCAGCAATCGCGGCTTTGGCGCGTCCGTTTGCACCCAACCAACGGGCGAGAATCGACATGTGCGCTCGAGTACGCATCCCATGGACTACTGGCTTCGTACTAGGACACATTGCCGCCAGACTCGGAGGCGTTCCCGCAATCGCGCTCGTTTTCGCGTAGGCGCTGAACCTTTAGCAACCCCAACTCCAAATCGTCAAACTACTCTGTACGGGAGATGTGGATGGCAGTGGGCGCATGGGAGCTTCCAGCGCGTTCGAGCTACAAAATTCCAGACCCTGGGCGAGAGCACCTGCCGTTTGGTGCTGGCAACTGACGGCGATGGACGACCAAAACGATCGCCCTGCCATTGGCAACGAATGCGAATGCTCGGAGAGCCCGCTTCGAAAGGATGCACAGCCGCTGAAACTAGCAGAATGGGAAGCTTGATGCGGCACTCGCTGACAAACTTGCGGCTCGATGTTCCCAGCCTTGTCGATACTGGTGTGCGCTGGGCATGCGCGCTGGTGATATCCGCCGGTGTCACCCTCTGTGGTGTCCATCCGGATAGCGTGGCTGTTGGTCGCGCGTCTGCAGCAGAAGGCGCTTCCGACTCCATTGCAGACTTTGCACGAACTGTTGGTGCTGCCCAGCCACGAACCAGCATCGATCGATTTGGGAACCCGCTGCTCCGTCGATACGTTTCAACGGATGGAGCGGCAGTTTTGCGGTGGTCGCTCCCGTTGCCAGAAGACTCCCCTTTTTGGGAGATTCAACGCCAGCTAGAACAGGTGGACGTCGAATTGAGCTTACGCGGAAGCTTCCGCCGCGGTCTGCGTGAGGCGCTGAAGAGTGCTCGCCAGGCGCTCGCTGCTCTGCAACGAGAGCGTCTCGATATTCTGCTCGATGTTGGCCGTGAACAAGTTGTCGTTGACACCCTCCGAAGAACGGAGCAGGAAATCACCCATCTTGTCGAGTCTCTGGAGCAACTAAACGCGTTGGGCCCGGGCTCAACGCAGCCGACGATACGCAGCGTGGCGGCAGCCGTGCGAGCGGAAGCATCCGCGTCCCGCTCGGGGGCCTTGGCGGAGCTCGCTCGCCTCGAGGAGGCCAGCATACGCCGTGTGCCTTTTCGCATTCCTCGTCGATACGATGACGAGGCGCGGCTGCGAGGCCGAGCGCTGGTACGACTCTACCTGGAAGCGCCGAAGACGACCGCCGGCGCTCGCCCAGCCCGCAGCGATACGGGGCAAACGCGCGGAACACCTGCACCTTGTGTGCTGCAGGTCGTGGTAGACGGCTGGAACGCCCCGCTCACATCCGGCAACTTTGTTCGGCGAGTGCTTGCCCATGAATACGACGGCATGCCGCTCATCGCGGAAGAGCAGGGCTCCTTCGTTTTCTTCAGCGAAGCCGCGAACGACGGCAAGCCTGCTGACACCGAGCATCTGCTTCCGCTGGAGATCCTGCTCGAGGGCGAGCCCGCTCCCCTGTACGGCGAGTCGATCGATACGGCTATGGTGGCAACCCAGCGGCAGCCGCCGGTGCTGCCAGTTGGCCCTTTCGGAACCCTGGCAATGGCACATTCCACCGAAGATGTCAACGATGCGCAGCGCGCTTTCTACATCTTTACTTTTGATAAGCGATCGCTGGCTGCGAATAATCCCACCGGCAACGCCTTTACTGGCACCGTAGCAGTTTTCGGGTACCTTCCGGATGCATCTTCATTACAGTGCCTCGCAAATTTGCATCCAGGGTATCGGATTCGAACAGCTGAACTGGTGTACGGCAGGGAACGTTATTTTGGCAATGCTGCCGAGGAAGCGCGAGTGCTTGGCCCAGCGGGTAGCTTTCCAGATGAAATGCGTTTGGCGCTTCTGGAGCGTCGGCAACCTGAAACCTAAAGTCTGATATTTTGAGCACCCGAGGACAGCGTCGGTAAACTTGCTTGAACGTATCCCTGGGAGTCATGCAGAGAGGTGTGCGAAGCGGAGAGAGAGCGACAGGTGCATGCAGGCAATTGAGATGCACGACCCGTTCAGGCTGTTAAGCAGCATTCTCGAATCGTTTTATATGGTGATCGTTCTGGACCCAGGCAGGAAAATCGTTGCTGACGCATCTGCATGTACAAATGGGGTGCTCCAGGCATGTAGTGTGCTGAATGGACCAAACTTGTGCCTTGATCCGGTCGGGAAACGAAAGCTCCCTCTTTGTCGCTGAGTTTGCTTTCCGAAAGTCTCGAACGTAGCAGCGAAATGCCTAGACCGAGTTTGGAAGGATATTCTAAACAGCGTTGCTCGACTTGAAACCGCTGGACGCTCCAGAAGCACAAGCGATTCCCGACTGTTATTCGAGGTGTTCAAGTCTCGATTTCGAGAGTGCTTGAGCAAATGGCGGCCTGTTGAAGAACACCAAAGCGCAAGCGTCTCATTTTCGATTACCTCGTCATCTGATGACCGCTTCATTTACAGTACTCCATCTGACGGAAACGAATCTATTTCACGTTCAGATTTTACACTTATTCCAAGGTGTACTCGTGCTCGCGATACGTCAATGTCGTCTTGACTGCATCGATGAGCATCGTCGCAAGTCAATTTCTGCAATTGTTCTGCTCTCCGGGTGAAGGAGCAGAAGTGCAGGCCTTGCGCGCTGCAGCACCTCCAGGCCCATGGGGTACTCCATCAAACGATGCGGGTCATCGGTCATTTGGATTTCGAACTCATGGAACAAGATGGACAATGCATGCATCCTTCCTTTGAACAAGCGAAACTGTTGGCGTACCTTGCTGAGTCTCATGTATGCTCGGCACAGGTCCTCTTCGAGAGCCATTTGGACGTTCGCGTACGCTCACTACAGGAGAAATTCGAAGCATTCGCTTCTTTGCCCAGTGTGGTGCTCAGCGCGTCGAGAATGGTACGGATGCGGTCACGCTGCTTGCTGGCCTCCATCATGCCCTACTCTTGAAATGAGGACGGGAAGGCGCACGGATTCGGGGCGTCCGCTCTGCGCTGTGGGGCGCTGTTCAGGAACACGTGGCAGCGCAAGATGCAAAAAAAGTGCAGGGATCACGTTGCACCCAGCCTTTGATGAAGACGTTTGCTGGTCCGAGGCCCGATATCAACTCCATGAGCTTGGGCGCTCTGGAGTGTCACTTGCCCACGGGCCAAGATCGCTTCCGAACTCGCAAGCACCTCGGTACCTTCCGCCACCAACTCGTCATTTGCCTCCATCGGTATGGTACACCAAGAACTCCTTCCATCATTCCCACCTTTTATAGGGCAGTAGGCTAAGCCTTCACCAAGTTCAGCGGCAAAAGGGTACACCTCGTGAAGCGCTCAACATTGATTCACATTCGGATTTCGCTTTTGAGCTTGGTTTGATACTTTTGGGCACCTGTGCTGTGTTTAGTATCGTTCCAGCGACGAGGCGCCGCTTCATTTCCTGGTATGCTGGCGGTCGTCCGTGCAAATCTCTTATCCTGCGAACACGCCGTACCAAATGTAGTGTTCTGGGTACCAGTTGTGTTGTTGCACAACTATTGGATAGAAATATCCAGAGGAATATAGACAGCTGGTAGCCGTGCCTCCGGAAACTCTGTGCACCCTTGCTCGGCGTCGTGTCTCGGGACAAGTGAAGCGATGCGATCCCTAATAGCGTCCTGCGTCTCTCGGTGGCATCGATGCGAACAACTCGTCTATGGATTCGTGAGTTTCGGAACGATGTTTGACACCAGAAACGACACCTTCGTCTGCATTGAACCGGGGAACCTCGGCAGGCACAAACCGCAGCTCCATGGAAACCTCAGCTGCGTACGCCTTTTCGCTTTTGTGCGATCGAATGCAATAATGTCCAACAGAGCGACACAAGCATCTGGGATGGAGAAGCCACCAGGAGCGCTTTCATGAAGTATGAGGTGCTGAACGAGCCTGTCCCTACGGTGATTTACGGATGGTCATTCGATGAAATCACCGCTGGCGCTGACGTACACGGAATGCTCACTTGCCACAACCGTAGGGAGAGCGTTATACCCCTGTTCGAGCACTCGTATATATCTACCATTCAACTGTTCACAAAGTCTCATCGATTGAGACGAACATCCGTCCATTACGTCATAAGCGTTCGCGTTTTAGTATGGAATCGATGAAGCCGTGTTCAGCGCGCAACGTGCTCCCGTAAAAGCGCGTGCTTTCTGTGCCCGTCCGTGTCGTTGCTCACCATTCCTATCTCTAGTACAGAAACAGCACATCTTTCGACTTGCTCAGCGATATTCATGAGAGCGCGTATCGAGTGGGACGGAGTGACGACGAGACAGTCATATGGACAGTATTTGAAAGGTTTTGGGTGGCTAACCAACAGAACAAGGTCTAGAAAGCGGCCTCGTCATTCACTTGAACATCGTGGAATACGTGAAATATCTGAGTGAAAACGTTTTGTTGCGTGACTCCAGTGACAGCATCTGGTCTTTCCGCGACATTGCTCTAATTTTCGGGATACACTGCTCTTGCCGACACCTGCGAGAACGACAATCAAGAACAAAAAGTGTGTGCTGGTTCAGGCGTTCGCAAATTTACTACTCTGAGATGAACACAACGCCCTGGTCATCTCTCGATGCGTCTGTAAAAACGCGATTTCTCGCTCCGGAAGGAGCACGCCTCGCACAGCCGTGCGACGCCCCCAAGAACGTTGACAGGAAACGGGATCACTTTCATGACAGCATTCAGCATTCCGTTCCTGCGCGGCAACAACCAGCCAACCTATCAACCTACCTGCTTGCCTGCCTGCCTCGTCGTCACCAATTGGTGCCAGAGCGGTAGACATAGTGCCTGCCGGACATCTGAGCAGGCGCTGCAGTTGCATCCTGATCATCCCCCAGTCCTGCATGAGCGATTGCTTAACGTGTTTCCGGCTCGCTCAGCATTGGCAACCAAGCTACAAGCAGCGCCCATTCGTTCCAGGACGCATCTGCTGACGCTCGCTCTGCCATGGAACGCATATGCACATCGCTCATCGGCATACTGCGCTGCGAATCAGAGGCACGGCATGTACGCCGCTGCATCGCGCTTGCGCTGCCGATACTGGAATCGCCACGCGCTGAACCGATACCGCGCAGCGCCTGACACAGCGCCCCGTACTCCGGAAGCAACGCGCATCGCAACGGGGCCTGCAACCATCGCAAGCATACCGCATGGCCATACAGGACATGCTCCGGAACAAGCGACCAACCCGAACGAACGTATTGTCGGCAGCGCTTGACAAGCAGGCTCCGGTCCGGGACGCCAGCTGCTCCCGCTTCAACCATGCGAAAGAGTCGTTCCTCCAGAGACGCCCCCAGGGATGCGACGCTGGAGCAACACCAACGCTCCAGTCGCTGCAAAGGCGTCTGTCTCTGTGCCCTTGGCATCCTAGACGCAGCTGCACCGACCCAATGCTGGAGAAGCACCAGATCACCCACCCAGAGCGTATGTCGATGTCGATGTCGATGACGCTGGCATGCCGTCTGCAGCACGCTACCCCGACGCACGGCATCCAGCGCATCAACCAGCAACAGCCACAGCTCCGTGCAATCCGCCTCCAGGCACAGGTCTAGTGCAGCGCGCCAAAAGGCGATCTCCTGATCATCACCAACGACGTTTCCTGCGGTCGATGCCTGCACGCATGGGACACGTGTCCCGAATGGAGGCCATGCGTGCGCCGACGATGCGTGCATCCCCATGCTCGCAGTTCGTGCGCTGGATACCCGCCATGCTTCCTCACCAGTACTTGTTGTGAAAGCGTCTTCCGTCGATGGGGAACGGTGTATGCCTTCTGTGGCGAGGTTAGGCGCGACGGTATCATCAGACGCAGCGGGTATCGGGTTTGATGCGTTGCTCCAAGGCGAGCCCGGAAACGCAAGGCCGTAACGAAAAAGCGCGGAAAGCACTGGGTCAGTCGCAAACAACTGCATCCAGTCGGCGCTGGGGGCCTTAGCAAGGTAGCGCAGCGGTAGCGAACGACATGTGAGGCCCTTCACCCCGTGAGGATCCCGCAGATACGATAAATGGCCGGCGTGACGTCGCACGTACACTACGTAGGCCAAATAGGTATTTGCAAGGGGCTCTATTTCTCGCAGAGCTTCCGCGCTCAGCGAAACTGACCAGTAGCGCGGAGAGCGGATCACGAGCTCGTGCCAGCTATCCAAGGCCGGTAGCAAACACGGCGTCCAGTCTCGATAACGAACCGGGACGGCGTTCGATGTTCCGGTGCTGGTGCTGGAGACCATCATGACCTCCACCGGCACCGGGCAAGGTGTACGAGTGTCGGCGTCGAGCGTCACAAAGCAGCGCGCTTCTGCTGCCAGCACGTACAAGTGACGGAGCGCCTGCAGGTGGTACTGGTTATCGCTAGGCGCGGCTGGATATCGAGGATACAGCGCTGCCAACAGGAGCGCCGTCTGCAGACGATGACAACTACTGAGCGCCACTGTTCCACCGCCCAGGAACACAAGACCTAGCGCCAAATGCCGAGCTAGGTGGTTTCCATAGGTTTCACCGCTTGTCGTCCGAGACAAGGTCGACGGCCGCGTCGCGCCTGCCATTCCACTGGACGTCAACCCAGCGACAATTCCAGTGGCACCTCGTCGACAGAGCAGCCGTCGCAAGCGCCGATATACAGAGTGCGTTCCGTGACCCGCGCACACCACGGCCATAGCAATGCTCAGGTTATCAATGCAAGCGAGAAGCCACGGCGCTGCGGAACTGTTGGCACTAGCTGTGTAGCGGAGGTCCACCAGGTCGAGCAGCTTTTCCAGGATGCGTCTCGCTTGCGGATGAGCGGTACCTGCCAGTTTCAGGGCCATCGCCAATGCCTGTCCCGTCAAGGCCAGAAGCATGTAGAGCCGCACGACAGCAGGGCGCTGAGGCGCTCCGCTGCCCAGCAAATCCGCCGAGCTGCGCGCTGCAGACTCGATCTGCTCGGTTTCCGCTGGCACCACAGGATCGTTGGCAACGGCCACATACCACCGGCTGATCCGGCTTGTACCGGCTCCTGTGGCGAGGCCCTGTGAACGAAGCGTCGAATTCTCCTCCCGAGGCTGATCGCCACGGTGCGCAGCTTCTCGATTTCTGTCCGCTTGCCACTGGGCAGCCAATGGTGCCGGCAACTCAGAGAGCATCCAGTCCCAACTGGGACTCATCGCGTCCCAGCGAATGAGTGCTGCTGCAAGCGAGCGCAGCAGCACCAGTTCCGGGCGTAGCAGCCACAAGGCTCGCTGCCCACTGCGCGGCGGACCCAGTTTTCGGGCCATGGCCTCATCGTTGCTGCGCAGGTACCAGACTGTCAGGGCCATCAGGGCACCCACAGCAGCAGCAGAAGCATCACTGGGGATACGCTCGGGATCGAGCAGCGCCTGCGGGCCGCTATCCACGGCGGGCATGCTACTCGTTGTGATTCCCGCGCGGAATAATGATGATGTGGAAAATGATGATGATATTGATAATGATGGTGATGATGCTCTACCTTGTTCTGTTTCTCCTTCTGCTCCGATGCGCACCGATGACCACGAGTCGTCCGCTTCAAGACCACTACGGCTTTCTAGACGAGCGCCACGCCCTAGTGTCCCGGTTACCGAATCGTATCCAGCTCGAGTTGGCAACCTCGTGGTTGCATACGATGCACCATCATCATCACCATTATTATAGTCGTCGTCGTCTTCATTCCCGAGCGCTGTTGGCGCTCCACCTGGAACATTCGCTTGCAACCGCGTCGTCGTCGCACCCAATGCTCCATCCGTTAGACCACTCGCAAGAACACCAGGAACATCATGTGGAACAGGCGCATTAGCAGTAGCAGCATGCGTACCGGGAGCAGCGTTCGTTTCCCCATGAACAGTACCAGCAGTACCACTACGCCTTTCACGACGGGCGACAGGACGACGCTCCTCACGAGCGGGCAATTTAGCCGAGCTCAAACGCATTGGTGCATCGTCTGCATCACCGGCACCGGTACGCGTCACTAGTGCCACCAGACTGCCAACATAGCGTCGAGCGGCTGTCGCGGGACCTGTCACCATGTCGCTGACGTTCGCTCCTGTTGCAGCGCTGCGCTGTTCGCTTGCAGCCTCTGGCAAGCCCACCAGTCCGAGTGCCAGTCCAGCGGCCAGCGCATGCGCCTCACGGTCGCGACGGACACTCCAGGGCCAACCGCTGGTATTGTTGGTGTTGCTGGTGCCGGCTGCCGAGCCTGCGAAACCGCCACTCGCTGCCATCACTCCGGCACCAAGAGAACCGGTAGCAGGTGCAGCTGCACCTGTCGAAGCCGCAGCAGCAATGGAGGATGCCATCGCCACACCGGCTCCGTCGCAGAGTTCCACAAACAAACCCTCGAGGATAGCTTTGCGTCCACTGCAGGCAAACACAAGACCCATTGCCAACACTGCAGCGCTCTGAACCGCTGGTGATACATCCCAGTCGGGTTGTGCAAATCCGGTAGGATTGAAGGCGCGAATATGCAGACCCGCCAGACGCGCAACCAACGCGTGCGCCGTGCCGCCGTACGAAGCCCCGAGTCCCAACAACAACGCGATGCTCGTCAGCTCATGTCGAGGTAACAGGTACGCATACCAGTCGGTAACCTGAAGCTGCCGCAAATGCCCGTGCAGACCCAGAGCCAAAACGAGTCCAGCGTGCGACGCAGTTGGTCGACTCGGCTTCTGTTGACGGATCCAGGCGCGAGTCACAGGGACCTGGGCGGTAAACGCCAGCTCCTGCTGCGCTGGCACACCACTCCGGGTCGCTGACGAGCCCCCAGATGCCTCGGGCGCGCCAGGGACTAGTCGACCGCGGATCCAGGTCGGAAAGCGAGTGCTGCTCGGCCGCAACCGCAGACCTGCTGCTACAGCGTTGTGGAACGCGCCCCATTCAAAGTAAGCAGCTGGTAGTACGCTAGCATCCAACTGGATGGGCGTCGATCGCTGCGGCAGTCGTCCGGAGAGCACCAACGGTGGCACCAGCAGCGTCTTGGTAGAGTCATCCACTGTTCCTGTCCAGGCGGTGAAAGCGCCTCGACCTATCGGGGCGGCGAGCGTGCGCTGTGCACTGGCAAAGAGCTGTGCTTGCACCTCGGATGGGGACAATAATGGCGACGACGACGACGACCCCAGTGTTGTTGTTTCGGTTGTTGCTGCAGTCGCTGCTGGATCAGGGTCGGTGAGCAACACGGGCACTGCCGAACGCAGCAGACGCTGGACTTGCCAGAGTCGTCGATCAGCGCGAAACCGCAACCAGGGTATGATGCTGGTTAGTTCACAGCCATCGAGGTGATTCGGATGGACGACACCACGACCTCCCTGTTGTCGTCGTCGTCGTCGTCGACAACGGCGATCGTGATGATGATGGTGATAATCGTAGCGCTGCGGGATGGCATGCGTCGCAGCACTAGTTCCGGCAGCAGACGGGAACGAGCGTTCACGAGAGGGCCCAGGATCCGCCCTGAACAGCGCTACTGAATTGCCGTCGTCATCGACATCTTCATCATCGATGCCATCGTCATCGTCATCGATGTCGATGTCGTCATCGTCGAGGAACAGCGCCCCTTCGACATCATCATCGTCATCATCGTCATCAGTGCCGTGGTGGTGGCGACGGTGGTGGTGTTCCGGATGCTTCGCTATAGCCAGCGCGGATGCAGAGCTCGACGGCATCCAGGCACGAAGAGGAGCAGCACCATTCGAGCTGCTTTTGGTGAAGGAGGAGGCAGCAACGCGCCCGGGTCCAGCGCTGGATGCATACAGGTCGCTCGTCACCTGAGCAGCAAAGCGCTCAACGGAAGGATTCAGCCACAGTCGAGAGGTGATGTTTGTTCCGAGCGCTTCACGGGACGCTGCCCCGCTCGCACGAGTCGCGCTGAACCAGGTAGCTCCCTGGACACTGCCGGAGCCCGCTCCAGTAGGCGAAAGGCCGCTCTGGAGGCGCAGCATCGCCATCTCTGGTTCGGGGAGCGCTGGGAGCCATCCCGCTACAGCTGCAGCACTAGAAACCACGCCAGCTGCCGCCAGCTCTGAATCAGCATCCGAATTGCCGGCACCAGGATGCACTTGTGGAGCGGGCTCGGAGCGCAGCCCCGCTAAAGCGTGTTGCAGCGGCAGTGCGATGCCCACTGGTAAGCGAGCGAGCGTACGCGCGTCAAGACGTATTCCCTCCTGGTGAAGGCTAACCAGTCCAGCGTCACAGGGATGCTGTAGCGGTACGGAAACCTCTGGTATAGCAGACTGCTCTGCTACAATCGTCTCGGTCGTGGAGTCCAGAGCAGCGGTTCCCACTGGACCAACACCAGCGTGCGCCGGCGACAGCTCAGTTGACGCTCCTGTGGATTCACCGGATGACGTCGATTGTTGACAGTGCTCTAGACGCTCGAAAAAAGTGACAAGTTGCGCAAGTCGAGCGACTGGATTCGGGAACTCATCTGGATGCCGGTCGTTCACGAACTCGCGCACCAGCGGTGCATCCAGTGGATGTCGCTCTGCAGAAAGACCAGAGGGAGCAGTGGAAAGCGTAGAAGCAAACGCGGCGGGAAACTGCGCCAGCATGTCCTTCGCGGGCCTGCAGCACGCTCTATCTGTTTTGTATATGCCCAGTAGTAATGGCAAACGATCCTGCAACCAGTCAAAGATGTTCAACGGTGCTTCCGAATCATCGGTGAGATATAAAGACGACTCCACGCGCTGCTGATTGCTCTGCTGATCGCTAATGCTGGCTACTTCCGCATCCACCGGGAGGTGCAAAGACGTTTCCGCACCTTGTCCATTGTGCTGGTGATCGCATATCCGAGCTTCTTCCGGATCAGCGGTGCTGCTCCTTTCACTAGCCTTGTCCAGAGAGCGTGAATGTCGAAGCAAACTGGATGCTTCCAAGGACTCATCGCTTGAAGCAGGGTGCAATGTTCCCGAAGAAACACTCGAACGCTCACATGATTCCGGCATATCGCGTTGATAGTACTCCCAGTAACGTAGAGCGTTTGCCGCTAGTGCCACTTTTTTCAGGAAATGATTCACGGACAGCAACGCTTGCCAATAGATTTGGTCGAGCTTGAATGCTTCGTAGAGGGTATGAAACGCCACCAGCAGCGATTTCCATGGAACTGTTTCAGGGAGCTGCGCACCAGCGTACTGTAGCTCACAGCGTAGGCGTAGCAGACACTCGCCCGAAGCAGTACCGCTAGGTTCTGGTCCCGTTTCCCAGCAGAATGGGCAGCCTTTGACGCGCTCTGCACGTCTTGTCGTAACGACAGATGAGCCTTGCATTGGTGTTCCGCGGTAGCATCGCGAACAAGGTTGTTCCCTTGTCCTTGCATCGCAGGCAGCACGTCCAGTCGAAGGTGCCTCGGCGGCGGCGGCAGCAGCAGCAGCAGCAGCAGCAGTTGTAGTTGTAGCGGTCTCTGGCGTGCACTTGGCTGCATCGCTTCTAGTTGCTGTTGATGCTTTTGCTGTTCGTTGTTCTGTACTAACGCGCTCGTCACCGCGGTGACTTGCCGCCGACGAGCACGACCGCTCGCTGCCTCGCGTCCAGGGCGCCGACTGTGTCGCCAGTCGGAGTGGCGACAATGAAAGTTGACCTTGTGAATCGTGGATCGCTTCAGAGGCGCTCCCCGTGGCTATATGTTCGCGTTCAGGGACCAGTGACGAGTGCATCTCGTCGAAAGCGCTTGCCGAAATGTCCCAAAGCCAGCCGGGAAGTACGCCAGGCGCTGGTCGCGCGCTTGCCTTTAAAATACTTGTCTTTGGCGAGGACAAGTCCGGCACGCTTCGCCAGTGACTTGCGTCGGTGGGTGCAGCGCCACCGCTTGCCCGCTGTCCAGCATTACGACAACTGCTGCTGCTGCTGCTGCTGCTGCTGCAAAACGTTCCCCGTTCTGGATAGCGCTGATGCATCCACTGGTGTCGATGAGGTTGCTGCAGAGCCCGCCAAAACGCATCCAATTGTTTTTCAAGTTCGTTTGAAGCGGTGCCTTGCGTCTCGGCAGCTTGGGGCCTCCAGACCTCCTCGATGAACGCCAGATAGATTTGCATACTGACTGCCGCAGGCAGCGTTCTTCGACAAGCGCCCCAGAGCTGGTGCATAATCGGAAGCGGCTCACGGAGTAGACGACTCAAACAGACCCGATACTGTTGGCCATCTGCGAGCGTTAACGTGAAACGACACTTCACTGCATTGGCGAGCCAGACTGGTGCAGCTGTCTTACCGAGCAGCCGCAGATACCCGACGGGTTCAGCACCGAACTGGAGACGCAGTCGCGGCTTGGGCGTTCCCCCAAGGAGGACGAGCAGATCCAACATGCCGGGTCGCAAAGCCTCGACCGCCGCCATTGCCTGCACGCCACGTTGAACAAAGACAAGCTCCGCGCTCTTCATCAACCGCGGCTGTGCTGGCGTTGAAAAGAGCTCCAAGCCACGCAGCGTCTCACCAATGAGCAGACACAGCAACGGTGAAATGTGCACGCCTCTTCCTCCGGCACCTGACCAGGGATGTGCGAAGCAGGCCGCTCGAAACGTATCGTTGGGGTCCACCAGACCCTGTTCCCAGACCAAAGCCAGTTGGACCGGCCCGCTATCGAACGTTGTATCGTTCTGCGTATCTCCGGTTGTTCGATCCTGCAGAAGATACACCCGAATGGTGTGGTGCTCGGTCGGCGACGACCTCGACGTTCCGTGACAGCGTTGCGTTACCAGCACTGGATAGCGAGCGTCCGTGAAAACAATGCGTTCCTGGATCTCGAGTTCTTCCAGTTCGTACGGCTCATTCAACGGATGCCACAGCACCAGTTTGCGTCCATCGGCGAGGGCAACTACCAGACCTCGCGGTAGCGCATGAAGCGCCAGTATGACGGCACGAGCGGTCGGCATTGCTTCCATCATCATGGTCGTCATTGGAGGATACAAGCGACTGGAACTTGAGCCAGTCAACCTTTGGGTGCTCTCTCGCTGGACCCCGGTGAGCAGCGTTGACGTCTGCTCTGAAACTGCGGACTTGTGCAAGCCGCTCGGCAGACTCGCAACGCCACGTCGTGGACCGCCTTGACTGAAGCTGTTCGAACCACCCTTCGCGACAAATGAGACACTATGCATCCTTCCGTCCTGCCAGTTGAATACTTGAAGTAGGCGACCAGCATCCTGAACCGAGCACCAGCCGACAAAGGAGCGTGCGCCCTCCGCATCGGCTGCTGGTTGCCAAAGTGACCGCCCCGATCCAGGAGGTAGCTCCTCCGCCGAGGCGTCGCAAAAGTTCGCAAAAGCAGCCCACGCATGCATAGGTCCGAGCCGATCCCCGGCACTTGTCGGTACGTCGGAGCAGCACACTGCACATGCTGGGAAGCTTTGGGCTCCTCGCCGTACCGCGAACGCCTCGGCGTCCGTTTCGAACCAGGTATATCGAACGAGATCCGCAGATCGCCACTGTAAAGCCCAGGTCAAGTCCTTGGAAGCGTCGCCACCTCGGCTACGCTGTTTTGGATGCCAAACAAGCGCCTCTTCCGGTGCGCAGAGGAGGTTCTCCGAGTGGCCGCCTCGCGAGCTGCAGGAAAAGAACCAGACGCGGTCTGCGATGCCGTGCTGGTCCACCAAACGATAGAGGTAGTCACGATCGCTCCCCTGAGACAGTTCCAGGCAACCAGAGGCAGTGACGGACACAGGAATAGTCACATTCGCCATAAAGGCCGGCAGTGCAAGTCCAGCGCAGCGGTCCACCACGAAGAGCAGTTCTGTAGCAGACTGGCGCCGCGCGTTACCGCCGCCAGTGGTGGTGCACGAGTCGCAACGACTCCAACGCGCGGGAAAACGGCTCGGAAGCGCTCGGTCATCAGCACAAAGCTTGTGTTGTGTGCCTGCGGGACTGGTCACCGATGAGCATGGTGCAGAGAACGAGGCTCCGGGAGCGCCTCCTGAGTGTTCTGTGGATGCAGCGGACGAGCGCGGCTTGGAACGATCCAGCAGGAGCGCACAGGTCCTCAGGGACGCTCGTTGCGTCCAGTTTTCTACGAAGCGAGTTTAGGCGAAATGCTGGGACAAGCGCCACGACTTGCAGTGCGGGCAGTACAGTGCACACACAGAGGCACCGCTCTACGGACGGAGACAACCTACGCGTGAACTCCAGGAAACCGGTAGAGGTCACTGGGGAAGCGCTGCGGCTTGGGGCAGGCACACGCGCTTTCCCGGGAGCGGTTCACGCTTCTCTGCAGCAGGATCGTACTTTTTCTGCAGGCACGCAAGCGTCTTCCGCTGGTGGCTCGCAGACGCCTCGTGCAGTTGCCGGTGCAGCAGCGCCAACTGCTGCGAGCGACTCCGATGGTGGAGCTGCTGCTTCGGAGACAGCGCAAGGTACCACACGTGCCAAGTTTGAGCAACAACCGCTTCCGTCGTCAGCGCACAGTGTATCGGGACGAACACTCAGCGGCCTAGCGTATTTGAAAGCCCTTTGGGCTGAATATCCCAAGCGAGGCTTTTGGGGTACCCTGATGGCGATCCGTACCGGACGGGTGGGCATGTATGACACCTGCCTCGTTGGCATCGATGAGTTCGGAAACCGCTACTATGAAAATCGTGCAGCCAGCTACATGCGTGATCGCTGGTGTGAGTACAGGGACGGCAAAAACGCAGACCCAGTCTGTATACCGCCTGAGTGGCACGCGTGGCTCCACCATTTTGTGGATGATCCACCGGTGTCTGCAAACGACAAGTGGGTGCGTCCGTTGTTTGTGAAACCTCCGCATCCGAACTATTCCGGAACATCGCAGGCGTATGCGCCTCGGAATAGTCCCCGGAGCCCCGCGTACATTGGACATCTGGCGACTTCCGTGGTTGAGTCCTGGCAGGCGCAGACTACGCTACAGAGGCAGCGCAAGCCGCGGGCCTTAACTCCTGCCCGTGAAAAGACATCCCCAGAACCGGATCAGCGATTGGACTTGCCTTGAGGTCCAAGAGATTTGTGTCCGGCTCGAAGAAGACTCGAAGAGGATTCGATTCGGGTACCAGAGCCGGATCAGGGAATGCTCTGGTCGACGCCGATTCGAAGGCGGATGTTTTTCAGCAGGAAAACGGAATCTACGAGCGAGGATGGATTGCGAAAAGTGCAGGATCTTTGCGAGCATACTACTGTAGGTTAGGTCTGGTTTCGCTTCGCGAGAATTGGAAGCATGTCTTGTTCGTTGAAAGAGGGAAAAGCGATACGACTCAGTACTGCATGTTGGTTTGTGTAGGCGCGCAAGGCATTTTGATTTTTTGTGGAAATCATGAGCAGTCATGTGCATCATCCGCGTTGTATATGTTTGTGTGTCGAGGTGTGCGCTTGTTTTTCATGCGTGGCTGGAGCAGTCGCGTTGCGCACTCTACCATGGGAGCGTACGCTCATTTACGAGCACCGCTCGAGCAGGAGCAAGCACAAGGCTGCACGCCTCGAAAAATGCTTGCTTGCTCAGTGCGCTACCGGTTCAGCGGCATAACATACTGTATCTTGAGAGCGCTGGCTCTTTTCCGAGCATCACTCAAGCGGGAGCACCAGGATAGCACATGTTCGGTGAGGCATTGGAATGCGTCCATACTTGGCAGTATAATGAGTGCTACGCTGGTCTTTGGCCGAGACACCAGCTAGTTCGAATACTGTGCGTCGTTTGTGGGCGCTGCGCAGGCCGGCCCCCGAGCACGCCTTGTGAAGAGGGGCGTCTGCAAACCTGCGATGCGGATGCAATCGTCAAGCCGCTCGTTATCATGCGTTGTCTAAACGAACACGAGCTTGGACTAGTTGCTTCTGCGCGTAAAATTCCTCTCTCAGTGGAACGCACTGCCGCATAGCTCGCAGCGGCCGATAACGCTTGGTGTTCAGCTGCAGGGCACTGGAACCCTGAGCATCTGTGACAGATCCGCACCTACACCGCAAATGACGTTCAACGTTGTGACGGGACCAGCGATTCCGATACCTGGCGAATCGCGGCAGTGAGCTGATCGGCTGTTAATGGTCTCCCGCGGCACTCCAGGAAATACAGCACCGGTTGTGATTTCGGCTCATGGGTGTAGAATATGGCAGTTACTAGGGTACTGGCTGTGTGCTCCTCCAGGGCACTTGGATCTACAACCAGACGCACGCCTGGGGAATCCAGGTCTTGTGGCGCGTCCGGATGCACAACCAGAAACGTACGCGAATGGAGCCTGGCGATCATGGAGCATATTCTCTCGTCGGTATGGACACCTGTCGAATCGGGTCCTTCGCGTGCATCATGGTGCTCTTGACGCGCTTCGATACAGCGCGGTAGTATCTGCTGAATGCTTTCCAGGAACACATCGTGCAAACTTCCGTCTTCGTCGAGCACGCTAAGTTCCAGTTCCCAGCACCAAACGTCCACATTATACCCGCGAGGCTCAGAGGCGTAGCACTGCTCGATTATCGGATAAACGAGCTTCTCGAGGTATTCAGTTAGTTCCATAGCCTTGTGTGTGCAGCTTCGGCCGTAACACAAACCGGGAACTTGCACCGTTACTCGCCATGTAGTTGCAGGTCGAGCGCTAACGAGCACCTTAGAGTTCCCGTGACTCACTTGGACGACAGGGCACGAGCCCCGCTCACGACTACCGAGAAGCCAGCCACAGCCCCGGGTGGGTCGCGGTTCGTCGACCGTGCGACCGTCGGGTCGGCGTTCACACGTCCAGAGCTCTCGGGTTCGGAAGCCAACGGGGTCGTGCAGCCGATCCATTTCAGCTGTATCATTTACAAGGGTGTCAAAGTCCATAGCGCGCAACTCGCTCTGTTCAAGACTGTCAAGACAAAAACGCCCCATACGAAATGTACGCTAGCAGCGCTGTGCACTGCGTACAAACGTCGCACGTGGATCACTGCAACTTACGGGGTCTTGCATCTCAGTGGTGTTCGATCCACCAAGAGCGTATCGTGAAATGCCTTGTCGGGATTGATAGCAGATGCGTTTTGATGTGCATTCATATGAAGAAGTAAAAAATCTATGGGAAAGGTATAGATATGCAAGTCGCGGGTCCCAGTAGCTTATCACAGTCATCTACCTGAAACGTATGAAATAATTCCCAGTTTGCCGACGACACAACGAAGAGGAGCAAGAGGTAAGCGAGAAATGATGTTTGCCAGACGTAAAAATCACGAGATCGTAATGGCAACGACGATAGAGCGAAGAGGAGCAAGAGATATGCGAGAAATGATGTTTGCCAGACGTAAAACTCACGAGATCGTAATGGCAACGACGATAGAGCGAAGAGGAGCAAGAGATATGCGAGAAATGATGTTTGCCAGACGTAAAACTCACGAGATCGTAATGGCAACGACGATAGAGCGAAGAGGAGCAAGAGATATGCGAGAAATGATGTTTGCCAGACGTAAAACTCACGAGATCGTAATGGCAACGACGATAGAGCGAAGAGGAGCAAGAGATATGCGAGAAATGATGTTTGCCAGACGTAAAACTCACGAGATCGTAATGGAAAAGAGGACACGAATTCTAGGAGCGCTTGCACTGGTCAGTACAACAGCAGCGGCAGTAAGCGCATGGAGTTCGTGAACCGAGACTTTAACGCTGCCATCAGTACCAGACGACATGCGGTGCCGGAGACGAGACCCGAAGAGCTGACGCAATCCAACGTTTTGGGGCAGCCTCTGATGCCCGAATTCTCCAAACAGAAACTGAAATCGATAACAGGCGGCCGGTCGAATGTTACCGGGAAGCGCCCGTAAGTAGGTAGATATATTTACCCCACACGGTCGTGGGGCATTTTTTGGTTACCTGAAGACACCTCAGACATGCCGGCATCATTCCCGGAACAATCTGGTCGACCTGTCCCAGTCTTACGTATAATGGAGCGCCAACTGCGCGGGACTCGGGGAGCGCACCTCTATCAGGTGCCTGCGCAGCGGCAGCGACGTCGACGTCGTCGACCGCTGAGATTTTTTCTCTCTAGACAAAATGTTTCCATGGGCCAGCATTCTCCGATCGTGCGCATTGTTCTTTCTTTTTGTGTTTTTCAGTGCGAGGTGAAGTATCCATCAAACGCCCTACCTCCACGTTACATGACCCATACTTCTTCTCCGATATTCTAGTCGGTTCATACGTCCTATCGTGTGTGCCTAGTAGCTGCTGCAAGCGACAGCAATGGCGCGTATCGTGCCGGTGCTTCGACCGCTGAGATCGGGGGTGCAGCGCGCCGCCGCCGCCGCCGTCGACGCCGCTGCTGCTGACAGCACGTCGCTGGTACAGCGCACAAGACCCATATTTGTACTTGTTTTGCAGTGCACGACTCTGGAGCGCGTTTCGAGGATCTTATCAACGAAAATATCCCTTTGAAAGATATTCTTGCTGGGAAGTACAGAGGGCACGGACTTTGACAAGCTCTTCGCCTTTCCATAGAGACTTCGGGGCTGCTTTATTGGTACAGGACTCACGGAAGGGTGTTGGACGCTTGAGAGCGGCGCGTGCGGCCTCCTTGCTCCAGAACGGTGGAACTGTAGTTGTCCACTCAGCTGAGGTACCCTCCTTCCGATAGGCTTGACGGAGATGGCGTCTGGGTCGAACCTGTTTGCCGTCCTAAGTGACGAGACCGAAGGATCGCAGACAGAGGCTGCCCGCGCCAGCGAATCCAAGGAGAAGCGGCCTGGGGACCCGCCGAGCAGTGCCCGTGGCTCTGCCCAGAAGCACTTTGGGTTCGATCGACGATCAGGCACTGGACGTGGCCGTGAGGTTGCGAAAAAAGGTGCTGGAGGCAAGTATACTTTCGGTTCAGTGGAGGAGGACGTGCGTGACGCTCTGAGCGGTGTCAGGATTGCCTCCGAGTCAGATGCTGCTGCAGCGGACGGCACAGAAAAAGACGACGTGAACCACGTTGGTGAAAGCAAGAGCAGTGAAGGTGCCCTTCTTAGTCTGGAGGAGTATCAGCAGCGTTTAGAGCGGGAGCGAGCAGAGCTCTCGAACAAATTGATGGCAAGCAAAGGACCCCGTCGTCCAGCAGAGGAGCAGGGCGATGAAGTCTTTCGCAATGCCAAGCGCCTAGATAAGAACGGCGTTGAAGTGGATGCGGACTCACAGGACGGACTCCTGGGGAGCATAAGCCTCAAGGAGAAGAAAACGCGTGCTGCCAATCGCAGCAGTGGAAAAGGCAAGCGGGATACCGGAAAGGAGAATCTTGCAGCGGAGTTCTTCACGGCTCCGCCGCGCGTGAACCGCGGCCATCGAGCGTCCGGTGACGTCGTCGAAGAGGATAATCCCTTAAGAGCGAAGAGATCTACTGGCACAGAGGCAGCTGGACCCAGTCGCGGTCGTGGACGTGGTCGCGGCGGTGGAAGTCGAGGGTTCCGCGGGGCGGGCGCCCGACACCCGACAGCGCCACATGCGTCAGAAAGCGCAGTCAGGGACAAACATAATGCATCTGATAACCATGAAACCCAAGAGCCGAATCGAGGTGTGTCAAGTCGACAACAACGTACGCGTGGCGGTTCTCGCACTGGCGCTGCGCCCGATAGCGGTCGTTTTCGTGGGCGCGGACGAGGTGGGGCTGCTTCTGTAACCGCACCACGCCCTCGTGCCGCCATTAACACCACAGATGATGCTGCTTTTCCATCGTTGGGAGCTTGATCGAACACCTGCATTTGAGGCGAGAGCGGGCTGCGGGCATCCAGCCGCCTGCTTCGGTCTCACAGCGGGCCTCGCCTGGCGACACAGGCGGTGCTCTGGATGAATCGAAAGCTCTACGGTAGAGCGATGTGAAACGCTACGTGCAACCGTGGCTGTTTTATAGGTAAACCGAAGGATATGTGGTGTTGATGCGTTGTGTATGGTGTCCGGTGCGCTGCTGCGGTGCAGGTCTACGTCAGCGCAGTCGCCAAAAGGAGCATGCGCAGCGGTTCATAGACGTTGTCTGTGAAGCGCTTCACTAAAGAGCAGGGTTTTTGCGATATAGGCTCTCTTTACACGAACCACAAACTAGGCAAGTCGGCCCTGGCTGGCGAGCACTTGCACCGGAGCATGCTCCAATTCAGGCAGTGCCGCAGACAAGGCTTCCAAGCCGATCGTGACTTGCTCGCAGCGCTGCATACGACGCGGGATGCACTGCGACCCAGGGCCTCGCGGGAAACCCGATGACCCAGCTCACATCCAGCATCGACGAAACGCGCGGAAAACAGAAGCGGTGAACCTGAGGCGCTTTCACACGGGGCGCGTTGCCTCCGCAACGAAATCCTCGATTGGTGCTGTGCTCGTTTCTCCGCTGATCTGGTCCGGTGTTTCTCGATAGTCGCCCCAGTCAATACTTTCCCGGAGCATGCAGAGCAGACTAGTGCGGAGATGTCAACTTATTCTGTCATGCGAGCATATTCGGGTTGCTGTGAAGCGGCTCGAACGCACATCGCACTGCTCGTGGATTGCGATTTGCTTCGTTTTCTGAAAACACGCGCAAGAGCTAAGCGCTCTACACATACGCGTCTGCGATCTAGTAGTTCAAGCGACGGCAATCAGGTACGGTGGATATCTCTATCTCGAGACATCGTTGCAGCTGAGGCCTAGAACAGCTGACGCAGCTAGGATGCAGATTCCTTCGAGTTGCGCCTCGCTTCAATGTTCTGTATTCGACACAAGCGTTGCAAAGCCATCGGACAACCAGCGCAACGAACAAGCACTTATTTCCCAGTGCGACCTCGGGTCTCTGTTGTCTGGTCCGTCTCTGCGGTGGCGGGAGGTGCTTCCTTCGAAGGTTCTCGCTGCTGCTCGCTCCGCTCAATCAGGTACCGAATCGTGAAAAATGAAACCAGTGGTACCGTAAATACCAAAAAAGCTGTCTCATTATCAGCTTTTAGTAACTTTAATTCATCGACTTTCAAAGTGATGGTCGATAACACCGCCGAGATGCCGAGCACAAACAGCAGCGAGCGCGTTAGTGAACGATCCAGGAACAGGAAACCCACGTACCCCACGAGAAAGGCAATCGTCGGTGCCGAGTCCAGATAAAACCACTTCGAGTCCGCAAACCCAAGTCCAGTAAGCGGCGGCCCCAGGTACAATGACAAAGGTATTAACCCCAGGATAAACGTAGTTGAGAAGGACAGGTAGAGTAGAAGCGATCTCACTTTGGAACGCTCTCGACTTTGGTTGCGTTTCGCGGTATCGTGCGGCTCCGGTGCAACGCCATTGCCCAGGTCGTTTGCTGACTTGAGATGCGCTCTTCGTTCCCGCGATGTCTCGTGTCCTCGTCGCTGATCACCGTGGTCGCTCATAGCGCGGAGTTGCGAGCAAGGACGCACGCCGACGCCGTTCTCCCGTTTCCGTGTGCTGTGCGCTCGACTTGCTAGCCAGCGCCGCTTGTGCGCAGGTTGACACGCCCTGCACGCACTGGACGACGACCTCGAGACCAAAGCCGCCTGTAAGCGGCCGGAGCAGTTACGTTGCACGAGCGAATTGAGCGTAGGCGCTCCTGAGCTGCCCTGGAAAAGCACAAGCGGCTTCAAGTGGAGCGCCATGAGCGTGAGAGCGCTTAATTGGTTCACAGCAAACCAAACGTTCGTTGATATGGGCTAGCGATGACGCTGTCCTTAACCAGAAAAATAAAGCAAGCTACGAAAAGACTGACGTTCCAACACCAACAACAGCAACAACAACAACAACAACAACGCAACGGTAGCGAAGCGCTCGTGGCTCGCCTTCGTGGGCATCCCCCGAGTACGCGATCGCAGAGCGCTGCTTCTCATAACCGGTGCGCGTGCCGCAGCAGCCGCCCTTTTGGTGGCTGCTGGGAGCGCCTGTGCGGAGAAGCAGCAGCAGCAGCAGCAGCAGCAGCAGCAGTAGCGCTGTTGCTGTGTCTATGGCCTCTCAGGGCACTGAAACTGCCAATGAAACGCATTTGACGACGCGCCAGACCTCGACAATGCACTGGCACGTCTGGCGAACTGAGGTGGAGCGACTGCGACGACTGGTCAAGGAGCCGGCGCTCAAGTGGCCGAAGCTGTTGGTGCTCGACCTCAACGGATTGTTGGTTTGGCGGACGCCGTTGCGACCTCGCCCCGGGCAACGCGATGGTCCCATCGGGGCTTGCTATCAACGGCAGCCGGATGTGGTGACTAAGCGTTTCTGCATTTGGCGCCGACCTGGAGCGGTATCCTTTATGCGGTACGTTTTGGCTTGGTTCCACGTCGGGATATGGTCGACCGCCCAGCTGCCGAACGTGGAGGATATTTTGGCAACGCTTCTCACAGCAGAGCAAAGACGTGAGCTGGTATTCGTTATGGACCAAAAAGACTGCACCAAGGTCAGCCGGGCGTATGCCCCGGGCTCTTCCAGCAAACCGCTGATGTTGAAGGACCTGGAACGCCTGTGGAGTCGATATCAGGGTTTCTACCATATGGATAACACGTTGCTCATCGACGATGATCCCTACAAAGCGAGCGTCAACCCAGTATATACGAGCGTGCACCCGTCTCCATGGAAAGATCCCGATGTGCAGGGCACGGACACGTTTCTGTGCGAAGGGGGACGCTTTCGTGCGTTTCTGGAAGCGCTGCTCCACCATGACGGCAGCGTACGTACGTTCGTCGCCAACCAGCAGATCATACCCGTAGAGCAAACGAGCAACGATGATGAACGAGGCGCTACCAATGATGCCCAGCTGCTGAGCGATACCGGTGCAGTGAGCACAAGTCTCGGTTCCAGAGCTGGGTTCGATCAGGAGCTGAGCACTGCCGATCCCAACCGATCGACTGGTGCCCAGTCTGTGACGGCAAAGTGTTTCGTGGGCGCACCAGCATGCGCACATGATGGTGAATCGAAGACCAGTGAGCCAAGCGCTCGGGATGATATCCTTTCAACGTCAACGGGATTGGACGGCCCCGAGAAAGACGCACCCGCCAAAACAGCGTCCATGGATGCACTGGTGCCCTCGTTTTCGAATGAGCTTTCACGATTGCGTATCCATGACAAAAATGAGGATGTTGGGGATGATACACGAATTCATGCGCAAGCGAATGGGCTAGCGGCATGCTCGTGCTCGATGCCATCGGTCTCGAGTACACCAGCGGATGCCGATAAAACCAGCCGGCGTGACTCTGGGGAGACTTCACCAAACGCTGGAGCAGCGTCGCGCTAGGCGACGAGCGCGAGTTTGGCGAAACCTGGTGCCGGCAGGCTTGCACGGAGACCCGCGTCTGCCCAGCGTCCCGGGTCGCAGCACAGCTGGGCAGCGCGGTCCACAAGTTGCGCAACCGAAACGGGTGCGTGTGCCCCAAGCAGAACGCCGGCATCGGCCGAGGCAAGCGCCGCTTCCCTGACGCGAAGGTCGGCACTTGACGCGCGGCGGAAAAAGGCTTGCGCGGTGACGCCTAGCTGTCTCTGCATACCCGGTGCCGGGCTCGGAGCATAGCATCCGACTGAGTCTGACTCGCAGCAGCAGCAGCAGCAGCAGCAGCAGCAGCAGCAGCGTGTGGAATGCGCGCTGCAAACGTGTGTTGTTGATCGCTCGGAATCGATGCTGTGCTCGGGAGCTATGCCATTGTCGGACACGGAGCAGGGCACCAGTTTGCCCAGAGCAGCACGCACGACCTCGTTGCTCCACAACGAGAACAGCACGCTGCGACGAAGCACTCGGAGCGCCACGCGCTGACATCGCTCATGAGCGCTGCCAGAGGCCGTGAGCGCCTGGCGCAGTGCCCGCATCACCAACGCTACAGCTTCGCAGCGGACTCGGTACCATTGGTACCCAGGAGACGCGCAGAGAACATTGCGCTCCCACAAAAAGGCGCTCGCTTTCGGAGCCACGCCCCGCAGGCCGAGTCGAACGGCGACGCCTCGCGGCGTCCATCGGCTTTGAAGGCCGAGCCCGGCACCCGCCAGAGATCAGCGGGGCGTAGAGCGGGGCACCGCGAATCATATGTAAAGGCGTGTGGCGATGCCGTGCACGAGATCGGAACTGTAAATAATGGTCGTTTTCTGGAATTTATTAGATATTGCGGACAAATCAGGATGAATAATGCCAAGCACATGCGCGCAACCCATCTCACCACTGCATCGTTTTTGACGTAGTCGCGAAAACGCGTCTTTGCCACCTGAGGGGCCGGTGACGCGCCCTCGTGGACAGGGCGCCGAAGCAAACCCCGTCTGCCCCTGCGTGGGAACGAGTGCTTGTGCAGCGCACTCGTTCCTCGTACACAGATAAGGCTGTTTGTGAGGCCTACCTCAGACCCAGTGCTGTGCGTTGCTGCCAGTGCGTCACGCGCTGTTCACTGTTCGAAGCGCGCGGGTGCCGTTGCTCACCATAGAAGCGAGACGAGGGCGGGTGCGTGGACTGCACCCAACCACATGTATATAGTCTGCGTGCACCAACGAAGGACGCAACCGAGGCGGTGGTTCGTGCTGCGTGCCAGCACGCCTCAGGTTGCAACGGATAACTTGAAGGTTGATACGCAGCCTCGCCGAACGTCAGCCGCCCGGGCGGTTGCAACGCAGCCGTGTCTGGTTCTGCCTGGTTTGGGAAACGCTGCCAGCGACTACGCGGAACTGCTTGGTCTGTTACCCGCGGGGTCACTGGTTGTACCAGTTGCTCGCTATGACTGGTTTCGAAACGCCCGGGGCCTGATGTTGCCAGCGTACTGGCGGGGTACGCTCAAGCCTCGGCAAGTTATGGACTGGTATTTCGAACGACTAGAACGAACGCTATTGCAGTTGAGCTACGCTTTTGGCGACGAGACCGGTGACTGGGGTGTGAATCTGATCGGACACTCTGCCGGTGGCTGGTTGGCACGACTCTACGTGAGTGAGTTCGCCAGCGACGACCTTCGGAAGCGCGTACGCACTGTCGTCACGTTGGGCACACCAAACCTGGCACCACCAGCTGGTGTATTCGACCAAACCAGGGGTATTCTTGCGTATTTGGAGACACAGTATTCGTGGAAGCACCGCCAACATTCCGGTGTTCGCTACACGTGTGTTGGATCCAAAGCGGTCCGCGGGCGGCTCTGGTCGAGCAACCTTGAGGAAATGATCGCTTATGCCTCTTACTGGCCAGTGTGCGGTCGCGGGCGTGTGGCTGGTGATGGGATTGTGCCAGCGTGTTCCTCGTTTATGCGCGGGGCTCAGGCTATTCTCCTAGCGGATGCGAGGCACTCGCCGTTGACGGACCCTAAAAACTGGTACGGGTCACCGCATCACTTCGAATGCTGGGCGAGCGCTTTGGTCTGAGATCCCTCGGTACGCGCTGATGCTGAGCGCTGTGGTGCATAGCTCGAGGGTGCTCGGGTGAGAGAAAGCAAAAGCAACCGCGTCTGGGCCTATGGCAGAGCTTCGAATCCCGGTTAGAGACACCGAACCCGCAACGAGGCAGCGGTTCATTGCCAGCACATGCCGCACGCTCGCGTGGCATGCCCCAAACGAGCAGTCCAAGGCAGCAGCATGCGCCATATCAGGTGCTCAACATTTGCATAAACGATGGTCACCAACGATGGTGCGGCAAGTGCCCGCACGCTCCTGCAGTGATCTTCCATGCTTCCAGGAGCTGCCAGTGCGTGACGAGTCCGCTCGAAGGCCTGCACGGCGAACAGCCACGATACACACCTGCCTCTCTCCCGCTCTCTCTGAGCGGAGCGCATTGCCTATCTCTATTGAGTACGGCAGCGATTCGGATGCACTGGAGGATTCTTTTCAAAAGAAGTGCTACTTTTGGCCGCATCAGGATCACTTAGGGACCCGTCCGGACTAGCCGCGGCAGCTTCACCACAAAGAACGTCAAGGAAACTTGCTATTTCTTCCGCGCTGGGGCGCTTTTCTGGATCCAGATCCCAGCAGCGTTCAATCAGTGCCACGACAGAGGCCGGCACCTTGTCACTCGTCTTGACGAGACGTGGCCGCAAATTTTTCGACACGACTGCCGTCGCAGTCTGCACTGGCGTGAGATAGGTGTCCTCGTATGGCATTATGCCAGTCAGCAGCTCGTTGAAAAGAATCCCATAACTGTAAATATCTGCGCGACCGTCGTAGCGCTCACCGCGAATCACCTCCGGTGCCATGAAGCGATACGTCCCCGTCAGCGCCGTCATGACAGCCTCGCTATCGCCCTGCGTTCGGCTTACCCCAAAGTCGGAAAGTTTCGCAACGCGTGCGGGTCGGTCCACGAGCACATTGCTCGACTTGAGGTCGCGGTGGATGAGATCGTGTGCGTGAATGTACGCCAAGGCTCGGGCGACGTCGCGCATGATTCGATACACAAGTTGGGGTCGTCGTGAAACCCACTTACGACGTCTGGAGATGGGCCCTCCTTCAAACAGTTCCATCACGAGAAACTTGCTCCCATCAGACGGGCGTACACCCCAACCGTAGTAGTTGAGAATATTGGGGTGCCAGTCCAGTTTACCAAGCACAACCTCCAACTCTGTCCGAAACGTATACTGCGTCTCGCGCCTAGCGTCAGCGTTTAACATTTTCACCGCAACCGGCCGCTTTTCGTAGGTACCCTCGTACACGATGGTCTCCGTGCCGCGACCCAGCTCGTTCCCAAGCGTGATGGCTTCCCACGGAATCTGCTTCTGTTTAAGCCGCTCCCTCGGAGATAACTGGACTGCTTCAATATCGTCTGTCATGAAATCAAAAGCACACGTCACACAACACAAGTGATCGATTGCTGGAAACCGCTGGAAAGAAGCACAACCGCAACCCTAGACATCGACAAACGCTAACGTTGGCGGCTGGCGAAGCGGTGCAGCGCGCAACGGATCGCGCTGCGCTGCATCCAACGTTGCGCGATAGGCGTGTCGATTGACGGAGAGTTTTTTATTGGACAACATGTGTACAGTCGCGAGCTGCGCCCTCAGACTGCGCGCCTGATCGCAAGCCTCGCTGGAGCGTCCATCGTTCCACGCCCTACTTCCAAGTTGTATAACCCATGCTTCGTTTCGACTGATGGATGATGACGCGCTACAGCGCTGTCGAGCAGCAGCTGGGGATAGATTGCAGCAGGCGCAGCACAGCGCCGGACGACGCATAGGCAGGTGCACGTGCGCGACGCGCTTTGGCAAGCCGATCGATGGGCCAGCGGCATGATGCGAACCATACCGAGTATGGGTTGTATCAAAAATGAAGGAGCATTGGGGAATCGAACACGAAGTTTGGTGCACCGGTGGGTGCTTTTCCGATCGCTGATACCCAGCGTGTCTGCATCGTCGCCGTTCAGAAATAAACGTTCTGTGCAAAAAAGGACAGCGCGCGCGTATCTTTCGGCCCGGAGTCGATGGCGCGTTGAAGCGTTGCTGGATGGACTCGGATATTCTCTCTGCTTGCTGACAGAGATCGCATACCGAGGGGAATCTGTGTAGCGTCACCGATCCCAGAGCAGTGGCGATATGGACGATGAACGCTGTTCGGGTATGGGCGAGCCACGTCTATGTCTGCTTTGTCCATATCCAGGCGTGTTGGGCGCATGCACGTGTGGCGACCTGTGCAACCGAGTCGGGATGAGCGCATCGGAGCTAAGACCGAGGTTTTAGCGAACTGCGTCTTTTGCTCTAACGGGATGAAAATGAAAACTGGGAAAGGTTCACGTGTATTTAACTAGAGTTCCTTCGGCACAAACAATCCAGCGGATCGGACGAATCTGCCGTGATTATGCTACGCGCGCATCTGCAGTAGTGCATGCTGCCACGATACCTCGTCAGCTCATGCTATCGGAGTATTTCTGGAACTAGGAGTATACAGCCACCGCGTAGACGTCAACCAGGCTATTGTGGTCTGGCAATGGATTGTTACGCGCCCCGGCCAGCTGCTAGTCTATCTGTGCGGTTCGCTGGATCCCAGAATAACGAAGAGACACGGCCTCGAATCGGATGAACAAGGCCTAGCTTCCGCGTTCGAAAATGCGGCTCAAAGGTATTCGGGCCTTGTAGGGCAAATGCTGTGCAGGTGCGTCCCGTGTCACGCCGAGCATCAAAAATAAGCGCAGCAACCGGCGGGCGGTTCTCCAATCGTTCCAGCTTGTATTCATATCAGGGAAACATCGCTCTGGATACCGAGATATGCAGAAGCTTATGTAGAGTCACTATGTTTTCTTCTCTGGTCTCTGAGAGCAGTGATGTATTCGGGGAAGGTCTGATTCGAATCGTCGATCTCACTCGCTTAAAACCGGCACGCAGCCCACGTCCGGTGCTCCGCACAGCGCCCGCCGCCTTGCATCGTGCGCGTTACCCAACAGCGCCCTGCACGACTGCGGGAAAGCGCTGAGCCTCGTGCTCGTCGAGTTGTGCTGCACTGTTCACGCGTCGTCGACTACATCGGTTATATGTGCGCTGATCGTGGTTCCGGTCCACGAAGGCTGGGTTGTTAGCGAAGAACGAACTTGTGATCCTGGGATGATCCCTGTCCTGCGCGTCGCCACGCTTGCGGCACTCGCCAGGCACCTGCGACCTCGACAACGTCTACTTGGTTTCGACTTTTGTGGGCCCGCTGTCCTGGTCGCAGCTTCAGATAGAGAACGCACGCAGGCGGCACCGTTTGGTGTGTTTTCACGCTCTACCGATGGAGTCCAGGCGGACGCGACGTTGCTCAATCAGGTATTCGAGCAGGCACGCGAGTTTGACGCACACGGGCAAGTGAATATCGGGGCGATTGTCGTGAACGTTGACAGCGCGCCTCAAGACGAAAACGTTTGCATCGTACCGAGTCCTCCACCGGCGCTTGCTGAATATGTGGAAGCGCTCGCACGGAGCCTGGATAAAGCCGTGGATACCGATGAAGAGCGCGCCCAAGGACTCGCTATTGTCTACTGGAACCAAGCGCACGTACTGCGAACGGTGCGCGCACAGGTGCAGGACCTCCGAGGTGTCATACACGAGCTCGAATTGTATCCGGAAAGAGAAAAGATCAGTGCAGCAGAGAATAACATGGAAAAACCGGAACCCTTCCTGCGACTGTCGCTTCTGCGGAGAATGCTGTTTGGGAACGGCGAAGGCATTCCTTCGAGACGACTGCGCAAAGCGCTTCATCGCAGGGAACGCAGACATCCAGGAAGCTACCATGATCCAAAACGTGAGGAAAAAGAGGCTTTTGCTCGAACGTTCGGAGAGGAGCATCTCGCCGTCCATGAGATTTTAGTGGATGTAATCGAGGAGCTGCGCCAATTTTCACGTGAAGATTCATCAGAGGGAGCAAGTGTAGAGAACACAAGGGAGTCGACTATGGTGCCTTAAGGAGGCGAATTCAGAGCATGAGCAGCGATTACCAGTATTTGCTGTCGTCGAACGCATGTGAAACGCTGGAAATCGTAGCGCAGTCGGTGTCTGGCACGGGACGGCATTCGGCAATACGGTTTCAGATTCCAGAGCGCACGTCCTCAGGGCCGGTAATGTACGCTCGCCCAATATATCAGGCACACGAGCTCGAGTTGAACGCATTCGAGCTCTCGACACGCCTCTCCGTGTCTACGCAAACGTACCCGGAAAGGAGGCATACGCAGTACAAGGCATCGTATAGACGAACGCGGCAGTATGGCGTGTACCCATATCAGATGAAAAAGGAGCTCTGGAACTGCACGCCAGCTTCCTACGTCTCGATTTTATTCCGAAGTTGAGTTTAGATGCACATCCTCGACATTCAACGTGAAGCAATACGCACTTACTAATGCATTCGCAGTCCTAGGATCCTGGGTCATCTATTCGGAGCGAATCGTTCGCTTCTGTGCCGTTCCTCATGGTCACGTCACCGGAATCAAGAGGATTCGCAACACCCTCGAAAAAGAACGCCCTATATACCAGATATCGTTGCCCAGTGCACACGTCCAAACCCCGATTCCTATGCTGTCCGTTCGTGTGCAGCATGCTGCAACCGTGCATGCTTCAAGTTTTCTAGCGTGCGGTTGCAAGGCAACTCGTGGGCCCAGCAAGGCGCCCAGCTGCATGGACGCGGTAAACTGCGCGATGGCGTCCCTCGGGGACTCGTTCACGAGCTCGTGTCCAAAGTCCACTGAAACTCTCAAGTCAAGTAATCGATGCCTCTCGACAGAGAAACGCTCCTCGCTTTGCGGCCAACGACGAGACCGCGCTCGACAGCAGCAATCGAGCCATGGCAGGGTATGTTCGTGGCGGCTCCGTTGTGTCCTGTTCGCATGAACAAGTGCCTTGGACTGGGGCTTGCGTCACCGCAGCGATCGCTTCAGGGGAAGGGCGCGTCACCGCTTTGCTCGAAGCGAGCGTAGACGGATCGAGATGCGTCGACATGATCTCCAGCCTGGCTCTCCCTCGTGTACTTGTTGCATCATGATCGGCGTAGCGCTGCGAGAATCCTCTACCAAATGGGGCAGCGTGCACCTGCGCATTCACCCGACAGAAGACGCGAGGACGGCATCGCTCAGAACTCTCCAGGTATCTTGGGGCACGGCAGCGAGCGCGGAAATGGAGCAGGGCATCCAGAGCAGCGCCTCCTGTAACCGGATCATGGGCATCTACCGAGATACGAAGCAAACGTTTACGCGCCGCAGGGCGGCGCTCGTCGGAAGACGTATGCTAGGCATCTGGAAACACCTGACCAGAGCCGTTCCACGGCTCTGCGCGTATCGCACCGAGCCGCCAGAGCGACACGATGGGAGCGGCAAGCGCCATAGAGATCTCAGGTACCAGCTGTGCAAGCGGTACGCGAGTCAGACCACGGAATCAGCCTGGTTGGGGCTTGGATGCTATCACCAGCATCCTTCGACTGCTCGTATCGAGATCAGGGGGACAGGAGAGCCTGGCGTATGGAAAGTCAGACACCAGAGACGGGCAAAGCAAGCGGACTCGGAAAGAGCCCGCCACGACCTATGTCGATTTCAGTGGAAAGAGGCCCAATGCATGGAGTACACGCCCGTGTTCGCTGACCTATTCCATTGTATTCTTACGCGGGTAAAGTGAGAGCATTGCGTAAGCGCATGCGCACACTTATACACACACAAACGCAAACATACATGCAAAGACTCCCAGTCGCATGCATACACACAAACCAGCTCATGGCCATTGTTCCGACCTATGCACATGAACTACAGCTGCAACAGCCAACAACTGGAAACCCGGTACACAGGTTCACGAGGCGTGCCGCTGGACCAGGTTTTGAAACCGATCGTTAGCGCTTCGTTTTTCGCCGCGCACCTGAACCCGGCTGGTTCGGTGTCCCTGCTTGATTCTTCGCGGAGGGAACAGTTGCCTGCGCCGTTTTCGCGAGTTTCTGTGCCTTTTGGCCACTTCCGGTTGCAGCTTGCGTGCGCCGCAGTTCCTGCAGCGCTTTCGCGATCGCACGCAAAACTGCTTTTCGCTTTGCCGTGTGCGTCAAAGCGCCGTCATCGCTAGGCTCCTCTGGAAGCTGAACTTTCACTCTCCCTGCCACAAAAAAATCACGAGGATGCTTCTTATCAGGCTCCAAGAGAGCTGGGAAACTCAGCTTCTCCTGACACACGCGAAAAACCTCCGCGGCTTCCGGTGCCGAAACCGCTGAGCGCCTCGACACGCGTCGACCATCGGCCCTGCTCCGTTCTTTCGAGAAATAGATTGGGTACACCAAGATCCACTGACCACTGCCTGGAGCTGGTGCGGTGTCAACCATGCCGCTGAGGCGTGAACACTTGGCTGTGCAACGCTCTCAAGAACGTGCAGGTGAGCAGGCACCCTCAAGCTGGACATCGTGCGCTCGGAACGATCAAGAGCGTCGGCCCGCATCCTCCACGCTCATGAACGAGATGCTTTGGGTCAGTTTGAAGCTAGCAACAGCGCATAACGATACGGTTGAGCTTGTTTTCTTTTAGAACTAGATATGGCTGCTACGTCAACCTTTCCTGGTACTGGCTGGTGTTTGCAACCAGGTCGCCGTTTGAGCACAGCGTTCACGCACGACGGTGGTGTGCTAGTGCAGCTCCGGTCTGTGAGGCGGCAGTGCACGTGCAGCGTTCGTGCGGCTCTCGTGACGCCTCCAGGAGGCACGCCCAGCTGGAGGCCTGCCATGCTGCGTCTTTCCATGCAAGGCGCACAGGATAGCGGTGCGACAACGTCCGGTTTGTACGGAAACAACGAACAGACGCGTAGTGTGAGAGCGCCCCTGCGAGACGCTGCGCCCTACAGCGCTGTCTGTGAACTTGCCGCCGAAGCGGGGCAGTTGACGGACGCCGAGCTGCAGAGACGCCTTGAGAGCATCGCGGGTGTGCCTGCCGTGTTCCCCGAGCCGGAAAAACCGCTCGATATCCCCAATGCGCTGGAGTTTTTCCGGCTGCGCACTGGAGAGTGGCTCTCCAAACGAGTCACGCAGCACATGGCCTTCCGTCGACAGGAGAGCGGCGAGTCGCGCATTACCGCGCAGTTGCTGGAGGCAAACGACGAACGTGTCAAGCAACTGTGCGCCCTACACAACTTTGCGGAAGACGCTGCTATGGGTGGCTGCCTCGTCACCTGGCGAGCGACCCTGCAGTGGGACCAGGAAGGCGACGCCCATACCGGCGAGGCGATATTCGCGCTCGTTGCCCAGCCGGGCTCCAACGGACGGTGCGGTAAGATACTCAGGGACCGTGGTTACGCTGAAGTGGTCCCGATAACCGGCGACTTTTACATGGATGAGGAAGATGCGCTGTATTTGGTGACACCGTACGAAGGAGGAGAAGTTTCCGAAAAGTTCGTGTTTGCCGAGCGCGATATTTTGTATCGCTTTTCCACAGTCAAACGAATGGGCGGCTTCAGTAACGCCACGTATGCAGTAGAGACACGAATTCCTTACACGGGAAACGGCGAGGTTTTGGACACGTCATCCATTGAGGACGATGACATTAGTATTTTTGGCCTGTCATCTGTTGATGCGCAGCAATCGCGACAGGAAGAAGACAGTAGACTTCGTCGATTTGGCTCGCTGCGAGGTCGAATGGGCGACCGATGGGAGAGTCCTCTCGGTAAGAAAATCGAAATCGATGAGAGCAAGTTACCACCTTCGCTGCGATCGTCTCCGCAGCCGCCATCGTCCTCATCGCCCAGTACTGACGCGGATTAAGCGCTGCGCCCTAAAAAGACGATTCTTCCCAACAACGCCAGCTGTGACATCGTTCGAAGTGATACATAGTTGATATGCGCATCGATGGACATGCATCTGTCCTTCTCCGCATGCTGTTGCTTTGTTTTTTTTTTTGATTCTGGAGCAACTTGCAGCATCACGCGGTACCGCTGATCGAAAAAGAAACCCATGCTCAGATCATCGATTGATCCGTGGACACCCGACGAGTGGTAGCGTGCGGCAGCACAGGTTTCCGCCGTTCCACACACCTGGACGGTGGCTGATCTGCTCCGCCTTAAAAACACGAACGCTGATTCCGGGCAAGTCTTTAATTCGCTGCGTTTTTGTGGTGCTTGTGATAAGACTTGTAACCGCAGACGCTCAGGACGCGGAGTGTGAGCGTGATCATTGTTGCGGTGGGTTCTGTGCTGGATTGCGGGTCGCGCCTTGTCGTGGCAAGCTACCATAACAGAAAAAAAATGCAAGATAGCGAGCTTCCTAGCATGTTTCGTGCATCATGTACACTGCGCCTCGTAAGCAACATGAAGATGGTACCATTTATGTTGTTATACAGGGAGCAGTGAATTCTGGAGCATCTGTTCGAGGACACACCATTTCTTTTTTCTCTTTTTTTGAAGGTATACAGCTCAAGGCATGGATCCTGTAGTTTAGAGATAGCTCGCGAAAAACTTGGTGCTGTGACTACCAGCATGCGAAGAACGGCCGTGCTCGTACAAGTCAGGTATTCTCTGGATAGCTGGTGGATGAAGTGCCCCTCAAAAAGTCCTCATGCTCTACGTCATGCACCCGAAACAGAACATATGAACCTTTGTCTACATAATTGCCTCCTCGTCCATCCATACCACTCCATACGTCGTCTAAGATGAATTTGCGAAGAATCCGCATCATACCAAATTTCCGTACCTTGGATACGAACGAGGATGAAGAGGTATCGATGGCGAAAAACGAAAACGTGTTTCTGCAGGAAACCTCAGCCCATGGAGCTACACGCGATCGATTTGGAACTAGATCGCGAAAGCTTATGATAGGCGGAACGGATGCTTGTCTCGATCAATGAGACCTCATTCGCGAAAAATACTAGAACTGGATATGAGCCAGGAAGAAGTGGGAAATTGCTGGTCTCAAAGGAGCGATACCCGTTGATTCCAACAGAATCAGCCGTAGCGGCGATTCAATCATGCGGGCGCCAACAAATCGACGAACGGAAAGAGTCGTTCAACACCTCATCCCCTATCGATGCAGTTTCTGGTTTCACCTCTCCGTATTCTTGTGTCCGGGTTGTAGGTCACGTCGCATTTTATCATGCGAAAAACCGCTCAGTGGCTACACAGCTGAGACTGGCCTTGAGCTGTTCTTCGCGCACGACTGTTATCCCAGGTTCAAGCAAACTGAACGTCCTCCATATTGTCATGTGCCGATTTTACGCGCACAGATGAGTAGACGAGCTGTTTGCATGCGTGACGCGCAAGTTCTTCGATAAACTGTACTTTGAGAAATCGATGCCCGCGCTACGCAGCTGTAAAGTGCCCTGTTGCGCCTCTGCTCGTGTGCGGGAGGAAGCGGAAGGCGCTCTTTTGTCCGTGGGCGTGCTCACGAGGGAGAAGGGAACGAAAACGTGCCACGCGAATACGAGATACTAGCATTCATAGTACAGGTGAGTTTCAGTCTAAGCGTCGACTGAATTCCTCTGAACCCGATTGACAGAGCGGAAATGGAGAATACAGACGAAATCCATGCCATCATCATGCGTAGAGGAGAAAATGACACTTTCGAGAAAACGACTACGCAGGCAAGAAGAGAACGTGTCGAAGCGGAAAAATCGGTCAGAGAGCATTGCCAAAGCCTCTCGATTATAACACATCCAGAAGAAGGATCTTCCATAACGTAAGATGCAGGGCGCAACGGGGAATGACGTAGCTTCCTGGTCGAACGAGCATCGCCTGGCTTTCCTCATCCTGACAAACTTCGTCATGCAATTATTCGTACGAGATACGCACGCTAGGATATCAGGTGTCCATATTCCTCGGAGAGTCATCGATCAAGTCGCCGTGCGACAACAGAACTTTTGCTCGGGACAGAATACGGTTGGGAGGCATGCGATATGAGCGCTTCTGTATCGACCTCGACACACTGAGCAAAGTACGGAGCAGAGATGAATGCTTCGTCCACTTTATTCAGAGAACGAGAGTGCGCGAACGTCCCAATGTCTCTCTGAGACGATTTTTAACCAGAGTGCATGAGACTGAGCAGGGATCGCAAGCGGTTTCGGGTGTATACAGGCAAGACGCGTTCATTCGCCTGCGACTTCAATGAGTAGGAAAAGGAACTAACAGATAGCATGCGTCATTTGGTAGTAGCCTATGGTGCTGGACGCGCTGTCGCACGCAACTGCTGCAACCCTGGCCCGTCAGTGGGCGCATACAACGCGAACGCGAGTCGATGCTGCACGATCCCCATCGATGCATTGGGCACGATGTACACGAATCACGAGCACGGTTGTGCGCTGAACCAGGCAGAGGAGCAGGAAGGAAAACATATCCCGATGCACGAAACGGTGTAGCATACGCTAGTTGAAGGTCGCATGACGAGGCAATGGAATGTGAGAGACTCGTTCTGTTGTGACTTTACCAGCAACATTGGCAGCAAGCACGCTCTGCACCGAAACCCGAACGCCTTAATACATATCCGGAAATGGCTCGTACTGCCGCAGCTCTCAGCGACTGTGTTTCCAGCGAATTTGCGCGGATATCGTTTCGCAACCAGTGTGGATATTGTGCTGAAATGCTGCAGGTTTGGTTTGAAAGTCTCAGTGGCTTGCGAAGGTGGCATTGGATCCACGCGGAGAGCCTGAACCTCACACGGTACCATTCATGATTCCAGCATGGCTAGAATATCGCATCTGTACACCAGGGACGTTTTCCTGGGCAACTTATAGACAATCGTGGTGTTTCATTGTTGAACATTACAGACTATCATGAGACGGACCATACGTCAATGGTTTCCTCTGTCATCTTGGTGCCAATGCGTTGACTTGTTTACCAGCGTTCGCTGGGGTGCGGGTCACCACACCGAAGATCGCAGCACGATGATATCAGGAAGAGTTTTCCCGGGAATGGTCTTGTTGGGCGCTTGATCCCCACCAGACGATACGCGTCCATGGAGGTGAGTGGATCCCCAGCCACTCCCAGCTCTACACGTTCGACGAATTCGAAGAATATTTGTATAAACAAGACCAGTTCATGCAATGCATACTCTTGACCTGGGCATCGATACATGCCACCACCGAAAGTATAGAGCTGTCGTGTGCGTCCGCGGAAAAGCGCCTTCTTATCCTCGATGTGCTGGTATCGGCAGGGGTCAAAGCGTTTGCCACCTCGATGTTCATCTTGATGAGCCAGCCAGGGTGAAATGCAGAGGTAATCTCCAGCCGGAATGCGGAAATCATCGACGTAAAGCGGCTCGCATCCAATTCGGACCGCGATTCCGCTGCTCGCCAATCGAAGTGTTTCTGTAACAAGCTCCCATGCCATGGATTCGGTTACTGGCCGCGCTCGGTTGCACCATTCAGCGCTGAGAACAATTAGCCAACCTGCACTCAATAGAGTATTCGCAGAAGAAGCCCAGAGTAGCGTCAGCAGAACGGATGCGCATACTTTTTCATCCGAGTCCAATTTGGCGAGCAATTTCCCCGCTGGAGTCGCCGGCTCGACCAGTCGCACAGCTCGTTGCATGGCTCGTAGGAGCTGTCGACGCGCGCGGCTGAAAGAGCGCAGCAAAAACTGTGGAATCGGCAGCGCAGCCAGCTCAAACTCCCGATCAAAAGCCACGAACGTTTCATAGAGACGCCCGTCCTTGTTCAAGGCATTTGCACATTCACGCCCGAATACGGTTTGGAATGAAGCGGTAAAGATTAGACGACCACACAAATCGAACAGGTCATCGACATGAGCCACCGCCTGGCCGTCCAATGAGGCCATCTGTTGGCGCATCGCCATACGGAGTGCCTCCGCGAAGCCCGTCAGGTGCCGGGCGAGGCCTCTGTCCGACCCCTTGTCTAAATGCAGCTCCTCACGAAGCTGGACCAGCAGCATGTGGAGAATCTTTTCAAAGTAAGTCGGCGCCAGCCCGAAAATACCATCGGTGAAAGGTTCCACCGCCCGAATGAAGCTCACTTTCGAAGGTGCGCTGTCGAAGAACTGTCCAATCCCATTCTTGGAGAAGAGGAACGTCATGCGTCTCCCGAACATCTCGACAGTAAAAACATCACCGTGCTGTTTCCGTGCTGCTTCCAGGAAAGACTGCGGTGGTGCTGCTCCGAAGGCGAACTGGAACCCTGCTCGAACATAGGGGCACCAACCGCGTATGCACGGCGGTAAGCGTTCCGCTGAGACGTCTCGGACCGGGAAGGTGTCTCCACGGAGTTGCTTGCGTCGCTGTCGCCGCAAGAGCGTCCCTGGAACACCAAAGGTGAACGTTACGATAGCGATCGCAACAATCACGAACCATATAAATACGGGAAACATGCTACAGGAAATGCCTCGGGTGCTGAGCGAGGCTTGCCGGAGTGCTGTTTCAGTCGGCCTCGCGCCGGAAAGGTTTGACCCGATCAACAACCTGCCCAACCTTGATGCAGCTTCTCGAAGCCGACAGGTAGACTCTATCACTTCCGATGAGTTCACGGTTACAGGGAAGAAGTGTGTCCGAGAGAAAATCTTCGTGCGAGTCAGAGTCCGCTACCAAGATATTCAACGAAAAACTCGCTCCTCTCCCGCTGCGTTTCGTCGAATGCTTTTTCGCTGTGTATCGCCGGAGATCGAATTGCGATACAATGCACCCGGTCGATCGTAGACGAATGGTTTCTAGGATATCTATTCTTGCTTGAACAATGCAAGGAGAATTGCATTCCTCCTTCAGATCAGTCGGGTCGCAGTGCTCAGATGGTTGAGGAGCACTGGAAGAAAGAAGTACATGCGCTCCGTACCAAAAACTGACATTTTTAAAGACTGCTTGCCGTCAATGGTGGTCAACGGTCCCTCGTTCACCTCACGGAAAGCAAAAGCGACGATAGTGGCCACCACGGACATCTCTATTTTGCAACAGCTTGCTCGCATGACCTTGAAAATACTGGGATACAATCCCGGAAAAAGCCCTGGTTCACGCACCGCTACTCTCCACAGATATTGCCCCTAAGGAGTTCGTGGAATGCCGCGATCGGTATAAAGCACACGGACGTGTATTTGTTTTCAGTCGATGAGACTTTCTTGGGACGAAACCGTCGAAGCTTATATGGGTATTCGGGGAGCAGGGCCCCCGTTGTAAATACGATCGAAATCGAAGAGAACGACGACAACATCATCTGTTCTAGCTCCGGGTGATTCATTTGGCGACCTCAGCTTCGCTCGTAGGCAAGGCGCATACAACAGCACCAATCACTTTGTCGAATCATAGAAGACTTTTCCGCTGACGTCTGGGGATGCTCTTCTATTGGACAAGATGACATTTCACCATTCACCTTGCGTTCAACCATTTGCCGAGTCTATCGATGGTAGAGCTGCTTTTCATTCCTCCAAACCCTGCCCGATTCAAGCCCATCGGATGAGTGTTTTCGGTTGTGGAACGTAGTGATCGCTCCACTGGGCGAATTGCTGAAGCGTTCAGCATACTCTGATATCAGGGCATATTTCTCATTTCTTTCGCAAGTCCTTCTCCATTAGAGAAGGAACTTCCCTAATGAAATAAATAATTGTGTTCATTTGAAGAAATCAGAAACCCAGAAGAAAGTTATGGAACTTGAAGTCCGGGATCCTGGAGGCATGCTGTCGCTGGCTGAGGGAAAAAAGAAACCATCCTCTGCTGGTCATCCATCAAGCGAAGAAGAGCACTTGACGAAGAAGATGAAGAAGATAGGAGATAGGCGAGCAAAGATATCTGTCCGACGGGACGATGACGAGACTGTAGTGGCACAGACGGCGCAAGTACTCGTAATCTTTGCATTGGTAAGTTTAAATAGCGGCAATAAATGTACGGATTTCGTGAGCCGAGACTTCAACGCTGCCATCAATATCAGCCGATGTGCGGTGCTAGAGACACGACCTGAGGAGCTAACCCAAGCAAACTTTGTGGAGCAGCCTCTCAGGCTTGAAGTGTACTGGGCGAAACTGAAGACGATAGCGGCCGGCCGGTGAAAAAGGCCCAGAGGCGCCTGTGAGAAGGCATATAGACGCTACGGTCGTAGAACGTTTATCTTTTTCTTGTCCAAATACATACATCAGATGAAAAAGGAGCTCTGGAACTGCACGCCAGCTTCCTACGTCTCGATTTTATTCCGAAGTTGAGTTTAGATGCACATCCTCGACGTTCAACGTGAAGCAATACGCACTTACTAATGCATTCGCAGTCCTACGATCCTGGGTCATCTATTCGGAGCGAATCGTTCGCTTCTGTGCCGTTCCTCATGGTCACGTCACCGGAATCAAGAGGATTCGCAACGCCCTCGAAAAAGAACGCCCTATATACCAGATATCGTTGCCCAGTGCACACGTCCAAACCCCGATTCCTATGCTGTCCGTTCGTGTGCAGCATGCTGCAACCGTGCATGCTTCAAGTTTTCTAGCGTGCGGTTGCAAGGCAACTCGTGGGCCCAGCAAGGCGCCCAGCTGCATGGACGCGGTAAACTGCGCGATGGCGTCCCTCGGGGACTCGTTCACGAGCTCGTGTCCAAAGTCCACTGAAACTCTCAAGTCAAGTAATCGATGCCTCTCGACAGAGAAACGCTCCTCGCTTTGCGGCCAACGAAGAGACCGCGCTCGACAGCAGCAATCGAGCCATGGCAGGGTATGTTCGTGGCGGCTCCGTTGTGTCCTGTTCGCATGAACAAGTGCCTTGGACTGGGGCTTGCGTCACCGCAGCGATCGCTTCAGGGGAAGGGCGCGTCACCGCTTTGCTCGAAGCGAGCGTAGACGGATCGAGATGCGTCGACATGATCTCCAGCCTGGCTCTCCCTCGTGTACTTGTTGCATCATGATCGGCGTAGCGCTGCGAGAATCCTCTACCAAATGGGGCAGCGTGCACCTGCGCATTCACCCGACAGAAGACGCGAGGACGGCATCGCTCAGAACTCTCCAGGTATCTTGGGGCACGGCAGCGAGCGCGGAAATGGAGCAGGGCATCCAGAGCAGCGCCTCCTGTAACCGGATCATGGGCATCTACCGAGATACGAAGCAAACGTTTACGCGCCGCAGGGCGGCGCTCGTCGGAAGACGTATGCTAGGCATCTGGAAACACCTGACCAGAGCCGTTCCACGGCTCTGCGCGTGTCGCACCGAGCCGCCAGAGCGACACGATGGGAGCGGCAAGCGCCATAGAGATCGCAGGTACCAGCTGTGCAAGCGGTACGCGAGTCAGACCACGGAATCAGCCTGGTTGGGGCTTGTATGCTATCACCAGCATCCTTCGACTGCTCGTATCGAGATCAGGGGGACAGGAGAGCCTGGCGTATGGAAAGTCAGACACCAGAGACGGGCAAAGCAAGCGGACTCGGAAAGAGCCCGCCACGACCTATGTCGATTTCAGTGGAAAGAGGCCCAATGCATGGAGTACACGCCCGTGTTCGCTGACCTATTCCATTGTATTCTTACACGGGTGTAGACACATCCTACCAGCACCTACGTCGACCATTTGGATCCAAGGGAATCGCTGCTTAGCATTGCAGTAAAGCCTTCATCAAGCACCACAGATGAGAGAAGCGTTTTGCGTTTATCGTGGTTTCGGCAATCTTCTCTGCAGCGGAGACCAGAGATGCACAGCAGCGTATCGAATCGTAACCTACGTTGCCCTATTTGAGCCAAGTACGTTGCTGCTTGTCATCGCTCCAACGCTTTCTGAATTGTGCGCGCCAAAAGGATGCACCTGATTCTATCGGGAACATGGCGATGCCTCCGGCATCCGGCCTACAGCAGTGGCGACCAGTCACGGTTGTCTCAGCTCCAGCGCCGCCACCACTTACCCCAGAGGTACTGCAGGCTCCGCGAGGGTCCAGCGGTGATGAGACCCTTCACTGCCTGTGAGACAGAACTATGTAACACGCGACGTCGCAGGAGACCTCCAAGTGCTCGCGCGAAATACTCGATCACGACTGGACCTTGAAACTTCCTCAGAGCTGCCGAGTTTTGATCTCGCAGTCGTTGCCGGATAGCGTCCTCCGCCTGAATGTTGCAGAAGAGCGGGAGCTGCAGCAGCGGGCCTAACAGACGGTTGCGAGCCCTATGCCCATAAACATCGGTCTGAAACAGCATCGATATGTCCAAGAGATCATCAGGTCGCCAGGGCAACGCCTGCTCGGGTCGAGTCGCTCTGTCTCCGGCACCTAGACGCTGGACCAGCCCTTCCCGTTGCATCTGCACCAAAGCGGTAGTATACATTCCAAGCAAGCGGTCCATATTCGCGTGAAGGATGTTTCGCGTCTTGTTCGGATGTTCAAGGCCGGAGCGCATTCGAATATCCGCCGAGTAAGAGAGGCCAACGACCTGCTCAAGCAGGGTCGCAACGGGGAGCAGGCGGGGGCCCGTGTCCGCTTCTGCACCCAGTAAGATACCCATCCGAACCGCTTGCACAAGGTTGTGCCTCTTGTTGGCTTCGTCGACCCGTCGAGCACACGCCTCAGCTTCGACGCGGGCCATATTCGATAGAATAATGAGCTCAACAGGTTTCTGCAAACGTCCGGCGGCGTAGAAGTAACGCCATTCGCGAATATCAGCGAGCAATGTCTCTTCGGCGATGACGCCGTACTTGAGTGCCTCCGCAGACCGGGACGCGAGCGGTACCGGAGGCACGAAACACATGCCCGCGCCCAGGTGCTGGAGCCAACGGAGAGCTCCTGGCCGTGAACGCAGGCTCCGAAGATACCAGGCAAAGTGCTCTGAATGGCGATCGAGCGCTTGCAACAACCATTCTGCGGGGTTGTCGACCACCAGGATGTAGTCGCGGGTGCGCTGGATCGCCAGCCGGCCTCTAGCGAGCTGCGGAAACACGCCTGAGCCGTAGGCCAGCACCAGCTTACCAGTTGGCAACGACTCGAGAAACTCCCTATCCGCCTCGTTCATTCCTAGCTCGACCTATGGGGATACGAGCACACTAACTGCCATCGCAAGGCAACAGAGCGAGACGTACGGGCTGAGTCGCTCACCGATCCGAGCTGCTTTCCAGAACACACCGGTAAAACCGGTCTTGTTGCGATCTAACAGGCGCGGTTGCAGAGCGTGAACGTAGGTACAGGTGCAGATCAGCAGGAGAATGACAATCAACAACGAGTTAAAGTTGAATAACGCTGACATGAACGCTTTCGGTGGGAGTCGTACCGAAACGCCCGCCGCACCGCAGCAGTTCTCGGAAGCGAGCAACCGGGCACGCCAGCGCCTTCCGGGACCTCGACCGTACGACTCCGAGTCGGTTGCAGCTCCGATCGCGATGATCCTTTCCTCCCCGGTGACCAGTTCACCGCTGAGACGCGCCTATCCGGCACTCGTCCGCTGCTTGCGATGGCGAAAGCGTCGCGTCCAAGGCGGTACACGTGTCAGCGCTGGAGAGTAGCAACGCGCCCCGGTATGGGTTGACCTGAAGGTTTCGAGTGCGACAACGTCGGTTGCTCGTCGTTGTCACCAGAAGTTGACAGTCGGAAACTCACTGGAACAGAGGTATGCGCAGTGGTTCGTGTTTAGGACCTGCAGTTTTATAACTGAGTGGATAAACGAGAATGTCTTGCAATCCGCAAGCAAGTCCGCGTAGAGAGGGTGCCGCGAACCTTGTTCGGCGTACGAGAGTGCGCTGACCCCGAAACCCCCGACAAACACCATTCACGACGTATCGCTTGCACTTGTGCTCTATTTTCGTTGTAGAGAGAACAGTGTAAGTGTAAAAACAGTGCATGGTGCGGCTGAAACTCGGATTGCTGTTGCCAACCGCTGATACGCGCATATCCGGTGGTTCCACCAAAGGTGCACGCTCCGCGAGCCAGCTAACCTCTGCACCGATAGTTGCTGCTTGCCTGTGCATCTTCATCTGCGGGTAGTTGAATGATACTTCGATCTCGCCAGTATATGCAGCTCTGCACTCTAGAGATAGCGGTGGATAACTCTTTGGAGCTAAACGAAACTGTCGGCGAGACTGGGTCAGATGACGAGGCACGCCCGAGGTTTCGATCGTACGGCGAGCGCTTGCCCCGCTTGGTTTATTTTCAGAGAGCTCGCGTCGCTGCCGGTCAACGAGCGGTGCGATTCGCGTACACCACATGTATCCTCGTTAAGAGGCGCTTGTACAGCGCCCCGACTGTACTGTCTTCGTGTCGAGCAGCGCGGAACTCTAATCCAAGTCAAGAACCTATGTTCCGTGTAACGCACGAGTTGCCACTTCCCCGTCGCCTCTTTCTCTCGCGTGCAACAGCCTTGGATTGGATCGATGGGCAACACCTCTGGATGTAACGGATAGGCGACATTCTCGCTTCATGAGCACTGCAATACATAGACAGGTTCACTTTTGAGATCCTGAGTGTATCAGGAGCTTCTCCTCGTTGCTCACGTTCGCTCCCGAGACGGCACATCGGTCGATGCCAGTGGCGCACTCGAAGCCGCTTGGACAATGGTGTACCATTTTTGGAAATCCTCTGTGGCGAGCGCCTCGGCTATGAGCGCCTCTGTCTCCGCGCTTGGAGCAATCAACGGTATCGCCTTGACTGCGACATGCGTATCCGCGGGTAATAGCTCCCGCACCGCTTCCCGAATAAGTGTTTCTGCTCGGTGGCGGCGGTGTTCCGCGGCTACGGGCAGGGCACGGGATCCTCGGCAGTGTCCAGCGGACACGTTGGCATGTTGTGCTGCTTGCTGCTGGAGCTCGCGCTCCGTCTCCAGATACGCCCGCTCTACATCAGCGCCGCTGATCGCTACCGGGAGCTCAAGCCACTGAGCATTCCACGCTGGTGTGCCGGGATTCTCGGGACGTGCACAGGTCGACGCTGTCTGGCAAAGTGCTTGCTCCAGTGAGCGCATTCGTTTCCGGAACGCTGGATCGTCGAGCAACCGAGCGCAGACCGCCGGATCCCAGCACGACACAGCTGATCGCTTCGAGAGCTGATGTCTCTGGTGCAGGGCCTGCGAAGTCAGCAACTCTAAACAGAGCTGCACGCGTTTGTGCTCTTCATCGAATAGAATGGATGACGCATCGCATGCGTCATCGTCAGCGATAATAGTGGACGCTGGTGCTGTACCTTGCTCCGATGTTGATGGTGTCTCCAAAAACCTTTCAATGAGCTTCCGCGGATCCCCGTAAAGGCGCACAGATGCTTGTCGCAGCAACTCTTCATCGGACACTGATAGCGTGACGCCCCTTCCAGTCGCTGAGCGGCTTTCGCACCTGGGCAGTGGACACAGTGCGGACGTGTCTCGCGCTGGTGCCGACAAGCCGGATACTTGCTCGACAGGCACTGAAGCCGGCTCTCGTCCTGGACTTGGTAGGCTCTCTTTTTGCTGAGAGCTTGCGTCGAGCACTCTCGTCAGTTCCGCAAAGCGTTGTGCACAAGCGTCTGCTGTTCGGCCCGGCAGCAGAAGCGCAACGGTTTGCCACTGCCCAACCAGCGAGCGCCCCACCTGAAGCAGCAGCCGGTCTTCCTGGACGGTCCAGTTCCCTCCGCCTTTCAAGCTTGGATCAGCAGAACTGTAAAAGTGCTCCTGACACTGTAGAGCAGTTTTCCCTGGCAAGAGTGAAGCTATTCGGCGCCACTGATTGGTTCCGCAGACTTCGACTGCGGCCCGCAGGACGAGCTCTTCCGGCAGGCTCCAGTCCGAGGACGATCTCAGGTGGAAGCGGCGGGTCATCGCTCTGTCCCTACTCTAGACGACACTGTCTGTGCAAGTCAGCCATGTGTTGTCCGGGTCGCCAGCTAACTAGCTTGCGAGCGCTTAGAGGCACAAGTAGAGTCCAACTGGACCTGTACCGCGCGTTCGCGAACGCTAACAACTCTGTGGCTACTCTCGCAACGACGACGGTAGCAGCGGACAAGCACCACCGTCCCTGAAGCAACCCAGCAACTATGTACGGTATGGATGGGCGCAGCGGAGAGCCACATCATCTCAGCTGATGTTACCTTGAAGCCGTATCCAGTGCCGATCGCTGCATCGGGCCTGTGCAATGCAGCGAAACAGAGCGTCTGGTGCTCACCAGTGGATAGGAAGCGTTTGCGTAACCGAGTGCATTCGATTTGATGCGACGATGCAAAGCGATGTGTACCAATGCGGAAGAGGCCGTCATGTCGGTCTCCCATGGAAGACGTATACATTCCAGCGTTTACAGAGTAATGAGCGCGCGACAATAGGCAGTGGCGCGGGATCGGCGAAACACAAGTGAACGGCACGTCTCGAAGCGACTTTGTTTAGGTCGATGCTGGGTCAGCGCTTTTGGTGAAGCTGCACGCGATCGCTGGAACGCGCCCGTTTCCAAGCGCACTCTTCATGAACACCCCCAAGCATCGTTTACCATCCGGCGACACACGTGCTATTCGGGTCACAAGTGGCCCACAGAGGCTGCTTCAGCGTGCACCAGGGAACGACGTCTTCTACGTTCGGACAATTTGCCCACTTGCAGGCCCCATGTTGTCCGGAATGGTAACCTACACTGTCACAGTGAGCGTCTGCTCGACTTTGCGAGCGCCGCTGAGGCTAGGGTTCCAGCTGTCCGCACCAGAGACTGCTGCCGCTGCACCGCGGCAACGAAAGCGCCAGCAGCCGCATACGAAACATTCAGCTAAGCTCCGCAATTTTATGCCAATACGTAGAGTCGAGTCCCCGGAACGAAGCGGCTCCAAGAGCTTGTCAGCGTCGCTCACATTAGGTGTGCAGTGCAAGGCGCAGCGCTTCCCTGAAGCAACTCTGAGCAATCGCTGATGGGACCTGGAAGCATCCACGCAGGGACTGCGCCTTCCTCTACGCTTATCAGCTGGATGCTTCAAACCCAGCATCTGATTCTATTCAACAATTCCATACGATCAAAACATATTCTCATCGGGTTCAGAACGAGGCAAACAACCCGTATGCACGATTTGCGGGTACGTTCAGAATTTTCCAGCTTCGTAGTCAGCGAAAGCCTGGATGATCTCTTGACGCGTGTTCATCACGATCGGTCCGTACTGTACGACAGGCTCGTGGAGCGGTTGTCCTGCCAACAAGACGAAACGACAACCATTTTCGCCGCTCTGCACCTCGACACCGTCATCGTCACCGTCTTTTTCAAAGACACCAACGCTGCCCGCGTCAACCGGCTGCGAGCCAGCAACCAATGATCCAGTCACAACGTAGAAGCATGCATTCCAAGAGGACGGCACCTTGTGCTGAAAAAAGGTCCTCGGGCCCAGGGTTACGTCCAGTAACTCAGTTGGCGTCAAGGTGAACACATCGGACTGAACTCCCCTGAAAGAACCGGCGAGAACCTTCACTTGGACATGCTCTGTTGGATCGTTGTACACGGGAATGTCGCTCGAACGCTTCTCCTGATAGTTCGCAGGGACGAGTTTGTCCTTCGCCGCCAAGTTGACCCAGATTTGAAGACCCTCGTTTTCATCTGGTGTCGCCGGCATCTCGCTGTGCACGATGCCTCCACCCGCAGTCATCCACTGCAGGTCCCCGGCTTCAATGACGCCTTCGTGGCCGCGGTTATCCCGGTGGCGAAACTTGCCCTTGAGCATGTAGGTCACCGTCTGGAAACCCCGGTGCGGGTGGTCCGGGAATCCTCCTGGAGGCTTCACGTGAAAATGATCTAACAGCAGAAACGGGTCCAAGCGTCCCAGGCTAGGCGTCCCGATGCTGCGACGTACACGCGCCCCGACACCGTCCTGTTGCTCCCGAGCCGCCACGACGCGCTCCAACACGCGCGGTTTCTCGACGGACGACATGCACCTTATCCCAGTTACGGCGCGAAGCAGTGAATGTGCGCGGCTCTGATGACCAGGATGTTGTCGCAGGGTTGCCCAGCTGCGCTTATTGGCAAACAACAAGCAAATAAACGCAATCTTCATGAACACGTGGCATACAGCGCTGTCGCCTCCGTCGCTCCGGAGCGCACCGGCACCCGCTCTTCTCGATGCGTCGGCGGCGTTGCGCTATGCTGCGACGCGCGCCACCTCCGCGAGATGCAACACCGGTGCTGCCTGCAAATGGGTTCCATATGTGTATTGTCTACTTGAAGCGCGCGATGGGGAAGCGCGTTCTGCTCTGGTCGAAGCTGGGTTTTGAAGATCCCATTTCATAGCGGCGATGAGGCATCATTTACGGTTCAAAAGTGGACGCCTCGCGACTGCCGTCCAGCAAACCGTGATATACCGCAGCGGTCGCTATACCAAAGGAGCTGCGGAATCGATCGTAGGTCGCCTGTGTCTGTGTCCGAGGAACCGGACATGAGGCGGTGAGCGTTCCAAGGGCGTTTCGTGGGAATAGGACAGGCGAACGACCCGAACGCATTGCGGTACGAGCTTTGTTTTGCTTCGGGACCTCACCGAGACGAATACTCGTAGACGGAGTGTATTTGCATTGGTTATGCGAAAGTGAACAGGTTTACGCAGATCATCGTATCAATCGCTATTGGGAGTCGCCGCGCAATTCGCTGCCCCGATTTCAAGCAGAGCAAAAGCGTCCTCCAGCGTATGCAGCATCATGTTGCTTCGCGTCTACGCCTCAGACGGGGCCGGCTTTTTCAAGGTTCATACACACGATGTGTCGCACCGGTATCCGTCGGATGTCAAGACTCTAAAAGCGCCTCATGCGCTAAAGCATCCGCTTTCTACTTTTGATGGCGCAGGATTGTTTCCGCTACCCAACGGACCCTGGAAAGCGCGATGCATACCGGCATCCGAGCGTGTGTCAGTAATACAGCACCAGGTCCTCCAAGTACATAAAGGCACAAACACCACCACCCATTCTTCCCATCAGAGAGCAAAGCTCGTTCACATGACGCCTGCAGCGCTATTTTGGACACCACTTGGAAAGAAAAGGCTTCGTCGTGCCCCTGTGGGCGTCGACTGGAGCATCCGCTTTTCAAAGCACCCTGTTCGCAAAGTCGCCGCACCAGCGCCAGTGGCGACGCCAATGTGTTGCGCTCCAACGCGAACGCCCGATGCTTATCTGGTGCATACGCCCTGTTCACCATCTTTGTACTTATTTCAACACGTGTCGAGACGCTTTTGTTGAAGGGAAACTTGTTTCCCTCTACTGATGCATACAAGCGCTCAACAGACTTACTCTGCAGAGCTGCTGAGCGTGCAGTTTGCGTCATGGCGTTTATGGCGTTTGGACTCTCGAGTTGGCAACGTGCTACCGATGCGACACGCGGTGCAGCGGCCGTTTGCTCCAGCGACGCACGTGAACAGCATTCAGCCAAGTTCGTTGTCACCTCGGGAACACAATCTTTGAAGAGTGGACCGAAGCTCTTGGGGTCAGCGGGAACGCACGGGCGTCCACCACTGATCGCTGGGCTGGCGGCTGCAGCGCCCCTAGTACCACCTTACCACCACCACCAGCAGCAGCAGCAGCAGCAGGTTGTTCGAAGAGCGCTTCCGCTGGGTTTGCTCTCCCAAGTGCTAGGGTGGCTTGTGATCATCGGTTCATCGCTATACAAAGTTCCTCAGGTGGTGCGTATTCTTCGCGTGCGATCCGCGAAAGGCATCTCGGTCACAACATACGTCTGTGAAACCGTAAGTACGGCGTGCAGCTTCTGCTATGCGCTTCGACAGCGGTTTCCGTTCGATACCTTTGGGGAATCTGGCTTCATTCTTATTCAAAATGTCATGATTCTGGTTTTGATGAGTCATTTTGATGCGAGACCTCGACGCTGGGCAACCTTGGCAATCTTGGGATCCATCACGCTGCTCATGGGCGTCTTGTTGAGTCCGCGTTTGGCACCACCCGTGGTCGTCACGGTTGCTCAGGCCGTTTCCATACCTCTTCTGAATCTGAGTCGCATTCCTCAGATTGTCATGAACGCCCAGTTACGTACAACAGGGGAGCTGAGCATCACGACGATGCTCCTCCAGCTCCTGGGAAATGCTGCCCGTTTGTTCACAACGCTTGTACGCCTCGATGGGAATCTTCCGTACCTGCTGAGCGCGATTGTCGCTCTCGCGTTGAACAGTATTTTGGTTTACCAATACTTCAGATTTTACGCGGAATAGCAGCTGGATGAAGGGAATTTTCGGGTCCAAAGTCTTCCGCAATGTGACCGCTATCGTGTGCTTTCCGCTGACCTAGTGCTATGGCATCCACTAGAGCAAATGGACCGGAGATCTCGTCCCGCATACAACCGCCTGGTGACGTCATCAACGGTGCTATGCAGTGCGCATGGTGACGCTGCCGGAGCTCGAACGGGCAACGCGAACCCTATCCTACGATCGCCTTCGGATGCGGTGAAACCCCGGAGCCTGAACCCCGAAGCTCACCAGAAAAATGCTGCTGAGCCAGTGCGTCAGCCGTGGAGCACGAAAAACAGGGCTGCGAGCCGCGCACCACAGCTCTACCGCTGCTGCACTTCGTGAAGCGTGGACTAGTGTGCTGCTGTATCCCGGGGGAGGGGCCTCCTGCTTGTGCTTGCTGCTTGCAGATGCGAGGCAGTGCCTGCCGCAGTGTGCCTAGACTGCCAACAATATGTACGGAACTTGATTTCTACCACACCTTGACGCTCTGCATCCAAACATGAACCCAGTTCAGGGACAGCAGTCTCTAAGTTTGCTTCTGGTGGCCGACTTGCAGCGCGCTTTTCTTCGTGCAAGGTCTGTGCGTTTCACCGGAGTACGCAAACGAGCGCACGCTATCGGGCTCCAGCGAAGAGACCACAGTTCCCTCTCTGTACAGCTTTACGGTAAACAAGCTCCGACGCAGTCTTCCCGCTGGGCGCAGAAGTTCGATCGACCGAACGGCACTCGTGTACTGCGGGCACTGTGTCGAGCGTGTCGTGAACGCTCACTGCCGCAGAGCGCCTGACAAGCACAGTCGTAGCCAACGTCAACAGGTACAAACTCCAAGGCCCGTCCCTCAGTAGCTACGCATCATCGTTTTGCAACAGCGCTTCGAAGCGCTCCCCCTACCATACTCAGCATAAAGCAAACACGTAGTTCCAAAGGCGTTTTTTTGAAACGCTATCGTCAAGCGAGCGCAGCAAGCACGCCCGCCAAGCCACAGAAGGATGCCATAGCGCCCTCGGAGCGCGTCTCCAGGTGTAGACAGTGGAAGCGCAGCGTGTGCACTCATACTCACGATAGTATGCAGGAACGCTCGACGATTCATGGATGAAGCGCTATCAGGTGCTTTTCTTTGCGTCAAGATAATCAATATCGACTACTACCTCTGGCAGCCGGAACACCTCTCCAGTGATCCAGGCTGGCTCGAGAGGTTTACACCGGCCCAGCGAGGTCGTTCGCTTCCGGCGGTACGGATCATCGGACGCACTTCAGCGGGTTCTACAGTCTGCCTGCACTTGCACAATACGTTTCCTCGCACGTATGTGCCATTACCCGAAACCGTCGCACATAATCCTGAGGCTGAACGGCGCTGGACGCAGCGACTCCGGGTTGCGCTGGAACGGGCACTCGAGCAGTTGCACCTGCAGCAGCGCGACCAGCGACAAGCTCCAGATGCCAACTGGTCTGCAAACCAGCCAGGTTCTGGTGCTGCCACCGAGGCGCCTTCATCAGTCGAGGACGCTGCTGCTGACCGCTACATTTATGATATCACGATTGAATGGCGTCGCTGCATTTACGGCTTTAAAGCAAACGCACAACGGTTTGCTCGGATTCGGTACATTCATCCAGCAGAGAGCGCACGTCTCGTGCAGGCACTCGCTAGCGGGATGTTGGCCGCTGTGGACGACGGAACAATGGACCCAGTGTTACCCGCCCGTTTACAGCCGTACGAGGCACACCTGCCATACGTGCTGCAGGTCATGGCAGACTACGGCCTAGCCGGGTTTGGGTGTATCGGACTTTGCAGTGGTCGTTTTCGTCCACCGCTGGCTTCGCCGCGCGATGCTGCCAGTGAAGATGCTGATCATGGCATGCAAGCACGACACAGCGCCAGCTTGGTCGACAACCTTCCACCGGACATGGTCTGGAACGTGCCCGTCAAACGGCAGACCGACTGTCACCTAGAGGTGGATGTGTGGTTACCCAGGGATCTGCATCCAGCACATCTTCACGGTGAGCAGGAACCAACTGATCTGGAGCGCCACGTTCCGTCGCTTCGGCTCATCTGGGAGAGCGAACGCAGACGTCGATGCCTCTCTTCGTGGCGCCAGATGTGGGTCCCTATTGCACACTGTCGACTGGAGCGCGAGGTGCAACCCATGGACACTGGTTTGAAGCAGCGCCTTGGGATGGTGGTTTCTCAGGCACTACGCAAACGTGCAGGAGCAGGGAATCGGCAACATCAAGAACGGAGGAACGCAATCGCCCTGAACGATGAAACGAGCCAAGCTGATGATCTCGCCAGTGCGCTTGCAGCTCAGTTTGGCTATGCAGTTGAATCCAGCACTGCAGAGCGCCTTCATCCAGAGTCGGATTTGGAGGATGAAGTGCTCTGGAACTGGATGGAGCAGAACTACCGAACTGGAGTGGGTGCAGCGAACGGTCAGCCGGTGGACACTTCCTTTGCATCAGCGTACGCACTGGACACATCCGTTTACGAAGACGAAGAGCAGCCCGTGGATGAAGTCGCTACCCAGAAGGAATGCGCAGACATTCTGGAATGTTCGCTGCCTTTGAATGAAACACCAGGGCTAGGGGCGGAGACGGCAAAGGTGGCAACCTCGCCGGCGTCATTGGTGCATCGTCAAGACACGGAGCTGGGACTCAGCCCGCCTTGTTCCCCGTCGGTCGCCCCAAGTAGGACGCCTGTTCCAGAGTCCGTGTTGGCTTCTGCATCGGAACTACAGCCTGGTCACGAATCGGAGGCGGTTCAAGCACAGGCGTCGACGACGTCGAGGCCCCGACAGGCGAGCTGGTGTCTGGCGGCTTTCCATCTCGAGCGATCAAACGTATCGCCAGCGAATTGGTTCATGATTCCAGATCAGCACCCGCCTTTTCCCTTCAAGTCAGAATGGGGCGTTGCTCAGCAGAAACCCTTTTACAGCGCCATTGAGGACAAAGCTTTCACGACAAGCGGGTCGAGCGTACGCTGGTTTCCGCAGACGCCTCTTTGGCGAGAGGTCGCCTGTCGGGCTTTCAGTTCCGACTCGGCGGCGGATGCTGCTGGCCTCCAAACCTGGCGGACACCGCTGAGCTTGCCGCCTTTGCCACAGCACATCGAGCGAATTGAACGGTTTCGAAAGCGAAGCAGGCTCCTGGGAGCATCAAGAAAGGTCATTGAGGTGCGGATGGATAGTTACGGTCGCGAGGTGCGCACTGTAGCGGTGCTCGCAGCAGCGAAGCATGCGGTTTCGAATTCAGTAACCGTAACAGAAGATGCACTGGCCAATGCGAGGCCGGCTAGCGTCGGCATCAAGGCGGAAACTGCACCGCGGTCGTGCCGCTCACCAAGGAGCATTGAGCTTGGAACTAGTCCAAAAGCCTGGCGCTCTCCATGGACCAGGGCGTCCGAGCTTGTCGACGCCCCGGAGTCCCGAAGCGTGGCGATAGAGACCCCAGCGTCCGTTGATTCCGTGCAACAAGGAGCGCCTCGTGCGCATCGCGAAGAGGAGCTACCCGCTTTGCCCGCTGATCAAGCGTATGGCGCTGCAAGCGCAGCTGCACCTGGCCCCATGGAGGCAGCGTGCAGTAGCGAGAACGGTAGCGCGTCCAAATGGGTGTCCCCCGAGTTGTTGTCAGCAAGCAGCTCTGCGGATTCTCAGCACACTGAATGGAAAGCAACGTCGGACGTTGACGCACACCGAACGACCGCCCTACCCACGCAAACGGATCGTAACTGGCAACTGCATGGAGTGCAAGCGTCGCTCGATGCCTATGATACGCGGGTGCATTCGAGCTCGGCACATGCATCAGAAGTGCGCTCCACACGTAGCCCAGTACTGGATCCGTCACCGTACCCAAATTCGGACCCGAGTCTAGCACAATCATCAGAGGCGCGCTGCACGAACAGCCAAGTGCTGGATCCGTTACCACACCCAGACTCGGACCTGACGCTTCGTCGTCCAGCCAGAGAGCCGCTATCGTCGGCGGCAGCGCAACGATGTCGCACGTTCAGCGACGAAACTGGTGCCATGGACCCGCTCCCAGACACGGTTGCTGAACTCGAAGACGACGAAGCACAACTGGTGCCGCTCGTTCGACCGGCTTCGCCTCGTTACGACGAGCCGTCCGAGTTCTGGAGCGACGCTCCGCATGCTGCGCCCGCTTTCTCCAGCGCTGCGATACGATCGTTGAGAACGGATCGCGAGAAACGCTCCCGGGGGCGACTCTCGGATATCACGGGCCCATCACAGATATCCAGCGGCAGAGACTCCTCGGGGATTAGTGGAGAGCCCGCACCACTTGAGCCGCTGGCGCTTCACCATCAGTACGGCACCGAAACCTTTCGAGTACTAGCCATAGAGTCACTCTCGATCAATCGTCGAGAGCAGCGCCCTGACGCTCTTCAGGATCCGCTGGCTGCAATCGGACTCGTCTTCCGGGGCGATGACTCCGATGCCGATCGTCATATCATGCTCGTGAACAGCGCTTTACGCACAAACACTGGAGACGATGCGAGTGCTGCGCTTACCGAGCGGACGGCGCTCGGCCTGGTGCCAACCACGGGATACACGTTGCGGCCTACTCGAGTCGTGGTGCTGGGCTCGGAAGCGGCGCTGCTGCGGCAACTTGCGCTGCTCTGTCGTCATCTGGACCCGGATATCCTGGTATCGTATTCGTTGCGCGATGGAGGGATCGGTTATCTGCTGCAGCGAGCAGGCGTTCTGGGTTATGACTTGGCTTCGGGGCTGTCTCGGGTAGCACTCGGCGTTCATGACCCGAAAACCGAGCGGCAGTGGAGCCTGTCGATGCACCCGTGGGAGACGGATACTGCCTCCGGTGGTATCCGCCTGCTGGGTCGATACGTTCTGGACGTATGGCGGATCATGCAATCGGAGGTCAAGCTGTCGAACTACACGTTCTATCGTGTTGTGGAGGAGATTCTCGGACGCCGGATGCCCCGCTTACCGTGGTCTACCCAACGAGACTGGTTCACGCGGGGTACCGCCGCCGACTGTCGCCGAGCCCTCGAACTGGTTTTGTTTCGCGCTGCCTGGACGCTGGACCTCCTTGAAGCGCTGGATATCCTCGGACGCTCGGCCGAGATGGCCACCAGCTACGGCATCGACCTGTTATCTGTGTTTCTTCGGGGCAGTCAGTATCGAGTGGAGAGTCTGATGGCGCGACTCGCGCACGCCCAGGGGTACGTGCTGGTCTCGCCTACTGCTGCACAGGTCCGATGTCAACCGGCAACGGCCTTCATTCCGCTCGTTATGGAGCCCGAAGCCCGCTACTACAGCGATCCGGTCCTGGTGCTAGACTTTCAGTCGCTTTACCCGTCGATGATCATCGCCCACAACATCTGCTTTTCAACCTGTCTGGGGCGCGTCCTGCTCGATAGCGAAAGCGACTGGTGCACTTTTGCAAGCGGCATTCCGCGCGTGTTCGGTGTGCTGGAAGCGTACAGCCCCGACTGGATCGGTCTCGTAGAGGCGCTCGCAACAGACGCAACACCGGACGTGGAAGCGTTGCTAACGGTGCTTCCGAACCAGACAGTTTTCGTGAAGCCTCGGGTACGGCATGGCATCTTGCCGCTGATGCTACGAGAGATACTGGAAACGCGGATGATGCTCAAAGGCGGCATGGAGGCCATCGAGAAGCAACACCGCACCGCACCGGTACCCGAAGCGGAACGTCTTCGCTTACAGGCCATCTATCGAATGCTGAATGCTCGTCAGTTTGCGATGAAGTATATCGCCAATGTGACATATGGGTATACATCTGCGTCGTTTTCGGGACGCATGCCCTGTGCAGAGATCGCCGACGCGATCGTCAGTGCCGGTCGGGAGGCCATGGAGCGCATCGTAGCCACCGTGGAGCGCCTCTGGGGAGCATCGCATGGAGCACGGGTCGTCTATGGCGATACGGACTCTATTTTTGTGCTGGTGCCGGGCGCTTCTCGTGAAGTCGCCTTTCAGCTGGGTCGTGCCATGGCGGAGCAGTGCAGTGCGCTATTTCCAGACCCGGTCCGACTCAAGCTCGAAAAGGTATACAGCCGTTCGTTGCTGCTGGCGAAGAAGCGCTATGTTGGTTGGGCGTACGAGTCAGAGAACCAGCTGATGGGAATGCTTGATGCAAAGGGTATCGAGACGGTTCGGCGCGACTCGTGTGGTCTAGTTCAGAAGATTCTCGAGCGCGCGCTGCGCTTACTCTTCACCGGTGATCAGGATCTATCGCCCATCAGACGCTATGTGCAGCGGCAACTTCAGCGAGTCCTTCAGAATCGCTTCGATTTTCGGGATGCTATCTTTTTCAAAGAGGTTCAACTGGGTCGTTACAAACCCGGCTACGAACCGCCTGCAGCGCTCGTTGCCCTGCGACAGCTGGATCAGGATCCAGCAGCAGTGCCGGCGTTTCGGGAACGTGTCCCTTACGTGGTAATCTATGGAGAGCCCGGAAGTACGCTGCGCGAACTCGTCGTGGACCCGGGGCAGTTTCTAGAAGCGCGGCGACAAGGGCGCATCCTTCGCTTGAACACGCAATACTATGTGCGAAAGCAGATCTTACCGGCTTTGGAGCGCTGCTTTTCGCTGATGGGTGTGGATGTTTTCAGTTGGTTCCAGCAGGTGCCTCGAGTTGCGTACCGTGCTCCACACAGTCGGGGCGTTCCGCTTGGAGCGCACCAGAAAAGCCGCATAGAGCACTACCTTCCCGGTTTCTGCGCCGTATGTGGTGAGAGCTGTGCCCCACAAACAGAGGTTTGTCGTGTCTGCCTCACACGCATTCCTGATAGCCTCGCGATCGTCCAGCGGAAATTGCACACTGCACAGCAGCGTCTCTTTCGTCTTCAGGAGCTCTGCCTACGTTGCATTGGCGAAGGTATCACCGCAAGCGAATGCAGGGATCGCCCGGGCGAGCCATTAAGCGCAGGTGCTTGTTTGGCGCCGGAGCAGCACCATCAGCACCAATCGTGTTGGACGCAATGCTGGTATCCGCCTTGTGCACATATAGAATGTGCGCTGCTTGTAGAGCGAGACAAGGCCTCTTTGACGACCGCCACATACATGCATGCTTTGGGGGAACTCTCTGGCTAGTGCGTAAGAGGAAACGGGAATAAGCGCACATCGAGATATCGATCATGTTGGTGGCGCTTCTCCTCAGTCCGATCGAGGTGACAAGACTTTCTGGCTAACGTGTGCGCTTCCGTTGGGGTCATTGCGCTTTCAGCGTACGAACTTGGTGCAGATGGCGTCGGGTTCCGGGCACACTCCGAGGTATTCCGTCAATGCGCGAGCGCCGGGGCGTCCATCGGCTGCTGGCGAGATACGGCGAACGGTCCTCGAATCCGAAAGATAACAGTTACGGGGCTATTGGTATGTGTGTGTATGTGTGTCGCCGCGTATCTTGCTTGCTTGGGCGCGAGACTTTGGAGGCCACAGCACCACTGCTCGCACATGGGCGACTCTTCACACACGAATGCATTTCGCAGCAGAATCGATCATCGTCGGACGCGTAGCGAGGACTCGCGCGTACAGCTGCACGTTTTCGCCGACGATAGCGCGCATGAGGCGCCGAATAGGAGCTCGTTACGAACCGTAATACCCGCCACGCCCAGCAACCGCATGCCAGGGCGATATATCGCTTCCGCTTGTTTAGGCCTGGCACTCATCAGCGTATACGTCCAAAGTGTCATCCGTTGCCAAGGCTGGATACCAGCGTCAGCGAAGCGCTTGGTCTCGATCAGCGGGCATTGCATAGCGCATGAGCTCTCCGGATGCGGATCCAAGCCTCGCACAACGCCCCGCGACCACTTGTATATAAAGCGTTTGCTATAGCTCGCGAAAGGAAGCGCTTTTGCTGGTCATCGTGACACTCACGGTAACCACAACAACAGCATAGCGTGCCCGTCAATCAGAGTCTCAGCGCGTCTGGGAATCATACGCATGAACCGTGGTTCTTCTGGTTCGTCTCGAGTCCATGCGCAGCCCATAGTCGGATGATATTCATGGACAGTCATGCTTTCCATGGACACACGAGTGTCGATCATTGGTATCGACACCGTTGCCGACACAACTGGTGCGTCCCCATTTGCATCCATGCTCGCGTTGTATCCGCCGAAAGGCGCCCTGCGCTCGAGCGCGCTGGACACGTACCCTGTCGCGGGAAACGTCCTAATCTTGAAAGTACTGGCAATGAATGTACTACACTGTATTATTTCGTACTAAAAGGACATCAGTGTCCATCGCGGGAAAAGTCCTGATCTAGAATGTACGAACATCTAATGGATTAGAATGGATTATTTCGTACTAAAAGGACATCAGTGTCCATCGCGGCACACGCCGCAATCTAGAAAGTACGAACATCTAATGGATTAGAATGGATTATTTCGTACTAAAAGGACATCAGTGTCCATCGCGGGAAACGTCCTGATCTAGAATGTACGAGCATCTAATGAACTAGAATGGATTATTTCGTACTAAAAGGACATCAGTGTCCGTTGTTGGCCAACTTCGTGCCTACGTCATCGTGTGTCGCAATAGCGAGCATACGCATGCGTTTGTTTCTCAGGCCGCTCGGGGACGTTTTCAGGGCCTGCGCTCTTGTCAACCTCTTTATGTTGCTTCATATATGTTTCAAGGACCTGCACGAACATTTATAGGCACGTATGGGTGCACAAGGTATCAAAGGCTCCGAGCGCTCGCCGCATGCCGATCTGAGACTCGAGCAGAGCGGCGTGCGACGCAGCGGTTCGATGCAGCTGCTTCCGGTGCGCGACGGGCAAGCAAGCTTGGACACCGGCGGCGCCGCCTAGTGAAAACGCATGGCGCCTTGGCGATCCAGAGCTCACTCATCCAGCCAAATAACTTCTGGGGTGTCTGGAGCTTGCTCATAGGCTCAGCAACAGCTGGCGTCTGGTTCGAGCGTACACGCATCGGAGCGGCGCTCTCGGCACCGCTTCTCTCGTCGCTGCTGGGACTGGCGTTGGTCAACTTGGGCATCTTGCCGGCATCTGCGCCCGCATACCAGACAGTGAGTAAGGTCGTCGTGCCGCTTGCGATTCCGCTCCTGCTCTTCAACGCGGATATGCGTCGCGTCTTTCGAGAGACAGGTCGACTCTTGAAAGCGTTTTGGATCGGTGCATTGGCGACAGTGATCGGCACCTTCGTGGCGTGTGCCCTTGTTCCACCTGGAGCAATCGGTGCGGATAATCTTTATCGAGCAGCCGTGGCTCTGAATGCACGCCACATCGGAGGCTCCGTGAACCTCGTCGCTGTCGCGGAAGCCACCCGAATGGAGCCTGCATTGGTCTCCGCCTTGCTTGCCGCGGATAATATCGTGCTCGCTATTTACTTTCCGCTTATTTTCGCCTTGTCCAGTTCAGCAGCGAGACCAGATGCGGACGCGAAGCAGGCCGTTGACGGAAACCGCAGAGAAACCGACCTGGCAATGCTGTCACTTGCACTTGCGGTTGCGTTCGCGCTATGCTTCCTGAGCTTTGGGATCGCATGCTGGCTGCATCTGGAGTCCTTCGTGCTGCCGCTCCTGACGCTAATGATCGTCTCACTGGCAACGCTTTTTCCGCGACAGTTTCAACCACTCCAGACCGCTGGTACCATTCTGGGTATGTTTTTTATGCAAGTTTTCTTTGCGGTGACGGGTGCGTTAGGCTCCATCGGTGCCGTTATACGCACTGCACCTCTCTTGCTCCTTCTGAGTGTGGTTCAAGTAGGCGTTCATTTAATGGTGATGCTCATTTTAGGTAGAATTTTAGGTATTTCAAGGGACGATCTCATGCTGGCGTCCAACGCGAACATTGGCGGCCCGAGTACCGCTGCGGGCATGGCCGCATCCAAGCGCTGGACCGCTCTCATCGTACCTGCTATTCTTATCGGTGTCTGTGGTTATGCTATCGCAACTTTCGTTTCATTGGGTTGCTTGCCGTTACTCCCATATTTTGTCCGTGTGTTGCCCTGGGCGTCCGCACTCCAACGCCCATAGGGAGAAACGCCTCTACAGCGAAGCGAAGTTGGATGCTCGCACGCAGCGTTCTGGATCCGTTCTAACGAGACCCGTATGATGAACATGGTGCCCGGCGATTTCATGAACTGGTCCGCAACAATCTGGATCCGTTCTTGCGATGCTTCTCAACGCCGCGACTAGGTGGGATGCGTCTGAAAGAAGCCTGCGATATTTGGTTACGATGCTCGGATCGGTAGTGTGCCCTGCAAACGTTTGGTTCTCGTGTCCGAACAAAGTTCATGGTGTGCGCAGCACTTCAGCTTGCCTCGGGCTTGGAAACAATGCCACTACAAGTTCGAAAACATTAGTGACGCTGCAGATGCCTTCTAGTCGCATGAAAGCATCACTGATGGAAACGCTCCAAAAGTGGCCAGTATCACGTGTGCGCTTCTGCGGCTATCCTGCGGTAACGCGTGCTGTGCAGAGCCCCGCCGCTCTCGACTACACGCTCGACGACGGTTGCTCGCATAAACCCCAACAATGCCTCATCGAGTTGCGCCAAGGGCGCTTCTCGAAGTGCACGGTCGTATCCAGATTCGCATTGGTCAGGATACGACCTCATCGAGATATGCCAGGGTTTCGGTTTCGACCGATTCTGCGCAAATCGACAACTCCGAAACAGTAAACGCTCTTCGGGGGTGCCATTCAGCCTATCGAAATATCGGAATGTTTCAGTTGCATTGCGCTCTACCCAAGTTGCCAACTCCGGCAGCGTGAACGCTCTTCCAGCTGACGTTTTACCCTATCGAGATATCCCAAGGGATGCCATTGCGATGCGCTCTACCCAAACAGATAGCTTCGGAGCAGTGAACTCGTCTCATTAAAGTCGTGTTCTCCATCGTCGATGATGCTGGTTGCATCGGTGGGGAACACATCCGGAAACGGGGTCGTCTCCGACGCGGCCTGCTTCGTTCGAACCAAAGCATCTGGCGTCCGTAGCTCGGCCTCGTGAGCGCGCTCCGGTATCGTCCAGTCGCTGAAACTCGTATCCAGCGCGACTTCGCCGGTGTCGGTGGTAGCCAGCTTGTGCACCTGCTCCGCAACAGATGTCGCCAATCGCAGGACCTCCGTCGCGCGCTTATCCGATTCGCCAACCGTTGCGATGCAGGCGGCAAACGGGGCAAAGCGCTGGAGTTCAGCACCAGAATATTGCGGGGTGGCCTCATAGAGAACCGCAGCAAACGGCACAAAAAGTGCATCTCTCGATGAAGGCACAGTGGCCGGTGTTACCTGCAGGCACACCGGATCCGAAGCGTGTCGCTCTATATATCGCTCCAGGGCGAAGCAGAGGCTGTTCGGCGTGTGGTATTCGCGGCCCTCGAAAACGAGTGGAATATAATGCCCGCCCTGGAAATACTCCAGTATCCATCTTTGGAGCATGCCGGGTGCAGTCATCGTCCCCAGAGCTGTATACATGTTCGCTTCACGGTTGGCGGCCAGAAACAACAACCGTTGCCCTGGCGCCGGTTGCGCCGCCTTCAGTAGTCTCTCGACAACCAGCGCCACTTGCGCCTGTGATGACGCTCCGTGAAGCACATAATCGTACTCGAGCTCGGCTTCCTCGGTCAGAAGCATGAGTGAGCCGCGATCCAGAGCGATCGCCACGCGCCCTCGCTGCTTCAGCACATCATCCGCATCCCTTCGATGAAGCGCAGCGAAAAGGTAGCGACCAGTCGACGGTACAAGCGGATCGAAACGAACGCACGTGGGCACCAGCCCCAGTCGACAGCGCATCTTAAGTCGGAACGCGTGACGGCGTTCCCGTTCCCGCAGCAACAGACTCCAGGTCCGATTGCATTGTTCCCGGCATCGAACGAGGTCGCGGAGGAGTTCGCTCTCTACCAGGCAGGACAGGTCCGCTTTCGAGGCCTGCGACTGCTGCTGTCTTCGATACAGGGCTTGCCAGGCGACTGCCTGCAGGCACAGCGCTGCGAGGTGTCGGCGTACGCGCTGCACGGCTGCGGGCTCGTTCGTCATCGGCAGCGGCTGCCCCAGTGGCGAACGCTCGGAGATGGTGGCAGCGCTACCGGCACCAGCACCACGATGGCGCTGGTGCTGTACACGGCTTGCCAGCATGCTCCAGTAGAGTAGCATGAAGCGCTGGAGGCGTTTCTGCTTGCGTTGCAGTTCTGCGATAAGCTGATAGGCGCGAGTGCGTTCACGGCGTAGTGAATCCTCCAAACCGGTGACTCGACCTTGTAAAGTCGCCAAGAGCTGGGAAGACTCCGAGTCCGTCGACGTTCGCAATGTGTGCGCTTCTAGCTCTGCAGTGTTTTCGGTGTGAAGCGCTTTTTTCTGAACGCTTTGCAGCCGGTACATCAGCAGCCAGATACGTGCGACAAACAAGGCCGTTGTGGTAGCCTCCGTGGTCTCGAGTGGCGTCGATATGCCTTCGGCGTCCGCGAGTACACTATGCGTTGTCGTCGGTGAGAAGCTGCCCGGCTTCATGGGTGAGTTCAGCACCGATGACCCGCGTTCCACGGCATGGCGAAGACAGAGCGGTAGGATCTTCTCAAGGGCGTTGATGGCTCGCACCAGCGCTGCGTGGTGCTGGATCACCAGGTTCGCAATGGTTTGGCGCATGCTTTCATCGTTTTCGACCTCGAGCTGCTGTGCATAGCGTCGCAGCTGACTCTCTGCGTCTTCGTAGGCAGCTCTGGCTTCGGCGAGCTCGAAGCGTTCCACCGCACCAGGCTCTTCGTCGACGTTCTTCTGATGTGCTTTGAATGTTCGTTTGACGTCCTTGTAGTGGAGCTTTTTCTGACGAAATTCGCCGTAGCAGTAGGATTTGGTGAAATTTCGTCGAGGTTTGATCATGTTGAGCTCTACGGCTCGGCTGAAGGCCGAGAATGCATCGTGGACATCGCGTTCGGTGCGTCCGACAGTTACGAGGACTTCGCGCAGCTCCCGCGAGAACAGGTACTTGTCTACAGTCTCCTGACTCAGTTCTTCTTCGGAGATGACTTCACCTCGAGCGCGCAGGAGGCGAGCAACATCGATGAGCGACTCGGAGCACTGGCGTCCGTGCTCGACCATGGCCACCAGGTCGCTGTTGTAGCGCGCATAGTTCCGTGCTAATAGGTCGTTGGCCCGACGCACGTCCTTCAACGTTAGCAGTTCCAGACGAAGTTCGTGGTCATCCTCATAGACGTCCTCGAGATGAAGGCGCTCACGTATACGAATGCCGAGTTTTGCGCTCGAGAACAGCAGCTTACGAGCCGCCATTTCAACGGGCGTATACAGGTGCAGCGCGTCTCTGAGAGGACGCTGAACGTATTTAGAAGCGATCTACGTAAACAAGCGGCTAGGATACAGCTGATTGTACCAGAACTGGGAAGTGCAGTCCCTGAAGACGATGGTTGAAGCCTCCGGTGCGGCAGTAAAAACTGTTGGTGTCGTTCTCTTCAGGTCGCTTGAGAGAGGGCGCCTTCTTGAGCCCCACCTAGTAACCTGCCACAGGTACCCGAAGCAGGCTCTACAGCTTGCAAAAGGAAGGACTTGCCCAATATCCAAAGTAAACGGCGCCTATCCTGAGAAGCGCTTCGGTCTCTGCGTCGTTTGCGGCTTGGAAATCACGTGGAAGGGTAAAGTATAACGGTGCCGGGCGAGGCGAGGCCAGGCCAGGTCAGGCCAAGCCATTGTTTGCGTTATCGATGCTTCGCGCTATTGTGCCGGTGCGGAAAACAGGTGACGTGTACTGCAACCTGGTCAGCATTGGGTGCCTTCATGCCGCGTAACGTTCCCGGCTAGGCTGAGCCTTTCATGAACTGGGAAAAAGTAGCGATTGACTCGCTCGGAGCCGCTGCCGCTGGCAAGGCCTCCACAGCGGAGTTCTCTGGGAGTTCACCGGACTCGCTGTGTCTGCCGTCGACAACTCGAGACGCTTTGGGGTTGATCAGCCTGACGTGCGCCTATATTTATGAAGCGTACGCCCCAAGCGAATAGGTGAAGCAACTTGACACGGAGCAGCGGTATGTGCGGTCAACTGCAGCCGGTCGCGTGGGGCTTTGGTTGGGCGCTCGTTCGCTTAGCGCGTTTCTGCTGGATATTTCGAGAGATCCGCTGCAACCGTTACGTGAAAAGTAATCCAAAGAAATTGAGTCCGAGTTCTTCGAAGGCAGGAAGCGTCGGTCGGACGTGACCGGTGGCCTCGGTACTCGCCGTCCCATGTGCAAGTGTACGCTCTAGTTTCCTTTCATGAGGGCAGCATGCGATCCCGACGGTGACCTATAACGCCGTGAAGATACCGTCTGTGTGTGCTGGACCAGATTCCATGCTTCGAGAAAACACTGACTCAGGACCTGCTGCCTGCCGTGCAGTTACGATAGTCTGACCTGGAGCTTGCCCCGGTTTTGTTATCATGAAGAGAGGTACGCTCTGAAAGTTCCCAACCGCAGCTTCGTGAGTAGAGGCAGCAACCGGCGACACAGTCTATTGTATCAAAGCACCACAATAGGATCGCGAGCTAAGTTTCTAGGGTAGCCCTTTCGCAGAAACTTTTGTGCACGATCTTATGTGCGCCTGTTTGTACGTCAAGCGAGGCATTCGCGCGATGCCCAGTGCCAGCACTGGCGTGTCGCGAAGACACTAGCGCAACGACAAATCACGCCGTTGACTCGTTGATCGAGCACGGTTGCTGTGGACAGAGCGCTGATGTGATAATGAAAAGCTCGGAGCGCATACTGCTTCGCGCCCGCTGGAATAGCAACGAGCGGTGCTTTTGCACTCCAGTCGGAAACCGGGAATCGAAAAAAAGCCTCTTCCCAGCGGTCTCTCCAACGTACAGAGCGCTCCGCAAAGACGCTTTCGGGGATCCCCGGCCGCCACATAGACAGGAAGGCGCGCTCGCTTCAATGCATCTCATTCTCTGTGATGCGGAATGCGTGCATACAAGTATCTATCGAGCCGTCGAGGCAAAAGAAAGGGCATGACATGTACAGCGTAACAGATTCATTCTAATAGACAGTAGATCAATATAACCAGCGTTCTGAGATCAGCAGCTTGCCCCCTGTGACTTTGCACCTCCTATCGAAGCATAAACCGCTCTGTCGGTGACGCGATGTCGCTGGTTCGATCACGATGTCGCTGGTTCGATCACGATGTCGCAACATGCTCCTGGAACAACGCGCAGACGTTCATGGAGATGCTCCATGGAAAGCGGCGGATCCGCGCACGCATCCATCTCTCAGAGAAATGGTACCCAACTGTACATTTATGTACTTAATAAGAATAATAAGACATTGATGCGGATCCTCGTGCATCGGCATGGATCCTCGCTTGCCGCGAACGTTGATCGCAATGCAACTCGGATCGTCATCTGGTGCCGCGGCATCGATCGCGCACACGCGCTGCCTTTGATGCTCATACGCAAGCAGGATTCGCACCGTGATAGCGTTGCATTGCGTGCGAGCATAGGAAACGTTTTCCATGCATATGAGCCAAAGTTTATTGTCCACGATAACTGACCTGGCGTTGAACAAAACAGATACTGGGAAAAAAGGTCAACGTGCAACAACGAGCTCGCGGATAAGCGGTGTCGTGCACGACGACCGACGACACGAGTGGGTTGTTCCGCAGCTCCGACGCTACGCTTCTGCCACGCCACAGCGACTGCGATATATAGAACACGACAAGTCTGAACCCGATATAGGGTTTATTTTGTCACTGAACGCACGCGAGTCGGCGTTCTATTCCGGTACGAGAACACGCAAGCGTTGCAGCGTTCTGGTTCGACGACTTCAATTCACTTTGGCGTGTGCCTCGGATGGACGCTCCGATAAGCCACGTCGGTATTTCCGTTCGAAGAAAGTGTCTCCAGTGAATCCCGCTGCAATACAGCCGCAGACGCCGGGACATGAAACTGGGTCGTCGCGAAAGAACGCTTTTGCGGCACGATCGCAGCCCCGTGATGCACCGCAAGGTGTCTTCGAGACAATTCGTCGATGGCTTCAGAAGCACGAACTAGAATCCAGCAGTCTCTGCATCCGGCTTCTTGATGACTATCGGCACGTTGACGAGTTGCTTCAGTGCTTCTGGAATGCCGTCGAGGATGTGGCCGGGGGCTCCTCTGCCGACGTCCTGCTGGCGCTGCCGCCGCTCCCGTCATCCCTTGCCAGTGCCTTGATCGGTCACCTTCGAGAGTGCGCTGACGTCGGTGATGTCTTTGGCTCGCACGTGTTTCTCAACGCGTACGGACCCGATGAGGGAGCACCTCGGTTCTGTTTGCGGTTACGAAAAGGCTCGTCAGCTGCTGGTGGTGTCGGCGCTACGTCCCAGGATGATCCTTTTTGGTCCGATGACGAGGACGACTTTTTGGACCCGCGTTTCGCCGAACTTTTGCGCGCATCACGCGAAGAAGATGCGGGAGAAACGTCACCCGTAGCCGTGGGGCAAGATGCTGCCCCGACCGGCATCACGACCAATGACGACCTCGATACCAGACAGAAGCTGCAGTCCAGCGAGCTGTCCCTACCGTCGGATGAAGTGATTCTAGCAGAGAGCCGCGCTTGGGTCCAGCATATGATCGTCGATGCTGCTGTATGTCCTTTCATGATGTCCGCCGTGCGTGGTGGCTTACCAGCGGGCCAGGTACGCTATGCGGTATCGCACGCGACAACACCTGAGCGAATCTATCGTGAGTTTTGGAACGAAGTCGCCCTGCTTCGACGGACCCCTTCGAAGGACGTCTCCACCACGTTGCTGGTACTGCCAGAACTGGTACAGGGCATAGAAGGCTTTGATGCCATTACCACGCCGCTGAGTGCAGCGCTTGAAGCGCTCCAACTCGACGCCTTCATTCAACTGGTGTTCTTTCATCCAAAGTATGCATTTCGCGACGGTCGGGATCGCATCAATACGCAAGGTTGCACGGGCGGACACGCCGCGAACTACGTGCGCCGCTCACCCTACCCCATGATCAATATTCTGCGAACAGAGCAAGTACAGCGTGGGCAGCGGGGCATCCCAACGGAACTCGTTTATCGACGGAATGAGTCATTGATGCGCACCATTGGAGCCGAACGACTTGAACAAATGCTTCATCGACGATCTTGGGAGGAGCTTCTCCAACTCGTCCAGGACAATCGTCCCTATGCGGATCTCGAGGAAGCAGTCAAGCGTGTACGCGATCAGTTTGCGAGTTCCTGAATAGCGTCCTAACTCGCGCTGTAGTTGCGGCAATGAGACATGGCACAAAGACACGTTTCCGCAGATGCGGTGCCTCGTCTGCGGATACGTAAGGAGGCAATGCTCGGGCATTGGCGATTGTCCAAGGCACCATCGGGCGTTTCCGCGGTTACAGTGCCTCGTCTGCGGATACGTAAGGAGGCAACGCGCTGTTATCGGCTGGTGAGCGGGGAATGCCCCGCCAGGTATCAGAGGCAGCTCTGATATCCGCCTAGTTTTTCGCTCCGACGATGCTCCTGCGTTTGCTTAGCACCTTAAACATGCGTATGCTTTGTGGTGTGACTTCGACAAACTCGTTTTCACCGCTGATGTATTCAAGCGCATCGTCTAGCGTGAGCGTGCGAATCCCCTGCAACGTTTTCACGACCTCTTTGGTTGCGCTGCGATGATTCGTCAGCTGTTTCACCCGACAGACGTTCACTCGCAAATCCTCCGGATACTTATTCTCGCCAACAATTTGGTTTTCATAGACTTCAGCACCTGGCGCGACAAACAACTGGCCGCGTTCTTGCGCAGCCTCGACGCCATAGGTGGTCACTCGACCAGTCTCGTGGGCGAGCAGTGAGCCAACTTCCCGCAGTCGAACCTGACCCACGTAGGGCCGGTACGCTGCAAACGATGTATGAATGATTGCGGTGCCCCGAGTCAGGGTCAGGAGAGCATTGTTCAGACCAAATAATCCGCGCGTTGGTACGATATACTCCACAATACTGTACTGCTCATTGTCCTGACTGTGCGTGAGGTTCAACATTTCTCCCCGTCGCTTGGCCAGCGCGTCCACCACCGCGCCCAGATACTCCTCGGGAATTTGAACCTCGACGTGATCAAACGGTTCAAGAGGCGTATTCGTTTCCGGGTCCATTTTAAAGATGACCTCAGGAGCACCCACAATCATTTCGAATCCTTCTCGTCTCATGGATTCGATGAGGATTGTCAAATGCAGTGCTCCTCGGCCGCAGATGGTAAACGAGTCCGCCTTTTCGCCATCTTGAATCCGTAAGGCTACATTGGTACGCGTCTCGCGTTCTAGACGCTCGCGAAGTTGCCGGCTGGTGAGGAATCGTCCCTCGCGCCCCGCAAAGGGCGTCGTATTGATCGCCAAGGACATGCGCACTGTGGGCTCCTCAATCTGCACGGGTGGCAGCAGCCGCGGATCGGCAGCATCACAGATCGTTTCGCCGATGCGGATGTCGTCTACACCAGCAACCATGACAATGTCGCCAGCGTGCGCGCTCTCCGCGCTCACTCGACCGAGATTCTCGAAAAGGAACACCTCATCCACGCGGGCGGTCCGAAGTTCCGCCTCGTCCTTTGCAGGCGTGCCAACGCGGACAGTTGCACCTTTGCGCAGTGTTCCCGCGTGAATGCGCCCGATGCCAAGAATACCTTTGTAATCGTCGCTGCTAATGTTGGAGACAAGTAACTGCAGGGGCGCATCTAGTGCGACTCTCGGGCGCGGCAGTCTAAGGATCTCTTCGAACAGGGGTCCCATGTCGTTCGCCAGCTGGTCCGGTGCATACCCAGCAACGCGCTTCAGCGCTGACGCATACACCACCGGAAAGTCGGCCTGCTCATCCGACGCACCCAGCTCCACAAACAAATCAAAGGTTTTGTTCACGACGAAAACAGGTCGGGCAGCGGGGCGATCGATCTTGTTCACAACGACAAGAACGCGTTGGCCCAGGCGCAACGCCTCCCTTAGAACATAACGGGTCTGCGGGCGTGGACCCTCGACGGAATCGACCACGAGGAGCATCGCATCCGCCATGGAGAGGACTCGCTGCACCTCACCGCCAAAGTCTGCGTGACCCGGCGTATCGATCACGTTGATGCGGACTCCACGGTACACGACTGCAGTATTCTTGGACAAGATGGTGATGCCTCGCTCGCGTTCTAGCTCGTTACTATCCATGACAAGACTAGAAACAGTCTGGTTTTCGCGGAAGACTTTTGCGTGGTGCAGAATTGCATCGACCAGCGTCGTTTTCCCGTGATCAACGTGGGCACAAATGGCAATGTTAATAACGTCGTTGCGGGTTTTCAGTGCAGCTGACGCACGTGCAATAGCCTCTGGTATCGCAGAGGTGGTGCGCTCCGCCTGCGCTCGCAAGGCGCGTACCTGAAGCGTGTGTCGTGCGCTCCGCGGCAGCTGCCGAAAGCTCACTGGACGCCAACCGGGCCGACCAAACGACGTTGAACGATGCCAGAAAGAAGAATTTGGGCAGACTATAGTCTTTGGCAAAGAAAGATGACCGCTTGGCACAAAGCCGCTCAGTTTATGGGACATGCTTTTTGTTCTCAGGGCGCTGTTAGGAAACACCGACCGCGTATCCGGCGACCGCTTGTTCCATGCGATTGCCACGGGTGACGGCGGTTCACCGAGGGCCAGCCAGCGACGCAAACTCTGAATTATGGACATACTTGTTCAAAATATGATACACTTCTCGGGTGCTGCGCTCTCGTGTAAGACGCGTCGCAGCCAGCCCGTCCTCAATCGTCGTATACTACTACCAGACACAAAACTTACCGATCTTGATGTAGAGATATTGGATCGAATTGTGTTCCTATGAATGCCCAGAAACTACCCGTGACAAGCGAAGAGCACTCTGTTCCCCGAGAAACGCATGAAGAGGTTTCGCACGGCCCCAGACTAGTCCTTGCGTCGGGCGTAGAGGTGGGATCGATCTCGCGATGCTTTGGTACACTCTCTGGTGTATGCTTGCTCGGCGGCAGCCGCGGTCACCGTGCGGGGGCAGCACGGCCTCGGGCACCTCGCGGACGTGCGCCGGAGGGCGCGGCGGGTTCCCTGTGTGGCCCCGCGCGCTGCATGCGCCCGCATCGTTCCACGACCTTCCATCACCGGCCAGCGCTGTATAGCCGCATCCGTGCAGCATCTGTACGGTATCCGGGTGTGCATCTGTTGAGAGCATCTGGGAAAGCATCCACGTGGCAGCGCAGCTGTCGACGCGCGTGCCTGCCCCTCCGCCGGAGCGTTCTCGAAGCTGGGCGATCACCAGAGCGAGCGCGCATCGCGCACGCCACAATTCGATGACTCGAGATGCGCTCTCAGCGCTACTTGTCGCGCATAGAATGTTTGTGCCTCTAGCTCGATATACAGCAAGTGCAAGACAGGAGCGGGCTTTTGCGTGTTCCAAGGCTCAACATTCGAGACGCGTATCCATGTCGACTGGCAAGACTGTGCTTTATAGTGCGCCAAACTCGCGCGGCGCTATGGTCGAGTGGTATATTCGATCGATCAAGGCGCCAGTAGAAGTTGTAAACCTGGATATGGGCAAGGGAGAACACAAGTCACCAGAATTTCTTCGAGTGAACCCGTTTGGTAAGGTTCCAGCGTTGGAGGAGACCGGCCCAGAGCCCTGGTCATTGAACGAGTCGGGAGCGATTCTCTACTACCTCGCCGAGAAGTATGACCGGAACTTCCCGAAGGACGCGCATCAAAGAGCTCAAATACTGCAGTGGATTCTGTTTGCGAATGCTACACTGGCGCAGACTGCTTTTATGGAATCTCTCCGAGAGAAGCAGTTGCCTGGACTGCTTGCAGCTCTGGATCAGCACTTCAGCAAGCATACCTTTGCTGTAGGGGAGACGTTCACCGTTGCGGATGTAGCGTTGGGCTCCTATCTCGGCTATATTCCGATGTTTTTCCCTGGGAAAGTCGATATGACGCCGTACTCACACCTGAATGCGTACATGGAGCGGGTAAAAGAACGTCAGGCGGCCGCGAGTGCGTGAGAGCAGCTCAAGTTGAGTTTGGACGGTAGGTATGGCACCCAAGCGGCGCACGAAAATGCCAGCAAAGCGAGCGGGCGCGTATCGAACGGGTTCTATGGCTGGAGCCCGAAACGTTGCGGATGCGTTATGAGCCGCGGGCCGGGTACCTGCTGATTTTTTTTGGATGAAGGTAAGAAAGCATCAGAAGCGCAACGCGGCTCCTGATGTGCTACATGCTGATATGCGCAGGGAAAGTTTGGCGCACGCTTAACTTAATGTAAAGCATGAGGAGTAATTGAGGATGTTCTCGTTCTTCCCATTGCTCTTTGCGGCGACAAGGCAGACCTTCGAACGCGCTGAATGCTGCTGCTGTCGCTCAAGTGCTATAGTTCATGGATTCGTTGCGATGCTCGCGTCATTCCCGAAGCTTGGATACGCGCGCTCGTCTGCATGAGAGAAAGGCCTGGGAGCGTCTTCGAATACCACGTGACCGTGTCATAGCAGCGGCTACAAATGGTTTTCTCTGACACCCAGCAGAAAGCGTAAAGAAAAGCAATGTCTCCCTAGCGACCGCAAAAGCGATGAACGCTTGCTCGCGGACGCGGAGAAGGATCTGCCCATGTCCGCGCGCCTGCCGCTAGGGTTTGCTGACTCGCCTTGCCAATGGCCTTCACTAGCAAGCTGCCGAGTTCAACGTTTGGTTTGCCTAACCATGGACCTCTGAGTTGCTTTGCGTGCGACCTACGCCAGACAGTAGCTCGCAACCTTAAGTGGTGTAACTGGCGATAGTACGCATTCTTGGTACATGCGCCACTAGAACCAGGTAGAGACCTCCATGAGAGCCTCGTCACTGCAGCTTGAACTGAGAACACTCCTATTCGATTTCGTTGGACCGCGGGATTGTCTAAACAAAGCACGAGATCCTCGACTGCGCGATGTTTAACGTCGCAGCAGTGAAGTACGGAGCACCCGCGCTAGCACGTCGTTCTTGTTTGATTTGATTTTCTCGCAGATATTCTTCACAAGGAATGCTTCCAGTATCTTCAAGAAAAGTCGCTGGGATGCTTTATACTGTCACAGCTGGCTTGCGAAAATTATCGGCCTCTTACAAGCAAGTTATTCCAAATTCAGTGGGTGGACAAACCTTCCGCCTCGTCGTGCATATGCACGCCGTCATGCGCCCAACGCAGAACTTTTCTTTAACTCTGTTTACACAACTGTATCTTCGTCAATCCATTCCATTCCGTACCTTGTCTTCGCGAGACTGCCAAAGAAGCCACGCGATGTGAAGTTCATGTTCCGTTGACTCGATCGCTGACGAACAAACACGGATGGACGAAAAAAAGCAGGCTTCAACCGGAAGCGTCCAGCGTTGAATACCACGCTATCGATATCGGGCGGAAACGCGGATGCGCATTTCATGGGTGACGGGCATTCGTCTCACTCGATGACACTTCACTCCGGAGATGTCGTCCACCGGTAGATGGGTACACAAAGGGCAGCAAAACGCCGTTCGTGAAACTGAGACATGCAAGCATGACGACAACATCAGCCCTGGCCGCGGTTCGATCACATGGTTATCGACAATTCGAATAACGCGCAAGTTCCTACGAAACCTGATGCTTCGTCGAAGCACGCTTCGTGGCTTCTCACTGCGATACGCTTCCGTCCTACTCTTCGATAATGTGACTTTCGATCGTTCAAAAACGGTCAACAAGTAAACAGGTGAGATTGGCACTGAGCGGCGCATCGAGCTAGCCTATTTTCCCTGGTTCAGTCCAGTCCACGAAGCCTTCTCTGTTGTCAAACGCCTCGTTTATGGCAACAGATTCATAGACGAGTCGTTCGCATCCGTGATCCCTTTCTTCGGAAAATCGTTCTGTACCTTTGTTAGCCCTGAGCTGCTGTGCAGGCGCTATGATCATGCACGGGAGAGAGAGAGAGCTTATGCACTTCGGTTCATGGGCGTGCTCGTGATGAAGAAAATGACGAAAATGTCGGTAAGAAATAGGCGATACACGATTAGAGAAGGCTAGCTTCGGGAAAAACGTCCAGCCAGAGTTCCGAAGAAAGAACGGTTATGGAGTACATCAAATACTGTTACGCAACCCAGCCAGGTAAAGGAAGATGGGAAGACGGGGCTGGTCTCTGCGAGTAGATACGAAAGATGCGAACAACCTCACGAAAAGCATCTGCGATGCTCATTCAAGCTTCCTTGTTTACGGAGAAGAAATGAAAAGAAGTTTACCGGGAAGATGCGGATCGGCGACATGTCCATCTGCATGCACTTCATGAAACCTAGGCCTACATCGAGCAACGGAGCTTATTTCCATTCATTCAAGGCAAATGAAGAGCAAAACTTTGTGATGAGCATGTATCCCGGGTTCGAGGAGGTTACAGCGGCCGCCGAACCCTGAAATCATGCGCATGGATCAAAAGACGTCAATGGAAAGCAAGCCAAGCGGCTAAACGGTTTCAACATTGACTAGTATAGAGAGTCGGGCATGGCAGACGCCAGGACGCATACGAACAAGAGGAATGACGGCGTCGAAAGTTATCTCGACGTTCTGAGCACCGCATCGAGCATGGCGTTATGCTTTGTATGTCTCGTTCGGAGCGCATACAAGTGTCCAAGTTGCACGTGCGGACCGTGTTTCGTGGACATGGACAACACAGAGCTGGAGTCGCCAATGACGTGCATTAGACGGGGTATGAAATGTGCATCCACCAACTGGCTCAATATCCAGGGAGGGGATATAAAAGACGCATAGCATCGTTTGATGGTGATAGCAAATTGCACTGGACGTGCCGTGGTACGGAATGGGTGGACTCCTGCATTCTCGCCGATAGCGTACCACGAGTGCAGAAATCGGCTCTGCTCAATTCCCGTCGATGCGGTTACAGCGACATACACACGTCATGAGCACGGGTGAACGCTCTGACAGACACAGAAGAAGAGTTTGGAGCGGATCCGTGCGCTTGAGTTTTGTGCGAGGTGAGCCAACCGAGCATCCGATGCCGAGGCCATTAAAAATAAAAAGGCTCGCTATGGAGTTCTTCGATCGGCAACTATATCCGCGCAAGCACTTTCCGCACCAAAACGTGACCGCTCCGATTAACATTCGAAGATGTCTCGTACTTCAGAAGCGTCCGGTGGCTTTACGTCGAGCGATTTTCTTCGATGCAATCATTCTGGACTTAGTGTAGGTATTGCGCTGAAATATACAAGACTTGCGTTGAAAAAATCAGTGGCCAAGAGCGCGAGCTTGGATTCCCGCCTGGAGCAACCCACAGGGGTGGCACGGTTCAGGAATCCAGCAAGGCTCCAGTACCGCGCACATCTTTCCACCTGAAACGATTTCTATGGACAGTCGGTAGACGATCATCATATTCCATTATTCGATATTCCTAGCAATAAAATCAGCTCGATGCGAATTGCTAGCCTATATAGGTGCACGCGAAAGTGAGCAGCGCTCTTTTGCAACCTCGCGCGTCTCGGATGCGTGCAGCGCCTCCGAAGTGACGGATTTCATGGACGCTCGTGACGTCCGATTTTTCCATGGACAAAACGTCTACATTGGCCAGCGTGCTCCGATTACGCGCTTTTATCTTCTTTCTTTTTTTCTGTGTTTTTTTGCAGTGCGCGGTGACGTCCGATCCGTTTCCGACACATGCTCAGATACGCCGCAACTCAAACTCAGGGTAAATTATCTCATGAGCAGTATTCACTGGTAACTTTGAAAGATCACTTCCAGCCGTAACAGCTACCGCTTGAGAATACTGAGGCAATCGCATTGCCAGCGGCATCTGGAGCTCAACGACGCCATCGCGTTGCCGATCCTGGAACTTGCCTCGCTCTCCGAGCACGCAAAAGTCGCTCCGTCTCCGTGCGAGGCACGCGCAGTGGCCGTCGATGCAGCGCCGTCGCAAGCGTCCACCACAGGCGCGCTGGGAACACCCATATCAGTAGTGGATCCCTCCAACTTCTATTTCAAACAAGAGGCCCGTTCTACACCTTATGGAACGTACTGATCTTTAGAAAGCAAGGATAATCCTATTTTGGACTGCTGTTCGGCATGATGCATCCCCAGGGTGCTCCTTCAGATCGTCGACCTACCAGCGTCCAGCAGCGCTCGCGAGTACGCGGCAGTGTGCGCGCGCTTGACACGCGGCCCGCGACACGCATCGCGTTCGCCAACGAATCTGCATCCGCACCTGTCACGTGTACTGACGAGAAACGGGGCGGGTAGCAACGCCTTTGGACGGAGGGTTTGTGTTTGCTGCTCGTTGCAGCCGTTCTGGGTGCACTCAGTGACTACGTGACTGGAGCTGCGAGGTCTAGGTTGGGTGCTGACCTCGCAGTTGACTGCTCATCGACCGCTTTTTTTTTTGTAAATGAGCGCACCCGTGGAGCGACTCGAGGAAATTGACGTGGCAGTTCAGCGGGCTGCGCAAGACTTTAGCCTTCGGGAGTTGCACTTCCACGCGCTGCCGGCGGTCTATCGGCAGGAACTGGAGGAGCAAGAAGGTGCGGTATCGCAGCGTGCGAGTGGTCCCAGGTGCAGCGTTGGTGTTGCGGTGAGCGGTGTGCCTGCAGAGGCGGCGGCGCGCAAACTCGCGCGCGACACCCGTGCGGACATCCTGCTTCGCGTTACGCTCGGTGAACCGCGCATTGGCTCTTTCCAAGCAATAAGCTTGCGTCGCCAGAGACTGCGTACGAATTCGGAACTGGAGGTATTCCAATGGCTGGAGCGCCGTCTCGAAGGCCAGGGCCACGGCGTCGCGGATCCGAGCACAGGAAGCGCTGCGGATGGAGGCGCGCTCCTCTTCCGCATCACCGGCCCTGAAGGTGTGCAGCATGTATTTACAGGTTGGTCGAACGATTGGATACAGTGCACGGCGGTTTTTCATGCGAACTTTTTTGATGATCTAGACATGCTGGTGGACGTGCTCTGGAACCCGCCCGAAAACGGAACATCTGGAGGACAGGCCACCTCCACGAGCCAGTTTATCGGCAGAGCGGCCATCATGGCTTCAGAGCTCGTCGAGATGAAGGGTGTACTGCAGCGACCGTTGGTCAATGACGCGCATAGCGTCATCGGTGAATTCCGGTGCGAATACTGTGTGATTAAGCCGTACGCGGGTACCTTGCCTCCGCGAATGGCACAGTTGCGTTTCAGTCTGAATGAAGGAATCAATGAGCGCAAGAAGATCCAACTTATCGGTCATCGCGGGGCTGGTAGTCAAAAAACGCGCAGCCGCGTCCAGGAAAATACGGTGTTGAGCTTTCTGACCGCGATACGCAAGGGCCTGGTGGATGCGATCGAGCTGGATGTGCAGTTGACCCGCGATCAAGTACCGGTCATTTACCATGATTTCTTCATCCGTTGCGTAGACGAGGACGACGTCGATGAGAGTGACGACGAGCGTTTTCGGACCGCGTGGAGCGCTTCACCCGTTCGCTCGGATCGCGGTGCGCGTCTCAACGAGAGCATGTTGAACGGCTCCCGGGTTTTGACGCGCTCATCACGGACTCCAGATGACAGTGCCGAAGACGTACACTGCACCTGTGAAACGGCCAACTTAGAGTATGCTTCGGAGCGTGACAGTTGCAGAGCGTCTGCAGTCTCGGCGAACAGCACACACCATGTTGCAGCAGCGGATGCAACGGCCCCGCCGTCGACGAACACGCTGACGAATGCCTCGACGAGCGATCAGCCGCACTGTCTCCGGGATCATGCTCGGGCGAGTGGCAAGGCGAACCAACCGAAATCGAGGCGTTACGGAACACCTATTTATTCTCTAACGTACGAAGAGTTCAAGAGCGCGTGCCGCAGCATGCCCCGTTCGCGCAGCCGCGGCGGTAATCTCCGTGTCCACGGAACGACACCGCAGAGAGAGCCGCGCTGGTCCGATGAGTGGTCGGATTTCACGCGGGTGGCATCATCGGACGGGAACCTGGGGTATCTGGTACGCCATTTCTCCGAGAGCAGTGAGCGCACCGATGACGCGAATCCTATCGCGATGATACGGGACAACGCGCTGCCGTCGCTGCGTCGCGTTCTTGATCGGGTTCCCGAGGAAATCACGCTTCTTGTCGAAATCAAGTATCCAACACCAGAATTAATGAGAGAAACGTCGCTACCCTATCCGGAGCGCAATCACTTCATCGATCGCGTCCTCGAAGTCATTTTCCAGAAGGGCAGCCTCAAGCGTCGCATTGTCTTTCTCAGCTTCGACCCGGATGTTTGTCTGATGGTTCGCAAGAAGCAAGCCATTTACCCGGTATGCTTCCTGAATGCGGCTGGACGAAGCGCCATGAGTGAACATAGCGACCCGCGGGCACTTAGCGTAGCGAACGGCATCGCGTTTGCGGTCTGGGCCGGCCTCGACGGCATGGTGCTTCTGTGTGATCTGATTTTCGAAGAGCCTGGTATCGTTGAAATCATTCATTCCGCTGGACTCAAAGTTTACTGTTACGGGAGCTCTACCGCCGAGCCTCATTACTGTGAACAGCTCATTCATTGGGGTGTCGACGGTATTATCGCCGATCGGGTCGGCTACATTGCACGAGCCTTGAACCCACTCTTCATGGCGAATGCGAATCCGGAAACGATCGAAACCGCGTAAGCTATCAAGATGATTCACAGGGCCCAGTGCTGCGCAAAATCGGTCACCAATGCGAAACCGAAAGTGGGTTCAGAAGCAGCACCTGACCCGATGAGTGCGACACCGCGTCGGTACTGACGCAAGCACGACGTCTACACGCGAGCGACCGGCATGCCGGGCAACGGTGTTACGGTCGACAAGTCGCACCGTCGACGCACCCAAGGACGAGCGTCGTCGGCGCTTTGTGCCGTGCGTGCACGTTCGTGCGTCGTGAACTAGAGCGCCACCAGCATCAACGGTATCATCGGTATCACCTCGGGGCGATCATTTGCCTTGAAGCGACGCTTGGTCGTTTGCGTATGCCTCGAGACGCGATGTGTGCCGCGGTCCGACGTGTACGCAGTGCGGCAAGTACCGCAGCAGCATGACGACCTTACCAATACCATGCAGGATATCGCGAGCGCCGGACGATCGATGCTTTTGTGGATTTCGCTCCAACACTGTGGACAGTGGGATTTGGTGCACACGACGTGGGCGTCCATCGCTGGGGTCGGCAAAGGTGCCGATCACGCGCTTCGCCTTGTGATTTCGATGTATTGGGAAATGCTCCAGGCACAATGCCCGAACGATCGAACGAATGCTATACAGCACCAAGCGCTGCAGGGACCCAGACCAGACCGCAATGACAGGCAGGGCTATTTGTGATGGGCGAAGCTCGTCGTGATGCTAGCGGGGCGATTCTGGGGTCATCCAGCATGATATAAAATCATTTCAAAGAGCGCAGGGAACTCGCTCGTTCCGTGGGAGTGCGCATCTGAGTAATCCCGGATGCTGATGAAGCGACTTGTTCTGCTCTCGTGCTCGAACAGAAAGGTTACCATTTCAGATACAGTGTGTAAACAACATCTCGAGCACCTGCGGTTACAAATGCGTTGTTTCGGACGCAGGTCTGCGTCGGTCTCGGAGGCATTCGTTTGGAGCTTGTGTCCGGGGCACGCGTTCCCGAAACGCTTTTGACACCGTCTGGCGCTGATCCGCTGTACCCTTTCTAGCATCGGATACGGATACAGTTGGCGATTTCACACGGGGAGCCGAATGTTGCACGGGCGTATCTCGAGGCCAGCAAGCATACTGCTATTACGCTTGCCCGTGTGGTGCGTCTGCGCGAATACCCTGGTGATGGACCCGACCGTCCAGGTCTGTTCATGGTCCGACCGAGGCGCTCGATGACACAGGCCTCTCGAGTGCATTCCTCGGAGCTGCAGATTCTAGACAAACTTGGGAGACGGTCCCGCTGAATTGTCTCGGGCCGAATCTGAACCCTCATTCGTACCGGACTTTGCCTCTAATAAAAGCTGCGTACAACGAAACAGCGCAATGGGATGGTGGACGACCCCACGGGTCTCGGGTGTCGCTCGTGTGCGCACCTCAGCGTCCCATACTTGGGTAGTACGGCCGGCGTGCCGCAGCCATGCCTCTACCTCCAAGTCACCGCTGAGGGCGGTACCAAGAAACTGGCTCGAGAGCTGCACGGTTGCAAAGTTAATACGGTTTGGCGGTAGGCTTATATAACAACCGTATCCACATGCAGTGTCAGCAAGCGTGACGATGCTGCCTGCGTGGAGGTATCCGTTCGCTGCTAGCAACGAAGGCTGAATCGGCAGTGACGCGACGACACGACCATACTCAACGTGGTCGATTCGGAAACCAACTAGCCGCGGTAGCCCCGTTACGCGCTCATTCAACAAGCCCACGAGTGACGCCCAGTCCTTTGGGGTACGCTCACGAGTCCGTTGATCGGCGTTCTGGTGCTCGCCTGCGCGGTGGCTCTTCCGGCCTGAACCACTGGATGCAACTCGGCTCCGTGGTTGGCTCCAGCGTGACGATCGGCCTCGAGGCCGTTGCAGTTGAGCCAGAAGCGGTAGTCTCCAGAGCGATTCACCTACAGGCCGAGAAAGCATGGACCCGTGACACCACACGCAGCGCTGCTGGAGCAGTACGCACCCTGTTTATCGCACACGATCGCTGCGTCTAACCAGACCCTGCCCGCTCCGATGGTTTTGTCGACAACCCGAGAACGAGACTAGCCCAGATACCCTACGATATTGAAACGGAAGCGTGTATATGTTTGTGTTTGCCGGTCAAGGGTAGCCAGGTTGCTAGCGATCAACGCGCTGCTCGAATGCTGATAATGAGCGCATCGTCAGCGATCCGCTGCTTCTTGCCGCAGGTGGTAAAGCGCACTTGCACAAGCACGAGCACTCGAATATTTCACCAACCATATGTACTCGTTTGACACAACGTTTACATAAATCATGAATTCCCGATTGCGTGATGCATCTTGGCATTCGAGTGAGCACTGATCATGCTTCACATCTACCTCCAGGTACCCGGATGGAAACTTGCTCTCGGATGCGCCAGCTGGTCGATGATTGTGCCTGCGCAGTCGCAGGGCCTGGGGCGAGGGCGTCTACCGGCGCCTCTGCAAGGCTGAGCTGGAGGTCCTCGCTCCGGGCACTAGACTTTGTTTCATGGAGGATCTCTGAATCTAGACAGGGATACCCGAGTCTGCCACTTTTTTATCTGTCTGTGTGGGAGCAATCAGCGATCCGTCGCCATTCGGTTGTGTTGCTCTTGTTTCAGCCCAGACTTGTGCTCCGGGATCATGGATATGGCGCACGCTTGTCGCGCAGCGGCCTGGAAGGACACTGAGCGCACGAAGCGCCCTCAAAAGGTTCTCCGCATCGAAACGAGTGGATATGCGGTTCGAGCGATGCTGCAAGCGGGTTGTACATTGAGACATCTCGCTTGAGGCATCTGGGCTGACGCTCCTGGCGTTCATCGCCCAAACGGGGGAAACCAAGCCTCCGAGCAGAGACACGTGCGTGCTGCGTATCGTTCACAAACCACGAATTGCACCGATCCGTCGCATTCTGGACGATAATGACGCCTCCAGTGGGCGCCTGCATACGGTTGCTGCGCGCTTTTCCAGGAGCCCGAGATACCTGCGAGGCGGAGGCGCTCGACAGAGCTACCCGATGTGCCGCAGCCTGGGGCGCGTTGGCGAGACCCGCGCTGCTGCTGCTGCTGCTGCTGCTGCTGCTGCTGCTGCTGCTGCTGCGTGATCTAGGGGATACGTCCCCGTCTATCGGCTCGAACAGGTCACTTGTCAAGCGTCGATATTTCCGTGGATGCACCAGTTGGCAGCGGCCGCGCAGATGCGCAAGATTCGATCCAGAGCGCATCCACGGGAATCGAAGCCTCAGCTGCATCCACCTCGCCGATGTGCACATGGAGTCTCATCGAAGGAAAAACATTTTTGTTGTTCATTCTGACTAGCACGAGACCATCCTATGATGCGTAGACTTTGGGCAATTTTATGCATTACAGCAATTGCACTGGTGAGCGTGAGGCCGGCACGAACGATGCCCGCGGATGTTCAGGTGCGCAGGGACGTGGATCTGTTCCACTCGTTTGGTCGATATCTGCGCGAGAAACTGGTGCACGGACGCGAGGTGGTGTTCGATCGACCACTTGTGCAGTTTTTTCAACGCGCGAGCACGCAAGGCGAGTGGTTCAAACACGTCCTGAAAGGCTTGGAGGGCTACTTTCCCTTTGATCCAAACCTGAGTGGTCAACTGAGCCTCTTCTTCAGCGCGCTTGTCGAGGGAACCTGGTTCGAGCCCCAAAACAACGGCACCTGTCAATGCTGCGACCCGTCGAACCCGTTGTATGCGTATCATGTGCATATCGGAATGACTGGCAACGCCGGCGAAGTGGTGATCTCGTACAATACCCAGGAGAAGCCACCGCAAAGCTGCCTCTACGTCGCCGAAGAGCACACGAGCAACCAGACCAAGTTCTGCACGGAGGATGTCCGGACGACGTCTCTGGGATCCGGCCTGAGCCCCTTCCTGTGTACCGGTTGGTCCGGCTATGCGAGTCATGTGAAAGTGAATGGTCTGCAACCGGGCAAACGCTACACCTACACGATTCCAGGTAGCCCCGGAAACGTGTCGTACACATTCATGGCGCCCTACGGGAACACCACAAAAACCACGAAACTGGCGTACTTTACGGATATCGGAACCAAAGGCGGCGAGCCGGTTATCAATACGCTGCTGTCGCGGCTCGATGATTTCGACTACATGATCATGCCTGGAGATCAGAGCTATTGCGACGGATATCACGGATGCTTCGATGCATACATGAAGTTGATACAACCTCTCGCAGCCCAGAAGCCGTATATGGTTGCAACCGGCAATCACGAGGGTCCCTGGAATTTCTCGTACGTGCGCACCAACTTTTACTTCCCGGTGAGTGAGAGCGGCGCGGCGCCTGATGCGCTCTGGTACTCGTTCGATGAAGGTCCAATCCATTTTGTTATGATGAATTACGAAAATTACTTCGATTATCCCGATGGAGAATGGTCCATGACCCAACCGGCACCGATTAGCACCTATCCGGGGCAGATCGAGTGGCTTCGTCGCGACCTGGAGGCCTTCGCCAAGCGCCGCGAACACGATCCCTCGCTCTGGCTGATCATGATGGCACATCGACCGCTCACCTGCAATGTCACCGACAAGAGCTGCAATCATTTTGGACCGATCCTCGAGCAGGATGTGTTTCCACTGATGTACGAGTACAAGGCGGACATGTATTGGTGCGGTCATGTGCACGCGTATGAGCGTGTCAGCCCCATCAACAATGTGACCCGCGAGCTATGCTCGGACTGCGTACGGGATAACGCGACGTTGTACTACAAGCCGCCGTATCCTGTGCAGATCATGAACGGCATCGCAGGGCGTGCAGTCGCCGACAATGATTATTTCACCCCTGGTGTGAGCTATCCACCGTTTGTGGCGCAGCATTATAGCTCGATCAATTACCCCTATGGTGGGTATGCGCTGGTAAGCGTGGACAACAACGTGCTCAATTTCACGCTCTACAACACCAGCGGTGCGGTACTTGACCATTTTCGTATTGAAAAGTGAGCATGGACAGGACTCTGCGAGGCGATAGCAGGGATGGAAAAGGAGACGCGGCTGGTACCATGGACGCGCGTGCTGCTAGCCCCGCAAGTGCATCGTTGGGGCACATACACACACCGTTCACGGCGGGTTCGCGAGCAGGCACACGGCCCAGTGTATACTCGGGTTCTGGTCCAAGACGAGGATGCACAAAGTCGTGGTATGCGCCGGGGTGACGTATTCGCTTCTACGAAAAAGCTTGCACTCTATGGTTTTTCGAGCAGATTGCCCCTGCGTTGGAACCAGTAGTCGACTGATGGCTCTGCCGCGACGCCCTTTTCGAGTCGCTGCGAAGCAGGCAACAAGTTGCATCACAGGGCGGTGCGCTTTACTGCTGGCCGGACAGATAGGTAGAGGGTGTTTGTTACGGACAGCTTCTCATTCATGGGTAAACAGAGTGACGTACGGTGGAAAAGCCGGCTCCGTAGACACAAAAGGAGAGACCTCCATCTTCCATTTTCTCGTTTCACAGCGTAGCACATGCGGTGAACAACCTCTGGCGGCGCTGGATGAGGCGAGCACTCTGAAAAGTGCACGCGCTGTGCACTGCCGGTAGCCTGAACGCCAAATGCCGACTCTACTGGCAGCCGCGAGCACCTCTGGTCTGGGCCTCGTCGATAGTGCAGGCGTGTCCAGAGTATACACACACACACACATACAGAGAGCGAGAGAGAACCACGCTAGGTGGCTATACTCGTGGTCGACGCGCTGGAACAGGCTGGGCGACGAAGCACGAACTGTCGCATGGATTTCGGTTCAAGACCTGCAGAGTCGACCGGACAAAAGCAACCCAGTAAACCTCATTCATTGCCTGTACCTCGGTATGCTTGTGGGCGTTTCGTTGGTGACTCGTGATCTTCCTGGACCTTCGACCCCGTTGTGTGGCGCTTAAGCTTGTTATCTGCCTCTGCGACCAGGCAGCGAGAAGCTTTTCGCGATGCTGGTAACATGTGACGTTGCTGCCGGCTTTGTTCGGCATGTTCAGTTGCACCTTGAACACTGCAAGCTTCAAGAGATGGCGGAAATGAAACCGTGCAACCTCCGGGACGTGATCACCCTATGGAATCCGCAGAGAAGTGGCCTGTTGTTGCAGCTTCTCGCGCAGACCAGAGGTCAGCATGCACTGGGCGCTTGTCTGCGCGCGTACATGCATCTGCACTGCTACCTCTACGCGAACGATAAGGACTGGTCCGGTTCTCGTAGGACGTAAAAAGTTTCTGTGGCGAGGCAGTGGTGGCCTCCTCCGTGGTCATCGGCAATGTCCGCGGATCTCCGAAAGTCCAGACAGAATCCGGGATCTTGCACCGTCATCAAACATCTGGACGCATTCATGAAAACTCTGGCAGAAACGGGGATCTTGCACCGTCATCAAACATCTGAACGTATTGATGAAAACTCTGGCAGAAACGGGGATCTTGCACCGTCATCAAACATCTGAACGCATTGATGAAAACTCTGGCAGAAACGGGGATCTTGCACCGTCATCAAACATCTGAACGCATTGATGAAAACTCTGGCAGAAACGGGGATCTTGCACCGTCATCATCACCACCATCATCACGTACCAGGCGGGGGTCTCGCGCTGCTTCGCTGCAGGCGAGCGGCTGACAGAGCGTCGAACGACAACTACGGGATGTACCGCACCCACCGGGGCGCTCGATTTAATGATCTCGTCCGTAGAGGAGCACTCGTCTGAGGATGACGGTACACGGCATTGCATGCCAAGGAGCTGGGATCTCTGTCGAGGTCCCGTCCCCGGGCAGCGTGGACAAATCCATGAATGCATACCTCATGAGACACATCAATCGCATTGTATCCGAGAGCGCAACACAGGGCACAGGGTCGTTCGCTCGTCAAATCTGAGCACCCGTGCGGAACTCGGGAGAGGCGTTGCAAGAACCCTGAAGCATGCAGCAAGAAACGAAGGTTTCTTCCCGAGTTATTAGCGGCAGCGGCGCATCTGACGGTGCCGAGTTCGGATCATCGTTCCTACGTACCATGCCTGTAACCAGAGAATCTTCAAGTAGAAAACACGGGCAAACGGGCCTCTCTCTGTCGCACGCTGGCATCCGCTGCTTTAGGTTGCCACCTATATTGCCGCTCGCAACGGGACGGCGTTGTCACCTGCCTAGCTCCGAGCGTGTGCGTTCCGCAAGCCTCTGTCACTGGGAGCGCCAGTACGATGCGTCATCGCTGCGTCACAAGGAAACCGCGCTTGGCGATTCTACGCTCCAACCAGATCATCGACAGCGGGTATCGAACTGCTGCCCAGACGTACGGGTAATCTCTTGGCGTGAGCACAGCCGCTTCCGCGGGTTATGCAGGAGCGGCGCCAAGCGGTACAGACCCGATGGGAAACGCTGCCCAGCAAGCACCCACGTCGTCTCGTTCGTCAACTGCGAAGACGCGTCCAGAGACTTCGAATTGGTAGCTTTCGAGCAAAAGCTCCGCAATCGGCACGCCTGGGCCGCTCCTCTGATAAGCGTCCGGCATCTGCACCAAAGAATATCGATCACATGTGTATAGATAGAGTATCCTCGCATGAAGCTTTCATTGCAGGTAGGACGTGTACGGTGACTCGTCGACGGCAGCAGGTACGCGCCCCAGAGAACGATGTTGCCTTGACCCGGGTCCCGGTTACGAAGCAGACGTGAAGGCAACACAGCTGCCTTGCCAGTTCAGGGCATGTGCCTGAGAACGCGTGCCAGAATATCCAGGAGTATATCCGCGTGATGCTTGTCGAAGATGAGTGCGGGGCGTAAGCGTACGGTTTTGTCCCCCGAGCTGCCTACAAGAACACCCTGATTTCGCATTTCGCCAAGCAAATGATCTCTTTGCGCTGGACTCGGTAAATCGAATGCAATGAATGTTCCCCGTCCACGAATGCGCTCCACAAGTGGGTGATTCAAGTCCGCAAGCGCATGTATGAGGTAGTCCCCGACACTGTGGACGCGCTCAACCAAGTGATCAGCGACAATGGTGTCAATGATGACGCTTGCCTGCAGCGCACGCAACGGGTCGCCACTCCAAGTTGAATAGATGCGAAACGCTTGCGGTGGCAGAAACTCTGGTTTGAAAAAGAAACCGCTCGCCTGCATCTTTTTCGCAAAGGTCACCATGTCTGGGGCGAGCTCCGCAGCGCCGGTGCCAACGCCTTGTCCCGTTTTCTCGAGTCCCTCGGACCAGTGTTCGTGCGCCCAAAAACGACCAGTAGCGCCGACGCCAGTTTGAACCTCGTCGCAAACCATCGCAACCTGATAGTGGCGGGTCAGTTCTCTGAGTCCGCGAAAGAACGCGGGCGATGCATGCAGGTCTCCGCCCTCGCTCAGGATTGGCTCCACGATAAGTGCCGCGACCCGCTGCTCCGAGAGTGTTTTGTCAACGAGATCGAGACACCGCGCCTCGTCTTGTTCGTCTTTCGGAAATGGGAGCACTGGCCAGTTGCCAAATGCGGGGATATCGACCTTATGAATCGACTTGGAGCGGGTCGTCGATAAGCTCCCGAATAGTCGGCCATGGAAAGCGTGTTCAAAAGAAACGACCGCCATGCTGTTCGGACTCCCCGGTTCACTGTTTCGCATACATGAATCGAGCTCAGCGGTCGTTGGGTTCACGTCACCTCGCTCAAGCGCTCGTTTTCGAATAAATGCGGCCTTTAGGGCATTCTCGACGGCAGACGCCCCACACCCGCAAGTCATCTGTACATTGGCGAGACCTTGGGGTGCAACGGAGAGAATCTTTGTGCGCAGCGTGTGAACCCACTCTGGTGGTGCTGAGTATCCCAACGCCGGCCGTTGTGCAAGGTGCGGCAGCCAAGCTGGCGACTGAGCAGCTTCAACGAGGTTCGGGTGATTGTACCCTAGGGGCAGCGAGGCTATGAAGCAGAACGCGTCTAAAAGCAGGTTACCATCTACATCTGCAACATAGTTCCCAAATGACTTGTGCGGATCATGGAAGAACTGCACGGTTCTACCCTCTGATACCTCCTGAAGCTCGCGAGCCAACTCGAGCGACCGCGGCCCCGGCACCAGTGTGTGCACCAGAGGTCGAGCCGGTTCCTCGCGCGCCAACGTGCTCAACAGACACCGACACCTGCGGTGTGATAACCCTATACAACGAAGAGAGAGCGTCCTAGGCATATAGATGCGTACGCAGTGCACGAGAGAGCGGCCTGGCTGTCCTAGCGTCTCCCCCGTTCGAATGAAACAAGCGGTGGTACCGTAGTCGCTCGAGAGATTCCGACGTAGCGCCATTGGGGATCGGAGGTGCGATTTCCACAGGCGGGATGCTGGTCGCCTCGGGAACGCCTCTGAGGAATACAACGTACACCCATGTGTGTGCATAAAATGGGATTGGAGCTATGAGCTGATTCGTTTCGCGTTTTGTAGGTTGCTCATGTTCGCCCTGTACTCAAGAGCAGTCTTTGCGGGATTTCTATGTGACTGCTTTCTTCAGCCACCTCGTATTCCTGGTGCTCCATACACCGGTTTCTATCGCGCCTGTAGCATCGCTGTCAGCAGTCGAAGAATATTGATGGCGGATTTCGGGTCCCTTTCGTTGTCGACGCATTGCACGCACTAGCAAAACTCGTTATCTGCGCTTCGCTTGCTTTTATCGTCTCAGGGTGTACAGCGTCGGTGCACGCTTCACAGCGATGACCCTGATGTGATCTGGAGTTCCCGCATGTCTAACACACCTTGCCATCCACTGAGGGCCGCGCTCTGTCGCATACGAGCTTACCTTATCGCTAGGTGGATGCCCTTGGCGAGAACAGGAGACTATGCACGACGCCCTCGTCTGCTTCCGCACCCGATGCTATCTACGAAGCCTGCGTGTTCCTTGGAAGCAATCACACCGACGACTAGGCTGTGCGTTGCACGCGCAACCGCAAGCTGTCCATCCCAATAAAGGCTTGCGGAACGCGATGTTGTTACCTGGAAACCAGTACGGGGAGGCAAATCGATGCTGGACAAGTCTTAGAGAAATTCTGACTTGTCTACGCTGCACGCGATGCGATCGCCACGATGAATCAAGTGCGATTGCGAGATCCTATTCGATGGGAACAGAAGAAATGGAAGCCTTTAGGAGCATGTTCCGTGAAATGTATCACGCTGCTGTGGAATATCGCCTTGTCGGTGGTTACAAAGAGACGCGGATTTCGCTTTCGGAAGGACTCGATGATCATTTGACGTGAGGACATCACTGAAGTCTCGGCATGAGCTTGTGAACAACAGTCCAAGAGACGACGTCGATAGTCTTCATCGGGACGAAAGCTCAAAAAAAACTCGAAGAGTGCGTGCATCAAGCATGCCACGTTCAACGACAGGAGAAGAGCGGAGGCCTGAACCTATAAACTCGATCATGGTATCGTTTATTTGAGGAGATTTTGGTCAGGAGCGCCGCGAATCATCTGGATTCCCGTAAAGTAACCCCATGTCACCGGCAACGATGCGACGGATCCACCCAGCAAGCACGACCGATAACCCCAAACCTACGTCTGAATCCGTACCCACATATTGACGAACATCAATTGTCGACTTTGTGCACCCAAAATCGTTCGGAATTTTGGAATGAAGGAGCAGAATGATCCATTCAACGCTCCCCTTTTATCCGAAACCCGACACAGATACAGATGCAGGCTTCGATCCACGAGGATGTTGCAACCTATGCCGCACCTGAGCGCGCCTAGAGAAGCAGCAGCGCGCTGCTGCTGCGGCCATCAGGCGCTGCGATAGAGGCACGACTGGCGACGCGCGCATCCGTACAGCCGCCACGCACGTTTTGTATCATTTTATGCTTCTTTGTACAGCATTTGGTGAGCAGGAGGCGCATGCATCACCTGCGCCGTCGCCGACGGCCTGCGACGTTCAGGCCCCCACTCGTGCGCGGAGCTGGCAACGCGTGCTTCCTCCAGCTCCATTACGAACGCTTGCGGGACAAGCGCCACGCACTTGTCGCCCAGTTGCGTCTAGCAGTGGTGCAAAAAGCACGAGTGTCGAGACCGAGTCGGAACATTAACTTAGCGGTTCAAATATGTTTGCTTTTCTGGTCTCGAACGCCGGAGTCTTGCGTGTAGGGGCAGCTCGTCCGAACGGTGCGCTCTGCCGTCAGCAACTGCGGTGGCGCAGCGCGGGCTTGCAGGCGCCGCGCCGCACACGAGCAGGCCTGCTTCTGGCCATGTCAAACTCAGCAGAGGGCTCTGAGGCTGCTGATGCGGCGGCGGCGGCGGCGGCTTCGCACACTCCAGCACAGAGCGCTGAACAGGCGACCGTTGAGTCACCGGCTGCAGCAGTCGCGCCCAGCGAGCCGCACGAGTCCGCGCCAAGTGTCCGTGAAAGCGCAAGGGCTGAATTATCCTCTGAACAGTCCGCGGAGACTGAACGAGAACAAGATACCGAAGCGCAAGCGGGCACGGCTGGCCAGGAAAAGGGTAAGGTGAGTGCTCCCCGGCGGTGACACTAACCGACGGCGCGGTCCGCGGGGTGCTCGGCCTGGTCGTCGTAACCAACGTTTGCCCAGGTTACCGCTGAGTGAAGTCCAGGTCGGTTCGCTGGTCAAAGGAAAAGTGCGCTCAATCGTCCCATATGGTGCCTTTGTCGACATTGGCACCGTCACAGATGGTCTTCTCCATGTGTCGCAGATGTCGCTGGAATACGTTCGTGATATCGAATCAATCATGAAGGTGGGGGATGAAATTAATGTGCGCGTCATCAGTGTCGATTTAGAGAAGAAAGAATTTTCGTTGACGCTTTTGCCGGAGGGTGTGGATCAGGAGCGAAAGGAAATGGTCATGGCCGCACGGGAGCGACGTCGGGCGGCGGCCTACGACGAGAACCCAGCACAAAGTGCGCCGGTTGCACGACGCAACGAGTCGCGGCGACAGCAAATGTTGAAAGAAGCGGTCTCGCTTCTGTCGGATGACGGCGCAAAGGCAAACGCTGCAGCGCCGAGCACTGAAGCCGCCAATGCTGCCACTGCCACGAGCACCGATGCTGATGCTGATGCTGAGGCTGCAAAGGAGGCTCCAGTTCCCGGCGCGAAGCGTGATGCTGCTCAAAAACGGGGTGCAATGCGCCAGTGGTTCGAGAGCACCCCCGCCGCAAAGGATCAGAAGCTCTTTATCCCAGGAAAAGTGGTAAGCATCGAGGAGTACGGCGCGTTCGTAGCGATCGGTGCCCCGACAGACGGCCTCGTCCACATCAGCGAGATCTCCAAAGACCACGTATCCAAAGTCGAAGACCAGCTGAAAATTGGCGATGAGGTGCAAGTACGCGTCATTGGTGTTGACCAGCGACGTGGTCGAATCTCGCTCAGCATGAAACCCTATGAGGAGCGCCAGCCGAAAGCTTCAAGCGCCGCGGAAAAACGAGCATCTGCACAACCAGAATTTAAGACAACGATGGAGCTGGCCTTTGAAAAAGTGCGTGATCAGCTCGTAGCAGCAGGCTTAATGAAGTAAGTAAAAGATCTTGCGTTTTGCATTCACGGATAGTTCGGAGCGTTCCTCGGGTATTGCGTTGCTCGTGCTTACATTCGCACTGGATTCGGCAGCGTGATCGGTATTGCCGATCATTGGTGCGGCTCCTTGGGTCCCGGAGGGGAGTTTCCCGGTGCACGTGTACCTTCCAAGACGCAACAGAGCGTGGTTCGTTCGTTTGCGGAGCGCTAGCGACCCGAAAGCGACTCGCCTGGCAGTATGCGTCCGTCAACGAATCCGGGTATGCGGACTCGCCTTCCAGCATACATCCATGGATGAAACTCGGCGCGCAGACTCGCCTTGCGGTATATACCCAGGGACAAAACTGAGCGTGGGAGTCGTCATTGGCGCTTACTTTCGTTGCTGCTGTGCTCGGGCCGTGCTTCTTGCGCCTCGCAGTGTGCAGCGGGCGGCGTTCTCGAGTCCTTGATTCGCGGCCGTGTTCTGACAACGAGAGCTGCTCGAGAGCCAAGTCCTGGGCGCTGGTTCGCCCACATGCCTGTCGACCGTCAGCGTCGTACCACATCGATGCATTTGCGCTTATGCCAGGATATTGCGCGTCGATTTGGCGACCTATTCCCGTCCCGATCGCTTTCGCGTGAGCAGCAGGGCTAGCGAGGCGCGCCCGTGTTTACCCTTGCGTCCCTGCGGGCGCACTGGCGAGATCCGAGCTGTTTTGGCGCATGGTGAGTTCGACAGCTTTCGGCAGAAAGCGTCCGCCGATGCGGGGTCTTTGTTTCGCGACGGCCCGCCTGCGGTCGGGATGACGCTCGCGTTCGCGACGAAACGCCTCGATCTGTAGCCGTCGCTTCTGGCGCCAGCGTAGAATACGCAATGCCCTCTGGTCGCGACCCAGCGAGACTGATTTCTCATCTAACTTGTTGGAATTGGTGAAGCGTTCGCCTCCCAGCGATAGCTCCGGTGAGAGGCTCATGCTCGAGATATCTGAATGGAAGTCGCGCGCTGTGTCCTCTGCTATACGTGTGCAATGTGTCGAGCACGACGAGGCCGACAGCGAGGCGCCAGATCCAACCGCTTTCGCATGCAACGTAGCGTGCGTTCTCGAGCCTCGCTCTTGCAGTATTCGCCCCGCTGCCCTATCTGGATGCTCTACTGGTTGTGACTGGCAACTGAGAGGCACCGCCCAAGACGGGAACGAGGCAGCCGATTCGAAGGTACCGTTCCCGAGCACGACGCCAGTGCCTCCGTTCGCACCACGCAATACAGTCCCAGTGGAGGGAACCGGCGGAACCCAATACACCGGTGTCCCGGGCATTAGGCAAAGGTCAGGAGCTGCTACTTGCAGTGTTCCAGCAAAGCTCGTATCTGCCGCTGCAGGTACCCACGCGAAGGATTGAAGAGCGTGTGGGAGGGCGTCTACAGCAACCGGAACCAAGAGCGTAGCGCTGTGACCCGGTGGCGGTGTTGGTGGCGGCGGTAAGCTGCAACTCGCCCCCGGCATTGAGCCGTTCAAGTAAAAAGGAGCCATTTGTGGTGGCGTATGCCCCAAAGCCAGCCCCGGTAGTTGTGGACACCCGAACCCCCAGTTGAAGGCAGCCTCTGGCCTAGGACGCCGCTGCCCGACACCGTTCACGCCAACCTGTTGGGTTGTGTTTCCAAGACTATGATTCATGACCGTTTATATTGCCTGGGGAATAGCACCCACAACCAGTCCAAACCGGTTTGACAATGCACATCGACGTTGTGACACGTGCTGTAGTGTTGGCGATCGTGGTGGCGTGTGCCCTGCGTCCAAGATCGCCACCGCATCGCGTGTCGAGCCTGTAGCGTGCCACGTGTCCCATAGAGGGAAAAACGATGCTGTGGAGGCCCTCGGTGCCACGACGCTGCGCGCTAGGGACAATACTGTACATGTCGTTGATCGTCTCCCATACCAATTGTGTTCCACAGCCCGGTGCGTGTCCTGAAATGCTTTTTTAGCAGATCATAGCAGATGCGATCGAGTTGGGTTCATTTGAAGAAATAGAAAATCTAAGGCAAAGTTGTGGAGATAAGCGCAGGGGATCTCGAAGAGCCGATGTCGCCGAGTGCAGGAAAAAGCCGAAAGGAATACCTTCTCGTCGGCCATCGATCGGAGATAAACAAGCGACGGCGACGAGGAAGAAGATGAGAGGGGAGGAGATCGTCGAGAAAAGGTATTTACTCGACGTCATGATGACGAGATTATAGCATTATAGAGGGCATGAGTTTTAGGCATCCTTGCAGCGGCGCGTTCAGCCCGCGTCAATACGCGCATAGAGTTCGTGAACCGATACTTCAACGCCGCTGCAGATATCAGACGATTTGCGGTGCTGGAGGCCAGTCCCTGGTAGCTCACGTGATCCAACATTGTGGGGCAGCGTCCCAGACTCGAAATGTGCCCAGATAAACTGAAACTGATGGAAGGCGGCCGGTCGAAAAAGGCTGGGAGGCGTCTTCAAGTCGCCGTATATGCATACCCCCCGTGGTCGTGGGGCATTACGTTCTTCACTGAACACAGATCGGAGCGCGCAGATCGTCTAGTCTGCTGTAGAGAAGAGAGGCATGCGAGCCGTTCTCGGTGTTCAAGCATTAACGAGTCGCTCGTACGCATGGACACGACAACGAGACGTCGAGCACGAGGCAGTGCATAGCCATATGCGTCACTTTCGCACGCGCGTGCACGTAGGACACGTTGTTGCCGCGCAGAGGACAGCGAGGTATCTAGTCTGAGCCAGTGGATAATCCAATGGGCCGTTTTCGCATTTTTATGCACGACGGGATGCTGTCTATTAAAACGGACTGGCGCGGGTACGCGGACGCAGCCGGTCGTGAGAGCGGAGTCCACAGCTTCCCTCTAGGGTATTTGTGGAAACGACCGTCTCCCGCACAGACTTATGGTCTAGAATGGAGCATTCGGCTGGGGAAATCTCTGATTCCCTCGCAGGCGTGGAACGGGCACTGGACACAAGGCCGCGATGGTCGCGCGCTCGAAGGCCGGAGGGTTTCACGATACCCTGACGTGATCCAGCCCGAAGTTTCGGAACACTGCCAACTGAGGAGCGTGCACACACAGGGTGCTCCTTGACTTGCGGTACTGGGGCGGCAAGACGGCAACGATTCGGATTACATGGAAAACGGGTTCGGGCGAGGCGCTTCGGCCTATCATGATGTTTGTGCTGTCGTCGTTGTGCATGGCAACGAAGTGCGGGCCCGTCGGACGGTAGAACCACCGCTCTCCAAAGCGACAAACCTCACCACCATGAAAACCCGCGTACGGTGGCTTTTCTGCATCACCAGTACTGATTCGAGGGAGCGCCTCCCTGAGGCTTCGGTGTCCCGGGCGCGATTCACTTTGCCTGCGCGGTATTCCGGGCCCAGCGCTCGCATCATTCATTGATTAGGGTTTTCTGGCAACTTGCTTGTTGCTTGCATGAGCGGTGCGCGCTCTGGGTATGAATTCCGGCATCAAGCCAGGGTCGACTTGCGTATACGGTGCGCCAGCTGCTCCGATCAAACATGCAATGCAGCGGAATGTTCGGTTGACGTCGCGCAGCGCTTACAACCATCGGACAAGCATGACGTTGATGCTTCCGGCACTAAGTCAGAAAGAGCCGTCTCCTGCATTCCAGTATGAAGAAGGCGACAGGGACAACAAAGACACCAGTTTACGGTTCTGGTGAACAAGTTTTCGAACCGATGCCCCAGTGGCATGAGAAGACCGTTCGGTCTCTGTGCTGCACACGCTCTGGTGCTACAGGAGCTATTGCAGACGCTCAAGGCAGGCTTTGTGTGATGTAGAGCGTACGAATGACCAATAACTTCAAGGGAGAGTACGAAAAGGATATGGTGGAACTCGGATCTAGAGCTTGGAATAATGGACGCTCTCTCGGAGGCCGATCTGCTTCTAAGACTAGGTTATCTCTAGTCTCTGCAAACGTTCTGTCCATGAGGAGAGCAATAGCGCAAACGATACTGCTTTCGTGCGTTTGACTTTTTCAGTAGCAGTACCAGTAGCAGTAGCACCAGTAGCAGTAGCACCAGCACCAGTAGCTCCCATAGAACATTCGCCTCTAGCAGTAACACCAGCACCGGTAGCTCCCATAGAACATTCGCCTCTAGCAGTAGCACCAGCACCAGTAGCTCCCACAGAACATACGCCTCTAGCAGTAGCACCAGCACCAGAAGCTCCGATAGAACATTCGCCTCTAGCAGTAACACCAGCACCGGTAGCTCCCATAGAACATTCGCCTCTAGCAGTCGGAGCAGCACCAGTAGCTCCCATAGAACATTCGCCTCTAGTAGTCGGAGCAGCACCGGCGGCGGCGGCGGCGGCGACGGCACGAGATCCGTCCATCGAGAAGCAACGCGTCCGCTGCGGCTACCGGCGGCATTTCGTGTAGCGACCCGAGGTCTACTGGATATAACGTCGAGTACACGTGCTTCGAGCTCGTTGCGTTCTTCACTGAAGAGGAACGAAAGCTTGGATACAACAACAGATCTGATGCTCGCGTTTTTGCTGACTGGTTCATGTTCAACGGTACCGCGAAGCTCGTTTGTGGCCTGTTCGCGAAGAGGTCCCAGGCGAGCGCCTGTGACGGCAGTGCGTGCTGAGCCTCGCCCTGCTCGTCTGCAGCGCGTGCAAGCGGTGGCCGCCCCGCCTGCTCAGCACGAAAGTGAGCTAGCACTCGATTTTCACACCAAATGTTTTAAAAAGGAGTCCATCCATCTCGCCGGGAGGACAGAGTACATCGTTCGTGGAGGGCGCGACGTTTTTCGTGCGCTCCCGGCGGCGTTCGCGGGCGTTCGCACCGTCGGCGTTGTTGGCTGGGGCTCGCAGGGGCCCGCCCAAGCGCAAAACTTGCGTGACTCGTTCGCTGACGCGGGTGTTGACGCGAAAGTTGTTGTTGGTTTGCGGAAAGGTTCTCGCTCTATGGAGGCAGCGCGGGCAGCTGGCTTTACCGAGGCAGATGGCACCCTCCGCGAGCAAAACGAAGTTATTCGCGAAGCAGACCTGCTGTTACTCCTCATCAGCGACGCAGCCATGGCCGAGTCTTTCGAAGAAATCCAAGCTGCAATGAAGCCGGGTGCAACCCTAGGTCTGTCGCATGGTTTCCTGTTGGGCCACTTGGATTCCATTGGAGCCAAGTTTCGGCCCGATATCTCGGTGATTTTGGTGGCACCCAAGGGTATGGGCCCGTCTGTACGACGCCTCTACGTCCAGGGTAAGGAGAAGAATGGTGCAGGCATCAATTGCTCGTTTGCAGTCCATCAGGACGTCGATGGGCGAGCAACCGATCTCGCCATCGGTTGGGCTGTTGCCATTGGTGCCCCGTTCGCGTTTCAGACCACGCTGCGCAATGAGTACCGTTCCGATATTTTCGGAGAGCGAGGCATTCTACTCGGTGCTGTTCACGGTATCGTCGAGTCGCTATTTCGCCGCTACCGTGATCAGGGCGTCTCCGACGAGCAAGCGTTCATTCGTGCCTGTGAAAGTATCACGGGACCGATTTCCCAGAAGATCAGCAAAAGGGGTATTCTGGCTGTATACGAGGATCTCAACGAGGAAGATCGCCGAATTTTTGCCGATGCATACGCTGCTTCATATATGCCCGCCTTCGATATTCTGCTCGAATGTTACGAGGACGTGGAGAGCGGCAACGAGATCAAATCCGTGATCCAGGCGGTGCGTCGGCACACGCGTATCCCCATGGGCAAAATCGATACGACGCACATGTGGGATGTCGGAAAGCGTGTTCGAGCGAAGCGAGGCAGCATCCCAATCGATGCGTTTACGGCTGGTGTTTACATCGCCACCATGATGGCGCAGATAGACGTCCTCTTGGAGAAAGGTCACGTCCTGAGCGAAATCATCAACGAGTCTGTGATCGAGAGCGTGGATTCCTTGAATCCGTACATGCACGCCCGCGGTGTCTCTTACATGGTGGACAATTGTAGTACAACGGCGCGTCTGGGTGCTCGAAAATGGGCCCCGCGCTTTGACTACATCCTCATGCAGCAGAGCTACGTGAAAATTGATGGAAAGGAGGGAGGTTTGACCGCTGCGGATCGAGCGCATTTCGACACGTTTCTGAAGCACCCCATTCACGGCGCCATTGTCGAGTGTGCGAAACTGCGGCCGAGCGTCGATATCTCCTTGACCGGATCGGGAAGCGCGGATGCTGCACGTGCTGGGATGTTCGAATAGGATGCGTAAGGATAAAAGGTCATGAATTTTCGTTTGGATGTTCCGCAGAGAGACCGGCGTGATCGCGACAACATTCCAGTGCATGACGCATTCGGCAGTGTCTGGTCACTCGCTATAATGGTGATGGTGCTGCCGCTGCTACGCCCACGCATCGACCACGGGAGCGCTTCGTAATCGAGCCTGGGCGTTTGTGTGTTTGAGTGTGCGGTGCGTAGCGTATCGTGGCGTCTATCGGTTGCTGTCGACCAGCTCAGAGCACATGGCATGGTGATCTCACAGCAAGTGACACCGGGGCGCGTCTGCGTTGTCGCTGAGAAGCTGGGATCTGTTGGCATATGCAATTCACGAGATGGGGTACGTCGAGGGCATGTCAACTGTCGGAAAGAATCGGCGCTCAGTTTATACTCCAAATGTCGAGATGCAAAGTGAACTGCGCAGAAAGGAACTCGGTATATCCGGCGGTTCCCCGCAATCATGCTCTCATGCGCAATACTTAGAAGCTTAAGCGTTAGTCCCCGAGTTGGAGAGAAAGTGCAGCGGAGACGCGTGCAAATTCACCGCATGCGACACGCACGTTTCGCTCTTGCTCGAGCTCCCGGGCGCTTACCGAAGAGAACCTGAGTGCTCACCAAGAGGCCTCGAGATGAACAAGTAGAGCTTGAAGCCAAAGAGCTTTCTTTCGGTCGTGTTAGGCATTCGACGGATACCGCACGTCCTGCAAGCATTCGTCCCGCTCCAATATACACTCGATGTACGCTGCGAAACCCCCGGAGTACTCGAACCCAACCACCTATGCATAGCCGCATGACACGAGAATCTCTTTCAAATCCGCAGGTAATTTGGCTTCCGCGCGTGCCTTAGCCTCTTCTAAGAGTTTATTCTCCTGTTTGCGTCGCTCGTACCGTTCCTGTGCCAACTTTTTGCGCTTTTCTTCGAGCTTGTCTACGATTGCTGCACGCTTCCAACCTACTTCAGCACTCAGGCGTCCAAGTCGGGTCCACTTGCGATCTGGTCGGAGTCGCAGTATCCTCAGGGCACACGGCACGACGCGGCGCTTTGCCTTATCATATGGCGGTGGGATGCCGTCGAAGGTCTCGAGGCGCGCAAGCGCCTGTGCCCCGCGGGCCGTCTTATGCGGCAGCATGCCTCGTACTGTTCGCCAAAATATTTTTGATGGCGCGCGATAATGCCAAGGACCGCATCGCGTCGGGTTCGACGCGTGACGCTTCTGGAGGAACAAGAGGTACTTGTTCTTGTTCCGGATGAAAAGGCCGGAGATCACAAGCTCCTCACACCGAACCACTATGATCCGTTGTCCGTTTAAGAGCTCTTTCGCTACGACAGCCGCCAGCCGACCAAGTAAGTGGCCGCGTCCGTCAATGACAATGGGGCCCTCAAACATCGACGTGCGCTTTGTCCCGCAAGACTCGGAACCCAGTGTTGAAGCGGAATTCTCGAACGCAGAGCTGCTGCGGATCGTCCGTCGGACGTGTTGACGCCGCGTCGCGTCACGTGACGTGGCGCCGCTCCGATGCGCATACGTTATTTACAATAAAGTACAAGTTTTAACCTAGCGTGCTGGGAGCGGTACAGGGACTCTCGATTTCTGGAAATTTATGGACATTGGCGTGGGCCTTCTCATCGGCGGCGTGCGGCTGGACGCCGCTAGGGCGCATCGCACGACATTGATGTCCGTATAGAATGGAGCTGGTCCACGTCATGATCTCGGGCGAACACGCAAAAATTTGGTTTTCTACTGTTGGCATGAACACGGGCCCTTGCGGGCTTTCTCTGGGACTGCTCCCTTTTTGCCATTCTAGGCTCCTGCTTAACATGCATCGGTATCTCCTGTGCCTCCAGCTCCGTTGTCCGTAGTCGAAGCACGTGGATGGCAGCGTTAAACTCGCGACTAAAGAGCGAAGGGCTGCTGCTCGCGCATACGCGATTATCACATAGAAAGTTGTTATGATCTAGGCGTCGCTTGCCATTTTCATCTTTTTTGTTTGGAGCCTAGATTCGCGCTCCGGAGCGTGAACATTTGATTTGCTCGGGTGTGCCACATATGTCCACCAATGCCCCGCATCCTCCTCCGAGACCCATACTGTGGCGCGTGAAGGCTTGTTTCGTCGCTCAATACATGCCGTTGATGAGCACAGTGGGCTAGCATCGATACTCTCATCTGTTTTCACTCCAACCGCCGAACCTGACGAAGGGGGTTTTGTTCAGAGCGCCCTCAGTGCATACTATGTGGGGTGCTCATGCAAGCGAACGCTGTTCCATTGGATACAAGCTTTCCTGAACGCGAAGCCTTCCATGATGAAACATTTACTTGAAGGAAAGCGCAAGCAGGCGAAGAGATGAAGAAACTTCCATCCGTCTACGCTCCGTTCATGCAAAGCGATGACCTGCTCTCCACTGGAAGCGATCGCCCCAGCGATGAAATATCGTGTGCAAGCCCGTTTCTTGACTAGCACAAGAGACGCCAGCCAATTAGATGTTCTCTTATGAACGGTTTTGCGCTGCTTCGGAATGCCGTTTGTCGATGGTCGTGAATTTAGAAGTAATTGTGTTTCGAGTGGGCTCCATTATTTTATGTGGAAGGTTCATCGAGTTTTCGGAATGAGTTTGTGAACAAGTCGCCATTTTGAGGACGTCGAGTGCCTTTCACTGTCAATCCAGAGGCCCGAATGGCTGTACCCACGAGTTACCTTGAAACAGAAAACTCGAAAAATTGAACATTGCATGTTTTCAGCAGTCTACAAGTGCGCAAAAGAGAAGCGCTGATGTTTCTACACATGCATTGGATGATGATATCGGATCGAATGCGAACCCCTATTCGAGGACTTGGAGAATTTTCTTTATGAAAGTGACGTAACGAATTCCAGATGAAAGAATCGCGGAAGCAGCTCCGAAATAGCGACCGAGAATCCTGAAACTGCACGCTCATCCGAAGGCCCTTCATCCTGGACTTTTAATGCCTAGCGGGTAATTCTAAAACCAGCTCGAACATGGACCCAAGTACAGAAAGAGATCATGCAGTACAGTGTTCCATTTCCATCTGACATGGCATTGGATACGCGCCACCTTCTCCAAGCAAGGTTCAGCGAGCCGGTAGCGCATGCGGATCCAGCGCTCCATGCAATTCCTCATCGGTGAATACCGACCGACGACCCGTGAAGCGAATCTGCGATGCAGTCCAAACACGATTGCAAGGGCGAGGCTCGGTGCCCAGGGACTCGTCCTCATCGGCGGACTTGTCCAACGCCTCGGGCCGCGGAGACAGGCCTACGTACGCAGCCTGTCCGAGCACACACTGACGTACAGACGCGATTACGCATGGGGTGAAACATTCCTCGAATGGAAACATTCAGCCGTATGGCAAAGCTAGTGCGTCTCCGAGCTGCATTCGCAGTGTCGGTATAGATGACATTGCGGATGTGCGCGGCAGGCTCTGGGTACGGTGTCCATGCAAAACGACCATCCTGCCCGCCATAACTGTACGGGTGATGGCTCTCGGACCATGAGGTTACAGTGCGACATAATAGACACACTCCCATATGCCGGTACTCATTGCACAGTCGCAGATTCCTGGTTCTCGTAAACGAATATGCAAGGAGATATCCCGCGCGCCGCTCCTCTATGCATCGATTCCGCCACAGAGCGCCTGCAGCGGGGCACACACCCAGCGACCCCGTTCACGGAATAGCTGACTCGAGCCTTATCACCACATGACCAACCCGTATTCTATTGTAAACGGAGAGCGAAAGCATGAACGCTGCGAGCCGTTACTACCCAACGCTCTCCGGCTGGTCGATGACGTCCTGTCTTCCGCGTGCAGCGACGCAGCTGTAGACGAAACGGCGCGCGCTACGCATACCCTGTCGCAGTGTGGATTTTTTAATCGGACAGAACTTTTGCACAGGCCAGCGTTCCCCGACTGTGCGCTTCATATCAGCGCATGGTAAAGCATCCATCATTCCACGCCCTACTTCCAAGTTCCACTACCAATACTTCCTCTCAGATATACCAGTCGTTTGATCCGTTCTATCGTGTGCCGGGTGCATGCCCTGATCATCGGCGATAGCGCCTAGAGCGCCGGAGCGCGCTGCCGATGCGCGCGTCGCCGACGCCGCATCCGTGATTCCACGTTTCAACGCGCTCACACGAGCGATACGAAACCTCACCTGTTTTCACTCTATGGCGAGTACTGCTACGCATCGAGCGGAGCGTCTAGTCGGGGATGAAGTTTGGGACCCAGAAACCCAAGAGGTTCACGGCGGTCAGACGTGGCAACGCTGCGGAGACGCGTTCGTGGAGGACTTTTCCGTCACCACAAATGCGTTAGGGGCACCGGCGTCCGCACTTGGTGCTGCGCGAGAAGCTCTCAGCCTGGTCCACCATTACCCCGCGGCGGACTGTGCCGAGGCCCTTAGAGCGCTGTCAGCGTTTTTAGGCGGCTGGCCGACAGATCAGCTCCTTCTCGGCAACGGTGCGAGCGAGTTCATCGATCTCGTGATGCGTGTCGCAACCCGAGCCGGCGGTGGCGTTTGTCGAACTGGCCCCTACGAAGCTGCGTACCGGGAATACGACAGGGCGGCACGGGCCGCAGCTCGGCGGGTTTGTACCTGGGCCGATACCGAAAACGGCGACGCGCTCACGCTCGGAGAGCAGGTCGGTGTCACCGTGATTGTGCACCCGAACTCTCCGACTGGAGACTGTGCTTCCCTCGAGCAACTGGAGGCGTGGATTCGAACCCCGAGCCCAGTAGAGGCGCCCGATGCGGTCTTCGTAATTGACGAGTCCTTCATGCCGTTTCAGGGTCCACAATGGCGAGCGCAGTCTGCGCTGCAGCTCGTGGAACGGTACCCGTCTCGAGTTCTGGTCATCCAGTCGTGGACGAAGCTATGGTGTTGTCCAGGGCTGCGGCTGGGTTCCATCGCCGGATCCAAAGCTTGGATTCGAGAGTTGAAGCGCCTGCAAACGCCGTGGAGCTGTAACACGATGGCGCAGGCGTTTTGCGTCGCTGCCGCATACGATACCGCCTACATGCAATCAACGTGGCAATTGCTGCCTAAATGGCGGGAACGGCAGGAGCAGCTCTTGAAAGCGTTTCCGCTGCGCTGGAGTGTGAATGAGAACAGCCCCCGATGGGTGCCTTGGGTCTACGTCAACTGTGGCAGTGCGGAGATCGCTGAACGTGCAACGGCCTGTGCTTTCCGGGCCGGATGCCCCGTGAGATGGTGCGCGTCCTTTGGTCGACCGACGTGTCTGCGTCTTGGCGTACGCGCACCCGAGAAACAGGATATTCTCATGAGCGCACTTCGAATGGAATTCGCCTCGGACGGCTACGAGGCGTCATCGTAGCGCGTCAGGCGCTTGGTGCGGCATCCACATGCAACTGCGAACATGACTGTGCGCCGCGGGGATCATGCGCACGCGTCGAGGTACGCGGTAGGGATCACGAGTCCCTGCCAGGGACCAACAGGGTGCATCATCGAGGTCAGCCGCATCACTGTCAGCATGCGTTCATGCGGCCCAGAGCGATGGTGTCTGATTGTGGTGCAAGCAAAAGTGGCCACGAAACCGCCGGTCCAGATGTCAATACCATTTTATATCAGCCGATCAAGTCTGGAACTCGACATGCTTCATTCGCGCATGCTCGACATGTTGTCGCAGCTCTTGCGACATCAATCTGCATACGCTTTCGTCAGTCTGTTCTGTGGATGCTCAGCGGATTTTTTAAGATAAAATGAGTTTCAACGTCGAAATCGAGGAAGCGACACTCCACCCAGCGCATCGAACAGCGCCCCCATGTTTCAGTCGGGTTCCGAGGCAACGACGCATCGCTGCCGGTCGTCTATCCAGGGCCGCAAACTCGGGTCGCGTCCACGCGCAGACGACGCCGAAGCCCGCACGCCCCCCGACTGCCACCGCCATCTGGTGCATCGTGTTCCCGATGATCGTATCGTTTATGATCTGTCCAGGTCTTCAGGAACGGCATTCGGATCGACTAAATTCAGAAAACTTGTATTGCTCGGGAGCCGTACAAGTGACCCCCAGCTCATTCGCTCGTTGCGTCGTAGAGGTCGCGTCGACTGCTGCAGGGACACGTCATCGGTGTGATCTCGAGGCGCCGTACGCGGTGCGTGCTCGATAAACATCACATCCGTGTCCGTCGAGTGCGTGCTCGCGTCCCGCGGCGCATCGCCCTTGCCTCTCGCAACGGGTGTCGCGTTCGGGTACGCACTCGCTGTTGATGCTTCTCCGTCGGTAGCGCGGAATGCCCCGTGCTCGACGTGCTGCAGCATCTGAAGAAAACGATCCTCCTGAGTGTCGTTGATGGAACTGAGAAACATCCACGCCATCGGTGGTAGTTCATCTGTTGGCTTGCCGGACAAGAGCTGCAGGATGCTTTGTGTCGAGCCGTTTCGCTGAATCGACAGTGTTCGCGGTGTCAGCGAACGCACAAGCGGAGAAAGCGTTGCCGAGCGATCCGGTAGCGCGCTCTGGGATGGCAGCAGGCTCGGAGCGTTCACTGGGTATGCTGAAGGTTGCAAGCCGCCCATGCCGCCTGGGTTTGCGACTAAATCCAGCTCGTCGATTGGCATGGTCACAGCAGCGGTTGCAGTTATCATGGGAGACGCCGTCTCCGGAGTCGGTGAAAAACTATTCACATGACGATCAGAGAGAACGGATGAAAAATACAAGGGCGATGAAGGTCCGGACCGTCGTTGCCACAAAGGGATCGACTCTCTGGCGGTATCGGGCACAGACTCGATGCCGGAGCTGTCTCCCGCGGGCGAACCGCGTAGCCTCCTGGTATGTAGCTGCACCTGAAGTAGATCCGCATAGTGCTTGACGCGCGGCTCACATTGCGGATCTTGGGCAAACGCTTCGAGGCCGCGCTGCAACAGATCCATATCCAATTCCATCGGGCGATACAGGTCTGCCGTTGCGAACGCACCGGCTCGGGAAGCTTGTTGTCCCGGAACGTATCCTCGATGATCATCACTGGGGGTCGGCGTATGCAAGCTAAGTTCGCTGGGAATCGGGTTGATGCCTTTGACCGGAGCCGGGTACCCCAGGCGCGTTGTCTCCGGCTCCCGCGTCGCATGTGGATTGAAGAGTGCGTCTTGGCTCCACGTCCGTCCGTATTCGAATTCCTGCAAATCATCCTCTTTCAGAATACTCTCCAGTGCTTGGCTAGCCTGTTTGGGCGAAGGATGTTTCAGCTCTCCATCGGCTGCGTCGTCTCGTTGTGATTCTGCGCTTCGGGAGCGGCGTCCGGCACTACCATCCCCAGCAGTTTTTTGGCGAGCGCTCGAGCGACCGCGCGAGTTTGAGCGCGAACGGCGACCTCTTCCACCATCACTACGAGGGGAATACGCGTCACTGCTCGCCAATTCGGGAATATCCAGGGAATCTGTACCCAAAAGCACCGCGAGTTCATCAGGAGCATCTCTTCCGTCCGTAGAGCTCATCGGAACCGAGGCTGATTTTGGATCATCCTCTTCTGACTGGCCTTGCTCTTCAACGAGGAAGAGTTCGGTGCGGCGTTGAGTCGCGCTCTCATCCAACGACCGTCGCCGACGGCCTTTCTTTCGGGATGTCTCGTTCTCTCTGCCCACGGATCGCTCAAATTCCTTGTATCCAGCGGATTGGTCCGTCGTAATCCCTGGTTTCCCGTCCACACTACTGGCGGAGTCCACGCTGGTGCGCTGCAGGACATCGAGAAGGCTCTGCGATCGAAACTGGTCCCTGGCGGCATCGATCGCCACCATCGGGATTCGCATGCCCGTCTGAGAGTCCACTTGTTGGGAGAGAATGAAATATTCCCATATTTGGTCGTTGCTGAGCTGAACATCCCCATTCACAAAGTTCAGAACCAGCTTTGCGGCCTCTCGTGCAAGGCGCAGGTAGTATTTCTGGGCGTGTGTGCGCACCTGAGTTGCCGTTCGGGTTGCGACATGCTCCGCAATCGAGCGCACATCTTTGAACCCGTAGAGCTCCAGCGCTTGCAAAAAACGCAAGTGCTCTTGCTCGGACCAGTAACGTGGTTGCGGTGTGAGCGCTCCGGAACTTGTTTTCGCGGTCGCTTTCATTCGCGCGTTCGCTTTCCGGTTCGTTGGGAGCTGTGAGGAATGAGCAGACTCTCCAAATCGACTAGTACAAGTTGCAGCACGTGGAAAAACTGCAGCTACGGCACAAGCACTGCCAGAAATATCCATAACAAGCGTTTTTCACGTCGAGGTGCTCCAGTTACCTTTTCGCCTCGTTGGAGCACGAGCACCCGTGAACCGCGGACCGGAAGGCACGTCTCGGAACAGCGCTGTTGCTTACCTCTAAATCACGAAGCCGTCGTTGCTATATACAGAAGACGAGCTCGTCGACCAGTAAGGCTAACGCTGGCAAACTCGTCGATAGGCAGGCTGCGGCCTTACTCCGGGGAACCGAAAAGCCTACGTTCAGGGGCTTCTCTACCCAGTTCTTCCGGACTCTGCAGTTCTTAAAAGTGCTCCCCACAGTTAGTACTCTGTGCAGTGAGCGCTGGTTCCCAGTACTGCTTCCTGGCAACCGAAACGCGCTCAGTAGCAGGCGAACTTGCCAACGAGTCCAGGCAACTGGATATTGCCTTGTGGCGGTATCAGGAACAGCGCTTCGCGGATGGCTATGCTCGATCGTCCCGTTGGCGTCACGTGCGTTTCGCGATCCGCGCCAGGGATTCCCTTATTTGCATGGTCAGGGCGCAGCGATGGCCAATGGCGATTCGATCTGTACAGACGCCACGTCAATTGTCCCTTTAGGTACAAAATGATACGCATTGTGGGGTGTGCATCTGTGTTGCATGGTGGCAGAGGGCCGGCGGCAACTGCCGCCTCGAGGTCGTCTGCCCAGATTCATGGAACGTCGGCTCTGCTGGCCCCGGCGGTCTCCGTGGCGTCACCAGGTGCCTCCAAGTAGCCATGTGGTTGATCAGGAACTAGGTCGCGGTGACACCGCTCGTTCTGCCCGGCGATTGCTCCGCAATGTGCCAAGAATCGTAACCGCCTGCACTATATAGCGAGGGAGCCGCAAGAAGCGCCCGCGGCAGTGCTTATCATCAAGTGTGAATGATCGAGGAGAGCAACTGATGCTATCTCAGGTACAAGCTCTATAATCGGATGACTAGAAGTTCAGTTCCGTGATCGCTTGAGCGTGAGAACGTTTTCCAACCTGGCCGTTGCGTGGCACTTACGCGCACCCTACCCTCGTATCGGGCTGAAGACGTCGCGCAAACGCAAATGAATGGGTCCCTGTTGGGCACGACAGAGCGGTGCCTTGTGATTACACGCGGGCTCTTGAGCGATTTCGCTCGATCCAGCGTTCATAATGCTAGCATCTTGGGCATTCAGCAGCCGACAAGGCACCAGGTGTGCGTCATGCACGCGTCATCGCAACTGTTGAGCCGTATTTTCTGCATCTGAACGCCTGAGCACCAGTTCAACACCACAGGTGGCGTTTCGCGGTGGCGGCATGCACCAGCGACTACGCAGATTCCCCGATAGAAACCGCCATGCGCTGTCGAGAGCCCCGCTGCACGGCATTGGCGCGAACGGCGGCCTGCAGTCAGTGTTGCGAATGCAGCGCAGCACGTAACCAACAGCAGTTTCCATAATCAACGAAACAAGCGCTACCTCCAGATTCGGGACATGATTCAGAGCCCAGGATCCAATGAAGGCAGCAACGAGCAGGGTTTTGGTGCCGTGGAGCCTTCGCGCCAGCAGCCAAGGCATCCGCCTGGCAGCGATGACAACCGCAGAGAGGCGTCGAGCCCCGCGAGCAGCATCAGAACCGGACAATAACGAACTTAAATACCAATAGGTATACAGATTGGCACGCGCCGCACCATCCGTAAGGCTTCTGGACAACGAATCGATTCTATAAAGTAATTTCCCTTACCGACAGAAAGTCTGCACAATTTAGGACACATCGATCACCAGCATCGAAACGACGTTTGGACGCCTCGCAGGCCCGCCGCGGTTGCAGCGCAGGCGACGGGCGCGCACCGAAGAACGGCCGTCGACCGAGCGCGCGCACTGGGCGGCGCACTGAGGGCGTCACGCGGCATGCTCGCCAGCGAGCAACCAGCACAAGAACGTGGTGGTGTGGTTTTCGGTAGGCGCCGGCGTCCTCGACCAGGGCGAGCGGGTGTTCATGATGGAGGCAGAGGAGAGTTACACGGAGTGGAAGCGCCTCCTGGAACGCGCTGTAGCGCTGGAGGCTCAGTTGTTTAGCGAACGAACTCAGGGAGGTTTCGCAGGCGAGTCTTTCGCGGCGGGAGTGCCAGCCAGCCACGAGAAGCTGGACCCGTTCCTGAAACCGCGCTTTCCGCCGGCGTATCGTAACCTGAATCAGCTGGAGAGCGAGTCACAGAGACTGTTGAAGCAAACAGGTGCCACCGAGGCAGGCGCCGAGAGTTCCTTTGCAGGCACGTCGACGGAGCACGCACGTGCGCACGCTTTGCTGGCCCAGCGCGGCTTTGATCCAGATCGCATCGAACTCCAGGCGAAGCAGGTTGATTTGGTTGAAGATGTCGAGTATCTGGAGCCGTTTGCTGAGACCGACCTCGATACTTGGCTTCGGCTGCAGCACGAATGGGCGGTTTTAGAGCTTTGCGAGCTCGCCCGACATCGTACCGATTCCGCTGCCGAGGCGCTCTGGGAAGATCATGCAGCAGCTTCATGGGAACAACGTCGGAAACAGCTATTAAGCCTTCTGGGTAGTAGCACCGATGCGCTGAATCTGCGTGATATCCTAAGCTACACCGGGGGATCGGTCGACGCACGTAACCTTCGAAGTCGCACCCAGAGCCGAGCACGATCCGCATCGCCTTCAGGCGCGGAGACAAGTCAGCGAACACCGGTGCAGTTAGATCGACGGGCGCGAGAACACCCTGAGCGCCAAGAGAGCAGCGAGCCGCACTCAGGTTTTGAGCGCGAATGTGCAGCCCTGGTCCTCGCTCTAGTTCGCCAGGCACCGGATAGTAGATCGCAGCTCTCTGAATCCGCGCACATCACGCAGTGGAGTGGTCTGGATATCAGCACTTTTTTGAGCGGCCAGGTGGCCACGTCTGTAGTTGGCGCTGCGGACTTGTCGACGGACCTCGTTGCGTTGAGGTTTGCACGAGCCGCGCGTAAATGGTCCCAGGTACGCACTGCGGCAAGTTGGCCGCATGTGTCCTACTCCGAAGCATGCTACGAAATTCTCTGTGCTATGCTTGGAGAAGGCGATCTCACCGCGACTCTCACGAGGCCAGATTCGTTTGCCCGAAAGCAACCATTGACGCATGAATACGGCCCGTTCCGCGCACCTGCAGAAGGCATGCTTCGACCAAGTCGAGGGCACCGCCTTCGTTTCGTCTGCGGTGCACTTGACTGGCTTCAGAGGCAATTTCACCAACGCAAGCTGCGCCTCTCCATTGAACGCGAACCAGAAATGGCAGCACTCGGTGGCAAAACCGGCACACTAGCAGAAGTCCGTGCGTACCTGCGGGTCATGGAGGCTGGAACGATGGCGGTATCGCGACCGACGGGCTGGCTGACTGAGGATCCTTTTGCGGAGATCTATTACTGTCTGCGGTGCGGTGACATTGGGGCGGCTGTAGAAGCGGCCAAAGATTGGCTCTCCCCAGAAGGCAAACACTACTCCGGCGATGATCTACCTCGGTTCCTGACCTATCTAGAAAGTTTCGAGCAGAGCGCTCGTCGTCGATGGCAAGCTATTCGCCGCGCAAACGGTGGACCAGGTCCGTCCGAAGCGGGGTCGACTTCACAAGCGTTCGAGCTAAGGGGCCTGCGGGGCTCCGTCAAGGCAACGATGCTGTCACAAATGATCCACGACTACGGATTATTTGTGCACAAGTCGCAGCTCCGATCTGGATACCGAGACTGGAGTGTCGCTTGGAACGCTAATGCCCAAGAGGAGCAACACCGTTTGGTAGAGCGCGACATATTCAAGCGCGTCTGCTACGTGCTCATAGGACGTTTCAACAGCGCGGCACCAGAAGGAATGGAGTTGCTCGATATGGATTACGACGTGCTGTTTGCATCCATCGAGGACTATCTCTGGATGCGTCTGTGGACATGCCGTCTCAGTGTCGATGAATGCGATGGAGAGCTTGGCTTCATTTCGTCGGAGCGCTCAGGTATCGATGAAGAGACGCTCGCCGATGAGCGCTTGCCTCCGGAGATGAGCACGCTGGAGCTTCCACTGGATGCCGTCCAAGAGGAGATGCGCCAGTTCGGATCGGCCCATTTTGACCCGCACGGTAATCGACCGCACTTCTACGCGATGATTCTGCTATTGACGTGTCAGTTTGAGGCAGCGCTGACCTATCTGGTGTACAACGGTGTTGTGCGGGCGAGCGCGAGTGCCCTGACGCAGGACCCTCTGGTAGATGCGGTTCACCTCGGCCTGATCCTGAACTATTATGGTGCGCTCACCGAGTACGTACAACAGGATTCAGATCTTGTTCTCTACGACTATGCCGCAATTTTATGGCGCTACCTTCAGCGAGAGCAACGTGAAGTCTCTCTGGCCAAGGCCGACCCTACTGCTGCTGCGGCCTACCTCATGACCATTCGCGATGCGGAACAGCGTTTCGCGTGTCTCTGCAAACTCGTCACCACGACCCGGGAGTTCTCGCTCCTGCTTGGTGCGATGATTCCCGGGACGTTACGACGACGCCCCGGGGTTATCGAACGACTCGAGCGCACTGCCTATACGACGCGGCAGCTTGCAGGCACTGCTGCAGAATGGGCTCGCGTTGCTTACGCTTGTGCAGAGTCGTGCGAAATAACCGGGGACGTTATCCACGCTGCAATGCTCTTCGAGCTAGCAGGTGATTTGAATCGAGTGATGTCGATCTTGATTCGAGCGCTCTGCTCCACGTATCTGGATCATCGCTTCTACCAGAATCGTCTACCACAGCCGGTGGATATGGAGCGCCAGCAACTGGAGCTGGCGAAGCAAGCGCAGTCCATATACGAAAAATACGAGCACGAAGGTGTCCTCAGTAGGCGTGAAGAAGATGGTGGACACAGGAGCTCCGATCAACAGACGAGTGCGCGTTTAAGTCGTTCGCTGGCGGTCGCGCTAAAGCTCGCGCGCTTTATTGCGCTCGTTTACGATGAAGCGCAAGACGACTCTGACCCAGACTCGTCTGCGGTTTCCCGAAAAAGCGTTGAGGAGAGATACGAAGCTGCGCTGGAGCTTCAGAAACAGCTTGGCCTGCTGCCTTTCTCTCGTTCGCAACTTACGGCAAAGGTAGAAGCACTTCGTCCAGGTGCAGTCTACGAGGACGCTCTTGTAGAACGCCTGCCAGTTGTGGTTCTTACGCTCATGCGTGTCGTGCATGTCCTCTACGAGAACACGAAAACTGCTTTGCGTACTGGTATCCCACACAAGTCGCCCGCGGAGCAAGCGCGTCCAAGCGAGCGCACCGTTTTAGCTTGGCGTTCTAGTATGGAGCAGCGCCTCGCTGAACTGAAAGAAATCGCTAGCACCCTGGTTACGTTCAGTGGTATGATACCCTTTATGACTGCAGCAGAGACGTCAGAGCTGGTGCGCTTGGAAATGACGCTCACGTGAATCCGACTTGAGTATCGGCCAGCAGTTGGACGTGGACACTGCGTCGGATACGTGCATCGAGACAGTATAAGCATTCCCTTACGACTCACAAGCGTATGCCGCTGGTCCCGGACGGAGACGTGTTCCGGTCTGGGTAGAATCACACGAGCGCAGCTGCAGCAGGTTCCCCAGTCGGTGATCTCTGCACGTTAGATTCATCTGTGGATGAGAGTATCCTATGGATCCTCAGGGATATACGCAGATCGCGTAGGGTAAACGCATTTATTCTTGATGGTGCATTGCACGATAGAAACGTATTCATGTGATGCGTATGCCGTTCTTGCATTTGTACGCGAATCTTACCTCGCTGATGGTGGAACGTTTAAGCATATGAGAAGGAACGCTGCTCTCCTCGCTCGTTACAGTCATCACTCGGTGCTTGGGAAAGCATCCGGTTCGATTCACCGGTATCCCGTCAGTGCAAGTCGTGGTACTCGCATTGCTCGTTACTGTCATCACTCGGTGCTTGGGAAAGCATCCGGTTCGATTCACCGGTATTCCGTCAGTGCAAGTCGTGGTACTCGCATTGCTCGTTACTGTCATCACTCGGTGCTTGGGAAAGCATCCGGTTCGATTCACCGGTATTCCGTCAGTGCAAGTCGCATTGCGATCTGCAGGAGCGGCATGGCGAGATGTTCGCGTCCAGCATCGCGATACGGCAAACACCTGAACAAAACGATTCGTGAACAGTTTATTTTCAATAGTTTCAGAGCAATGGAACGTTCTTTTAACGGATATATTCAATATATTGATGACTACAGCCATGAGCCTGTGAATCAAAGGCGATATGACTTGCTCGTTGTTCAGAAAGAGCAACCGTTCAACGCAGAGCCAAAAGCTCCGCTACTGGTTCAGCACCACGTGACTCCAACGGAGCGCTTCTATGTGCGTAGCCACGGTCCAGTGCCAGCTTGTCCCGACAGTACACGTTTCCGTCTGGTTGTAGACGTGTCGCTGGCGCTCGAGCACTGTCAAAGTGGTGCGCAAGATAACCAAAAGCGGCCGGGTCAGCTGCAGTGGAGTCTCGAGACGCTTCGGGAGAAGTTCAAGTTTACGGAAGTGGAAGCTTGTCTCCAGTGCGCTGGCAACCGCCGCACTGAACTTGTGGATCGAACGAAACGACCCGTGAAAGGCGTAGGTTGGCATCAAAGCGCCATCGGAAACGCTCGCTGGGGAGGGTTCCTGCTCGCCGACCTGCTGCGTTTCTCGCTGCACCAAGCGGGCCTGACGGACGACGCACAGCTCGCACAAGTTCCTTGCGATGTTTGTATCGAAATGGAGGGCGCGGATTGGGTCCCAGAAGAGGAATACCGACGGAAGCATCGTGACACGCCCCCACCAGGCTACATGGCGTCTCTCCCGTGGTCCATGGTCATGGGTGATGGCTCCAGCGGGCACGCGGTGCCTCCCGTGCTGCTGGCAACGCACATGAATGGTGCTCCGTTGACTGCAGACCACGGGTACCCGCTGCGCTGTGTCGCCCCCGGAATCTATGGAGCTCGCTCCGTGAAATGGTTATGGCGGATTGGGCTCAGACGCGGACATTCTGACGGTTACTTTGTGGAGCGCGACTATAAGGTTTTCTCACCAGCTGTGGACGCAGCATACGTGCGATGGGATAGTGCGCCTCCACTCCTGGAAGTCAATGTGCAGTGTGCAGCATGCGTGCCAGCAGAGCGAGCTTGGAAGTTGTGGACCTCCAAGGCTGACCGCCACCCGCCAGGCACCGCCTCAAGTCTGGTGGTGCCGCTCTGGGGCTATGCGTTCAGTGGCGGTGGACGGCGAATCATTCGCGTCGATATCAGCGGTGATGCCGGTGCAACATGGACCGTCGCACAGCTCATATTCGGTGAAAAGGGCGCGCACCATGCGATCAGAGCGGAGTCCGCACGAGTAGCAGACGACACCGATGAAGCACACAATCTCTATACACCAGGATTGGAGCCTTTCCGGGTACGTCCACTCGATACCGAGCGTCCGATTGCGAACGATGCCCATCGCTATGCCTGGTGTCGCTGGTACGCGAAGCTAGCGATTCAGCCGCCGTGTGAGGTCTGGTGCCGCGCCGTCGACGAGTCTGCGAATACGCAGCCCGACGACGTGCGGGCCTGTTGGAACTTTCGAGGGGTTGCACACAACTCCGTATATCGAATCCGAGTGGAATCGGATGACGGACCACGATCGCGGCTGTAAGCGACGTTCATCTAGGATGCGCACCAGCAGAAGTTTTATCCTCGAACGGAACGCGTCCACGTTGACGCCAGTGTACTGTGCAGCGCGTGGTCGAGCAAACGGCGCCATATCTCTCGAAACTGCGGATATGCATTGAACAGCGCCCTACAGCGTTTTGTCTACATGTTACCCAGTGATTTTCTTGTGAGCACGCTGGCGCTTGGTAAGCTTAAAGTGGATGTTTCGTTGGCGCCGCGTTCTGACTCCGTCGACGTGAGGAGATGGCAGGCATCCCTGTGACGAGAGGCTTTTCCCACGACGCTATGTACACTCCGCATACCTGGTTTTCAGTAGCGAATCGAGCTTGATCGGAATGTCAAGTGCAAAATTTCAGTCAAACGGAGACATAGATACGATGTGATGCAATCGAATCGGTACTCCTTGGGCATTTGTGAAACGCATTTCCAGTCCGGGATCGGTTATGAGGTAAACCTGTCGAGATTTAGGTATGGGTAAGAGTACTTGTTTTTGTCTTGAAGAGGAGAACGCTTCAAAGCTTGATCGAATCGTTCCAACGAATCACTGGATTCCTCGCTGTGAGGATCGCTCAGTTCACACCTGAGTGCAAGCACGCCATCGTCAAATGCCACGTCGTCGGTCCCTGCGTACAAAGGATGAACCTTGCGAGGTCTGCAAAACTCAGGAACGAGCGTTTTCGGTTCTGAGACGCTCTAAGGTCCAAGAATTGGACGCCTCTTCGCCATATGCATCACAACTGTACACACTGTCCGGTAAGAGAGTACACGCGCAAAATGAAGCCTGGCAAGTCGCTCGCCTCAGCTACAACGCCACCCACACCTGCCGATGCATCGTCGTTGTCGTGGTGGTGGTGGTGGTGCCGCGGCCCGAGCCCTCGGGGTCATGTGTTCTATCAGGCTCTCTGCGTCGATCTCGGATAATGACGACTCAATCTGGGTACCGGAGATCACGATTTCGGACCTTGATCCCTTCAAAAACTGTCTGCGAAGTGTTTGCAGCGCGGCATTGCATGTACATGCATCATGACACCTCTGCACTGCCCGAGAAGCACCAACATACCGATGACTTGGGCCATCCGCACAACTTGGTACACCCACACATACAAATGCCATATCCAGAGCCTTCTGCTAGTGTCTGGTCGCTAGACGATGCATCCGGAGAGCGCCGTCCGCGGACGTTGCACTCGCCTTGAGGTAGTGCGCGAGTATCACGGAGCTTCGATACCGGGTCGCATCAGCAGCGACGCTGCCAACCCGAGGTTCCCGTTCGCTGCTGCGAGCGCTGACCTGGCTGAGGCTTCATCGAATCCCATGGCAACGAGGCGCTGAACATTGACGTCTGTCTCGTTACGAGCCGGAGCGGAATCGAGGCCTCTTGCTTCTGCGATCTCTCTGTCGCTGAGAAACGGAACAGCGCGGTCTCTCTCTCGCAGAACATTCTCTCTCAAATCAATACACATTCCGTGCTTGCGCAGCGTGTCGAGACCCAGAAGCATATCCGTATTCAGCTGCTCGACAATGGCAAAGGAACATTCATACCATTCTCCATCGAGTTCCATAAGCGCCATATGGACCCGTCCGATGAACTCTGCCCGTCCCAGGCCGATGGCAGTGCCGCGAAAACGCCGATCAATAAGTCTGCTGAGACCGGAACGCTCCGCACAAGCCTGGCTCATAACGGTGCACTGTGCGCCACTGTCGACAAGTGCAAGGACCGGCTGGGCGTTGCGAGCTGAGTCAGCAGTGACACGAACTCGAACGTACAGCGGCGTAATATACGTGAACGACTCTACATTGTGCTCCAGAGCAGCCGCCAGATTCTCCTGAATGTTATGTTCATGAATCGCAGCTTCAATCCGGCGCTGTAGCTCTGGACTCATGAGCTCATCTTCAAATGGCATCGAGGTCCAATCAGAGCCGCTTCGGGACACTAGTCCACTGACGCCAGCTGTGGCAGGTAAAGCGCTCGTCTCTGAGATAGGGGCAGGCAGCGCAGCGTCGCGGTCACGTACCGAGTCTGGTGCAGTCGTCTGTGCACGCTCCAGGGCTTGATTTCGGAACTGAGGTTCAACAGTGATAAGTTCATCGTCCGGAAGGGCTAGCTCGCGAACGGTTCGTTGAGGCGGGAGCAGCTGGCCCCGCCAACGAAACGCATAGTTTACGGCTGCGTCTTCCACAACACTTTCGCTGGGGTGAAGCTCGACGAGAACCGCTTCCAGCAAGTCCGCAATAAGTGCTTCTTCTGAAGCTTCTAAAGTCGCGAAACGCTCACCGTCTGCAGACACAAAGCATAATCGTTTACTCGTCATGGTACTGTCCAGAAAACTCAAGAGAGAAACCGTTTTCAGCGCCACGCGTGACGCCGACTTGTCAGGTAGCAGCAGGAAGACCCAAGTATGTGCTCTGAACGCTCAGGATCAATCTAACCCGTGCATACCTCCGGGACTGATATGCTCAGGTGTATAAAAAAGCCGCCACTGAGAGCAGCTGTCGCCTTAAAGGACGAACACCAGCGCCCGTGGTGGAAAGTTCCAGCGTAGTCTGGCAGCTGTGGCGGTATTGCCGTTGTGTGCAGCCTCGAACCGCTGCTGCACTCTGGGGCCAGCACGTGGATGCAAAAGTATGCAGGAGACTACCTGCAAGGTCCGTATACATCCAGGGCAGTCTACAGGGCCTCTACAATGGCGATCAGTCGAACTGTTCACGCTGCAATGGTGTCAGTTTAGCATGGAAAACTGAACTGTTAGCTCGGTTCCTGCCTTTCGAATCTTTCCGAACTTGTGCAGCCACGACGATCGAACTGCAGCAAAAAGGACTTAAGGATGTATACGTAGGTTTAGGATTGTGGGTCTTATGTTTAGGCTGGCTTCTTCGACACGTTGTCGGTGGAACGCTGTGCATCACCAGTACCCGGGTGATTCGCGACGCTCTCCAACACGGGTTCGTCGACGAACCAGTATGCTTCTTCGAAGCGTACAACCAAAGCTCCACGCTTCTCTATTGCTTACGTTTAACGTGGCCAAATCACGCATGTTTCAAGTTTTGGGCGCTTATCTTTCAAGGCATCTCGTGGGCGTCGCAACGCACGCTGCTGGCTTGGCGCGGAAAAATGCTCGACGTGGCCATTGGCTGCATATGCACGAGCTCGTATCGAGACCTCACTGAACTTGTTGCATCACAAAATCGATCTCGTTGGAAAGACGCATCCTCTTGTGTCTCTTGCCATCGAAGAAACTCCATTGGGCAGCAGCAAGATATCTCCAAGCAGATACGCTCTGGGAGGAGGCTCCCGTCTCTTCTGTTTCCACGGAAACGGGTCTTGGATCTGGACTTGAGTCATCGTAACATCCACCACTGATGGAGCGTACGTCACTGCTTACCAAGAACAGAGCGTATACGGATCGAAAATTGTCCACTTGTGCTTCTGTCCGGATTTTTCCATGGTATTTGTTTCACCATGAAGAACATCGCGTTCTAGAAACTCGCTTCTGTTCGTTCCTCCGTTGATTCGCGAGTGCCCGAGGAGCTCCGGATGTCAAGTGCATCGTGCGCTTCTATAAAATCCATGTTGTCGACCGGCTCCTATTCTGCCGCGACGCTCGTTGTCCTCATCGGATGCATTTGCCATGCTTTTGCGCTGGCGCCTCGTCCTCAACCAAGCGGGAAGAAGCTCTAACCGAGGCGCGCGGCGAGCAACCCCGAAATACCTTCGGAAGCGGCTAAAGTCTCCTGCGCTCTGGAGCTCTGATAGAGCACTCCACCAGCAAAAACACCATCACTATCGTTGACGTGTTTCTCGTTGACCACCAGTCCATTTTCTCTTCAGCGTCCTCGTCTGTGTGAACGATTCGACGGGGATGTATCACGCTCTATCCTCCGATCCGCTGGGCTTGAACGAAGCACCGGCCATGAAGAGATCCTTTATGCCGCCCAAGCACGCGACCGAGTCGTCGCCGGTTCGCCCGAGGTCATCGAATCCTTTACTGGCTGGTGCCCGTGAATCCTGGTGTGTCTCATTCACTGTTGTCATGCGTATCTTTTTCCTACGAATTTCTTTGTGTTATCCAGACTGCATCGAATCATCAAGCGAGTGCATGCTTCGACACCCGCAAAGCCGTTCAGCTGTGTAGCTGAAGTGCTTGCGGCTTCGATGGAACCACGCAGCTGGGGGGCTGTTTCCAGCATGTGCTTGGGGTTTAGTGAGGACACGGAAAGCCGTGGGTCTCAACAGCAGGTCAAGCGAGTTTCCCACTTTTGAACCTCCTCGACGCATCGGACCTGCGCGTCCATCACCGTCAGGTAGTGGCGCTGCTGGACCCAGCTGTAATGACGTACGGTATCCAGTACGCTGGCTATGTGTTCTGACAAGAACAGGTACGTTCCGATGCGTCCGTTTAAAAAAGTAGCATCAAAGCGTAGCGATGTGCTTCGAGCAGGAAAGCGTTCCATCCAAGAGTGGCAACGTTCTCCGGGTGCGGTACGCTCTGCTTTTCAGACCGCTTCGGTACATGTCGACTGCTCTTCCCCAGCTGTTTGCCTGGCATTCCTAGTGTGCATCGACTGTGCGCTTCCGTTGATAAACATGCAATTTAGATTTATTCTCTATACGCTTTTCACCTCTCTGCTTTAAGCGTTTTCAGATATCCGCGATCCGCTATCGGCTATGCATTTCGCGAAACATGCGCCCCGATGAGCGCCATTGCCTCAGATGCCGCGCTTCAAGCATCGAGCACCAGTTCGTGTCGAAGACGATCAAATCAATCGAAACCTGTATACGCGTCCCTGAGCACGTTCCCCAGGGCCCCGAATCTGTTCTGAATTGAGTTCAACGATGGAGAATATGTCGGAGAGTATAGCATGACGCATCCTGCGTTCTCTGCTGGATTCTAAACAAAAGAGGGTTTGTAGAACGCGGCATTTTGTATGATAAAACAGAAACAGAAAGGCAAAGCCAGGCTGGACGGCATTTCGAGATATGTCGATACCCCCATGCTCCCCTCGAGCAGATCGATGACGCACGCTCCACTGGACTTGATCGCTATGATGACTCAAGTCCGAGTCAAAGACCCCTTTCCATGCAAAACGCAGAGCAGGGAGCCTCTGGGAACATATCACGTGAAGACTACCATACAGCGAGGCGAGGATTCCATTTCGTCGATGATCGCGAAGTGACGAAGATTTACCTTTCGAACTGAATCAACTCTTTTAGGTGGGAACATCACCGAACCTGCGGTGCGCGCATGCGAACAAGTCCCCCAGAGATCACGTCAACTTTATCTCGTCGTTTGCCTACAGGCGCGACTTGCTCTGCCCACGTGTTGTTTTCTGAAATAGACAGATCGAAACCTTGACGAGGACGTGACTAGGGCGTGCTAGACATAAGGAAATGAGAAAACTGGAGGCCTTCAACCTTGAATTGGACAATGATAGTAGTCATTTTGAGAACACGACTTCGCGGGTGGCGCCAATCATCGTCATGAACGTTCCTTGACGAATGCCAGCGACAGACTGCCGACGAAGCCATTCCCAGAAGCTGACCGAGAAACCCGAATCGACGAATGAATCCGCAAGCGCTCGTTGTGGCACTTTGAAAGTCGCTGCTTTGCGTGTAAAATGTCCAGAAAAAGATCGACAAACAGGAACAAGGCAAGTAGTTCAATGTTCCATATGAATCGGATGCAGCTGCAGCGATGGAAACATCATTCACCGTTTTCGAGCGCGACGTTCGCATAGCGCAACGACACGACTATTGGTTGGGTTCCACGTGCTCAGTCAGCCGCTATGGAGGCAGCGTATTGGATCGGAGTGTTCTCATCTGGAAGTCGAACTTGGTAGTGGCGGCTGACACACACCCAGTGCGAAAAAAAAAGTCGAGTTTTACCTTTCCTCGCGCCGAGCGTTAGCGCGGAACGAACTCCCAAGGCTCTAGGGACTCGGATGCAGCCACTTTGCTTGGAACAGTGCTCGCTTTTCGGAAGTGCCGTAGCGAAAGTGAGCTGGGTGCGCACTTTTCCGATAACGAATACCAGAGGAACGGGTTCATTTCACAGTCGAAACTTGGAAAAAATCTGTCGACTGGGGAACAACTGTTCGCGTGAACACAAAAGTGCCACCCGCTTTGCATTGCAGCTGTTGACGGACGCTCGAGAGCCCAGACCGTCTTGGCGGCCGAAACAAAGTTTAGGCCAAAACTTCCTCAAGGATCCTGCGGTTGCCGCCGCTATCGTGCAAGCTGTGCGAGCTTGTGAGCCCCTCGAACTGGTCGAAATTGGTGCCGGAACCGGTGTGCTTACAGAGCCGCTTCTGGAAGTATTCCCCGGGCTTGTGGCGCTCGAGCTTGACGCACGTGCGGTGGAGCACGTTCGAAAACGCCTTGAACAGAGCGAGCGCTTCCGTTCGGAGCATTTTCCCGAGCTGCGCACCCGTATCTACCATGCAGACTTTTTGCGCTCGGACTGGCTCAGGGAAACCGGCATGCTCACTAGGCCCGAGCCGCGGATCACGCTCGTGGGGAATCTTCCCTACTACATTGTATCGCCTATATTCTTTCACTGTATTGAGAGCATTCAACGATACCGGAACGCAATCTTCATGGTTCAGCACGAATTTGCAGAACGGTTGATGGCAAAGCCTCAGTGCAAGGACTACGGAGTCCTATCGGTGCTGGCTCAGCTCCACGCCGATATTCAAGTGCTTCTCCGAGTGCCGCGAAGCGCATTCTATCCCATGCCTAAGGTGAACTCTGTGGTACTGCGCCTGGATTTTCGAGACCCGTTGCAAAAGGACTGCATGTCTTGCGGCGTCTCATCGGATGTGATCCGCCTGGCACTGCATCGGCTCGTTCGACGAGCATTCCAACAGCGGCGGAAAACTTTACGGAATACGCTTGGCGATCAAGTGCCGATGAGATGGTCGCGAAGACGTCCTGAGGAGCTCCATCCAGCTGAATTCCTCGAATTAACGATGATTCTATCGCAGGATGCTGCGCTAGACACGGGAAAGCCGCCTGTGTCTGGCTAGCCCCAGCAAATGGAGCTGGAGCCGAGAAAACAACTGGGCACGATCGACAGCTCGACGCCTGTCGTCGTCTATAAGCAGTGATGTAGTGCGCAGCGCAGGATGAGCACTGAACCTTCCGATCTCAGCGTACACCATGAATTACATCCAGGCAGACATTCGAGGATCCTGTGCACATGAGGTTTGGATGAGACCGCATGGTCACCTTACGTGCGGGTCGCGGCACCGATTTGCTTCATGTAAAGCGTACACCAGGAAGAGACGAGCGCTGCACCCAGGAATTCGTCGATGCAGCGCGAGGAGGAGTCATGTGTACTCGGTTCCCGGATGTGCGCTGTCAACGTCGACATTGCCGAACCTGGTCAACGGTACCAAAAGCGCGATGAACGAGTGCCCAAGAGACCGAGTTCGTCGTTCCTTTCTGGTTAGACTGGGTACACGGTGCGCATGTTTCGTGCACAGACCGCGTAAAACGCTCGGGATCGCAACACCATCTATAGTAACCTCTGATTTCGAGTTTGGGTATTCCAGGTAGTATCGAATGATAGAAGCCCATGACCGTCAAGGAATTGCCCAGGAAAACCGCCTCCGTGCGTATATACCGGACGAAAGCCTCGCCGGGTTGCTCAACCCGACCATACTAGTTCCTTGCTCGAGGCGGAAATCCAATCGTCTATGTCTTGGCTAATCGTTTGCTTTCATCAAAAGTGTTCAGCGTTTCAGCAAAGAATTCGCTCATAATACGAACCGAATACCTCGAAAAGACGCCCAACACAAACCCGCTGGACGCTCCAAAAGTACGAGATATTGAAGGATGGTGGTAATGGCATTCGAGTCTCGGTGCATAACGCACTTGCACGCATCCTTGCTGTTGAAATCACATCATAGCCAGCCTCTCACCTGGGAAGACCTCACCAGCTGAAGTTTCGTCAGCTTACCGTACACCATTTCGTCCACCAGGCTCCGTTTCGCACGATTCCTCCAGACCAATTTCACCGTGTACTCGTGCTCACTATATGTGTATGTCGTCCTAAACGCATCGATGGGAATCGGGCTGATTCGATTCCTGCACGCGTTGAACGCCCTGGTCGAGGGCGTACGAGTGCAGCGTTCGCGCGCAACGGCACGTCCAGCGCCGCAGGAGAGCATCACCAAAGGACGCTGCTTGCCAGTGATGTACGTTTCCAAATCAATGAAAAAGTTGGTGGATGCAGGTTCTTGCGTCCATGCATCCGCATCTATTGGCGACACCCGGGCAAGTTCTCTCATTCTTCAACTGAAGATCGTCCGAATGAGCATTCTGGATGCTCATGCACTTGCCGAATGAGACGTACAAGACATCCTCTGCTGCTCGATAGGATGCTCAGAGCGTCGAAATGGGCCTGGCGCTGTCACTCCAGGTGTTGGTATGCCTCCTGACGTCAAGCGCGCAGGACTCTCGACACGACCGGGCCCCGGCATCGTTGAGCGGCTTCATCTGCCTTCCGTTCAGGCCGCTGGCGCTGTTCTCGTGATGCAGAGCAGAGCGATGGCCATAACGCCGTTCAGGCCAGGATCCATGCTCATGAACAAGTCCTGCTCCTGGGCTATCTTGAGTGCTTGAAAATGGGTCACGTGGTGCTGCTCAGGCAGAGGTTTCACGAAGTTCATGCAAATGGATATACCATCAGACTCTATCATGCCAGTAAACGTCTTTCCATTTCCACCCTGTAAGCGATAAAGGTCGGACGAGCTCCACCCCAATGGTCTTCGTGAAATTTCTCGAATGGTTCGCGCTTGCTCGCTGGGAACAGCTCTCTTCGCCTGCTCCTCTAGTTTGCTCGGTGGCATGGGAGTGGTAGCTGTGCTCCATTTCGGTTTTTTTTCGCGGGATTCAGACGCCCTGCATGGACGAAGTTACTAAAGCTCGTCTTCTCTTTTTATGTGTCTACGATTCCTGAACTACATTTTCTTCGACGTCTTCGTCACAAGTATGCCCACGAATCGAAGCACACTTTTTGGCATTCTCCCGTGCTCGAGCAGAGACGAAGACAGCAGGTCTGGGCTGCTGGAACTAGAGAACAATTGCTTTCCGAAGAAAGGTGTCACGGATGTAAACGACTCGTCTATTGATCGCAGGCATTTGCATGGCATCGGACAACGGACAAAACGCCATCCGCTGGACTGAAACACGAATAGCCCCCTAGTACGAAGAACAGGTCGATGCTAATTACAGCTGCGTGCTCCGCGACCGCTTGTGCTTCATGGAATTCGACGTCGTGTAAGAGCAGAACACAGGACTGTGCGAGCGAAAGCCCGCGAAATGCATCGACAAAGCATGAGGTGTTGGCGGCTCCTGTCCGCTTTGCGATTCGTAGGCGTCCACTCGATAGTATCGTCGCTCGGGGATGTTGTTGTTGGTATTCTCGCTCGCCTGTTCTTTACGAACACCAATTTACCCGTATTGGAGTACGCATGTACAGATCTACTATTTCCACCGAATTCGTGCTCATCGAGTCAGACAAACACCTCTCCCTTCTGTACCCAGCGTTCGCATTTCAATCCAAAATCGATCGCGTGTTCTTCGACGTGCAAAGCGCTCCCATGCAATCGCGCTGCACGCTTTACCCATCTGTGTGTGTTCATTACCGTACGTGCCGATGGTACGAACACTTCACGTCCTGTGCTCTGTTTTGTACTATTTCATAGAGAACTTTTTGAGTTGAAGGTATGAGAGAGGAGGCCTTCGTGTCGATAGAATTTGATTCGTTCGGTTCCCGGTGCACGACGTTCGTGTCAAGGACGACGACAAGTCTAGTTCAGGCATCTGCTTACCCTTGTCTGACTCATTTGCAATCGAAAGGTTGGGTTTCGCAAGCTAAGCGTGACAACATAAATTCTGTTTTTGGCCTTTATCGAATCTACAGGACACAATCCATTTGTTGATTACGTAAGACAAAAAAGCAAGCAATAACGAAAAAGGCATGCTGGTTACGTTATCAACGTATCCACTGCTAGTTTGGGTATAGGGAATCCACGCAGCGAGGCATTCTAGAAGCGCCTGGGGAAACGCGCGCGTCTCCGCACTCGGATACTGCGTCACCAACGTCCGTGCGCACGCTTCCATACACGAAGGGATACTGCTGTGCAACTGATACGCAGTCCTTCTCTGGAAGCGTGGATGGCGCGTCCGTCAGAATTCCACCATACATAACGCGAGATACGCAACACACAGGTGACACCAGGGCGCATCCTGGTCACGGATGCGTTGTGCGCGGGAGCATGCGCAGCGTAGCTAGTACAGCGATCATGCAGCATGTGATGGGAGCATTTCTGGTTGCCAACCGCTGACATACATCCGGTGTAATTTGGTTAGATGTATCCCTCTGATACCATATCAAGAAATGCGTCGCGTACCCGAACATGCCTAGCGCTGCTTGTCAAGCCAGCACGCATCATATCAAGTTCGCAGCAGCCCGCGAGCGAGCACCGATGAACACCAAGGTGTATCGCGGCGCTCGTATGCCGCGCCTCGCGTCCCTGCGGTGGACGCCTCAGAGATGAGTGTCTCTGCAGGTCAGGATCCTGTCCAGGTGAGGCGCGCACTGCCGGAAAGTCTCGTGGCAGGCATTTGGGCAATTGGACAGGAGCCTCGGTGCTCTGTGGTCATGCGTGAGACCCGGTTTACCCGCTCTGTGTCTGCTTAGGGTGCTAGATGCGTCATCAGTAGGTTCCGTGCCACGATGTAGCACTGGGAAGACGCGATGGAGATGCGTACCCTCCAAAGACCACAATGTCAAGGTGTTTCTCACATCCACCCGGGAACCATGCGCAGCCACATCCGCCAGCTTTTCTACCCTTGTAAGGCTTATTGAGCGTGCCGCTACAGCGACGACGTTTCCTTTGATGGCGGCGACTAGCCCTGAAAATAACAGGTTTGACAGTGGTACTACGACTGAGGAAAGCTCGGAACTGGAAGAGCGCTTTTTGCCGTTCGAGCGCGAGGCACCGCGCGGTGGTTGGGAGTGCCCGCTCCAGTGGCTCCTGGCACCACTCGTTGTACCGCTGAGAGTTGTACTTTGCTTCGTGATCTTAGTATTCTTTTACCTTGTTTGTGTGAGTTTTGGGCCGCGTGTTGACAAGAAAGCAGCGGAAGTCGGCTTTGTGTGGAACTTACCGCGCTGGCGAGCTCACCTGCTGCGCGGGCTCACCAAACGCTGTGCCCGCGTCGTGCTCTTTATTCTGGGTTTCTATCGCATTCGCCGCCAGCATCTCGCTGGCTATGATCACAGGATTCGTTCAAAAGTTCTCATTGTTAGCAACCACGTATCATTGTTCGATATTTTATTCTTCATGGCTGATGACGGCCGTTCGTTCGTGAGCAAGCATACGCTGTTGCAGGTACCACTCATAGGACGCATCGCCGCCACCATCGGATGCATCTTCGTGAACCGCACGCTCCACAGTGGCGGGCAGGCCACGAACCTCGTTGTGCAGCGGCAGCGGCAAATGTGGGCGTCCGACAGCTCAGCACCGCCCCGTGGGCATCGATCCTCGACGGACGCGTCCTCGCTATGTTCATCGCCGCCATTGGTGCTGTTTCCTGAAGGCACAACCACTAATGGAAAGTATCTTTTAACGTTCAAGACAGGCGCGTTCGTCGCCGGACTCCCGGTGCAGCCCGTGATCTTAACGTATGAGCAACGCTGTTTTTCGCTGGCCTACGAGACAATCCGCGGATGGAAATACTTCCTGGGTGTGTTCCGTCAATTCTATAACCGGCTCAGCGTCATTTACATGCCAACTTATATTCCAAATGAGGAGGAGAAAGGCAACCCGCGTCTTTTTGCGCAGAACGTGCATCTACACATGCTCAAGGAAATGCAGTCGCGATACGGCACGCAGCTCAGCAATAGCTCGTATCTCGACAAGGTTGCCTACCACAGAAAACTTCGCCAGCAATGGGGCGAATACGTCCCAGTGCCTTCGTCAAGCGCGCGGTCGCATTCGCATCATGAGTGATCCGGGTTAGATGATTCAGACGGAGATAATGCGTGCAACTTGGCAGCGTAGCGCAAGCTGGTTCCTGAGGGCGCATTTCCTTTTAGGAGCTATGGGCGCGGAAATGCAGCGCACTGGTACGTATGCACGTGCACTGCCCATGATAAACCAGATGCTTCACAGAGAATTTGCATGTATGAGTGTTGTTCTCGCCGCAACTGTGCATGCTCAGGTGCGACAGGCAACCTTCTCCTGGGAGCCAGCCCCGCGCACTTACCTGGACGCTCCGAGGGGATACGCCTCGAAACAAGTGCGCATGTAGATTCCGAATACTCCAAGCCCGCAGTATCTCTCGCTTCCCGTACTTGTGGATACGCGTGTAAGACGCTGATCCATACCACGCCGCGACGACATGCTCGTATCTGTCATTCGCGAAAAATTGGACACATATCGTAAGCACGTTTTCATCCATGGCGTGCCCGCAAACTCGACATGGATCCGAATACAAAAGCACGCCCAGTCAGCACATGCCGAGCTGCTGCAACTCAACGGCCAAAATCACATCATCTCGCATCATCGACAGGCCGCTGTTCCGCACGCGCCCGTGATCCACTTCGTTCCGAATCGCGTAGATGACCCGGCCTATGATATGATCGCTTGTTACCGGTCCAAAGTCTCGACTATCACGACGAAGAATGCGCAGGAGATTAATTTGCTGGGCCAGTGGAAGCCGCTCCGCTGGTAAGGCCGCTCCACTGCCTACGTTTGGAGCATCCGCTTTCTGCGCGTTTGCCTGCGGGTCGGCAGAGGCGGTTTCCGCTTCGAGCGCCCGCTCTCGCAGCAGCTGAATATCCTCCTCGATGGGGTTATCATTGTCTCGCAGAACCCAGTACTGACCACGTTCGAGCCGCAACAACGCCTGGCTCGTTTCTTCTTCATCACGTACGAGCTCGTCACCCTCAAGTGCAACCACTCGTCGGACGAAACGACGCGAACCGTCTTCGGGGTCCTTGACGACCACGATATCGCCCCGGTACGCAAGAGGTCTCCGGTAGAAGGTAACCTCGCCTCGGACTGTGTCCATGCTGCCGGTCCAGCGCGATAGCCGTCGAATGACGAGACGTTCGCCCGGACGGAACGGGGACGTGACGTGGGCGTTCAGCGTGGGTGCCATGGAGTTCCCAGTCAACGTGGCCACAAACGACGCTGGCTTCGACATTTCGTCAAGTACGGTTTCAACAAACACTTTGCGCTGTGCAGGTGCACCTCGCCAAACTTGGAATAGCGCACGAAAGAGGGAGGTTGTTCCTGCTGTCTCCGTCGAAATCTGGACGCTGGCCAGGGAAACCTCCAACGCATCCCGGAACCGAAGACTCCAGTATAACGCACGACGCAGCAGTGTCGCCATGATCAACGTGCCAGCTCTCAACTTTACAAAACTCTGGTGCCGACAAGGTAGCGCGCCTCTCACGCGGTTCCCGGTTCCAGCAAGAGGTTAGTGTGCGCGCCTCCCTGACGCCCACACAGAAGTGTACACTTTTGCTGCCGTACACGAGCACTGCTGCTGCTCAAGCGCCAACTCTAGCGCTTCCTTCAATAGCAGTGCAGCGTCTGGTTTCCTGTGTATACGAAAAGACGCTCCTCGCGTCTCTTGACTGTGTCAGGGGCACTTGCGTGTGCGCGCACGCATGCACAGCATCATCAGCGCAGCGCAGCAGGCAATCGATTTCCTTCCCCATAAGGGGTGAAGCTGATAATGAAGCTGATGATGATCGCGATGACGCTGAGGCATCGCGCCGGGCTGGAAACCGTGGGCGGATGGATGTCACGCATGCACAGCATCATTAGCGCAGCGCAGCAGGCAATTGATTTCCTTCTCCATAAGGGGTGAAGCTGATGATGAAGCTGATGATGATCGCGATGACGCGGAGGCATCGCGCCGGGCTGGAAACCGTGGGCGGATGGATGGACGGATGGATGGATGGGCGGCGCTGGTCCATTGCCGTGCCTAGATTTTGACGAGGCGCGCGCTGCGTGACGCTGCGAGGCACGGCCGACGTCGCGGGTTATATGACCGGCAAGCTGGAAGCACGCTGTGACTAGCGTAAACCCTGTTTTAGACGGAAACCTGTCTGTTGGACGCAAGACCGAGACAGGGTAAACACTAGCGCAGCCTGGGGGGTAGTAGCTTGCACGGCAACTGGCGGTGACAGTTCCGCGAGTCAATCTGTTTTTTCTGAGGTAACCAGCTAGAGTTGGCATTGACGAATGGTGCGGAACTCACGAGTCACTGATTACAGCGGTTTCGTCACAGCGTGCAGTGCGAGGCAAGCACTCGTCGGCTGGCATAGTCCCGTGAGACTGCACCTGGGCCGGCGTTTCCGGCTGCTGAAAAGTCGCTGGACGCGGTGTTTCTGCGGGCACCTGCGCTGCCGGGCGCTCAACACGCTGTCGTGCACACATAGGCGGCTGGCGGGTTCCGCAACCTGCGGACCGTTCGCAAAACGACCCGGAACTGTGCTGACTGCAGCGTGGTTGGCGGCTGTACCCTCAACGTCACGGGCAATTGAGTCAGGTTCGGCTACCACGGAATCAGTGAAGAGCGCCGCCGAGGAGATCGGAAACACAGCAGCGCAAGCCGCTACAACAAATAATGTGGACTGGAGCTCGCAGCTCACGAACTGGTTGGCTGCGATTGATGCAGTGCTGCTGGTGAGCGCCACAATTCTGACTATCATTGTGACAGTTCGCGACTGGCGCAGGCGAAGTGCTAAGAAAGAACAAGAGTCGAAATCAAAGGATTCAGGTGCAAGTAAAAATGCTCGCGAAGGAGATCGTTTGAAAGCAGCAGCGAACGCACCGCCCGGAAAACTCAACCGGTACCAACGACGCGAGTTACGGAAAAGACGGAATCAAGACGACTCGTCGCTTTGATGACAAAGACCGGGAGCGCGTGAACGCAACCACAAAGTATTCGTAGATTTTCGCTCTGTTCTCATTGTAGTTTCGCGAAGCGCCCCGGGAGGAAACTGCAAAGCGCGCATCGAGGCTGCTGTTGCAAGAGTCGAGTGCCGCGGCGAGTCTCGAAGCGCTGCGTAAGCCGTCCGGAATCGATACGCGCGCTCGGCACCCGTCGACACTAGCGACGATCCTTGAACCTACCTCTGCAGCGCTTATCACCACATGGTAGGATGAGAAGCTCCGGCATCGTGCATCACCGCCGCAATGCCTGCCGCGAAGGGCTCCAAGGAGCACACTACGGCCGGAACGCTGTGTGGCATTGTGCAGAGGCATTTCCACGTAACCTTCATGGAAGGGAGCGCTTTGACGAGACTGGAAAAGCAAGGAGAGCACTACAGGAACCTCGCGCAATGCACGGTGTCCAAGAGACACGTCACTCGCGCGTTCTTCGTAAACGAATGTAGGCGCCTCGTCCTGCTTGCGGATACCGCTCGTGTCTCTCGTCATCTGTCGTTCCGGCGGTCTGCTGAGCGAACGAGATAGCTCGTAGCGACACCAACGCCTGTACGTCAACATGCAGAGAGACGCGCATTCCATGCACGTGTACTGTATTCGAAATACAGGACGTGTGCCATTGCGCTGGTCGAGTGGCGTCGCGAATCATCGCTCGGAAGCGCCCGTTATTGGTTGGAGGCCCCAGGAACGGCACCAGTTCCTGTCCCGTTGCAACTTCGAAACAGTGACCGGTTCGAAGGTCATATTGCGGAAACAGGTTCTCGTGTATCAGCGATAAACAGAGTGAGCCTGCCAGCCTCGCATTCCCATACTTGCATAAGTGCGGAACGCGTCTCACCGGGGACGGCAGTGCTGGTTGTAGCGGTAGTGTCCGGTTGACGTTTTGCGACTGCTTGGCGTGCTTCGCTGGCCACTATCGCAGATCATGCGCAACCTAGATGGTGCTTGCTTCTCCCGGACACATGATTGGCTCGGATGATTCCTAGCGAACGTTGGTTCACGCGATACAGATCTTTTACGAATGGCCCGTCAGCGGGATGGTCCGGATTGTTTTCTCGTCTACGTTATCAACCAGGAAAACGATGTAGCCATTCCTCAAACCCGCGCTCTGAAACCAGTCGGGGAAACGCGCTGCTCCAAAAGTCAACGAAACGGCGTTAGAGTCAAGGTCGGACGTCTATGGCGCCAGTGCACTAGTGGTAGCCCAGATGAATCCGGACGCTCAGCTCAGGCACTGACACCTGGAGGGTAGGCTTCGTTGACGAAGCACGCAACACGGCCACAAGAGTGCACTTACACCAAGCGCTTCCAAGCATGCGTGAAACCTGCTGCAAGGTACTTAAACTGCTCCAGCAGCGCTGTTGCACGGTGCAACTGCATTCGCGCAGTGCAATCACTGGACGATGCGTCACGGCAAATAATTGCACCGGAAACTTGGGGAATATCTGACTCGGACTTGGTCTATATTTCGGTTTCACGGCAACGCCAGTGCTGAATCCTTTTGCGACACTGCACTGACGACGGAGCGGTACGCGACATCGTCCCTGGATGACGTGTTGACAGCCATACGCTGAACGATCCGTGAGCTTCTCACGTTCAATCACCGGATTCATTCGAAACACGAATTCCGCTCGCTTCCTGAGCACCCGCAAAGCCGCATTCGTTCCCAGAATGATTCCTGTCACGGGGGATACGCCCAGATGCTGCCGTCGATTCTCCTTTCGCGGAAACGGATGCCAGACGCTGACTCCAGTTCTCGCAGCGATGGCGTAGCGTGCGGGACGTATCACCGACTCGTACGAGGGCAGCGTCGACAGATCCACGATATTCGACTTGTTCCTCAGCCCGAAAACTCATTCCGGTGCTTGTTTCATCATGCGGAACATCGCACTCCACAGATCCCCCATCGAATGGAGCAGCGTGCGCTTTCTTAGATATAGCGGATAGCGCTCTCGCTGATATGATCACCCTGAACCAGCTCGTGATCGTCTGTACGCCACTTATCGCGGAAACGGAGGAGGGCATCGAGCGAAGCCTTCTGTGCCCGACAAGCGCATGTTACGAGCGATGAGGCAAGCGTCCGCGCTGACCAGGACAGCACTCGGCGAGGCAGTTGCCGCTGACATATGGGAGCACCTGACCACAGTCCCGTGTCACCGCTGCATAAGGCGCATCGACGCCATGTACGAATTCGATGAAAACGGCATCCAAAAGGGAGATCGCAACTTTCATGGTTGCATGAATTGCAGCGATAGCAGCAGGAGGATGGAGCGCCGAAATCGGGATGTGCGCTATCGCCATACCACCACCAATATCGTTCGATTGCGAACAACAAGGGTAGAGGGAAACCGGAGTCCGGCGCATTCGTATCCCCAACTAGTAGAGAGGAAAAGGAAGCAGTCATAGACAAAAAGTACCCGCAAATGTTCCTGTCGATGATCATAAGAAGATACCCAAACGATTCCGTGTGCACGCATTCGTTCTGCACGACCGATCCCAGTGAATCCGAATGTCACGGCCCGCCAGCGTGCATGATGCGTTGGCAGGCGCGATCACCTGCACTGTACGCTCGCGCATGTGTGGCTGTACCCGGTGCGCGCCATCCAATGCGCCATGCGCGTGCGCGCCACCTGCATGGACACGCTGTCCAGCACGCATGCCCAGCGATATTCGGGAGGCGCGCGAAGCGGCACATCGTGATCCGCGCGAATCGCTGTTGATCGCGGCAGGCCGCGAAGCCGCTGCCCCCAACGGGTCTCCGCATATCCAGCTGTCCACGATGATCAGCGGCGGCTGCGGCGGCTGCGGCGGCGATCGTTTCCGATGCGATGCACAGCGCGGGATATGCGTCGCACCAGCGCCCTCGGCACGCTCGCCTCGAACGCGCAGCGTGTACGTTGGCAACGGTATTGGTGCAGCTGTGGTTGCTTTGCTCTCCGGGTACGTACTCTTTGTGATACTGGGTACGCCATCTGGCCATATTCAGACAACTGTACGTCCCGTTGGTCTATGCCGCGCTACGTGCGGCTCGTCCCCGTTATCCTTAGTGTGGTATGGGTCGGTATTGCCGTGTACTGGACGTTCTTCGGTGGAGCCTTGCTCGAGAACTATCCCGGTTATCGGCCCTATTCTTGCAAGTTGCTTTCCACACCGAAGGTAGAACCATGCTGTTCGCCGTCACCAACGGTAAATCCTTCACCGGCCTGCTCGCCGGTGGGTTATCGCATAGAGGTGCAGAGCGTGGAGCTCTTTCGCAACTCGTCCGGGCAGAGCGCGATGAACAAATTGTACCGAGGCTGTGACGACGTGAGCTGTGACTGTTTGTATGCATCAGAGCAGCAAGCGCAACAGGCGCTCAACTCGTTGGACTTTACCGTCAACGAGACAGTCAAGTGCTGGTACAACGGGAGCGGAAGTATTGTTGTTCTCGTGAACCAGGGTTTTAGCTATAACATTGCGCTCGTTGGCCTGGTGCTGCTCGCGCTGGGGGCTTTGCTGCTCTGCTGGTCCGTGCTGCATGTCCTGGGTCTCGACTGTAAGTTATTGGAAATCATGCTGCGTTGTCTGTGTTGTGGACATTTCGACGAATGGGAGCTGCGGCGACGCCGACGACTCTGGCAACACACCCAGGCCTACGGGGCGAATCGTGGCGGCCTCGCCGGCCTCATGCTCCGGGCGCGTACCGGAGGTCTGCTTCCGGATGAGATTCGTGAAATTCTGCGCAAGATAGAAATCAGTCATCAGGAACTGGAGGACTTGAAGAAGCGTGCCGAGTCTGGGGTTGACGAGCGAAACACTTCATCAGTGGACGCGCCGCTGGAACCGAACGGGTCGCCCGCGCTCACTCCCGTTCATGATGCCGCTTGTCGTCAGCCGAGTGCCGCAGAGGGCTACGCAGGAGCCGTTGCGTCGGATCCATCGCCGACAGTAAGAGCGTCGCATCCGCTGGTCGTTGGTGACCTCATCGACTGTGGCATTTGTCTCGATGAGCTGACCGCACCTCTGGCAGCCGAGGATCACGACTGGGAAGATGACGTGGTGCGGGAGTCGCAGTTGCGACGCAGGATCGCACAGGCAGCCCCGAGCGCTCCGGTGCGATCAGCGGCGCCGCAGACGCATTCGGCTGAAGATCCCAGCGTGGATCCTGGCCCAAGAGAAGGAGCTCCAGCGGCTTCACCTGCGCAGCAAGCTGGGATACAGTCGTCTCGACATGCTCGAGCGGGGCCGACGCCTGCGACGCAGCGTTGGCGCCATCTCTTTCGGCCCATTTCAACGAATGAGCAGCGTTCGCAAACAGACGCATCACCATCAACACCAACAACAACAGCGAGAGGTGCGGCATGCACCACCATATCCGGCGTTGATATTGAGGCAGGACACGGGCCCTCACGAACAGGTGAGACGTCCTCCGTAGAGGCGGTAGCAGCATCCACGATGAACGAGGGTGCCGGGAGCTCGTCAACAACAGCGGCGCCCGGCTCGATAGCGGTACGCACCGTGTCCGGCAGTCGACGCATCGTGCTGCTCAAATGTGGACATATCTTTCACTTTTCCTGCATGAAGCACTTTCTCTGCGCAGGCGGTGTGACGTGCCCCATCTGCAATCGAAACTTACCTCGCGATTACCTCACAGACTCTGGAACAGTCTCAGTGGGACACGCCTCGCAAGAGACAACACCCGGAGGCACCGCGTCGGAAGCTGGGCACGAAAGCACGCGGCGCGCAACAGCGTCGGCTGGGCGCCCTGCGGATGCACACGCTGCAAGCGGGCGTCGCTGGCGAGGCTTCTGGGGGCGGCGTCGACCTGCCCAGCAACCGACGATGCCGGCGTCGTCGAGTGCATACGATGGGCGCGTTCCAAACGAGTCCGAAACGGGGGTATCGGACCCAGCGGTACCTCCGCGGGCGGTCATCGGCTGGAGCACCGCGCCTCGTGCAAGCGAAACGACCCGCCGCGAAGCAGACTATGGACTTGTCATGGTACCGCATGTGTCGCGCAACCCCGAAGACATCAGGGACTCGCCTCGTGATGCGTGTATCCAAGCACCTCCCGTATAAATTGCTTTCATGGTTGTATAATTTACGGGAGTAGACGCTGTGACGCTCAACGCGCTCACAGTCGGCATTGATACCGCGATCCATGGCGCGCAGCTCGCATGACATCCTGCGCCATACTGGATAACGACGGTCCAGACACGAATGAAACAAGGCTCAGAAACAATGCAAATGCCGGGCGTACCGTTCACACCAAATGCACTGTCGGGTGCGCTGCGGGCACTGTTTGACAAGCTGTTTGCCCAGCGACTCGGGTGACGCTCCCTCGTGATCTGCTTGTGTGCGGTTTCCGTTGGCGTCTGTTCCTCATTTCGGATGAGGTGCTTCTTCGAAGTTGACGACGCGTTTCATTGAGATCCTTGTCATTCAAAAAACGAAGCGTTCCTCGGGCGCTGGGTGCGTCTTGCGTGCCGTGGTATCGCTACCGTGGCATGCGGCATGTCTGCCTTCCATCGAGCTATGGTCGTTCGAGTGTTCGCACAAGCGAGGCAATCGACGAGCCTCATACGCTAGCCGCACCGAACGGATCCGCATACGAGTCTATTCACACAGAGCGTGTCGCACGGCTTGGAGGATAGATAAAAACGTGCCACGTGATGCTCGCTGTCCAGCCATGGCGCTGTTTCGTACACCAGTGCTTGCAGCGACGCAGGAGCGCTGAGCGGGTGCTCATGTCCTGCTCCCGTCCCAGGGTGCTCGGTTCCAAGTCACGCGTTGACTAGCACTTTGGAGTAAGGTGTTCCAGTTTGCCCTGCTGGATTAGGAGTTCGACGTCGGCGCGCCTCACGAAATGTACGGTACCCTTGGCCAAATGGGCGCTTTGTCCGCTGCTAGCCATGAAGAAATCACCACAGTCCTCGAGCACGCGAACCTCAATGAACTCCTCCTTCGGGGGCACCAACAGAGCCGAGCGCAGGTCCAGACCTACCGCACTTCCGTATGCAGCGAGCAGCGCCTCGTAACGACTGGCGTAGGTGCGTTCGGCCTCCGACAGCAACGCCGTCGCTCGCCCCGTGGTGCCTTTGTCCTCGCTCGGCCCCGAATATATCGTCGGATCCCGATTCCAGCAAGCCTGCTCGACTCTCCGAAGACGATTTACCAGGTACGCTAGCACGCAGCGTTTGTTTCGCAAAAGGCGGGCCCGACGAACGAGCAGACTCCCCTGTAGGGCACGGTCCTCAACTCGTGACCCCTGCTGACTAGAGCCGCTTCGCCATGCCTCTATGCCTTTCTCAAGCTGTGCGTACTCTTCTAGAATCTCATCAACGACTCGTTGCAGTAGATCACGACGGTACAGCGGCAGGTGCTGCGCATCACGAAGTTCAGATACGAGCGCGGTCGCTGCCCCTGAAGTCATTGTAGGCCTCGAGCGTTGCCCTACAACAGAGAAGAGCGTTCGCGCCACGCGTGCGTTCGCGTCCAGCCGGTGCACGCGCTGCACAGTGGACGGACTGGGGTGTCGGATGAGGAGCGAACACAACCGTGTTCGATATGCTTGTGCGTCTCCATGCCTTTTGGACCTGTCTTGAAAACGACAGTCTCCGAAATTGCGAGGCAGAAATGACAAGTTTTGGTTTTATCATTAGGCGCGGGATTTCCGTGCGGAGTTTCCGAGTAGCCCTATGGACCCGGTACAACTGGATTTCAAACACGCATCCGAATCGAGATGATATGCGACGTACTCGATATATAGTTCATGAATGATGGATACCACTATACAATTCATAAGTATAAGCCTCCATTTTCTCGTTTCCGTAGTCGTCATACATTTTCAAATCACAAGCGCTTCAAGTTTGCGCTCTTTCGGTTTCACGGCAACGCCAGTGCTGAATCCTTTTGCGACACTGCACTGACGACGGAGCGGTACGCGACATCGTCCCTGGATGACGTGTTGACAGCCATACGCTGAACGATCCGTGAGCTTCTCACGTTCCATCACCGGATTCATTCGAAACACGAATCCCGCTCGCTTCCTGAGCACCCGCAAAGCCGCATTCGTTCCCAGAATGATTCCTGTCACGGGGGATACGCCCAGATGCTGCCGTCGATTCTCCTTTCGCGGAAACGGATGCCAGACGCTGACTCCAGTTCTCGCAGCGATGGCGTAGCGTGCGGGACGTGTCACCGACTCGTACGAGGGCAGCGTCGACAGATCCACGATATTCGACTTGTTCCGCAGCCCGAAAACTCATTCCGGTGCTTGTTTCATCATGCGGAACATCGCACTCCACAGATCCCCCATCGAATGGAGCAGCGTGCGCTTTCTTAGATATAGCGGATAGCGCTCTCGCCCAGATATGCGGATAAGCAATGCGCATCCGATGACCCCTGCTCAGACGCAACCTTCCCACATTACCGAAAAGAAAAATAAAAAACGTCTCCCGCCAGCGCTGGAGCATATCAGCGTACACTGCGGAAGCCGCCAGTGCCGCCTTACGGACGCCGGGGCCGGCGTGCGCGCTCGTTCGCCACCGACCGACTCGCCGCCGCTTTGTTGAAACATAAAGAAACGCTGCCCGGGACGAGTGTCAGCGGTTGTGTTGCACGATCATCAGTGCTACTGAGACAGTTCGCATATTCCTCTAGTCTCGCAAGCAGTATGGCAGTCCACAAGGCGTCTGCTCCTGTTGATGCTTCCCTCGAGGAGAAGCTGCGTAACCAGGTCGAGTTTTACTTCTCGGACTCGAATCTGCCGCGTGACAAGTTCCTTCGCGCACGCGTTGATGCAGATCCCGAAGGCTACGTCGATCTACAGCTCATTGTAACGTTCAAACGAATGAAGCAGCTGAACGCTACTGCAGAAAAGGTAGCAGCTGCTCTTGCGGGCTCCGAACTCGTCGAAGTGAGTCCGGATGGCCAACGCGTTCGTCGGAAAAAGCCTCTACCGCTCGATGATACGAGCAAGGAGCGCTCCATCTACGTCAAGGGGTTCAAACCAGGGGAGTCGCCCGCCGCTGAACCACCCATAGAGGACGTGATGGCCGTTTTTGAACCTTTCGGTAAGGTGCTTTCAGTGCGTATGCGGCGCAGGAAAGTGCACCGGCGACCGGGGCCTGTACCTGCTTCCGGTGACGGGGTTTGCTCGCCGAACGGCGAATCGTCGACCGCAACCCGACCTGAGAACGAGAGGCCTACCGCCTCAGAAACCGATGAACAAGCCGCAAGGCCGACCACTGCAACCTCCCAGACTGCGGGCGACACCGACGCTGAGCAGTGTCAGAAGCTACGAGCGGGTGCATCGTCGGAGCACGAACTCGACGCCGAACGTGCTCTTGAGCCGTCGGCTGGTGGCCAGTCCCAAGACCTGGTACTCCATGATCATGATCGCGATCAAACGACAGTGATTTTCAAAGGCAGTGTATTCGTGGAGTTTGACTCCGAGGACGCCGTCGCAAAGGCACTGCAACGTCATGCGGAGCATCCGTTGTTGGTTCCCGGCACGCAAACTCCCTTTACGATTGAGCGCAAAGATCTGTATCTGAAACGAAAGAATGCCGAGGCGAAAGAAGCACGACGAGCGCGAAAGCTGCAGCGTACAGGTGCGCAGACAAAGACGGATGCGCCGTCAACGAAACCAGCGACGAAACGATCCTTGCAGCAGGTTGCAGGCGATACAGAGAGCCCGTCGAGACCAGAGGATGCTGCTTTCGACGATGCCACAAGCCCGGGAACTGCTAGTGATCGCGACTCTGCTGCTGGTACAGATACCGATGACGGCACCGATGTCTCGGAGGAGTCAGAGGAAAACGCTTTCGAACCTGGTCTGATTCTACGCATTGAAGGTCTAGGTCCCGCGGTAGACCGGGATGATCTTCGGCAGGCATTCTCGAAATACGGACAAGTCGGTTGGATCGACCACACCCGAGGCAACGAGGTTGCACATGTGCGTTTCCTGGAGCCCGGGGCAGCCGCACAAGCGGCCACCTCTGTGAAGCCATCGTCGGTACTGGGCGGCTCCGACGTGCGCATGCTGGTGCTGGAAGGCGCTGAAGAGCATGCCTACTGGGAACGGATCCGGGAAGCACAGAGAGCCATTCGAGAGACCGAGAAGCGTAAGCGCAAACGTGAAGAGAAACGTCGCCTATCGCGAAACAAACGTCGTAGGTTTCGGAAGAGATCGCTGGAAGCATGACGTGCCTTCGCGTACTGCACAACCGGCGCAACAGTGCCTAGAGCAGACTTGTTACCGTTTATATTCGGTGTGATTCCGTTTCGTGGCGGGAGTCTGGATCAGCACTGAAACCTGGGAGGTGTTCCCAGGCGCTTCGAATGATGCTCGTCTCGTACGCATCTGAACGGTACGCGAACAGTGTGCGCCTCTTCTCGACGAGCAGCTGCCTTTTCGTCGTACAGCCATGATGCGTTTTGCGTAGCGCTTCAGCGGACTTTTCCTGTGAATGCCTGCGTAAAGTGTCCGCGAAGGATGCGGCAACGATCGACTTTATCGGGGTATGTCAGCGATGAAGGCCGCAGGTTCAAGGCTGGACGCAAGCCGGGGCCTCTGGTCAGGTCACCGGCAACCTGCCCGCTTGCCTGAGCGTCTAGTTCCGTGGATCCATCACGTAAACGCAGAAAGACGGGCAACCCTAAGGCAAGCCTTCTTTTCGGCAACGCTCGACACGTGCAGACCCCATGAGCTGCAAGTGGGTGACACAACCGCAGGTCACTGCGACAGCCAAACACGGGTGACCAGGTGTCGCGTTCGCCTTGCGTGGTCCCTTTGGACTAGAATGCAGCGTGGAAAGTGCTCGCTTGCACCTATTGCTGCTCAACGGCTGGTGTTGCTGCACCTGCACCAACACCAGCTGCTGCTGCTGCTGCACTTGTTGGTAGTCTAGGCGACGGACAGCAAGCCGGCGCTTCACGCGATAGCGTTGTTCACGTCTTCTTCCAAGCAGAGGTCACTGGCTTTCAGGAAACACCAAAATCGGTCGTATCCGAAACATTTATGCTATGCGAACGACTGAGCTTCCCGAGTCGGCGGAAAATGAGCCGTTGGAGTGGCTCGAAACCCTCATGTGCCGCACCCTGGGAGAAGCGTTTGCGCTCGCTCACGGGGAAAGTGACCAGGGCCGAGCGCACGCTCTGAGCACCGTTCACCAAACGAGTGTGTGGGAGAGTCTTGTACCCATCGCTCTGAAACGCATCACTGACGGTGCTCAGCGCGTTGCCGCCAACGCCGAAGCCAACACTGGACTCGCCACTAGCAGCGGCAGCGGCAGCAGCAGGACGCTGGCAGCACTCGAGGCACTCTCCACGCTCAAACGACGGCAGCGCCAGCAGCATCAAGCACAGCACGCGCTGGAAAACGCGGTACAACGGCTATATCTGACGGACTCGTTTGCTAGTCTGGAGACACGGCTAGAGCAGCAAGTACGTGCGCTCTGCAGACGCCTCCGAGGACTGGACCTCTATACCGATGAGAACGGCGACGGAGTCGTGCTCACCCTAAGCAGTACCACCATGCTCATCGATATCGACGCGAGGACCGCTCACACACGTGTACGATACGTCGACGAGCACGGCACCGAAGTAGACGACCCGTATGCGGAGCGAGACATTCGCGAATGTCTGCTTCGTGGCGACATGGACGGCCTTGCGAATCGGTTGCAGGTTCTCCTGGACTTGGAAGAACTCGCTTCCGAACCGAGTCTCCGGGCGACAATGCACCCACGCACTTGTCTGATGACATGGAATGATGCACTGGTTGCTAAAACGGCGGATGCTGCAACGCTCTCGCTGAAGGCTTGCGCGCAGTGCAACGTACCGTTGGCCTCTGTGCGACGCACAGACGGTTTATCGCTAATCTTTGACGTGAAACCGTTGGCGCTTTTCGTTCCGGAATGGCAGAATGCGACGCTGGAGCAGGTGTCATCCACGTCCGTGGTTCGCAAAGCGCACCTGCGCTTCGAGCCTGTCGTCGTTTCCGTCGATGGTACCGTCACAACGTGTGTACGACCGGTGCTCCTGCTGGAAACGCCACTGCTGATCACCACATCGATCTGGAGAAGGTGCCATTGCCCTGCGGACGACGGTACACAGAGGGCAAGTGTTGCACCAGCGCCGTTGCAGACGTCGGGTTGCGGGGTACGGCGCGTATCGCTCTGGCAACTCCTGCTACAACGAAACGAACACCACCGACTTGCTCGGCAGCATGCATCCGACGAGCAGAATGGCCCACGAGCAGCAAGGCCTGAAGCCGTCGCTTTTGAGGCTGTGCCTCCTAGTCCAGCGCGATTACCTGCTGCGTCTGGAGCGACACCCACATCGCCACATGGTGTGCAGTTCGCCTTCGATGAGAGCGAACCCGCGCTTTGGATCCATCGCATACCGCTTGCGGAGGTTGATGACGTCCTGCGGATAGCGCCGCTTCTACGCCAGCAATGGGTTCTTCTGGATTTAATGGAGAGCCTTCTGCCGTCTTGTGTAGCGTCGATATCGGACAGGCTCAGGGAGGGAGCGCCCTGTCCAGCTTGGCCTATGGGATTGCCGGCGAGTGCAGCTACTGCAGCTGCTGCCCCTGCAGTGCGCTCAATGGTAGACGAACGCTGGGCCGATTCCGAGGCATCCTCCGTTCAGACAAGGACGCACGATATCCCTTGGAATGGTCGGTGGCGTGCGCGGCAAGAGCACCGGGATGACCGTGCGGTTCTCATCCTGGATGCGGAGCGATGCCCGAGTGCAGCCTCTTCGGTGTCGTTGTTCCAAGCGGCATGCGAGGCTACCAGTCCAGGCGCTGAACATGCGGATGTTGGCGTGACGTCGCCCTCACCAGCACCGAGGCGGCTTGAGATTGTTGTTTGCGCTGACGGAGGTCTGCGCGTATTCCAGAACGGTGAAGATGATCCACGCTTAAGCAAACTGGTACAGACTTCGCGCAATATTCCGTTATCGATAGCCGTTGCCACCACAGGCGCTGCAATTCGCGCGAATCGGATAGTTTCCTGACAAGCTAGCGGGAGTGCTCTGTGTCTACGTGTCCCTGGGACTTGGTCGTCGTAACGCCTCGCTGGTGTCGACGGAGCGTTCATCATATCGAGGCTGGAAACGTATACAGCAGCGTCTGTGGAGCGCGTTGGGAGCCGGAGGCCTCCATCCTGAACCGATACCAGGGTGCTTGGGAATGAGCATGATGCCTCGTTTCCATAAATCGTATGGAGCTTACGAGGAATGATTAGAGCACGAGCGGCGATTCTGTTTCATGGGAAATGCCGTAGATCTCCCTGGCGTTGCTCCAGCGATAATGGTTGTGCCTGCACGTTTGCGACGAGTCTGCTGTAGGTGCGGTTTATCTCCATCATGACCGGAACGGTACCGGCTCCACGATGGAGCGTCTCTTCGACTGCGTTAGGAGGCGTCGTCGTCGTCGTCGTCGTCGTCGTCGTCGTCGTCGTCGTCGTCGTCGTCGTCGTCGCCGACTTCGCTTCCCAGCCCTAGTCCATGATACTCAGAGCAGGTCATTCTGGAGTACCTGTACCAGCGCGCGCTTCTGGCTCAAAATAAGACGATTTCAGTGCTGCTGTCGTTCGCGGAGCGGGACCCCAGCCCCATTGACGTATGTTCGCGGGGAAGTTCATCTGGATGCTTGCGAGCTTTGCTCAACGTGCACATGTCGCATTTCCTCAATGTCTTGATGCGGTTCCGCGTGGGGCAACCCGCCTTGCCATGTGATGCTTGAGCGCTTCCAGAAACGTGGCACTCAACGTGCACATGTCGCATTTCCTCCACGTCTTGGTGCGGTTCCGCATGGGGCAACCCGCCTTGCCATGTGATGCTTGAGCGCTTCCAGAAACGTAGCACTCAACGTGCACATGTCGCGTTTCCTCCACGTCTTGGTGCGGTTCCGCGTGGGGCAACACGCCTTGCCATGTGATGCTTGAGCGCTTCCAGAAACGTGGCACTCAACGTGCACATGTCGCATTTCCTCCACGTCTTGGTGCGGTTCCGCATGGGGCAACCCGCCTTGCCATGTGATGCTTGAGCGCTTCCAGAAACGTAGCACTCAACGTGCACTTGTCGCATTTCCTCCACGTCTTGGTGCGGTTCCGCATGGGGCAACCCGCCTTGCCATGTGATGCTTGAGCGCTTCCAGAAACGTAGCACTCAACGTGCACATGTCGCGTTTCCTCCACGTCTTGGTGCGGTTCCGCGTGGGGCAACCCGCCTTGCCATGTGATGCTTGAGCGCTTCCAGAAACGTAGCACTCAACGTGCACATGTCGCGTTTCCTCAATGTCTTGGTGCGGTTCCGCGTGGGGCAACACGCCTTGCCATGTGATGCTTGAGCGCTTCCAGAAACGTGGCACTCAACGTGCACATGTCGCATTTCCTCAATGTCTTGGTGCGGTTCCGCATGGGGCAACCCGCCTTGCCATGTGATGCTTGAGCGCTTCCAGAAACGTGGCAACTTGCGAGCGATGAAAGCGACCTCGGGCCGGAAACGTTGCACCCCGTCTCCTCGGCGCGTGAACGCTTCTCGGTATCGCGTCCTGAGTGCTGTTGCCTGTGACTTTTGTCCTTGCAGGATCAGCGATCAACGATTTCGCTGTCTGGTACGCGTGCAACCCATGATGCATAAGGGCGCTGGCTGCGTCCGCCAGGGACTGTACAACGCCAAACCAACCGCTTAATGCATCGTAGTTCCGTTACCGCAGGAACATCAGGACCCGTTCGAGCGAGCTAGGCTCTGTGGTACGGCAGCGGTACGAAAAGCACCAGCGTATAGCGTTGTGTGTCGGAGCAGAGCCTGATTTTCTAGCGCGCTTACCCGTACACACTGCCGAGCGACCAAGCGAAAGAGCCGCTTGATGCTTTGGACTGCAGGTACGCGTATTTTATGGTGAGTCATACCGTCGAGCGGACCAGAGACCTCGTCTGCTCGGATTTGCAGTGCGTTGTCCAGTTTGTTACGCTGCCACACACCAGAACCGGCACGTCTACCAGGAGGATGCTCCTGCCGGCTCTACAACCTCAGATACGCTCACTGGTCGACTGGACGGCCGCTTCGCAGACACTCGTCATCTCTTCCTCTGCTTGATAGAAGCTGTGGCGATCATGTGCACGTTCCTGATCCGGGATACCCAGAGAAACGGGTCGACGGAAGCGCAGGCGAACGAGCCACTGCGCTGTCGAGGACGTCGTCGCACTCACCGGACGCTCGAGTTGCACGACAACTTTGCCCCGCTGGCCAAACGTCCGGACGATGCGCCCCGAGACGCATGCTCGAACTGCTTGCCGACGATATGTATCCGCTGGGCATCCAGGCGGCTGCGCTGTGCTGTCGGTAAGCAACTCCAGCCGCACTCGTAGGCCCAGAATGCGCTCTGGGTGCTGCAAGTCGCGATCGAAGAGGTCTCGTACCAGGCAGCAGGCTCCGTCCTGGAGAAAGCGCTCTACGCGACCTATCCGTTCTTTGCGTCGGTATACACGGATCTGTCGAGCGACGGATGCGAGCCGCTCGCTTCCAGCGTCCAAGTGCGTCGTTGTCGGCATTTGCGTCGATAAAACCGCCTCTATAGCCAGAACAAAGCGTAGTCGCAAGTCGGGAGATTCGCCGTCTGGGCCGGCGCGGCGCTCCAGTCTCGCTTTTCTAGCCGCCGTTGCAGCCTCCCAGTGAGCATCTGATAAAAGCGCGACTTGAAAAGGCGTCAATGGTACTGGTCGCCTGGCGTCCGCCGCACCCCTCCCTAATTCAAATGGCAAGAAAATGCACCTCTCGAGACGCAGCACCACGAAACGCGTACGTTCTGCGGAGCACGTCGCTGTGCTAGCGTCTGCCTCCGTGGCACTCGCCAGGCATTCGTATTCACCGGCGGCATCTGCAGCTGCGAGCCAGTGCGTCACCCGGCCGGGAACAGTGGTCAACGCTAGGGTCAACTGCCACTGGCGTGAGAGCGACGGTACCTGCCCTGGTGCAGGGTGATGCTCGGCACATGTCGCGATGGAGAACGCGTCTCCTCGCGCTGCCCCTGGATGAGTCATGTCGAGTACCCGCTGCACTCGCATCAACAGCTTCTCGACCGGGTAAAACTCGATCAGGTTTGCCGGCGCATACACAAGACCTCGCTCCCAGGCGTCTCGCGGTGCACGCTGCCTGTGACTGGCAGTTTTGTTGCCACTGGCTTGTTTGCTCTTTTGAGCAAGGCTGCCAGATTTGGTACCAGGTGTGAGACCTAGAGCAGCCCGGTCGCCGGCAACAATTTCTGAGACCGATGATCGATAGACCTGAATAGAGCGGACGCTACGAGCATCCGCAATAAGGCGTTTCTTGGTGCCCTCGCTCCTGCTCTTGGTGCTGGCGACGCCCGCGCCCACAAACGCAGCGTGAATGACCTCCCCGATGCGTAGTCGTCCTGTCAGGAGAATACCCGTGAGCACAGTGCCCTGTCCGGTAACCTCAAAAGCGTGATCCACTGCGAATAGCGCATAGGGTTTCCGCTGGAGCCGGAGGCGCTCCTGCCATAGTCCACTGGCGAGCGCCTGCTCGGCTGCTGCCTGCACAGCCTGTGCTAGGGCCACAACGCCCCCGATATCGTCGTTATCAGCAGCGGGGAACAAAATGGAATGTTGGTGTTGTTGGTGTCTTTCGAATGCGGTTCTCCGAGCATCGGTTCCGATCCAGGTAGGAATCGTTGCCAGCGGTGTCGGGAGCCACCACCGGTTCGTGGACACATAGGCCTGCAACTGTTGGAGACGCTCCTCCAGGACTGCGGGCTGGTCTCGCACCCGATCACATTTGTGGAGCGCAACCACGACGTGTTTGGTGAAAATCGCAGCGAGGGCAAGACATTCGAGGGTTTGTGCTTGGATACCTGCACTGGCATCGACGACAAGCAGCAGGAGGTCCATGACGCTCGCCCCCAGTAGCACCGTTCGTAGCAGCGATGCATGTCCGGGGCAGTCAATCCAGGTCAGTTGGAGTCCCTCGTACGAAACATTCTCCAAAGACGCTGCTTCATCGTCCACAAGTTGCACCACAACTGGGCTCGCTGGCAGTCGGGTACACGAGAACCCCAGGTCGATCGTTCGACCGAGCTCCCGACTCGCGGGGTGCTTATCCAGTGCCGCTGTCGACAGTATCTCGCTTAGGAAGCGCACCAGCGTGGTTTTTCCGACGTCAACATGTCCCATGACGGCCACGTTGATGTTGAGGAAGCGACGCGTTTGCACTAGAGGTTGCCGAGCGAGCGACTCGTACCCTGGCCGTGTCGAGCGACCAACTCCAGGCATATTTTGGAGTACGACGGAGAACGAGCCTTCAACAGGTGACAGTGTCTCTCTGGTGTTCAAAGAAAACCACAGAGGCTACAGACATGGATCGCTAGGTCAGCAGCAAGTCCAGTTTTCTGCTCTTGTACAGAAGCTCCCGCCCTGTTCCAGCGATCGTCGTAAACAGAGACCCCACTTGTTTCGTTTATCTACAGTTGAAACGACTTTTTACGAAGCTCTCTTCCTCGAGCGTAGAGGCGCTCAGGCACCAGGCTCGCCCCAGTGTGCTCCGCGAGTTGTCCAACAACAAACCCCTGTGGACAACCGTCCGTCTACTTTTACCTGACTCGAGTCGAGTCCCGCAGACATACGCGAGAGTGTCTAGTGAACGCTTCACAGAACGCAAACGCCGTAAAAACGAGCCCGACGCATCGCCTGGATACGTCGTTCACAGGAGCGCTAAGCGCTCCAAGAAGCAGTCGGTTTCTTTTCAGCTGGTGCGGGATCGTTCACTCACGGACCAGGAGGCCCCAAAAGTGCGACTTGTGACGACGTCTGGCAGAACGTCTGCAATACTGGTCACAACGCACGTCGGTTTTGGCTTGGGGTTTCCCAGTCACGCTGCCAGTCATGGTGCGCTGCGTCCACCTGCGACGACCTCGTTCGTGCATCGGGTTCGTGGACGCCCAGCTCATCAGGGACCACAGGAAACTGACACGATGTCGTTCGGATACAGGCGGGACAGGTCTGCGGTCGACCTGTTGTACGCGCCGCTGGTGCTGTGCTCAAGCGCAGCGTCTGCCGCTGCCGGAACGCAGCCCTGGTACGATCCTGCGGGTGGCGTGTGTCGGTGACGTTCACGACCAGTGGTCCGATGTTGACGCTCATCTTCTAGACACGGTGGTACAACCTGATGTGGTGCTTTTCACGGGTGATTACGGGAACGAGAACGTCGCCTTGGTGCGCAACATTGCAGCCTACGCGAGGAGGCGCTCTGGAGCAGCAACTTCAGCGCGCTGCGTTGCCAGTGTGTTCGGCAACCACGATGCCTGGTATACGGCTTCTGCACGGAGACAAGCAGCAGCAGCAGCAGATGCTGCTGCTGCTGCGGGTTTGACACGTCGCTTCGGGGTTCCGTTGTTGGAAACGAAGGTCGAAGGTGCCGTTCGTGAGCAACTGGCTCTACTACGGGAGGTGGATGTGGGCTACGGCGTACGTACCGTTCACCTGGCCGAAAGAGATATAGGTGTACCGCTTTCCATTGTTGGGGGTCGCCCGTTCTCGTGGGGCGGCCCCAACTGGCGTTATCCTCGATTCTACGAGGAATATTTCCAAGTGTCCAGCATGGAGGAATCAGCTGCTCGCATTCGAGCCTGCCTCCGAGCAGAAGTGGAACGCGTTTGGTCCGCACGGCTTGAGCGCCTCGAGGAAGAGCGATCAGGGCAAGCTACCTCCAACCGACATCCGTCGAAGCAAGACGCGTTTGCTCCGGTGCCCTGTCTTGGAGTTCACCAGGTGGTCTTCCTCGCGCACAATGGGCCCTGTGGTCTCGGTGATGAGCCGCATGATATCTGTGGCCGTGACTTTGGCTTCGGCACTGCTGGAGGTACTGGATTCGATACCTCCAGCAAGCTGCAGGGTGACTTTGGGTGCCCGGACTTGGCCGACGTCATTCAGTCGCTGAAAACGAAACCTATGATGGCGATCCTGGACGGAGAAGCCTCCGTTTTTATAGATGTGCCGCTTTGCGTCTTCGGGCACATGCACGAGCAGCTCCAGTGGGATCCACAAGGTTATGGAATCCGCCAAATGGTTGTCGAGAGCCATCATACTGTCTATGTGAATGCGGCTGTGGTGCCGCGCGTTCGTGCTGCTCGAGAAATTGCGGAGCTCAGCGGGCAAGCCAGCCTGGAGCCTGGCGAACAGCCTTTCCATAATTTCACGGTGATCGATATGGAACAACGTGCTTGTCGAGAGACAGAGGCAGCAACCTGCCCAGCGAAGGAACCCGATGATGCGCTCTATCGTGTGCGGAAGGTGTTTCAGGTGTGGCTGTCAGAGAAGGCGCCTCAAACGGCGAGCTACGTAACCTGTCTGTATGAAAGCTCCACAGAATATGGGCAAGACCCGGAATGATTCGCGTATTTTTGGTTAAGGTAGATGCAGCGTGATGAGGAGGCCTCCAAACGGGCCGTGTATGGTGATTCTATTCGCCGAACTTGTATGACAAGCACGACGAATAAACATTGTAAGAATGCAGGCACGTGTAAAGGAAAACGATGCCTAGACGGATGGATGCATCCGGGAATCCATAAGCGGATAAGTGCATGAATCAATGAATACGAACGATGTATGCATGATTGAATGCATCCATCCATACAACCGATGCATCCTGGTGACTCTGGGGTAACGTGGCAACTTGGATGATGATCGAATCCATGAATCAATGAACACGAACGATGTATGCATGATGGGATGCATCCATCCATACAACCGATGCATCCTGGTGACTCTGGGGTAACCTGGCAACTTGGATGATGATCGAATCCATGAATCAATGAACACGAACGATGTATGCATGATTGGTTGCATCCATCCATACAACCGATGCATCCTGGTGACTCTGGGGTAACGTGGCAACTTGGATGATGATCGAATCCATGAATCAATGAACACGAACGATGTATGCATGATGGGATGCATCCATCCATACAACCGATGCATCCTGGTGACTCTGGGGTAACCTGGCAACTTGGATGATGATCGAATCCATGAATCAATGAACACGAACGATGTATGCATGATTGGTTGCATCCATCCATACAACCGATGCATCCTGGTGACTCTGGGGTAACGTGGCAACTTGGATGATGATCGAATCCATGAATCAATGAACACGAACGATGTATGCACGATTGGATGCATCCATCCATACAACCGATGCATCCTGGTGACTCTGGGGTAACGTGGCAACTTGGATGATGATCGAATGCGAAGGAATGCAGAGGCTTTGCGATATCCTCATGCGAATGAATACATCAGTTTTCCCGTGACTTGCCAGAGATGCAGCTTACAAGCTCCTCTTGATAGGTTCAAGAGCTGTCCATGAACATCAGTTTCGACTTCTCGGATGTCGAGTACGGTATCTGGTCGTTGCGTTGCTAGATTGCAACTCTACCACTGGTGTTATCGAACTTGTCTAGACTTTTTGGAACTCAAGAAAACACGTTTTCCCTGGTCGCGTAATACCCTTTAACGATGCGTTCAGTTTGGAACGACACAGGTTGCTGGCATTTTCACCGGAGAACGTTCCTGAGAAACGCTTTCTGTCTTGTTCCGAAGCGTCGCAAAGCTTGACCCCTAAAGTTATGTCCCAGAAAACCGAACACCCGGCGGGGTCGGGTGCGAGTCTTCCTTTGAGGCGCTTCCGCTGCGCTGCGCGCCTTCTTCGATACCCGTTGTCGTTCGACGCTGCCGCACCAAAGCGAACAAAAAACTGCTTCTCGAACGAGAGCACGGTCGCGAAAACCAGGCAACAGAAACAACTATTCAGGCTTCAGTGCTGTCCGTTGGTAAGGTTACGACGTCGCTACAAACGGAACCGGAGCAGCGGTCTTTCTGCTTACCCGGTCTGTAAGCAGTCCGTCAGGGCAGATACCACGACGACGTCTACAAACAGAGCAACACTAGCCGACGCTCATAGTTTGTGCGCTCCTGTGCAGCGTTCAAGCTCATCGTGCAACAAGTAAGCAGTCCGTCAGGGCAGATACCACGACGACGTCTACAAACAGAGCAACAGTAGCCGACGCTCATAGTTTGTGCGCTCCTGTGCAGCGTTCAAGCTCATCGTGCAACAAGTAAGCAGTCCGTCAGGGCAGATACCACGACGACGTCTACAAACAGAGCAACAGTAGCCGACGCTCATAGTTTGTGCGCTCCTGTGCAGCGTTCAAGCTCATCGTGCAACAAGTAAGCAGTCCGTCAGGGCAGATACCACGACGACGTCTACAAACAGAGCAACAGTAGCCGACGCTCATAGTTTGTGCGCTCCTGTGCAGCGTTCAAGCTCATCGTGCAACAAGTCGGCTCTCGTTGCACCGCGTCTACTCGGCTGCTGCTGTGCTGAAAGCGTCCAGCGGTTCCAAGCACAGTCGAATAGCCGATCGAGCTAGGCTTGTTTTCGTTTGACGCTGTGAGCTTTGCGCCTGGTGCTTCCGCAACGATTCGGTGACTGATGAAGACACCAGCTGCATACTGTGGCATTCCACGGGCGCTCGACGTCTCTGCATATGCTGCTGCACGTCTGAGAGAGTTGTGGCGACTGCAGCACGTCGTTCGAGCAGAGCAATGGCCCAACGTGAGCCGTAATAGAGCGCGGGCGGGTCGCTCAACGCGTCGTGTGTTCCAGTTATTGCCGTGGCATGCTCGTCGTCGAACGATGTCTTTCAGCACTCATCGTGTTCCGCGACCCTTCCGACACCTAGCTTGGGTTGAACTTTCGAAACAGCCGGCTGCTAGCCGCCGTTCAAGGCGTTCAAAGCTTACCAAGAAGGAACACTATCGTCGTCGGCGATGGACTCGACGCGCCTACCGAAAGAGCGCCTTTCTTGTGAGAGATCGCTCCGAAGTAACGAGTCCATATGGCTGGCTCGAAACCCATGTCTGGCATGCGAAACGGATGCATATGTTTGAACCGTGCTGGGGCGGTCGACTCGCTTGGGCGCCCTGTGACCGAGGACTCAGAAGTTTCTGGCGCTGCGTATCCCGTGGTCAGTCTGATAAGCGCTGGAGACTCTGCAACGATATCTGCGCTATATATGATGCATCGTGGTATCGGGTGATTGAAATTCCTGAATACGTCGCACGCCATGTCCTACCGGGGCTCGTTGGAGAACGCACTTGGGCACGGCTTTGTTGTCAACCGGTCTGGCTTGGCTTGAAACGACTGGAAAATACCGCTATCTGGGATGAGTCAGGACGGATGATTGCTGCACAGGTGGAGTGGCTCTGGGAACCGCCCTCATTACCGATGTCGTCAGAGTCACGAAGAGAACCGGCTCCAGAGGGTACGCAACCCATGGAAATCGAACAAACCGCAAGCAACGAGTCGGGGCACCTTGCTGGCCATTCGAAACGGCGTCTCTGGGCAATGGTACATCCACTCGTAAAAGACGCTGTTCTGGAGTTGCTGCAAAGGGGCGTATCACGGATGTTGGCTTCCAGTCGACACGAGGCAGCTCCCGCGGAAGTGCATGCCACAACGCTTGATGAACCTCTGGTATCGGGAACGCGCCCAAAGAGGCAGGAGGGAACCAGTGCTTTGCGATGCGCTGCACAAATGGAGCGCTCCCCAGACGCCCAAGAGCACACAAGTACCTGGTCAAATACCCCGGACACTGTGCAGGAGTTACCTGATGGTCTGGTTCGCTTCGAGTTGTACGGGAAGCGCTCCACAGAAGCGCTTCACCGAGCCCTGTTGAACGCCAACGCGCAAGGTCGAGACTGGATAGCATTCAGCCAGCTTGCGTCGCGGCTGGTATCTGCCGACAGCGTCAGCGGACAGAGCGTGTTTCATCTGCATTGCGCAGATCCTCGACTGTTTTACCCTCCTAGAGTCCGAGTACCTGGACAAAGTCTATCGCAGACGCAAGCCGATTACAACTATGATGCCTTCGGGACGTATCTGCGCGCGGCGAGCGACTGGAAACGAAACTCCAGCCTGCCGGCCGCTATGCACGCGAGAACGCTCTTTGATACCACCTGGCGCAATGAGCTGGTGCTGAACGGCGTACGCGCTCTACCAGAAAGGTCATCTACTCGTATCCTCAGGTGGAAGCGGCGCCTAGCACGAGCAGAGGCTGCCTTGCAAGCAACGCATAGTCGCCGGCCTGTTGCTGGAACGTGCGCTGCCGTCGTGCCGCGGACGTCATCCACAGCGCCTCCGCTCAAAAAGCGCCGCGTAGAGCCAGCACCTGCCGGGACGTTGTCGTCAAGCGCAGCTCTGGAAGCATCACGCGTGCTTGCAGGTGAAGCGCTCAGTGGATTGGCTGCTGCGCAGGCCGGTGAGCACTCGACTTTGCTGCGCATACCCGTCGTGCTGCTGCATCGTCCAGCACAGGCGAGACGTCGATGGGACTCGGGCTGGGATGTGCTGCTCCCCAAGCGTTGGGCGATGCCGTTCTGGAGCTCCCTGTGCTACGCGGGTGCTCGCGGTGTTGGTCTACGAGAGCGACGCTACGTCTATCACGAATCGGGCCGCTGTCATTTCCCAGAGGACTTTCCGGAGTGTAGGGAAGCGTACACACGCTGGGCTCAGCGCGACATTGAACGCGCTGCTGAGCAATGGAAACGAAGACCTCCGAGCAAAAGAGTGAATTTTACCCTGTACAGAGTACCGGAGCCTTTTGGTGTCGCCGATTGGCTCACGACGTCACTCTCTTCGGCGGGTAACGCGGCAGGAGCTGCCACCGCTGCTGTCGCTGGTGAAGAGTTGCATGTGCTTCGTTCGCGACAGGCCTTGATCGCACACGATGCGTACCAAACTGCATCGCATTCCGAGCAGCATCCCGTGTCCAGAGCTCGTTATCTTGTTCGAGTTCGTTTGCATCCGATCGGGCGAGCACCGCTGGCGACCAACGCTCTGATATGTTTGCCGCATACCGAGGACCTGGGCCTGGACGCCAGCACTAGTCACGCTCGAGTCGATGCGGTTCGGGAACAGCGCCCAGTGCCGGTCATCGAAGAACCTCGGGGTACGCACAACGACCACCAGTCAACAAGACAGGTCATCGGGCGACTGACCTGCAGTCAGTATTCGTGGAGCGACGGTTGTGTACGTGCATATGGTTTCGTCGATGTGGATACCCTGAACGTATGTGCTGGTTTCGGATCTGCCAGCCAGAGACGCGCTGAACACCCGGTGGTGCTGGTACGCAACGTCACCAGCCGGGTGTATCGTTGGGCTCGACTCGAGCCGCTCTTCGACGAGGATACATAGCGAGAAGTTTCGCATGAACGTTGTCTATCGCAGCTGCGCTGGATGCGAGCAGAGGCAACGAAGCAGTGCACGCTTCCGTGGCTTTGACCAGTTCTTGAACCGTTCGGTACAACTAGCTCGCAAAAACACTGCACATCGCGTAGCTTCATTTGCGTCATCGCCAGAGCGCCAAAACCGGTGCTACCACGCCTTGCGCCCTTTTACGCCCGGTGCTTTTCATCGCGCTCCTGACCTGCCATACTATCGCTCGTTCGGATGCTGTGCAGGATCACATCGCGACTGCTCTCTTGGAATTCACCAGCCATGAACATATCATCTATGATTTGATACACGTTCGGAAAGTTGAATATGAGGTCTAGCTCGCAGACGTTCCCAAAATACCGATCGAGACACTCGACGAGCAAGTGGATCATATCGAGGGCGAGCAGCTCATTAGCCTCTCCGGTCGCCAAAGACTCTGCATCTATACAGAGTATGATGTACAGGGCCGCATACCGGCGGTAGACGAGGCGATCTCTGTACTGTCCCGTTGTATGGAGCCGAACAGCGTCCGACACCGTTGGCTGCACGCCGTTTGTTTTGGAGGAGGCCGCACGCTGGCCCGCTACGGCGTTGTAGTAGTCGACTACATTGGACCAGTTGGGATCTCGCAGCAGCACCAGGTTCATCATGTCTCGAATGATGCGTTGCTTTTCCGCCTGGGTGAAAGATTCGAACCACTTTGCTACACGGACTTTGCCGTGGCGGCTCATCATTAACAAAAACCGAAACGTCATTTTTTCGGAACGATACTAGGACGCTGCTGCGGGTGCTTGCTCGTCCTGCAGAGGCCTTTTGTGCGGTCCCGCAGAGCAGTCTGTGTCACGTTCGCTTCCACAACCTGCAGCCACCCGACGGGAGTGAAGGCCGAGCAGGCGAGCGCGCAAAGCACAGGTGCGTCCAAGAGCACTATTTGGTACGTTCCTCGAAACCGGATGTAAACGAACAATCCAGCTTGTGACGCTAACACCTCGAGAGGCCAACGTGTTTCAAACGTGTAGCGAGGCACGTCTCTGCATGCACCCGGAGTTGCGTTCGGACTGGAGAGCGCCGTATCCGACGCTGCGCGAAAACACTTGTCCACGTGGCTGCTGCGACATGAAGGTGCTTGGACGCAGTGCGTTTGACAACCACAACCGCCTAATGGAAGCATCACATAAGATTCTGCATATAGAACAATGATCAGAAACGAATGAATAACTAGCAACGACATAGTGATTTTTTGTCGCTCTACGGTAAACGTTTAAAGGGAGAAGAGCTTTCGGTATTTTCGACAGTTTACCCTATGAGCGGAAGGTCCCGCGAGCCGGACGAGTCTGTCGGGCTCCTGCTTCATGCTCCATACAGTGCCGAGTGCTGTCGTGAGACCTGAGCAGTTCGTCCGAAACGCAGTTTATTCTGGGACTGGGAGCGGGTAGATTTCATTCGGGCGTCGCCCGTATTGCAGTAATCGTCTAGTATATCGCTTCGCGCTGCCGCAGGCAGCAGGTCTATCAGCACAACTTGCAGGCTCCCAGAATGATACCGAATGCCGATTCGGTCTTGAATGAACCATCCCTCGAGCTGACACCCTCTTTGGTATGGCAGAGCCGTTCTGCCTCCGTGCTGCATCTGCTCCATCTGAAAAACAAACGCGCAAAGGTGGGTGCTCAAAGCAGACTAGGTGCCCAGTGGAACATACGAAACGGCCAGTATATGCCAGAGGAAGTACAATTGATGGAACTTGGAGATAGGGTGCAGCAGCAAGATGGACGCTTTCTCACTTAACAATATCCATCCCGTATTCTGGGATCCCTAGTCCAGCGAAATCTCCGAATCAAAACATGGAGTGATGCGCGACTGGCGGCGACGTTGATAAACTAGGCCTCTTCTCAGCGCTCAACGGACGACACATTCCTGGTGAAAGGTTCGTACGAATAGTGCGTGTTTGAGATACCTGCAGCTCACATACTTGAACGTGCGACAAATATGGTCACAGGTGTGTGCTAGTTAAGGTGTTTCCTTGTGTTTTCTGCGACTCAACGCTAACTTCCGACGGCTCGTTCACCTAGACGCCTGCGTCAGTGTCGCTCAGCCAGGTAAAGCGTGTGTGTCTGTGTCTGTGTGTGTGTGCGCGTGTGTGAGCACATGACGCGTGCACTAGGGCAACTGGACGACACAGCTGCAGCGCCCGACACGCTGAGGCGTCGGCATGCGCGCTACATTCCACAGATAGACTGGAGCGAGTCGCCTTTGGAAGCGTCGACGGACTCGTCGGCCTCCGAGTCGGATCGTGCAGTGCGCTCTGCAGCATCGGTCGTGTCAGTCGGCAGCAGTTACGGTACCGGTAATGGTGCAGGGCGCACAGCGCTCACGGATAGCATGGTAAGCGAACTGGTTGAGCAGTGGTCTCTGCGCAGGCCGCTGCAGGCGAGCGTCCAAAACTCGTCACCAGCTCGTCGGCACTGGAGCGAGGCTCGTCAGGTGGAGGTGTCGTACTTTATAGCGCCCGAGTTGTTTTCAAACCGGGACTTGAACTTGCGACCCGGCACGAGACAAGTCGGGTGTTGTCTTTCGTGCCTGCAGCGGCATGCTGAGAGTCAGCAAATCAACATACCGTGAATGTATTCGATGATCTTCACGAGTCTTTGCAGTCGCAGGGCCCGCTCGTTTTCATGTCGTGCATGGTACTTGCTGGCGCTACCATGACTGTGCAGACATCGCACGGTACTTGCGAGAAGGCACAAAGGCAGTAACGACTGCGTTGATAGATGGTGGATCGCTGCAAAGTCCAAACCTGGCATTGCTCGCCTATAACAAGCAGCAGGCGAAATCGTCTGTAAGAGGCATGGGCAGACGGAGCATTGCGAGGGAATGCGGACATTGGCAAAGCAAAATGAAAGCCAAGTCTATCCATCCTGTGATGCGTTGGATACATACCCAGCTGTTGCTGGAAGCGACGCTCGGTCTTGTCTTCTCGTAGTGCAGCAACCGCAAACGTGTACGGCCTGTTTGATAGCTGTTAACAAGGGTATGGTGCGCACCCTCTGGACGTTGGAGCTGGAAACGGCAGCGTATTCTCAAGACGACGACGGAAATGCGAGCCTCGCTCTGAAGGAGCGACCTCAACGGCACTCTTTTAGACTCCGAGTCGATACCTCTCTTAAGCGGTCGCATAGAGGCTGCGAGAGAAAATCGCTGGACGTGTTCCCGGAATCCAGTGTTGGAACGGAAACGAGAAGTAGACGCCATCCTGCAGGTGCGTATCCCTGTGGGCATCGATGACCGTACCGATATGCCTTGGTGGGAGTGCGCGTTCACCGCGCCGCAGCGCACCGTTGGTGCAGTTCCAGTCGACCAGAGCGCATGCGTCGCAGCGTGAGACCCCCGTGCACCGAGCTGAGCATCCGGAACCGCAACGTCCGTGATCCGGTATGCAGCATGCCCTGACAAGAACGCCTGATCCGATCTGCGCTAGTAACGGATGGATGTTTGGAGGACCCGTGCATCATCACGGGTAGCGTTCGACAGCATCGTGCATGCGTTTCGGTTCGCACTGAAACTGCAATGTAGCTGGGGCAACTGCTCGACGATAGCGACACACACGGGTCGGTAAACGTGCCGCGTGTTTCCCGAGTTTTGTTTATTTTGTATCTGAAACAGAGCATGGGGCGCTGCACGCTTCATGTGTAAATTCGGATGTAGCTTCTATGGATCTATCTTGATGACGGTCTGGGGATTTCTCCCGTACCATAGCTTGACGTGGAGCGCAGCAGGCGCCGACTTCTAAGGGGGTTCTGGAGCTTGCGCGGCATCCATCCAGCTGAACACCTATTTACGGCCTAAGATGGAGGAATCTAGCGGTGCTAGTTTGGGATGCGCAAAGGCTATCGGTTCATGCACCCGAGGCCTCATCTGCGGCTGTGCCAGATTGAAATGCGAAACTGCATTGCTTGCTCGGTTCTTTTCCGTCGTTTTCTCGCCCAGCCTCACGCGGTGTACATCCGCTACATTCGAAGCGGAGCAACAGCGGCTTACGAATGCACGCGTCGGTTCAGGATCCGGAGTCGTCTTGTCCGAGTGGCTCCTTGGACGCGTCACCGTTCCATTTCCGCATGCCATCGGAATCGAGATAGCTCGCGATGCCCCTGGAAACCAATTCCAAAATTAACCGATACCATTCCCGAGTTCATACAATGAAGCTTCGAGCCTGCTCCTCTCGTTACGTTTTGCATGCTCAAATCACACACGCTCCAAGTATTCGATTTCTCTGTTTCAAGGTCGCTCGTGGGCGGAGCATGTGGCGCTCCGGCACCGACCACGAAAGAGAATCGGTGTCATCTGCTTGGCAGCTTGTTGACCAGCGTATACCGCAAATTCAGTCAACCTGTAACGTCAAATGAGAGAGATCGAATGCGTTCGAAAGACAGGTTCTCGCTTTTCTGTGGTCGTCGTCTACGCGGGATTCTACAGTACCATGACGCCTCTGACAGCGTATGCTCCAGGATGCTCCAGTCGGTTGCGCTTGCCCGCAAGAGGTTTTCTGAGTCAGACCTGACTCATCTACGGGATCGCATCCAGTGGAGCGTGTGGCATCGCTTTGCATGAGGCGAGCGTTGTCGGACGGGAGTCTCTCGACCTGTTCCCTGGTCTGGCGTCGCCTTCGAGGCCTTGGTGCATCATGGAAAACATCGCGCTCCACGAACCCGCTATCGAGTGGACCAGCGTGCGCTTCCACGCCCAGCAGACAGCGTCCTCGACGCTGGGAGCGCCCTGAGGAAGCCCCTGATCGTAGAGTACGGCACGAGACGCAGAGACGCGAGGCGGGTATCGAGGATAGCCTGCAGTGCCTGCCACGAGCGTGTACCGTGCGATGACGCAAGCGTTGACGCGCCACAGGGCAGCCTTCTCATGAAGACGTGTGGTCTGCATATCGTTAGACCTGAACGCAGCCACGTGTCGTCTCTGCGAAGGGCGTCTCCAGGTTGTCTGGCGAAAGGATGAGAGTGGCAAGCGAAACGTCGATCACAACTTTTGCCAGTGCACGGCATGCGTTGACAACAATCGGCAGCTACGACACCGGGATTTGAACACCACCACCTATATCCATCGACTGCTATCGACGGAGCTGGCGGCAAAGGGGAGACCAGCGTGTTTACACCCGCAGATTCGAGGAAACACAGGGAAACATTCTTGGGGAAAGAGGCCACAAACGCTGGTGCGCATAGGAATAGGACGAAACGAAAACCTCGGTGCGTACGTCTTTATCAGTGGATCTGTTCTATCTGGTACTGGCGTGAATGCCAGGCCACCGCGCGGCACCTCCATTCCCTACACTGAGGCATACAAGCACGTCGCTTTGGGCGTGCTGAAGTCCGCTCTTCCCTGTCTCTTGGAAACAATGTTGCTCCGGGGTATTCTGGTTCCATGTATTGATCATCCATCAATAACAAAGCAGGTTTCCTGGTGATGCGCCTTCCACTACACCAAACCGGACAGTGCTCGCGTACAGTGTGCCACCTGAATGAACGCGAAAAGCTGGACCCCCTAGATATCGTTGGATGCACGAATCTCGCCCCTGCCTTTGCCAGCAAGTCTCGACCGGAGCCCATAGTGAATGGAAATTTCCGGAGTGTTGTTGTTGTTGTTGTTGTTGTTGTCTGCTTCCAAGCTGTCCACAGCAACTGCGCATCCGGGTTGATCCAGTTTCCATGTATCCATCGTATGCCATTCAGAGCGTATCCTGGAGGCAGCGCGTGTCGGTCTCGGTCGTTTCAGTGCAGCGGCGTCCCGCCTCGGGGCGCTGGAGTCCCTTTCGTGCTTCGAGATCGACGCGTCTTATCACATGCATCCGGATGCAGCTATGGCGCCCACATCTAGAAAACGCAACGTCGTTTCACTCTAGACGCTTCTGAGATCCGCCGCCAGCTCCTGTTCAGAAGACTCCTATCTGACTGAGGCTCGATGGATGCAGCGACCCGCCGGTTGGCGAACTTCCCACGAGCGCCTGCTGCGATGCTGCTTGCGCCAACACTGCCACTGTTGGCGTACGGCGATGCACTGCGCTAATCCACGCTTCCTCGGGAGACGAATCATGCAACTTTCACGCTTCTTCACAGACGAGACGAAACTTTGCGAATACATAGGGGTAATGTGCCTGATACCAGTTCCGGAATGTCGAGCGAACGAGTGGAGTGCCCGTCGCCCACGAAGCCCCTTTGAGGACAAAATGCTTATCATCAAAAAAATCCGCCGAATATTCCGGATACAGCGGTGAAGGCTGGAAACGCTCTCGGTCCAGCGGCTCAAAGAGGGACTCGGTCCACTCCCAGCCGTTGCCAACGAGGTCACAGACACCCCATCGCGAGCAGTTCGGTGATTCATAGGTGCTAATCGGGCCCCAGTGCCGGAAGCCGTAATTCCCGTCAGCCGATGACTCCGAGGACTCGTCGCTATCGAGGGCGCTGTCGGGATAGGCACCTTCAGCGAGGTGCTGCCACTCGGCCTCGGTAGGCAGCCGCCATGTCGCTGCCGGGTGTCGCTGGTTTCCGAGCGCCCCAGAGACCCAGTTGGCAAAGGCGCGGGCCTCAGCCAGCGTCACATACACAGGCCAATGGTTTTCGACACAAGCGGGTTCCCCGAGCGCGTGCTCCCCCAGTCGACCGTCGGGGTGCACCACATAGCATGCGGGCCCGCTTTGCTGCTGTCCAGAGCGGTTCAGGGCACGCCAGAACTGCGGCCACTGTCGCCCAGATCTTGCACACCACTGCCGATCGCTTTCATTCAGCCAGTAGCGATCCAGTTCACGATAGCCACCGGCCTGAACAAAATACCAGTACTGTAAGTTCGTTACGGGGTATCTCTGCACGAGTAGCGAGCGCGGAATCTTGCGCTGTACGCGAGGCAGCTCATTATCCCAGGCAAAACGCAGGTACGGTTCAATCACCTCGTGTGGGTTGCGTCCCAGAGAGACGATGCCGTCGCTCTCGACACGCTGCGTAGCGCCAAGCGGCGGGTACGACGAGTTCTGGTCCATAGGTAAAGCGTCGGCGCTGGCGAGACTCTGCATTTGCTGTCGATATTCGGATATCCAGAACGGTCGCATACAGTAGCCGTTCAGCTGATGGAGCATGTACAGGAGGGTTTCGGTGTGCATCCACTCGTGTTCCGCGATGGTCATCAGCAGCGTGTAGCACGAGCTTGGCGGCAGCACCTGGTCGTCGACTGACTCGCTCCAGCGCCGTAAACGATAACTCAGATCCTGCCGAATATAGTCTCGATAGGCAGCAACCTGAAAGACTGGAGGCCACTCTTCAGCGGTACTCGGCACCTGCGAGTGCCAGTGGCAGCGCGTGGGGTCGTCTACATCCGGATCCATGCCGCGCTCGAAAAGTTTCGCGAAAGTGCTCAACATCTCGAGTGTGAGCGGGGGTTGTATGGGCAGCGCGTCTTCAGGCAGCAGTCTTGAGTTGTAGCGGTTCCAGGCGAACGCTGGCAAATGACCCATGTAAAAGAGAAACGGATGCCGCAAGTCGATTGGTTTCAATAGCAGAATCTGGGTCACAGACGTAGCTGGGAAGGTTCCAAAGACAGCGTCTACCTGCTTCCAAGCTTCTGTTAGTGAAGCTAGAGCCGCCTCAATAGCGCGACGCTCTGAAAATAGCTTTCCCGTCTCGAGGGCGTGTTCCGAGTCAACGACGGGCAGACGCCCAACGCCCGAGAAAGGATTGAGCGGACGCCAGCCTCGCAACAGTGCTGGACGTGTCGTAGCGTCAAGCGTCCCGTCCAGTAGCGGCTCGTGAACTGCAGCAGTTGAATTCAGCATGGATAACCAAGAGTGGCCACCTGAAGCCGTGCCCAGCGATACGCACCGCACAGAATAGCAAAAAAGCTCCTCTGCTGCTTTTGGACGCACGAACGCTCGACTGGAGCAACGGCGGGCGCGCCCCCGTGGCGATATGTGCTCGTCGTGCGCAAGCGCCCGGCGACTACAGGCGACAGAAACGTGTGCGCTTGCGTTTCTAGGGAATGTTGCGCTTCGGGATATCGCTCAAGGATGTGATGTGTCGACCAGTAGGATGGAAAGGGAGTGTCGAAGAAGCGCCAGCTTCGCCCGGCCGGAGATTCGCTTTACCGTTATGCATCGCAACACGAGTACTCTATACGCTTGAGATCCTTCTTCTCGAATGAGAGGAGAGAGCGCTTCCACCGCTAATCCCAGCACTGCCACCATCCGAGCAGCGAGGTATCTGTGCAGTTCTCGATGCACCAGAGCGTCTGCCTGCACCCAAAGCGTGATGATCATAGCTCGCACTGAACAGCGCACAATGCACAGAATTCCGCCAAGTGATCCTGAACATGGCATTCGAGCTGCCTTTTCCAAGTCCAAGTGACGGCTTACATGCACGCACACGTAGGGTGACGCGTTTATCCGCCGCTCGCTCTCATGTATTCCAATGAGAACACGACCACAGGATGCGCCATTCGGCCAGGGGTGGCTTTTCCATAAAACACCGCCGTCACACACAGTTCTTACCGCGACTCGACGCCTCAGCACCAACTAAGGCACTGTACCAGCCGAGCCGATAGCCACGAACAGTGAGCGGCAGACGTTTGTACAGCGCCTGCTCTGGGGTAGCGCCGCTCTGCACAGGCCGGCGAGGAAGCCCCACTCATGCCGCTCCCGCAAGTCGCTCAGCGTAGATACGAGCAGCCTGTGTGTCCAGGTCCTGTCTCCCTTTCCGTGTGATGACGCGACCGCCCGCTTCCTCGTCTCTAGCTACGAGTCCAAGCCTCTCCAGTTCTTGAAGACAATATCGGATAATTCCGCGCGACCCTGTGGCAAAATGAGACGGTCGCGGACCGTTCCTCTTCTTACCCCCGTACTTGCGGCTGTACGCTCCGACACCAAGATTTTGCCGCAAGTAAACCTGGCGCGCAAGAGCCGCCATTCGAACGTAGAGCCAGTCTCGATCTTGCGGTGGCATCTCACGCAGGGTACCCGTTTTCACGACGTCCATCCATTCCGGTTCGCGAACTTGACCCTGCTGTTTGAGGTGCGCTGCATAGGATCGAATCAGATGATCAGCTGGCACGTCTTTCAAGGTAATGCCAGACCTGGGCGCCATCACCACTCCACAGTCCGCTCGTTCGTCAGCGAAGAATACGGCTTGATCGCTGTGCTCGAGTGCGGGCCCTGTCGCATGACGGCGTCGACGGCAAGGTCAATCCTGTACGTTTACGGTATATCATGGACAAAATAGACACTCTGGTGCGACGCCTCCGAGGCTCGCCATGGCAGGCGTTTCGTGCAGCGCCTGCGCAGCGTCACCCTGCTGTCTGGCAACGACATGGGAAATGCTTAGCGCCCAAAAACTCTGGCCTACCCGCCGGGCTTCTCCGGTATGTCGTTCGGCATCGCCAGTCGCAGGCCTGTTGATGCCGTTTCTAAGAGCGGCGGGATGTGCAGACGCATTGCGGTCCGGTGCGTACCGGCTCAAATGCGCATCGAGCCGACGCTTCCGATTACGGGGCGGGGCACTCGCCTGAACTGCGGCCACTGCAGCGTATCTCGCGCCGCCGCGAAGCGCATATAGCAGACCTGGTATCCCTTCGGTCTCTGATTATATTTACGTCAACGTCTGCACGGAATATGACCCTGGGATACGCCGACTATGATCGCGTCTGTCGGGTAGCCGCGGTCGCTTGTGCTGCTCGAACTACCGGGCAGTTCCTACTGCACCCCTGTCAGTATAAATGGAAGAGGTCCTGTAGTATGAGCGGAAACTTTCAATTTTGGGTCACGTATCAATGTCATCAGTACGAGTCTCTGTGAGCTTTTTCCGTGACTGTGTCTTTTCCTCTTTCAAATCTCCGGTTCTATATCCGGCGATCCCTCGACCTCCTCCAGCTCCAGTATCAGCAGGCGAAGGATGCAGGCTTTGACGTTCAAATCCTGCTTTCGCCACTTGCAGCAGTTGTCGATGCTCTGGATGCCCAGACGCTGGTTGCGATCTACGCTTTGCACGCCATTCTCTTCCTCTAGGTTTACAGCATCGGTGCGCTCTTCGCAAGGGTGGCACTTGGCTCTGGTCCGCTGTTGCCATACGTCCAGCACACCTTCTCCGGACGCTGTCCTGTGGCTTGTGAACGCTTGCTCCATCGCTCGATCTATGGCCTTGACGCGAATAGAAAAGTCGTCTCGATGCCGTGCACTGGTTCCGTGCCCAGTGCCGTACCGGCGGATCATGGGGTTCTTGTTCGCCATCCGCTATGCAAGTACGCCGTCGGCTGCATACTCAAAGGCACGCCGTTCGATTCAGTGGAGGATTTGCGGAACGCGATGTTGTCCGTGATGAAACAAATGCCGAAAAGAATATTCAGAATGGAGTACATGTCTGGAAATTTCTAACCGTCTTCGCTCCCTTCATACAAAGCCTTGACGCACGTTCCGCTAGAAGCAATCATCATGATGACTCGCATCCGAGTCCAGGACCCTTTTCCATGCAAACAGAAGAGACGATATCCTCTGGTGCGCATCTTAGGGGAAGCATCATGCTGTCGATGACGCCAGTTTCGTCGATAGCCACAAGAAGAACAGGAGGGCTTGTCTTTCGAACGAAATCTATCAATAATTCGACATCCCAAGTTCATGGAATGCTTGGCATATGCTGGTGAACAAGTCGTCATCGGACGACAATCGAGTATTTTCTTCGTCAATGTAGCAGCGGGATCTGCTGCGCCCATCAGCTCCCCCGAAATACAAAGATCGGAAATTTGAAGCATGCATGGTTTCATCATTCTACACGTAAGGAAGTCAGAAGCGTGATGGCTTGTGCGTATGCACAGCGTCATGATATGAGTTAGGCTATGAGCTCGAACTCAACGGCGTTATGCAGCATCTTGGACGACATTGACCTAACGAATTCGAGCTGCAAAGCGTCACACAAGGCACCCCTAAAAGAGAACCGAGCATCCTAGAACTTTGTATGCATCCGTAAGCCCAGAGTGCTACAGGGTGAATGTCGAGTCTGTATACCTGTAAAAAGGTTTCGAGGAAGAAACGCAAGACAGGAGTCGGGTGAGCGCTTGCGTGTCCCTTTTTCTCATCTGGAACAGATATGGACTTATCGATCCCATGCGGGGAACAGTTTGCTGCCGGACGCCGCGCCGCCCTGCAATTTGCACCAATCGGAATGTCCATGATTTCCAGGATCGACGCGGATCCGTGACGGCGCTCGCTGCGGCGTCGCTGCGCGCTGCGTCGTTCTCCGAAGGATGCCTTGCGGGAAGCGCTCTGCTGGTGCGGGACCTGGTGCAAGGGACCATGGTGCGCTCACATGGACTGCGTAGTAACACCCGCGACAAGTTCGCGAAACCGTTTCGAGGTCATGGGAAACCTTTGCCCTCCAAGTACTTGACCACCTACAAAGTCGGGGAGTACGTTGACATCGCAGCTGACTCGTCGATTCACAAGGGCATGCCGCACAAGTTCTACCACGGACGCACTGGGCGCGTGTTCGATGTAACACCGCGATCCATCGGGGTCGAGGTCAATAAGGAGGTGAACGGGCGGATCCTAGTGAAGCGCATTCACGTACGGGTTGAACACGTGCGACCGTCCCGCTGTCAGGAGGCTTTCAAGGCGCTCGTGCGAGCCCGGGACGCTGCGCGCAGAGCTGCACGAGCAGCCGGCGAGCCCAAGGTTATACACGAGAAGCGACAGCCTGCTGGCCCGCGACCTGCACGTGTCGTACAAGTGGGTGCAGGCGGTATCAAGCACCTGGAAGCAAAGCCGTATGAGTTCATCTGCTAGACGTCGTGCTTGCAACCTGGCACCGCACCGGTGGCCGTGCACACCGCTCAAGTCAACTACACTTGTGCGTTTTCTAAAGAGTAAGCGGCAGCTTGAGTATGCGCGAAACGGCAAGTCTGTGCTCGAGAACGAATCGATGACGAAGCGCAGACCTCATCCAAACGGACTCTTGGTCGTATATTTCGCAGGTAAACGATGATCATCGCATCTTGGTCCAGTATCGTTGTGCATTTCCAAAACGAAATAGGTCGTGCCGGGCTCTTCTGCAACAGCTCACGATCCCAAAGTCGTCGTCTGCTTGCGCTAGCATAAAACGATACGCGACGCTTGGAAGACTCGCTCCCAGTGGGCACTGGAAGCGCTCCACAGGTGCCGCGACAACATCTATCCACCGCTTGCTGTTCTGGGACGCCATACGCACCGGTTACGTACCTCGAGCTTGCATTCGTCCGAGAACCTCGATATCTCTCTGTACAACTGGACGCTTGCTCCCTACTTGCATGCAAGCAACCAGTGCTTGTGCAGCACCGCCAGCCGGAGCATTCATGCACCCTGCGTATCGACTCGAGGCACTGGGAGCAAGCCTGCCAGCCAGCGAGCAAGCAGTCGAGAGACTGGGATTTTCTCGCATCGCAGATCGACTCATGGAACAGGTATTCTTCGGATGCGCCAATGCTGGCGACAGGCAGGGAAGCAACCAACCTACTTTCACAGACGCTTTTGGGTTGCACTGAACCAGGACTAGTCCTCGCATCGAGGACAGAGGTTCCATAGATCCAGCGACAGCCGCAGATCATTGGCGCTCCCACCGAGCGCCAATGATCTGCGGTATCGACTTGCTGGCACTTCAGGGTTCAGACACGAAAACTTACGAAACGTCGACTAGTTTCAAAGCCAGGGAACAGTTCATCGACCACTGAAGCTTAGGACTATGTCCGTCTTGAGTTTCTGGACGGGCTTGATAGCGCTCGTACTGTTGGTGGTTCTCGTGCGACACCAGCAGCGACAGCGTTCCGCGAGACAGCCTGGGATGCGTCCGGAACGACGCAACGAGCCTGCCTACGTCGCCAGTACGAAACCGGTGACCCACCAGGCGGCAAATATCGCGGTCAACCGAGCCGAAACACGAACAAAAACGGTGTACACCACAGAGGAGGTTAGTAGACACTGCACACGCGAATCGCTTTGGCTCATCATCGACGGACGCGTCTACGACGTTACGAGTTACGTCGATCATCATCCTGGCGGTGACGCCATCTTCCGCAACGCTGGGCGAGATTCTTCGGCAGGGTTCCATGGAGACCAGCACCCAGAAAAGGTTAACGAAATAATACCCGATTTCTATATCGGCGACTTGAAGCAGTGACTTTGGTCCGGTTCAAAAGCACGACTTTAGCCAGTTTTCGTCTGGCTCTGGAGCGCAAGCACTTAGAGGAAACGGCATGCGTGACTTGGCAAAGCCGCTCACGGGGGATGCGCTTGCTTTCGAACGAGCCGGGATCATGCACTGGTCGCGTCCTCTGTCGAGTCGACGCCCTGCTTGTCGCTTTCGTTGAAGCGCTGTGCTTAACACGCGTCCATGAGGAAGTTCTTTCGAAGGTTCGTATTCCAGCCATTCCATCGCTGCGACTGATCAATACATATCATGGAAACCGATGCTACTGGTCGTCGGAAATGAAGCGAACGAGAGGAACACAGAGGCGAACCTCGAAGCCGACACAAGCCGTCTCGCAAGAGCGCTCAACGTCGTTTATTGTATGGATTCCGTAGAGCATGCAGTCGAGCGGATCAGCGGCAGGGCTGCAGCGAGATAACTTTTTATGGTGTCGGATCGATGCATGGAATTCGAAAAAACCGACTCGATGCACAGTTCCGAAAAAACGGCAGTCAGGAAAGTGTGCACGACTCCTAGTCCGATCCGATGGGTTGCAGGGAACCCACAGATCAGCGTTGCGGTCGGAGATCATGAGTCGTTCAAGAGATTCGCCGAGTGCCGAGCCTATGGTCGGCACCTGTGGCGTGCACAACGCCATGTCCCTGCTCTGGTGCTGTGTGCGGAAGGCCGCTTCGAGCCTCATTGGCTACTATCGCATGGAATCGAAAGCAAAACAGCGCAAACGGTGACAAACGGTGTGCGTCACGCGCCAGCATACAGCGTGTGCGTTCGCGAAAACGTCAGCGCTCACAGCGCTCGTTGAATATATCGCTTGGAACCGAGGCGACCTCGTTTCTCTCGCATTCGGCGGTTCGAAAACCACCAACAGATTTGCTTGCGAGTGAGTCCTGTACTGTTGACTAACTGCTCACGCTCTGCTGCTGATGGATAGATGCTGACGCATTCGTAATGCTGGATGAGGATAGCTTCAGCGTGTCGCGAGAGTTTGTGGCGCTCGCTACCAACCATGCCCGTCCCAGAGCCCGTGCTCAGCTGCTCCATCAGAAACCCCTCACCGTAGCGAGCAAGTACCGTCCTGAAGAACGCACGAGCAGTACGCGATCTGGTTGGCGGGATCGTCAGCTGCTGCTGCTGCGCGAGATCCTTCTGATCAACAGATTCTGAGATCTGGGATGCTACGCTTGAGCGCTCATCATCCAAGCCGGGAGCTTCCCGCGGAGTGCACAGCTCCACAGCCGACGATGGAAGCGCTTTCGAAAGCGGCCGCCGGAGGATTCCTTGCTCCGGGTTGCGAGCATTGAATTCCGTTGCATGGATGCCCCCGAGATACCCCGTACGATTTGCAGCAGATGTGGCTCCAGCGGGTAGACGCTGTACCGCGGACCCATGGAAGCATGCATCCGTAGTGCCAAGCGCTCCCCGATAGACATCGCACACGTCTTCATACCAGAACGATTCTCCGTCGTTGGCAGCGTCTCCGAAAGCTTCGACATGCCACGGCAACGGTATCCGTAAACCAAGCGCTGCTCCAGATGCTGCTACCGCGTTTCGATCGCTTCGGCGTGCAGCATCCGAGGAGTCGGCCGTCTCAACAAAGCGCTGTGTCGATGCACTGAGATGCTCCGTCACGACTGGCATCGAAGACGTAGAACAATGCCCAGGCGTGCCTGTCCCTGGATCGTTTTCATCGCGAGCACGCGAAACGGCATATGCTCGGCAAGCACGCTCGTGCATCTGGAGAAGACACTGGCAGCAGGACTCGAACTTGAGTCGGAAACGAATCAGCTGTTGCAAGGCGGTAACGAGTTCAACCAGTGCACCGGAGACGTGCACAGACGCCAACGGGACATGCTCGCTGCATTGCTGGAGTTGCTGGAGCAGTAAACAGGTGGCCTCTCGCGGCTCGCAAGTCGCCAAGGAAGCGAGCGCCCGTAGCATTCGACGAGGAAGCGTACCCCTGAGCAACCATTCCCGGAGGTTCTCGATGCTTGGCGTTGCCTCTGCGGCTGTTGTCCGATCGAACGACGGGACACTCAGGAGTCCACCGTTGCAAATAACGTGTTCGACGAGAGCCTCTAGTTTTTCCGCAGCTGCTTGTTGGACTCGCGCTTCACTTGACGCGGGGTGTCTGGAGTCGGCAGTCGAGTTCACTGCGCTCGGTATCGTGAGCCAGAGCAAGGCCGTCGACGCCGAGGCAGTGTCTGCCGTAGCCTGCGGGTACACGCGACACGTCGCTAGCTGCCAGAGCGTCTCTAGCCAGTTGCTCGTATCTGACGACTGTGAACGACACTGCATTTCACCGTGCCGACTAGGACGCTGGTTCCGGGTTGTCGCCCGAGAACTCAAGCGGCCACCTTGCAGAAAGTTTGGCGGAAAAGTCATTTCCGAGTATTCGTACCTTGGGCCGCTTCCACACGCCTCGTTCAGGTTCTATCAAGTCTTTGGTGAGATCCTTCTCCTCTACATAGCGTTCGGGCTGTGCGGTTACGAGGTTCGGGGTCGGTCGGTTTTTCGGTTTTGTGTCGAACGCAGCGTTGCGTTGACCGGGGCGGGTCAGCGGTCGAACGCTTGCTTGACCAACCTGACGTATCGGTGAAGTTGCTCGCGAGTGCGCTCATGTATTTACCAACTTGCTTGCCTCTATTATGACAAAATCATAACTTGCTTGCTTGCTTGCACGCTACTCGAGCGCAAACACTATGACAGCGTTTTCGCTGCCTCTACCGCGAACCGCCCCCGCGACTGGCAGTACGCTTTTGCGTCCACGAACGGACCCAGTCAGTCAGCGAACAAGAACTTCGCCTCGTCATATGCGGGTCTAGGTATCGTTTCGCTTCATGGACCAGCTGTTCGAGTAGGTCTTTCAGCGAGTCTGGTGCCCACGAGAATCGCCATCCAGATGAACCGCAACAACTGCGGTTCCAAAGTGCGCAGCACCCTCAGCATACGCTGAAACCCAGGTACTGCCCGGGCATGGTGTACCTGATGCGGCTCACCAGTGTGTTTCCTGGACTCGGGAGCCCGTCGACGATGCCCACGCCTCCTCGCGAAAGCGTCAAAAGCGAAAGCGGACATGGACGAGCCGCAACGCCAACACTGTTTACAACGCGAATGCTCGCAGAGCTTCTATCGCCGGCCGTGCCATGAGCGTTTTCGAAAGTTGATAAACCAGTTAGATACTTGTTTCACAGACACACCAGTCTGGGCACTCAACTGAACCTTCACCGCGTCACTTGGGTACGGGTGATCCCAGTGCGCTCTGGCCCAGGCTTCGAATACAGCAACGGCATGCTTCGGAAGCGGGGTTCTTCGGCGCGAGCTCGCCCGAGCAGGTTCTTGCGAGAGCGCTGCTCTCAGCGGAGTCGTTTGATCACCGGATATCGAACGATTCGCATAAGCGTCTCGTCTCAGTATATGTGTGGTCGGAGTCGGTCGTCCCGAGGCAGGGCACGCACATGTCGATGACGGGCATGCCGTGCTCCGATGCACTCCAGCGGCACGCGGAGATTCCCAGCAAGGAACGCCTTCGTGGAGCACACTGGTGCCCGCACAGATACGTAGGCGCTCGATCGGCAATGCCCTGGGCAGTGGTGTCGTTTCCGCAGTCCCGAGGCGCCCAGTCGAGCGTCCGTCGAAACCGTTGCGACTGGGCTCGACCGCAGAGCTTGAAGCTGCGCCCGCCGAGAAGCATGGACGCAGTCGGCCGCGTTGAATGGAGACAACATCAGCCTCATGGGCGGAGTGTTTGCATTCGGTGAGGTTCTGGCCTGCAAGTGCCGACTCCCCAGCTTCGTAACAGATCACATCGCGCTGAAAGTCATCCGAGTTTGCTGACCCGGGCGCAGAGCACAATGCTCGCTCACCAAGAAACAGGAGCGCAGCCTCGACATGAGCGTCGCCGTCATCGTCGAATGCACCACCTGTTCCCGCGTGCTCGACATGGCTCGGCGCTTGCCAGTCACAGACCTCGCTTTCTCTGGACGAAAAACGCAGACCGGGCTGCGCTGGAGCAGATGTTACAGATCCTGCTACTTGATTCGAATCCCATTTCCGCGGTATGTCTTCCGACTTTCTCGTCTTGTAGGTCATGAGGGTTTCGCTTGACCAGCGCTTGACGGCAGCAGTCAAGTTGACTACTGAGTTGACCACTCCGTCTGCGGGTGAGCGCTGTCGACCATGCACTAACCACCACCATCATCATCATCATGATCATAATTGCTCTGGGATGACGTCGTTTTCATGATGACCAGTTCACAACCCTTGCCCGAATCCCTTCTCCTGCTCGCAGCGGCTACCAGGGCATACCCCCAGCGGCATCCACACAGCCGCTGCAGCAGGCGCTCCAGCTGATCCGCGCGACCCGCGTACGGAGGGCGCCAAGCGCGCGTGCATGACGACCGTTCCGCGGGCCACGCTGACGGGCGCGATCGATGCGCCGCGGCGATCGGACGCGAACGCTATAGGCGAGTGGAATATTCATCCATAATTGTTCTATAATGTTCTAGTTTCTTGATTGGCGAATCACGCCCTGGAGCGCGGACGCTGCACTGCGGATGATGCCGCTTGCCGCACCAGCGTGCGCTGCAGGCTCCTATCCGAGGTGTGCGTGCGTGCGTGCGTGCGTGCCTATATACAGGGACACGTGTCCCGTAGAGGCATACGTGTCCGAATGGCGATTCTTCGAAGCGTCACGCATGCGGCAATAGCGGGTGCGTTTCGCCTCTGAGAACGTTCCGCTACGTCTCCCAGCGTACTTGTCAGTGCAGCGTATACCTCGTGCGTCTTCGATATTCAGAACTGCACGCATACGCATGCGTCGTCGTGCGCACAGAACCTGCACGTCGACGGAAACAAAATGCATAGGATGGAATGCCCTGCTCACGGTCGCTTTGATGGGCTGTCTTCGGGCCACCAGGCGTCATCAGCAGCAGAGCGATCTCATGGTCATCGGGCGGGTGCTGTAGGCATGCACTCGAGCAACCAGTACTGACCTGGTACCCGCGATTGCCAGTCTCCCGAGCATCTGCAAGCGCATTATACTACACGTGTCCTGGTCTGCGATCTGCGCAGGTCGGGCCCCGGGTCCCAGAGCACGAGGTCGTGAGATCAATGCACTCGCTCACGGAAGCTTCAGAAAATGATGGATAGCGGCTTGAACATGTTTGGGGAAACCGCGCGAAACAGCAAGAGATGCCCGGCGAGCACATATACGCAGAACTGGACGAGAGCATTCCTGATTCGCAAGGGCATCCCTAGGGGTGCGCGCACACCGTCCCGTACCACGCGCTGGGGCTTGCCGGTCTCGAGGACGCATCCTGCCCGCTAGACCTCTGAGCTGGGGTTCGTTGTCGTTGACGTTGCAGGGCACGCAACTGTACGAGCGGACTCCAATTGTCTTGCAAGCTCTTCTAGCTGCTCATGAAAGATGCCCTTCATATCAGCGATATCTTCGCGCAGTTCCTGGACGAGCTCCTCTTTCTCCCCGAGCAGCTCGAGAAGGGCCTGCTCGCGTTCATGCATCCGCCGGATTTCATCGTCCAGACGCTTCACTTGGGCAGCCTGTGATTCAAGTTTCTCGTTAAGTTGTGCCATCTCGCTCGTCAAGTTCTGAATAATGTCTTCGCGTCGCATAAGTTCCGTTTGGAGACTGCGAATCACATTCGCGCGGTGACGCAGGTGCGACTGAACTTCCGTCCACTGCACGAGGTTTGGTAGCGAGCCCGAAAGCAGCAACTCTCCAGCACTTACTGAAGAGCCAGGCGTACTGTGCCTTTCGTCCACTGCGTCCTCGGGCGCGGAAACGTTGTCAAGTGTTTCCCCTGCCACCAACGAGGCCGTTGGTGTGTCGCGAACTGTCTGCACTGCCGACGCTTCACCAGGTTGCATTTGCGATGCTGTCGGAACGGCTTCGCAGAGAGAGGGCGTCGTCATCAGCTGCCTGCGTTCGATTTGAAGCCTTCTCCGCAAGCCGCCCAAAGCGTGGGCGGTTTCTCGTGCCTCAGACTCATAAGCACGCTGAAGCCGCAACCAGTCTTCTCGAAAAGTGAAGAGGGTCCTGCGTAGCTGAGCGCAACACGTGCGGATCTGGCTGAGCACTTTTGCCGCAGCGACGCGCTGTTCGCGTAGCGTCGACCCCAAGGCGACAAAGTCACGGAGTTTCCATTCGAGCTCGCGTGCACGTGTGTCGAGTCGCGTATGCTCTTCGAGTAATGCCGCTCGGGCTACATTTGCTGCCTCCAGTTCTGCTCGGATCTGGAGAACCTGCTGTTCGAGCCGCTCTTGGATGGTCGCTTCGCCGGCACTACGCTGACGGAGTTGTTCGTGCAGTACCTGAATTTGTCGCATGAGTGGTTTCGTCGCCTCGGAGACGCTCCTGGAGAGCTCTTCATTCTGTTGTTCCAACTCAGACACATGCGCACGAGCTTGTGCGACTTCCTCGCGCCACTGACGCTCTCGCCGCCCCTGTTCCTGCTGTGTTCGCTCGAGGAGAGCCTTCACATGTTCGAGCTGGGACTGCAGAACTTCGAGCCGATCCCTGTACTCACTCTTGGCTATTTCAAGCTGTTCCTGCGCTTTCATGGCCAGACGCCTAGTCAGGCTTCGCAGCTCGGCCTCGTGTTCGTCGCGGAGCTCGTGAAGTCTAGTCTCTAGCGTCTGCAGCTCAGACCGCTGGACGTGTTCCTGCTCGCAATGCTTTCGTTGCTCTTCTGCTTGTTTCAACTGCGCCAGTTGTGCCTGGAGACGAGCCTGGCATTCCTGAACGCGCTCTTCCTCCTTTCGCAGCTGGAGTGCAGTGCTATTCGCTCGGCTACGCTCCGAGTCGACAAGACGTTCGAGTTCACGTATACGTTTTCTCTGGGCTTGTACTTGCTGATCTCGTTCGTAAACGAGCTTGGATAGACGCTGCGCTTCCTGATATAGCTCCTGTGCGTTCTCTGCGGCCTCCAAAGAAGGGCGTGGACTCGGGAGCCGCCCCGGTCCGACCTGCGAACCGTAGCTGCCCGCTCCAGAGTCACGCTCCTTTGCATCAGTTCGCGGACTGTGGCCTTCTTCAGCACCGGTCGCAGCAAGAACGTGCGCTCTTGAAGCATCATCGGTCTCGCTGCGCAGCGTTTTCGAGTCGAACGAAGCGCCAGAATCCTGCTCATGGGACGCTTCCGGTGAACGTCCACGCACCTCTGCGGTTGCAGACAACGCGGGTTCCGTTATCTCGGGCGCAGCAACGTCTTCCCATTCCTCCTCGTCAGCAACTGCTCGTCGCATCCAGCAGGTGGCCCAACGCTGAACTAGAACCAATAAACTCTATTTGCTTCCTCCGCGAAGACGCGAACCTGTAAAGTGCTATGTGAGGATGCCAGTGCGCACTGGCACTTGCAGACAGCAGCGGCAACAAGCGCTGCTTCTCCTGGTTCAGTTGACTCCCGAACGCGGTGCCATGTGCATAGTACAGAGGTATCAAGGTTTGAGCCATCATGGTGAAGCTCAACGGGTCTTTTTAAAATACGACCTGAGCAAATCTTGATCGAAGAAAACTTGCCGAATATACGCAACCCGCATCAACACCGTATGCGTAGACACTCCGTGGTTACGGGTACACAAAATCAAGTCTCGGAAAAGTCATCGGAGCATTTTGAGGCGGTCTGCTGGGTACAAGTCGAGGCAGACGCAACCTGCATTGCCGAAGTTTGACACACACGAACCAAGAATGCTCGCAGCAGTTTGTACACATCGCTTTGCAGCGAACCATACCGAAGCAATGGAGCTTCATCTGGAATGATTTCGTCAGCGTCTGTTGCTTCCCGATTCACCAGCAGTGGCTTTGATGCGCTAAGCAGGAAGCCAGTGCAGAGGACGATTGTGCACCAGGTTGCTTTGGACCCAACAAGAGTCCAGCATGGCCCGCGCAGTACTTGAACTCGTACGCGCGGTTGCGCAAGCATACGATGCACTTGTCTGCAACCTGAGGAGACCTGCCAGTGTACCCTGGTCTGCAGAGGCGCGTTCGCATGCATTAGTCTCAATGCGGAAAAGAACGAACGGACACTGTTCATGGCTCGCTTGTGGACCCGTGGCCACCCAGAGAAACGACGGGGAACGAAGGCAAGCTAAGCGGGTTCCTGAGGGAGAAGCTCTCGATTCGAACGCGAGGACGTATCAAGAATTTTGGTGATTATGTTCCCGAGCCTTAAAGCGCTCATGAGAATCGTCCTCTCCTCCGAAAAGGATCGGGTTTCCACGAAATGCTTCCCCGGCAGCGTCACTGAAATCCACGCACCAGCGTCAGCAGCGAACGCGAATAATGCCACACGAACAATCCAGGCATACGGAATCAGGCAACTCGGAAACGTGTCATTCACGGCCTCGGAGATGTGGTGCTACCAGGAGGCACAAGCACAGGCAGCAACCGGAATCGTTGCAGAAGCAACAATGCCGGTACTTGCAATCATTCCAATAGGAGTGGCTGCGGCTGTGCCAGATTGAAATGCGAAACTGCATTGCTTGCTCGGTTCTTTTCCGTCGTTTTCTCGCCCAGCCTCATGCGGTGTACATCCGCTACATTCGAAGCGGAGCAACAGCGGCTTACGAATGCACGCGTCGGTTCAGGATCCGGAGTCGTCTCGTCCGAGAGGCTCCTTGGACGCGTCACCGTTGCATTTCCGCATGCCATCGGAATCGAGATAGCTCGCGATGCCGCTGGAAACCAATTCCAAAATTAACCGATACCATTCCCGAGTTCATACAATGAAGCTTCGAGCCTGCCCCTCTCGTTACGTTTAGCATGCTCAAATCACACACGCTCCAAGTATTCGATTTCTCTGTTTCAAGGTCGCTCGTGGGCGGAGCATGTGGCGCTCCGGCACCGACCACGAAAGAGAATCGGTGTCATCTGCTTGGCAGCTTGTTGACCAGCGTATACCGCAAATTCAGTCAACCTGTAACGTCAAATGAGAGAGATCGAATGTGTTCGAAAGACAGGTTCTCGCTTTTCTGTGGTCGTCGTCTACGCGGGATTCTACAGTACCATGACGCCTCTGACAGCGTATGCTCCAGGATGCTCCAGTCGGTTGCGCTTGCCCGCAAGAGGGTTTCTGAGTCAGACCTGACTCATCTACGGGATCGCATCCAGTGGAGCGTGTAGCATCGCTTTGCATGAGGCGAGCGTTGTCGGACGGGAGTCTCTCGACCTGTTCCCTGGTCTGGCGTCGCCTTCGAGGCCTTGGTGCATCATGGAAAACATCGCGCTCCACGAACCCGCTATCGAGTGGACCAGCGTGCGCTTCCACGCCCAGCAGACAGCGTCCTCGACGCTGGGAGCGCCCTGAGGAAGCCCCTGATCGTAGAGTACGGCACGAGACGCAGAGACGCGAGGCGGGTATCGAGGATAGCCTGCAGTGCCTGCCACGAGCGTGTACCGAGCGATGACGCAAGCGTTGACGCGCCACAGGGCAGCCTTCTCATGAAGACGTGTGGTCTGCATATCGTTAGACCTGAACGCAGCCACGTGTCGTCTCTGCGAAGGGCGTCTCCAGGTTGTCTGGCGAAAGGATGAGAGTGGCAGGCGAAACGTCGATCACAACTTTTGCCAGTGCACGGCATGCGTTGACAACAATCGGCAGCTACGACACCGGGATTTGAACACCACCACCTATATCCATCGACTGCTATCGACGGAGCTGGCGGCAAAGGGGAGACCAGCGTGTTTACACCCGGAGATTCGAGGAAACACAGGGAAACATTCTTGGGGAAAGAGGCCACAAACGCTGGTGCGCATAAGAATAGGACGAAACGAAAACCTCGGTGCGTACGTCTTTATCAGTGGATCTGTTCTATCTGGTACTGGCGTGAACAGTGAAACAGAAAATGGTTCACAACCATGGACGGTAGATATATCCACTCACCCGCTGACGTCTCCCGGCCTTTTTGACCGACCCTCTGCTATCTGCTCCAGCTTTTCCTTCTACTCTTCGAGCCTGAGAGGCTGCCCCACAAACTTGTATCTCGTCAGCCCCGGGGGTCTCGTCTTCAGCACCACAAATCTCCTGGTATTGATGACAGCGCTGAGGTCCTGGTACACGAATCCGATGCGTTTGCTGCCGCTGATAGAACTCATCAGTGCAAGAATTCCTCGAACTCGCGCACTCTGTTCCACTATAGTCTCATTGTCGTCCAGCCCAACAAACACCTTTTCCCGCCTATTTCCCTACTTATTCTTTTTCGTCCTCATTTGCCCCGTTTCGCTGGATGATTGACGAGGAGCGGATCTTATTCGTTGTTTTCCAGCAGCCAGCGACACAGTGCATCCACGATCCCCGATTTAGGCATCAATACCTATCCCCTTGACTTTTTATTTCTTCAACTGAACACACTGGGAACGCGTCTTCTATAACCCGAGAAAAGTCATTTTTAATGAAACGCATCTGGTAACGGAACACTATTGAAGTGAAAGTCTATACACCGATCGTCTGTCTGGACGGTGGCTCGCCACACCGATCGCACCAACACACGAGTGGCGCTTGCCGCTGCAAAACATACCATTGTTGCTCATTAGGAGTAGGTTCTAGAGCTTGCACTCCTTGTACGTCGATCATCATCTATACAGGCACAGGTAATACGTTTCCGAGCCAGTGACTTTCCCAGACAGAATCTGCTTTTGAACTAGCTTGCTGAACGTGTTTGATCGTGCGCTTTGGGAGCAGGTACTTGAGCTTCGACGCTCATGTGGGGAAGTTTACGCCTCTTGTCGCGGATCCGCGTCCGCAACGGTTTGCCAGAAGCGTCTACTGGCAGACCGCTGATCAACCTGAGGTGTCGTTCGATGCACAGCAGCCAGCGAGACAACCCTGCAACGCAGACAGACGTCGCTGGGACCCAGCGCGCACTCAGTTCCGTTGCTGCTGCGGTAGCGGCGACGGCTGGGTCCGCCAATGCCAACATTCCGCTGCCTGACTTGCCGTACGATTATGACGCTTTGGAGCCGGTCATCAGTGCAGAGATCATGCGTTTGCATCACACCAAACACCACCAGGGCTACGTGAAAAACCTGAACAACGCACTGAACACGCTACACAGTACAGACCACGTTCCAACGCTCATTTCGCTGCAGCCTTCACTGGTATTCAACGGAGGGGGCCACCTCAATCACTCGATCCTTTGGACGAATCTGGCTCCAGTCGGGAAGGGAGGCGGCGAGCTCCCGGATAAAGATTCACCCCTATTGAAAGCCATAGAGAGCGATTTTGGTAGCCTGAACAATTTCATGAGCTTGATGAACACTGCCGCAGCTGGGATTCAAGGTAGCGGTTGGGCCTGGCTCGCCCTGAATCGGAACCTGCGGCGACTGGACATCATCACTCGGTCGAATCAGGATCCCGTCGTAGGGGCCTACACACCGCTCCTCGGTATTGATGTTTGGGAGCACGCCTATTATCTCCAGTACAAGAGCGATCGCGCAGCATATCTGAAGAACATCTGGCAGGTCATCCATTGGAAAGATGTCATGAAGCGTTACGAAGCTGCGATCGCATGAAGGGACCCCTCAGAGGCTCAGTCAGTCAGTCAGTCAGTCAGTCAGTCAGTCAGTCAGTCGGTCGATCGGTCGGTCGGTCGATCGGCCTCGATGCGATTGGGTTCGTGGGAAACCGCCTGCGCTCCGCATATCGGCAGCGGGATGATCGAGCGGCATTCTTCGGTAGCCGCGGTCGCTTCTGGTAGCCCGTGCATTTCGCCATGAGGGATGCGTCATTCGCCGTGAAGCGCCGGCTGGGCGACACTCGTCGATAAACGGATCGATTCTAGCCAGCTTTCCAAGAGTTTGCCGCGGAACGCAGACGACGGCATCGATATTCGTCCTCAATGAAATACCATTGTCTTGATGCCGTCCCCGAAGCGGCACGCTGGTAGACGATACAACGCAGACAACGCTGATATCCGAATAGAGCGTGAGGGTCTGCGGGTGCAACCCACGCAACCTGGACATCCCAAACCCGCCACTCGTGACGAGTCCTTCACGTGCGCCCGCTCAGCGCATTAGCTGGGAATCATGCGCTGGTGACAGGGAGATGCCAGACGCGCTCTGTCCGTTGTAGCTGACACCGCCAACGAAAACGAAACCGCCCACAGCACCCGTCATGCGCAAATGTATCGTGCTGAGGGCGTATGGCGGGCGTTGGGCTGTCCGCGAGACCCGAGTCCGCACTCCATCCGAATTCGTGCCCAGCAGGCACCGATGATCATGGTGTATGAGCGCGGATCAGCTGGCGTGCATCGGGCAGGTCGATGCGCACCTTGCCCATTCTATCAGTGTCATCTAAGTGCAGAAATGTACTGTTTTATACAAGGTCTGCACACCGGGCAGGTCGATGCGCGCCTTACCCTTTTTAGTGTCAATTAAATACATATATGTTCAGGTTTATACGACATCTGCGCATGAAGCCGTAGCGCCGCAGTCCTGCAGGCAACCGGCGGCGCGTCAGGCTCCATGCCTGGTATCGCACTGAGGTGGACGTTGCCGGACAGCGCGCGATGTGCACGGTATGATTCGTACCGCGCAGTGCAACGTTCGGATTTCCTTCAAGCCCGGCAACACACCAGAGCGTGACCGCGACGAGCGCGCTCACTCAACAGGTCAACTGCGGCGTCTGCAGTGCAACCGCTGCTGCATGCATCATGCAAGCATGTCGGCGTATGAGACGCAGTTCGGACGTAACCCTCGGAACGCCTTGAACCTCCGCACCATCACCGCTGCCTTGTGGCGTGTTCAGCCGCTGGCGGATGGTCGTTTAGGAAGCGACTCGCGGGATATCGGCACCGAGTTGCGCAAACTGTTCCCGCACGCGCTTCAACCGTTGCGACCACGTCGTCAACAAGATATCGACACGATCAGCATCGAGGTCTGTGTCTCGAATCTGCCGATAGTCGGCCACAGAGACGGGATAGCTCGATTCTGAGTACCGCGTCGGATTGACGAAGCTGTCGTCCCAGGCGGGAACTCCAGATGTCGCTGAAGAACCAAATTCAGTCTCTGTGCCTGTAGCTGGAGAATCTGTGGAAAGCAGACCTGTCGTTCGCTGCCGCCACGAGACCAGCAAAACGTCTTGCGTTTGATCAATGCGTCCGATGAGGCGGCCATCCGAAATCAGCTGCACGACAGCGTGCTCGACTTGCGCGATGCTATCGCCTTCCCTCGTTACGCCAAGGCGCTTCGCCAAACTTGCCAGTGTGATCGCTCTATACGGGTGGACGGCTCGCAAGACAGCCCGCTGCCACAGGCGACTCGACAGTGTTTCAGTGAACGGACGCAGAAACGTATCTTCGATCATTGCACGATCCTTTTCGAGACTAGATTCGAACAGCACCAGATCATCCTTCTCGTAAGCATGAATCATATCACCCAGGGCCCGCATGTGGGGTTCCGAACCGTAGGTCTGCAATTCCGGGGCTGTGAACAAGTCCACTGTATTTCCCGAAAGCAGGTTCGCTAAAACAAGATACCGTAGAACGGCGAAGCGTTCCGGCGCACCAACCTCCTCATAATGGCGGAATGCCTCGTAGAACTCCCGTGCGGCCTCCGTGACGCAGCCCTGTGCCAGATACAACTTGCCGCCGCAGGTCCGAATGATCGCTAGGGTGCGCGGGCTCACAAGAACCCCTTTAAGCACGCTTTTCAAGCGCATGGCCTCTTGATACAGTCGCCAGAGACGAGAAGCGTAGAATCCGTCGTCTGCTGCGATCGGTACGCCCGGTCTACCAGGCGGGCTCAGTGCTACGCCCACCGTACGAGGTACTGCGGACGAGTCCGGAGGCATTGTCGCTACAAAGTCGCGGTTCCTTCGACCTATCGATGCGGCCGGGGACGTATCCTGAGCTGTATGTCGCAACCGGTACTCCATGGCTTGTGGAAACTGGAATGGTACTGATGCGAGCTTGCCCCAAAGAACGAGCTGCAGCTGCATGTCCAACGCAAACAATTCCAGTAGCTGAGAGCCAGAGAGCGCACCTATCAGCAGCTGCTCGCCCGGTTGTCGTGGAGCGCTCACTTGCCCGCTCAGCGAGGCTGACTTGGGCTCCAGCGCTGGGTCGGCGCCCAGCCGTATACCAGCGTGGCGGTACAAGCGGCGCAGAAGCGTGCTCAGCCGCCACAAGGCCCCCGTGTCCAGATACAGCTGCCCAAGGCGCACCACGGTACGAAACCGCAATCGATTATTCAGGGAAACACCAGCTGCGTCGAGAGCGTCTATGGTAGCCTGAAGCAAACGCTCCAGTACGCTCGCAGGAACGTACGTCTCCGAGGCCAGCGAGTCCAGCAGCTGGCTGATCACGAACTCTACCAGCGTACGCGGGACCGCTGTGTGGAAGTAGCAGAGGAGACGCTCATGGAGCGCTTGTGCCCTACTATAGTCCTTTCTTTCAAAGACGCTGATAATGACTAACTGGTGAAGAGCACGAACGCCCCACTCGCTTTCTCTCTGTGGTTGCTCCAGGGAGAGCAGTCGCTCGTATAAGGCTGCCGCTCCGCTGAGATCCCCGCGTTCCTGCAGGCTCTCCCCGTCATAGTACAGGTTCTCCAGAAGCACGGCGTACTCTGGTGTCGAGCTGCGCACTTGGCTCCAACTTGACTCTGGCGGTGTACCAGCTGGTGTTCCCATGCCCAGGAAAAAGCACGGAACACCACCACCACCAGCACCACCACCAGCACCACCACCACCAGCAGCAGCAGTAGTAGTAGTAGTAGTGGATGTAACAACAGGCACAATAGCAAGTGCAACAGTAGGTGCACCTGCAATCGCTCGAAGGTCTAAAGCTGCTTCGCAACCGCCACCGCCCAGAGCCGACGTCCAGCGGAGGCAACCCGCGACTACGTCCTATATCCGAACAGCGGCAGTTGTTGTAGAAGTGCTTCCAGCGGCTGCACTGATTTTGCTGGGCTGAACCTTTATTTTCGAGTAAGGGGGAAACTGGACTGGAGGCTGGTGATAGAACGGAGCAACTTCTGGAGCAGAACGGTGGTCGCTTCTCAGGTTGCTGGCTCGTACCAACGACGACGCGACTGGGCGTTTCGGACGCGACTCGTTGATCCCAGACCGTGCGTTAAAAAGCTGTCAAAAGCGCGCCAGTTGCTACTGCTGCTGTTTCGCGCCCACTTCATCTCTAACACTGTGGCGCTGTACTCCGTGCAAGACGCTCGGTTAGCGAGCAGCAGCGCCCGCTCGGATTCCGCTTGGAGCTGTCTCCGCTCAACTGAGGGCTCTGGTGCCGAAAAGCACGCCGCGTGTAGCGTCGTAGTCACGTTGTTTCGCGACCTGTGGAACGGCACAGTGGAGTACCCGCATAACCGCCGCACCGTCCTGTGACTCGATAGTTCATCAGGCAAACAAAACAGACGCTTTGACATTTACGAGCATGAGTCAGCAGCAGTCTCGCGGTAAACAACCGAACGCGCCAAGCGCTACCGCGACGACGGCTGATAACGATGACGAAGTCGACCTTTACTCGGGAATCGAGTTCCCGCAAGCGCTCGCCCCAGCGAAACAGAAGGTGCAGCCTCTCCGAGCCGCTCCGTCGAAAGGTAGCAGCGCTTCAGAGCGTGACAGAGTCGAAGCGCATGCACCTTCGGACAAGCGTGGTGCTGACCGACTCGAACAGGCAGAGCGCAACGCGAACGAGACCTCCAGAGTTCGTGCAGCGCCCGACCCTAGCATCAGCGATGATCTCCACGACTCAGACGAAGAGGACGACGCCGAAGAAGAGGATCAAGAATCATCGGACGACGACGTGGATATCATTTTGGGCAGTTCGCAACCCGCGATTGGCGAGCAGGCAGCCAAGTTTGCTGCATCATGGAATGAAGTCGCGAAGGAAGGGCGTGGTGTTGCCGAGCAGGGCGGCACTGCCGCAGGTCTCGGCATGATGAACGCCGAGGCCTCGCTTCAATCGTCAGCGTTGCTTCAGAGCATGTTGCCACAACCAACCATGGCAAATGTTGTTCCCGGCAAACAGAGAAGTCTCTACGAAGTTGAGCTAGAGCAGTTGGATGAAAAGCCCTGGCGGGAGCCCGGCGCTGTACTCTCTGACTACTTTAATTACGGGTTTACAGAGGAGACCTGGAAAATATATTGTCAACACCAGGCTGCAATGCGCCAGGAGACAAGCGTCCTGCACCGTCAGGTTACAATGAACCAGGCGACGGCATCACGGGAACGCGACAAGCCGACGCGTCCCGGCCAGGCTGGTGCCGGCTCTGCAGCGATAAGCGCGGGGAACGCTCGCGAAAGGCCACCGCGACGAGCGGTGGAAGAGGAAAAGCCCAAACGAGACGTCGAGTCTACCGCCAAGAGCACCGGGAAAGGTCCTGGGACTGCGTGGAAGGTGGCTGGTTCGAGTCCATCCCTGCTGCCGAGTAAGAACGTCTTGGAGCGTCTCGCTCAGGTGCGCCAACAAATCATGAGCCAGAACACCGGAGCCCAGACTCCAGAATCCAGTTCAAAAACGATGCACCGTCATGAAACAACCAGCTCTGAGGCAAACTCCGGAGAAGCAGATCGCGCTGAGCCGACTCAAGCCACGGCATCCGATGATCGCACTCGAAAGCGGAAACGGGTGAATGAGGAACCAGCACCGAGCATCGCGGACAGGTCCCGCTGAAAACCTGGACTCGCTGCGGTGATGCGCTTATGGTCATCATCCTGGCGCGTCTTGTCGTACCGAGAGTGCCTCTGGGGGTTACATGTCCTGCGCTGGGGCGACACAGCGCATCCAGGTATCGATGGAGCTCGACGGCAACCGAGTAGAGCACCAAACGATGTGCGTCCGTCGCCATGCAACGGAAGCGAGCACCTCTCTTGGATATGTGTATGTGTGTGCGAATGTGCTTGTGTGTTGTCATTGCGTTTCCTCGACACGACTTTTGGTGCCGCTGACGCTGATGAACGACCGCTTCTCGCTTGGGTCCACCAATCGTGACCAGGACATATCCAGCGGTCACTTTGGCGTGCACGAGCCCTGCAAGGAAACGCTCATGGTGCACGCAACCGCGTCGGAAGACGAAAACGCCTCAAGGTCGATCGCTCGTCTCCTCGTAAAGAACACGGCTTGCTGAACTCTCGCTGATGCGTCCAACGCCGGTTCGGAGAAGGCGGCTAGTCGGAGCCTACCCGCGACAACCTTCAGCATCGTCTATACCGCAGCACCGTCGCCCGCCGCAACACCACACGCTACACCACGCTCTCGTTCTAGAAACCCTACCATCCCAGGTACATTCGCATCATTCGATAGAATAAGCGCATGAAGCCGCTAAAGGCAACTGCACGTTGAAAAACGCACCTCAGTGCATTTCCAGCAACCGTTCAGGACACCGGTCAAGCCACATTCCCAACCGAACTTGCTTGCGCGAATAGCTTTTGGGTTCCAGTTGCTGTTGGTGGTGTTGATGCAATGCCACGCCTCAGAGGCAGAGGAAGCTCTCGGTCGGAGGAGACTGCATCACACGAAAGTACGCCAACAGGGAGCACGGCAGCTACACCAGCTAGCGAGGACGGCAGTGGCACGTCACGCTCAGCAGCGAACGAGTCGGACGAGTGGAGCGCGAGCGCACTCGGTGCGGCACTTGTTCAGGGACTGCGAGCACTCCTCGAAGACGTGTCCCTAAGCTTTCAAACCGAGTCAAGTGGTGAGCGACCTAGTCAACGGCGCCGTTCGCGTCGCCAACACCTGCAGTTCCAACGCTATGCATCGAGTCGTCTGGCTCCGAACGTCGGGGTGAACCGTGCCGCTATCCAAGCGGATATCGCTTTTCCACAAGCGCTCTGGCAGCTGGATGAGTCAGGACGTGAACGAGAACGCTCGATTGAAGACATCGAGAGAATGGAAGCTGTTTTGACGTACTTGAGCTACTGGCTAGGCGAGCGCAACGGAAGTCGCGTGGTGTACGGCTCGCAGCAGCGTTTCCGGAGCCCGTTGCATGAAACGGACGCTGCTCTGCGCCCAGTTTGGGCGATTCGCCTCGGCTCGGTTCCTGACGCCTTGAGAGCGCGTGAATGTACCGCAGAGGCGGTCCCAATGCCGGGTCTAGCAACCAAGAGTCGTCTGTGGACCGAGCCGCCGCAGCTGCTCGCGGAATGTCATCGCGAGCGTCTGGAACAGTTCCTGCATCTCTTGCTGCCGCCGACAACTGAGTCGAACCTGCCACTGGATGCTCAATATTTTTCATCTTTCTGGTATCGATTTTTATTTCTAGAGAAGGAGCTCCTGCGCTCTGTGGACGTTCGTCAGCCAACGGCACCTCCGGTGCATTACTCACAGCCGCTCAGCGACGGTGATCCGCGAGCTGCCTCTGAGGCCGCTGGGATCAGTGCAGCTACCTCTACCGACACTTGTTCAAGTTTTCAGCAGCCTTGGTCGCGACTTTATCCAGGTGCATGTAGTACACGAGCGCCCGGAGCTGCAAGTCGATCCCTACCCTGTGGATTCCATGACGCTGCGATGGCGTCTCTGCAGGAGCACTATGTTCCGCAGTTTCCGCTGCGCAAACTCGATGTCTACTCAGCGAGAGCGTACGGGTGTCGCTTTTTTGATGAAGGAAGACTACTCGTAACGAGTTGCCAGGATCGACGCCTCCGCTTGTACGACACCAGTGCTCTGGATGTGTTCGAGTGGTGCGGCGGTTCACCGGAGCACTCGCTTTTGGAGCGATGGGAGCGACCTCCTTCGGAGCAGGATTGTCGCGCTCGCTTGCCGGTAAGCGAGGTGATCGCTCGGGACCTTCGCTGGACCGTAACCGACGTAGACTGGTCTCGACAAGCGGACGGCACCAGTTGGCTCGCGTACGCTTCGATCACGCCACGTGTTTATCTGGTTCGGTTGGATGCAGTAGAGGCGCAGCAGGCGCTGAGTTTTGCGGCACCTGCGAATCTCGTCCTTGACCAGAGCAGCAGCGAAACCGGTGCAGCAGCCGGCTGGACTAACTTGCTTGATGCAGAGAACTCCTACGGCCTTGGGATATGGAGTGTTCGTTTTCGACCTGATGGATCGGAACTGGTGGCGGGTGCCAGCCACACGGGTCATGTTTTCGGTGATCTCGTCGTTTATCGCCTGGAGCGGCAAGCGCCGGTGGCATCACTGCGAGCTCACCAGGATGACGTGAACAGCGTGGCGGTAGCGGGGGCAAACCTCATCCTCAGTGCTGCGGATGACGCCTATATTCACGTATGGGATCGTCGAGACCTTCGCCGGCCTTGCGGCTCCTTTGTGGGCCACACCGAGGGTATCACACACGTGTCGTGGCGTGGAGAAGAGGTCGCTCCGCAACTCCGATGCGCAACGGACCTGCTTGACCAGCGCTATGTGGTGAGCATCGGCAAAGACCAGCGATGCAAGCTATGGGATATTCGTTTGCTGCGAGAAGCGAGTCAGGTCGAGCGGCCGCGTCCAACGCATTACGACTACCGTTGGAACGATATGGTGAATCCGCCACTCGATAATCGAAGAACCCTTCGCGGGGATAACTCGCTTTACACATTCATTGGTATGCGGGTTTTGAGTACCCTGATTCGAGCCTACTTTTCGCCTCTGTCTACAACGAGTGGGCGATACATTTACACCGGAAGCCAAGATGGGCGCATTTGTCTCTTTGATACGGTGAGCGGCATGCCGCTCACGGCACTGCGTGGACACGAAGCCGCAGTTCGAGAAATGAGTTGGAGTCCGCGCCTGCCCGGAGTACTTGTCAGCGCTGGTTGGGATGGTCAGGCGCTCATCTGGCGACCGGCTGGTGTTGAAGATCACTGAAATGCACTCGAGTGGCGAAGCATGTTGCTGGCATGCGTTTGCCTCGATATCCGTGGTGCAAGACGGTCAAGCTCATGGGAAACGTTTCCGCGCTATGGACAGCTTCTAGTTCGAGGAGAAGCACAGGCAGCTGGGAGCGGCTTACCTGCAACGCGTGCAGCCTTGGGTCGCTGCGACCCCTCGAATGCGTTTCTCGGTCGGTGATCGTGAAGCGCAGCGACACGACTTGCATTCGTTTGCTTCATGTTCTAGTGTATATAAATTTCCAGATGCGGTACGTGTCATCTACGGAGGCTTTCTTCGTTGCCGAGCGCGAGCATTCCCTGGATACGCCCAAGCTGCCGGCAACGGCGAGACTGTCCGAGGAGGCGTAGATGGTGTCACCAGCGATCAACGCTTCCCGTCGGCAGTTTGGTCTGCCCAGCGAACGCTCTGGGCACGAGGCCTCCCACAGGTGTGTGCTGCGACATTGGATGCACAGCGACCGCTGCTGTCAAAGTCGCCCTCCGAAGACATACCGCCATTACAATGCCTCGAAGCCGGTGCGAACCGGCTAGCGGCGCAAACGTTGGTGCTTCCCAATATGCGGTGCCGCCTGCAGGAACGCAGCAGGATCCTGAAGGATCGACTGGTGAGAAATATCGGTTAGGTTGAGTTCCTGCACGATCGATCGGGCGATATCGCGTACCAGGGGCATGATTTTCTTGCACGTCCCGCTGGTACCTCGGTGTATGCGCTGCAACTGTCCGACACTGACATGCAGACCGGAATTGTAGGCGCTATGTTGCGTAGAGTCTCCTCCAAAGTTTGCATCCACTGCACGGGCTTTGTTTGATATCGCATCAGATGACATCATAAAGGATATGCGCCAGTGAAGGCCAAGAGCGCTGAGCGGTGCCGCAGTTCATCAGGGCGCGAGGTGTGTCGACGCAAGCGCCTGCAGCTCGGTGCCCGCTGGAGATTCATTTGGAAGCATTTGCTCGTTTGTTCAATTGACTCCGCATTTTCGGATCCCGAAGACACGACTGACGTGCGAACTCCGTGGACCGCTTCGGGCTGTTGGCGTCGTAACACTGCTCGGCCATGGCAACCGTGCAAGGCACCCGCCTGCATGGCTGTGCACATCGACCTCATGGTGTATGCAGAGCGACGGACAACGTGCTCGTTCACTTATCCGCAAGAAGCTGGCGAATGCTCCCTCAAGTAGCGTAAAATAAGGCGCAACCACTCGTATCGTCGGGGAATGCGGCGACTTTTGAACCTGAATGCGCACCAGCAGGCATCACAATGAAACGCCCGCGTTTCACGACGCGACCCCTTCCAGTGATGCAGTGGAAACCGTGCGGGAGCTGGCCTGGGCTTTGAAGTACTCAAAAGCCGTCATGGTTATGGCGGTGTTCGGTACGATCCATAGAACTCGCGGACCCAGACCTCGGAGCAGCGCTTGGTAACCCTGTTCTCGAACGAGTGCGCTCGCCATTCGCCAGAGACTGAGGCGTTCTCCTGCGGCCAACCGCGTCGTCTGCAACCGGGTCTTCAGGACGTCGAGCGGTGTGGTACAGGCAGCGGCGACTGCTCCGCTCGCCGCAGCGCTCGCAAGGATGCTCCACGATGGCAGTGACTCGGATTTCGTGAGAAATCGCGACCACCACCGCTTTAGCCGTTCATAGGTTACAAAGTAAAGCATCGCGTATGGGCCGAACACACCGATGGTGAGCAGGTACCCGCGAAAAAGGGCACGTGCACCTTCCTCTGTCCAGAGACGGCGCGCTAATGTTCGTAAAGTCGCATCCGCATCACAAGTCGCTACTTGAGCGCGTTGTTTCATCACTTCCATTGGTGTCCAGAAAACAGCGCTCACAGTCTCTGCCGCCAGCCCCGAGCAGAGGTGATTCCAGGGGCTGCTGGCGGATAGATCTATGAGCGGTCGTCGATGCGGCGATGTGCGACTCGCTGCCTCGAACTCGGCAAGTGCGAACTTGGTTTTTTCGTATACTGTAAGGTAAGTTGCCACTGCTGGTGCCTGCACCAGCACGCTAATTGTGTAGCCGCGGTAGAGCGAACGAACAAAAGCCCCAAAGCGGCCCAGGCGACGGTGGTACCGGGCACACGACTCGGTGCCCGCTCGCTGCAACGTCTCCCAGATCGAGAGCGGCTTACTGGAGACCATCACGCGCGCCCGAATGGTATCCAGAGGTTGCACAGCGGTTCGCGCCAGAACGCCAGCTACGGCTGACCAACTGCACAGGTCGGTAATAGCCGGTTCGTGCGCTGTCGAGGGCGGCGACATCCTCGCTGCTGAGGAATCGGGTAACGTCACCGGTTCCCCAGACGCTGACATGGCCAGTCCCTGTGCTTCGGCTTGCCGTTTGGAAGCGAGGTAATCATCCAGGCGTATTTGCCCAGAGCAGCGAGCGCGTCCTCGCTCTGGCAGTACACGCGCTTGAGGTACACGGGTGAAAGCGCGCACGGTCGAGGTTTTCGTTTTGGGGTGCGGTAACGCCACGAACCACCGCCGCAAGCAGCCACACACTGTCGCTTAGTCGCGAGGGCTGGTCAGTGGAACCATACAGGTATCTAGATCAAACCACCGACAAATCCCTCGAGTCTTCTCACGTAGCCTCTGTACCTCGCACAGCGCTTTCGATAGCAGCACAGCGGGGCATGCTTGCTTCCCCACGGTCCAGATTCGGGAGTGGGTACACGCCCTCGGCTGGCGTGCGCGTGCCGTGCATCCCCATGCGGCGACCGATACCCTGCTGTCCTTCTTGTACTAAAGTGTATCGTTTAATACAGATCCGATGAGCTGCATTTCCCTGGCGATGCAGCAGCGGGCGCTCGCGGAGACGCGGGAACCCTGCGACACTGGGCGACGAGGGCGCTGCTTGGAATGACGGAAGCGAGCTCAGCTTCCTTATAGATCACTTTGGGTTCGACCAGCTCGGAAAAGGCTTGTTATCAGAGGGATCGAAACTTGATGAATCCAAAGAGCTCCTGAGTGCTGACCCCGTTCGCGCCAGCGGACGTGCATGCGTGTCAGCATGCATTGGAATCGGTCGACGTACCTCACACGGACGTACACGCTACGGTTTGCGTCTCTTTCCGTTGTCTGTAACACGAGAGTCTCTGGGATATTTTTGTGACTCCTTTATTTGCCTATCTTATTGTCGACTTTCAATGTGAAGATCTCTTCTTTCCCTGAAGCTCCGTTGTCCATCGGCGAATGATATTGATAGCAGTGTTCAAGTTGCGACTTGCTGCGTTCTGCAGTTGGCGACGCATTAGCTGCACAGACCAAAGATGCGATCTAGGCTTCGCTTGCCATGTTCACCTTCGTGGTATACAGGCTCGGTGCGCACCCTTCGCACCGGTGACTCATGACTGTGATCAGATGGTCTCGGACGACCACAAAAACTCGTGACGCTCCAGAGGCTGTAGGGCGGCGTGAGAACGCGTGCTTCATCGCTCGGTCCGTGCCCTTGACGGTTGAAGAAGGCTCCACGCGATAGTGTCCTCCTCTTCTGCGCACACTACCGCACTCTGTGATCAGGGGTTTCTTCTGAGAGATCCCTCTGGCGAGTACGCTGTCGCTGCATGCGCAAGCGCGTGCAGTTTTCCGAACAAAACAGCACGGATGGGACGCGATGTTGTCGGTGATGATGCGCATTCGGGAAGGGAAATCCAGGTTGGAGATGATATCGAGATATTTCGAAACGTTTACGCCCTGTTCGTGCAACGCGATGACGCAGGTCCGGACCCGGGATCCACTCTCATGGGAACAGGCAAGATGAGTGCATCAGGGAGCACGGATCCTCTGACTGGTATCATGCTACCATGGAAATCCGTTTTGTCGATGGCCTTGCAGAGAGGCGGATATGCCCTCCGAATGGCGCGACTCAATTGACGAGAGACGTTCAATGAACTTGAGGCGTGAACTTGTGATCAGGTCTTCAAAGGACTACGTCGAGTTCTCTTCTTCGTCAATCTCGCGGGACGCTTCGTTGCGTCTGGGTGTTGCCATGAAGCAGAACGATCGAAAAATTGAAGTGTGCGTCACTTGCGCATGCTGCAGGTAACGCTATGGGAAGAGCGGAGCCTTGTACCTTTCATTCGGATGAGGGCGCCGGGTATTTTACGGGAACCCTGTTGGAAGGCGTCAGGAATCATACGCCGATTCGGGTGCCATCACGAATGCCAGCGGCACAGAACCAAATGATCCACTTCGAAAAGACGACTGAGCCCTCTAAAACACGTATGAATCCTTCATCATTTATGACTGCACTTGGAATGTCGAAGATGTACCTCTAAAACGATTCCGAAACATCGAAAGGCATGAGCAGCTTGAGCAGATCGGTGTTCCAGTGTATCGTCTGACACGGGTATTGCACATGCATCATGAACGCAAGCGAGTACGTGGGCGAGTGCAGCTATGTTCGTGTTCTGCGCGACTTTGAGACTCGTATTTGTGCCACCGCAAGGTTGTCGCACTGGTCGGGGCTCACCCTCGAGTCCAAGTCCCTGTGCAGTGGTGATGATCGCGACGCGACGTGTTCATGAATCGACCTTCACGACACAATGCTGCTGCAACCGAGAACAGTGATCCTCGCACGCGTTGCGTACATTGCGTGTTTACTACAGACAGCTTGGCTACGACGCTCGACTTGCTAACGCATCATCTTTTTTCATGATGCTATGTTCGCGAAGATTGTGTTTCGAAACAGTCCCTTGTGTAGCACTGCGGCTCGCAAGTCGCCCGCTTCTGACGCTTGGGTCGGTTTTGAGCAGCGAGCTCAAAACGGAAACGCCATTCGATGCTTACGGAATCCGGACGATGTGTCTCACACCTACCAATGGAGCAGACAAATATCAGACACATCCAATGCAGCGAATGAACACTAGTTACTTCCACAAGGCACGTTGCACAAGCAAGACTACTTGGGCTGGGAATTTCCAACCCATGTGACCCAAGCCCGAAATACGTCAGCGCTCGATAGCACCGTTGCAGCGACCAGCTTCGTAGGGAGAACGCTGCACCACCGGCTGCTTCAGACAACGTACCCTGCCGATGAGGCAGGGTTCGATACCCGCTACCTATGCCGGCAGCACCACTGGCGCCACCACTACCGCGTTGCTCATGCTGCGCGTGCCCAGCGCGGTGTTCTCTCTGGATGGCGTCGGAGGCAGCGACAGCGTACCCAAATGACGTCTACATCAGGTCTGCGTCCTGCGCATATTGTTCGCGTGCGCTCTGGTTAGCTTCAGCGGTACCTGGTAAGCAGTGCTTGTCTCCGCAGCACCAGTTCCGGCGAGGACAAGAGCAGCGGTCCATAGCGCCTGCCAGAGGCAGTAGGCCTTGGCGCATCGCAACCGGCTCATGGAACGTCCAATGGCAACTGCGCACGTACCCAAAAACACATCCACAAACACAGACATACATAGCGCGTCGATTTACAGTGCGCTTGTGTTCAGCGAGGAAATATAATCCTTCAAGCCGACTAGACCACTAGTATGACGCAGTTTTCGAAACGCAGCATTCTCTATCGCTCTAACCTCTTCACGCGGTAAACGCACCAGCGCACCTACTTCATCAATTGTCTTGGCAATGCCCGAGTCCAGACCGTATCGCAAACGCACAACCCTCATTTCCACATGATTCAGCAACTGGAGGGAACGCTCGAGATCTTCACGAAGCATGCTCAGCTCAATTTGCTCCTCAGGCGAAGCGCTTTCATGCACGATCGAATCCGCAAGGGTTGTGCGGTCTCGTTCCGAGCCAGACTGGTTGTTCCCAAACCGAACCGAGGATTCCAGCGAGATGGTCTGCACTGCAAGCGAACGCAATTCACGCAAGCGCTTCCGGGATATTCCCAACCGTTCACAGATATCCGCTTCGGTTGGTTCGCAGCCCCGTTCGATGCTCAGGTCGCGCGCGGCTTTGCGAACGGCGAGTATGCGATCATGCATATGAACAGGAAGCCGAACGATACGACCTTGGTCCGCAAGCGCGCGCATGACGCTCTGTTTCACCCACCAGGTCGCGTAGGTGCTGAAACGACATCCGCGTCGGTCGTCGAACTTTTCTGCCGCCCGAATGAGGCCGAGCGAGCCCTCCTGGATGAGATCCTCCAGGGGCAGACCTTTGCGCATGTATCGCTTGGCAATGGACACCACGAGTCGGAGGTTCGCTGCTACCATACGGTCCTTCGCTCGCCGTGCTTCGGCAAGGTTCCTGCGAAAGCGCTCTGGGTCGACACCGAGATGCTCTGCGAGTTCATCATCCGTTGGTGCTCGATCCAGTGCCCCGTGGAGCTCGATTCGCTTGCGCTCCCAATGCAAAAGCCGTGAAATCTGACGTGAAAGCGATACTTCCTCCTCAGGGGTGAGCATATCCACACGTCCGATCATGCGCAAGTACCAGCGCAGGGTACTGCTCTCGCTGGAACGCGCACGAGGGGTTTCGGGATATGTCTCCCACGCCAGCGGCTCATTGTCGGAAGGATCATCTTCACTGTAGTCGAGTTCCCGAATGCTCGGTCCGTCATCATCCGCTGCACGTTCGCTGTCCTGGATGCGTTCCCACCGGGCATTCACTACGGCGGATGGATTCGTAGAGAGGGATCGACGTGATCCTTGTGGCAACTTGTGAACTGCATCATTCAGAGATGTTGGGCTGAGTCGTTGGTCGGCATTGGACAACTGACGTTGCCGAGCTGGCCGGACACTCTTACTTGAACGTGTTTTCGCGCTCGGAGAGGTAGTTTCACGCATATGAGCTTGCCCAGGCCCGCCAGGGTGCTTCGCCTCCCAGTTTGGTACCGGCAGGCGATTATCCACGGAAACGAAAGTTTCCTCCAAAGGGGTTTGGAGCGGCGAATCAGGTACTGCCGACGTAGACTGGCCAACACGAAGCGTTGCAGCTCTCGCCTGACGACGACGCGAGCTGCCGGTTCGCTCGGGCGTACGCTGCGCACCGGAACTCGCATCCGGAGTCGTACCGCTGTCCACTGACTTGGGCACATGTTCACGCTGCTCGTCGCGTGCCACGGGACCTAGCGGTGCTGGGGCACAAACACTGTTCGCCTCCGGCTCAAGTTTTCTAGCTCCATCAACAAAACCATGCTTTTCGAGAGCGTACTCAGCGCCTAGGTCTCGTGATCTGTTCGTGTTCGCGCAGCAGCGACAGCTGCGCAAGAGGCGCGGCTCGGCCACAACTAGCCTCACACCGCGACCAGGGCAAGTCTTGCCGTGCTGCAACCGCTGCCCGGCACGCGGCAGATCCAGTTGCTTTAGCGGGCGCACCCTCCATAGACCGAGCGTCGCCGTGACGAAACCTACACCGTCGCTGCTTAGCCTGCAGCAGCGCGCCTCAGCGCTCGCGGTACGTCCCTGCGTGAACATTGCCCAAGCCACGTCTGTCTCGATGCCCTCCCAAATTCAAGAAATAGGAGTCCAGCTCGAAGAACCAAGCTTCACCAAGTAGCCTTTTTGAGCAGAGCACGTCCCTGGTTCGACAAATGGGAGTACCACGAACGACAACCGCCTTTCAAAAGAAAAACGCTGTCACTGGCCGTATACAGTCGTGGCGGCGAATGCGCGTAGACAAAACGCCTCCAACTGACGCGCAGACGCTTCCGAGGCTTTCTCGACCGGCCACCCACGACTGCTTCCAATTGTTTCTAATATAGTTCCACTTTGGGATGTTGTCCAACAATGTTTTCTCATGTCTACGCTGGAGGTCTCTTCTCCAGCACCGCACATCTCCGGATATTGATTGCGGCGTTAAAGTCTCGGTTCACAAACTCCATCCGTTTCTTGCCATCGTTGGTTGTACTTACGAATGCGAGTAGCCCTCGAACTTTCGCCCTCCTTTCCATTTGCTCCTCCGTCAGCGGTCCGAACTTTTTTATATCCTCAGGGCTCCGCTGGCACTTTTCCATATCGACCCGCTGGAGTGTACACCTCAGCCCGTGGTGTGTATACGATGTTCGGAACTCATCTACAGGTATCGTAACGAAACGCCTTGCGCACTGCTTGTACGTTCTTGTCGTTGGAGCTGGCGTACACCCTTTTCGGGTCTTCCAGCGCCCTGCTCCGCGTGCTACTACGAGCCTCTGACTTTTATCCTCTTTGAAGGCGCTCATTGGAAAAATTCGCAGATGCACGCTGCCTCCCACCGTATAGATGAATACGTAGACGAGCCCAAAAGGGCTTTGTGTACTCTTTCCACAGCGCCTCACAATGAGCAACACGAATTTCCATGAATTTCAGAAACGCTTTAAAGTCCGCTCCGCGGCAAGTCACCTCGCTCAAAGCTTCCCGGTGATCCTTCATTCCATCGTTCTACGTCTCAATTTTCTTCCTTGCATTCATGATTCCCGATTCTCGATAGTATCTCGCTCTCGAGAACCTCAACAGACGCACGTCTTTCTGACGCAAGTTGCCGTCGGTATCATCTCCCCCACGCTTGGGTACAGCGACGGTTATAATATTCGTGTTCCCGGGGTCCGCGCCACCGACAAAGCAATTCTCATGCACTTTCCGCGTCGCAGGACCCGCCTCCTTCTTTTTTTCATGCTTCGTCGCGCCAACCGTAAAGTCGTTAGCTTGCACTTTCTGTGTCGCAGGATCCTTCTCCTTCTCATCTTCATGCTTCGTCAGCGGCGGAACTGGACGATCCACCTTCAACCGCCGATAGTGTACACACAGGGCTACTCCATCGGTTTCGATCAACCCAGTGAACAACTTTTGCTTGCTTATTTTGAGACGTTTGAAAACGAAGATATTCTTCCAGTGCATCTCCCTGTTCTCACCTGTGAACTCTGCCCTCCTTACATCGAACTCGGGACTGATCTCCTTCATGATGCCATGAAGGACTCTGGAGCCGGTAGTAACAAAATGTGACTTGATGGTGCACATTGGAACGACGTTGGAGCGCTTCCCCATTAGGGCCGCCTTCCGTCTCTCCCACTCTTCATTTTTTCGTCACTCAGCTTTATTTCCGCCTTGCGTTCTGGCGCTCGGTCCAGAAACGCGAAATAGCACAGAATGAGGCGATAGTATCTTTCATTATCTTTTTTCAGCTCTGATATCTTTTCTCTTGAATTCGCCAGCCCCGAGACTGCACGGTGCTCTTGTATAACAGCACGGATTACAGAAGCTTCATTCGTGCTCCTGCGTGATTTCTTCTCGTCGACGAATTCGATCTAATCTTCATGCTTGCGATCGTTCGTGATACCGTTGATAATCGCCCATATTCCTTTGCGAGACAGGCCCGGGTAAATTGCAAACACGGCGCATATCATAAAACGTTCGAGGTTCATCCTCAAATGCTTCTTCAGGTTCGTGAGGTACTTCATCGCCCCGTATGTGTAAGTATCCCGGTCACCCCTGTATCGAGTACCCTCGAAGCGGAATTCCGCGAAGTTTTCGTGGAGGACGTGCACTAGCTCATTTTCCGTCCGCGTTTCCCCTGTGCCAAGCATCAGGTGACGAATAAAGGTCTTGTCGAAAACTCGTCCGGAATCTCGACTGTTTCCGTATGCGCCACGTCTTCGTACATCTCCCTCGCCATATGCATGACTCCTAAAGAAGCCTTTATAACACTCATGGGGTACGAATCGACACGGTTCCTGATAGCGTCTCGCAACTTTTCCTTGTAGGGATCCTTGATATGTTTACGAAGACAGGCGTTTACCACCATCTCGTCGTACTTTCGTCTTTCGTACAGCATGTAAAGTCGGGTCTCCTGCCTTAGCTTCTTCGTCTTCTCCTGCTCCACTTGGCTCGGCACTCTGTTTCGCTTTCTCTGGCAGCCGGCGAGGTTGTACCACCGGTATCATCCACTTGCTTCTCCATACGTTTCCATTTTTGAAAAAGAACGCGCTTTGATCGCTTCTGCTATGTAGCGCGAAAAATCAATCGAATACACCCCCCCTGAGGATTGAAACACAATGGAACTGAGAAGCTATACTTGCGGCCACTTTCACACAAATACACCCTGTACGATAGAACAACACGCGAAAGATCAGAATCGCGTTTCCCTTCAACGGCGACATGCGCGTCATGTCTCGTGACTGCCGGATCTCCCGGGTGCGCGTATCGAGCGCACTATGTACCAACAAGAACATAGACTAACGATAAACTACCAACGATACAAAAATTCCTTTCCCCTCTACGATAAACGTTGAACGTGGGAAACCGCTTCCGTACTGTCGAAAGTTAGCCTTCTTGACGGAAGGTCCCGCGAGCCGGACGAGTCTGTCACGTTTGTGTTTCATGCTGCACTCAGTGGCAGGTACTTCAGTGGCAGGTACTTCAGTGAAATCTGAGCCACTCGTCCGCAACGCAGTTTCCTCTGAGACTAGGGGCAGTTAAGCTGTGTCTGGGCGTCGCCCATGTTGCAACTATCTCCGAGCATATCGCTTGGCGCTGCTGCAGGCAGTAGGGCTGTCTGCCCAGTTTTCAGGCTCCCAGAATGACAATTAGCTCTGATTCCGTGTCAGGTGTAGTATTCGTCGGGCCGACACCATCGGGAGTATGGCAAAGCCGTTCTGGCTACGTGCAGCATCTGCTCCAGCGGTGTAGGCGCTGCAGCGGGTGCTCAGCGCAGGCACTCGGCACACGGTAGAACGTTCGAAACGATCAGTATACCCGAGATGAAGAGTAAGTAATGGAACTTGAAGGTAGGATGCATGATGATGGGCGCTTCCCCGAAAGCCATTATCTATGCCGCAATCTGAGATCCATGGTTCATGTAAACGTTTTGATATCGAAAAAAAAATCGCTACCGCCATTGTCATCCCCGCGGATCCATCAACTGGTGATCGCCTCGTCCATGATCTGTTTCATTGCACAGGTCGCTCGATGGACAAGCGTTCCTCAACTGCGCGCTTGAGATGAGCGATCGGGAAAGCATCCATCGATCTAGGTCCTGCCTCCAAGTTCCGTGGTGCATACGTCTCCTCCGAGTGTACTCGTTATCTCTTATGTTCTGTGGTATGCGTCGAGGCTGTTGTGAGCGTTTGCGATAGCGCGTGTAGCGTCGATGCGCACGCAGCCCCGAGGTCATGTCCACGAAGCGGTTTGTGTGCACGGCCGCCGATGTATTGCTAGTGAAACATGTCGATACAGTGGATCGGGAGTGCTCTGGATGCACTGGTGCTGTCGGCAGCTGGGGAATGGACACTTGTTTCTTCTCGGATATGGCAGCGTCGTGATGCCTGCAGACCAATTTCCTAGACGAGAATCGGGATTCATAGCATAGACGCTTGAACGCTGCGCCCTATCAAACCGCTGGTAGCGGAGCCTGTGGCAGCGCGCAACCCTATACGCCCGCTCGTGCCGCGGAGCATGGCGCAGGCTTCATGGTATTCGCGCATGCGTTCAAAAAAGGGTCCCGGAGTGCATCGCTGCCCGTTCCACTGAGGTCGCAGGCTCACCGATACCGCCTCATCGATCCTGGGGCCGTTCATATCAGTGGATGGAGGTGCTGCGTGATGAAACTACGCAGAGAGGTTTTACCTGGATTCAGACTGCAGCAGGAAGCACGCCTTCGTTCAGTCTCGAGAGTGCTTGCCTCAGCAGCAGCGCAGTGTCATTTGCCATGAAAACCTACGCAGGTGTCCCAGCGGTCCAGCGTCGCGAGAGGCTACGGATAGCAGCTCCCCCCGGATCGATGCAGATGCAATTGCGGCTAGGCGAAACCGATATCTGTGCCCGGCACGAATCGTGAATGTGGATACGTATACGGATGCATCCATAAGTGCGTCCATCGCTCGCCAAGGTCGATGCAGCGTCCGTTATTGCGCAAAAAACGACGATTCCGTGGACCTTCAGCGAAAAGGCGAGCTGCGCTCCACATTCCATCTCCCCTGTGCTGCAGGCTCCTGTTCGGCGCAACGCATCTATAGACACGATGCAGCGCTCGTGGTAGCCTGTGGCGAAAATTCGATCGAGTTGTCTCTCAGAGACCACATGAATGGCCACTAGATGAACGCCAGGGGGTGCCTCGGGGCTCGCGCTCGCGACCCCGAATCCCTTTGGATCACGATTTGAAGCGCCGCTCAAAAGCCTGCAACGTGTTCAAGAGCAGCATCGCAATCGTCATCGGTCCGACACCGCCAGGTACCGGTGTGATCAGGGCAGCGCGCTCTTTCGCGGTATCGAACTCGACGTCTCCGACGAGACGATAGCCGCGGGGCGCAGACTCATCTGGTACTGAATTGATACCCACGTCAATGACAACCGCCCCGGGCTTAATCCAGCTACCCTTGACAAAGTTCGCGCGGCCAATCGCTGCCACGACGATATCCGCCCGTCCGACCTGCTCTGCAATGTCCGCCGTCCGGCTGTGACAGACGGTAACCGTGGCATTCCGCTGCAGCAACAGGAGCGCCATCGGTAAACCGACGACATTGCTTCGGCCGAGCACAACGGCATGCTTGCCCTCTATCTTCACACTGGCCCGGTCGAGTAGTTCCAGGCAGCCGCGCGGCGTGCACGCGATCGCCAGCGGTGGATACAGCGGACTCTTCAAACACAGACGCCCGATGTTCAACGGATGGAAGCCATCCACATCCTTCTCCAGAGATATCTCTTGCAGAACACGCTCACTTTTGATATGCTCTGGTAACGGCAGCTGAATTAGAATGCCGTCTATACTGTCATCCGCGTTCAGCCGACGAACCAAGGAAGTGAGCTCCTCTTCTGAGACGCTCTCCTCCAGCGCAAATAACAGCGAGTGAATCCCAACCTCCTCACAGGCTTTTCGTTTGTTCCGCACGTAGGTCTGAGAGTCCGTTCTTGAACCAACAATAATAACGGCAAGGCCGGGAACCCTACCGTATTGGTTGCTCAGTTCCCGTACCCTGCCTCCTATTTCGTTCTTTACCTGGTTCGCTATCGCTTTCCCGTCCAGTAGTCGCGACGCTGCGCTATGGTTCTGCATAGCAACTGGTGGACCCAAAGACTGTACCGGGTGTTTCAACGTCCCTGTGTCTGAGAAACTTCCCAACTGGAGGCGAAGCGCAACCCGCTGCTCTGCAGGAAGCCTCGCGTGCTCTGCTGCTGCTGCTGCGAAGCGATAGCGTCGACGCCGCGAGCACTGTGCCGAGGCCACCCGCGACCCCGGTGTGCGCTGCCGTCCACTGCAGCGTTGCCCAAACCAGGAGCCTTGTGGGGTGAAGCCCGGTGCCAGGTACCGTGTTCCACTAGGACTATGTTGAAGGACAACGGGTGCAGTTGTGCGTAAGCCTACACGAGGGGCGTTTCCCATGAAAACGCTCGGACTCTAGAGGCGTCTCTCTCGATCGGCCTCTGCCGACCTCTCTGGTACACTGGAGGGCATCCCGTCGGCGGGGCAGGCGCGCCGGTCTCTAGACGCCAATGCGCCGACATGTCGAGATGCGCGCTGCTGGCGATGCCGCTAGGGCGACATTCCAGCACACTGAAGGCTTCTGCTAGCTGTTTGTTCACTTTATGGACAGTTAGATCGACTTCTTGGCATATCGAAAGCGCTATATAATACGTACGGAGGCGAATAGACTGTGTGGAGTATGGTATATTTCGAACATGCGTTGATGTGCGGGAAAACTGCAGTACTCGGTGAGCGCAGGTTGCAGGCGTTTGTTTTCAGTGCAGCGGCGGGGCGCCTCGCTGCTGGGGGCCACGTGCCACGTTGCCGGGGACGTCCTTCACGAGGGATGCAACGCTTCTATCAGCGAGCGACGAAAGGGGCTCTTGGGTTTCGTGAACCTGTGCGGAGCGAGCTGGCACTCGATGGTGGTGGTGGTGGCGGCCAATCACTAGAGGCCCTCGGAACGTTGCCGACTGATGCCGAGTCTCAGCAGTACCTCGCGGACATCGAACGGTTACGGGCTCTTGATCCCGAGACCTGCCCTACCTGCAAAAACGCAGGTATGATTCAGTGCCCGGCCTGCAATGGTTCGGGTTTGCGGCCGGCGAAGCCGGATGAGGTGTATCGTTTCTTCTGCGAGACGTGCCTGGGAAAGAAGCTGGTGCGCTGTCCCGACTGTCCAGGGCGGTGCCTCAGCTGCGGTTGATTCTATGGGAAATGACAACGCGCGTGGTGCAGGCTGCATAAGTTTTGTCTGGTGGGTGCACGCGCTGCTCTGTGCTGGGTTCCAGAGGAACCCTCATGATAACTGAGGCGCGTTCTTGTCCGCGGCCTCTGCGTGACAACGCGAAGCGCTTCCACCCGCCCGAAAGAGGCAGCACCAGAGGCGAGGCATTCGCGGCGCTAATTTTCCCTCTATGGCAGGGACACGAGGAGCTTTCACATGAACGCAATGAAATGTCGCACGATGAAACATGCAGCGTCGCTCGACCTGTGTCCGGTATGTTGCAAGAGTTCCGTGAAGCGAACGCGCACGGAGCGCTAGCCGCATTACCCAATGTACGAAAGTGCGCTGGTTCAGCGTGAAGAGCAGCTTTTGGTGTGAGCCCACCTATACTGTCTACGCAGCTGCTGGGCAACACTGGGCAACCCTGACACCGCGAGTCCGTGCTGACTACCACGTACAGAGCAAGACTGTAGCATCGATCCGTCGACAATGCGATATTCCATACACTACAGGGCGCTGCGTTCATACCTGCGCGCACGAACGCGTTGGCAGCCACGTCGGTGGATGTGCTCGGATCGACCGGTTTGCGCAGTTGATATCGTTTACGCTTCCTGTTCTTTTTGACCGATCACCCGTTGCAAAGTAGCACACATTTCCCCAAAACGTATGCGATCCTCGCGATGCGCGAACCGTAGACACCATACCTGAGCTCGTCGTTGCGCGTTTGGCGCTGGCGCATCAGTGACTGTGCCGGACGCAGTACCTGATGGGGCTGTGCTCGCAGTTGCATCGGCAGCCTCCTCACTTGCGTTTTGCGTTGCAACAAAACGCACCATCGCTTCTCCGGCCTCGTCGAGCCGCGGGGTCTCCCGCGTAATCGGAACGTTCAGGATGACCCGCAACGTTCCGTCAACGCGCATCACCATCCTAGCAGTTTGTTTAGATGGATGGTACAAAAGTCGGAGGAGGCCGCGTCCTCGCTCCCGCCACTGCTTATCGACGAGCTCAAAGAGTTTTGCTCGCGTTTGGAGACGCATCTCTTCTTCAGATTCGTTGTTGAAAATATCTGGAACCGTTGATGGCATCGCCTCCGATACGTTGGCGTCGTCGTCATTATCACCACCACCACCACCACCACCATCATCGTCGTCGTCGTCGTCATGAGCTGTTTCGTGGGCGCTCTTATGATCGCCTTCGGATGCCTCTACATACGCGTCATGCTCTCCGCAATGCCTACCATCTGTGGATTCTAGAGCCCGGCCAGGAACTTTGACTCTTGAGGGCGTTCCCTTCGAGGCCGCTCCACCAGCTAGTTCCGGGAAGAGCGGCGTGCTACCCGGTAGTGCGGATGCATTGTTTTGCAGAGCAGGCGTTGTCGCATCCTGAAAACGGAAACTCGCCAGTCCCGTCATTTTTTCACTGTGTGATGTTGACAAGTTTCCAAACGTAAAGCCAGCAAACACCTTCGCGGCGCCAGACAGAGGTTGATTTTTCTCGGCATCATGTTTTGGGACGTCGTCGGCCTGCTTCTCCTTGTTCGAGCGCTGTCCAGCCTCGGAGTCGCCTGCGCTTGAGGGAGCATCAGCTGTGAGCGCAGCCGCCTTCGACGCGACAGCACCTGAGCTGATGGTCTCCGAGTTCGCTGCGCTGCCTGTCTCGGTGGATCCAACTCCAGCAGAAACCGACCGTGCCCTCTTCTCTGCTGTTTGAGCAGGCACTGCCTGCGGTGCGGCCTTGGGCACTGCAGCGGACACGTTATCTGGTGGAAGCGGAGATGCTGTCCCAGCGGCTCGCTTCTCGACAGCGTCACCGGATGCAGGATGCTTAGGCGCAGCACCATCCTCACCGGAGGAGTTGTGCACGAGCGCTGCTTCCGAGCCTAGAGGCCGCGCTGTCGACGCTACTTGCTCGCCGGGAGCACCACCAGATAGACGATTTGCTTCTTGCGTCGATACTGGAGCCGCTGTCAAAGTCGACTCCCGAGTGGAAGCGGGCGATTTCTCCACGGAACGAGCAGCCTCGCTGGACGCCTGTGCGACGGGCAGTTTCCGCGTTGTGCTTTCGCTGCTGAGGCCTTGGGTAGCGGGCCCCGCGGAGTTCCGCCCCGCGTTCTGTTCAGAGCTGGGTAGCGCCTGTGCTCCAGTGCGGCGAACGCGAACGATGCGACGTCCTGCCAGGGTCGGTGCTGCGTTCCACTGGGTCGAGTTGGTGCCTCCCGCCGGTCTAGTGTCGGCAGATCTGCATTGCTCCTCGGAATCATCATCAGCCAGAGCGCTGTCCTTATTCAGTTGCGTGTCCGCTAAGCGTTTTCGCGAAGCCATACCTTGAAGCTGCTGTGCGCTGTTGGCTCAGGAACGTGGTGCCGGGCAAGGCTCCCTGAAGAACGCGCGAACGTTGGCGCTCACCGGGGCTTGAACTTTTCCGGTGACGACTCTGTGCGCTACGACCACCGGCTCCAGAACAGGGTGGAGCAGCGGAGCCCCTCAGTTCAGTGCAGTTCAATATATTGCAGTGCAGCAGGCAGCAAAGATTTTGGCGTCGAAGCGTCGCTTCCGCGGCGTCCGTCGTGCTGCAACAAGTATATCGCGTTCGCGCGGGCCGTTCTCGCCTTTGATAGCAACAGAGAATAGAGGTTTTGTCTGGATTCTCAATGTTTTTCGTGAATGCGCTTTTAGAGACAAGGATCGTCGAGGAGGACGCCTTTCTCGGCTGTGAGCCCAGCTCTTTGAATCGACATACACACCGATATCAGGCGTTTGGTACGGCTGTGTCGAGTTTGCCCCTGATCATGCATCGATCCTAGTCCAGTATAGACCATTTCATCACCAAAAGTTGGACGGGTACTCCAGTTTCCAGGTCAAACTCGTCAATGGGTGTTCCTCGCGGGCGTACCGGCACGAGGGTGTTTCCGGTGGCAAGCCAATATCTAGTGCGGACGAGAAAGACGCTGTCTGGGCTTCCGGAAACCCACTATGCTCATCAGCACATGGGCTTTCTGCATATTCCCACATCCATAAACGAAAAATGCGTCATATAGTGACTTGTAGGTTTACCCATGCGGACACTGTTCGGCGTGTGCTGTGTATATTCGTAGCGCACGTACGGTACCAAGGAAGATTCCCAGAGCGAAACCATCCGTACAGTCCAACAGTGTGCACCCGTGACCTCTGTAGGCCAATACGTGCACAGAAAGCGGCGGAGTCTGCTGTTCTTTTTCCTCTTCCAACGAACGTCAAGGAAAAATGAACAGACGCTCCGTCCGGCGCAACGTACCAGCCGCCACACCCTGAGCATGTCTTCGAGTCTGGATGGTTCGTTCAAGAGACCTCCGAAAACGCGAATCCAGCGCGTACCGACTCACTGCTCGTAAAATACTTGCTTCGAGTTGTTGGCAAGGACAGGTGCCGCTATCCAGCGGTAAGCAGCGAAGCCCGCAGCCACTCTCGTGGTTGCGGGCGTGCTGCACGCTCAAAGCGGTGTTTCTCTCGCCGTCTCTGTTAATCTGCGGTCGACTCTCGATCCCGAACTTCCTAGAATAGGGTCTCCAGGCGTTCCCCTTGCGACCGCGAATGTCGTCCGAGTTACGCACTCACAGCGCTTGGCCGTCTGCGCCACTGCGTCGCTGTCTCTGGCGAAGCTCACGTCTATCGTGCATTCCTCGAGCAGTTCAAGCGCTGAATCCAGCTGGGCTCCGCTCCTGTCGCGTAGTCCCAGCCGCAGCAACCAAAAGCGGCTGCTTCGACGACGTCCGCACCCTGGCTAGACGTGAAGCGAGTCCCTGTGTGCGAAGCGCGCAGGGCGCTCGTGCACGCGCAGGGGAACGAGCTCGGCTCCTCCGCAGACGCGTCCACGTTCCATCAAAGCCAGTAAGGCATGCCCCTGGGTTAGCAAAAAGACTTCGTCGGTCCAGCAGCATTGCTCCAGCTGCGGAGCCTGATTCAGACGCCCAACGAACAAGGCTCTAGTGCATCGTGTCCACCGAAGTGTCCACTCGACGCAGGTACGCTCGCATCGAACAGACACCTTCACCACAACCTTTTTATGGTGGAGGCTCAATTCCATCAAATGGAGGAATTTTGCATACGCTAATGTTATTGGCGTCAAAGCAAGCATCTATCAAGATGAACCAGATCCTCCGTGCTCCGTCAACTGCCACCGGCCAGACCTCACGCTGGAGTTCACGCTACCTTGAAAGGATCCTCTGGGTGCCGAACCTGCCGTTTGAACATATGGCGACAGACGTAGCGTCGCTACGGACGCTTTACAGACACCAAATGTCACAGACGTGTCCTGAAACACGTCTACCCGTGGTACTGGTACCCATTGTGCCCCAACATCGCGTCCAAAAGCTCAACTCCGGTACCAGTACCGGTAACAAGCTGCGGGAGATGATCTCGAGGCGCAGCTGCCCGCGCCTTTGTTCGCATCTGAAGAAACGCAGACGTACGACCGCGGCTACACGCGGACGCTTAGCGTGTCGTTGCAACCGCTAGAGGTTCCCCCGAACACACCGACATAAACTTAAAGAATGGAGGAGGCAGTAGCGACTCAGCGTCGCGGTGTCAAGCGAGAACGGACGGTGCGACGGCAGCGTGTGCTGCGCTTGGCGGTGCCGACGCGTCTGCTTCCCACGCTCAAACGAAGCGTTATAGAACAGCTTCATTCTCAGAACGGGAGTATGAAGTACGACGGCAATAAAATCGAGGATCTCATCTTGCGTGCACTATGTGACTTTGCAACGTTTGCGGGGATACCGCCCGCGCACCGGCTGGCGGCTCTCGAACGAGCGCTCCCGCGTCACATTGCCCAGAGCCCCCGGTACCGCAGCTCCTTTTGCGCTGCCTGGCACTTTTCAGCATCTACTGGTGCTCAAGACGAAAATGATCAAGATGGCACTCTATCGAGTGAGCTTGCCGCTCTTCGAGCACTGATTCTAGAAACCCTTTCGGAACGCGAAGAGCAGCAGCGGTCTCAACGATCAGCATCCAGTGATTGCTCGAAGGCAATCCCCGAAACGCCTCCGTATGCTACCTCAGCGTGCGATGTCGCGTCAACGCAAGCAACTGTCGAAACGTTGCGACAGTCAGGTTGTCGAATCACACGCAGTGTCCAGGCATGGCTGACGACTGCGGCAACCACAACAGCACAGCAGGGCCCTGCAACCGATGCAGCACCGAGTCGCATGCAACCAGTAGCACTGAACGCGCACACGACAACCTCAGACACAGGGCAATGCTGCGGAACTGTGCAGCAGCTCCACCATCAACGTCAAGGCACAGCGCGTATTCGAACGCGCTGTGGCAGCTCGTCAGCCATTCCGACGAGGGTGCCACTGAGTCTCGCTCCGATGCTCTTACGTTTCCTCGAATTGCAGCTGCCTGAGGCAGTGGAATATCACCTCCAGGACCTCCTCCTAACTGAATTACTCCGAATTGACCGAGTGCAATATGTGTACCTGCCGGGGCGAGGCCTCGATACGAGCCGTGGGAGCATACGCGCTTCGTCGCACGCAGCGGGTACAGAGCGGCAGGCATCGTCGTCGTGTACGCGTCGAGCCGCGCCCCAGACCCGCACCGATACCGAGTGTCCGTACGAGCGGGTGCGCTCAGCTCGTATCACGGAGCATCGAGCGCTACTTGCCGCACTGGGACTCGGTCGATCTGTGGCGGGTACAGTTACGCCGACGTCGAAGAAGCGCGAGGAGGCGACATCGATGATCCAGTGCAAGGAGATGCGGCACGAGCGCTTATTGCCACGCAATGCAGACACCATGTCTAGGAAGCAGAGCTCGCCGCTGACGTTTGCCGAATATGTGCGAAGAGCAGACCCAGCAACGAGTGCTTGGATGGGTGCGCTCGACCCGCTCTGGATACAGGCTGCGGAGCAGGTTGTTGCGGCGTGTCTGGTACGTGCACGCGACCCGAACGCTTGCTCCGAGGGCGCAGCGCCCGCCTGGAGCACAGCGTACATGCAGCGCTCCATCTGGGAACGCAATGATTCCACTCAGTATCGCAAGCATGTCCAAAGGATCAGTGAACGTTATCTCCTGGAATTGGATAGTGCTGAAAATCGACGGAAACGCGGCTTCCGGAATCATCCCACGGTATATGCGGCAGCTCGCCGAAACGCGCAGCCCGGGACGCTGTCCGCTGATGCCTGCCTCGCCCGGCTGACGACAGCTACGCTTGGAGCGCGCTCAACTTGCGGCTCGACATTGACGGAGGAGAAGGAGACGACGATGACGACGGCTCTGCAGCGCCGCGGCAGCGTCGAGGAAGCGTATCTCTGGACAGAGGCGGACTACGATGCGTTCTTTACGGCATGGAGGCGCTTCGGGAACAGCGTTCATGCCAACAGAAAAATCGCGCAGGCGATGAATGAAGCGTACTGGGCGCGAGTTCCGACGCGTAAGCGGCACGCTTTAACCCTGAAAACACGGCAAGGAATCGGGGGTCGAGTTACGTTCCTGCCGACTCATATTGTCTATCAAAAGCGATTGCATCGGGGGTGGTTGGAAATGCATCGCTCGGAAAACGAACTCAAGTTGGAGCAACTGATGCCGGCACCGCACCAGACGCGCTGTGGTCTGTGCCGGCGTGACGCGTCGCACGACGACAGCACCCAGACCGGGGCCCTGATTGGACCCTTCTGGGAGATGCTTCCTGATGCACCATCCACTCCGGTGTGGATGCATAGGGAGTGCCTTCTGTGGACACCCGAAGTCTTTGAAACCTGTGAAGGCACCATGATGAATGTGCGGCGGACGTTTCGACGGGCGATACGTATCCGCTGTGCCTACTGCGGACGCACCGGCGCTGCAACCGGCTGTTTCCTGCGCTATTGTCGACGAAGTTATCATGCGCCGGTTTGTGCAGTGGCGGCGGGCTGTAGTCTCGACCACCGTCATTATCGTCTGCTATGTATGCAGCACACGCAAGTCTATGCAAAAATATCAGCAAAGGGTGCGGCTTTATTCTGGGAGAGTCTGGAACAAGAAGGCATCTCCAGCGTCAAGTAGTGTTGCGTACGCCTGGGTGCCAGCATCGAAACGAAGAACAAGGTCACCGCTGCAACGCGACGGCTGGTATGGATGCACGCTACGCGATGGACACTGTAACGGATATATGTGGTGCAACCGTGATTTCGTCGGCTCCTTTCGATTTTACGGAATCAAGTCTCGTGCTCCGAAGCGATGAGACGAAGAACAAGGCCGTCGCTGGAAGAACTTGTGCAGGAGCTGGGCTGGTCTTCCGCAGGCCGGCATTCGGTTAGTGCCAAACCTAGCGCCAGCAGCTGTGTGCTCGTGCGAGTGCCAAGGCGTCAGGCTCGCGCACTACCTGCAACCGATATCGTTAGCGTTGATGCAGCACCCGTATCGTGGTGTATGGACCTCATCGTGCTGCGGCGCCAGCGAGCCGGATCGGTCGATACCTGATCGTCGGTCGACGAGCCTTTTCAGATATCCTGATTTTTCGGTTACTGTTGGGCAACTGGCGGCTTTGGATGCCAGTTGCCCAATGCCCATGAACGGATACGCACCCACTACCGCGTTCAGAGTGATCTGCCTCAGCGCGGGACGCACTCGACTGATCTGGATCAAAGCATGTACTATACTCAGCACACTAGCTTTGGCGAGGAAACGCTCCCTTGTCTATCGCTTTGCGCTGGCCCTACGACGATGTCAACGGTGGGGAAGGCGCGCGCTCCTGCTCACTTCGTCGCGACGCTCTTCGTGGCTGTAGAACCGGATGCTGTACCGTATCTTGGGCTTCATCGTCAGAGGAATCGATCAGGTGCTCGTTCACAGAGACGCCACGATGCACTTCATTCGTGCTCTCCATGCGGGTGTGTGCAGTCTCCACATCGATCAGGTCCTCGGCAGCCGGGGCCGTTGGCGACAATGCCGCCCAACTAAGATTCTCGTGGAGCGGTAGCAACTCATGTTCTGGTTCCGCTTGCATCGGAGCGGAGGTGCATCCGTCACCATCTTCTGGCGGTACGATGGGAGCAGGCGCACGCTGTGCAACGTGGCCATCCGGGGATAATGCTGCTCTGAAAAATGCATTCGTTTCGCAGAGCGTTCGAAACTCTGTGAGAGCTCGCTCTGCATCACAAAGCAGCCGTGATGCCTCCTGTCGTAGCGGAGGCTCCACGATGCGCGGTACAAGGCTAGCGAGCCCGTCGCGCATCATTTGGACTCGTTCAAAGCGACTGCGTGCGTTCTCCAGCGTCTCCGAGTTGGGCGAAGTACCCACTGGTGCATCTCGAAAGCTATCGCACATTGCCTGGAAGAGGTCAATCGTTTCACGCGTCTCCTGGAACGCAGCCCGCAAGCGGTTCAGCATCTGGTCTCGACGGTTTGGCGGAGCCTGCACCGGACTCGGTGTCGGATACCAGGTCGGACCGCTCCCGTACTGACAGAAAACGCCAGCGTGCATGGACGCAGTCCATGCCCACATCCACGCTTGCGGTAAAATCATTGGTGCTCGATAAAATCGTCGCACTGAGGCCGCTGGTGCCCCAACGTTCGCTGACGCCGGCACCGTTGTCCCAGGCACTGGTCGTCGTTCGGCAGTGCCGGCTGTCGGCCGGGGCCCAGCTCCGCTCCCGGACGTTGACGCTGGGCGACGAACCCTCCGGTATCGTGCGGAGAGAGAGAGGCCGTCGCGCTGGACTGCAGCAGCGGCCTGCTGGAACTCGGGAATCTCTGCAACCAGGGGCGTCATGACCTGCGCCCAATGGATCAGGCACTGGCGAGCTCGAACGACCAAGACCTGGCACTCTACTGGGACAGCCGATGGACTCGTTACCCCTTTTGGTGCCGGCGGTTGCTGCGGATCATCGACGCAGAGCGGCAGAAGCGCGATCTGCTGGATGAGCGGCAAGTTGTATCGGATGAGCACCCGATTCACAGCTATGTTCGTGTTCATAACGCAAACGTCCAGCAGGGCAAGCGCTGCTAGCGCGTCACAGATTGCTCGAGTGTCAGCGGGGGGGCACTTTGCCGGCGCGACTGCTGACGGTTGGCGAACGACCTGAGCATACTTCTGTTTTTGGCGCCAGGGCCAGTGCCAACCGAAACTACGCGATCGTGAGGTACCAGAAGCCGACACTGGCTCTAGAGCCGCCTCCGAGACACCGTCACCTCCTGGACCCTGCCTCCGTTGCAGAACGCCCTGGGCCCAGGGCGAAAGCACGCGCTGTACCGCCGTGAGCGCTGTGCGCAGTGTCTGCTCGAGTGCCTCCGCTCTGGAGTGCTCCTCGACAGCTGCGTGCGCAATGTCCAGCTGACGACACCTGAGCGCAGGTGTTACCGCTTCTCTTAAAATATCGGTAGCGTACTGCTCACTGGCCTGACGAAGCACCTGGTTGAGGTCTCGTTCAAATGCCTCCGCCTCAGCGGTGGCTCGCTTACCGCCGTCCGTGCGGAGCATCCAGTCTACCACACGTGTTGGCAATGGTCTCGTATACGCAATCACTTATAAAGGTCCAAGAAACTTCGCCTTCATTGCCCTCGAGCGTACGGTTATGCCGAGGAATTCCCTGCCCTGTAACGGGAGCGCGACATAGGGCGCTCTGCTGTCCGCAGATTGCGGCGAAGTGGCAGCGCGCAGCTGGACAGCAGCATCCCCCGGAGCGTATCGCCTTTTCGTGAGAGCGGAGCGTATCCGAAGGAGGGATTTCCTTCGGGTGCAGGATTATAGACGTGAGCTTGTTTTTCCCAATAGCGCCATGGTTATGGGATATCCGGGAGAGCGTCTGGTTTTCTGAAGGATATGGCTTGCACTGCCCCAGCGTACAGACAAGGCGAGCTGGGGCTTGACTTTACGGCATCGTCGCTGGATACGTTCGACGTGCTTGCACTGCATCTGCGTCTTTTCACTAAACATTGTTTGATCGGGCGGGTTTTTCTTTTGGAATGCTAAGCTGATGCGTGCGCATAGAAGCGGTTGGATGCCTGCATCATGAGTGTCAGCATGGGAACGGGCCAGGTACACGTTCCGAACTCGGGCGTGAACGCTAGCTTTCTTGTTTCTCTCAGGTGTGATGGACAGCTGCCGTTGGGGAATTTTTTTCGGCGACTGTTCACGTTTTCTCTCTTAGTTCCAGATTACAATATGCTGGTCTATTCTTTCCATCCAGCTCTGTTCACAGCAGTTGACGGATGTTGGCGGTAGCGTTCAAGTCCGGATTTCGTACCTGCCGACAGTTGTCAACGCATTTCATGCACAGACGCAAGATGCGGTGTAGGCTCGCTTGACATCTTCATCTTTTTCATGTACAGTCTCGGTACGCAGTTTGCAGCTGTGACTCCTGGATATGGACAAATGAAGTATAAATCTATCTGCCATACCCTCTCGACTGAGATCCACGTTGAAGCGCGTAAACGCCTGCTAGATCGCTCCGTATACGCCCTTATATGAAAGGCGATCCTCGATGCCCTGCTCCGTTTCCGTGCCAGGAGCGATGCCCTGCAATGACGCGCTTGGTTTGGACTATACCGTCGGCGAATGTGCTGCCGGCTGAACGTGCAAGCGCATGCCGTCCATGATAAAAATTAGCTGAGGGCATATCATAACTGGACAACAAGTCGAGAAATGTCGATTCGTCTACGCTTTCCTCGTGCGGCACGGTAACGAACGCCCGACTGCAAAACGATCGCCGTGCTGACTGAACGCCGAGTCCAGGATGCGTATCGGGGCAAACCGAAGCGAGGCGAGCCTCTGGGCGCTCATCGTGTGAGAGCGATCATGCTGCAGCTGTCGAGTTCTGGTTCGCCGGCGGCCACCCAGGGTGGGCATTGTCTTTCGAAAGAAATCGATTCCTTGACATGACAAGTTCAGAGAAGTTTCGATTTGAACTTGTGAGAATGTCATCAAAGAGCGATGTGAATTTATGTGACTTCTTCGTCAATCCATCGCAGCGCATCGCTGTGCGCATGCGGTGCCTTGAAATGTAGAGATCGAAAACTTGAATCATGTTTGATAGGAGCACGATACACACGTACGTGAGGGAGAAGATTCGCGGATTCTACTTGTGCATTGGACAATGATATCGGTTATTATACGAACTCTTGTTCGCCGGCGTCGCAAAACATCTCGATTTCGGTAACGGAATGAATTCCTTGTCCAAAGCGTTAAAGGAGCGATTCCGAAACAAAGGAAAAACACCGAGCATCTTTAAACTACGTTCAAGTAAGACTTGATTCCTGCACTCCGAATATCGAGGTTGCACAGCTAGAACATAGTTCCGGAAAAGAATCGAACTGGATGAACAAAGCGAGTCATCCCCTACTCGATTTTATCGTCAGCGAAATGAGAAATGTTCTACGATAATTGAGGGTGTATGAATACATACATACGCAGACGCCTCCCAGCCTTGTTTTGACCGGTTCCCCGATACCGGTTTCAGCTTCTCCCTGTATACTTCGATCCTGAGAGGCTGCTGGACAAAAGTTGGACCGGGGCAGCTTCGAGGGTCACGTCCCCGGTACCAAACTTCTTCTGATATTGATGGCGGCGTTGAAGTCTCGGTTCACGAACTCCATGCGTTTATTGCCGCTGGTGAAGCGTATCATTGCAAAGATCCCTAGAACTCGTACCCTCTGTCCCAGTACAATCTCGCTATCGTCCCATCGGACAAACAGCTGTTCTCGAGTATATATCCCCTGTTCTTGTTCTTCGTCACTTGCTTTTCTTCGCTAGATAGTCGACGAGAAGAGGATCTTTTTCGGTTTTTATCCCGGTCGCCAGCGACACCAGCCCTCTAGAATCCCCGACTCCCATGTCCATACGGTTCGCTTAGATTTCTTATTTCTTCAAATGAACGCTTTTCGGACGCTTCGATTACAAACCGAGAAAAAGCGTTTGATGCGACGCACCCGGAGATGGCGCACAATTCAAGAAAGCGTCTACAATCTGACACGAGCCCACCGCGGCTCGAGCAGGCAACGTACGCTCAGTGCCGCCTTTCGCTTCCTCGGTGTCGGTCTGGTACCTGGGCGCCACGAATGGGGCGCTGCAGCTCGTGTCGGAACAAGACGATATACTTTTGCTATGTAAATCGAGAGTTTATTTGCTTGAACTGCGTGTTCCAGCCGAGGTATGAACTTTCCGTTGTGCGCTCGTACAAGGAATGGATTCGAGACTCGAGCTACGAGCAGCCTCCACGTTGTCCGTTTACCGGAGCGCCTCTCCGACACGGTGAGGAGCTGGTTCGGCTACCACCCCCTGACCTACGTGTGGTTTCCGCCGCGGGACTCGCAGCTTATCTTCGTGGGCGTTTCGGCCCGGACACAACACCAGCAGGATTCCGTTCGAACGAGCTGCCTTTCGGGTTGGTGCCGGACCCGCAGGATGACTCTGCAGTGGCGCAGCGTTTGCGGAGGTTCCTCGCGTTGCTCGGCTATGATGCAGCTCTAGCCGTAGCAGAGCCGCTGGAAGACAAACGTTCGAGTCCCGGCACCGTCTCGGCAGAGGGAGGCACGCAAGCCGCCAGCGAGGCAACGCTGTTGGAGCGGCGCCTCCCGAGCGAGCAACGCCCGGTGTCTCGCCCGCTGGAGGCCACCACAGAGGCCGTGAGTCGCACGGCGCCGCGAACGGGCTCCAACACAACGATCGTGGTGGAGTCTCACAAAACCTCCGAGCCCGACTCCACGACAGCGATCGCTCCGGCACGGAAGCAGAACGCTGCTGGTCGTACAGCGGATAATGACAGCAAGGAACGCAAAATACGACAACAGAAAATACGGCGGTTCCTCAACTTTTTAGGTCAGAGCGCTGAAGTGCTCCCTTTGCCACATCCACGACCTAATCGTCGAAACCGTCGTCTGACGGGGCTCGCGCTGTCCTTCGGCTTCGGCGTGGGTATTTTAGTGTTTCTCGCGTACGTGGTTCGTCATGGTCTATTCAATCCGCTGGCTTTATGGGAATATGTCGTCGAAAGACGTCAGGGCATGTTGAGCGTTGAGCGTTGAAAGCGCTACTCGAAACAGCGAATCATCCCAGCGAATGTGTACCTCATGGAACCGTGTGCGCGCTTTTCACGCAACTGCTCGCTGCTCGCTATGCTGCCCAGACTGCACATAGCGCGTTGCCTCGAGCAGTATGCCCATATTCGCTCGATATACGAATGGCGACCTGTTCAAGGGCGAAGCGCAAGCTCCCGGCGTACGCGCTCTTCGTCAAGTGCGTCACGGCGGTCTCGTATGTGCACACGCCAGCGTCAAGCTGCCCGGAGAGAGACTGCAGCGCCCTGCCGCCGTACCACAGTGGCCTCTGGGCGCCCTACTCGGGCGATAGCCATGATCGATATCAAAGCATAGCGGAAACCATGCGGTGTCGCTTGTGCTCGCGAGGCTCCAGGGAAGATTCGTATCAGTTCATGAACAGCGGCATGTTTTTCTTGTCGCATGAGAGCACGATGCGCGAGTCACTTCATGCGCAGCGTACAGAGAAGCAGAACTGTGTTATCCGCAGTATACCGGAAGCAGGTCGTTGAGATGATGGCGATTCCCAACTTAAGCGTGGATGCTTTTTGTCTGCTTCATAGCATATTCCGATGAATCCGCATCTGCGTATCGACCAAGGCGCGGAAGTTTGTGTGGCGTATGCTAAGCATGCTTTGGCGAGCGTATGCTTGTAGACGAGGCCCGAAGACATTGGACGCAAGCCCGCGGACGTCGCAGCTGATACGACGCGCTCTTATGGGAAATACTTGCAGGTATCATAGCGGTTGTAAAAAACCCCCAACGAGATGCCGCTGCCAATGGTCCAGACTGTTGTGTTGCGGTGGACGACACGAACGCGCGCTGCCTCCACCTGCACCCGAGTTCGGAACAGCACACAACCACAGCGTCTAGCTCTGGTTGCGCGTAACGGCCGAAGTAGCTAGCATCCTCTGCGCTTCTGGACGGACGGTTATTCTGGGATGAACCAGTTGCGCGAGAGGATTATCGCCGCTCAGAAACAGATGCTCGCACTGTAGCGCGAGTGCTGCACCTTCCGAAAAAGCGCTTGGGCCGCACTTGCCTTAAGTGGCGGTTTCCAGTGGTGCTGGGCGCCATCGAACCCTTTGGATTGTGAGCGGGAAGAGCGGCAACCATGCAGTGACTGGCAAAGTGCACGCTGCACAACAAACCGAGCCAGACACGGAGAGCGCAGCTCATGACCTGTGCTGCAGCAGTGACCCTGCCTCGCTCACAGAGCCCAACTCGTGTCCATTGGTGAGTTCTAACAGCGACCTGCCGTCAACTATGTGTTCTACAGGTGCCTGAGACACGCGCTTCAGGTCTCCGGTCAGCGCTATGCGGGTATGGCCGGTTAGTCACCGGGTACGAGCGGACTGCAACTGACCACCGTGTTGACTGCTCAACGCGAAACAGCTCTTGCGCCGGAAAGCGCTCTCTATGAACGCTTCGACCAGGTGGTATGTTCACCCTTCAGACAAGTGACGAGTTGTATGCGTATACCAGCGACTGGCCCGGAGCGTCTGGGGCCGCGGCAACCACTACCCTAGCGAGCACCGGTACCTCATGGGGCGCGCGCTCCTGAACCAGGTACCAATGGAAGCGTTCTTTATCTTCCCAGAGGAGGTCCCAGAGACTGCGGGCAACATGCTCACACCATCCAGAACGACAGAGACTGCAGAGGAAGGGTCCCGGACACTGTTTACGGTGGATAGAAACGCAGGAAACACTGGCTCAGAGCTGCCCCTACCCGCGCTATCCGACGTGCTCACGGCGACCTCGCTGCAAGTAGATCACTCGCTGGAGAACATCGATGAAGAGATAGGATGCGGAGGAATCCCTGAAGCAAGCGCAGTAGGCCATGGCATTTCAGTCGATATAGATGCACTGGACCTCTACCTGGATATGCGGGACGGCACGCAAACCACAGCGTCAGAGCGTCGCGCTCAGGTCGATAACGCGGAAGATTCAATAGCATCGGTAAGAGAAGTCTCGATAGATCAGCCCGAGCATTCAAGAGCCCGTTTGCTATCATGGTGTCGGAGGACGGCCCTACTAGCTCGAAACTTGGCGCTGGAATATGACGGCCCGTACAAGGATCTCGTGCGTCTGCAGGCTCACTGCTTAGCGAATCAAGTTGAGCAGCTATGGGCCGAATCGCCGTGCCGGCACGAAGCGAGAGCACCTGTCGCAACGAGACACTCAGTGAGTGCGTCGGCTTCACTGGCAACTGCTAGCGCAGCTGAACCCCGCGATACACTGTATCGATTACCGACGAATGTTGTCCAGGGTGCCTGTGATGCGTCCGCATCCGATTCGAACACTTGCTCGAAACAAGGAACTGCGGCACGATGCAAGCGGAAACGGCGGAGCTTCGGCGGGATTCACGGATATCAAGCGCGAGCAACGAAGCACCGAACACGAGCGTCTACGAACGAGTATGCCAGCCGCATTCTGAAGCAGTGGCTCCTCGATCACTTTCTAAACCCGTACCCCGGTGATGAGGAGAAGCATCAGCTCATGAGGCGAACTGGTCTCACGTACAATCAACTCAACAACTGGTTTATTAACGCTCGCGTCCGTCTTTGGAAGCCGCTGGTTGACGCCTTGGCGTGCAAACGGCAACGGCAGCAGGAGCAGCCGGGTACTTGACGTTCATTCGTGTCGGCAGCTCGGCAGCACGAGCGCTAGTCAGAACGGCGCTTGCACCCAGAAACGCGCTTGAACGACAGAAATATTTGTTAAGCGAGCAATGGGGTCTCGCTTGCCAAACCAGCCGGAGCAATGTTCGGTTGTTGGCGAACTCTACACCCGTGTCAGAGTAAAATGGGACACTGAACCGCTCGCTCTCTTCATTCCCATGGATTTTCTTACGACAGATCTTAGATGTCCAGCATCGACGTGAGCAGTGCGGCAGTACGAGATGATGGACTCATGCGTACTTTAAGGATGCTTGGACGTCTTTTCGGAGCGACTTGCCCGAGTGTATGTCGCAGGGATTCGGTACGGCATTGTCGTACTGATGGTCCTCGCCACCCTCGAACGAGGGTTCGTAATCTAACCGATACCGTTGTTCAATGCATAGGTACAGGCCTCCGCTGCCTCAAGTTTCTAGCGTGAAACATGTTCAAATCACGCATTCTTCAAGGTTTCGATCTTTGTGTTTCAAGTCGTGGATACAGTAAATCCGCCTTCGGATTCACGACGAACAAAAGCTCCATGTCGCGCCTCAACGACTTGTTCACAGGCGCGTACCCAAAGTCCACTGGACTTGGAACCTCAAATAATAACCGATTCCAGTCGATAGACAAATCATCGTTTCTTGCTGACGATTCGCGAAACCGGATTCCACAGTAGCAGGACGCTTCTCGACAGATTTGTTTCCAGTGGCTCCAGTTTCTTCTGTTTGCACGGGAAAGGGCCTTAAATTCAGAACTGAGTCATCACAGCGATCGATTCCAGCTGAGCATACGTCACCTCTTTGCAACAAAACAGCGTAGACCGATCGACATTTCTCGACTTGTTCTTCAACCTGGATTTTCCTTCCGGTACTTTTTTTCATCTCGGATAACATTGCATTCCGCAAATCCTCGATCGAATGCGACGCAGTGCGCTAGCGTATGCAGCGGACAGTGTACTCGCCCAGGGCATGTATCCGAACTGGCGCGTGTGAACGTCGGGCACGGCACCGGGCGCGGAAACGGTGGCCTGCATCGAGGCGCGCCTTGTGTTCGCGTCAAGCTCATGTACCGAACGATAAAGCAAGCGCTCACGCTCCACAGAACGGATACCAGAGGCGGAGGAGAACCTGTGATGGGCGTGCCAGAGAACATCACCCCAGCTCAATATCACCGCCGCAATGGGTGCACCGCGGCTTCATACGAAAGAAGATGAACATGGCAAGCGAGACGTAGATTGCAAGTTTCGTCGATACATGGAATTCGTCAACAGCAGCCGGAATCAACGACATCGGGACATGAACGCTGCCAGCAACAGCCTTTAAATACTAACAACACGGTACACGATAGAACCTATGCAGCAACCAGTATATCCCAGAGCACGTATGGAGTTTGGGGCTTGGAAGCAGGGCGCGGAATCATGTATGCTTCACCGCGCGCTGATATCGAGCGCACTGTCGGGGAACGCTAGCGTGCTTCAACGTTTTTGTCACAGAAACAAGAATGCTGACAACGGGACTGGAGGGAAACGATAGACCGGCGTATTCAAATCCGGAGAAAACGTGTTGAAAAGGAAGCATTCGCAGAGAACGCCCTCCTAGACGAGAACTGATGACACTGGGAACAGATCCAGACTTTAGCATGTACGCTTTCGTCAGCAAAAGTGGACCCCTTCCATTTTATTCTTATATAGATGTAGGCCCGGGCTGCGCGGAACACGCGCACCCCCGCCCGGGTTTCGAACCTGCATCGTGCATGTGCGACGAGGAACCTTGTACCATTTCCGCCATCCAAGGGCGAGGTTTAAAACACACAACAGGTACGCAGTGCTGCAAACGCTGTTCTCGGAAGCATCGCTCGGGCAACAGCGTTCCCACATGGAGAGCGGGAACGTCCCTCCGCCACCTCCTTGGGAACAGTGCCTTTCGCAGTGCGCTGCTTTGAAACACCACAGGGACGGATACGGCTTGCCGCAAATCACTCCAGTTTGAACCGCACTCGGATTCGGGTTCCACGCAGGTACGCGGACCCTCCGTCGAAACCCCAATGAGCGTACGCAATGCAGCGCTGTGGCGTTCTCCCGCAGCACCCCAACATGACCAGCACTGCCAGACAGTCCCAACTTGCGGCCACAAGCGTTGCAGGTACCCGTATTGTCGCGACGCGTTTCGACCGGATAGCCTCCCTGGATATGATGCTTTCGAACAAAAGCACTCAATTCCGATGCGCCGCAGTTAGCACAGCCCCGCGAACGGATGCTCGCAGCAGCACATATGCGGCGGCCTTGGGCCCAATACCACGGGGTATGTCTGGGCGATTCCACTGCCGGACACTGTACTGGCTCGTTGTGCATTGGACAAATGCGAACCGACGCAACGAAGCGCACTTGCTTGCGACATGGAATGCGTACCACTGAATGGCGGCAACTGGTGCGACCCGTCGCTGCACTTACATGTTCGCCTCCAGGAATATTCTCTGCAGAATTGTTTGAGGCGGACAGACGCGTATGCACCTGCAGTAGCGAAGATGAGCCAGACAAGTGCCGATCCATGGTTCGTACCAGCGACTTGGATGATGTTTTTGCGGCTTTCCACGCTCGAACACGGGAGATGCGCTCTCATCTCGACGGCACAGTGCTGGTTGGTAGCCACGGATGCTGTACCACGAGCCAGGTCCGCCTGATTCTCCAGCTACATAGAGACTGCGCTGACCGCTCCGCACAAAACTTTCTTCGGCAAGTGCGAGTCGCGAAGCTCAGCTCCATGGCGCTTATCTAACGCGATTTGCAGGAACATGACGCGGAACGGAAACTGTTCGTAGTATACAGAATGGCGCGAACACGCTGCGCTCAGCGCCAGCGTGTCGAATGCCAAACCGGAAGCGGCATCTGGCAACGCACGCTGAACACAAGTGCAACCAGAACAGGGTTCTTCACTAATGCGGGAATTCTCTCACATATACACACATCGCCCAGAGGACACGCTTTCGAGAGTGACACGGCGCGTGGACGCGTCGACGTGTCGGTCGCGTGGCGGTAGCACAGGCCTCTGCTGGGCAGCCAAACTGCGCGCGTGTGCTCGAGTACACACGTTCTCCCTCTGCAAGTCGACCTTATGTTCCTTCGTTCATGAACTAGGCAGCTTTCTCGAAACGACCGTACTGCATTTCATAGACTTGATCGTACGCTCCAAGGCGGATGCGAACTGGGCCTGCATCTGCTTTCGGTGTTGAAGAACACGTCAGAATGAACCCCTCTTTCCGAATGTTCGCATCCAGCGCTGCGAACGGGTCCTCCACGTCCCCTGAGAGAAGCCAGGCAGCGCACGTAGTGCAGACGCCAGCTCTGCACGAGCTTGGAACCTCTGTCCATAAACCGCTTGCCTCAACCGCTTCCAGGATACTCTGTCCAGGTTGACAACGAACCACCTCCGTTCGGTCCTGGTACTCTACGGTGATTTCGATCGCTCCGTCCGCTCCCGCTTTCTCGTTCAGACTCGCAGTTGCGCGCAGTTTGCGTAGCGCTGCACGCCGCACGCCCAGCTGCTTGTGTGCCCAGCACGCCGGTCTCCGCGGCAAGGCTCGGACGGTTTCCCAGCGAGTTGCAAACATTCCAGTCAGTTGCTTCCAGCTGCGATGCGAGCTCGTCGTTTGTCCTACTAACCAAGGTTGGCACCCAGCCACAAACATTGGACGTGTTTGACTCATGGTGGCTCGTATACATACACTCGCCTGTGAGGAGCAGCGCAGTCGCCGTGCGCCGCATGCGCACCCCGTAGGTTGGCGCATGCGCTCACTCTGTCCATCAAGGAATCCATGAATCATTCCTCTATTCGACGACTCGATCCGTGAATCGTTCATTCATAGGATCAATATGTCCATGATTCAGTCATTCTTTTATTCTGCGCTGCATACGGCATCAGCACAAGCGAAGCGCGGCGCTCAGCGCCGCCTTCCAGCAGCGCGTGCGTCGTCGAAGCGCAGCGCACCGAACGGTGTTGTTGTAACGATACCGCCGCTTCACGGACGGCAACGCAACACCGTGCTGTGACGACGTGAGCGATGCCAGCAAAGCCAAACATCCGTCTCAGAGGTCAGATCGAGTACTTTGTTTCTCCGTATGAGCAGCGAATTTTTGCGGACTGGTTCGATCCCAAGTTGGTTCTAACAAAGCTCCAACGGAAAGTCAGCGAGAATGCGAAAGACGTTTTACCCGCCTTCTTTGTGCTCGTTGGCACAATATATTTGGGAGACAAACTCCACGAAGAAGAGGCCAAACGGCACCGCTTTTAAAGAGGAAACTCGAGGGACTATGTCTTCGAGTGTGTGCAAGCGCTGGTCGCGTTCATCTCGGGGTGCGCAGGGAGCAGTCGCTGCTCGCTTTTTATGTTCACGGTGACCCCGGGGCGCACCGCGCAGAGTGGCGTCGTTTCCGCCGATTGCAAACCCAGCGCGTGCTTATTTTAGAGCGAGGGTAGCGCCGAACTGTTTCAAACGGTCAACGAGAGCCTCGGCCTCGTTTTTGGGCACGGCACTTTTGATGACCTTGGGTGCAGCCTCAACGAGTTCTTTGGCCTCTTTCAGGCCGAGTCCTAAAGCAGAGCGAACTTCTTTAATAACCTGAATCTTTTTCGCCGCATCATATTTTTCCAAGACGACGTCGAACTCGGACTTTTCTTCCGTCTTCTCTGCAGAACCAGTAGCAGCTGCCTGTGCACCAGCAGCGGCGTTGCCTGCAGTGAACATAGCCTGCTGCATCGCGGCCAGTGCTGCTGGTGTCAGGGCACCGCCTCCGAGGGCTGGAGTGCCCTCGATCCCCAAACGCGATCGAAGCACATCGCTTAACTGCTTGGCTTGCAGTAGGTTCAGAGATAAGATTTCGTCTGCCAGACGCCCGACCCGCTCGTCGACAGGATCGTGGCGCGCGTCTCCGCTTTCGGTGACATTCGGCTGCGTCTTGACGTGAGGAGCAGCCTGCGCAGAGACAGTGCTCCATCGTCTGCCGTCGTGTCGCCAGGAGAGACACAGCTGTGTCGACCGTCGCCCGCAGAAGAGCGTCGGTGCGAGGTACCGCACACACTGGGCAGCCTTTGCCAAGCGTGTGCCAGGCATCGCTGTACGAAAGCCTACGGTGTGCTGCTCTTAGCCAGAAGCGGAAGCGGCGTGTGGAAAATGCAGGCGCGGCGCCCTGGAAAGGCGCTTTGGTCATTCGCGCGACGCCCGGTGATTTCTATGAAAACGAGGGCTGCAATTGTTGCAGGCGGCGTGGATCGCGCTGCCCAGTAGCATCGCCGGTAGAATAGTAAACGAGAATCTCTGGATGTTCATCGAGATCGAGACATTACTCAGAAGCGAGTCTTCATCGTTTCAAGTGCGCTAATCTCGATCAGATGATTCGCCAGCGTCATTCGGCAGTCGGTGCAGCAGACAAGGGGTGCAGTTTCCAACGAAATCGTTGAACACTGCGTCTGCGACACGGTCAGGCGTGCTGTCCCCACTGGCTGTCTTCTTGAAGATGCTCGCGAATATGCCCTGCTGACAGACACCAGCGATGCTTGTGAGCACAACCCCGCCAGCTGACCAAACATTGGCGAGCAAGTGGGCGCGCTCCCGACGAATCCTATTCGCGTGGATCGGCGAAGCGTCAGTCTTTTGAAAACGCTCCCGAAAGCAGCGTCATTTGGCGAGCATCCGCCCATCCACTGGGATGAGGCCCCTCATTATGAACGTCATTCTCCCCGATGATCATCGTCTGTACGGCACGCACAAACGACACCTTTTGCGGACCTGATCCCGTGGTCGTCGAGAACAAGATACGATGGAGACCTGATCCCCTGGCGAGTGGACCAAGCGCAGGTAATGCGGCACGACAGGTGCCAATACTCGGGTGTTTGACGCTGGCCTGGTGATGCAGGATCTCGTCCACGAGAACACTGGACGCCTGTCGATTGCACGCCGGGTCCCGGGGTTACGCACCGAAGGCATGACGACTCCGTTTGCGCCACAAAGTCGCTAAAGTTACATTAAATTCATATTTAGTATAGATATGTACAGGCGATGCGCGACTCGAATGGCAACCTTCGCTCCACCATAAAGTCGCTAGAGTTCCATTCAATGCCAGTTTATTCCATATATGTTCGTACTGCAAATCGTCAGGCAAGCGTGCCCAGAATCGCCACAGGGTGCTATCAACCAGCATTGGCTTGCGAGCCGGTTACCGTCGATAGCACGTCTGCCTGTGTGTGAAAACGACTGACCAGGAGCGGGTACCGTGTTGGCTGCCAGTTCCCGTACCTCTATGGGGTTATGAACGGTACACGAGTCTTCCAACGGGAACATCTGCGAAGTAGCACGGAGCAAATAGCATCCGCTGTAGGTCCGCCTGGCGGGATACCGGCGAACGCCCGGCGACTCCAGACGCTCAGGTTGCAACGCGTCGCGGCAACCGCTCCTGGTGCGGAGCCAGACACAGGCGAGCGCCGACAATTATTCGCCCAGTTCATGGCTACCAGTGTGCTGTGCGGATTTCGTTCAAGGGTGCTGCGATCACCGGGCACCTCGGTGACGAGACACGGCAGCAGCGCCGAGCCGGCTTTCCTCCTGGCTCGCCATGCGGCTTTTCTAGGAGCGCAGGCAGTCACAAGACGTGCGAACACTTGCGAGCGCGATAGGGATAGCCTGCAGCCTCTCCCCGGAAGGTATCTGCAAGGAAGTAAACGTACTTGCGTCCGCCGGCGTTGCGGACGGGAACGATTGCCGCCCCCGTGCCACTGTCAGTCGGCAGCTTTCGATGACGCACAGGCGCCCGGCGGTGAGTCGTGGCGCCCGCAACGCCCGCGTCGCGATGAACCAAAACAGCAGCAGCAGTCTGCGCATGAGACGACTGCGCGAGAAAACAAACCCCGCGCTTCGGAACGGATACCTCCTACGGAATCTCCGCCTCCAGATAAGGCGCGTCTAGACAGAGCCCATAACAACGAGTCGTCCCGTCACGCAGGCGATGGCAATGAACATGGTATTGTGGACACCGTCCCGTATGGCTGTCGATCCAGCCTACCAGAACGCCGTCCAGACCGGGAAGCAGCGCCTGATGATGCGGCCATTCAGGACAACACGAACGGCACCGAGGATACCGTTGTGGAGGATGCGTCCTCGGTGGACGCGGTTGGACAAGCGAAATCCCACGTATCGCCGTCTATCCGCGAGTCGCACCGCGCCCTCATCACTAGCCCCCAACGTGCCGCCATGTCCCTGGTGAGCGGTTTCGCCACAGCCTTGGCTTATGTGACAAGTCGCGTTGTCGATCGAGCGCTGGGACCAGGCACCGCAGCGTCCGTGCAGAGCTTTCTTTCGCATGATCCGTCGCGGCTGCATCCCGAGCTCGCAGACCCTAGTGCTGCGTACGAGATCGAGTTCGAGGATGTGTGCAAATCATTCGAAGCGCGGCCGGTTCTCAAGGGCCTCAACCTTCGGATTCGTCGAGGAGAAGCTGTGGGCATCATGGGGCGCTCAGGGTGTGGAAAATCCACAACACTGCGACTCATTGCGGGCTTTGAATTACCGGATTCTGGGAGCGTTCGCATCCGCGGATGGACGCGAGACGAGCCCATCCAATATGAGCTGGGACCAATCAAAATCGGTATGGTGTTCCAACATGCTGCACTCTTCGATTCGCTCACCGTCTTTGAGAATGTAGCGTTCGAATTGGAACATAACACCGACCTTGAGGACGATGAAATTGAAAAGGCTGTCGATATCATCCTCAGTCGCCTAGGTCTGCGGGATACCCGCGATCTTCTACCAAACCAGCTGAGTGGCGGCATGCGGAAACGCGTAAGCCTTGCTCGGAGCCTGGTCTCGGATTTAGGTAAGGGTGCCAAACCTTTACCCGACGTACTGCTGTATGATGAACCCACTGCCGGCCTCGATCCAATTGCATGTACTCGAATCGAGAATCTGATTCGAGAGGTCCGCGAAACCGTTCCGACGTGTATAGTTGTTTCGCATCAGCTCTCAACCATTCAGCGCACCGTTGATCGAGTGGTGCTTCTGCACGGCGGCCGTATTCGCTGGGACGGACCGGTGTCGGACCTGGGGCACACCGACAACCCGTTCGTTCGCCAGCTACTCTCTGGCGACGAAAACGGCCCCATGAGTGGACCCGAATTCGACCCGGACTCATCGCTCTATGTACCCGAAGACATACAGGACGCCTGAGACCCGAATCCGCCCAGGGATGTTGCAGTGCGCGTCAACAAACCGCCAATGTTCATGAGGAATCGATCTGCATGTCGCGTGCTGCCTCGTGGAGCATACCAGCGTTGCCACCGCACGCAATTTGTTGGCGTCCTGACATGCACTGGGACGCATCCAGCATCAAAACGTCGTTCTGGACGATTCTTGAGGCGGTACCCTCGCGAATACCATCCTCAGACAAGCTCCATCGCTAGCGTCTCTGTGCCTCGGGAGACGCGTCCACGAAACGATCCCGCTGCGCTGCAGCGATTCTGATGCTGTGGTACGAACGATGTCGGATGCAGCTTGTCGATATGCATCGCGCATCATCGCGGGTGCCCTGATTCACGTCGACGAGCGTAGAGTGTCCGCACAAGGTGATATCCGATGCTGCTCTACCGCGGCGGCAGGTACTCGATAGCGCGCGTAGGTAAAGCGAAATCCGCCAATTCGCTTTTCACGATGCGATTCAGTTCGATGAGTACCTGTTGTTGAATTTCGAGAAACCTCCGTCCGTCCGTCACATTCACAATGCAACTTAACTGAATCGGCAACGAGTACTCCGCAAATTCCGTGAAGAATACCGAGATGGACTCTCGGTAGGCCGCGATCTCCGGAACCTCCGCCAGCATTTCCCGCACCCGCTCCACGATCCTACCGATTTTGTCGATATCCTGGTACCGGAGTCCGAAGCGAAGATTGATCCTTCGATTTGTTATTCGAGAGTTATTGGTGAGACGTTCGTTCAAGAGCTGCGCGTTTGGAATCCAGATCGGTCGCCCGTCTGCACCGATGAGCTCGGTTTTATAGAAACCGATCTGGCGCACTTGCCCCGATACACCGAGCGTATTCAACTGGACGGATTCACCGGGTGCAAACGGCGCCCCCAGGGCAAGCATGATGCCGCTGATAAAGTTCTTGGCAAGTTCCTGTGTGGCCAAGCCGACGGCCAAGCCTCCGATACCACCAAACGCTAAGATGGAGCGCAGTGGCAGACCGGTGGTTTCAACGAAAACCAGGAACGCAACAGCGTAAATGAGAACCGTTCCGAGCCTTCCCAGCACAAATATCTGAGACAACGACAGGTCCTCGCGTTCATACAAGAACCAGTTGTAGAACGTGTCGAGCACGAAAGCAAAGTACCCAATCGTAGCGAGACGGGAGATAACGTACGGCAGTTTAGGCCAGATGGTGATTCCCAGTCGTGCACCCAGCACGAGCCCAAACTGACAGGCCATGACCCCCAGCCGCAGTGTTAGGAAAAGTCCCACAGCCCGCTCCGTAGACTCTATCCAGCGCACAAGCCCGTGTTCGTCAGCGGGAATAAGTTTTCTCGTTAACCACTTGTCCGGCAAACGAGCACCGGCTGGTTGAAGAACGCTTCGCGCTAAGATGCGGACCATGCGACGATACGCAACCAACAAAATAAGAATGACGAGCAGGTCAGACAGTGTAAACGCCGCCACGAGCCTTGATTTGCCCCCCAGCGAAACTGGTGTTTCGAGGATGCTCCCAATATCCAGGTTGTGAACGTGCGTCGAAAGGTGCGCTTGCCACAGGCTCGACAGTGCCTGCCGCTGGTGCTGCCCTGCGTGCGCCAGCAGCAGTCTACCGACGCCACGCGGCAACACAGACACCGCCGGGAGCGCTCGTTTTTTCCATCGACACAGCTTCAGTCGTGCATCTCGAGAAAAGATCCTATGCGTATGATATCCTACACCAGAGAAGGGGTTCCCCTGCAGCGGTACGAATGAGAGCGTTTGCGTCGCTAGCTTCTCCATAGGCGTACCAGAAGCGATCGAGCAGCAATGCTTGCTTCGTTTACGCGTCGATCCACCTCGCATAGGTACAAATATTGGAGGCGCGGCGTCCTGGCGCGCGATCCGTGATGCCGCGCTGGATCCGTTTGGCGCGCGACGTGCAAGGCTTCCATGAAACAGAACAGAACTACACATTTCTTTCCTATCTTCGATCGCAGCCGCCGCAGATCGCTTGCTCACCTAATCGATGGATCGATGCATGGATCGATGAACGTAGCGTGGCCGTCACGCGACACACCACGTGTCGCAGCGCGCCGCGCTTCACCGCGATCTGCAGCCACGCGAGCGCACCGAGCGCTGGGCGCCGCACGAACGCACGCACGCGATCGACGTTCGCGCGAATCACGCATTCGCCGGTGTTCCGTACGTGCGCTGTTACGAACACCACCAACACCAACACCAACACCAACACCACAACCTTCATCGTCATCGTCTTAAACTCTGATAGCGGTTCGATCACGAGTCATGTCAGCGGCGTCAAAGAAAAAGTATTTTGAAGATATTGCGGGGGGTTCCACGAAACCGACGGACGTGCTCGAAAGTGGTCCGACGGCGCCGAGTGCCGGCAGCGATCGGAAGCTGGCAACTGTCGCTGCAAAGGAGACTGATCGTCAGTTTTCCGCTGCAAGCAGTCCGATGGAGACTACAAAACCAGCGCAGCCAGCGGCATCGGCAGTGAGCGCACGTGAAGCCACGACGAACGGCCTGTCGAACGCGAAGACGGTTGGCGCGGCTGCGGACACGGATCGCCCAACGCAGACGGCAGCGGCAGCAGCACCGACTACAACCGCCAAGCAGGCTGCCCAGCCTACGAGGCCGTCGGCTCCGACTGCTGTCGAGAACGCCGCCGCGCAAACGAAACCGGAGAAAGAGGCCAAGCCCGCTGCTGCGTCGACCAAGCCCGAGTCGTCGTCGTCGTCGTCGAAGCGGCTCCTTACCATTGGAGAGAAAGCCTACGAGTTGTGGCAGAGTGGAAACAGCCAGGACTCGGAAAAGAACTGGAACGACGCGATCTATCAGCTAGCATGCCAGCGGGCGCACGAGATCTGGTTGGAAACGGGATGTGAGGACTCGGAAGCCAACTTCCACAAGGCACGCGAGGAAGTGATCGCCAACGGCGGTTTGTACGTCTAGGCACGGGTCCGTGCGGAATCGTCCGGATGCCAGCCACCGGTTCGATCAAGGGATTGGCGTGTGTGCGCAAGGCAAGACATGTACGATATGCAGGTTAGTGCTTCTGGGAGAGTTTACCACACACACACACACAGATCTGTATTATATACAAAAGTAAACGCACGTGTGTTGAACACCATTCTTTTCGCCGTGGGAACCTGGATGGCATCTCCGATGATGATGCGCACCGCTAGCGCCACGAGTCGATCGCTCTTCGCAGCAGTTCGTCTGGTGCGCATGCGCACGCGCGCAGGCTAGCCTTGCCCGCGGTCCGGCGCCCGTCGCTGTCCACGGTGACCGGTGGCATCCGTGGTCGACGACGTGGCATCGATTGAGGTAACAGGCACCAGGCCGGCAACCTGTGCAACCGAACTCGAATGCCGTTTCAGTGCCGGCATCTGTCCGTACATGGCCTGTACCAGATCATGCACATCCAGGGGCGGCGACGGCGACGGCGACGGCGACGATCGTGCTGACGGCGATGTCGGCAATGGTGATGGTGAACGTGTGGATTTCGCATCCACCACCTTGTCGTAGTCGTAGGAAAAGGAATCTGCACGAGTGATTCGCTCGCTCCCGGTCAACCGAGGATCATCGTGTGCGTGTGTCCATGACGCGTCTCTGGTCAGCTCTGGAGCACACTCGTCGGTTCGTGAAGATTTCCCAACGAACGATTTCATGAACGACTCATCTACGGTTACAACATGCAAGCCGCTGAGCGGAACCTCGCTCGCCGGTTCCGAGGTTGCCCTCCGCGACGGACCTGCAGCAGGCATATCATTCGTTATCGCCGAGTCGCTGCTCGTCGCCGGTTGCAGCGCCGAACTTTCATACACTGGCGTCTGCAAACAAGCACCTTCATCGAGAATGGCGCCTGCGGATTGAGCCGGGCGATAGAGCACAGAGGCGCCCTCCAAAAACGATGCCGCATGACACGTGTCTACTTCAGAGGCGTGCACGCATCGCGTCTGATCCGTGCTGAGATTTTCCCGCGCATCCGACGGTGGCGTTTCCATAACAACGACAACAGGCACGCCAGCGGCATTGGGTACACTGCTTGCCGGTCGCAGGGGTGGTGCAGTTGGCGCAACGCTGCTGCGTAGCACTTGGGCAACACAATCTGGGGTGCCCAGAGGCGCACCAGGAGGCAAGCCCTGTGCGGCTTCGCGCCTGTCGTTGCCCGCTCGCTCACTGGGCTTCGGTGCCGTATGCACCGCTCTAGTGTCGCTGTTCGAAATCTCTGTGATCGTCGATAATCCCGAAATCGTCTGTGCGGGTGTTCTCTCAACAGGCGGAGACGCAGACGAACGAAGAGCCGTTGGCGCCGGCGCTCCAGGTACACTGACGAGATTGGGGCTCGCCTCCGACTCGGGCGGCTCTTGAAGACGCTCCAGCGGGGTGGTAACGACTCGAATCGTGGGTATGCTGGAGACCGTCTCGACGGGCAGTGGCTTGGTTCGCGGTAATCCGGCGGTCGCTGTCGGTTGCAGATGAAGATCGAGTTGTCGATCAATCGCCTGTGCAATGTTCTCAGCTTGGGCTTCGTCGAGGTTCAGTTCTTCGACCATCTCGCGAGCGACCTGCTCCGCTGACTCCCGATACGGGTCCATGGCGAAGGTGATGCGCTTCACCGCGCCAGACACTGGAATTCGCACTGAAAGCACCAAAATCCCCGAGTATACAAGTTTCCTGTCATTGACGCCGGAACGATTCGTAGCGTCGACCGAGGTGACATCTACGCTCAGGGCGTGTTGCGAATCCGGTACAGCGCTGGTGTCTGTCCCGCTGATACTACCCGATTCCGCCGGAAGGATACTTCGGAAGGACTCATCCGCTCGGCCGATAACACGCACAATGGGACGCGTTGGCGGTGCTGCGGCCGCCTCGTCGATATCCACGCCCTCAAAGATGCGTCTGCGTCCCGGGCCTTGATGTAACGCACCCGCGGCCGCGTCTGCTTGCTGGACACCAAGGAGACCGCAGATAGCGTCCTTCGTGCGTTCTTCTCCCGCGACCGCACTCGAGTCCTTCGCATTCGGGGACTGGTCGTGTAAAGCCGAAATCGTCGGCGATGCATTGTGCGACGCACGACCAGCGATGATGTAGTTCACCGTAATATTGCCAGCCGATGTTGCTTTCCCAGTAGCTGGGTGTTCCACGATGCTATGCGCCTCGGCATCAGGTGTCGTTTGGTCGCCGTTGCGTGCCCGGGCTCGCGACGGTGCATGCTCCATAGACAGTCGCGACACTGTGGTCGATGATGGCGAGGGTGACAGGTTCGATGTCAACGACTGCTTGGCAGCGTTCGTGTCACCGTCGGGAAATTGCGTCATCGACCGCGGAACTTCCAGCGACGAGCGCGAGCGCCCGCTGTTTGGCGAGACCATCAAGTCTACGTTCGAGAGTGAACCATCGTCGCTTTCCCAGTCGGCGAAGAGCGGGTGATTGAGCAGCTGCAATGCTGTCGGGCGCTGCGACTCGGACGCCAAACACTGGAGGATGACGCGCTTCAGATCGCACTCGACCATCCGGCTGAGCGCTTCCGGAAGCACCCCGTTGAGAACCTTCTTGAAGATCTGGCCCGCATTTTCGCATTCTGCGTACGGATACTCTGTGCTGACCATTTCGAGCATGCACATGCCAAAGGCATAGATGTCAATTTTTTCACTGTAATTCTCATCGTACAGTTCGGGCGCCATAAATTCGGGTGTCCCAATGACCGTGTACCCGCATTTGCTCGCGCGATCCTTCACCGAACTCAAACCAAGATCCCCGATCTTCACCTCGCCAATGTTTCCGTTGATGAAAATATTGTCGCATTTGAGGTCACGGTGCATAATCGGTGGCGTACACGAGTGGAGATAATGGATCGCTTCGAGGACGTTGCGGCACCACTTGCGAATAACCTTGACCTTGATCATTTTCACCTTCGCAATATACTGTTTCAAGGTCCCACTCGTCATTAGTTCCGTGATAAAATGCGCTCCTCGGACCCGGCCGCGCTCGTCGCGAACCTCCCAACCTGCAAACAAATTGATAATATTCGGATGCTGAATAGAGCGCAGGATATTCACTTCATTCATCACTCGCTCTGTGTCCTGATTCGTCAGTCTCTGAATATTCAACTTATTCCAGGCCACCTCTATCCCGTTATCTGTATCGAAACCCTTGTACACGGTTTTATAGGCACCGGTTCCGAGAACTTCGGGAAACCTGAGGAATCGGCCATCAGGAGAGCGCTCCTCGAAACAGTCATCGTTGTCTTCCGTGCTGGGGCTCTGAGCGCTAGGCGCAGTCACTATGCCAGCCGGAGCACTGGCAGCTTCACCACTGCGATGCATACCGCCGGCTGCGGCACCAGAAATCATAGCCCCAGCGCCCGGCTGTCCACCGTTCACTGGACTCAACACAGGCGGCGCCGACTGCTCCTGTGTGACAGTTGTTTCGGAGCACACACCAAGCAGAACTGGCGCCGCCTCCGTTGAATCAAAACACGCTGCGGCACTGGGCACCGCCGCACCGGCATCAGCTGGAACCGCGCGCCTAGCCGGCATCACAGGGTCCCACAGCTCCGCCCGCCTAGACACGAACGGCCCATTCACTGAAGAAGGTTCGCCCTGCTCGTCGTCTCCCATCATGCGAAGCAGCTCAATACGCTAACCCTATGCCGGGAACGACGCGATGGGAGAAGGCTTGCGCCAGAAACGCACGTCCAGTGTGTGTGTGTATGCGAGACAGAGAGCGCCTACGCGAGTCCCGTGCGCGCACCGTTTGCAGCAATGCGCGCGCGCCGTTTGACGCCCCCCAGCGCGCCTGGACGCGCACCGCACCGAGGCGCTGGCCCCGCGCACCGGTGCCGTTTGATGGCGCGCCTGGACGCGCGAAGCGGCGCCTTCGGTACATCGCGCGGCGCTCGAGCGCGCGCCGGCACGCATCGATCCACGAAAGGTGCCCGCGACGTCGCGATGGCAGCTGCACGCACAGCATGTGACGTGACAACACGTTTCGGGGACACGCTGCGGCGTGTTGCGTCGAATTACGTTGCGCGCTGGTAACTAGCGCGCAACGTAATTGTATTCCGTGGCCGGGAGCGTGTCGTCGAATGCTGTTTCGCGGTTGATGGCAGGGGCGTTGACGTGCGTTCATTTGAATGAACGAAAAAAATCCAAAGGAAATGCATGGAGATAAAGGTCGGGGATTCCAGAGGGCTGGCATCTCTGGGTACCGTGAAAGGACTGAAAATTCTCTTCTCGTTGACTATCGGGCGTAGGAGAGCAAGTGACGAAATGGAAGAAGAGAAGATATCATCGAGACAAGGCGTTTGTCCTACGGGACGATGACGGGACTATAGTGGGACGGAGGATGCGAGCTCTAGGAATCCTGGCAATCATGCGTTTCACTGGAGGCAATAAACGCAAGGAAACCGTGAACCGGGACTTCAACGCCGCCATCAATACCAGATGATGCGCGGCGCTGGAGACGAGACCCGAGGAGCAGAGGCGAGCGAGCTTTGTGGGGCCCCCTCTGAGGCTCGATGTCTACGTCGAGGAAAGTGATACCGAGCGCAGGCGGTCGGTCAAGAAAGGTTGGGCAGCGTCTGCGCGTGGACACGTACGTAGATCTTCCATGGCTGCGAAACGTTTGCGTTTACTGTCATGTTTAGTAGAGTTTTTTGGTTTGACACGTCGTCTACAGCGACGATAGATCCCAGATTGCGGGATGGAATCTGGTATTCGGGAAAGCATCGAACATGCAGCACCCTACCTTCAAGCTTTGTAACCCCGAATGCTTCTCGTATATATTGGTAGTTTCGTACAGTCTATTGCGCATCGAGTGCCTGCCCTGAGCACCCGCTACAGCGCTTATACCGCTGGTGCGCATGCAGCACAGTAACGGAACGCCTTTGCCATACGACTTGGGGCGTCGCCTGGAGGCGAACTGCCCCTGAACCAGGCTCCGGTCTTGTCGCCGCTGCGCGACGCTCTGGAGAAACCAGACAGCAGCTAGGATGAATCCTGAGCGCCGCCTCTCACGTTCGCGATGTTGTACGCAAAGCGTTGTCGGTTGGCGACGCGGGCTTTTGCTTGGCATTCACCAGTGAGCAGGTGTGCAAGGCACCGGGCCTTCCGACGAGAAGGTAGAATGTGAGTTTGCTGGCCGCTACTGAGCGTTGGGGCTCGCTCAGTTACGAGACCGACGCCTCAATCGATACGAGCGCGGATGGATTGGACGGGCGTATGCGGCCTGTGGGGTGGTCTTGTGCCACAGGCGCTTCCGCTGACGGGTACGCGGTGCGCTCGGAGCTCGGGTGCTCTGCGCGTTTGTTACGGAGTATTGGGGTCAGCGCTGGACACGTTCAGGTACGGAGTAGGAAAATAAGCATGCATAGGATGGGGGTTTGTTGTCTTGTGCGCACACTTGTTTCGGAATGAAGCGGAACGTGTCTATGGAGCCAGGTAGGTTGTGCGCGCTAACGCCTGGGTCTGTTGCTAGTGGTACCAGTACCAGCTTTGGTGGACCTTTCCAGCGGCGGATTTGTTTGCCGGTCCCTTAGTTTTGGATTTAAATGGGCAGGTCTTTCGTGTTGCTCCAGCTCCGTTGCCGGCAGTCGAAAGACGGCGAAAGCAGGTCAAGTCCCGAATGGTCTGCTTTGCGTAGTTGACGACACATCCCGTGCACAAGTAGTTGCTGCGGTCGACGATTCGCTTCCCATGCTCATTTTCCTTGTATGCAGCATCGGTGCGCGAGTCGCAGCAGCAGTACTCGGCTGTGGTCAGGTGTTCTCATATGACCAATAGACTTGTTCCCCGTTTGAGAGCAGGTCTGTGGCGTACGAACACCTGCTTCGGCGCTCGTTGCGTACCCTTCACGGGCACCGAAGGCGTCAGTCGGTACCCGCTTCCATCAGCGAGCCCGGTGCCGTAGCCGCCGATCACTGGCCTCCGCTGGGGTATCCCGTCGACGAGTACGGTGACCGTTGCAAACGCGTACCCTGTTGCCTTCCATAGAGGATTTGTGGAACGCGATGTTCCATATAATGAAACGAGGAACGGAAGAAGAATCAAGGCCGGAGAACAAGTTGAGGAAACTCGATCCGTCTTGGCTTCTTTCATGCAGCGCAGTGAAGCATTCTTTATTGGAATCGATTGCTGGGATGGCTCAAGTCCGAGTCCAAGACCTTCGTCTGCGCAGGATTGAGGACACGACGCGGGCCCTGCTGGAGGTTATCGCGTAACAGGCATCACGCTACAGTCGAGACCAGTTTCGCCGATGACCCTGCAGCCAATACGTATTTCTCTTTCGAGCACGAATCGGCTACTTGACTTGAGACGTCCACTGAGCATTCGGATGGAGCCTGTAACCAAGTCCTCTGTGGACAAGGTCCAGTTTCTCGCCTCGTGAACAGCGCTGTGCGAATCGCTGGGCGCACCTGACGCTTTGAAACACAAAAGATCCAAAACTTGATGCGTCCTTGATCCGAGCATGCTACTCGCACGGAAAGGCCAAGAGTGAATGCTCCTACGCATGGTTTTGAGAATGATATCCGTTATTTTAGAATTCCGTGTTTGAATGCGTTGCGAATTGACTTGCTTTCCGTAACGCAACGAATACCAGCCGCAAAGCGTCGAGGGATCCCGCTTCGAAATGACGGCCAAGGCCCCTAAACAGTACGTTTCAATCAGCAGGCCCCTAGAGATGCGCTGCGAATATCGTGACTGTATATCTGGGATGCTTTTCGGAGAAAAAAATCGCAAGCCACGAGCAGAGCCAGCAGTTCATTGTTCCATTTTTATTTGTAACCGGTGTAAGGCGTTGTGCATCTCGATCAAATCAGGGTGCAGGGGTGCTCACTCGGGTGTCATGTGCCAGTCCTCATGCCAACGCGTGTTCCAGAGACGTAACGTTTGGTCGGCGGCACCGCTCACGAGGCCGTATTCACTCAGTGCGAGGCAATTGACGGCGCCGGTGTGGCCGAAAAACGCCCGACGTAGCATGGACGGACGACCTTGTGCGGGTTCCAGCAGCTGATGCATATCGTAGGCGCGAACGACTTGGTCCGCGCACCCGACATAGAGACGATCGCGGTCGAAGCGAAGCGCATTGATGCTGGAGCCAGTCTCGAGCACTTGGCGGCATTTGGCTGTTCGCAAATCCCACACTCGCACACACTCATCGCTGCTACCCGTGATCAAACGACTCTCATCGAACTGGAGACAGGTGACAGAGGCCTGGGTTGCCTCACCGTCCCCAGACTGCGTCACTGGCAATGTGCGGTGGCAACGTCCGGTTCGCATGTCCCACATTTTGACAGTACCGTCAGCACTTGCCGTGGCGAGCCCGTAGCGCCAAAACTGCAGTGCAGTGATGCCAGCCTCGTGTCCTTCCATGCGCAGGACGCGAGCGCGAGTTTCCAAGTCCCAACAGCAGAGCGTTCGATCGGTCGAACCAGTGATAACACGAGCATCATCCATTTGAATAGCCATGATAGCACCACGATGACCTCCAGCGAATACGTGCAGACATCGGTGACGTCGTGTGTGCGGCAGAGAAGTCAGCGGCGACGAAGCGCTTTCCTCGGCGTCGTATAGTTTCCACAGACGAGCGGTGCGGTCCGCAGATCCCGACACCAACAGTGTGCCTGTTGGATGGATATCGAGGGCGTGTACCCAGCCCTCGTGGCCGTGCAGAGTGTCCTTCCGCGATCCAAACGGATCCTTTGAGTCCACAAAAGACTCATCCAAAGACATGCAGACTGAAAGATCCCAGATGCGCAGCGTGCGATCAGCAGACGCAGAAACAATGATATCTGCTTCCTCGTGCACATCAGCAGCGAGCACCTGGCCAGTGTGCCCGTAAAGCGTACGAATGCAGAGGCGAGGGGTCAGGGAGTCGCGTTCGGAGCCCCGGGCGCCGCTGCTACTGTGGCGGCTTTCATTGGCAACGGCTCCGAGACGTGCTCCGGTCGGCATGTCCGCTGCTGCTTCGTCGGAGCTCTGTGGAGGATTCTCCGTTTTGAGCTCGGGAGGCGCACTCGTTGCACTGGGTAGGAAACTCGATCGACCGCGCCGCTCTTTGAGCGCTCGCTCCACCGCCTGAGCGACACCCGAGCCCTTGAGTTGCCGGATACGCTCCTCGAATGCAACGCTTTCAGAGCCAATAACGGTAACCTTCTCGTCCAAATTTCCAAGAAGTAGACGACTCAGTTCATCTCGCTCGCCCAGACTCTCCAGTTTCTCTTCCAAGGCATGTTTCTTGGTCAAAAGCTCTGCGAGCGCGGCCTCAACTTCCCGCAAGTCTTGAACGGTAGCGGCGCGCGCACGATAACATTTTTCGGACTCTCGAATGAGGTACTCTCGATCCGCTTGAAGCTCCAGATATAACCTCGCGATGTTTTCCAGAGACACAATATGCATGTTTGGCGACATGCGCATAAGCCGTCTCTGTAACGGCGATGGCGCAGCGAGTGGCCCTTGATGACGATCGCTTTCCTCTGGTGCATTTTCCAATAAACCTCGGACTTTCTCTTCGGTCACATGCGGAGGCACATCGCTGGCTCCTTGCGACTGCAGAATGCGCGTCAGTGGCGATACCTGATCGTCTTTGGTTGAGGCAAGGTTTTTCGCCGCACCGAGCCAACCAGGCGAATCGGCTTCTTCATCCTGGTGGCCGAACGGAGATGCCGGTTCGACTGAGCTCGCGCCGTCCGCACCGATAAGCGTGGACGCAGCCTGTCGGTCACTGCGTCCGTCTCTGTCAGGTGCTTCACTGACCTGCTCGTCTGAGTGGTCGATACCAGCGTGTGCACCCTGCGGCGTCCGCGTATTATGAACGGCATTTTTCACCGCCAGTGCCCTGTCCGCGTTTCTGCCAAGAGGCTCCCGAGTCGCCCCGGGACGTAGACGCGCCGCCCCGCGCTCTGGAGGCTTGCCCTCGTTCGCAGACGGCTCGACGCTTCCACGAAACTTCTGAAAAGCAGCTACTGGATCCAGTGCCTGGAGGTTCTCAGACTGTTGGTTGGTCCGCTCCCGTAGGGGCCTACTTGTGCCCTCACCTGGCCCATGGACCTTGTTCCGGGTCACAGTTGCTGCTACTTTCTTATCTTCTTTGGTCGCTTGCTTCGACTTGGTGCGCGCCCGAGTCCCTTCGGCACGAGCAGCGCTGTTCGTCCAAATACCCATCCCAGAAAGAGCCTCAAACATTTCAAAGGGAACGCTAATCGCGCAGTGCAGATAAAGCACGCCGAGCACTACCCCAAGAACAGGGAACGGTTCTGGGGTTCCGCGAGTCCCACCGCCAGCCCCCATTTCAAATTGCCGCACCTGGGCGACGCGCCACCCCGGAGGCGCATCCCGAGCGCGCCATCCGCGACTGACGGCAGCGCAGCGATCGATGCGCTCGCGGCTCCGGAGCGGAGAGCGCTGGTGCGCGTGCGCTGCCTCGGGGCATCCTCCCTGGACGAGTGAGGCACCCGCGGTACCTTGTCGGCGATTTGTAGAGCTGCATAGGCCGACGCGCATACAGCAGCTTCTCACTCGATATTTGGTGGCGATTTGTAGAGCTGCATAAGCCGACGCGCATACAGCAGCTTCTCACTCGATATTTGGTGGCGATTTGTAGAGCTGCATAAGCCGACGCGCATACAGCAGCTTCTCAGTCGATATTTGGTGGCGATTTGTAGAGCTGCATAAGCCGACGCGCATACAGCAGCTTCTCAGTCGATATTTGGTGGCTGATGGCGACCAGCTGGACGCTCCAAACAGCATCGTAAGCAGGGCTTTATCCGAAGAGTACTTGCAACGCTTCTCGGTTGTGCGCAGCGCGCGCCAGTGATCACCAGGTTTGGTGCTTTTCCAGAAGGCATTAATCGGGGTTGAGCAAACCCATTGCCATAGAGGCAGCGCATGTGCAAATGTTTTTTGAGATCCTGTACTTGAGATGAGCACCCGCTTGCGTAGGCTTCCCCGAGTCTGCTGATCTATTCGGACCTGATTCATGTGTAGCGCTGGGAGCGCCACTGCAATGCTGTGTATTTTTACTAGTTCGCGTCCGGGTGCGCGCAGGTTTATCTCCGAAACAGCCGTGCGGCGTCGGAGATCCCGTCCCAGTTTCTCGCTAGCTGCGCTGGTCCAGCTAGCTGACTTGAAGTCAACGAACGCTTGCGACTGGCCGTTCATTTTGGGGATCGTTCCGCTCGTTGAGAAGCCCGCACAAACACTGTCTACGACCTCGTCAGAGACTGGAATGAACCCATCAGTTGAGAGCCGGGATTGCTCAATATCTCCGCATTTATCACACAAACCGAATGACAGGGTCTCCGCCTGTGATCGTCCTCATCCCTCACGATCAAGAATAGAGGCAGTGTGCTTCCGGTCGCGAAAATGAGGTGCAACTGGATTCCACGGCCGACGCACCGAAGCATGTGCATCGTCGGCAGCGCGATGCCTCACATGCCATAGCTCTGGAGCGTTCGACTCGCCACGTGAATCACCAAGCGATGCAGAAAATAGTATTGCAGGCGTCAGCAGGCAAGACGATTGGTGCCGATTACTTGGGATCAACAACGCATTCGTCGCGACAGCGCGAATGCATCGCAAAGAATAAACGCTTTATGGCCCGGAAGCGTATTCTTTAGCGCACTCGGCCGGAAACGCCTGACGGTTGCATCCCCCGAAGACGCTCGTACGCACCTCTCCGCTCTAATAGTCTCAGTGCACGCATGAGCGGCTTCGAAACGCGAACTGACGTGCCCCGAACGGGGCTGGCGTTAGCGCACCCCCATCTTACGGATTGATGCATACCAGTCCAGGGCGAGAAACATTTCAAAGGCAACGCAAAAGAACCTAGAGCGAACAGAGGACAGCTATCCGCATTGTGCGCTGTGAACTTGTACAGCGCTCCACCTCATCCAGTCCAGTGGCGGGAACACAGGAGAAAACGAGCCACCAATCCTCTTTGATATGTCCCATTTTTATCACCAAGTGTACCCATTCGCACCGTCGAACAGGGACTTGCCTTTGTCGCTCGAGAGCACACTGCTCATTCTCGAGGGTGCTGCGTGGAGACACAACCCCCATTGCTTCCGAGAAGAGAGGTCTCGAGGTGAGCATCTGCGCAATGGATTGTTCTCGTTCGTCGCGTATGTACTCGACCTGTTCGGTGCTTGCCGAGGAGCATTCGAGCATCGAGAAGCCCTGCGGTCGCAGACAATCCGGCACATCAGTAGTGTCACAAGGATTCTCGCTTCGACTCAAATAGTTCCCGCACAACAGTGTCCACAATCGCATCGAGTCGATCTCTGGTGATCCACTGGTCACTCTGTGCTTGGAGTATCTGTGCAAGGCGCATACGCTTCAGCTGCGTCAACCGCAACTCGACATGCTTTCGCATTATTGCTCGGGAGCGTTCCGCATCTCGCAGTGCTTGCGTTGATGCTGTTCCTTCGTCCGCGCGACGCAGTTCCTTCTCAACCGCTCGGCGTGCCAGTGTCACATAGCCCAGGCCAAACTCGTCACAGTACGCATCAAGCTGAACGGGATCGATCACGACAACCGGAGCAGCGTCCGGTGAGGGTTTAATCGGCTTCACCTCCTTCCGTAGCCGCTCCTTCAGGGTCTCCAGCTTTCGATGGTGCTCGGCTGCTTCTCGTCGTTGTTGCTGCTGCGCAGCCTCCACGCGAGCCTTCCGTGCACGTTCGATGTCCGCGCGCTCGAGTTCGTAGGCTTCACGGAACTGGCGGCGCAGTGTGTGGAGCGTTTTCTCGTATTCACGCCTCTCTCGAACAAACGGTGTGTCGGTACCGTACAACCGGAAGAACACCCGCCGCGTCACCTCCTCTGTACGCCGTCGCAGAACGTAGGATGGAAGCGACATGGAACGGGGCAGCACGTTGCCTACGCACGCAATAGCCTCGGCTGCTATAAACGACAACAACTCGATCCAGCACCAATAAACGCCTCCGTGCAGCGGCAGTGCAGTCGTTCACTGCGGTCGACACGGCAGGAACGCTGGTGAGCGTCCAACAACAACCGAACGTACCCTGTACCGATTCCCTTAAGCGCAGCGTACGCTGCGCGATCGTGGTGTCGGGGCGTAGCGCGCCGCAGGCGTGAAGCCTGCAACAGCACCCCCTTGCAAACGTTTTGTCTGCGAGGTGCAGCGCAAACTAGCAAAGCTAAATCGGTTCGAAGAAGCCTCTGGTGAAGGTGGGAAGGTTCCCCTATCGTAAGCGTCTTGTTTGCGAGGTGCAGCGCAAACTAGCAAATCTAATTCGCTCAGAGGAAGCCTCTGGTGAAGCTGGGAACCTATCCCCTATCGTAAGCCTCTTTTCCACAAGGTGCTACGCAAACAGGCAAGGCTGAACCGCTTCGAGGAAGCTTTTCGTGAAGGTGGGAACCTTTCCCTGTCATAAGCGTCTTTTCTACAAGGTGGTACGCAAACAACCAAAGCGACGTAACTTCGAGGAAGCTTCTCTCAAACGAACCGCTTTTCAATGGCGCCGTTTCCCCGAGTGGGAGCTCTAGGCATAGTTCGCCAGTGGTTTTCCCACGTGAGGCGTGGATCAGGCGGCTACTTCGAATGGAACCCGCGCCGAGCGCTTGCTGGCCGGAGTAACGTTCACCGAGACTCGGAGGGCAATAGCGAGTTTACAACATTTGACTTCAGTGAGGATAACTACAAAAAGATTGCTGAAATCCTCAAACGATATCCGGTGAACTACAAACAATCCGCTGTGATTCCGGTGCTCGATCTCGCACAGCGCGAGTGCGGTGGCTGGCTGCCGCTGGCTGCCATGAACAAGGTTGCCCAGGTGCTGGGAATGCAGCCGATGCGCGTCTACGAGATAGCGACCTTCTACACGATGTTCAACACTGTTCCGATTGGCAAATACAATGTTCAGGTTTGTACAACGACGCCCTGCATGCTCCGTGGGGCATACGATATTCTTCGCGCCTGCGAGGAGGAGTCCGGCGCCCGTGCTGGTGGCGACTCTCCGGATGGCCTGTTCCATATCATGGAGGTCGAGTGCCTCGGTGCATGCGCTAACGCTCCAATGATGCAGATCAACGATGACTACTACGAAGACCTGACGCCCCAGAGTGCAAAAGCCGTTCTCAAAAGCTTTCGCGACGGCAACCCGTTGAAGCCGGGGCCGCAAGTCGCGCGGAAGAGTAGCATGGGTATTCAGGGGAAAACGACGCTGCTCGAGGAGCCCCCGGGGCCCTCGTGCCGCGATTTGTGATGCGCATGTACCATGGAGGCTGTTCTTTTCGGCAAACGTTGGATGCTGGTCGGGTATCGATATGGTGTACCCGACGGCGGGTGTCGAGTCTTGATGTCAGCGCTTGGCGCCAGAGAGGCGTGTAGCAGAGCGCACGTCCGCATCAGCGCGACGAAAAGCACTGAAATCCTGTCGGTGACGAGGGATGCATCCTGAGCGACGCTAACATTGCCTCGTTCAAGTGTGGTACAGCGAGCACTGTTTCCATCTGCTTGGACGCATATAGCTACTGTGGTTCGCGCAAGCGTCGTCGCAAATATTTGTATCCCTAATCATTAAAGATCGAGAAACGGGTACCCGCTGAGAAGCCTGGACCCCAAACCGAGTCATCTTGCCGCTCAACGAGGGCGATAAGTTGCCGCCGCTCGCCACCCAGCGCATTCCATGAAATCATGCGAACTGGATACCGGGGACGAAGCGGCCGCAGCCTCGTGCTTTCAGTTGCGTTCGTGCCCGCGAGCGCCACATCCAGTGCATTGCCCATTCGGAGGCCGACGCACCTGCCATCGTCCTGGTTGCCCGTGCACGTCTGCGGTAATATAGAGGCCGTGTCATGCCTGTTATTGTTTCCGTGCGCGCTGCTTGACAGCCAGGCCCGATTTGCGCTTTGTCGTATACGGTGGCTGCTGATGGCGAACCGCGACTTGACCGCGCAACCAGTCTGCGCACAGGGCATGTGGCATGCGTGGCGGCAGTCTGGACTATCCATACGCTCGGATGCATGGCGCTTGTGAACATCCCAGGTCCAACGAGGTACGCGCTCATGGTGCCGAACTTGTACGCGACTCTGTGAAAAGCAAATCGGACCTGAGTCCGGGGTTCACGGGTACAGTCCTTCCGCGGATCAAGGCTCTCGTTGTAGTTTTAGCTGCACTTGCTATCTGGATCATCATGGTAACCGTGTCGGTCCGCGGAGGTCACAGATGCGCTAAACGCATGCCAGCATAAAATGGAATGGGCGCACTGACCTCACTGCTGCATACGCGCTAATATTGGGCTCTCTCTTTTCCAACTGGTATCGAATCCAGCTTTTGCGGGGTTTTTCTCTGGAACTGCCTCCACTTTCTCCACCTCACTTCCGGTTTTCGAAAGAACGCGCTCTCTTGTGCTTACTTCCTGGTTGTCAGCAGTCGAAGCGTGTTGATTGCTGGGCCAAAGTCCCAATATCGGTGTTTTCGGATGCTGTAGACGCATGTCATGCACAGATGAAAGGTGTGATCGGCGCAATGTTCACCTGCTTTGGAGACAGACTCGGTGCATACTTCAGAGCGGTGACAATCGGCTGTTTTCAGGTGTGACCATGTATCCACCATGCCGTTTCTTCAGCAGGCTGCCCTGTGGCGCGTGAACGCTTCCGTCATCGCTCGGTACATGCTCTGGACGGCTCCAGGATGCTGCCCGCGATACCCTCTCCGTTTCAGAGCTGGATGAGGTACCCTACGATCACAGGCTTCTTCCGGGCGATCCGCTCGGCGAGGTCCCTGTCCACTGCATAAGGAAGCGCACGCTGTTGCCTTCCATAGAGGATTTGTGGAACGCGATGTTCCATATAATGAAACGAGGAACGGAAGAAGAATCAAGGCCGGAGAACAAGTTGAGGAAACTCGATCCGTCTTGGCTTCTTTCATGCAGCGCAGTGAAGCATTCTTTATTGGAATCGATTGCTGGGATGGCTCAAGTCCGAGTCCAAGACCTTCGTCTGCGCAGGATTGAGGACACGACGGGGGCCCTGCTGGAGCTTATTGCATAACAGGCATCGCACTGCAGTCGAGACCAGTTTCGCCGATGACCCTGCAGCCAATACGTATTTCTCTTTCGAGCACGAATCGGCTTCTTGACTTGAAACGTTCAGTGAACATTCGGATGGAGCCTCTAAAAAGTCGCCAGGTAACAAAGTCGAGTTGCCTTGAAACCAGAGGATCAAAAACTTGAGGAATGCGTGATTCGAGCATGCGACACACGAGGAACTGAGCGGCCCGAAAGCGCATAGCTATGCGTTGCCTAAACCGGTCATTTATTTTAACGAACCCTAGCTCAGGGGCGTTGCGATTTATGTCGACTCCCGAGACGTAACGAATTCCAGCTTCAGGAGTATCGAACAAATGTGTCCGACACACCATCTGAGGATCCTAAACCTCCGTATGAATCCATAAGCCATCAGTACTGCACCTCGAGTCTCGAGGCTGCACATCTGAAAACACTGCGGAAGAATCGCATGGGCGCAACTGAGCGCCCTGTTCTGTGTTCCATTCGAATCTGACACGGGAGTCGCGAAACTTCAGGCTTCGCAGTACTGAACGCAATCGTTTCGACGGTCGTTATTCGTGCAATCCAGCGGGCTCGTCTCAAAAATCCCAAGTCATATCGAATAACCGAACACCGTGACCGTCACTCGTTGCCGGGGATAATCTATCACGGTGTATGCGTGCGGCGCATCAACTTTGCTTCCCGTACCGTACCAGTGCCGTACTCGAGATGTGGACCCAATTCTCTGTCTCCTGGACAGTGACTTTCGTCAATGGAAGCCTTCAGAGTCTCAGCACAATGCTCCCACTGAGTATAAAGCGGCTCCCTCGAGAGTTCGGTCGACACACGAAGCCGCTGGACGCTCCGGAAAAGGCGAGTACCTCGGGGATGCTCATCGATGCATTCAAGCGTCGGTGCGGAATGGCATGCTCGCATGGCCACGAACGGAATCGTACCCGAGTCTCCAGGGCGTGTTCGATCGCCCAGCCGTCTGACGTTCGCCCTTCCTAACGTACACGATCTCGTGGAACCTGCTCTGTTTCACGCTGGTTTTCTAGATCCGTTTCAATGTGCACCCGTCTTCGTGACAGCCGCGTGTCGTCCTGAACGTATCGACGGGAATCGTATGGAACGGATACCTGCAGTCGTGGCACGCTCGCAGCAAACATGCAGGCGTGCAGTCCTTGCGCGCTACCGCGCGTCCATTTCCATAGGCTGCCATCGAGCGACGCGACGTATCGATGAAACCCATTTTCAACGCACTGAACGAGCAGGCGAATGCATGGTTGTTGCCTCTGTACCTCGGAAACTGTTGGCGACTCCAGCGTGCTCTCATGTAGGCCCGCCGCAGATCGCATACACGAGCCATCCGGACGCTCATGTACTCGATGAAGTGTGGAATTCCTTCCACCATTCACCATTTTTCTCTGCAAGTGAGTGACGATGCTACGCACATAGAGCGTAGCTCATGAAGCGCCCGAAATTGACCAGCACGTGATTTGGGTTTTTGAGGTTTGCCTGATACGTTTTCGGACCGGCGCTTCACGTGCCCCGATCGTCGACTTGTCGCTGCGGCGCGTCGCGGTGCACTGAGAAGCGAGTGTGCAGTTCTCGGAACCCCCAACCAGGTTCAGAGATGTATGCTGTGTCCGAACATCGGTCGCACTGTCGCATTAAGGTGTGATCAATCAAGTCCAGAGGAATGTGGAAAGCTGGCAGCCCTGCCTCCGGAACTCGTAAGAAAAGCTGCTCGACGAGGTATGCCACAGCGAGAGGAGCTGGGCGAGCCTTCATCGAGAAGGAAGCCTCGCGACGCTCGACGGCGTCTTGTATCTGCTGTTGTCACGGATGTGAACAACTCGACTACTGATGCGTGAGCATAAAAAGTGGACTTTGACGGCAGGGAAAACCCCTTCGACTGGATTGTACAATAGAGCATGGGCTGGCATAAGCGCGGCCCGACGCCATTCTGCGTTGCGGCTCCTTGATTGATTTTGAATCATGGAAAGCGACGGTATCTAAGAACAAACCAGAAGAACGCGCGAGTGAAAGGCCACAAAGTGCTCCGACGAAGAATGACCTAATGAATGCTCCTATGCGTTTGGCGACTGATATGCAACCATGAAGCTGAATCGCCGCTTGGACTGATATTGTCGGAATGTCCGCTTGTCTCGTGTTTACGAACAGTGGGTAGCTTCGCTTTGAGTACTCATGTACAAATCTACCAACTCGACCGCATAACGTCTCACCGAGTGAAATGAACACCCGTCCTTCGCGTTTCAGTACGGAAACGCATGGAGGTTATGGAGCACTCGACGGTCGTCCAGTGAAGCGCGCTTTCCTCTTTGTGCATTCGTGTAGCGTTACCGCAATTCGTACCCAGGGAGCGGAAACTTGACATCCTGTAGATTTTCTCGCAGTATTCTGCAAAGAACTAGTGGAATGGAATGGATTGACGAGCGGGCAGCCGTGGGAAGAGAATGTAAAAAGTTTCCTTTTAGGTCTACAACGATCAGGTTCATGACTACAACGACGATGGTTCGTCCGCCTGTTGACGGTACAGAGATTGCCTTTTGGACGGAAAGCCGTTCTTTGCATGCCAGCACTGACAGCCTTAATCCTTTGCGCGACTTGTCTCCAGTTGACAGGAGACACACCCCTTGGGTTCGATATCTGCGAGAGAAACGAGGGAAAATGGGGTGTGTTGGTTTCGGCATGCCAAGTTTCACTGCGCTGAGCATAACAGCGGCAAGCGAACCCCCTCTGAGCATTGGACTCGTTCAAACAAACTGTGCTTCTTTTGTACCAGTACATTCGACAAACGCTACGCTTCTGTTGAGCGCCCCACGCCCGCCAAGCAGTGCTCCGGCTACCCACAGCAGCGTCGGCGGCAGTTCTTGTGGTCTCACGGTTTGCACACGATGCGTTTGTTGGTGCTTTCGTGCGACTCCCGCCACTGGAAACCTTTGAAAAACCCGCACTGTAAACGTTTCGCTGCGGTTTGGTCGAAACTCGAGCGCACGGACGCTCGCAGCACCACGCTTCGCGGGTGGCAGCGCGATCGTCACCGGGTCCGGTGCCGACCTGTCGCTGACCACCCAGAAGCCCGTGCTACACCCTGTTCACCTACTGGTCTCCTAGTCAAACCGGTACGTTGCCGCGTCTCGCATGCCGTCTACTGCTTCCGCCTCCGCTCGTATAGATGCGGTAGTTGCTTCGGGGTACGCGCCTGCCGCGTTCCACGATAGAGCCGCCAGCGTCTCCGCAGCGCCGAACGATGGCTGAACGAGGGCGCGCGGAGACGCACCAGCGTCAGCTTCGTCTCCGCAGCTGCAGGCGAGGCGTCGCCGCTCATCCACAACCGTTCTGTGTGTGTGTGTGTGTCGAGTGCCTGGCGCACGACCTACGGAAACGCACACCGAGTAGCTCTGGAGACAGCGACGTGTCTACGAGCCCGTTTCGCGATACCAGAGACTGAACCGGTTACGGTCTGAGCACAACCAGAACGCTCTCCGTGTTCCGCTGCGGAAAGGTCGGCCAGCGGAGGCGTTAGCGGCAGCAACACCATGAATCTCTTTCGTTTGTGCGGGGACCTCTCGCACGTTGTGTCGATTGTATTGCTCTTGCTGAAGATCCGTGCTACGCGCTCCTGCGTTGGCATCTCACTGAAAACTCAGTTTTTGTACCTGGTGGTCTTCGTCACTCGCTACCTGGACCTATTCGTTACGTTCATCTCCCTGTACAACAGTGTGATGAAGGTAGCGTTCATCTCAACGACGGCCTATATCTTGTATTTGATGTTTTTTAAGTTCAAACATACCTACGATAAGGACCACGACACTTTCAGGATTCAATTCTTGATCGCGTTCGCAGCAGCGCTTGCGTTCGTTACACCGCACCGCTACTCGTTGCTCGAGGTGCTGTGGACGTTCAGCCTCTGGTTGGAGTCGGTCGCCATCCTGCCACAGCTCTATATGCTGCAGACGACTGGCGAGTGCGAGAACCTAACGAGTCATTACATTTTCGCGCTGGGGCTTTATCGAGCGCTGTACGCTGTCAACTGGGTGTACCGCTACAGCACCGAGCCCGGCTACTGGCAACCTGTGACTTGGATAGCGGGTATCCTTCAAACAGCACTCTATGGAGACTTCTTTTACTATTACGTCGCGAGCAGAAGACGAGGTAAAAGGCTCAAGCTTCCAACTTGATCAGGTTGCGAGGCCCCATTGCCCCGTGCTTCAATGCGAGCACTTTCAACACTGACCAGTGCGCGCTGCACGGTGTCATGTCATGTTCTATTCTATTCTATTCTATTCTGTTCTGTTCTGTTCTGTTGTGCGATGCTGCACTGCCGCATCGACATGCGTCCAGCGACGCTGATAACGGCAGGTGTTCTCGCGGTGCACGATCGACGAACGCATACACATACAGATAGACATATACATACATACATACATATACATACACATACACATACCGCCAAGGCATGGCGGGCAACGCGTCCGATGATGCGCGCACACAAGGCGAACGTGCAGGCACCGCCGAGGCCGGGGCTCGCATTCACCTGTCGTGTTGTGCGCTCGTTTCGCTGTTCATTCGCTTGATAGATTCCTTGGACTAGGTGCATTCGCTGGTGCACTCTGAGGTTTGATTTGCGTCTGAGCCGGCGGTCGACGGTTGCAGATCAGTGCTTGACCATCGGCGGAAACTTGCGCGCCACTTAGTGTCAAGATTTGTTCTAACGAGGAGCACCGCTCTGGATGCAGCGTGCTGTTGCGATGCTGCTTCACCGATGCGCGATGTGGCGATCGCCTTTCGGGTATCGAGGAGTCTTCAGGATTGAGATCCACGAGCTCTTCGATGAAACCCAACGGGACGCTGGGACGGTAAGCAGTCTGAACGGCGTTGAGAACTTGTTGAACAATGCGCGTGTCGAACCAGGACACCAAATGCCTTGCCGTTGGTGGCAATCTCTTTCGGATACGCATAAACGAAAAGTAATCGTGGCGAGCGAGCGCTAGAACGAGCTGCACAGTAGTGCTCCACAGGTCTATCGTGTCGCGTGCAGCGCTTGATTCGGCGACAGTTTCGGCAGCAGCATCGCCAAGCAGGTCTTCGTCGCGCAAAATGAGCCGAACATCGAGCAGACTCCCGGTATACAGAGCCAACAAAACGCTGTACGAGAGAAATTCTCTCTGATTGGAACGATATTCGGAGCGACTCGCCTGGAACAATGATTTCAGCATCGAAAGGCACTGGCTGAGCTCTGCGACGTCGTCGTGGAAGATGGCGAGGCGAGCATGCGTCTCGTATACATCGAAAGCGAGGCGATGTTCAGCACCTAGACCTTGCACTTGCATATCCTGCCGAATGGCTTTCAACTGCTCGCGAAGGAAGGTATAGTCTATGCTGCCATGCTCCCATCGCGACATGAGCTGGGCGAAAGCCGTCTCCAGAACGGAAAGCGGGCGAACTTGATCAGCTTGGGCCTCTTTCGTGAGTCGCAAATATGTTTTCTCCAGGACAGCCGACGTTCCGACGAGCCGATGTGCATGCGCATCCGTCTGCTGCAGAGACGCCCGCGAGTTATCCTTGGACACGATAAGCTGGGATGCTTCCAGGCGCTGTCCGCATTTCAGGTGTTCCCGGAAACGTTCCGCACGGGCACGTCGCCGGGATGCTTCCGCGTGTGCACTGGGAGTGTGCATTGGCGAGCCACTTTGATGCCGCAGTAGCGTATCGGGAGAAACTGGATCCCAACCGGCCCTTAAATGATGGTTTCCTAACTGGTTTTCCAACGGGTAAATTGCCGCATCATTGCCCGACAAGGCGGAAGCAGCTTGCAAGGGTGTCATTCCCAGCGGGTGTGCAGCCGGTCGCTGAGGCATATCCGCTATGCCTCGTCGGTCGGGAACTCGCGTTCCCGTCATCGCTTTGGGGAAAAACGCGTGGTTGCCCAGCGAAATACCCGCTTTTTCCGAGACCTTCGGTGCGGTGGCTTGGAGCTTGGGCCCTGCTGGCTGGGCCTGCAGGCGATTGTCCCGGGAACCGGTCCGTTCTCTTTGCGTGACGGCTTCCGCGAGTCCACCCGCCGCTAGACAGGTCGTTTCCGTCTTGGACAAGCTTTTACCCGAGCCGTCCCCGTCCTGTTTAGCGCCCGGACGAAAAATGGGCGGTGCAGGGGCGCGTCTCCCGTCGACGCAGTTCACATAGACGGTGAGCGACCGACCGGCGTCGGCTGCGGCAGGGTTCGGAAGCTTTCGGCGCTCCCAGAGCCAGCGCGTTCTATCCAGTCGCGAATCATACAAGAACTCTCGTCCCGCTTCGTCCAGGTGATATGAAATGTGCGACGGAAGCAGCGCTCGATAGTATTGTCGGTTGGCCTCGAAGAGTTGCGCTCCGATCGCTGGGACCTCCATCAGTCCGCAGCTGCTGGCAAAGTTGACCTGTACGGTCACTGGTGGTAAAGATAGCGTTTATGTCCGTCCTTTTCGAACGCAAACGTACTGACCTACGATATTTCTTTTACGAGCTGCTTGGTGGTCGTACAGTCAAATCCCGTGAAAATACGCAGTTTCGACCTGGGTTTCGTTGTAGCGGGCGAAGGACGTCACGGTCGCTACGCACTCGAGTCAGATTGCGATGGAGCACTGAACTAGTCGGTACGTTCCTTTTTTCTCGATTTGCCCCGAACCTTATAGACCTGCAGGCTCAAGATTCGAAATTCAGAAATAAAGACTTCAAGATGCATGCATAGTCTTCGGATTCTTGGTCGTCATTTCGAAGCGGGATCCCTCGACGCTTTGCGGCTGGTATTCGTTGCGTTACGGAAAGCAAGTCAATTCGCAACGCATTCAAACAAGGAATCCTAAAATAACGGATATTATTCTCAAAACCATGCGTAGGAGCATTCACTCTTGGCCTTTCCGTGCGAGTAGCATGCTCGGATCAAGGACGCATCAAGTTTTGGATCTTTTGTGTTTCAAAGCGTCAGGTGCGCCCAGCGATTCGCACAGCGCTGTTCACGAGGCGAGAAACTGGACCTTGTCCATAGAGGACTTGGTTACAGGCTCCATCCGAATGCTCACTGAACGTCTCAAGTCAAGTAGCCGATTCGTGCTCGAAAGAGAAATACGTATTGGCTGCAGGGTCATCGGCGAAACTGGTCTCGACTGCAGTGCGATGCCTGTTACGCGATAACCTCCAGCAGGGCCCGCGTCGTGTCCTCAATCTTGCGCAGACGAAGGTCTTGGACTCGGACTTGAGCCATCCCAGCAATCGATTCCAATAAAGAATGCTTCACTGCGCTGCATGAAAGAAGCCAAGACGGATCGAGTTTCCTCAACTTGTTCTCCGGCCTTGATTCTTCTTCCGTTCCTCGTTTCATTATATGGAACATCGCGTTCCACAAATCCTCTGTGGAAGGCAACAGGGTACGCGTTTGCAACGGTCACTGTACTCGTCGACGGGATACCCCAGCGGAGGCCAGTGATCGGCGGCTACGGCACCGGGCTCGCTGATGGAAGCGGGTACCGACTGACGCCTTTGGTGCCCGTGAAGGGTACGCAACGAGCGCCGAAGCAGGTGTTCGTACGCCACAGACCTGCTCCCAAACGGGGAACAAGTCTATTGGTCATATGAGAACACCTGACCACAGCCGAGTACTGCTGCTGCGACTCGCGCACCGATGCTGCATACAAGGAAAATGAGCATGGGAAGCGAATCGTCGACCGCAGCAACTACTTGTGCACGGGATGTGTCGTCAACTACGCAAAGCAGACCATTCGGGACTTGACCTGCTTTCGCCGTCTTTCGACTGCCGGCAACGGAGCTGGAGCAACACGAAAGACCTGCCCATTTAAATCCAAAACTAAGGGACCGGCAAACAAATCCGCCGCTGGAAAGGTCCACCAATGCTGGTACTGATACCACTAGCAACAGACCCAAGCGTTAGCGCGCACAACCTACCTGGCTCCATAGACACGTTCCGCTTCATTCCGAAACAAGTGTGCGCACAAGACAACAAACCCCCATCCTATGCATGCTTATTTTCCTACTCCGTACCTGAACGTGTCCAGCGCTGACCCCAATACTCCGTAACAAACGCGCAGAGCACCCGAGCTCCGAGCGCACCGCGTACCCGTCAGCGGAAGCGCCTGTGGCACAAGACCACCCCACAGGCCGCATACGCCCGTCCAATCCATCCGCGCTCGTATCGATTGAGGCGGCGGTCTCGTAACTGAGCGAGCCCCAACGCTCAGTAGCGGCCAGCAAACTCACATTCTACCTTCTCGGCGGAAGGCCCGGTGCTTTGCACACCTGCTCACTGGTGAATGCCAAGCAAAAGCCCGCGTCGCCAACCGACAACGCTTGGCGTACACCATCGCGAACGTGAGAGGCGGCGCTCAGGATTCATCCTAGCTGCTGTCTGGTTTCTCCAGAGCGTCGCGCAGCGGCGACAAGACCGGAGCCTGGTTCAGGGGCAGTTCGCCTCCAGGCGACGCCCCAAGTCGTATGGCAAAGGCGTTCCGTTACTGTGCTGCATGCGCACCAGCGGTATAAGCGCTGTAGCGGGTGCTCAGGGCAGGCACTCGATGCGCAATAGACTGTACGAACTACCAATATATACGAGAAGCATTCGGGGTTACAAAGCTTGAAGGTAGGGTGCTGCATGTTCGATGCTTTCCCGAATACCAGATTCCATCCCGCAATCTGGGATCTATCGACGCTGTAGACGTCGTATCAAACCAAAAATAGAATCAGGGGATCGCAACGGAGATCATTTCGACGCCACGCGGGGACGTCCTGACGGCCTCTCCGACGCCCGCAAGCCGCACCGAACGGTTATTGTGGCAGAAACGATCCCAGTTCGAGCGGATCCCCGGCGACGGGTGGTAGACAACGCTGCTGGACCCGCTGGTGCTGCCATGCGGGGACCGACCCGCCCGACGGACAGAGCAGTGGACGCTCTGACCAGCGTTGGCATCGTCACTTGGTCAAAGCCTCTGCTCAGAGACTGTGGAGGTGTCGTCTCCGCGGGCCCTGGAGCACGGTTTTTTCCGTTCTGTGACGGATGTCTTTGTCGGTGACCGAGTGGTGCGCTGAGGCCGGCTCACGCGGTGTCCATGAACCGAGCGCGTCGGCAGTGGGCGAAGCAGGTACAGCGAGTTGTAGCTACCGAGCTGACGAAACGTTGGCAACACAGCTGATAACGGAGCGATGTGCGGTGCCAGGCGAGTCACACGCCCCCGTGGACGGCACAAACGATCCAGAGTCCGTGAATGCAACTGCGAGCTCGGATGAGGGTCGGAATCGTAAGCTCTCCTTGATAAGTACCTCGTGCGGTAGTGACTATGGAGAGCAGGGCGAGCTTCAAGAGCCTTTAGCCGGTTCAGGCGACGCCGGCCTCTTGCAAGGAGTCTGTGAGCGTTGCCGGGCTGTACACGACCGGTCTTACGGCAGCGGTCGTTTCTGCAGCGTCCAGTGTGCTCGGAAAGTAGCAGCCAAGGCCAAATGGGAGCGCCACCGTTCTCAAAGACGTGCCACAGTCCCGCATGAGACCAGCAAGGGCTCGACGTACAAGCAGGTGACGGAGCGTCCCGGAAAGGAGCACCCCCATAAGCGATGGCGAACATGCGCTCTCTCGCGGACGCATCAAGACGCTGGGAGGCAGGCTCTGATAGCTTCAGATGCGCTGCTGCAACGTACGCGCTCGCCACACATCCTGGGCCGCCTCTATCCGGCAACCGCACCAGGTATCTATCTACCATATTCGTGGACGCATCTGGACGCGCTGCTGCACCAGCAGCCTAAACATGGATTGCATGAACCGGAGGCTGTCCAGCAGGGCGAACTCGGCTCGAACGGGTGGCCTCTTCCTGGTCACGCGTGCACGGCTGCTGCTGCCGCCGCCACCGCCACTGCCACGGTGTCGCGGGGCATCGGCCAGGTACCGCTCCCGCCGTTCTCGGTGGCGTTCCGTAGACATTGCGCTCAGAGCACGCAGCACCTGTGCAGAAGCGTACAACCTCTACATTGTCGTGAGCAGAATCTGCCCTCGTTCGAGAAAGTGCTTCGATTCGCAAAGGCGATGCCGTCGATATGGTCCGTGCAGACGACATACCTGCGGGATCCTTTCCGCTACACCATTTGATGCGCACGCCCGCGGCGGACGCTTCTCGTGGACCATACACAGACACAGACAGACATGTGCCATAAAATGTATCCCGCTTTGTTATACCGCGAGGATGCGCTCGCACGCAAGTAGCGTGGCAATGCGTCGTAACGCAGAAGCGTGCATGCGAGGACTGAGTGGGTGCTGTGCTTCCCGCGCAGCGACACTGCGACCTCTGCTGTGCCGTGGTTGCAGCAGCAGCAGCAGCAGCATCAGCAGCAGCAGCAGCAGCGCTCTGACAACTGGAACCGGTATCCATGCGCTTCAGCTTGCACGAGTTGAGTGCTCCGATTGCTAGAAGCGGCCAGGAATCCGCGCGAGCGAGCGTACGCATGGCAACGTCACGCTCGATGCCGGAAACCTGAATGACACTGGCTGTCGGCAGGCGTTGCTGAGCGGACACCAAGGTCTGCGGGTAGCCGCGACAAGTCGGACACATGCTGCAACCGACTCGGCAGCGATGCAGCGGTACAATCTCCCAGTGCGCTGCGCGTCTCGACGCATCCACGTAGACGGATATCGGTGCGGCATCGACATCGCTGCACTGGAAGCACCGAATTCACTACGCGACCCGGACATTTGTATCCAGGTCAATGCAGCTTTTGAAACGTGTTGAGTAAAGCCGCGCTTCGAATCATGCGGTGAACAGCATCATGGTGGCGGGTCGCGTCCCTCGAACGGGCGATGTTGGCGCTCTCGAAGCGCATGATGTTGCCTTCGAACGGGCGCTGCGGATGCGTCCCGTCGCTCATCAATCCAATGAGGGCGTCATCCACAGTACGCGGATACCGCAAGCACGGTCGTCGACGGCAGGGGTGTCGAACGGCGGCAGCGTTTCCTATCGGCAGTGGAGCGTCTCCAAGCCAGGGCCAGCATGGCCTACTTCGAAGGAGGCACGTGCTGGGCGCATTTCACGTCGCAAGGCAGCGTCCGTATCGGGGCTGCCTTCGACTGTGGCCCGCAGGTCATGTTGCAATAAAGTCAGCTGGATGGTTTACGGTGTCCTGGAGTGCCTCAGGTTCCGTGGTGCGGCACATAGGTGAAGCCCTCAAAGACCTTGCCTGGAGTCTTCGTCCATGGGATGAGGTTTCCATCAAGCACGTTCAGTGCGTCCGTAGCAGACCGATTCGCTGGCGGCAGTGACGCCGTCGCCTGCATCCGCTCATGTGCTGCTTTCTGGAGCAATTTCGCACGAACTCTTTCCTCTTCCGCTGAGGTATCGAAAGTTGGAGCCTCGTCCGTAAACGATGTATCAAAGTTCTCCGTAGAATCCAGAGGCGCATCGCTGCGAACCGGCTGGAATGGTGCCGGAATCTTCCGCTGCATCAGCGCGTCCCAGTCCAGACCGCTGAAAAACGGGTGTCGTTTGATGGCGGCGGCACCGTTTGCCCCAGACCCAAGTCTCTTGGACGGATCGCGCGTCAAGAGGCCTGCAATCAGGGAGCGCGCCTCCGGTGATACGTACTCTGGGAGCCGGAGCTCCGCTTTGAGAATTCGCTCCATCATCAAGTTCACATTTGTTGAGTAGAATGGCGGTAGGCCAGATATTAATTCGGCCATGAGGGTGCCCATGGCCCACCAGTCGACCGCAAACGAATGCCCTTGCGCGGTGATCACCTCCGGCGCCAGGTACTCGACCGTTCCTACATACGTCATCGCTTTGTCCTGATTATCTTGAAGCAGTTTCGATAATCCGAAATCCGCCAATAAGACGTGGCCCTCACGGTCCAGTAAGACATTCTCTGGCTTCAGGTCACGATAAATAATATTCCGCGCGTGTAGATACTCGAGCGCGAGCGTAATCTCCGCAATGTACACGCGCACCGTGCTCTCTGGAAAGCGTCCCTCGCGCTTCAGATGGAAAAACAGTTCACCGCCGCTGCAATAGTCCAGAACCAAGTACAGCTGATCTTCGGTTTGGAATGCGTAGCGCAGTGCTACGATGTATGGATGCTGAACGTTTCCCAGGATTAGCCGTTCCGCCATAGTATGCTCTATCTGGTTACGTGCCATAATCGCTTTCTTCGATAGGATTTTCATTGCGAAGAGCTCCCCGGTGTCGCGCTTACGAACGAGCAGCACTTTTGCAAACGACCCACGTCCAAGGGTCTTCAAGGGCATAAAGTCCTCCCGGGTGACTCGGGCTTGTCCGAAAATCATTGACGATTTTTGTGGCGGAGACGAAGCGTTGAGTCCATACGCCGCTTGCGACAAGTCACGCGCCGCGCAGCACGGGCGTTCGGCGCGCGGTTTCCCGCCCGCCGCTGTGCCAGTGGCGCCTGGCTGACTGATGACGACCGGGGTCGGCGCCTCGAGCGGCTTACGTGTTCCACCAGCCTCCAGACCTGTACCCCGGTAGGCTTGGTCCCGCAACGACTCGTGGGAGGAGGTCTTCGGCTTCCGCGGGGCAGAACGTGCCGACTGTCCAGCGAGCTTACGCTGAATACGTGCGAGCTCACCACTACTCCTAGAGTGTCGGGCCTCTGAAGACGAAGGCTGGTTGCCCATTATACAACCAGCCTTTGATCAGGCACAGGACGCACAGGAAAAGAGTCAAAAGCTGAAAACGTGCTCGATGGATAGGCGCAGCGGAATTTGTGCGCCAAACTTGTCTGGAAGGTACGGTGACGTGTTCGCATCACAGCTTGTCACGTGGCGGCGAAAACGGCGTGACAGATTGTAAATGGCCCGCCCAGTGTGTGCGCGATCACCGCTGTCTTGACATTCATGTAAAACTCAGTAAGAAACTGTATTTTTAGGATAAAAACGCGCCGAGATCAGGTTTCCCCGGCGGTGTCGGATCTCGTGTACCCGCCACGCGGCGCACGCATCCCGTGTATTTGCATGATTTTTTCTGTCTGGCATATCGTTGACGAGCGGATCAGGAATCCCTGATTGCGCGCTTGATAGCAGCGCGAGGTCAAACGTAAATGATTCCACAAATAAAGTCCAAGTTCCACGAGCCATACATTCACTCAGAGGTTCTGGTTATTTTTTACGCTCTATCGCGTGCCAAGTGCATGCAATGAGCGTCCGCAATGGCACCGAGAGCGCCGGTGCAGGCATTGCACGGAGAGAGAACGGCTCTGTTGGACAACTGGAGTCGTCGTTTCGTGGCCTACACCATGTACGCAGCGTACACTAGCACTTGCGCTCCGAGGTTGCCCTATTTTCCAGTTCGGACGACCTGGTCAAGCGCTGCCTGGCGAGCGCCAGTGGGACGATTTCGTGGATGAAGCGCCAAAATCGTTCAGTTCCATGTAGCAAGTTGGAATTGATCACATTCCGACGATAAGCGCACAATACCCCGCGGACAGTACACACACACACACTCGATAGAACGCGAGTTCGGCGCCGTTGGAGCACACACCCTGTTGCGTGCTGTCCAGGCACGCAAACCGATAACATGAGCGCTCGGGGTACTACACCAGTCGCAGGCTCGACAGCTTCTGGCGTTGTTTCATCGGGGTACGCTCATCCAGAAAAACGCATTCATGAATGTACAGAACTTGGTACTGCACAGCCTGGAGATCCTGTAACGTCCATGCCCTGATCCGAGGCCGGCCGCAGCTCACGCCCTGGCTCGGGTCAATGAGCAGCAGGCAAGACTCATTTCGCCTCAGATCGATCTCAACGCCGATTACTGTAACCGAATGACCTGCATACTGGAAAAAAAGAGGCGGTATCCAGTCATTGCGTTTGCTTCCAGCATGAACTGCTCGCGCGTTCGATACGTCACCATCGCTTGCTCTGGCGGTGCTGCGTCCGGACTGGCGGCAGACGATGCAACCGCCAGCTCGAGCGCATCGACGCACGTAGTACTGTAGTGCCCAGCGCATGAGGGACTGGTGCCGGCTCTCGCGCTCGCTCTGAAACTGCGGGTCCGAGTCAACCAGCCGGACATCGATGCCCCAGTACCGCAGCAACGCGGCAGCATCGCTCGTCCCGATCCACTGGCGACTTCCGCGGAGAGGCTCGTAAAAGTGGCTTCTGTCCATTTCGTCAAATCCGCATGACCAGGCGATTTCTAGCGCCTCCTGTATCGCCAGAACGTTTGGGACTTGACCTGTTCGCCAGGGCGTGGCTGGCGGCCCCTGGCCACTTGCCGAGTACGTGGCGTTGTGCGTCGTTTGGACCAAGCCTTTAACCAAAGCCGATAGCAACATCTGCAGGTTACGGTACCCGCAGTCCCAACCGTCTCCGTCAACCGTGGCCAAGTGGATGTCAAGTTCGGAGCACGCGTGCCGGGTCCTCCGAGGTCGCAGCATTCTTTCGATAGCGTACCGGTTGTCGCGTAAGCGCTCGCGGTCCTCCTGTGCTTGGTCCCATTGACTGAGCAGCAGCCTCGAAATACCTGATGCAAGGTGCGGCTCCGCACGTTCGAACGCCTCGCCGGCCAACATCGAGGCGCTTCTCTGCGCACAGCGCTGCTCAACAACCCGGCACCGTGTGAAACTCCATTCCGACGACGCTAGAACTCATGAATCCGGCCACAAACCTGAGACCGAATCCACGAAAAAGCGGCCCAGACGCTTTGGTACGCTGTTCAGCGAGCGCAGACGGAGACTAGATCCTCACGAGGTATAGCAGCACACCAGCGTTTTGCGGAAGCAGCCACTCCAACGTCAACACGAAATGCAACTGGTCCGCTCACGCCACACAGGCGTACGCGTTCATCTTCGGGTCTCTTACACCTGTTATCATCATCATCAACGCTTGCGGCTTTTGTTTCTGTGACGGCTGCCTGTTTCTGTGACTGATCACCGGCTTTAAATGGGCAGGTCTTTCGTGTTGCTCCAGCTCCGTTGCCGGCAGTCGAAAGACGGCGAAAGCAGGTCTAGTCCCGAATGGTCTGCTTTGCGTAGATGTCGACACATCCCGTGCACAAGTAGTTGCTGCGGTCGACGATTCGCTTCCCATGCTCATTTTCCTTGTATGCAGCATCGGTGCGCGAGTCGCAGCAGCAGTACTCGGCTGTGGTCAGGTGTTCTCATATGACCAATAGACTTGTTCCCCGTTTGAGAGCAGGTCTGTGGCGTACGAACACCTGCTTCGGCGCTCGTTGCGTACCCTTCACGGGCACCAAAGGCGTCAGTCGGTACCCGCTTCCATCAGCGAGCCCGGTGCCGTAGCCGCCGATCACTGGCCTCCGCTGGGGTATCCCGTCGACGAGTACAGTGACCGTTGCAAACGCGTACCCTGTTGCCTTCCACAGAGGATTTGTGGAACGCGATGTTCCATATAATGAAACGAGGAACGGAAGAAGAATCAAGGCCGGAGAACAAGTTGAGGAAACTCGATCCGTCTTGGCTTCTTTCATGCAGCGCAGTGAAGCATTCTTTATTGGAATCGATTGCTGGGATGGCTCAAGTCCGAGTCCAAGACCTTCGTCTGCGCAGGATTGAGGACACGACGCGGGCCCTGCTGGAGCTTATCGCGTAGCAGGCATCGCACTGCAGTCGAGACCAGTTTCGCCGATGACCCTGCAGCCAATACGTATTTCTCTTTCGAGCACGAATCGGCTACTTGACTTGAAACGTTCAGTGAACATTCGGATGGAGCCTCTAAAAAGTCGCCAGGTAACAAAGTCGAGTTGCCTTGAAACCAGAGGATCAAAAACTTGAGGAATGCGTGATTCGAGCATGCGACACACGAGGAACTGAGCGGCCCGAAAGCGCATAGCTATGCGTTGCCTAAACCGGTCATTTATTTTAACGAACCCTAGCTCAGGGGCGTTGCGATTTATGTCGACTCCCGAGACGTAACGAATTCCAGCTTCAGGAGTATCGAACAAATGTGTCCGACACACCATCTGAGGATCCTAAACCTCCATATGAATCCATAAGCCATCAGTACTGCACCTCGAGTCTCGAGGCTGCACATCTGAAAAACGTTTCGGGCGAAACCGAAGCACAATAACAGTGCGAGCAGCCCAGTATTCCATTCTCAGATGCGATGGACTTGACGAGCGGCAGGCGTGCGCCTCGAAGTCGGAACTGTGAACGCAGCGCGCACGCGTAAAGTCACCAGTAGCGGCACGAGCAAGAATACCACTAGCAAAACCAACATCAACATCAACAACAATAACAGCTTTTCTCAGTTTGACCGCATCGCAGCGAAATCGCCCTGTCGAAAGACGCTTCGAGACCTGTTCTCCTTCGTGTCCTCGGGGCGTAGCGGACGCGGAAGAATCTCGTAGGCACTTGCCGCAGATGAAAAGAAGCGGCCTTGTCGCAGACAAACACCAAAGTGCACGCGAAGAGGAAACGTCACTTGACTGGTGTGCCGAACAGCTTGCACAGCTCGGTCTGTCCGATGCAAAAGACTTTATCGCAGAGTGCGTGTTTGCACTGGGCAGTGAGCAAGAGGTGCGAGCCTGTCTAGCTGCGCTGCTGCCTGAACAGTCGTCCGGGCTTGTGGACGCCCTCCTGAAGCACTGGCAAACCCTTCGGACGTCGGCGGACGCGAACAGCAAAGTCGCAGGCACAGCGGTGTCGTCCGAACCGCGCCAACGAGTCGAACCAGTTTCGTCGAAAAAGCTTTGCGAATGTGGCGGTTTGGAGCACACTCCCTGGAATAACTGTTTATGTTGTGGGAGAATTTCGTGTTTTTGGGAGCGTGCAACAGTGGAAGAAGCTGGCCGATGCCCCTTCTGCCAGACGCCCTTCCAGGCTGATCGAACGTTCATCGCCGAACGTGCGATGCAGCTTGCTGCTACAGCGTCGGAAACCCGCGCCCAGGACGACGACCCAGAAGCTCCTTGTTCACGACAAAACAGACGGCGACGACGAGGACAACAGCAACAACGACGGCAGACGAGCTTTGCCTGCGAACGCTCACCTCGATGAGCCGGCTCGTAGGTGCGCGTGCGCGCCTCTCGAGCGTCTGCCCATGAGACAGACGCCACCGCTGCACGTCGCACGGGCCTTTCGCTGCTGGCGCCTTTTCTGGGCAACCAGGCACTCTAGCCGTGTATCCACAGAGTGTCCACAAGTTGACAGAGCCGCAGCAGTCATCGCCATGCGGATGACGTCTCCGGAGCTGCCCGCAATCCGATCCAGTTGCAAGGCACGGCTCATATCCGATGCGACGGTTCTCGGTACGGCCGTCTGCCAACACAAACGCATGATCCGTAAAACTCGGCAAGGCCGGTTGCCGCGAACATACTTCAGAACTTGTCATCTACAAACCAATAAAGGGGCTGTATGGACGCGCCATTTTCACTGATGCGCTAGGCATCGCAGGCTACTGACTTTCATCGCCATCGCCGCCGATAACCCGCGGAACACGGAGCAGGTCATGCTCCCGTGCCGGAAACTGTGCCCGGATAGCCTCCCTGTCTCCAAACTCCGTCACGACATCGGGTCGAAGATCCCGCCACGACCGCGCGCTTGTCGGCGTCCAGACTGTCGATTCGGCCTCAGACTCGTCGGCGCTCTCAGCTAGCCGGAGCGTCTCCACAAACTGGAGCATCCCCTGGAACGCGGGAACCAGTGCTTCAAGCTCCTCCTCGGAGTACTCCAGGTTTGCAAGTCGTGCCGTACGCTCAACAAGTGACCGATCAACGCGCACTGCCGACACTTGCGGGCTCGTTTTCGGTTCATCGCCGTCGCTGCTGCCAGACGCTCGCGCACAGAGACACCGCTGCTGCCGCCTCGACCTCGATGCGGCAGCGTGTTGAAGCCACTGGTGCGGCAACTGGCGTGCAACCCGAGTTTCAGTTCCCCCGTGACGCCAACGAAGCAGCCACTGCACTGCATGGCGTTGAGCGACTACGCTTGCGAAACCGGTGCCCGTCATGAAACGAGTCGCTGCTTGTGAACCTGGCACTTGCGAAACCAACACCTGGCGGCTTGTAAGCAACGCGTGACGCTGCGGGGCGTCATGAGCTTGGGTCACTGACACCAAGACGTGGATGTACTTGAGACATTTATGGATTCTACGGACAGGGGCGCGTCGCTGCCTGGAAGCGCCCGCTCGACACACAAAGCGGCCTTGGGCGGCTCCGGAGGGCGCTTCCCGCAACAGGACGCTCGCTGCTGCCGAAGCACACCCGGTGACCAGGGTTTGGGCTTCGCCACCTCTACATCCGCTTCCGTGTTCTGGGTTGAAAGCACCGCCAGCATCACGCGTTGGAGCACTGAGGCTACGACCGGTCCCGGAGCAAGCCCGGGCTAGGCAGCGGTGTCCTGGACGGTGTCGACGTGGCCGACTCGCAGCGTTCGTGGCGCAGGTACCGCGTGCCGAGCCATGACGAGTGCTGCGGCTGGCAACCATTCCCCGCACAGCGGTGACGCTAGTCTAGAGCTAGACGGAAAAGACGTCCACATCCAAGAAAACGCCGATCGAACCGAGCTCGTGCTGACACTACGGGGAGAAGGGCACACGCTGGGAAACGCGCTGCGCTACATGCTCACTCGGGAGCCAGGTGTGCAGCAGGTAGGCTATACGATACCGCACCCGTCCGAGGACTGTTTGAAACTGTACGTTGTGAGTAAACCAGGTTCGCGGGCACTCGATTCTGTGAAGCTTGCCCTGTTTCACCTCACGCAGCTATGTGATATAGTTGGCGAAAAATATGAAGAAGCGTTCATGAAAACTTGAGCCGAAGCAACGTTTCACCTAGGGCGCCGAAGTGTCCAGGGCGCCTGTTCATTCCGAGAGAGGGCGCAGCACGCTCGCTTGACAGCAAGCCCTGTACGGACCTCATCCGCGAACTGAACGTATAATCGAGTCGAGGCTCGTAGGGCGGGCGTTACGTTCACTGCACGTGGCTCCAGCTGAGCCTCGCTGCCGGTCGGGGACGCGACGCTGACCATAGACACGTTCTCACTGCAGATGCTTCCGTTTTGTGCCCGAATTCCGGTAAGCAGACCGTGCTGGAAGCGTGGGTCTCATCGTCGAGAAGAAGAGGAACCCTTCGTATGCATCTCTCACCCAAGCGGGGCAGCTGCTGCCCAGGCCCGCATGTCATTGGGATCAACGTCAGGCACCGAAGATCATCCGGCACCGATCGTCATAGAGCACGGTCCAGGAGATCGCCAACCGATTTCGTAGCGGTATTGCTCTCTCGGCAAAGATTTACTTTGGTGTGCACGATTCGGCAGCGCGATGCACTGCATACAAGTCGTGACCGGTATCCACGCGCGCATACCACGGCACTATCCAAGTCGTCGCTCAGGCGCGACATCAACTTGACTACCCGACGAACCTTGCGTCCCGTACACCAGTATGCTCGGTCGCGTGTCCGGAGAATGATTCAGGTTTGCGGTTGCGAAGAGCGTCCAAGGTAGTGATTGAATACGTATGGGGAGAAACGCGAAACATATCGACGGCAATCAACGATTCCCTAAACAATCCACAACACCAGTGATCTGGCGGGCGCCTCTACTTTCGATGAGGCTATTTTGTCGGTGATCACGCCCAAAACTGAAGCTGCACGCACGCCAGCCTAAACTAAACGACAGAGGCAGCGTCTGTGCAAACTCGAGCGCTCTGTTGCGTGATGCGGGGTCCAGGCTCGATCGTTGCGGACTAGGTGCGGAACCTCGGGTAGCTCGGGCCACTATCACGTTCTTCGCGCTTGCAGCATCTTCTTCAGCCGCATGCTTCTTCTTCCGCCAACACATGCCGTACAGCTGCGAGCACCGCTGGATACACACGTTCTTCGCGCTTGCAGCATCTTCTTCAGCCGCATGCTTCTTCGTCTGCCAACACATGCCGTACAGCTGCGAGCACCGCTGGATACACACGTTCTTCGCGCTTGCAGCATCTTCCTCAGCCGCATGCTTCTTCTTCCGCCAACACATGCCGTACAGCTGCGAGCACCGCTGGATACACACGTTCTTCGCGCTTGCAGCATCTTCTTCAGCCGCATGCTTCTTCTTCCGCCAACACATGCCGTACAGCTGCGAGCACCGCTGGATGCATATGGCCGTTCGTCGCAACAATACCTCGAACGTTCAACAGCTTTCGGCCTCGGCTGAAATCCAGTTCGTTTCCGAACGCATCGGTAACGAGACCGCCGGCCTCCTTAAGCACGACAGCACCCGCAGCATGATCCCATATGTTTTCAACATAGTCGACGCGAGGAAAGCGCAAGAACACGCACGCTTCTCCGCGTGATAACAAACCGTACTTGCATTGACTATCGACTCCAAGACGTTGCCGAATACCAAGAATTCGAATTATCTTCCCAGTCAGGGTGTGCGAAGAATGCCCCCGTTCCACGGACTCTGCCATAATGGCCCAGGACGGGTCCGCGTTACCGTTGACGTGGATCTGGCGGGGCAGCGCTTGTCCGGGATCCTGCACGAGTGACTTCATAAAGGCGCCAGCACCGCGAGCGGCGAAAAAGACACAGCCATCCGGTCCGTTCACGATCGTTAGACATTTTTCATCCGCTGCACCTTGGGTGTACGTGGATACCACCCGCTCCGCCTCCTGGGCTGCGCTCAAGTTGGGGCAACCGAGGACCCCGAGCTCCGCGCTCCCGTCGACCAGCAAAGCCAACGCGATACAAAACTGCTGGTTACGAAGGAAGCCCTTGGTCCCATCGACCGGATCGAGGACCCAGATGCGTCCCTGTGCACCGCCAGCGTCGGCACCGAGGTCGATGGATGCCCGAACGCGCTCCTCGACGCCGTGTCTCGCGTGCTGGGCAAGCCAGGACCGGATACCATGCTCCATCGCTGCATCACGAATGCTCCCCGAAGTCTCTTCCGCAACAAACCGATCCTGCGGGAAGACAGCGTGCAACTCCCCGAGAATCAACGCTTGAACTGCCAAGTCCGCTATGGTTACCGGTGAAGCGTCCGCTTTCGCAACCGTGGTCGCCTGGTTCGTGCTCGCACCAGCGTCGCAGTAGTGTCGCTGGATCTCTCGTGCCATGCGCGATGCCCGCCCTACAACGTCCACAGCACACTCGAGCTCGTGCCGAAGGCGGTGTCCTACGAAGAGTGACCAACTCATGGTGAGGATCTCGGTTAAAGTCGACCGTCCGCGTGGTGCTACGCCAGCGCCGGACCACCGGTCGCGACAACGCTTGACCGCTACGCGTCCGGCGTCTGCGCACCCGCCCTGGATATTGATGAAAAAGTGACGACTGCTGGGAAACTGACAATGTGGATATTGCCAGCTTATTACGGATGCAGATATGCCCGCGTGGTCGATAATGCTCACGTGCACTCGGGGATCACCGGGTACCGTCACCCATCCGGTATTATGGAAACCCGGATGAGTGCTTGACGGGTCTGCAGCTGCACGTGGTACACGGTTCCGCGTATATCTCTTCTTCTTATGCTGCTGGTGCTGCCGCTGCTAATGCTCTGGGGTGCGAATAACGTCTACCGTTCCGTCGCGAAAACGGCACGGCACTTTGGCTGCTGCAACGTGTCCCGGGACTGTCAGTCGCATAAATCAAATCCACTAGATGCTGTGACGACTGAGCTGGAGAGCGCGTCGATCCACATCCTGAACCGGGAGGTTTCCGCGGAGCCCTTGGCTCCTGATAACCGCTCCGGTACCGCGCATGAAGGACACTGGCAGCAGCAGCAGCGGCAGCAGCAGCAGCGATCCCACCAAACCCGGCTCGCACGTGGATATCGATGCTGGTGCGGTGCGTTTCCATTGGCCAAACTGGTGGAGCTGAGCTGTTGGTAGCCGCCGTATCGCCCAGCAGAGCGGGTATGCGGCAGACCTTGTCGCTCGTATCGAGTCGGGCGCTGCGAGCCGGACAGGCACCGGAAGCGCCGAACGCAGCGTAGCGACCCCCGCGATGCACCTCGTACGTGTCCGCAGGCGATATCCCCGAGACCCGTCCAAGGGTTTTCTACTTCAGCGCGTGGTGGCGGTGGCGTCCATCAACCCGTGATAACCTGGTGTTCGCTCCTGCGTCTCTCCGCAGAGTCGCGAATTTGCCCTACGGAATCGATGCACGATGGGGTGCTGGCGCTGAGCACCCCTCTGTCATGTTCGTTTCGAATCATATATACCATATATATCCATTTATATTCCATCTCTGGATGACGCCCGCCTCAGGATCGCCTCATGACCCGCGCGACTCGAAACGTCGCCCTCGTCTCCGGTAGGCACACACGGGTGGTGTGGAGCTCGCTGTCACCACAGCGAACGCGTGCTGACCGATCAGCTCAGCTGTGGCCAGGACGACGCGTGGGCTGCTCCCAGACTTTATGTCCTTTTCCGAATGCACTGGGTTATACTGACGGCTGACCGCACAGCCGCCCAGTCGTCGACGTCAGGAGGTCGCTGCCTCGAACGGACGCTCCGCACAACGGATCCGTTGCCGCTGAATAGTTCGCTTATCAAGCACCTGTTGCGCAAACAGAGCCCTGATCCGCGTGCGAAACGTTTTGTGCTTCGCTCGCCTTTCGAAAACCACAGCATCGCACTGAGGGTCTTGCGTAGAAGCGACACCTCCCCAGCGAGCTGGGACGAAGTTGACGTCGTCTACCTTGCACCGGAGCTCGTGCTCGATCGCGTTGTTTCCGACGAGGCTGCGGCAGTGCTGAGATGCGACCCGTCGATAACGCATCTAAAGCGTGCGCTGTGCACGCAGCGCGCTTTGACGCCTCCAGCACCCGTTCTCCTGGTGGACTGCTTCGGGCCTGGCGTCTACGTGCACGATGCGTTGTGCTGGCTGCAGCGAGCGGACGACACACGGGCGTGGATGGAGCCGGCACTGATCCTCCGATTGCAGGCGGCAACTCTGTGGTCAAGCGGCAGCGATGCCATGGAGCTGCTCTCGAGCCTCGAGCGCTTGTTGAACGAGCCAGCCTTTCATGCCACTCCTGCCCTGCTGGTGGTCGACGATGTGGACATCGTCGTCGAGCAGCACGCGTTCAACGGTGTGCTTGTGCACCTCGAGACGATCCGCGATGAAACCCCGGTACCGCTGCTGCTCGTGCGCTATCTGGACCGCACCACAGAACCCGCACCTGCCGTCGAGTCCCTGCTCGGTGAACGCGGCCTGCATGTGGAGGTATCGCAACCCTTTGAAAACCCGGCACAATGGCGTGACTTGTGCGAGGTAAACAAGGCATCGGCAACGTGCGACTTTGGACCCAATCATGTGGAGCATGCGACTTGGCAGCAGAAAATGTCCGCGGAAATCCCCATGTCACCGGCGAACATGCTCTACGGCGGATACATTCCCTGGCCGCAGCCGCAGCACCAGCACCAGCAACCTCCGCAGACAAGCTGCAGTATCAGTGAGCACGACGACCATGCGGACCAAGTTTACATCGTACCGCGACGTTCGTGGCACGAACTCTCTCGCCTCATCGCGATCATGAATAGTCGCTCTTGGCCTAGCACCGACACCATTGCCGTTCGCCCGACTGGGGCCTTGCTCTACGGACCACCGGGCTGCGGGAAAACCGCTCTGCTTCGTCAAATGATGGCGGTATTTCGGACTAGTGATTTCGAGTTCGTGACTGCAGCAGACGTGTCTCGGGCGCTGGTTGGCGAGTCGGAACGCCTGCTCGGTGCACGCTTCACTGGGAGAGCGCGCGGAATGCGCCTCGGCATGCTCGTGTTTGATGAGGCCGACGCCCTCTTCCCCGGAAGACATGTCCCGAACGCTGGACTAAAGCACCTCAGTGGTGCACTGCTAGAACATCTCGACAAACTGCGTCGCTCAGATCACCGTCTGTTGGTCTTCCTGGCCACGAATCGTCCGTGGCAACTTGACCGAAGCCTCTTCCTCGGTGACAAATTCGACTGCCTGCTGTACCTGGGTCCACCGGGCCCATCGTGCCGTGCACAGCTCCTGCGCCGACTCAAGCTGCTCCCCGCAGGTACGACGTGCGATGGGGATTTGCTGGTCGCCCGTACAGCCGGTTTCTCGTACGCTGACCTGCTGAGTATTCGCAGTAGAATGCAACGCACGCACAAGAGCGCCTTGGAGACGGTTTCCACGATCCAGCCTTCGGTATCGCGGGAAGAGCGGATGCGCTTTGAACACTGGAATACGATGCTGCAAAGTTATGGCGTTGAGATTCTGGAGCCATCCAGTGAAGAAGCGCTCGATCCATTGCCATGGGACGCGCAAGCGGAAGACGCCCGAGTGCGTCAGGTAGCCAGTGAGGTCGCGTATCGCGGCGTTTGCGAGCAACGAACACACTCATACTAGACCGCGGGCGACACCAACCGCTACGGAACCCGGTCTTGACCCGGTACTCGCCGGATCATTCGATCTTCAAGCAGCACGGTTTCTGTCGGGCGACTTGGGTGGTACCACAGCAAGCGTTTCGCGCGTACCCGGCACCCTGTAGTCGTTGGAGCGCGAGCTCTCCCCAACCAGAGGCACTCGAAGCAACCGTGATGTCGCGGTTTACGGTACGCGGAAGCGTATCGCAATGCACTAGGATCCCCAGCCTACATTCCGATACCATGGATTCATCCCGGAGATAGCCGGTCTGATGCATTGATCTTGTCGCGTGAGACGCTAACAGAGACGAACACATGCCTTGGCAGGCGGGGTCAAGCATACCGCCGCTCTGGAGCGCTAACTCGTCTGCAGCTCGTTGTACGCATCGCTGGCTGCAGTGCTGGGTTGCTTGTCGCTTCCCTGACTAGCGACACCCCTCAAACATGTACCTGCGAGTGTACACACCGATGCTGGGGCGGTGCTGGGTCAGAGGCGGCGACCCGGTCGCTCGAGAAAGCCGCCCCAGCGCCATCATCCGGATGAACGAGACCTGCTCGGCAGACACACTGGCACATGTTGCGCATATGCTGGACGATGTAGCAGCGAGCCCGCGCGCTCTGCGGTGACTCCCTCTGGACCTCGACACACACCTGTGAGCATTTGCAACCTCTACCTCCGTGACTTGCGGGATCGCGTACGTCCCTAGTGACGCTTCATGGTGCCGGCTGTGGAGCGCAGGTGTTTCACGCTGCCTCCTGCAGTGACTTTTGCGCGTCACCGAGGCGACCGCTGAACCGGTGCACGCTTTCATGCAAGTACGCTTCCAAGGCATCGCTGCTTCGTCACTGCTCCGATCACGCAAGCTTGCAGCTGCTTTGATCGCAAGTCCCAGCGCCGTGCTTGTATGCGCATCCGGAACTGCACTGGTCGGTAGGACGTGCGTCGTGGTGCCTCGTTTCCTGCATCTCACCGACAAGTTGGCTATCACGAACACGCCCGACGCTCTCTCGTTTCTGAGTTCGTCGTTCCGCGGAACACACACACATGCGCACACACACACACTGGCGTCTCGAGTGTGCGCGCCAGGGCTGTGCTTGGTGCAGCTCGCTGATACCATGGGTATGACGAGCGCATCCTACACGCCCGTCGCTGCCGCTTACACTACCAATCGTTCGGTACACAAGGCGATGGAGCATGGACCTGTTCTGGGTATCACTCGAGAGCAACCTGCAGTGCCCTGCTTCTCCGAGGTAAACCGAAGCATCTGCGAGAAACACGAAAACATACCAAGGCGCACTTGGAGCTGCGCGCCCCAGTGACGATGGACCAGTCAGCGACGCGCGTGTGACGCTCACACCAAGCACCCAGGACAGTCCCAGTGAACCGCTTCATATCGATACATGAGACACCGATGAAGATGAAGATGCACCTGCTGACGCGAAAAATGTTAGCCGTCACGAGAAGAACGACCGCGATCATCATGATCATCTTCTCCGCCACTACGAGTTGCTGCGTCGTCGCCGGTCACGGGATCGCCCGACAGCATCCAGTGTCGACTCCAGTTTGTCACCGAGACGAACCTCCCGAAGGCGTTCACCTAACCGGTTCAGGAACGCCCGAACTTCTGTCGATGGTTTGCTCGCATCACCTCGGAGCGAAGTGCTCGTATCGCTGAAGCTGCCGGGCGGCACGCTCCGTCCAGCCATCGCATTATCCACGACAAGTGCACTTGTCGTCGTCGAACGCTCAAACAATGCTTTCGATTGCCGCTGCAGGTTCGCCGCACGATGCCCGCTGGTATCCAGGTGCTCCATTTCGGAACGCGCCTTGTGTACGAGCACCGGATCACCTGTTCGCTCTGCGTACTGCACTACTTGTCGAGCAGCTTCCAGCGGCGGAAGACCCTTCCATTCCAAAATCTGCCGCAGGGCACTGGGTTCCGCTTCCGGCATCAGCGCTTCGAAGGCATCCACAGCGCTGTCGTCGCTCGCCAGGCGCACTTTGAGCATGGTTTCCGCTCGACCACATTCAGAGCGAACGTAGCGCTGGTAGCTGCTGAACCAGGGATCGTCGCGTTCTACGCTCGGTGAACGGCAGTCTATGAGCTTCAGGAGGCCCTCCTTGAGGAACTGCGTATCCAGAAGCAACTGTTGAGCTGCCGCATCGCTCAGCGGTTTGCATCGAAACAGCGTCTCCGTGAAGCGTTCCAGAACACTACCACTGAGTTTGTCCAGATAGAAACGAAAAAAGAGCGGCAGGAGTTGTCGTCCCACGTGTCGGCTGACGCGTTCCAGCTTGGTCACCAGCGCCGTCACCGCCGGACTCACGTCACCGACGGCAGTGACTTGGGACCAGCGCTGCGCCTGTAGTGTGTGCAGCGCCGGCTCCAACGCCCAAGCACAGGTAAGCGCCACCAGCACTTTACCTGCTCGACCGGCAATAGCTCGGAACTCATCCCGCTCTTCGTTCATTCGGATGCTGTCGGTGAAGGCGGCATCGACCGCTTGTCGAATCGTCTCCGCCAGCTGCTCCGTCGTACGCGCACAGTACTCCGCGGTGAGCGATAGCGAGCAGACACTCGTTAAGACTTGCTCCTGTGATTCCGTGATCCCGGCATCTGCTGAAACAGCTGCTGTCGATGTCGTGCTCTTACTGTTACTGTTGGTACTAGTACTACTATTACTAGTAGTAGTAGTAGTGGTGGTGGTGGTGGCAGTTGAGCGAATGCGAAGCAGCTCGCGTTCCATCGCAGAGGCGTAATCGCGCAGGTGCTTTTTGAATGCTTTGTGGAGATTGAAATAGGTCTGGCTTGTCGTCAAGACGCCACAACGTTTCATGCAGCGTTTGATTTCGATGAACAGCGTTTTGGCGCTCGGAAGCACAATGCTTTCGTCGGGGTACTCCGGTGCTGCTGCTGCTGCTGCTGCTGCTGCTCGCTGGCCCAGCGCCGGTACCAGCCAGGTCTCTTTTTCGAGCGCTCCGTCGATAGCCTCGCGCAAGCGTTGATTCTCCAGAGTCACGTAGGCGCCCATGTAGGGCTCGAACACACTGCTCAAGTTCCAGGTGAGCGGCGTGTTCAGCCGACGCACCATCTCGGCCTCGAACTCAAGCGTGATCTGCAGGGCACGAAGCAGTTGGGCGACATCCACTTTGCCCTCTTCGAGGTCACGGTGAGCAATGCGTCGAAGCGCATCGCTCAGAGCCCCCGACAGCGCCATCGGCACTCGCCAGGATTCGGGAAACACCGCTGACCAGTGCTCGTCTAACGAACGCAGTTCTCGTCTGATCCACGCAAAGCTTCGCTCAAACGTCTCTATGGGCGTAAGGTCCGAGTCACGCGCTCCGAAAACCTCTTCGTACAAGCGCACACGGCGTACGACGAAAGCGTTTAGCACCGCCTCGCGCGTGCCGTTCTCTAGTGCGTCTGCCAAGATGCAGCCAGCTCGGTATTCAGCTCGCTGGCTGGTGTCCGAGGTCTCCCCGAAAAGCGCTACCACCATGCGACTGAGGTGTTGCTCCAGCGAACGATAGCGTTGCTGTAGTTCGTCAAGGAGCGGTATCGCTGGAAGTGTGTGGAGCTCGGCCAACGCCTCCCGCGCTTGTCGCACATGTTCTGCGGTTTCGGTCATGTCCTGTGCAGCCATGGTGCTTTCCATGTCCCGCAGCGCTTTGGCGAGGCGCACAAAGGCCTTCAAGTGGGCCCGCGCCTGCAACAGATTGTGTCGCACGTTCGCGATTGGTCGAAACTGTTCCGCAGACTCAGTTAGAGTCTCGGCTGCTGTGCGCATAGAGCGTTCGACCTCGGCCAGCGCTGCGTCTAGGAGTTTGCTGCGCTCCTGGGCGTGTTTGATTACCGCAGCGCCCTGTCGTCGCACGTGCAGTTGGTGTCGCACGGCGTGCACCAGCTCGGCATCCAAAGCACGCAGCTTTGTCCGCAGCTCATCTAGATGCGTTTCCAGTTGATCAAGCGTATCTAGAGAAGGAAAGTGGCGGTTGATGTAGGTGGTAACGGGCTCAGCACCAGGCTCCTCGGGCACGTCGTCCGGGAGGCTGCTGTCTGCCGCTTCTGTAGCTGTTTGCGCTACCGCGGCGTCCTCGTGACTCAATCGAGACAGCACATTTGATGCAGATAGTTCTTGTGCTGTCATGGAGCGCGATTCTTTTTCCGAAGCAACGCTGCAACGTCTGCTGCGGCAGGCGATGGCCGCTCCGCACTGGGCTCCGTACCGCGCGCCCCACGAACGGCGAGTACCCACAGAACCCCGCGGGCCGATCCCCGCTAGACCGCACCGTGCACCTGACCAGTGCACTGTCGCAGAAGAGAAGCACAAGCGCCAAACTCCGGCTCTTCCCCAGCGCAATAACGCACCAGAGTTGCAGTTCTCGGAAACGCACGCCCAGTTTTGAGCAGAAACCATGCCTAGGGTGCGCCTGGGAGCGAGCCAAAGGCGACAGGGCATCCATCAATGATGTGCTTTTCCGACTAGATATATCCCTGTATGTCCATTAAAGATTCATCATGTACTTTCTTGGCCATATCTTGGCAACACCGCTGATGCAGCAATCAATCATGCGCTGGGTTACTCGTGCGGAGGGTGTACTGTTTCAGAAGCATTCGCAGCGCGCAGCAGCCGGCGAGGCGCCGCTCGAGCATCCTGGAGCATCCTGCGTCGTTGCAAACGCTCGCGTTCAGTAGACTCAGCATCCGGATGATCGAACGAACAAGACGTAATCCCCAGTCGCAATGCTGGATTGCGGTTCGTTGAACGCGCAAGGTCTAGGACGGTGTCGTTGACGAGCTGCTGCTCCGCGCCACATGAATCTTGCGGAGTACACGATCCTTTGGACGAAACCAGGGATGCCCGAAGAGCCGCAACGGTGATGATGCGCAACCGGCGGGGAAACGATCATCGGCTCGGTCCCGCAGGGACGTACGCTGACGTCTGGTTCCTTTGGAACAGATCTGCACTATATTGTATTTTATGACCGCAAGCGGACAGCATCTATGAAGGACGTACACGGACGTCTGGTTCCTTTGAAACAGATCTGCACTATATTGTATTTTATGACCACAAGCGGACAGCGTCCATGTGCGGCCTAATCGCCCGCGAGCCGCGTCCACAGCTTGTACGCCCTCGCCAGCGCTATCGTGAAAAGACTCGACACTCATCTCTGAGGCTGTTGTTGTTGTTGCTGCTGCTGCTGCTGTGACCACGAGTTGTATACGTTACATCCGACTTCGACGACGCTCTCTATAGATCGAACTTTAGTTCTTTAGCGCCGTCCCCGACGCGCTCCATCGTCCAACTAGCGCTGCACCGCGTTGCACGCGCGCGACGCTGGGCGTTGTCTCGCGAGGTCCAGCGCCCGTCGGAAGCGGCCGGGCATGGCGCTCACGGTGCGGGTCCTGAAAGGCCATAACGAGCTAGCGTTTCGGCTACTCAAGCGCAAACTCGCAGATGTAGGTTTAACCAAAGAGTTGCGAAGACGTCTGACTTATGAAAAACCGTCTGAGAAACGCCGTCGAATAGAGCATGAAGAAGAACGGCGGCAGGCGCGGCGAGCGTTGCAGCATAACCTGCGTTTCATCCTCTCTCGGATGGCACGTGGTTTCTAAATCCAGCCCTGTGAGAACACGAAATGCAGCTGGAGCAGGCGCTGTTGGTGCACGGTCTGGGTTCAGCACAGTCCCAGGTGCTCGCTGGTCGGCGCGTTGCAGGCACCGTCCGCCTGCGCGAGTGCCTGTCGGACGCTCGCGTCTGCTGCGCACTGTGCTTTTTCGTTTTGCGAACACCAATCGGACACGGGTGTACAGGATATCAGCTGCTGCTGCTGCTGCTGCTGCTGCTGCTGCTCAGAACCGAGTCACTGCGCTTAGGCGTCCGTTTCTCCGAGTTCCGCATCCGAGCTGCACGTACGCGTCTACGCTCATGTCAGAATAAAATGGATCAGGTCCCGCAAGACAAGCGTACACGCTCGAATCCTCGCTTCATTCGATGAGCATCATCATGATCAGCACCATTATCAGCAGCAGCGTTAGCAGGGTTGCTCTGTGACTGCTTCTTTTTTGTGCACTCGTATTTCGGGGTTGACATACGCTGGACGCTCCGGTCCCGCGAGCTCCATTTTCAGCACCCCGAGCATGTTCCTGGGAGCATTCAAGTCACGATCTCCGTTCAGCTTGCCGTTTTCATCTGGCTTGTATGCAGGCCCGTTACGCCCTTTGCAGCGGTGAACCTTGACTGCACTCGGATGTCGCGCTATGCGCATAGCATTTGCGACGCCAACGGCTGACCTGTGACGCATGAGCGCTTGTCTCGTCGCACTGAACTCGCTCTGGACGGGTGCAGAAGGCGTGCCTCGATGCCGACCTTCGTTTCGGGTGCCTGGTGCCCTGCCCGCGGACCGCGGCCTTTCTCTGGGCGATCCTCTTGCCGAAAACGCTAGTCGCTCCACATAGAGGTGCATGCTCGTCGACTCGGCAGTGAATTTGTGGAACGCGATGTTTTCGTTGATGGACCAGGTACCTGACGGAGAATCTAGGCTCGAGATCGACTCGAGAACTTTCGATCCGTCTACGCTCTGTGTTTCTGCAAAGCGCTGATCGACTCCCCGCTGGGAGCGATCCCAGCGATGGCTCCAGTTCGGCTCCGTGACCCTCTTTCACGGAAACAGAACCGACAGACATCATTTTCGAGCCTGGTCCATTGCGGGTATCGTGCTGGTGTCGAATTGCGATTCGCCGATGACCGAACAAGCGTGCAGCCTTTATCTTTCGTACCGAATCGATGCTATTACACGACCAGCTCAATGAGCTGTCGACATGAGCGCGTGACCCAGTCGTCAAGCGGCGACATCGGGCTTTTGTCCTCGTCCATCCCGTGGCACAAGTCGCCTTGAAACAGGTAGATCGAAACGCAGAAGAACCCAGGCATTGAACCTGCTACTCCACAGTAATCGGGAATTGCGAAAGCGATGACGCATGCGCTGGATCATGATACCATCTGGTCTACCAGGCGGTGTTCGAGGACGTCACCGCTGTGCGAGCGGCACAGCGTCCAACAAGTCATTCCGAAAACGCACCAGTGAATCCTAAACCTGCGTATGAATCTGTAAGGCCTTCGTCCGGCACTTGAAGAAAACTGCCGACACTGTTCTCGCTCGGATGCTCCTTGAAAGGCAGGAACGGAGCGAGCACCTCATTGATCCATTTTATAATATCTGATTCGGGCACACAAACAGCACAGACCTGGTTTCACGATGCACATCACACCAGCGTCACAAAGAACGACAAGTGTGCTCCGCGCCTGTGCGGAAGACCGGATCCCTCGACATCGAACCGCGCTCTGGATCAAGTGTTTGTACTGTTCTCGTCGGATTGCCCGCGTACGCCCGATGCGGATGTCGAAGCAGTGCCATGGAACCGATACTGAACTGCTCGTTGTGGCTAGGCAGGCGGCATCACAGAGCGCATCGTTGCCTCGACGCGAACACCGCGGAGCACGACCGACCAAGCGCCGCCTTTCGGGAACGGTCATGCTCACTGCGTCACCTGCCGTGTCGTTCGTGTACGCACGGCGTGCGCGGCAGACGCCCACGCTCTTGCTCTAATCCATGACGAATCGATGCAACACATCCCGATAATCAACCTCAGTCCGATGACTCGTACCGCAACGAGCAACGCTGCGTACCGGGAATATCGCGCTTCCCGTAGCGACACCGTTCGCAACGCCCGCACACGGCACGCAACAGCCGGTGAAGGAGGCAGCGCTTCAGGAGGCCTGAATACCCGCTTATCCGATGAAAACGCGCCTGCTGCATCCATGAGGTCGCAAGCGAGACGCCCACGGTACCGGCCTGGTGAGCGCTGGTGGACGACTCGCTCGCCTAGGCAATGCCTACGCGAGCAGCCACCTCGAGCAGCCGCTTCAGGGCCATAATCCAGATCGAGTTACCGTCGTAGTGTTCCCGCGTCAGTTCCGTGTGGATCACATTGGCTTCGTTCAGACGATGCTGCTCGAGTTCCTGGCATAGTCGATGCAATTTGGCGAGCGCGTCCCCGGTGATCTCGCCACGCTTCAGTCGCGTCAACAAGACGCCTAGCTTTCGATCGATATCCTGGATTTTCTTGCGTTCGATGCTGCTGATTGCGCGTTTCGCACATTCATCGTAGATGCGTTGGAGCGTCAATGCTACCTGTCTTGGCACGGCCGGCATACCGGCGACGTCGACCGCCAGGACGGACACGTCGCCAGCTCTGTCGACGCTGCCCGAGGCACTCGTCGCTGGCGAGGATACAGCGTTCAAGCGATCTGCCTGGGACGTGTTTCCCGCCAGCGCTTTGCTGGTTAGCGTGGGCGGCCCTGCTGCTACTGCATGAACCGCTTGCCTTGCCTCGGCGCCAGCGGTATCGCCAGCGGTATGCCAGGTCGCTGATGCGCTCGTCCCCGGGGGGTGCTTGTTCGGCAGCCATGCGGCAGACGACACTCCAGCGCTCCGCTCGTACGCTGTCTGCACTGGCGCGGCATCGAGCTGCTTCATCCACGTCGCGTGCGTCTCTGAGGATTTCCAGTGTGCCGACGACAAGTCCGTGGCGGCTGTTGCTGCCGCTGAGGTTGCTACAGCCGGCAGCCGGGCCCTCGTGTCGACAGGCGGTGCTGTCATCGGGGCAGTGGCCGGCGGCAAGTACCCGTTCGCTGCCGGGCGCGTACCGCCGCTGCGGATACTCGCTCCTACTCCTCCTGGTGCTGGTGCTGGTGCTGGTGCTGGTGCTGCAGATAACGTGCCGCTTCGCAGCGCGTCGTTCGCATTCGGATAGCCGCTGGTGGTGCTGGTGAACGTCAGCTGTGGCGGCTTGGCCGCACTCGACATGTGCGGTGCTGCTTGCATAGCCGCCGTCCATACCGGTCGTTGACTTGCGCCCGGCTGACGACTCTGCTTGTCGAAACCGGAGGCAGCATAGCCCAGAAACTGCTTGACGCGGTCCGTCAGCTCGCCGTCTACGCCCAGCTCCTGCAGGAAAGCACTCGCGAGCTGAACAGCACCTCGCTCCACTAGAGCTGTGGCGATCTGCTCGACGACCTGGAGCGCTTCAGCGGCAAGCGGCACTGCCGTTGCTGCACCGGATGGTGCCCCGAAACCAAGCGCCTGACGAAGAATGAGCATCCGTTCGAGTAGCTCGTACCCACGAAAGCCTGCCTCCATCCAGAGACGTGTCGCCAGGGGTACATCTCCGGCACAGAGCGCGCACACCAGCGCTGCAGTCGTGTCGTGCGAGTGCAACCGCTCCGCCAGTCGCGTGCATCCCGTCACGATATCCGCATACGTTCCCTGCAGAAGCAGGAGTGCCAACAAGTCACGCCAGTCAGTATCGGATGCATGCGAGATGAGCTCGTCGAAGCGTCCGAGCACCAGACTCGACAAGATCGCCTTGGTGGTCGCATCCTGGATACCAGCACGATGGATGGACGCGGATAGCGTTCGGGTCCAGGTCACTGGGCCAGCGCATGAAGCCAACAGGAGCGCCTCCGCCTCTTGACCTTGTTCAAAGCAGCGCTCCGCAGCGGTCGAGAGTTGTCCTCGAATGAGCAACGCGCGGAGGCTTGTCTGCTCCGCCGCTGCGTTGGCGTGCTCTGGACTTGCAGCACCAGCACCAGCACCAGCAGTCGACCAGCCAGACTCGTTGGAAGCGGGCCACGCAGCGCTGGTGTCGTGCTCCGTAGCGGCTGCAGCGCCGCTGCTCGGTGCATCCAACACCGACTCGGTGCCAGTGTCCTGGTGCGGCGTCTGCTCCCAGGGCGCTGAGGCATCCCATGGTGCTGGAACGGGAGTGGTTTCCGCCTTGGTCCAGTCCCTGGTTTGCGCTCTTGCGGGTGACAAGTGCTGAAGCTGCGCAGCAGCAACAGCAGCAGCAGCAGCGGAAGCCGCATCCACAACGCTTCCCTGCGCAACCGCTGCCGCTGCCTCTGCCTCTGCGACTTGTGCCTCAGTGAGAACCGGAGCAACGCGATGGAGCTGCAGGGGCGGCACACTCGCCGCCAGGCCTACAATATGTGCGTTTGCTTCCAGCATCTGGGGAGTGCTCGGCACTAGATTCGGGCCACAGAGCACTTCCACCAGTGCCCTTCGACTATCATAGACAAAGAGTGCGGCTAGTGTCCGCCAGACTTGCGCATCATCGGCAGAGGAGGCGCGCTCTGCTCGTTCCACGCAATGCTGATACAAGTCGTAACCGGGCTGTACCAGTCGAATCGCCTGTTCAGCCACGTACCCCAGGTCCTCCAGAGCGTACTCCAGCTGCAGCACGAAACCCGCGGGTGGTTGCTCCACAACGTACGCCAGTTGCGCCCCGAAGCCGAACACCGCCCGACATGGCGGCCGCATCCACTTGGGTGCGTAGTTGAGGACGCTCAGCTGGCTCGTTTGGTAGCCGTCCGCCGCTGGATCGACACCTGCGTACTGCTGGCCCTCGAAGACCGCATTACCAAACGATTCCCGCAGAAGTCGATCCGTGGGAGCCAGCTGCTGATCTCGTGAACCGGCGTACGACTGAGCGCCGGCTCCCGCCATGACTCGATCCGCAGTCGAGAACACGGTAACGAGGCCTCCCAGGTCGCAGGTGAAGAAAAGCCCCGGAATCGCCGGACTCCATTGTAGGGCAAAGCTCCAATTCGCCGACAGCGGTAGTTCGAACACCACGTCCGCATCTACGGAAGCAGTTCCGACAAGTGGATTCCAGCAGAGCACCCGGCCGTCTTTGCCGGCAGAGAGCACCAGCGCGGGGTCTTGTCGGCACCAGGAGAGCGCTGTCACTCCGCGCTGATGACCGTGAAGTTCGCGGAGCGGCGCGTGCACGTTACGCAAGTCCCAGACCTTCACGACATCGTTACGGTCGTCGTCAGAAGCGACCGCTATTTGTGTGGCTACTTCGGGGTTCCAAGCGAGTGCGCTCACCCGTGTGCGCGCGGTTGGGTCCGAGAACCCCAACACTGGACGTTGTTGTTTCAGATCCCAGATCACGGTGTTTCCATTGCCGAGTCCGGCTGCCAGGATGTGTTGCACCCGGTTGTTCCACTGGAGGCAACCAACCTGGCTGGGTGCACCCAGCAGGGCTGCGGTTTGCACGCCGGGTGCCGCTCCTGTGGCATCCGTCTCGTTCGACGCCGTGGCATGTACTGCTGGAGTACGCGGTTCGTTCAAGTCCCAGATGAGGACGAGGTTCTCGGGCCCCCCGGAAGCCAGCAGTGTCGGTACAAAAGGGTTAAAATCAAGTGCCGTCACTGGACCGTGGTGCTGCTGCTGCTGCTGCTGCTGCTGCTGCTGCTGGGTTGACTGACCGAACACCAAGGCTGTGGAGGCGTTCGACTCGGGGGCCTCCAGCGCCTCGACGTCCCAAAGCTGGACCGTCCCGTTATCCAGGCCAGCTGCACAGAGTCCCTTGGAGCTGTACGCTCCACGACCTGCAGCGCCCCAGGCAAGTTGGCGAACGCCGATGCTGAGTTCGCAGCCGCCCACCCGCCGCAGTGCCGCAAAGCCGGCCGCTGCTCCAAGCGAGCGAAACGCATCGTTCCCGTCACCTTCACTAGTTTCGAAAATCCCACGGGCTCTCAGTTCCGACCCGTCCTGACTCTTTACAGAGGTAATAGCTCGTTGGGCAGCGGCTCCGCCCAGAACATCGTACACCTCGAGTTGCGCCCGACAGCGTGCCCCGGGATCGGCAAGCCCGGCAACAGCCAACCAACTACCGCAGAGGGACTCGCTGGGAGCCCACGCTGCTACACCGAGGCGGTGCACTTCACCAAGAATACCCATAAAGTGCTTTTCCGTACTTGGTTCTCGGAATCAACTCCGTTTTCGAAACGGTGCTGGCGCGGAGCCAACAGGTGTACGCAGTCCCTGTAACCGACGACGCCGTACGCAGACGCGTCGTAACCGCTCGTGTGCGGTGCCAGGCCGCTATGGCAGGTGCCCCAAAACGGTATCGTTGTTGTTGCCAAAAGAGACTGGATTCCCCGTAGCTGGTGCCTTCGTGTTGCAGAAGCTATCCAGGAACGAGCGATTCGGTGAGCATTTCATTCGACTTTGATGATAAGCGTTGAAAGGAGAGCGTGTTTTTCGTAGTTTCGAACGTTTACCATCTGGGCGCGCAACCTCCTCTGAGCCCGACGAGTCTTCTTGGCTGGCCGTGCACCGTGTCCAGGAACGAGCGATTCGATGAGCACTTCATTCGACTTTGATGATAAGCGTTGAAAGGAGAGCGTGTTTTTCGTAGTTTCGAACGTTTACCATCTGGGCGCGCAACCTCCTCTGAGCCCGACGAGTCTTCTTGGCTGGCCGTGCACCGTGTCCAGGAACGAGCGATTCGATGAGCACTTCATTCGACTTTGATGATAAGCGTTGAAAGGAGAGCGTGTTTTTCGTAGTTTCGAACGTTTACCATCTGGGCGCGCAACCTCCTCTGAGCCCGACGAGTCTTCTTGGCTGGCCGTGCACCGTGTCCAGGAACGAGCGATTCGATGAGCATTTCATTCGACTTTGATGATAAGCGTTGAAAGGAGAGCGTGTTTTTCGTAGTTTCGAACGTTTACCATCTGGGCGCGCAACCTCCTCTGAGCCCGACGAGTCTTCTTGGCTGGCCGTGCACCGTGTGCCGGTGCAGTGGCGAGACCTTAAAGCGACTCGTGTCCGCAACGCAGGTGATTCTGCGACTCGGAGCGGGTAGGCTGCATCCAGGTGTCGCCCTGGTCGCTGTTGCATCCCAGCGTGTCGCTTCGTGCCGTTGCAGGCAGTAGGCCTGCCTGCCTGCCTGCGCCGCTCGCTGGCTCCCAGCGCGATTGGAAACCGCGATTCTGTGACTAGTAAAGCATACCTCGAATGGAAGCCCTCTTCGGTACAGAAATTCGTTCTGTCTCTGCACAGCATTCGCAGCTGCGGTACAGTTTGTATTGCGGGTACTCAGGGCAGGTATTCGGTACACATGATCGAACGTGCGAACCGACCAGCATGTCCGGGGAGAAAGCACAGATAACAGGGCTTGAAGGTAGGGTGCAGTTTGATGAACGCGTTTTCGCTTATCGGGATCCACGGTCCATGTCCATCCTCTGTCAAAAAATATCGACCGGATCTCAGTACCTCGGAAAGCGAGTATGGGTCATGGAACTCGGCGGAATAGCGTGAAGCGCTTGATGGACGCGTGTTCGCTTACCAGGATCCACTGTGGAGTCCGGGATCCACGGTCCATGTGTATCCTCTGTCAAACAAACGAAAAAGAGTACCCCGTTGATACCCATTCAGCATGTGCACCGCCACGTATGGAGCCTAGGCACCAACTCGATAAACTGTTCGTTTTACGTGTACGGAACGCAAACGGCAAAAAGAATGCCGGGTGCTTCTCGTAGACCACTTGAACCTGGTAACGAGACGTTCCTAGTCATGGGTACAGTGGTCGCGCCTCGGCACTCGCGACCGACAAGATCGAAGGCTTGTCGGAGAGGCGCCACCAGCATCGCTCCAAAAACCACCATACAGGCCGGGTATGTTGAACTTTGCCTGCAGCAGGTCTCGAGGTCATGGCGTTTGAGCCTTTATCGCGCGTCTCGCTGAACAGAATACGAATCCCGGGATGCCCTCGTCCAGCAGTATCCAGTATCATGGGTCAGTCGTCGGGGAAGCGCAGATAGTTCGGCAACTTGATGGACATGAGCACACGCTGCAGCACCATCGCGATCGCTGTGCACGAAAACCCGAGCACGTAGCCGAAACCTCGCTCACCGGCTCCAAAGATCCGCGACTTGTGCGTCTGATCAAGGATCACCAGCCCGACAACGCCCAACCCGTGCGTGAGCGACGCGAATATCCCCTCGATGACGTACTGGGACGTGAGCTGACCCTGGGCCACGGCAACCGGGACGAGAACCCCGGTCCGTGGATCCCGACGCTGACCAATACTCGGAGGTCCAACGATAATATCGTACGTGATTCCACCGGTCAAAAGCATGTACGAACACAGGAACAGGAAAAACAGGGGCAAAGGTCGCGGGCGCGGAAGCGAGCGCAGCTTCAGGTGCACCGGCGGGGCGTCCACGAAACGGAACACCACCCGACGAAGGAACAGCGCCAGCGGGTCCTTCAACATCCCAGTTTACCAGGTAGGTCCAACGCTGAGCGGAGCTCGGTCCACCGATCCAAACACGAGCATCAACTGCCTTCCTAACGCGGGGAAGGCTACACGGCCGCTGCAGACAAGAGCAGCGCCAGCAGCAGACGCTGCGCACTTGAGTGTTTTGCGGCGGGTGGCGGGCGTCCAGCGAGGCCGTCGCTCTGCCTGCCGTACCAGCACAAGCCGACTTGCGCCCAAAAGGTATTCTGCCTTGACGAAACCGTGTATGCTGGGCTGGGGTGCTCCTGTGTCAGTAATTTGCTCACATTGTCGCTAACCAGGTCGCGTACAGGCGTCTCGGTCGACGTGGGCAAACCTTTGGTGCAGTGCTCCAGAAGTTACCTGGTTATCCTCCAAGCGAGCAGGATGTGTAGCGACAAGCGCTGGTCGGGTCTTTGTTCAGCGCGGGTACTATGCTGACGACACCAGGGCACGCCATCCGTTGCGTTTGCAAAGTTGGTCTGCCTCGCGACGTTTTCGACGAGCGTTCAAGTTCGATCAAAGTGCAAGCACTGAGGCTTGTCTGGGGCACGAGTTTCCGCAACGCTGTTTCCGAGTGCGGATGCCGGTTTGGCGTCCTGGGACAGCGCACTGCGAGTCGAGAATACGCTGCGTGTTTTGATATGTGGTTTGGGATACCAGATCAGCGGGTCTGGACCTGCTTGGCTCCAGGCACATGGCACGAGAGAGGTCGCCTGCCGATGACGATCGAGGCGTCAAACACCAGCCGCAGGGCGCGCTCGCCTAGCATATGGTGTTCTGCTCCTTGGGTATTCGACGGGAGCACCCTGGATAAGCTTTTCGTTACTGAGCGTGTGCATAGCTCCCTGGAGGTTCGACTCTGCCAGCGCATCGTTTGCTGCCGGCAGCAGCAGCAGCAGCAGCAGCAGCAGCGACCGCAATGGTGTGTATACGCATACCGCAGGCACCGCTCGCCGTCGAGGCTACCAGACACGACCAGCCGACGGTATACTCGGTTTAAAACTCGCAGTGACCAGGATATCGTGGAAATGGAATCACATCCCTGATGTTCTCCATGCCGGTGCAGAACTGGACGTATCGCTCGAATCCGAGTCCGTATCCGGCATGAGGCACTGTTCCGTATCGTCGCAGATCGAGGTACCACCAGTACTGCTCCTCGCTCAGCCCGAGCTCCTGCATGCGTGAGCACAGTACATCGTAGCGTTCCTCGCGCTGGCTGCCACCGATCAGTTCTCCTATACCCGGGACCAGGAGGTCGAACGCGGCAACGGTGCGTCTCCCGTCGGTCGTCGGCTCCGTGTCGTTCACGCGCATGTAGAACGCCTTGATGCAGGCCGGGTAATTGAACACGAAAACTGGTCGTTGGAAATGCCTCTCCGCAAGGTATCGTTCGTGCTCGGTCTGTAGATCTGAGCCCCACTCTGGTGTGAACTCAAACTTCTCCGTCGCCTTTGAGAGAATCTCAATCGCTTCGGTGTAGCTGACGCGGGCAAAGGCAAGGTCGCGAACTTGCTCTAGTTTTCGAACGAGACCCTTTTCTATAAACTGATCGAAGAACTGCAAGTCCTCCATCCGGGTTTCCAGGAGAAATGAGACGCCGTGCTTGACGTACTCCTCGGCGTTCTTCATCGCATCATCGCGGGATGCGAACGCCATTTCGGGCTCAATCATCCAAAACTCGGCAAGATGCCGTTTGGTGTTTGAGTTTTCCGCGCGGAACGTTGGTCCAAACGTGTAGACGTCTCCCATGGCACAGGCGTACGCTTCCGCCGACAATTGCCCCGAGACCGTGAGCGAAGCGCGCTGACCGAAAAAGTCGGCCTGCTCCTCAGTGGCTCCAGGTGGCAATGTGGTGACGCGGAACATTTCTCCCGCGCCTTCGCAATCTGAGGCGGTGATGATCGGACTATGGAGGTAGATGAATCCCCGAGACTGAAAGAACGCATGAGTCGCCGCAGCCAACGCGGAGCGTACGCGGGCGACTGCTGCGAAGGAGTTCGTTCGCGGTCGCAAATGCGCAATGGTTCGCAGAAACTCGAACGAGTGGCGTTTCTTCTGGAGCGGATAGTTGCTTGCGACCGGCCCGAGCAACTCGACCGATGTTGCCTGGACCTCTATCGGCTGCTTGGCCCCCGGGCTCTTTCTCACGTAACCGGACACCGCAATGGAGCATCCAGTGGCGAGACTTGCAACTTTATCGAAGCTCGGCACACTGCTGTCAACGACAACCTGAATGCCGCTCACATTCGAGCCGTCGTTGACTTGAACGAACGCGAACTGCTTCTGGTCCCGCGCAGTTCGTACCCATCCTTTAATGACCACGAAGGAGTTAGCGGGCTGAAGGAAGTGGGCAGCCTCTTCGAAGAGTCGCTGAATGCGGACCCTCTGCTTCTCAGCAGGGGGCGCTTTGTGCTCGTCCAACGTGCCTACTGTGCTCGTCTGCGCAGGCGTCGACGTTACACACAGTCTGGTGAGCGCGAGTCTTTGCCTCGCGTACGCACGAACCAGGGTCCCGTTCACGCGTTCGTGTCGCGAACGCTGCAGCTGAGAGGGGTCGCGACTGAGAAAGCCACTCGCAAAGACCGACACTCGGCTGCCAGACAAGTGACCACAGAACTGCTGCACACGAGAGCGGCGACTCGACGAGACCGTCGTGGTCCCTAAAAAGGCCAACATTCGCGACAGGTTTTGAACTCCGCTGTTGAGAACTTGTTTCAGGCGTGTCGTGCTCACCGTGTCAACGTTTCTCGCGCAAGCACCGGCGCCTAGTGCGTGGTGTACGTGCAGCGCATGCCGGCGATGCGTCCGCGAGTGACCTGCGCGCTGATGATGACGACGATCGACGATCGGCGCGCCGCCATGTTTCTTCACTGACAACGCGTTTCCATAGGCCAGCGTTCTTCGATGATGCGCTTTTTCTCTTCTTTCTCTCTGGTTTTTTTTGTTTCCGTGCGCAGTAAAGTATCGATGAAACCCCATCTCTCAAGTTTCGTTACCTATCCTTCTTCTCGGATGTACTGGTCGTCTGAAAAGTCTAATCGTGTGCCGAGTGATTGCCCTAATCATCCGCAACAGCGACGTTACCTTTGGTACGGATGCATCAGGGAGGTAGGACGGCTTTTCTATAACACAGAGGGCGTCGGTTCGACGATCGGCGCGTCGCCATGCCCCATGCGCCCCTTGCACCGCTTAGGGAGCGCGTCTTGCGGGCGCGCGCTCCCCGACAAGACGATATGGCGTCCGGCGGGTATCAGCAGCGAATGTCAGGCGCACAGCCG